TTCTGACTCACCGTTGAACATGCGTTGGTGGGACGTGACGTAAAGCAAAATTGGCCCTAAACAGAGACCACAGCGGTAAGAGAATGCTCTGCGCTGTATCTGCATCCATTGGCAATGCAACATGATCGTCAAAGCCGTAGCCCCTGGGATGTCGGTCCACTTCCCGGTGACAGGAACTTTAATGAGCTGTCAAGTGTTCGGCATGATCCTTTCGCAGCCTTGCTAGCTTGGCATGGCCGCTGCTTTGGTGGTGAGCCGAGATTGACAACCACACATCGGGTCTTCCTTGTTCGCTCATATGTGGTGTGTTAAGAACTCTGTTAGCGTCTGACAGGTTGGGCCAGGCCATGCCAGCCCCGTCGAAGGTCCGCGGGGGTATATGTCGGCCGTTATAGTATCCCCGGTCATTGTGTTTCATAAACACGGCTGGCGGGCCAGAGCACCTACATCATTCGTATAGGGCCCACAACACTTGGAAACAGTCGGAAGCTCTCTGCACTGTTACCCAGAACTACCGGAGGCGGTCTCGCAAAGATCAACTTATTGCGGTAGTCGGTCTTGACCGTCTGGAGAATTGAGACCGCTGGAATTTCCGCTTCATGTTTGGCGCGACTATTGCAAAGAGCCCTTCCCTCTGTAGTCCACTGGTGGCATCGGTGATAATGTAGTGCCGCGATGCCAGTGATATACGCACATCGTAGGATACAAACTCTCCGATTCCTTGGTTCAGGTCATCCTCCAAAGCCTTCGAATGGCTTGTGTTTTCAGTCGAAGGCGGGCCGGACCCAGGATGTCAAGCGTGGGCGAAGCGTCAAGACGTGCCGCTGTGCCGCCCTTCTGTGACGATTTGGTGCGACGTTGACCATCAGTCGACCAGGAAACCCTCAAGTCCAGGACGCCGCCCAAATCCTCTTCGCTGTCGCAGGAGCGCGACTCCGGGTCCAAAAGGGAAGAGGCGGGCTGGATGGGCGATAGCGCACGGGTCAGTGCGCGCCAACAGACATCACTCCCACTCGTCTTTGGTTCAGCATACTGTCATCGACCTTGAGATCAGCTGGAAGGGCGGCCGTACATATGCTAGTTGGACAAAGCCGTGCCTTCGATTGGTTCGTGGAGCTTGACTCGGCCAAAAGCCACCAATCACATCACAAAGACCAAGCTCAACAGGGCATGACTGGGAGTTTCGGTCCGGTGACCGTTAATGACAAGGGCGCCACGCGATAATTGTAGCATGGCTAGTCCGCCTATACTTATTTTGGTCGTGGCTTGCATCATGCGCGCTGCGGCCAGAGAAGATATGTTTGCACTTGAAATATGGCATGGACTAATGTGGCCTGGATCTGACTATATTCATCACGTGGAGACATCAGGGACGGCAGAACATCTCTAAAGCTGCTCTCCTACCGTTGGAGAACCTATCTGAATGGCACCAGCGGGTTGGAGATCTCCTGTCAACTTCGGATTCGACAGCGCGAAGCGCGTCGAATCAGGGAGGTTTTGTGGTCTTAGACTGGAAGGGAAGGGAAGTGAGAATGTGTGCAAGCTTGACCGTAATAGGGTTTCGTGATGACTTGCTCACCGGAGCCGAGCAAATGTCCTCAGCAGCTCAATTAAAGCTCATGCACAGTCTCGGCGAATATCGATGTCCGTCATGTGCGTGTGCTGACCTGCATGCCCACCTAACCGGTACTTGTGGTACGAGCCATATTAGATCCTGCCAGATGGCGCCAGCTACTCCGCGACTTACACAGGGTGCACATCGGTACCAACCTACCACTTCTAAGGGCGTACGTGTAGACATTTACATAGTCTACCCAACTCATTACCTTCAAAGGACGAGAAAGGTTAGAAAAGCCATTATACTGGGTCAAAGCTCTGCCCAAAGCCACCATATAAATACAATCCAAGTTTCGTTTCAGGCATCGAATTTGGCGCCGTCCGGTGAAGACGGCTCGTTCCTATTTCGGCTCTTAACAAGGACGTTATGACCTTGGAAGCTGCTTCCCTCAGTGACAATACGTTTTCCGTGGAGTCTGAATTGCTGATGAGCTCAGAAACATGGGCGATGAGTGAGCTCCGACAGGGTCAGCCTCGCTCAGAGCAGTCCAGATACGCCCGCACCTCGCTGTAACCTAATTAGAGTGCCCTTCGCAAGGAATGATTGATTCTGTCAATCAATGCGACCTATTCAGTGTCTGATATTGCTCTGTCCTGGTACACTAGGATAGAACGTGACCCAAACAGAGCGCCTTGTGGGTTCACGACACCAAAAGAGAGTCGGAGTTTTGCGTAACAACATATGCACTTGCTTGATTACCCTGCCTTGCGTTGGCTGATCATCTCTTCTGGAGGGCATTCTCCATCGCTTGTCATTGTTACTGCACCACCTCTCCATAGCGTAGTATCGGTACCAAGCTTTTGCTGTAGCGCCAGCATTCAGAAGAGGAAAGAAAGCAGGCATGTCAGCGTCGACTTACAGTCCACAGTTCAGGTGCATATGTTCATATGCACCCTGCGTCATCTCCACCTCGCCTCCAGCATCTCGATAGCTGGAGGAGGTGCGCCTCAGCTACCCAGTAGGCACCTAAACCTGACAATGGCCTATCCATGCCTTTTTGGACCCTTACATTAGGACGCAAGCAATTTGCAGTTGACCAGGGGGTCTTTGGATCCTGCAACACCACCACCCTCTTGAGGCCCAGGCTCTGGTTGGCCCGGCTGGGCTGGGGTGGCTGTCGATGCTGCTTAAACCGATCGCGGGGGAAAGGTTCCAGAACTTCTGCAAATCATGAGTTTTCCGTCAATGATTTGCATTCTCAGACATGTTGCAACATGGGACGAGGAAATGATAAATCGAGCCTATAGGATTGCCATAAGGACTTGCACCCGCATACTACTGCTGGCCGGGTGCCCGGTTGCTGGCCTCAGAAGCAGGACGGCAGCAGCAACGCCGGCATACATACTGGATGCATAGTGCGACTAGAAAGTCTGTATAGCTTCTTTTATATAAGTCAGCCAGGCACATAGGGAACGGAGCGTGCAGAAGAAGTCGGGAGAGCCGGCGCTACAATCTGTGTGGCGGGCTTGTGGAGCCTCACGCGATGAGAGATCTCGAGACATTACTGCAGGTAGCGATATGCTGCCAGCATCCATGACAGGGGTGCCTCTGGCTCGATCTGGATGATAGGTCTCGCTTCGGCGCCTGACGACCCGACCGTGAGAGATGTCTGGCCAGCTTCGAGGAGGGCCCTGCCGCCAAGGCTTGCTGGGGTGGTGGAACTGGGATGGCACAGTTCATGCTTTCCCGCCAGTCGCGTCTCGCTGTGGCTGCTCTTAGCGCTTGCTGCCGCCGCTGCCGTTAAGTTAGGCAAGCTGGGTAGTGGGCGAGGGTCATCACGGCTTCGGCAAAGCAACGCTATCTGTTCCGGGCGGCATGGTCGACAGCCTGGTGGCCATGTCATACCCCCTCGGACGAACGGTCTTGGAGGGAAGATGGTCGCGCACTCTCAATCCCGCCCGGCTCTGTAGACGCGACTTGACCTCGAGAGTCGACCGCGCCATTGCTGTTGGGTATGGCGCCCCCCCCTCTGCCTCTCAAACGTAACTATCGTGTATATAGTATAGTATACCTGGAGAAACCTCGGTGCCCGCGTGTGCGTTATGCCGAGGAAGCTGCTAAACGGGGACCGGGGCTGCTAAACTTACGCTGGACTACCTTGGTGTTGAGAACGGGCGGTATGTACTATGGCACAGAATTTTAGTTGCTCCCCTAGTCGAAATGAGCCAGACTGCGCGCCTTGCAGACCGTTGCTCGGATCGTGTGTTCCCCACACTCTGGTGGTGATGATCACGGTATTGGCCCCCTCCAACTTCTCCAGACTCCACCGACTTGGACCCTTGCCGTCCCCCTCCAATCCGGCCCCCTGTCCGGCTCGTAACCATGTCATCCAGAGAACGATCAGGCAAGGCGGGCCATATAACAGGTAAGCCCGAGAAAGACTCCTCCGGAAGGGGCATCGTCAGACACACACCAGAATTATTCACACAGCAGATCTCCATCCTGTCACTGTCGCTGCGATTCCGTCCCACCGCTGTATATTGTATCCCTAATATCCGTGCATTGACTCGATATTGCCTCGATGAGAAGAGGTTCAGTTGTCGCCAATCGAATCGGGTCCACCGCCTAAGGCCGGCCAGGGACGTGTGCTTCTCCATGCGCGCCAAGACCGCAGACATTGCTGGCCCTCACCCGCGAGCAAGTGTCGAGACGACTTGAGGCGTTCCTTTTGATTGTCCTGCTCAGATCGGTGCTGGCTCGACTTCCCTTGACCCTTTGGTGGCTTCCAGCTTGCCTCCGGATTCCTCTCTCCTCCCTGCCTTAAGTCCCGAGCTATTGGGGGAGGTCATCGGCAAGTCTAGGTTGCGTTTGGCCCCGACCTGCTTGGAGGTACGAGGCAGATCCCGTTGTACGTTCATCTTTAATATCTCTGCACCCTTGTACCTGTTTTGTCGTCCAGTCACGGACCTCACACACGCCCTGACCCCGCCACCTGGTGCCTGTCGCCTCTTCTGGGATGGGATGGGATGGGCTGGGAGTTGGGGAGCTGTGCCGTCCTTGTATGACCGCGTGGATCAGCTCCCACTGTTTTGGAGTCTCTTATGCTTCCCTGACATGGTATTATGCTCATGCCCTGATCCCCCGCAGGGAAGGCTTTCGGTCCGTCCATCTACCGTTGTCGCCAGCCGCAGTCACGTCTGTCACGAAGAGCTATAGCTACCCTCTCGCGGCCATATAGTTCGAGATATCTCTCCCCCAGGAAGACTCTTCTAGGCTTCCCGTTACTCACATGCAGACAATACTTCACCCAACTGCTCGCATTCGTTCGAAGTTGTGTGTTTTCAGAATCACCCTTAACAGCCTCTGAGCCAACAGCAACTCGTCTGACACCATAATCCAACAAAAGACCACGCCTCACGTACTGCATACGATATCTGCCGAGATGTTGTCGAATCCCCTCCAGCGGTTCTCGCCTTACCATACCCTTCCATCTAATGCTTTTTCAAATACTCACGTACCGACAAGCCACCTTCATGCAACCGGCCTTGATGCCTTTGGCCATAATACGCAGTACGCCCTTCAGCATCTGCAACAGCATGTTGGTGTACATGCGCCGCATCTTGCCAGGGCTCCTCAGCCCAAGCACCGCCAGCATCCTTACGGGGCCCCAACCGCCAGAGCAACCGGCGCAGCTGGTCCTATTCGGAGAAGAATCAGCAGGGCCTGTGATCAGTGCAACCAGCTAAGAACAAAATGTGATGGACAGCACCCGTGTGCGCACTGCATAGGTAAGGCTTCCCCGGCCCTATGTGTCGAGAAACCACACGGCTGTGTACTGATCAACAAATTGTAGAGTTCGGACTCGGATGTGAGTACATACGAGAGAGAAAGAAGAGAGGGAAGGCATCCCGCAAGGACCTTGCACAGCAAGCCGCCGCACAAGCGGCTGCCCAGAGTGGCCAGCAGTCTGAGAATGGCGACAATGGCTCTACGGCCGAGCAAGGAACGGACCCGGTGTCCAAGCCGGAGCAGGCTTCGAACACCAGTGAAAAGGCGTCCAACGACCTCGCTGAGGATGCTATGCAGCGAAGTCAGAGGACTGGAAGTCTTGACAGCTTGGCGGAATTGAGCTCGCACCAACCACACTTGGCCACACACACTTCCGGCCTGGACAGAGACCATCTCGACAGTCCAACTTCGTTGGATCTGAACGCTTTCGGCGGCGTTCAAAATCCTTACGACAGACAAGGGATCGGTGCCCACATGATGACAGGGCATACACACAATGGATATGCCTCCGCCCAGCACAGTCTCTCTAACTACCCGGACATCCCCTACGCACTCCAAACGCAAAGCCCAACCAACTACGGGGCGAGTGCTTCAGCAGGGTTCAGGATAGGAACAAGTCCACTAAGCGCCTACCCGCTGACCGGAGAACCAACGTCTCCAGGCTGGATGTCAATGTCTTCTCCTCCACCTCACTATCAAACACACATCCCACAGAACAATTACCACCAGCAGCTTCGGTATCCGGTACTGAACCCACTCATACCACATCTTGGAAACATCATTCCGCTATCGCTGGCTTGCGACCTGATTGATCTATACTTTGCCAGCTCCTCATCGGCTCACGCCCACCCCATGTCGCCATACGTCCTCGGCTTTGTCTTCAGGAAACGCTCCTTCCTTCATCCCAGCAAGCCTAGACAATGTCAACCAGCATTGCTCGCAAGTATACTGTGGGTGGCCGCTCAGACTAGTGATGCACCGTTCCTGACAAGCGTTCCATCCGCGAGGGGCAAGATCTGCCAGAAACTGCTGGAGCTCACTGTCAGCCTTCTCAAGCCGCTCATCCACACCCCGTCAGGTGAAGCCTCCCCCGTCGCAAGTCCTGTGATCGACGGTGTGGCTCTTGGTGGACTTGGCGTCGCTCTACCAGGATCTATGAGCATGGAGAACCTCACTGGGGAGTCTGGGCCGTTTGGCGCCGCCGGGACTCTGGACGACGTGATCACGTACATTCACCTGGCCATTGTGGTGTCTGCGAGTGAGTACAAGGGAGCCAGCTTGCGATGGTGGAATGCGGCCTGGTCGCTCGCTCGAGAGCTTAAGCTAGGCCGCGAACTGCCACCGAGCCCTGTACAGGCGATGGATGATGAAGATGACGCCGAAGGCCTGGGTGCCAACTCCGGGATTGTCACCGAGGAGGAGCGGGAAGAGCGCCGACGCATATGGTGGTTGACCTACATTGTTGACCGCCATCTAGCTCTATGCTACAACAGGCCCCTTTTCCTCCTAGATATCGAATGCGAAAGCCTTCTGCAACCAATGGACGACACGGAATGGCAGAACGGCAACTTTAACCCGAGCACGACCGACCCTGCTCTTTCAGAGAGCAGAGTCAAAGGGCCGCATTTCGAATGCACCGGGCACAGCATATTTGGATACTTCCTGCCACTTATGACCATCCTGGGTGAAATCGTCGATCTTCACCATGCCCGCAACCATCCCCGATTCGGTGTCAATTTCCGCTCAGCTCGCGAGTGGGATGACCAAGCTGCAGAAATCACACGACACCTTGAAGCCTACGAGCAAAGCCTCAATATCTTCGAGCAGCAGCATTTCCACGTAAACAGCGAGGATAAGAGCGATCAGTCCGTCACGCTGGAAATGCCCGGAGAACTTGAGCACCTCGGATCGCCGTCCGCACGCTCGGTCCGCACGAGCTCGTCACGGATGACCGAGTCTGATATCCAGACCCGTATCGTAATGTCCTATGGTACCCACGTGATGCATGTGCTGCATATACTCCTCACCGGAAAGTGGGATCCCATCAACCTCCTGGATGACAACGATCTCTGGATATCGTCTCAGGGCTTCATCACTGCCACCGGCCATGCAGTTTCTGCGGCCGAGGCTATCAGCAACATACTCGAATACGACCCAGGCCTGGAATTCATGCCATTCTTCTTCGGCATATACCTCCTGCAAGGCTCATTCCTACTTCTCCTCATCGCAGACAAGCTGCAGGCCGAGGCCTCGGCCAGCGTAGTTCGGGCTTGCGAGACCATTATCCGTGCACACGAAGCGTGTGTCGTCACTCTCAACACCGAGTATCAGGTAAGCAACCCCAGAAGACGGCAACCCATGGAGCATCACTGACACGTGAACAGCGAAATTTTAGTAAAGTAATGCGCAGTGCCCTCGCACAGGTTCGCGGGCGCGTGCCTGAGGATCTCGGCGAGCAGCATCAGCGACGCCGTGAGCTTCTGGCCCTCTACCGTTGGACAGGAGACGGTACTGGGTTGGCGCTGTAAACGGCCTAATGCAGTGGCGATTGCAGTCCTTGATCAATGCCAACCTGGACTGGCGTTTGATGGTTTTATGAGTTGTCAAAAAGAGAAGACGAGAAAGGGGGAGCAATGCCAGATAGGTTTGGAAAATCCCCTGGCTGAACATATCATCTGATTTACTTTTTCTTTGGCGTGCGAGTTGAATTCAGCGTTGGATTACCGATCGATCAATGTCTATATTAGCGACGAACGATTCCCTTTCTTCCCTTCTGGGTTCTGGCGCGACTTTCGGGACCGAAAAGGTTGGTTTACGCTGCGACGCGAACATGATACAGGGCGGATAATGACGGGCCTTTGGAGTTCTTGTCAATCCTTCAGCACATTTTTGAATGGGACCCCTCGTGGTAACTTTGCGGCGAAAATGGGATATGGTGGGCCCCGGGCTTAGATGAGTGTAAATACTGTAAAAACGAATTTAGAATGATGGATAACTTTTGATCTACTCTGATCTGTTTGTCGGTTTCATATTGTGATACGCATGGCTACCATGACATGATTGCGACATTCAAAGGGATACATCGAGGCCGGTGTTCCTCTAATCCTGCAGATAGCAAGAGAGTGGGATATGGCCATATGCCCCTACATCTTGCCACCCATCCATCGTCAATCCTATATCGTATGAACAGCTGCTGGCAGTGTGTTGATGCCAAGCTTTGTGCGGGCCGACTTAACCGTGTTGTCCAACAAGTAAACCCTTTGCGTGTCCCCTAGTTTTCGCTCGACGCTGATGCCGCCCACATCATGGGGAAGGGGTTTTCTGTACTGCTACATGGCGCCTCTTCGGCATTGGGGGTCACCTCTGCCAGCAACTTTCCTGTCGTGCCTAGGGCCAGTTCCCGGGATTTCAGGGGATGTCAACCACAGCCCTCATGGGACCCCTTGGACATCCATAGCGCTGGCGTTGTCATATTCATATGCATAACTCCAAGTTTGTGGTATCATGATTCATTCCTCGTCGACATCTTCGCCGTTCATGCCCTCGTCACCGTCCTCCTCTCCCTCCTCTTGCATGACCTGTTCCATCAGGGACCCACGGTCCCGGTCGCTCCGTCTCCGACCACGCTTGTAGGCCTCGGTTTCCGTGACTGCCTTGGGCCCCACGAAGTGTTTCCCGGACCATTCGGTCGAGCACCTGGGGCATTTCCGGTCTCTCCGCGTCCTCCAGAAGCCCTCGTCGCAGATGTCGTGGAGGCGCACGTTACAGTCGCGGTCCGCACACCGCTGGCCCGTCGTCACGATCTCCTTGCAGGCCTCGCAGAACTTGACCCGCTGCCACTCGTCCGGGCCGGCATCGGGGTCGTTGTAAGACTCGATGAGCCATGTGCGCAGCTCCATGAGGGCGCGCGGGGCCAGGCCGTAGAAGCTGTTGCCGCTCTTCTCGAACCAACCCTCGTCGACCATGGCGGCCATCACGGCCTCGACCTCAGAGGACTTCAGGCCCTTGAGGGACTGGGACTGCGCCTGGCTGGCCTCGCGGTCGAGCACGGACTCGTCCAGGTCGGGCCGCGGCACGTTGCGGCACTTGTTGGCCTGGATGCTGTCCACGCACATGACCTCCATGCGCTGGGTGTTGTACTTCTCAAACATGGAGTCCAGAATGCGCTTGACAAAGGCAATCTCATCCGCCGTGTGCAAGGTGGCCAGCTGCGTCAGAGGGTCCGAGGTGGTGTTGACCAGGGCCCAGACACGCTCCTTGCGCACCTGGTGCATGGCGCTCCGCAGGTCATAGTCGAAGTGCGAGACTGCCTCCTGCGCGGCGGCGATGTAGGCGGCGAAGGTCTCCTGCGACACCGAGTTTGGATCTATGGGCTCGCCGTCGCGTGCTGCGAATATGGCGGCCAAGATGGATTTGCCCTCCCTGTAGGTGACTACTCCGCGGGCCATCAGGGCCTGCAGGAATGCACGGTTCCCATCGTTGTAGTCGGCGGGGATTAGGTCCTCCTCGTCCATGGTTGCTTCCCCTCCAAACCGACGCCAAGATGGGCGGAGGACGAAGAGTGAAGAGAGACCTGCGTACCTCAGAAAGAAGTACCTAGAGATGGGGCTTCTGTTCGGTCGAAACTGGGAACACAACCGTTTGCCGAATATGATGCTGGTTTGGGCCAACTCGGGAAGTATAGGGCCGTCGGCCAGTGTGACGCGACTGGATACTTTTGACGCGTTAATGGATCGGCCCCTTGATTGACGCATAATAGCGGGTTGTTGAATAGAGCAGGGTTGGGCGATCAGTTATCGGCACTTGACGGGGGCCTGCACGCATGACGCTGACGGGGTCTGAGTACTATGTAGTGGTTGCTGCCCCCTGCTCCCCCGGTCTAGAGCCCACTGGAGCCCCTCCAAGACCCTGGAGACCCGCTAAAACCCGCGTGTAGCTCCCGCCACAGGTGGCAGTGCACCCTATGACGATGCTCCTACGGTACGCAGTCAGGGCAGTACGCTTTAGCTGCTCCTGTCTGGGCATGTGAACTGAAACAGGGCTGGGAGTCTGGCGGCCGGCGGCGGGAAGGCCTCCCAGACCAGCTGCCCAGCCCTTTTCGCCATCGTTACGTCGATAACTCATAAAAACCAGAGACCAACATCCCCCGGCTGCTTTGATCTCTCTGTCGTTCCTGCGTTTGATGTGCTGAACTGCTCTTCTACACCAGCTCCGACCTAGACTCTCGATCCTGGTCACACTTCTCCCAGCCACATCCCACCCACTCGCGACAACCTGCATCGGGAAACCGCCAAGATGCTGGAGTACTTCACCTACAAGAAGGTCAAGAAGCACAGGACTGAGAAGGCAGAGAGAGAGCGCTTGGCCAGCTCGCCCAGCGCGGCCTCCCCTTCTGCGCCCCCGCCCACCACCATCGTCTCCAAGCCGAATGACGAGCCCATTGGCACCCCGCTCCTCAATCAGGAGGACGAGAGGTTCCTCGAGCGCATCACCTCGCCCGACTCCAGCGCAGTGGGCGACAATGGCTATGACGATGAGAATCCACCGCCACTGCCTCCCCGCGTCCCCACCCCCATGCTGAGCTGGGACAGCGATGCCGAGAGCTTCAAAAGCCAGGAGGCCAAGGCCAAGGACAAGGGCAAAGGCAAGGCTGGCAAGACCGATGTCAAAGATGCCGACAAGAAGCCGGCCAACAAACGCTTTTCCGTCATCACCAACATCGGGCGCACCATATCCCAGCGTGCCAAGCGGCCCAGCACCGAGAACAGCGGCCTGAAGCCGGCGCAGCTGGCCGTGCCCGAGCGCGAGCTGCACCGCGAGGAGACGGACATCTCGCGCGTGCTGGACGACCTGAACCTGTCGGCGTCCAACAACAAGGCCTTCTCGCTGTCGGCCGACTCGACCGAGATGGTGCGCAAGTTCAACCTCGTACTCAAGGACCTGGTCAATGGCGTCCCCACGGCCTACGGCGACCTGGTCCGCCTGCTTGACGATCGCGATGGCATCCTCGCCAAGAACTACGAGAAGCTGCCCAACAGCCTCAAGAAACTCGTCACCCAGCTGCCCAACAAGCTGACCTCCACCCTGGCCCCTGAGCTCCTGGCTGTCGCCGCCGAGGCCCAAGGTCTCCGGACAGAGGACATGGGCAAGGGCGGCCTTAAGGGCGCCGCCAAGTCGTTCCTCACACCCAAGAATCTCCAGGAGATAGTTACGAAACCCGGCGCGGTGGTTGGCTTGTTGAAGGGTATCGTCAATGCGCTGAAGACACGCTGGCCGGCGTTCATGGGGACCAACGTTCTCTGGAGCGTGGCCATCTTTTGTAAGTCCAAGCCCACCTTCGTCCTTCGCTTCTACGGACCAACACTAACGGAGAGCAAATAGTACTCCTTTCGGCCCTGTGGTACTGCCACAAGCGCGGGCGCGAGGAGCGCCTCGAGCGAGAGGCTACCGAGAAGGATCCTCTGCACGGCGTGGACCGTGTCGAAGAGCTCCCCGACGACCCCCAGCTGCCGGCCCCCGCCCAGGCCTCAGGCTCGGCCACACCGCCCCCTGTTCAGGGACGCTCCGGAAAAGCGTCGCCTCCCCGTGTGAAGTCCAGCAGGAAATGATCATGTTATGAGTATATATGATTGATACCCCCCTTTCTTTCTGCACCTATTAAAAATGTCGGCAATCATGATTTGCATTTGGTTTCTGTGGCGGCACATACAATGTCTGGAGGAAGACGGATTAATGGTTTGGTCTCTATAGACAGGAAGGCAAATGAGTCCTGACAAGCACGTAGTAGTAGCTGAACAATATTCATATCAATTGTTTTTGCTTGATGCAGCCCGCTTTTGCCCCATTGCCAATCAGTGCCTATGAACGCCAAGCGAGGTCTTTACCCCTTTTCCGCAATATGAGCGCTGGAAACCCTTCCCGCCAGGTACGCCTCTCATGACAAAACCAGAGCGCTCGCTCTTCGCAGAACTCAACCCCTGAACAAAGTAATGCTAGTTCTGCCCTTCCAGCAATGGCACCAACACCATGTCTAGAGTTACCCCAATGTCTCCTCATCCCCCAGGACCTTCCAAGCACAACTGGGGGCCCTTCTAGTCATCCTGGACAAGCTCCTTGATCTCCTCGCGGCCGGGGGCAATGCCAGCCGAGACGTCGGCCTTCTCGTCGCGGCCGCCGGTGCGGTCGATCACCCTCGCGCCGTCCTGCATCCAGAAGTCGACCTCGTCCACGATGTCGGCCACAATGTCCTCGACGATCTGCTCCGAGTAGCGCTCCGAGACGGGCTGGATCTTGCCGGTCGGGACCGGAGCGCTGCCCGCGACGTTGACCGTGTCGGCGTCCGTCGTCGTGGTACCGCCCATCTCCACGTCGCCTCCGGTCGAAGCAGAGGGCTCCGGGGCTGCTTCTGCTGCAGGTGCTGGTGCTGGTGCAGACGTCGATGACTCGTAGCCGGGCGGCGGGTACCAGAAGTCGGGACCGAAGTTCACCTCGGCGGCACCGCCGCGGAACACGCTGATCGCAGGGTAGTAGCCGAGCATGCCGTCGTCCATGCCCTCGCGGGCTCCGACCTGGGCCTGCGGCTTGGAGGCCGGCGGAAGGAAGGCCAGGAGATCCTTGAACGGCGTGCCCATGAGGACGCCGTTCTTGTAGACCCTGATGCACGAGTTGGGCAGCGTGCGCAGTGCCGGAGTGGGGTGGACGGGATTTGGCGCGTCTGCCGAGCTGCTCCCAGCCGACCCGGATGCGCCCACGGGCGACGGGTTCATCAGGTCCTCGAGCTCCTTGGTCGTGTGGTAGTCGATCTTCTCGAAGTAGATGTGCGCCTTGAAGCGGATGGGTATCCGGTCTCGCACGATGTTCGGGCCCTCGGCGCTTGGCGGCTCGTCGTCCAGCAGGTCCACGGCCGGGTTGTAGTGGCCGCGGACAACCTTTCGGTGTAGCTGCTCCGAGGGAAGCTGGATCTCGAGGCCGATGACGTCCCCCTCCACAATCTCCTCCCCGGGCGGAAAGAAGTCCTTGGGTCGGGACATGTGCACCTTCTGACCCTCGACGTCCCGTATGCCGTAGCTGTAAGCGTCAAAGCCCACGGGGGCGTCCAGCGAGGCCTCTCGCCTCGCAAATCCTAACCGTACGTGACCATGCGACTCAACCTTGGCTCCCTCGGCCCTCTTCAGCGTCCCCCGCGTGATCTTGCACTCCCAGTACCAGCGGCCCTGCCGTATGGCCACATTGGTTCTCGCCATGCGGAAGCCCTTGTCCGTCGTAATGTGCCGGCCTGATTGGTCGAGGTACATGTGTGTGGCGGCATCCTCGTAGCTGATGTGGGCGCCGTGCGGCTCGGGTTCGGTCTGGCGGTAGTAGAAGGAGGATGGGAAAGCAGGATCGGCTATGCAGTGCAGGTAGTGGAAGTTCTTCTTATTGTAGACGCTGCGTGTGTCTGTCAGCCAGATATGCGCAGCAGCACCAACGTCCCATCTGCGACTCACTGCTCAGAAGTTTCATGAAAAGCAATAGTGCTGCCGTCTGGCATCGTCACATCGTGGTGGTGGGTGAAGACAGGGCCGCGAGCCGGCTCGAAATCCCCAGGCTTCGGGGGCGCAAGTTTATACCGCAAGGGCGACGCTTCGTCTACCGGCGCCTCCTTCTCTTTGTGCTTCGGATCCGGTGTAGCTCTGGAGCTGTCGGTGCCGGCGATGGTAACGCCCTTGGACTCGCGCTTCTTCAGCGACTCCTTCTTGGTCCGCTTCTCGCGCGCCATGGCTGGTATATCGTCGTGCGACTGCTGCTTCGAGAGCTTAGGATCCGGGTTCGGGTTCGGGTTCGGATTGAGCGGCGACGAAACAGCAGGCACATGGTCGTCTTCGAGAGCTCGCTTTTGAGGCAGCGAGGTTGCTGTGGCCGTGGCCGGGGGATTGGGTGGATTGGGCGTCGCATCGCGCTTAGGTATCTCTACGTCGGTTGCCATGGTTCACAGTTGCTCCTCACGGAGGAGACTCTTGCCCGGCGCGGCGAGCAATTGGGTGGTCGAGACGAAAGGGCTGGGGTCGGCGCAGCAGCTCATCTAGGTCTGAGGCTCTGACTTAGCTGCACGTAGGTTGCATTCGCGCTTCAGACGCGACGGCGACGGAACGGGATGGCCCCAAATTTTAGCGGGCCAAGAACCGCCGGTAATCTATTAGGTACTTCGTTGGCCATCGCTTCAGAGGCTCATGTCAATGCCTAAACAGAGTGCCAAATTATTGAACCACGCACCTTCCAACTGTGTCAAATCGCCATTGCCCAGGTGTGCTTGCCTGCTGGCTCTAAGCCGCAGGTACGAGTATAAGAGTACATTATACCACAGTAGTATACATACTGATAATTCACCAAAGCAGACCCAGCCATGCGTTATTCACTACAAATCACCAAGCAGCATGCATTCATTCGTAAACAAATCGATGCTGTAATTCATTTCCCTACCGGAGAACTTCTTCGCATTTAACACACAATCATATACTGTCTATACAATGCTAAGAATAGGAGGAAGGATTGTTCACAAATGAAGAGACATATCTGCCAGACACTGACTGTCACGCCGATAGTGACAAAAAGTTATCTACGACTGCCACACAACATGGTGCTGGTGTGGCACACCTGCGAAAAAGGGAATCTAATCGCCTGAGGGCAGGATGTAATGCATTCCGACCACCACGGGACTCGAACCCGCAACCTTGGACTTAAACAAGTTAATGCAACTTATACTAGGAGGTCCACGCGCTACCATTGCGCTAAGCAGCCCTTGTTGCGCTTCTGAGGCTTTAGATTATGTTATATATTCTCGAGAAAAGACACGTGACCCCTCAGGGCGAATCTTATATCTCTCAGCAGGATCTATACTTTGCCACGGAAGAAGGCATCGCAGCATCGGTCCTCATGTCGTAGGGCTTACTCTGTTTATGCAGTACATCCATTCCTATCATCTCATTCTGTAAAATTTGGTGGTCGCTGACGCATATACCCGCGATGGTTCGTTGACGTTCGGCGACAAGCGCGAACCGGGTGACGGAAGGATGCGTGGAGTGGACCACCTAACTCACAAGCAATATTGTTCATGCACAATTGGCAGAGAATGTCTTCAAAAGGATGAGACTGTCTGTCTGGAATGGCTACAGTGCTGTGATATTGATGAAGCCGACTGAATAGGGATGACTTGATTCAATTAGCCCTTCACACAACCATCGTAAACCCAAGCAAGGCCGATAAGTCCAAGAGCAAAATATCAGGGATAATGTTACGTTGCTGATTTATTTGTCGACATACATGTCAATTTTCACTCTGGCTAGCGAATTCGGATATCTTCACCAAAGCCTCGGAGCCTAAATGTCGCGTTCGATTGTTCAAGCCATACTGTTCCTTTCTATAGTGCGAACATCGTACTAGGCGTTGAATATGCCCTGATCCCCATGCACTGCCAAACAGACCGCCGACGCGTACTCGCCGTCGTGGCTGATGCTCAACAGCGCACTTTGGCCCTGCGAGGACGTGGGAAGCCGCACGATGGCGGTGGGTGGACCGCTGGATAGCGAGCCCTCCCCGACACCGGGCTCCGTCTGCACCGGGCTATCCTCCGCGCCGTCCTTGAACCCTCGCGCGGGCGTGCCGCTGACTATCTCAATGTCTTGGAACGTGATCTTCAACTGGTGGTGGGCCTTAATCGCTGCCTCCTTGGCTGCGAACCTGATGGTTGCTGGCGGTTAGTGGGATGTGCACTCAACAGGTAGCCAATGCTTCTCACCGGCCCGCCATGAACTCGGCGGCTTTCCACATTGCGGGATCCCGATAGCCACCGGCGTCATGTTGCTCTGGTAAGCTGTCTCCTTCTGCCATCTTTGACGCGGCAGAGTTTGTGCCCCCCTTCGGAAACACGCATTGCAAGATCCGCCTTGGCCGATTTTGTTGGCGTTCTCTTTCTGTGAGGACGCGCTCAATGAACCTTGGCCCGTGGCGGGAGGTTAGGATCTTGTATATTCGGGGAACATGGCAGATATCATTCCCCAATCCTAGAGGGAATGGAAACCGTGTCATGACATTGAACGAAGGGCGCGCGGCAGTAAGAACAGGAAGCTGGTAGGGTAGAGTAAGCGGTGGGTGAAGTCCTTCAATAGTTGTAGTTTTATCGCAAATCTTTGGATTAGCGCCCGTTGTGCAAGGGCCCAGTCTGAGGTACAACTAATGGCATGGCAAGCAAGGCAATCAAACAAGATGCACATTTCTTCTTTCGCATATTCATCAACTTTCAATTCTCAAAATTGGATGGAGTATTATTTCAATCTGATTATTTCAGGTCCACCTCTTGCCGTTGATCTCCCAAGCGAGTATTGAAAGAAGCACCCAAGATCATGCATCCCATATTCAACCATCCAACGCCAAAGCCAGCTTCATGCAAACCACAGAACCTTTTTAAAATTGGAATGAGATGAATGCAGACCATAGAGATCGGTCTGGGGAATATTTTACCCAAGGTCGCTCCCGACCTCGAGGATTCAAGTAAGATTGTCGGGGTTGTCCAATGGGAACATGCGACTCGCGCTTAGTTGTCTCCAAGGAGAGGAGCACGTTCGGTGTCGGCTTCTTGACGTCTTTGCCAACCGAAGTCCTTTCCAGTCGCAGCAGGAATTGCGATCGCAACCGTCGCAACGAACAGTGTAGCCATGATAGTGAAGGCGAAGATCCACTGGAATGCGATGATCTGTCTGAAAAACTGGCCAACGCCAATAGCAGCTGCGATAACGCTGAGGTTGAAGCCCATAGTATAATCCTGTGCTTCTGTTAGTACACACCTCCAGAACATGTGGCGGACTGTGCTCACCTTATAGGTCACGATGAAGAACAACCCGTAGACAAGGATGGACCAAATGAAGATATTTCCAAAGATTCTGGAAACCAAGGAAGCTGGGTGTGGTACCATGATTGCGCCATTCCAGTAGATGGCCACAAATGTCCACGCCAGCGGTCCGGAGACTACGGCCTCGTGTATGAATCGAGCATAGCCAGGGTGGCGGAAGTAGAGCGATGTCAGGTTGGCAAAGTTGACAATAACCAACAGCTCAGCCCAGCCGAAGTAGCTGCGCACAAAAAGCATGACAAAGGCGAAGTGGAAAAGGTTGTTGAGGATGAAGTGGCTCCCAACAGCGCAAGCAGCGTTGAGCTTCTCAGCGTCTCCAGACCACAGATGGACGATATAACCTCCCTGAAGCACAAAAAGTACAATCCTATACCCAGAGGTTAGCCTGCCATTGAGAGGTCTAGCTTGGGGGCAGGTCTCTTTCTACTGACCAGTAGATGCTCGCAATGATGTGGTTCATCCGGAACGCCGTAGGGTATAAGTCGTTCTGCTCCCAGATCGTATGCCATTGCCAAGCGCCATCATGAGGTCTGTTGAAGGTGTAGTAGAAGCTGACGATGATGGAAAGCAGCCAGGTTACGATTGTGAGGATTTTGTACGTGAGGATCGAGTTCTTGCTATGAGAGTCGCGCTTGGCGAAGGGGTTAACTATCAGTCGATTAGCTGTTGGATCGCCCAAAGTCGAGCATAACAAACGGCTAGAGTCAGGGGTGAAAGTTAAAGTATATAGTACATACTCTGATGTGCCCGCTCCATATTGGCGGGTTGGAATGCGCGCTGTACGTCAAGAAGTCACAAATCTTAGATGAACCAGCTGTGTTGCGTTCGTAGCGATGATTTAGGTGAAGCAAAGAAAGTAGAAGGGGATAGGACAAAGTCGACACAGATGTTTTAAAGGTCCAGTAGGATCGTGCTTCAGTCGTATTGATGTACTAGTGGGGTCAATGCTGGTGCATGTACTTGCGGGGAAGTGACACGAAACAGTGACGTCCGGCGGCGCATCTTTGCATCTTGGGTGGTGAACGGAAAAGCAGGAAAGTTGGATGATCTTCCCTGAGCCTTGCACTGGTTTAGGTAGGTCAACTCGCAGTTCGCTAATGTGTCACTTGTGGCCTTGACCGTTCGAGGTAGACCCTGTCCTGTTTACTGGGGCTTTGTATGCAACGCTTCAACAGGTGTTTCTCTGGCTGTTAGGAATTCACTTGTTTTTGTGCCTGCATTGGAATGGGACTTCGCATGGGTGAAGCCTCGGGCTAGCATTCTAGTTTGCATTCAGCCAGACCAGTGTGTCTTTCTCACAGAGGCTTTCGCAAACATCTGGCTGGTGCCCCAGGCTCAGACGAAACCAGCGTCACAGGGCCTCCCGAGCACCATCCTTCGTCATACCTGTCTCCATAGGCGAATCAGCTGTTAGTAGGACGACAAAAGAGGCACAGAGCTCGCGCGGCCCTTGTCAAATGGCATACGCGCCTAGCGTGCAGTGGATTAGTGCCAGGGAGCTAGGTGACAATTGGGACACTTCCTCCCGCGTATTACCTCGCCCAAAGACTCAAATTAGGTCGCTGGGCGACGATCGAGATTGCCACCCAGCCTGAGTGGATCACGAGGCCGATGAAGTCAGCCGCCAACCGCAGTCGAGTAACATTGCGAACATGGTTAACGAGCCGATTTCCATGCTGTTAAGGCAACGATATCTGTGGCTCGGCCGTCTCCTACTCTGACTATCCTGTTGTGACCCATTGTATAACCCGCTAATAAGTTACAATCTCCCGGGTGGTGTCAATCTCGAGGTTCATGTTAACCTGGACCAAGTCAATCAGTACTCTCTCTAAGAGTCAAAGCTGTGAGATACACTTCAAGGATGTTTAGGAGGACTTCCTCCGGGTCCTGTGCCGAGCGTTTTCCTGCGAACAAAATCCTGCGAGAACGCCGCATTGCGGGGACTTTGATCAACAGGATACAAGGGTACGTAGCGCCTGCAGGATCCCTGGTGCCGATCCTCTAAGTTCCAATGGGCTGGGCAGACAAACTCACCAGGCAAGGACAAGGCACGCAACATCGCCTCCACGTCGCACCGTATCTCCTTTTCGCATAATCTAAATCAGACGTATTTATCCAGGACACGCAGCATTCCCTCTAAAATATATGTATAGGTCGTTCTCTCTTCCCCTCTTCACCTTGCACATCATAGTAATCAATCAGGAGCGTCAGTGATTGGCTTTGGTAGGCCTTACAGTTCTAGCATTAATTGGGTGGCATAGAATTGACAAGTCGTATAATCCTAACGAACGCCGCCACAGTGGACTTGCTTCAAGTCTCTGACTGCTCCAACCAGCACAGACCAGAAGTATACCCAAGCTATGTCAGTTGACATGGGTGTCAACTTCACATGACCTTGCCCTTCAAGAACATAAGTTAAGCTGGGCAGGCTGGACTTTCAAATCCTGCTTTCTTTAGGAGATTGCTCCGTTCAAGAGTTCTGAGCCGATATATATATTTATATATATTATTAAGTATTACAAAAGAATCCAATTTTAAGTAAAGCCTATTCGAGTGTGGTGAATCATCATTAATTCCTAGTGTTATGTTCGCTACAATCAACAAGGCACATTTGTTCTTAATGATTGACACTCTCCTGGCAGTTGTCTTGCATAGTTTATCATAGCATCAAGGAGTCAAGAGAATGCCTGATGTAAGGATGGGTACTAGGAACTAGCTCAACAACGGGATGATAGAAAGAAATGGTTCATGTTTATGTGGTGTCAGTATTGAAGTTGCTACACGCCATCTCCACCTCCAATGAACAACGCGAGGTCACAATGATCTTATTCATGAAGCCTGAAGCCAAAGATATATCTCATAGCCTCCGGGTACTACCCGATAGCACATAATTTGTATTCACTCATCAATGAGCGCCTGCGATCCACTGGAAATTGCAATATTACCAGTTTGGACAACGTCCGACTCATAGTGTATAGATGCGTGTCAGAAAAATCAGCTCACAATCAGTTGTAAATCTCTGTGGGATAACTACTTCGAATGAGATGGCCTCGTTACGGGCTGTACCGTTTGTCGGCGTGCCAGCAGTCTGGGTAGCTGCTCTCAGGGGCTTATATGGTCCCAGTCAGATCGAGCATTAAGACGCCATGAACGTGTCTTTCCTAGCCAGTAGGTCAGATCTGCTTTGGCAGTTACTGCGGCAAACGGAGGTCAGCAGTCTCCACGGCTGATTCAAAACGCAGATTTATTATCCGTGCTGAATAGAATAATCAGCAACCCGAAACAGCAATCAGCCATCAACGAACAGCAACACATCCTAATTGGGAACAATCAGAGTTTTCAGATCAGCAAACCCTCGGGCGACTCCCAGGTAAATATTTAAATCACGTCTTGGCACCCTCCACGCCTTTCCTTTCCCACCGTCAGCGCAGAAGCAGTTCACCAGCTTCTTCATCAAACCTTCAGCAAAGTCGTGTTGCGGTGAGTGAATTTTAATCATGAACATCTCCTACGTCTATCACCATTATATTCTCGTACCCTCACTTTCTTGGACGGCTGTCACCACATCGAATACACATCCCATCTTCTATATCACAGCATCTTGTCTCCGTCATGTTTCATATCCGACGCTTCATTTCATTTTTGTTGTCCTTGTTGCAAACGCGCACCTCCGGGCTCACATTTTCGCGTTATATTTTACATTTCTTGTAATTTTTACATCATCGATAATTGCCTTAACATCACCACAATATCCCCCTCCCTCCAGCCATGTGACAATGCTGGCCAAACTTCCATGTCACTGACACTATGAATTTTTAGGCTCGCGCTTTGAGGGCGTCGGACGGTACGAGTCGTGGACGGAAGGCTAGGACACTGGGACCGGAAGAAACACGACAGCCACCCCGCAAGAGCTCACACAAACCCTTTGCCGTTGATGAGTCCCCCGGGGGGTCCCTGGACCTCAGCTAGCTGGGAGTCAATGCTCGGTGTGTTCCGTCCCTCCAAGAAGTTACGTGAGCTTTAAGTATCCCTTCGATGACTTTGTCATACTGGGGCAACTCGGTGGAGTGCAACTACGAAGGGCTAGGAACGTTTCGACTTGGTTGGGAAATAGGTCTGCAGAAGCGGCGTACTGTCGTTGCCAGTGATTACGCCGTGGAGCCGGGTGGTTTGTTGTGAACTGACAGATTGCGTTCTAGGTCTACATATGGTCTCTGCCGTGGCCTGGGATCCTGAACTTACACTGCCTTCAGGGTCCTTACGGCGAAACTACCTCTTTTTTTCATTGCACGCTTCCCTTGAGGCTGTGAAGAAGAATAATGCCTTGTTCTAAGGCCTAGGATCAGGAGCACCAAACCCGGAGGACGATAGTATCTCATCTTCAACCCGAATTACGCATGTCCTATGGGTAATCAAGGTACTAGATAAGCTGGTCTCCCCGCTGAATTCCATTGACTTTTACACATCGACCGTGAGACGGAGGTTATTGTAGTTTTAAATAGAGAGCCATTAATTGCGATGCATGCTTTGGGGAAGTGCTGCCCTCATTCACTTGGTACGGGAACCGGCATACTGTACTGCAACATAAACAGCTAAGTTCATCTTGGGCCCATGAAATCAATTGTTCTAGCTCTACCTTATAAAACTACCGATGGTATCTGGAAATGTAGACGAAGAGGCAACCCCAAACTCCAAAAAAGCTCTATCTTTTTGTTGCCCATATGCTGATCCCCAGTAAAAGCATGTCAAGAAAACTCGTCATTCATTCCACCGAAACGGCGAACTTGCTCAGACTCCTCAACCGCGCCCCGAAGAAGTACAGGAGCCAGATGCCTGCAATGCCGATGGTGCTCAGACCACCCAGCAAGGTCGTACCCCGAGCGACGCCCAAGTTCGCAAACAGGGGCTTCGCAAACAGAATGCTGGCGAACGCGAGCGCGCTGCGGAAGAAGTCGTTGCCGGCGAACAAGCTTGCAGCATATTGGGGATAGCTCAGCGGAACGTACACGAAGATGCATTGCATAACAACGAACACGGTCGCGCCGTAGATGGTGATGCCGATGGTAGGGGCGATCCAGTGGATATCGGGTCGCGCGGTCCACGCAAAGATGAACAAACCGATTGTCGGACCAAAGGCCGCGATCAGCGCCGGGATTAAGCGTGACTCCTGGATAGGGTAGCCCTTGGCGACAATGCGTGGGTTCATGTAGAAGTAAAGGTATGAAAGGTATACGGTGACGCCGAGCAAGCAGGCAACGAGGATACACAGAAAGACCAGCCCGACCTGTCCGTAGCCCATCCCATAGTAGACTGGGTAGACGAGCGGAAAGACTTCAAAGAAGCTATAATAGATACCATATATGATCGCAGTATATAGTTGGACGAACAGAATAGCAGGATCCTTGATTGTGATTTCGATCGGCTTGATCAGGGCGTCAATGACCACCGCTCGTTTGTCAAGATTCTGCTGATCAATTTCAGATTGTGACATGAATCGATCCGAGCCTGTGAGCTTGCGCAGGCGCTGGGCACGCTGCAGCAGTAGAGTCGGTGTCGACGTCTCCGGCAGAAACAGAAACATTGCGATAAACACCGGCGCGGCTGCCCAGATGATTTCCAATAGAGACCATCTCCAACCCATAACGGGAACAGAGAAGCCAGATAGGAGCGGACCCAGAGCAGGTCCGTTATAAGCGGCCGAAACCCAAGCAGTCAAAGCGTAAGGTACAGAGAGCATCGAGTACATATCAGACAGCGAGGCGGCGCCGTTGGCGAGACATGGCGACCCGAAAAGGCCTTGCAAGAAGCGGAGGACCATCAGGCCCGGGTAGTTGGTCACGAGCGCCGTGGGAATCGAGATGATAACGAACAAGAACATAGTCCAGATGTAGACTGGGTTCCGGCCGATCGAGGGCAGCTCGCTCAGAGGCGAGAACAGCAAGGGACCAATGCCGTAACCCAAGACGAACAGGGCCAGACCCAGCGATGCCTTGGTGTCGTCGACGCCGAACTCGTGCATGACGCCCTCCTCCGATGTGGTATAGATGGCCGACGATGTATACACGACAAAAGTGTACAAACAGATGATGAGTGTGATCATAGCCCGGCGCATATCGCTCCAGTTCTGAGGGTTGGCGGGATCATCCGTGAAATACCAATCAACTAGGATTGCGCCATCCTTGGTCTTTCGGGGTGTGATGGGGATCGACTTTGTCTTTTCGAGCTCGTGCTGCTGCTCGATATCGAAACGGTGTTGGGCAACGGAGATTGTATCCTGGTTGGCGCTCCTCGACCGTGTGAGTGCGGCTGGGCTGGTTGATACCGAGGCCCTAGTATCTGCCTGGTTGTTGTCGCTGTCGTCCGTGGAGGATGAAAGGGTACTAGAGGACCTGCTGCCATCGAATGCTGAGGGTGATGTTGTCCCTTTCGATTCATCGTTCAGGAGCCTGGTCCACGGCTCTGGTAGCTCGAAGTTTGGTTGCTCTTCGGGGTATCTCAGGACTCGGTTTCTGGTGATGAGGCGGATCAACTGCCCTACAGGGGCTTCTCTGAGGAATGACGACATGTTTTTGTTTTTCGCCTGAGGCGTGCCACGAGTATACTTGACGATTATGGTTCGTGAGAAAGAACCAAGTTGTAATACTCAATCCAAGGGCGGGCCTTGATAATGTCCAACAGCGATGGAAGCTTGCTCGTCGCCGGACAATTGCCCCAAGTATAGGACTGTTCTATGAAATGACTTGACTGATCTCATCTTGACTTGGAATAGACGACACCTTATATAACCATGAAGCACCAAAAGAATGATTCTAGACATCGCGGATATTAGCACCTTGTTTCCATGCTGACATTTGCGATCACTGATACGGAACATACACTAGCGCCAAGATTCCATATAGCTTGTTGGGACCGGTCGAACTATGTTCGGCGATTACCAAGCGGCGAATGTAAGAGAAGCTGAAGAGTCAGAGCGGGAGACTAGCGCCATCCATTGTAGGGTCGGAGCTACAGAAAAGGACAGGAGGGCTTGAGATACAGTTCACCTTATCAGATTTCCTGTTTCAACGCTGACGTTACCCAACTGACAATTACACCATGCAAAGGCAAATGATGCGAATGGCACAATTAGAAAAGACGATCAAGTATGGCGACACGATATCTGTTATCAGGTATATTTTCAAACATGACGAGCAATCTTGTCTGAGTAACCTCCAAGAAGACCATCTAACTGCTACTAGGTACATCGGCCTTACTCTGCCCACTTACATACATCCCCACGGTAGCATCCGCATCAGCAAGATTTTCCAACACACCCGGGCTTTAGCGTTAGTCAGTTGCGTTAAGCTGGGACGGATTTATCAGCGCCAAGACTTCCAGGCAGGTATAGACAATGGTGATTGGCCACAGCTGTCGCAATGCTTAACGAGGGGTTGGAGTCCAGCGTGGCTCAAAGTTTGCAATACCTAAATTGCATCATCCTTGGCGCCTAACGTGCGCAAACTCCGTGGAAGGTGCCCTACAGCAGGGCTTATAAATCCGATCCTCCTCCGGAGATAGTAATACTATCGAACGAATTGAGGGATTGCCAGTCTTGTGTCAAGGTATCTCGGATGAGATAGTTGAGTCATCCACCTTTTATCTCCTCGCTCAAAAAAGCACCATTAGTATTCAGAGTCTTCTTCTTTCTCTTTGGGATAGTCGTATAGGGTACGTTAGTAAATACCGTGAATCAATGGCCCAGGCCGCCCCCTACTTCGTTGTTTTATGCCTTGGGTAAATTCCGCTAGAATACAATACATACTGCGATTAAAGGGAAACCGGTGTGCCAGTCCACCGCTTGCATCGCAACTGAATCTTACGATAGCTAGCAAATCTACACAGTAATCGACGGAGATAAGAGGAGAAGCTCCAAGTGTTGGCGGATGTTGTACGTCAGGACTAGTCATGCTGCATGTGGGCCATTATTTCTCGATGTGACTAAGTTAGGCTACCGACAACTCGGGGGCTTTTTCATGTGTTTCAGCTCCCAGCAGGACTACATTTGTAATACTGTCACCCGCTTTAGAACTCAACTTCTGCTGCCGTTTTCGCTCCACCTCCCTGATCAGGGTCTGCACATCGGACTCAATGTTATGCATGCCCCTTCTCTTGCATTCGGTGAAGAGAGCCTGCGCTCGATTATCTTCCGCCAGAATGCACCGCCTGAGAAGAGCCAATGCTGTTCCCTTGTCGATCCACCAGTTGTTTGGCTGACCGTCTGTCTCGCACGACCTCATTGCTTCGAGATACCGGAATGCTGGCTCATAGTTCTCAGACAGCGTGCTGATAAGTATAATCTGACTGTAAATAGCCTCATTGGGCTTCACAGAGAAGACCTCCATTTCAGCTATGAGGAACCTCATGGATCTTGGCACAGAACACCTGTTGAAAAGTAGGCCGAAGGTACTAACGTCTGGGGTTTCGGAGCAGACGTGCCGCACGGCGCGGTAGAAGTCCAGTCCAGCCTTGAATCCTCGTCGGGCCAATATCGCTTCAAGCACTGTGTTGAAGGCTGCGATTGGAATGTCGTAGTCATTGCTCAGATCACGGAGCATCGCAACAGCTTCATCCGTGTGCTCTGGAGACTGCCGCAACTGTAAAAAGATTGGGCGGGTGCTGGACAGGTCCGGCTGCAAGCCGGCTTTCTTCATGAGGCAGAGCGTGAGAAATGCCTTTCGTAACTCGTTGCCTCGAGCCTGTATCTCCAATAGAGGCTCAAAGTGGTGTAAGCCAAGCTTACGCCCCCGGGCTGACAGGGTTTTGATAATATACGAAGCCATTTGGGCGTCTCCGTGCCTTGCAGCAGTGTTGAGCACGTTGATTGCCATGCCATCAGAGGGCACGATGATTCCTGGCACCACCATACGATTCCATATGTAGCTTACACCTTCATAGAACGCATCCCGGCTATAAACGTCCAGAAGGAAGTACCACATACTTAAAGCTCGTGATCCTTTCCTACTGTTCATGGTGTGCTGCATGATGGTGAGCGACTCCTCATGGAAGCCTCGTTCTCCCAGAATATATATAAAGGCGTCGTTGACCCATCGGGGATATTGCATATCGTGTTGATGAAAGTACTCTAGGCGATCGAGGGCCAACTCGAATTGGCCATCACGAAGAAGGCCTCCGGCGATGGAGGCAATTCCACGAAATGTCGGCTCTATCCAGGCGGCTTTCATGTCATTGAGAACCTTATTGCGAAGGACATAGTCTGGGTGCACGGCCAAAACCTAGGGGTATCATCAGTTCAAGTACTCCTCTGGCATCTTATGGAGGGCACCAACATTCAAGGCAACATGGAATGTGGCACTTGTCGGGGAAATCCCTTCCGATTCCATCTCTTTGAATATTTTGGCGACAGCTGAGGCCGAACCGTATCTGCGGTCTACGTTGGCATTGATGAGACAAGTGTATAGAAATACATCAGGCTTCATGAGACGCTTGGTCACCAGGTAGTGCACCATGTCGCAGATGGTATGGTACTGGTTCTCGAGGTTCGTTACTTCTCTGAGGGTATCGACGATCTTCTCGGTCGGGACGGTGTCGAGGGATTCGTCGAGCGAGCCTCGGCGTAGCATTGGAAGAGGAAGATGGGAGTTCCGCCTCCAAAGTCGAAAGAGGGACCTGTGGTAGTTGATTTCCGCATATTCTTTGGACGACGCATATCTCTGACGCTGACGCCTGTGAGGCTCTTTCTCTGCCCCTTCTAGCTCCTCCGAAGACACCGGGCCCCTCAAGTCGTAAGACCGCGGTACCGCTGCCCTGTAGGCTCGGGCACGCAAAGATGGTGATTTCACGACCGCGCGCGCTTGGTGAACTGCGCTTGGCCGATTTCGCGACGCCAAGGGCGCTCGCAAAGCTCTCGACAAGGCATCGGCATCGACGGAGGGACACAGACAGCGCCAAAGGCCGTCAAACACGATGCGCTCGCCTGGCATTGCAGTCCATGACCCGTGGGCGCCGAGTGGTTGGCAATCTGGCGTTGTCCCAAATTTTGATGTTGGTCGATTCGGGGATTGGAGATAGCCTCGTTTGGAGTCGCTTATCGATAATCACGTGATGCCCCGACACGGTGACCATCCATGTCGAGTCTCTTGCCGCGCTTTCAGGACCCGGTCGCAGAGTTTCCAGGCCGCCCAATGCGGTATGTTAGTTACACAGGTACGTGAAGACAGTGTCACAATAATTGTACAGAGCAAAGATGGCTTAACATGTGGCCTCATCGTATTGATGAGGGGACCCGACCTTGGTCGACTCACGCTAAGTAACTACAAGTCGATGCATCGTAGAGCGTGCACCTGTGCCGTACCGTCCCGTCCCGTCTCGTTGTGCTGTTCGACTCTGTGCGCAAGCGCGCACCCTGGGTATCTCTAACACTTGTGCCCAAGACAGATTTACCTCGAGATATTGGCGTTTGCAGCAGACTGGGCGACGGTGGCCTTCTCCACTGACGGAGGCGCTTTTTTTGCTCGGGTTGCTCTCGTGTTCCGCTGTATTCGCTCCCGTGCCGGGCTCATGATCCTCTATCTCCTCCTCCTCCTCCACCACGTCCACGCCCTCTTCCTCTACCCTGGCCCCGGCCACCACGGCCGCCTCTGTCGCCGCCGCGGCCGCCGTGATCTCCTCTTGAGCCCCCTCGGCCTCCTCTGAAGTTGCCTTGCTGCCCTTGCTGTTGTTCCTTGGCGATGTCGATGATCTCATCCGGCACTCTCAGGTATTTGATCTATCGCTCGGTTAGCACCTTTCTCCGAAACGCATAGGGATTTGTGCTGCCACGACGTACATTGTTGCCCTTGACATAGACTTCGGGCAGGCGGACGAACTTGTCGGCTTCCTAGGATTCCATCAGCTTCCGGCGTGCCTCGGGGGAAGGACGGCGACCGCGCATACCGGACTCGTCTGTACCACCTCCTTCAGTGTCAGGTTCATCCACGTGTCGCATTGCACCAGGTGCCCGTTGAGTGTCTCGCCATTCTTGAGTTCGACCAGCATGGGGTGGCCCTGCGCCGCATTCAGGAGCCCAAGCGGCAGCTGTGCAACGACTATTAGCACCCGAGGACTGCCCGGGGATAAAGGCAGGCAAGCTCACCATCTTGAAGCAGTGGCAGCGCTGATGCTGCAATCAAATGTAGGGCGGCGGTGTATGCAATCTGAACCGCGAGCTCGGTGTTGATCGCAGACAAGGCTCGCGAAGCTGGTGATGCAAGCTTCAGTGAATCGTCAATTTCGGTGGGGCAGCTCTGGCCGTCCCGACAGCCTTGCGCCTCAGGCCTAGCACTGAGCCGATACCTAGGTACGTAACGGGGTAGCACAGACCCCACGTCGCCAGGCCTTCAGCACCACAAAGAACTGCACCAAATCTGGAACTCCCTAACGTTGGGTAGGCGCTACGGCGAGTCAACGCACCACTGTCGCCGTCGCCCAGGCCCAATGCCATTTGACCACGGAAATACGCATCGCGGCCATCCTGCCGGGGTATCGATGCCCTCATCAAACGTTCACAAGCACGCACGTACAGCGAGTGGGCTGATTGCGAATGAACTCGCCGACACTGAATTCGCTTATGACTTAGTTGGCCAGCATCATGACAGATCCACCGCCGGTGAAAGCACTCTCTCCAAAGATTACTCTTACTGCATTGTATGCAAGTATATGATGCGGCTCGGTGTCCTGGATGCACACTGCCAGATCTGACGTCGACGTTGGTCTTGTCTCCCAATTTCTGTAGTTTATCCACAGACAAGATCTTCACCCTCTACCATGTACGTACTCCCATAGTGTAGTAGAGACGCGTCCTCCCTTGCTTGCCCACTTGGGGCGGCCTCACCTCTGGGCCAGTTCCAGGTGGGTTAGAGGACTCGTCAGCTAGTTGCCGCTCATTGGCCCGACCAGACCCCACGCAGGAGATGGGCTTGCGCAGCCTCAACTTCCCACCCTCGCTACTGGGTCCTTGATCTGCAGCACGTCGCCCATTTCAATCCCGTTCCTCTGCCCTTCTAGGCATCCATTTCTTGTCTCTCGTTCGGATTTCTCTCTTTTTCCTTGTTATTCTCGCTCACGGGCGTGGTTTCGTAGGCTTGCCCCATTGTCCTGCGGAAACCTGCCGTTCACACGACGAATTAAAGTCTAAGTATCCGTTGGTTGCCTGCACACAATGCACGGCCTTTTACGGGCTGCCGTGTTGCTGGCCCCGGCCTTGGCGACCGGCCTAGCCATCCAGCCAGAGGAAGTCACACCTTCGGCCTTTATCCGACTTGACCTCCCTCATGTTGAGGATGACACGGCCCGGGAGGAAGCCACACTTCGATTAGATGTGCTCAAGGCCGAGGAATCGTGTGGACACGGGAATGTTGCGCTCAACGGCCAATCATTGGCACAGGACTCGGCCGGTCTTGGCGCCGGCTCCATCACCACCGACCAGGGCAGTCTGCTCATCGCCAGCTGGAAGTTTACATGTGTGGATGTGGAGGACCAGCAGAAGGAACAAATGATGGAGCTCAGCGTTGACTTCATTGACGGCAAGGAAGTCAAAGATGTCAGCGTTACCATTCAGTTCCAACAGAGGAGCCCCATGTCGATTTCCTACGTCGACGGCGCCGACTCGGTCATCACAAGTCCTCATCAGCAATATATGCCAGACATGCCAAGCGACGATGGACACAACCCGGAGCTTGAGGCCCATATCGCTGAGTTGGAGGAGATGAAGCTGCAGCTAGTCGAACTTGAGCAAGCGATCTTTATGAAGGTCCAGTTTATGTCCAAGGCATTCGGTTTTCAGGAGAAGTCCTCCAAGGTGACTGAGTGCGACAACCTCAAGTGCATTTTCCTTTCCATGTACGACAGTGTCAAGGGTGTTGCCACGAAGTTCTACGGACACGGCCTGCTTGAAGATAGCTTTGGTGGCCCGCCTGGCAGACCTTTCGGAGGTCACGGCAGGGGTAGGCACGGAAAGCCCGGTGGCCACCACGGCTTTCCCTTCCCTCATCACGGCAACCACACCCATGGTAACCACACCTTCCCACCGCCGCCACCCCATGGAAAGCCTCACTTCCCCCCGCCATTCTGCCACTGTGAGCCTCCGCCTCCACCCCCTCACGGCCCTCACCATGGTCCTCCCCATGGTGGCCCCGACCGGCATCATGGCCCGCCGCCTCCTCATCACGGCCCTCCCCATGGGGGCCCTGAAGGCCACCACGGCGGTCCCCCGCCTCCCGATCATGGCCCTGGAAAGAAACCTCATAACGGAGAGGAGAGGCCTCCATTTGGACACCACTTTGATGGCCCGCCGCCACCGCCCCATGGGGAGCCCGAGGACCTCCCTGGCCGACCCGGCGCAGACGGTCCACCTCCGCCGCCATTTGAAGCTGGAGAGCCCGGTCAAGAACACCCTCTCCATGCTCCTGAAGGCGATCGACCCCCTCCTCCCCATTTTGAGGGAGACCACCCGCCTTTCCACGGCTTCGGTAGCCACCACCACCCACCACCTCCACCACACGTCAGTAGTTGAAAGCCTTTTATTTTAATCAAAAGTCATGCTAACTTCTTCTAGGGTCTTGATTTCCACCAGCTAGCCCAGTCAGCTCCCTTGTTGCGTGTCTTTGCTGTGGTGGTGACACTTGGTCTTTTGGTTGTCGCCCTTCACACTCGATGCTGCACGTCTCGCCGCAGCGAGCGCCGCCAGTGTCGTGAGCGCCGCGCTGCGAAGCGTGCTGCCATCAAGGCCAAACTCGCTAGCTTGATCCAGCGCCTTAAGAACATGGCAAACCGCAACAGCGATGACGAGGAGAAGGAAGCGATCATGCGCCGCATCCACGCAGAAGATAACGATGACTCAGACGCTGTCTCTACGACTATGGAGCAGGATATTGAGCAGTTCAGAAATGCAGCCGACGTGGTCAGTGATATGGTGGCTGCTGAGGAGGGCCGAGCGAGACAGGAGATGGCCCAATACGCGATGCCAGTACCCCCCAGCCCTCACTCAGCTTTCCCTGACTATTTGTCGGTAGACGAAGCCCTGCCTGCGTACGATGAGGGTTCAGACGACTCGAGCTACGTGGCCGATGGTATTCGGTATTCTCCGGGAAATAGCTCATACACACCTAGCATAAGCTCACAGGAGAGCTCGCTTGATGAGCACTTGGGGCGGAAGAATTAAATTACCTGGGTTTTCTTTAAGGAGTAGAGGATGGCCGTGCAATGGGGTCAAGGCCAAGACATAAAGAAGTACAATTTCCTAAGTTTTTAATTCGCATTTGTGGTTATCATGGCCTAGGGGGCTTGGGCATTGTATTACATTTTAGCAAGACGAGGATTGGAGTGCATCTTGGTCAAAGCCTTCGTATCTGGGGTTTCTTAGTCTACCAAATAATGCCTAAGATTGCCATGTGCAAGCTCAGTAGGTCCACTTGAATAGATACCCATTCAAATATACATAACTTTTGGCCGCTCATTGAACAATTGTTTGAACAAGTTTGAATGTGACCAGATATCCTTACCTGAAGTGTTTGCCCTTGGACATACGAGCTATGGCTTCTTGATCCGTTGTATTAAACTATCATATTGCGGCTTGCGACGTGATTTTGGAGGACGCTACGCCCTCGAGCTTCCCGAGGTCGCCAGGATGTCTTATAGGTATTACTTGTCCAGTCACGTCCTAGTACGCGCCTCTCTCTCATCACTCCGATATTCAATGGAAACAACGTCTATAGACTAATAGCCAACGATGGTCATCTACTTATATATGTACCAAGCCCTGACTACAAACTTGTGACTGCTGGCTAAGCCACTCCGAAGAGCTCTTGCTACCTTCTGGGTCCCTTGGTTGTCTTTGTTTCTTGATCTCCTGTTGCTACATATGCCAGCGTTCTAGTTGGCGTGTATACTATCAAATTTTGCTGCCTTGTTGCCCTCTCAAGTTGCGAGCAGGCCAACGATAATTTGGGGGCGAAGCCAAGGCTGCATCACAGTACAAGTTACAGCCCTTACCTAACCTAGTTTGATGCAAGCATGGGACTTCTGCGCAATGGCTGCCCTACAGATGACCCAACAGCCGTTAACTCACATACAGGCGGCCGCAGAAGAGGCGGCCACCCTGCGATCTGCCGCCCCCGCCGGCCCGCTCTGGGTGCGCAAGCGTGCGTACCTGTAGGAATACTGGAGACGATGGGTCTGGACCAGGAAGTTAGCCGCCGGCTCGTGAAGAGCACTGCGGGAAATGGCGAATCAGCGTCCAAACAACGACACCCACGGTTCCTACTGTGCCTTCGCTTGCATAAGCGGCTCCTGAGACTGCGAAAACCAGGCCGTGATATAACATAGTATGGAGCAGGATTGGCAGACTCCGAGAGGTGCGTGTTGGCGGGAAAACTCGATTGCTAGTAGGGAGGTGTGCCCCATGGGTGAGATTTCAAGAGTGAAGTTGCACAGCAGCACGATGGCTTACATTGATAATGCGCGATTCAACGCCACAACGTTCCTGTCAGGTTGTGCCTGAAGTAAGGGCTGCATCTTGCATAAGAACCCAATGGCTCAACACCTACCTATCCCACCCAAAGTGCTGGTGAGATTGGGCAGGCATGTCATTTGCCTGACAACTCAATGAGATGACCCCATAAGACACCCTGTCCTGCGCCAGATGTGACACCACTGGGCTTAATTTCAAGAGTCCCCCAACGGCCCGGATCAAAGAAAAGCATCGGCTCTGCGTTCCTTGCTACACTGGCAGCTTTCTCGCAGCATCCTAAAACACAAACAATAGTAGCTTCACTGAGAAAGACGACGGTCATATAATCCTAGCCCCCGGGGTAGTATCGAAGGTCCCTAGGGTATGGTTGGGAGTTGTCCGTCTTCTCAATGTCAGCCTGCAGGGAAGACCCCGCGAGAGCTACAGGGCCCCAGGGCTCTCTGACCGGGGGCGACGCCAACTCGCCTCCAGCCAGGCAGCCTGCCAGCGGTTAACTTTGCTATGCCATTCCCAATATATTTGACTGCCTGCGGATCGCGGTAGCAAGGGCCGCGCAATACGTGGGCTTTTTATGCGTCAGTCGCTTGCGGAGTGCGTAAGATAGTCTTGTTTGGGTTCCCAAGCCAGGCGCTCATAATCGGGCGGCCACCCCTGATCGCGGCAACATTTCTTCAGCGGAGGCCTATCCTGTCCTGTCACCTCGTGCAAGACCACCTGCAACGACAGCTTGCCCCTGCTACGGTGCCGTCATCTCGGGTTCCACTGCACACACCTCTCCGGGCACCGTCCCGCTTGCACCTTTCACCGACAGCATGCTCTCAATGCTCAGACTCTGTCTCACTTGCGACTGAGCCAACCCACCACATACACCGACCTCATTCGACTCCGTGTCGACTGCAGAGCGACTTCAGCAAGAAAGTACCGCTCGTTGCGCCGGCCATCAGCTCGACCGATAGACCCCACCCCCACTGCCCCACGATACCCGACCACCTCGACCACCTACCTGCTGTTGAGAGACATACCCCGACGACGACGCCCACGCGCTCATGAGAAGACACACCCAGCAAGCGAGCTTCGAGAGCGTCTAACAAACTGGGACTTCGGGAGATAAGCGCAACTGCCAATACCCAGGGCTAGCAGGCTCACCGCATCTTGCCCAGCATGACGCAGGTGCCGATGATTTCGGTGCCGCTCAAGGCCACGAACGAGATCGACTGGGTGACCCCTCTCAAGACATACATCCGGGACACCTATGGGGATGACCCTGAGCGCTATGCCGAGGAATGCGCAACCCTGAACCGGCTGCGCCAGGACATGAGGGGCGCTGGCAAGGACAGCACAGCAGGGCGGGATCTGTTATATCGTTATTACGGCCAGCTCGAGCTGCTGGACCTACGGTTTCCCGTTGACGAGCAGCACATCAAGATATCTTTCACTTGGTACGCCTTTGAATCATCCTACCAAAGGCTCTGTCGGGGATCTGACGTGCTGACTTTCTGCCTGTTCTAGGTTCGACGCATTCACACACAAGTCGACGGCGCAATACTCCCTAGCTTTTGAGAAGGCTTCCGTCATATTCAATATCTCTGCTGTACTATCCTGCCATGCTGCCAACCAGACGAGATCTGAGGAGGCGGGCCTCAAGGCTGCCTACCACTCCTTCCAGGCTTCCGCTGGCATGTTTACTTACATCAACGAGAATTTCCTGCATGCCCCATCGTCTGACTTGAGCAGGGAAACTGTGAAGACCCTAATCAGCATTACGCTGGCCCAAGCACAGGAGGTGTTTCTGGAGAAGCAAGTGGCGGATAACAAAAAGGTCGGAATGCTGGCCAAGCTCGCCGGCCAGGCAGCTTATCTCTACTCTCAAGCTCTCGAGGGCGTCCAAGAGAACGTCAACAAAGCCATTTTCGAAAAAGTCTGGCTACTGTTCGTGCAGGTGCGTGAACGATTCCCGAGGCTGACCTCGATGGTCTGGGAATATATTCCCTGACTAGGCGCTTGGCCGAATTGACTGACGCTGATGTAGATCAAATACAACTTACTAGCGTCTCAGTCACAATACTATCAAGCTCTGGCTGATGACGATGCCAACTCACACGGTGTAGCCGTTGCTCGGCTGAAAGCAGCTGAAGTCCAAGCAAAAGAGGCCAACCGAGTTGCATCCAATTTCCCCAGCTCTATGCCTCCTAGTTCGAATCTGAGCCCCGAGACTGGTGCGCTTCTGGCTGATATTGCCAAGCGGAATCTGACCGCTGTCCAAGAGAAGCTCGGGGAGTTGTCAAAGGACAATGACTACATCTATCACCAGCCAGTCCCTGCCGAAGCCAGCTTAGCACCAGTACCAAAGCTGCCAGCGTCAAAACCTATACCCGTCAGCGAACTTTACGCAGGCCAGGACATTCAACGGATTACAGGGCCCGACCTTTTTGCGAAGATCGTTCCATTAGCTGTCACGGAGTCGGCGAGTCTCTACGACGAAGAGAAAGCCAAACTCGTGCGAGCCGAGTCAGAAAGGGTCGATCTTGCAAATAGTGAGATGGCGGCGAGCCTGGACTATTTGCGCCTGCCTGGGGCACTTCAGGTCTTGAAGGGCGGTGTTGACCAGGACATTCTTCCAGACGAGGACTTCCGGACGTGGTGTGACGATGTAGCCGGCCATGAGAACCCCATCTCCATTTTCGATACCCTCCGGATAGATAAGGACTCCATCGTCAATGCACTCGACAAAAGCTCTAAACAGCTGGACATGGAGGAAAGTGTGTGTGAGAAGATGAGATCAAAATATGAGAGCGAGTGGACACAACAACCAAGCTCCAGGCTCACTACAACCTTGAGAGGAAATATCCGAAATTACAGGGAAGCACTCGACGAGGCATCCAAGAGCGACGGTCAGCTGTATGCTAAATTCAGACAAAATGAGCACGATTTTGAGGAGATGCGGGTCGCTGCGCAGAGTGGTGATGCTGACGCTCTGTTTCAACGTGCTGTCAGTAAAGTTCGGGGCCAGTCGAGTAACGCTACGAGCCCGCTGGGCGGGGAACCCAACTTGCTTGACGCAGATTTTGAAGATGGCAGTCTGAGCGTTGCGGATCAGATCAACCGGGTAGAAGACATCTTGAAGAAGCTGAATCTTATCAAGAGGGAAAGGATCCAGGTGCTCAAGGATCTGAAAGACAAGGTAAGCAGGCTTCACGATAACATCTGAATATGCCCAGAAAGCTTACGTGACCCAGGTGCATAATGATGACATCTCACAAATTCTCATTCTCAACAAGAAGTCGATCCCAAATTACGAGAACCAACTTTTCCAGACCGAGTTGGAAAAATTCCGGCCTCACCAGAACCGCCTGTTACAGGCCAACCACAAGCAATCTTCCCTGATGAAGGAGCTTACCGCCACCTTTAACAACTTGCTCCAGGACAAGCGCGTACGATCTGAACAGAGCAAGTATGAGGCTATCCAACGGCAACGAGCCTCCGTCGTCAACCGATATAAGAGGGCTTACCAGGAGTTTCTGGATCTGGAAGCCGGCCTCCAGAGCGCTAAGAGATGGTATGCGGAAATGAAGGAGACCGTTGACAGTTTGGAGAAGAACGTGGAGACGTTTGTCAACAACCGCCGTTCTGAAGGCGCCCAGCTCCTGACTCAGATTGAGCAAGACAAAGCCACGAACAAGAGCCAACAAGCCGAGGTCGAACGTGAGCGCCTCCGTGGCCTTATGGAACGGATGTCAATGGACCCTGCCTCATCTCCGTCACCTAAACCTGGGTCGACGAGACCCGTTCCATCGCCTCTCAACTTCTCGCAAAACCAGGCAGCGTACCCACCACAGAGCAGCACTCCGCGATATCCTCAGGCATCGTTCAGTGGACAGTACCAGGTTGCTTCTTCGCCTGCTCCATCACAGACTACGTTCCCATCGTACTCTAGTCCGCCGCCAAACCCCTCGTTTGCGTCAACTCCACAACCGCACGCCCAGCAGTATGGACAACAACCTGCTGCCTACAATCCTAGTAGCTGGGGACGAAACCCAGGCCCAACCTCACCGCCGCCGACGCAGACCACCTTTGGTATGGGCGGGCGGGGCCCAGCATCGCCTCCTCCTACACAGGCATCATTCGGCCACACCCAGCCGTACAACACCTATGGCAATCCACAAGCGCAGCAACAATATGGCAACCCACACGCACAGCAACAACCTCAGACTCAATACGTCCCTCCTGGATTCGTACCGCCTCCACCTCCTCCAGGACCCCCGCCGTTGGGACCGCAGCAGACAATGCACTATGCCCAGCAAGGCCAGGAGTATTATGGTCAGCCCCAGAGTGCTGCACCACAAAGTTCTATGTCTAGGAGCGCGCAACCTCAACAATCACAGGATCCATGGGCCGGTTTGAATCAATGGAAGTAGTTGACGAGACGCAGGATCAATGTTCTTCAAATGGGAAATCAGTGGTAGAAACATGCAGCGAAGCGAGTCGATGGGACTGCACCTAGAGTGCATTTGGCACCATGCCAGTTGACTTTGTCGGGGATCCCCAAGTAGCAATTTGTCGCCTGGACCAAGCAGTGGCATGAGGACTATCTGTGAATAAGAAAATTTATATGCCATACTTGATGAGACGACCAGTAATGAGCAAGACTTGTTGAAAGCACAACGTGCTGCTGTGAGTAGCCATGCAAGCACCCAACTAAGCCGCTTCAGTATCAATCCCCAGTTGAAAGTAGGCGAATCAACGCTCTCGGTTTCTGAAGCACCCCGGCCGGCGGGCACTGCCGATCATCGTTATACTCGCGCGAAACGTGGTGCGTCGGCCTAGGCCAAATGATCCGAGACGCAGCAGAGGGAAGGAGACGATACAATCCAAGCTCTGATTCCGACTATCTAGCTGAACCAATGACCAAACGTCATCACTTTGGCACCCATTCGCATTCGCAAAGCCGCGGACTACGCTAGTCGGCCGATCGGGCGGACTGCTGCCCGTGGATTTCGAGTTAAGCCGAGTCTTAACTCCACGCCGCATTGCCCAGCTAAGTCCGAGGCCCCCCGTTAAAATCTTCCCTAATGACTACCTGCACAGTAGGGGAGATCTCGGGGTAGAAGTCCAGCCAGCCTTATTACAGGGTCAATCAAATGCATGAGTGCTTTGCCGCAGGCTACCACTGGCATACGACAGGCACCGCATTCTCGCATTGCCCGGAATCCGCTGCTGACAACATATCCCTTCGTTTACATATAACACAGAACAGCCCCCGTGCCTCACGAGCCGCTTTTCTGCCTGTCGTGTCTGTCATTGACCACCAATGCATTCTATGTTCCGCCTGCTCTCCCGAAGAGGCTTTCGATTTCACTCGAAGATAAATAAAAGTTTCAAGACTCAGAGAGCATCCGTCGGCGGGGCCACCACCCTCGCTGCGCTGCCGGTAGCCATGTTTGCAACCTCCGTCTCCCAACCCGGCCACTTGGGGCCGGTGCCAGAAGACGCCGATCAGAAGAGCCACCACGTGAAGAACCTTTGGGGGAATACCTCCAAGTTCACAAACCCTCATGATTCATTCAGAGAGCCGGCTCGTTGGGACATCTTCGGTTTGTTATTGTAAGCTTTGACTCGAGATCCGACGGACCACAATCGTCTCTTTCTAGTCTCAGGACTGACACCTCGGTAGCGGGAAGCTCACTGGGCTCGGGGGTTGGCCAGAACCAACAGGCGCCGAGATTTCGGTCGTGGCGCCGGAACTGCTGCCGACGAGGACTGAGGGCCACGGCTCAGCCAACAAAGCGCTGCGCGCAACCTGGCTTGGCCACGCCTGTTACTACGTGGAATTCCCGTCGGGGCTGCGCGTACTCTTCGACCCCGTGTTCGAGGAGTGCTGCGCCCCTATTAACGCAGATACCTTCCGGCGCTACACCAAGCCTGCCTGCGCAATCGCGGATCTACCCTTTGTTGACGCTGTCATTATCAGCCACAGCCACTACGACCACCTCAGCTACCCGACGGTCCAGGAGATCCGCAATCATTTCCCACAGGCCCACTATTTCGTCGGCCTGGGACTGCGCAGCTGGTTCGAGAAGAGCGGTATCACCAAGGTAACGGAGCTGGACTGGTGGGAAGATGTCGAGCTTACCTTGACGCCTCAGGGGCTTGCTGAGGCGGACAGGGCAGGGGTTGTCGCTTCTGCGTCCTCCGCGGCGACGCCTGAGAAAGGCATGTCGACCTCAAACCCCATCACGGCCCGCATCTCATGCCTCCCGTGTCAGCACAACTCGGGTCGCGGCCCGTTTGACGCCGGCAAAACGCTGTGGTGCAGCTGGGCCGTCTCGTCGGCCTCGGGCACCCCGGCACAGCCCGAGAACACGAAGTCCGTCTGGTTCGGCGGCGACACCGGGTACCGCACCGTCCCCAAGGTGGCGCCCCATGAGGACGACTGGGAGCCGCCGTACGACAAGCTGCCCGTCAACCCGCAGTTTGCCCAGATCGGCCGGCTGCGCGGGCCGTTCGACCTCGGGCTGATACCCATCGGCGCCTACGCGCCGCGCCACGTCTTCAGCAGCGTCCACGGCAATCCGTACGACGCTGTGGAGATGTTCCGGGACACCAAGTCGAAGAGGGCCATGGGCATCCACTGGGGCACGTGGCTGCTCACTCCGGAGGAGGTCGTCGAGCCGCCAAGGCTGCTGAAGAAGGCCCTGAAGCGGAGAGGCATTGCTGAGGAGGGCGTGTTTGACGTCTGCAATGTAGGCGAGACGAGGGAGTTCTGATATGGTAGCAGCATTCTCGACGGGACCCTGCACTCCTCGAGAGGTTGAGCGAGGGCTGCACTGAGTCAGGAGTAGAACGGAACGTTGACTGTACTATATATTGCAATGTGTGAGCGTTTTTGCATCAGGAGGCGACAGGCGGCATGTACATAACTTTTTAGACGGATACCCAACTCAGGGGCTTAATCGATTTTCTAGCATATTCATCGAGTCATACCTGCGACTTTGTGGTTGCATGCGTCCTATACCTGAGCATAACTACATATAGATTAGGGAAAACAGAGAGTTTCACCATATTTATTTCGTCGCCGTTGCGCTATAACCGTTTTGAAATGTAGTTTACGTCTGCTTGTTCACTCAAACCTGATCACATACCATATCAGGACTTCATTGGGCCATGAGTGGGTGTGGACGGCTATACCTAGTGACACATTGAGGTTACCAAACAAAGCAGTAAAAAAGTATAGCCCCATGTCTTTGAATCAATTAATTACTCTTTGCTAAACAGGTCATGCTATCTAGCCCTATTTCAACTCAGTTCCAGCCGAAGCGCATCATACTGTACGTAGATGGACGGAGTCAACACCGCGCTCTCCTGTATCAACAACTTGGATTAGCGCAAAATATTGTGAAGGCAAGCAACAGTCTGAACAACGGTAATCCGGCAGAGGGCTTGCTGGGAATTGCTGGAGTGTAGGCAGAAGGACTCACGTAGTTCGTTGCGTTGTACGGCAGACTGAGAACAAGACTGTTCTCGCCAGCTCGCAAAAGATCCGCTGGGAAGTTGAACTTGTGTGCGAGGTTGTAGCAGATGACTGCGGACCGTACGGCACATGAACTACTTTGGTAGTATCTGAGCACGCTCATTAGCAAGAATTCTTAGGTACAAAGGTTCCAACACCTACGGGATGACCCAAGGCTCAAGGTCCTGGCCATTCACGTTGACGGTATATTTCAGATTCGAATGAGGCTCAGAGGCGTTATAGACGTCCGTGTTTCCAGCAGCTGTCTTCGCCCCGGCAAGCTGGACTGTGAAGATACCTGTCGTCTTGGCCTCGCGCTGCTGCTCCTCCAGGTTGAACGTGATGGTCCAGTTGTTGACGTTGCCGTCGCCAACGTACGGCTGCGTGCGGATCGAATTGCCCTTGCCGCCGAAGACGCTCCAGTGGACGTAGTTCAGGTCGGTGGCGACGTCGCTCTCGCCGACCTTGAAGGCGACGCCCTCGGGGAACTCGTCGACAAAATCGTACACCGGCCAGTAGATGCGGTACTCCTCGGGCCGGCGTGGTCGCGTCTCGTCCCGTGCGTACCCGTGCCGGTACTCGCCGCTGCTCTTGTCCGGCGTCCCGATGCGGAAGATCTCGGCGCCGGCGCTCTCCTCGCGCCACGTCACGCTCGCCGTCTGCACCTCGCCCGCCGCGATCACGATGTCGTCCTGCGTGTAGTCTCCGAAGATACCGTCGGCATAGATGGTCAGCCGGTACGTGCCGGCCTTGACGCGTGGAATGGTTGCAGCACCGGTCGCGTCGATCTCAGCCCAGTACTGATATGCCTTAGTGTCGAAGACGTTGTCCTGGAAGTCTATGGCGTTCTGGGCCAGGACGGCGATGGGTTTCTTAGCTTTGCACGGCAGGCTCGCTTCAAGCTGAAATGTGCCTCGTCCTGAAGTCGTCACATAGTTTGGTATGTATTGGGCGATGGAATCATAAAACTCGGCGTTCCAGGAGGGGTCTGCAAATTGGGCTGCATCGGCTTGCGATTCGAGGATGTCTGTGCCGGCAGGGAGATGGTTGAAGTAATAGTATTGCTATTTTCTATCAGCCGGGACGAAAATATCAATGGGAAAGACAACACTCACGGGACCGAATGTGCGGTCGAAGCCATGAGTTATGTTCGGCTGAAACAGTTGTTAGCCCCAAAATACTTATACTTATCAGATGCTCTCGGCGATCATTTGGCGCAAATACGTGCGGCGGTGCGTTGAGAAGGGGAGTCCAGTTCAACTCACTGTCTGGTCACCATGATGGTTTGACACAATCTGCGAAAATGTCAGCTCTAGTCTCTTGGGAATAGGTCTTCGGGGACACATACATAGTTGTACACGATACCGTCCACCATCAAGTCAGAATGGAGTGGTCCACCAAAGTATGTGTCCTTCGTGTTCATCACAAGCCACGCTCCAAAGGTCGAGTTATCCGAAGTTTGGGTACCGTCGGCGAACCTAGCATGACAAGTCAATATACATAGCTTTTGGTATGAATGGGGATGTTCACATACTGTCCGTGGACATCGTTGTTTCTCCATGTGTCCTGGAATGTGTACTTGGTAAAGTAGTCGGCCTCCTGCTGAACATAGGCATCGTCTGGTGTATTCCCCAGATACCACGTAGCATCCTCTTAATTAGTGACAATGTCAGTGAAGTGCCAACACAAAGAGTGCAGTATGGCGTATGCCTCCGATGCATGTCTTGGAAAACTACTTACGGACAACAACCTGCTTGGCAATGGCCGCCTTGCTAGGCAGCGGCGCCCACTGGTCTTCGTTCGTCAACAAGTGCGTCCAAATAGCTGAGTTTGGTCTGAACAAGGTCCGAAACTCCTGAAGGTTTCTCAAGAACGGTGTTGTCTCGTTGTAGTACGCCAGCCTTTCGAACATGTGCAGGCCCGTCTCATTATCCCGAAGGAACCAGTACGTCTCTAGCACCTGACCCGTAGCGGCATACGTGTCGGACATCTTGATGCCACCGTATGCGGTGCCCGTAGAGTCTGTGCCCTTGTACAGCTCGTACCTTGGCTTTGCGCTGCCGGGAGTCCAGAAACCTGAGGGCGTGCAATAGCAATCCAGGTAGGGCCCAATGCCCGTAGACCCGGACTTTGTCCCCAGCAGGTTCTGACCATCGAGGGTCAGCTTTTCCACGGAACCCGTAGCCTTGTTTACACTGGCATAAAGACGGTCATTCGATATGACCAGCTGGGCGGCATCTTGAGTTGCGGTGAGCGCAGCGAGCGCCAATGCTGGCGCCACGGCCAGTGACGAGACGGAAGCCCGCATCATTGAGGCTATACGGAGAACCCTGATGCAACCTAGGCACGAGACTCAGCAGCTCACCCGTGTCGTTATTTCAGACGTGCATGACCTATGTGGACTATATACTGGCCCCGACCCCAGCTTTACCCCAAATTTCCGTTCCCTAAAATGACCGCGCGATAGTCTATCCCCAACCTGGGGTCGCCTTTTGGATGGAGAAATTAAAGCAGGGGTATTTCTTCCGGGGAACTAGAATGCGGGGAAAAGGAGGACGAGTTCGGATGAATCCAAGAATTGTTACTTCAACCGAGGGCACGTTTTAGTATGCAAGCGCTCGGTGGGGGAATAGTATCTGAAGGACACGATCGCACATCATGATACCCGGGTACCTGGAGCTTCAGGTCGAAGCCAATCCATGACTTCTTCCGTGTTGCATAAGTATCCCATTAAATTTTTTCCTCCTTTGATTTCGAAATCTTGAAGGCTGTCTCTGGCAGAGCATGAAAGTTATCATGATGGCACAGGTTTGGTCGGGCACTCGGTGAAATGGATAGCGAGTTGAAATTACGAAGCAGCCACTCAACCACAAAATACGGTAGAGCAGTAGACTTTCAGCTCAACATGCTTGGCCGAGCTTGAGGGACCGACGAATGGTTTGGCAATGGTTATGCTAGCCCGTCTCTATATGTAGGATGACGCACGTTTTCGGTACGTGCATGTGCCAAGAGATATACTCCTGAGTATCACTAGAACCTGGTAGGCCGTTAGTCTCGAATACATATCCGCCTTGCCGTTGTTCAATACGCGTCGATATCCCTCAGCGTTACTATGGTCGGTGCACTGACTCCTCCGGACTTGACATTGATTTCAAGGTAGGCTGTGGCCAATAATGACATCGTCTCCAAAGCCTATAAGGCACTTTTCGAGAGTTGAAGGATCAACACAGATATGTTAACTAGTATAATTGTCTCTATTTCGCTATATTCAGCGATTCCCTGCTAATATGGACTAAGAGTGCATATCGAAGCCTACGCTCTCGACGTTCCTCTTCATAGTTCCTTCCAGCGTTTGCCCTCGGCTTCTGCAGCTGAGCCTTTGTCTCCCATCTCATGCTTCATGCTTTCTCGCTCTGACTTCCGTATAACAGGTCGTTCACCATATCCCCAATGGCGAGAGAACTCGTGAGACCGGGGCTCTCCATACCCAGTAGGTTCACCCAGCCCTCGAACCCCTCCTCCTTTTTGATGTAGAAGTCCACGAACCCCTTGCCGGGGCCCACGGCGCCGGCCTTGGCTAACTTGGGTCGGATGCCGGCGTAATCGGGTGTCAGCGCGCTGACATCCACGTCCGGGAGGTACTTCCGGATCTCGCCCAGAGCCTGGGGCAGGCGCGCCGCGCTGACCTGGAGGTCGGCCGGGTCGTCAACCCACTCGACGTCCGGGCCGAAGCGGAGGCGGCCCGCCATGTCGAGCGTGAGGTGGGTGCCCAGGCCGCCGGCGCCGGGCATCGTCATCGGGTAGATCAGGCGCTTGACCTTGGGCTGCGAGGCGCCGTACGAGAAGTAGTTGCCCTTGGCGCAGTACAGCTTCATGGCCCGCTCCGGTGGCACGATGGAGTTGTGCAGATCGATGGCGCCGAGCCCGGCGCTGTTGACCAGCGTCTCCGTCTCGATGATGCTCTCCTCGCCGGTCGACACGTCGCGCACCGTGAGGCGCCACCCGCCGCTGCCCGGCAGGCCGGCCCCCGGGAGCGGCTCGACGGCGGCCACGGCCGAGTTCAGCGCCGTGACGCCGCCTGCGTCCTCGAACAGCCCGTGCAGCGTCACCATGAGCGAGTGGCTGTCCACGATGCCGCTGGTGGGGCTCTCGAGGGCGGCCTCCTGGGCCCGAACAGCGGGCTCCTCACGCGCCATCTCCTCGGGGCCGACCCAGCGCGTGGGCACGCCGATCTCGTCGCGGCAGAAGGCGTGCAGGCGCTCCAGGGCGTCGCGCTCACCGGCATCCTGCGCGACGATCCACTTGCCCGTGCGCGCGTGGGGGACGCCGTGCCGCGCGCAGAATGCGTACAGCTGGTCCTTGCCGCGGAGGCACAGCCGCGTCTTGAGGGAGGCAGCGGGGTAGTAGATGCCAGCGTGGATGACCTCGCTGTTGCGGCTCGAGGTCTCGGTGCCGACCTGGCCGTGCCGCTCCAGGAGCAGAGTGCTGGCCCCTGGGTGGGAGGACGCCAGGCGCTGGGCCGTAGCCAGGCCGATCACGCCGCCGCCTACTACCTGGACATTCCGGTTAAATGATTGGGCTCCCAGAAAGGACTAAACAAAAGTCGTGATCGTAGCCAAAAAGGGATCCTGGTGTCGGGATGGAAAGTGGGCGGGACCCTCGTCGAACAGATTGGACGGAGGAGGGCAACTTACAACATGCGTGAAATCTGCCCGCGCCGGCGATGTGCTCGAGAAGGGGCGGGTTATTGCATGCCGCGTCTGCGAGAGCAATTGACGCCGCAAACTTTCTCTCAGCATCTTCGTTGGTAAGTTTGACGACGTCAAGTCTGAGGATTCTCGTTAGTGCAAATGATCTCATCTATAGTCGGATAAGCATTGGAGATGCTGATTGGCTCGCCGTGGCAGACAACACCATGCCGATCATCGGACGTTGCTATTCAACATAGTCTGCCAACAAAGTCACGCACGATTGATCTATCACAAGCGGGCTCATAATACTTGAGGATTTACTACACCGCAGAAGCTTTACAATATGCGCTATCTCAAGAATGATGCAGCGCTCACACATCTGTCGGCTACTAGAACACAACAAAGAAGCGACCGAAACCACGAACGACTCTGATGTACAACCTCAGCCTATTAGACTTTTAGGAATAACAAGTACCTATGATAGCCAGACTCCCATCACGCCGTGAGAAGAAGAAAGTCCTGCCAATATGCCCTGTACGATACAAGCAAAACAGCCCTGTGAATGGTGCTGTCCGCAATGCGCCGAATGCCGAGACACCTAACGCCATATTTCCGTATGCATTCATCTTATGTGTGCAAAAACAATGTCAAGATTAGCGGAGCTCGATTTCGGGGAACACCTTTCGGCCATGCAGGTTGATGTGAAATTCATACACGCCATCCTCAGCTCCCACCCATCTAAGCATCAATATTAGTTACAAGCATAGTTGGGCGAGTTCACCATGTGCTTACAATGTCTGGCCGTCCGCACTCCATGTGAGTCCGGCCGTATCATCAGGGTGCTGAGTATGGTCGCGGCTGCTAACTCTTGGGTAGTTACGCCGGGTGCCAAAGCCCGTCAGGTCGTCATTCCAAACGTCGTTGATGACAGGAATTGCGCGACGCGTACGGCTTGGTTGCACCCTGATGTTGTCGTTCGACCCGGATTCATCACCTCCCGCGATGTTGTAGAGAGCCTCGAGATCGGCCCAGCCTGCGAGTGGCCTTCCGGCCGCCCACGGCCGAGAAGAATCTCGAGATGCTGCCGCCTCGTTATTACCCGAAGTAGCGTTGCGGCCGAGTGCCGACGCCAGGTCGGAATCCTGGGCTAAGGCGGCTTGCATCGTCGAGCTATTTCTCCTCCGAGGCGTGGGAGCACGTCTCTCGCGTTCATGCTCCGACGAATTCTGTGCTTGAGCTGCTGCTAGGCGATGTTGATCCCGTGCATCACGTCTTTCACGCTCGAGAATGCGTGAAAGTGTGTCACGCTGTGCATGTGTCAGCGCGAGAATACAAATTGTTGGTTTTGCGATAAGCCAAGGATATTGTGGCAAAGTGAATGATGGACAGTGGCCCATGTGCGAGTGGTGAAGTTGGGTGGGTCGACTTACTCTCTCAGCCCAGATGGAGGATCTCCAGGCCGTGCTACCCCTTGCTATCTCCTGCGCGATCTGCTCTCGCGCTTCCCTGGCCTCCCGTCGCCGCCGTTCGTTGGAGACAGCCTCCAGAATCGCAGTCTCTTCCGGCGTGAACGGGTGGTTCAGCCGTTCAGTGGCCTCAGCAGTGGATTCGGGATTCGTAGTAGGTTGGGGCGAGCTAGCTTGGCTCAGCAATCTCGCGAGGTGTGAGGGGCTACTGGAGGCCATGTTGCGTTCATTCCTATGTTCTAGGAGCCGAGGGTCAATCGTGTTCCGGTCGTTGAGGGGTAGGTGTTCATAGTCATCATGCTGGTCTAGTGCAATAATTTGACGTTGCGTGAAGTTTGTTCGCGCATCAGCGACGCCAATCCGTCCACGATGCTCAGTCCACGCCAGAAGATCGTAGGGGCCAGGGCAGAAGGCCATGTCTCGAATGGCGCCCTGGGTATGAGGACGTTGACTGGAGCCGAAGGACGCAACCAGGGGGTCCGTTTCTGCAGTGACCAACGCGGCTACGTTAAAAACGAGCATTGTGCCATTCTGAACCCCGATCGCCAGATATCTCCCAGAGGACGAGAAAGAAGCGGCGAAGGAACCCCTGCAGTCGTCGCGCGGAGGCTGTTGTGTCGGTGGCGTTTCCAAACGGACCCTGGGCAGCATCTTCCACTCGTAAGAGTCCCCGATCCTGCCCTTGTCCACAGCACTTCTGGTGTGCAAGTAGAGAAACGGGTCGTCGCAAATGCTGGCCAGCAGGGAACCATCGGGGGAGATGATGCTTCGGTTCACACAATCTGGCAGTTCCAGCTCGTCGAGGTATTCGCAGTCGTGCAAGCCAACGAGGGTGACCGTCTTGTCGTTGTTTGCAAGCACAGCGACGGGAGTGGCATAGTGGCCAGGGCGCGCGGGGAACAAGGAGGTGGCCTCGGGCGGTTCCCAAATGGTGATGCAATTCACGCGCTCCGAGCCGTACTTGTGGTTTGACGCAGTCCAGGTCTTGGTCGGACCGTTGAGCCTCTGCTCAAGCAGGTTGAACATATCTCTGCTGAAAGATGATGTCAAAGACGTGTCGTTGGCGGCGGGCGGAGATTCGAGCGAGCGGAGGTGCGAATGGAAGTTACTGCTGAGCGCATCGTCGACATTGGTCCGTCTGGTGGTCTCGCCGCCGTCCATCTCGCCGAGGCTGTGGTTCTGGAGGACGGCGAACTCGCCACTCTCACCACCGCAGCATATCCAGCCATTCCTTGCGACCAGGCATCGCGGATGAAAGCTCAGGACTTTGATGGTCTCGGATTCCTGCGTCTGGGTGTTGATGCGCGTAATGTGGTTGTTGTTGACTCCAGTCGGGAAGTAGAGGGTGTCGTTTCCCTCGGCGCTGATGAGGGACCGCAGCTGCCAGTGCCTGTTTCACACAAAATCACAAGTGAGCATTTCTCGTCCCCATGATTCACCGAGTGGTCCGTATGCCTACCAGGGAGCGATATTGGTGCGGTAGTGTTTGCGACGGGTCTTGAGGATCAGATTCTCGGTCGGCCAACAGCTAGATGGGTCAGTCTTGTCAGCGTCGGGTCCGCGGCGGCGGCGGCGGAGCGCCTGGTACACGTACTTGTCGGTCGCGACGAGGACCATGATGCCGGCGACTGGCGATGGTCAGACCAAGGTGGATGTCTCATCAAGCCGCGTGGTGATGCAAAGTGCGCAGGCCGAAATGGATGCGTCGGTCGTCGGGGACAAAGGATGCAGCGCAGCTGGGGCGCCGCTGCAGATGGGAAGGTGGCGTGCGAGCTTCGTCTACGCCCACGCCGACGGACCAAGAGAGGCGCGCCGCAAGCTCGGAAAGATGCTGCTAATTGAGCGACGAGAAAGTGTTTGCGCTGCGCAGCACGGCCCCGAGGTTCTCAATAGAGACTGAACAGGTGCAGATTACGAGGTAGAGGCACGAGGCACGGGGCTTGGCCGTTATTGTTGGGAAGACAGAACAATGTCAAAGCAAAGAAAGCTTAGTTATGACGTTCTGGGTTGACGGGGTGGAGAGCGAGTTGACCTCTGGATTGTGGAGTGTGTGTGTGTGTGTTAGCCAGCAACTGCATCCAGGCTCTAAACCCCGTCCATCCGTGTGGAATACCCAGCTTCCCACCTCCAAAGCCACTTTTACGAGCATCACTTGTCATCAAATCAGGCCTGTAGAAGAGGATACCATGTAGCATGCATTTTACCTCGTTATTGGTCAAAGTGCCGGACTGCTGGCGTACATGTAGCTTATGCAGCATCTCCTCTGCACATGGCTACCTTTACTGGCCTGGTATGCTTTGCAAGGCCTATGGCTAAATTGTACAAGTCGACGGGAGAAATCATATGGCGGCATGATGCCTTCCACTTGGGGATACGTTCCTCCTTCCGGTATGGATGCGTTCCTAACAGGTACATTGCACATAGTCTGGAGATGTGTGGAGGCTGCACGCAGGCGAAGGGAGAGCAGGGAGAGGAGGGAGAGGACAATATCATAGCATCTTCCAGCTCGTAGACTTATACTGCCGAGACTACAGATCTGCGGGCATTGTCGACGTTCCCGCAATTCGAGCAAATAACCATGCGTGGACTACAGTAGCTGGAGCTCTGGAGAGAGGAAGAGTTCAACGCTGCTCGCGGTTGAACTGAGCACGGTCTGGCGAACGATGAATAGCCTGCGCGTTGCGTTCCGCACTCGCATCCCACGTGGATGCAGTCACGGAGCTATGGCCAGTTGCAACTCGGATGCACGCGGTTGTCGGCGTGTCTAGGATACGTAGTGACTAATAAACGCGTCGGTCACGAAGAGACAAGGCCCATTGACATATGGTCCGCGGGCTATGATAATGGCCAATGATGCACAGCGTGCGGGATTGGTGCACTCGGAGCGTGAGCCGCAAGTCATGCCCATCATCGAGTCCTCCTTTCTTTCTGCATCTCGGGACGGCCGCCATGTCTCCGCCTTCACCCGAGGCCCCGTCTTTGCCGTCGAGGACCAGGCGAAGGGGAGCTACCTACGGGCCTCCCAGCTTGCCAGCCTACCAACCATTGGGCGCAGGCAGGACGGGCCCCCGTTTTTGCCTCCCCTTGGCGGGCCCTGCTTGGCTCCAGGGCAGGCTAGGCAGGCTAGGCTTGCTAGGCTGGGCTAGCCGGCCGGCGACTGCAGCAGATGGAAAACTGTAGAAGACGCCAGCCAGCAACAGAGCTCCCACGTCCAGGGTGCTCCCCAGGTCCTCCCCCAATCAGTGGCACTGGCAGACGGGCACACTGGCAAAGCATGAATGGCCCGTGCTCAACCTCGAAATTTCCAGTAGAAATTTTCTTTCGGCTCGGCCCCTTCGCATCATCGCATCTTTCCATCTCCAGAACCACCTCCTCGCCCTTTTCTTCCCACTTGTACCACTACCACCCGCTCCGTCGTCTTCTTTCTGTCCTGCCCGCGCAGTCTGCCCTCCGTCTGCAGGATTCTTCTACTCCTTTGTAATTTAATAGATACGCCGACGCAGAAGCCGACAAGATGATGGCCGCGCGCTTTTCCAGAGCTGTAAGTCCCGTCCTCACCTCCGCCCGATGGCTGTCGGGCGTGTGTGATGCTGTAGCATCGCCGCAAAGAAGCCGTTGGCCTCACCACAGCCTGCACCTCATCGAGCACCAGCTAATTCCCCCCTCCAGCTTCCCAGGGCATCCACATCAGCCGCCGCCCGATGGGCTGCACCGATGCGCAAGCCCCTGGGCTCCAGCTTCGCTCGCTACGAGTCGACGGAAGGAAAGGTCCAGGGTTCCGTCATCGGTATCGATTTGGGTAAGTCGGCGACTCGAGAAGCCGGTCCGGATACAGACGTGCCATACTGACATGTGCCTCTACAGGAACTACCAACTCTGCCGTTGCCATCATGGAGGGCAAGGTTCCCAGAATCATTGAGAACTCGGAAGGTAAGTTCACTACGCGGTGCAGCCATTCACGTTTGCACACCCGACGCTAACACGCTTGATTTCCCAGGTGCCAGAACTACCCCCTCAGTCGTCGCGTTCGCGCAGGACGGTGAGCGGTTAGTCGGTGTTGCCGCCAAGCGACAGGCCGTCGTGAACCCCGAAAACACTCTCTTCGCCACCAAGCGATTGATCGGTCGCAAGTTCACCGATGCCGAGGTCCAGAGAGATATCAAGGAGGTCCCCTACAAGATCGTCCAGCACACCAACGGCGATGCCTGGGTCGAGGCCCGTGGCCAGAAGTACTCGCCCTCGCAGATCGGTGGTTTCGTCCTCAACAAGATGAAGGAGACTGCCGAGGCCTACCTGAGCAAGCCCGTCAAGAACGCCGTCGTCACTGTCCCCGCCTACTTCAACGACTCGCAACGTCAAGCCACCAAGGATGCTGGTCAGATCTCTGGTTTGAACGTCCTCCGTGTCGTCAACGAGCCTACTGCCGCTGCCCTGGCTTACGGTCTGGAGAAGGAGGCTGACCGCGTCGTCGCCGTCTACGATCTTGGTGGTGGTACTTTCGATATCTCCGTCCTCGAGATCCAGAACGGTGTCTTCGAGGTCAAGTCCACCAACGGTGATACCCACTTGGGTGGTGAGGATTTCGATATCCGCCTCGTCCGCCACTTGGTCGACACCTTCAAGAAGGAGTCTGGCATTGACTTGTCCAGCGACCGCATGGCTATCCAGCGTATCCGTGAGGCTGCCGAGAAGGCCAAGATCGAGCTTTCCTCCTCCCTGCAGACCGACATCTCCCTGCCCTTCATCACTGCCGACGCCTCCGGCCCCAAGCACATCAACACCAAGATGACCCGTTCGCAGCTCGAGACCATGATGGACCCCTTGATCACCAAGACCATCGAGCCCGTCCGCAAGGCCCTCAAGGATGCTGGTCTCCAGGCCAAGGACATCCAGGAGGTTATCCTTGTTGGTGGTATGACCCGTATGCCCAAGGTTTCCGAGTCTGTCAAGAACATCTTCGGCCGTGACCCCGCCAAGTCTGTCAACCCCGATGAGGCTGTCGCCATCGGTGCCGCCATCCAGGGTGCTGTCCTCTCTGGTGAGGTCAAGGATCTCCTGCTCCTTGATGTTACCCCTCTGTCGCTCGGTATCGAGACCCTCGGTGGTGTCTTCACCCGTCTGATCAACCGCAACACCACCATCCCTACCAAGAAGTCCCAGGTCTTCTCCACCGCGGCCGACTTCCAGACCGCTGTCGAGATCAAGGTCTACCAGGGTGAGCGTGAGCTGGTCAGGGACAACAAGCTGCTTGGAAACTTCCAGCTCGTTGGTATCCCCCCTGCCCACCGTGGTGTTCCCCAGGTCGAGGTTACCTTCGACATTGATGCCGACTCCATTGTTCACGTCCACGCCAAGGACAAGAGCACCAACAAGGACCAGTCCATCACCATTGCCTCTGGCTCCGGTCTGTCTGACTCCGAGATTGAGCAGATGGTTGAGGACTCTGAGAAGTACGCTGAGCAGGACAAGGAGCGCAAGGCCTCCATTGAGTCTGCCAACCGCGCCGACAGCGTCCTGAACGACACCGAGAAGGCTCTGAACGAGTTTGCCGACAGACTCGACAAGACTGAGGCTGACCAGATCCGCGAGAAGATCACCTCGCTCCGCGAGTTCGTCTCCAAGAGCCAGGCTGGTGAGGGCACTGCCACCGCCGCCGAGATCAAGGAGAAGACCGATGAGCTGCAGATGGCCAGCTTGAACCTCTTCGACAAGATGCACAAGGCCCGTGCCGAGAGTGGCGAGCAGTCCAGCAGCGAGGGCTCTTCGGAGGCCAAGCCCGAGGACGAGAAGAAGCCGTAAAAGAAGCACCTGACGACCTTTTCTTGACTTGTTTTAGATACCATATGACGTGGGAAGTTGAGAGTCATCTCACTTCAAACCTGTATTTTCACCTGTACTCATATTTGCCGCTCTGCTTTGAAGCCACTTCTCCGGACATGTGTTGATAAATTGCGGGCTGGATCGGGGGCGTTCTGAGAGCATGAAATCAAAAGCTTTTTTGTCTGCAAGTTGGAGGCAGTTTTACTCTGACACGGTTTTTGACGATATGACTGGCAGCATTTGGAAGGGCGGCTCATGGTTGAGCTCTGTGTAAATAAAGGCGTATAGCATTCGCAAGATCTAATCAATCATCCCCCCTCAAAAAAGAAAGATACAATCAAACCATACACTTTACCTTGGCCCAAATAGATTGCAACATTAATTTGCACTTACTTATCTTGGATTTGCTCACTAATTACGACTCTCGTCATTTAGCACTACCAAATGCCTAACCATTGCCCATGCCACAGAACCCTTGGCTCCGCGCCCGTGTCTCCGGGTCCATGTCGTCCATCATCTTGACAAGATCACCCGGCCGCTCAAGCAAAGACACAAACATGCCGCCTATAGCGCTACGCATTAGTTTGACGAACATCTCCCCCCGTCAAACAAGCAGACGTTTGACTCCAGCTGTGGAGGGCGAGGGGCAAGAGGACAAATTACTGATCGTCTTGAAAATACAGGATCCCGTCATGATCGAGTGCGGTGCAGGGACGAAAGCTTAAGGACAGTACGGAAATGACAGAAACAGACTCACCCTCCATGTGCCAGGCAACGTGGCAGTGCAGCGCCCACAGGCCCGGGTTGTCGGCCGCGAACCGCAGCACCACGTGGCTCTGCGCCGGGACCGTCACCGTGTCGCGCCGCATCGGGTTCTCGAGGCTCCATGTCGTCGTCGTCGTGCTGTTGGCGGCGGCGCTGCCGAACAGACCCGGGCCCCAGCCCACGATCTGAAACGTGTGGCCGCTGTTTGCGCAGCGCGAGGTCCCCGTCAGTGGCTCGTACAGACGGATGACGGAGAAGCAGAGGGAGATTGCGTAATCATGCCGGAGGCAGAGGTGTGTTGACAAGGGAGGGAGTGGGTGGCTTACTGCATGTGCCACGGGTGTTCCATGGCGTCGCGCGAGTTGATGACGATCTGGGCCCCTTTGCCCGCATGCGGGATCAGTAGGACCTGTTGGTTCAAGCCAAAGTCCCAGCTGCCGTACGAGTTGGCCTTGCTAGGGTCGAACTCCTGGCCCGGGACCTTCCAGAGCGTAGCGTTGTGCTCGAGGGGGGAGTAGGCGGTCTGCGCTTGACGTAAGCTTGTATCCCTTCCCAGGTTTCGGTAGGGTCGTCGAGCGTGAGGGGGAAGACGAAGTGAACAAACAGAGTCATCAGAATCTGATGAGTTCTTCATTCTCCTATTACCGATGTGAAGAAAGGCGGCTCTGACAATCGGGAAACTGTATGAGAAAAGGGGGCCTCGTAACACACTTTGTTGATGAAAATCCGATTGACATCCTGTGCTTGCCGGAACATGTACTCGATGTACTGGTCATTACCGTCCGCCACATCCACGGCAGCCAGTTTCCTCCTGGGCTTGGGGATATTGAACGGCATGTCGTCGCAGCCTTCCCACACATCGCCCCTGACCCCGTTGTTCTCAACTCCGTACGGATTTGACACGTTGCCCCTGACGCCGACGGGCTCCGCATCCGGAGCGGCCCCCTCGTACGACAGGATGCCGCGGGCGGCGTATTGCACGCTCTCGAGCGTCGTGCTTGTGTACGGCGCATATGGCAGGAAGCACGTCTGCGGCAGCGTCGCACGCATGTAGTAGTTCCCCACGGTCTGGTTCGCGACTAGGACGACGGAAACGCGCTGGCCGATGTTCAGATACACACCCCGGGTGCTGATGGGCTCGATCTCTACGCCGTCGAGCTCGATGATGCTGAGCGTGTGGTTGTCGACGCTGAACCAGTAGCTTAGGAACGACGATGAGTTGATCAGACGCAGTCGGATCCTCTGGCTGTGGCGAATCGTCGTATGGTACAGCTGGCCGCCCTCGCAGTTGAGTGAGGCAAAGGGTGAAGCAGTATCCGGTGGGTAGGTTGAAGAGGCTACGGAGCAATCGGTCGTGTGTTGGCCGTTGAGCACAATGTTATCGGCCAGGGGCTCGACGCCTGGTTCGAACGGAACCCACCTCGAGGAAGAGTTGAGGTAACTCGCCAAGAGCTGTTCTAGGTGTCAGAGCGACTGCTAGGAGACAGCCTCGTGCGTGATAGGTTGTCCTCAAAAAGAGATGTGAGAGGGCATGTGCTTACCACAGAGCCGTAGGTGTGGTACAAATCTCCCACAAACATGATTCTCTCCTCATCGGTCTCGGGCACCATCTCCTCTGGATCATGTATTATAATCGGGCCGTATGCACCGTCGGTATATTGAACTCCAAGGTGCGAATGCCACCAATAAGTGCCGCGCTGGTTGTCAACGACGAACTCATATGTGAAGTTCTGGCCTGGCGGGATGCCGCACTGCGATACTCCGGCCACACCATCCATCCACGTGGAGCCGTGTTGGTTGATGCCATGCCAGTGAACAGCGGTGTCTCGTGCAGCCATCATGTTGTTAACATGAACACGAATTGTATCACCTACATTGGCCTCGATGAGAGGGCCAGGCGACTGACCGTTCACCAAGATCATCGGCTTCTGAAAGCCATCCGGCGCAGCGACAGCGTGAGAGATATTGAAGACGTACTCGCGGACGGCGGGCTCTTTGGAAGTTTGGAAATCAGTACGCAGATCTAGTTCCGTGCTATTGATCAGGCGTTCTATCGGGACAATGTCGAGGCGCTCCGGAATCCCGTAGAAGTGACTATAGTTGAAGGGTGTAGCGGCAAAGACAGTCGGCAACCGCGGTGGCCATGCCAGACCGACGACGAGGCCCAGTGCCAACGACACGACGAAGGAAAACATGGCAATGGTCAAGAAGAGCCATAATGGCACAGATCGCCGAACAGGACCGTCTTGGGGGCTCGATGAGAAATCTGATAGGGCGGTCGATTTGTAAATCCACCTAGCCTCGGTGTGAGTTGTGGGAGGGCTGGCAAGGACGGGCGATACATCACCGGCGATCAAACGTGATGTGCTGCCGGACGAACGGTGGCCTCTCATTTTGTGATAAGGATATGACGATAGGACTGGACATATTGTGCATTGGAAAATTTCGATCAATTCGTAGACATACCTGGCAAGGGATGAAAGATGACGTGGGGTGATTACATTCCTCAGCTTCCCTCGAATGGGACATTATGCAGGCTTCTGAGACTTTGACTCATCCGATGAATATGCACGGGAAGGTATTATAATGGAAGATTGGAACCGGTAGCATTCATTCTGCTGAGTAGCAGCCTAAGTCTTTTTTGCCTTGTCATTGTCAAGCAGCTCGATTTTCTAGCCTCGGCCGAATCCGAACCAACCCTTCTTCTTTGGAGTGCCCTCATCGCTCTTCTGCTGCGATACTTCCGCCTTTGTCGATGCAACTGGTGTCTGTCCTGGGTAGTCGATGTAGTTCCATGCAACGTCAAAGAAAAGCGGCTTGACCGGGATGGGCTCAAGCTTGGGGGGGTAGGTCACAAGGTTCTCCAGATCTGCGCCTTCTGTTGGGTATTCGTACAAGCGCTGCACCAAGGGAGCGGTGGACTTGATGCCCGAGGAGTCCTTCTTGGCCCGGAGGTTGTCGATTTCTACCAATGCGCGGCACCGCTGGAGCTCGCCCTTCAAAAGATTGGTCAGGAACTCAATATCGGTATCGCGAATCTCGATATTCAGAGGCGCCCCGTCAGTAGAAGTCGACATCTGTTTGGAAAAGAATGCAGCAGACTTCTGAGACTCATTGAACGCATGCCTTGTCAGGGCCAAGGCATTGACAGAGTTCTCAGCGAGCGAGTGAGAGCGTGCAATCGAAAGACACCTAACGTTGATATTAGTATCACCAGAACCGTAGAGAAAATACTACAACTTACTTGAGAGCGTGGAAGTACTTGTAGGTCGCATCCAGTTGCTCCTGTAGGTCTTCGTCTGCTGCAACGCCCGGTAACTCTTTGATGGAGTCCAAGCTCTGCAGGGTCGCATCATAAAGCACGACTTTCTCCTTGAGTCGGGCAATCTTTCTGCCGGGTGCTTCAGACTTGGGCCTCTTGGACCCGTGTTCCTGTTCGCTTTCCTTCTTTGCTTTACGTGTGGTGTTGGGTGCCGAGTCAAGGAGGGCGCCATCGTGGTTACCGCTTAGTACTCGGTTACGGCCGATTCGCCAGCTGATCATCTGGTAATTGACAGCCGTGCGGGTAATCTGTAAACTCTGGACCCGGCTATCGTTCTGTGACACGCCCTCTTCTTTCAGCTCGTCAATGGCATGCTTCGTGGCGTCTGCAGCATCCTGGCTAGCGATGAGGACTCCGTCATAGGCTGCCGCCATCTCCTTCGGGAGCGTGACCTCGGGTGAGGCCAACTTCTCCTTGAGCTGTGCTACCGCGGCTTCGGTCGAGGCCAGGGCTACCGCAATGGAGGCATCTTCGATCTTGACCTCTCTCGATCTCCAGTTGATTGACTGGGGGGCGTTGGGCGCGTCGGCCTGGCCCTTCTGAGCGTCTGCGCCGGTCTGCTTGAGTAGGCTGGGGTCGATCTTGTCAATCTGGTCTACCAGAGAGCTGTCCGAGGGAAAAGCCTTCTTGGCAATGGTGGGGATCGCCTGGGTACGGGGTATCTTGAGCTGGTAAGCAGCGTAGCGTATCGAGGGGTCGATGGTCTCGGAAAGCAGGTCCTTGGCGATGTCGGGGTTCTGCACGGTCGACAAGGCGTTGTATATGACACGCGCGGTAGAGTAGCTCCTCAAACATGGCTCCCAGCTTTGTTTCTCAAATCGCTCGGCACCCCTGATCAGGGCAGCGTAGGCCTTTGCCTCGAGGCCATCAGTGGGACTGGCACCACTGGCGGCTTGGTCGGACAGCAGCTCGACGAGGCGCTCTGCCACCTTCGCCGCCTTGTCGAGTCTCGAGATGATGTGCGAACGGGTGCGGCCGGTGATGCCCTGGGTGTCGGTGGAGTGCAGGGCCTTCAGCTCCATGGCATGGGACCAAGCGCGCTCCGCCGTGAGCAGCAGCAGGTGCAGCCAGGCATGGTTCTCGGAGATCTGGTCGGGCAGGATCTCGCGGTAGTCGCCCTTCTTGTTGTACTTGCCGCGGCTCTTGATCGAGATGCCCAGCTTCTTGCGGCAGCTCAACAGCTTCTTGCCGAGCTGCCTGTGGTAGGTGGAGTAGTCCCCGTACAGGAGGGCCTGGTTGCGCGCGGCCACGACGAAGTTGGTGATATCCATGGCGGGCGACGTGCCGTGCTGGCTGGCTGGCTTGTCGGAGGGAGGACTCTGGGGGCTTGGGTGTATGCGGTCGAGTGAAGACGTGAGGACCCCGGGATGTCGTGGAGTGCTGGCGCTTTGCGGGCCTGAGGAGCTGGCCGACCCCGAATGCGAATGGGCTCCCGTCGCTTGACCTGGTACCTGGTAGTGCCGTCGCCAATAGGTGGGGTTGACTGGAGCGTCGACGTAAGGTCTGGCACGCCAAAAAGCCCTCCAAAATTCAAAGTGGGATGCTGGTAAATCCTCGGCCCAGAGCTGCTGCTCGGCTGCTTGGCGGCCGCTCCGGTGGGACCCCACGGGCGCTAGGCGGGCGGGCGTCAGCCATGGGTCCGGACCGCATAAGCGCATATGCAGGGCCAGGCGCTGCTCTCGGCCGGCTATATCGCTACATCGGGGCCCGGCAAGAAAATCGATGATGGCTGCAGTGGTCGGCAACAGCTCCAGCTGTGATCCGCGAGTCCTCCAGCCAACGCGTCCCGACCACGTGTGCAACCTTCTCCGGTGGCTTCTCGAGGCCTGTGTCAAGTCCTGCCACGTCTTGGAACCACAGACACCTCGAAAGCGCATGCAACCGCCACCTGTACGTCCCAACAATCCCAGCCCCAAAAAATCTGCCCGTCAGCTCATCTAACCAGCCGCGACCAGGCTCGGCCGTACCATGAGTTGAACGTCGCCGCCTTCGGACCCTAGCGAGCCCCAGACCTTAGCAGGACGACATCGAAAGACTGGCCCTCTGCCTGTGGTGGCAGCTTCTCCAATGCTGGAGAAGACAGCTGCGACCCTCGAACCGTCTGGCCTGCAGCGAGTCCTTCCCATTGCGACCAAGTCTTTCAGAAGCCGGAGGCAGCTCCATACTGCCTTTTGGCAGCATGGCGCTGCTGACGTCGAAATCAGCAATGCATGGCAAGCCCTGATGCATGGCGTCTTTGGCCACAGCATGGATCCGGCCCTGCCAGACTCGTCCTCGCCTTCCTCCGCCTCTGCTTCCGCCTCTGCATCCGCCTCCGAGCCCAACTACCCTGCCCTCCGAGCGTCGAGCTTCCTACTAGACTTCTTGTACCCGAATGGTGCAGTAGCTCTTCTGCGCCGCTTCACTCCCGTCTCCGCCGATCGATTAGAATACCGAAATCCATCCAGTTTTGCTCGGGTGTCCCCTCGACTCTACAGCGCATCTGCGCTGCCCGAGCAGAAGAAGGCCGAGCGCACCGGAGCTGGAGCTTCACCACTCCCAGATACGACTGTCGCACGCTCGGGCGCAGATGATCTCATGTTACACAGTGGGCTTCACAGTGAACCAAATGAGTCTCGGATGCATGGAGGAGAAACTCTTGACAATGGCCTTGGAGAGGGACGGAAGCACACCAACGAGCTGCGGTCGCTTCTCGCAGGCAACAATCCCGAGGACGCTGATAAAGTTTGGTTGCTCTACAGCAGCTTGGGCGAACAGGACCGGCAGTCCTGTCTCGGTCAAACTCTTGTCTTTCTGTCCAAAACCGGTCGCGTGACCGACTCCTGGAAGATATCCGAGTTGTTCCATCAAATAGACCAGAGCCGGTGGGATGGGTACGCCTTCGTGGCGGGCATCGAGGCCGAGATGAACCTTCAGAATGTGCAGCAAGCATTGGGCATATTCGTGAAGGGGTTGGAGGACACAAAGATCGAGCCCCTGTTCCTAGTGCAGGCTTTCGATGTCATGCTTGCCGCAGCGCTGAAATCGACCACCATGGATATGCTCCATGACTTGTGGCAACAGTACGATAACATGGCAGCGCGCTGGGACTTTACGGGTGTGACGACCCAACTTTCTCGCGTCAGCTCGGTCACAAATCTTGCCGGCATAGTTCTCGGCCTTAGGCTGTCCCTTAAAAAGACAGAACTGAAAGGCATCACGGCACTGAAACGTCTATTGGTGCGGCGAGCCGTCCTCCATGCTGCTGATGATCAGGTCATGCCCCTGCTGCGCATGACTGATGACCACCTTGCATACGAAGAGTTCATCCGCAGTTGCCGCGCGCACTCGTCCGTGGAGAGGCGTCAAGTCCTGATCACACAAGTGTACAAAGTCTATCGCAGCCTGCCGAACAGCAAGCCTGGTCACTCCGTTTTGCATACAGTGTTCACTGCCTATACTGCCATGACCACGCCACGTGCCAAGTTCACTGGCCTGGAGATGCTTTGGGGCGATTGGCACACCTTTGATGGGCAGGCCTCCCGTCGAGCGTATCAGAAGTTTCTTGGGGTATACGCCGCTGCGGGGAATGTGAAAAAAGTGTACAAGTTGTGGCCGGAATATGTCAAGATACACGGTGACGCAAATGTGTTGGAGGGCGATGACACGTTTGCCCATCTGTTGCAAGTCCACGCCGTCCGACAGGAGCTGCCCGAGGTGGAGCGGGTTTTCAACGAAATCGAAAGCAGGTTCCGGCTCAAACCCAACAGAATTTGTTGGAATATACTGCTCAACGCTTATGTCAAGGCCGGAGACTACGAGGGTGCAATCGCTACCTTTGAGAGGATATCGAACGATGTTGGTGCGGATCGTTACACCTTTGCAACGTTGATGCAAATGGCGGGCGAGCGAGGCGATCTCGGCTATACTGTTGATTTATATCGTCGAGCTCGCAAACGTGGTGTTGGTACTCACGATCAAGCCATTCTAGGTGGTCTGGTTGATGCCTATTGTGAGAACGAACTTTTCCATGAAGCGGAGGATGTGTGCGTGCGCGCCGCCGGTAGGGGTCTCAAAGAGCCGCGGATGTGGAATAAGATACTGCGGCACTACGGGCTGCGTCGCAATCTTGCCAGCATCAACAGAATTCTCGCGCTCATGACGGACCTGGATGTACCTTACAACAAGCATACCTACCAGGAACTGCTGATGGGCCTTGCGCTTTGTAGGCAATCTCAGCATGCGCTGCATCTGTTGGCTGCTGCTATCAAGGACAACGCTTTTCAGGTTGATGAGGGCCACTTCCACACCGTCATGGGGGCTTTCATCAAGAACGGCGAAGGCGACTTGGCTGTACGGATTCATCGACTCATGCAGCAGTGCGGGTTCGGGGAGTCAGGAGAGAGTCTCGTGGCACTTGCCACAGCCTTCAGCCAGTGGCACCGACTACCTCACAAACGCAGGAAGGGCCATTCTCAACAAACTCTGCTCACTCAGGCTTTGCGCCGCTTCTACAAGCTCTACGGCGTTAAAAACGTGAAGCATGAAAGTCGGTCGACGGAAAAACATATTTCGTCCGACAAGCTATTAAGACCGGAAACACTGTCGTCCAACTTCGGCAGGCTAGTCTACCTCTTCACACAGATGAAAGACTACGTCAAAATCGATGAGCTCACCAACTTGTATCGTCGTGTGGCCTACGGCAGCACGAATCCTTCCTATCCTCTTCCGATCCAGTTGCTCAATTCCATCATGTGGGCACACCTATCAGAGAAAAACTACGATGCGCTCGGGCAAACGTGGGAGGCGATGTTCTCTATGGCACAGGCGGGCTCTGTCTCGGCCGAGTGGAGCGAGGACCTCCCTCACACTCGCAAGGTCTCTCCACGCTACCGGTACATCTTATCTGATGGCGTGAAGACGATGCAGACTATGTTTATCGATCAAGGCGACACGCTCAGTCTTCAACAACTGGTCGAGGCAGTCCGCAAAGAAGGCTTCGAGATTGACTCCAAGAATTGGAATCTACACGTCCAGGGACTAGTGCAGCTACACGCTTATGCGGAAGCCTTTGAAGCATGCGAGCAGTGGCTTATGCCCAACTGGACCGGCTGGAAGTTCGCCCGTGCTCGAGAAAACATGAAGAACGCGATTCCCCTCGACCTGAGGCGGAAGGGCTCTTCGCCTCGATATCTTCGCCCCGTCACCCATACGCTGTACTACCTAGCCAGGGGCTACATGGAGTTGGACAAAATGAGTCCATGGAGCGGTGACGCCCGGAAGATGATGCAGAATATCCAACGGGACTGCCCGCGCTGCTTCAGAGCTATCGAATCGATGACCAGGACCTATTCGGATTTGGAGCATCAAATTATAGGGAACGGCCCTCTCGTCGAAGACGTTGACAAGGCCGAGGAGGAGCTGGAATCTAAGCCAGAGGAGGAAGTGCGCCAAACGGATGGTCACTTGTAATAGTATCAAGGCCCCATGTACATAGTCATGTCAAACCTGTACAATCTAGGCGAGTTTGTGAGATTGATCACAAAACTGTATACTACCAGTGGAGAAACTACTGAGATAGACTAGAATATCTTGTAATTAAAGCGCGATTGCATACAGCTCATGATCACTGATAAAAATAGCAATGGCTACCAGTGCTACCACGCTTACCCTATTATGCGTCCCGTAGTATAATTTCCCTATTTACACCGCTCACTTTCGTTGCAGCAATACAGCACATTGATTCGTGAGGCGGGACGTAAGCGCGAGAGCCTCAGGCCACAACTACAGTAGTCAATGGATCGAGCGCCGGCAATGATTGCCGGGATGCCTGGTCCGGGCTACTAGGGTAGACGCAGACGGACACAGGATGAACCATCTGAACTCTATCTGCGTGTGGATTCTGCTTCAGGTGTGCTCCTGTGCGGTGTGACTGGGTTGCTCATGGGGCTGACTGACATGGCTCCAGTGAAGGAACATCACGTCGAGAAGGATCAGCATCTCGGGGGATACACGATGCTGACAGTTCTTGCAGGGCAGACGACACTGCATGTCAAGGAATACCACATCTCAAAAGATGTGTTTTGTGGTGATTCGCCGGCCGTGACCATCCTCCCCAGAAACCTGGCCTCGAAAAGTAAAACCAGCGAGTTGCACAGGGCGAGGTTCTCATGTGGCTGTGTCGTGCGTTGGTAGCGGAGAATATAATCCTGGCAAGCCTTAGACGCCCAGGGGTTGCCGGGACTGGGTCCGCTAACCCCCTTCAGGGTCTGCCGACCTTAATTGCTACCCCTTTGGGGCCCATCTAAAGCATCAACTGCCATCCATCTGGAGATCCTGAAAATTAAAAACCCCCAAGGTTTCATATGATCTGCCCATGGGTTCGAGAAGATCAGTATGACGGCGGCGGGCTCGCACCCTGGTTTGCCCACTCTGGGATTTTCGCGCTGCATCTCCGACCCAGTTCTCGTCCCGTTCATGCATCAGGCGGGCTGGTGCCGCGCGCACAGCGTGGGAGCATGAGACCAAATTTCTTTCGAAACAGGCCTTGCCAGCCAGCCAGCCAACCAACCGCCCGACCCGGGGCGCCAACTAATCGGTTGGTACTTGGCCGGAGCCCCCCAGAGGATACACGCAAAACTTGCATTGCATCGCCTTGCTGATATGCCGCATGCGTCGGGGGGAAGGAATGTTGGTTGCGGAGCTAACTGGTGCCAATCATAATGTTTGCTGGCGATCTTACGTCCTTTACTCGGAAACACGTCGGACTGACTGCTGACTTCCTGGGTAACGGCAAGTCTAAGACGGAGCCAGTGTGATCGGGCCAAGCACACCACATTGAACTATTGATGAATGATCATGACCCAAATCCATGCGGAACCCATGCCTGGGCGCTTGTTTCGCAGTTTGCGTAGGGCACATTGCGGAGTCACGACACCCCAGACTGCTCCAGTTTACTTCGTCGCAATCACGGCCATAATCTATCTGATATAGGACAGCCGCCCCGTACCCACGTACCCACAGGGGTGCGTTGGCTCCCTTTTTTTGATATCCCATATAACAAGTCGCCTGGAATTCAGATGCGCTGGGGAGGTTTGGTTCATGAACTTTTCCTAGTTCCCGTCCTATCATTCCTCAAGATGGTCTCATTTACTTATGTCGGGGGGCTCCTATCCAGAGCTTCCTGGTTAATGTCTATTAAGGAGACTTCGATTGCGAATCAAGAAACATACTTAGACAACACAATCCAGGCCATTTCCCAACTCCAGAACTGGTACAACGAGGACACCGGGTTGTGGGACACGACTGGTTGGTGGAACAGCGCAAACTGCTTGACAGTGCTTGCAGACTTCGCGGTGCTGGGTGTTGACAGCGGCCTGAATATCGCGGCAATCATCCAGAACACATATGAACAAGCCCAAAAGACAGTTGTTACGGCACAAAAGACAATCTCGGCAGCCGGGCTGCCTGTATCGAGCTACACGAGAGTCACCAAGCGAGATGGTCTCCAGAAGCGAGGGTTCGACAACTTCCTGAACGACTACTACGACGATGAGGGCTGGTGGGCCTTGGCCATGATCCGTAGCCATGACCTCGGCGTTCAGGGCCTTGGGGATCAGCAGTATCTTCAGGCCGCGGTCGAGATCTTCGAAGACATGAAGGCCGGGAACTCGAGTTGCGGTGGAATCTATTGGAGTAAGGTCACAAAGTATACCAATGCTATTGCCAACGAGCTTTATCTCAGCGTGGCTGCGTCCCTGGCGAACAGGATGACCAACAAGGAATACTACCTGGACATCGCCGTAAACCAGTGGAACTGGTTTAAGAACAGCGGAATGATCAACTCGAACAACCTGATCAACGATGGACTTGACGACAGCTGCAAGAACAACGGGCAGAACACATGGACATGTAAGACCGATCGCGAACCTTCTCTCAAGTTACGAAGACTAATCCAGCATGAACAGACAACCAGGGTGTAATTCTGGGCGGTCTCGTAGAGCTCTACAAAGCCACCAACGACGCAGGCCTCCTTCTCGAGGCGCAAACGATAGCCACGGCGGCCATGAACACCTTGCAGCGCAATGGCACCTTGTACGAAGGTTGCGAGCCGAATTGCGGTGCCGACGGAGCCCAGTTCAAGGGCGTCTTCATGCGCAACCTGCGCTATCTCCAGGATGTGGCCCCCTTGCCTACCTTCAAGGCCTTCCTAATGCACAATGCCGACTCGATCTGGGCCAACGACCGCAACGGGACGCAGCTCGGCGTCGCTTGGACCGGTCCCTATACCACGGCGGATGCCGGCTCGCAAAGCTCGGCTATCGACGCTTTGAGCGCTGCTATGGCAGTGGCCTCGTAATAATTCGTTTCTTTGTTTATCGCCAGCCATTGGGCTCATAGAAATAGATGGACACGGCGCTCAGGGCCAGTTTTCCTTATTTGGGGATAGATGGCAGCAAGACTATACGTCGCCCAACTGCCTCATAATGACTAATGACTTAATGAAAATATACCACTATTATTCCACCTCCAAAAACAGTATCCCAAGTGGCGGTTGGCATTACGTATTGACATGGATTCGCGGGTTGGTTATTCTGTGGCGCAAGATGCAGGCGCCGAGGCCGGTCCAACTCGGCTTCAAGCCGTCGTATCCCCGGAGCCGGGGCGCCGTTGACAGCGCCAAGGCCGGATGGGCGTAATGTTGCAGAGACACCAGTGAGTCACGGCCATTCACTCAACATCCAACATCTGATTGTCTCTGTCACGTCACTCACAACAACGCTACACTTCGCCAAGTCCGTGACTTTGTGATGTTCCGGCCTGCCCGCTTCGTTTCCAGAATGACGCTGCCGTTCCCACGCCCGCCATCGCTCGCCGCGGGCTTCACGCTCTCCCGGTGCACTCCGGACGACATCCCGCAGATGGTCTCGGTCTACCTCGCGGCCTTTACATCCACCAAGTTCACATACTGGTGGCCTTCGTCGGTGGAGACGGTGCGGCGCTGGAACGAGGCGCGCTTCCGCCTCTATTTCCGCGACCCGACTGACCAGCAGTTCAAAGTCGTGGACGATACGACAGGCCAGGTCGTCGGTTTCAGCCATTGGAAAGTCCCAGCGCAGTTTAAGGGACTGGTCGAGGGGTTTAGGACGTACGACGACCGGGCCGAGGGCGAGTTCGACGGCTCGGTCTCCCAGTGGATGCAGAACCCACCAGAGGGATCCAAGGAGGATCTGTACCACGAGTTCTTCGCGGGCATCAAGGCCATGGGCGCCAAGTGGAATATCGACGAGAAACTAGGTAAGTGTGCGATGTGTTCATTTTCGATGTTATCAATGGGTGTAAATGCCTTTGCACCAACCTATAATTCCGCATGGCAGTCTCCAGTTTGTACATGAATGACTCACATGATGAGCCCAGATCTGACTCTCCTCTGCGTGCATCCTGCATACCACCGTCGCGGGATAGGAGCCGCGCTTTTGAACAGCGTATCGGACGTTGCCCACGCGGAGGGTGTCACGACATACCTGGAGGCGTTGGACAACGCCGTGCCCGTGTATAAGCGCTACGGATTCAAGACCGTAGATAAGCTGGAGTATGACTTGACCAAGGCCGGGAAAGATGGCAAGGCTATCATTGATGTCATGCTCCGGGAGCCTAACGGCTCTGGCCAGAGTGGAGCATGAGAAAGTGCTTCTGGGTAGGGAGACTATTTGCGGGCGCTTATGGCTGGGTTGCATACCAGTCTCTGCATGCAAGCTTCTGCTTGGATGAGCTGCGGAAAGGACAAAACGGCTAGATTCATCCATCACATAGAATTCCTAAGACTCCAGTTTTGGCATAGACGGTGGTTCAATTCTATTCTGTATGACGTTGCCTTGGGAGGATTGTCCGCGGAAGATCAGGGGCACTGGGAAACATTGGTGAATAAGCCCGTGACATGACAAATTCCGGAGTACGAGACACGTACTTGGGAGAAACCATGTATTGCAGGCTTACATTACGCCTCAAGCTCCTTCCACATAAGCCTTTTCTTCCATAACTGTTAGATCATAGTATTACTAGAAAGAATTAATCTACTACAAATGCCCATCGGCATTTGGCGTTGCGCAACACGACGTTCCCACCACCCGGAGGTATGGGCAGCATAACTCGAGGCGTAAATACAAAAATATATGCCACGTGCCGAAATTTTGCCCAGGTCAGGGGATATGACTTGACTTATTGAATTTGATGACAAGCGTGGCGTTGTCTGTCTTCTGATGACGCAGAGCGGGTTCAATGCGTTCTATGATTGTATATACATGACGCGACCAATTGTCTCATACCAGGTAGTCTAGTAGGTAGAACGTGGTCAAATATTGCTTTAAGATTATCAGTACTCCAGGAGCAACATGAGTTCCGTAAACAGGAGATCGCGGTGAGAAGAAGCGGCATTGGTTCAATAATCACGACCACCACGAACACCCGCATGCACCGCCTTTTTTGAGCGTTGGTGATAACGACAGTGTCAACATATCCATCTCACAGGTGGCTGAGTCTCATTTGTACATCATTGATTGCACAGTTCTTGAATAATATTCTCAACTCCAGCGAAAGAGAGTTCGCTCATCGTTTCGTTCCACAGCTTTTTAGCCACACGGTCACCTTCTGGCTTGTAGATAATAGGGGCTTAACTGGCATGAGATAGTCAGCAAATAATGTCTTGAGGTACCACAGACTGTAACTTACGGAATCAGTTCGCAATCTTCCAGGTATTGCCCATGAATCTCCTCGCCATGTTTCACAGCAGCATCAACGATTGTCGCTGCGCCAGCAGAAAGTTCCCTTGCCAAGGTTCGCATTAGAATACCAACCATAAGACCTAGAAATGTTCCGTCAGCATCTTTCGCCAGGCAAGAGCCCCGGCAAAAGCCAGGATGAACGGAAGTGATGATGGCCACGGATGGAGGGACATGTTTCGCCACTTCGACGAGGAAGAGCTGTGCCAGCAGCTTGGACACTGCAGATTGCTCCGCCCAATCGAATTTCGTAGGCTTGTCGTAAGCAGACAGTATCAGTTTGAATTCTCGTTCCGTGAACTTGGCCCAAGCAGCAGCAACCGATGCCACGAAAATGAGTCGGCCACGCTCCGGCCCAGCATGCTTCACCTTGAGAATAGGAAGAAGGAGAATAGCGAGAAGCGCGGTCGACAGGTAATTGACTTGGATATCCTCCTCGTGGCCCGTCGAGGGACTGATTCTTAGAGTGGATCGATACACCCCAGCGTTCAGCACCACAATATCGAGACGTTGCAGGTGTTTTGCGTGCTCCGCGAAGGCCACAACAGATTCGTAGGACAGGTAGTCAAGGGACCAGACCTCAATAGTGCCTGGCTCAAGGTTCCTGCCCATCGATGAGTCCAGTTTAGCTGCTTTGCCCTTGGTCTCGGAGCGCACGGCAATGATGAGCTTGGACGCTCGAAGATCTAGGAAGTGCCGCGCGCATGCGAGACCGATACCGACGTTTTATCCTGTGGCGATGATTGTCTTCCCGATCAAATCTTCATCTTTTGGTACAGTAGGAGGCCGGAGAAAAAGCTGGCGATACAGGAATTGGCTAAAACTTGACTCTTTCTCCGGTGTTAGATGAAATGTGACCAACATCTTTGATCAAGGTCGAGACGTGGGAATAAGAGGAACCAGACAATAAAAGGTAGTCTGACACTGGGAAATGCGTGGAAAATCGTACAGCCTACTGCATAGTCTTACTTTAGACTTGGTTGAGGTTGAAGTTGAAGTCAAGTTCAAGATTGAGGTTGAGCTGGACGGCTGTAGGCATCCACGTAGTTCAAGTTCAAACGACTTACATTTTTCTTTGCAGTATCTTCAAATGAGTTTTTGATGGTACATAACAGGGTAATTGCCGAGGAGTAGATGGCCTGTGGTCTAACAAAAGCATTGTACCCGAACATCGCGAGACTCGTGACTTTGTCCTAGGGCCAAGTTGAAGCTATGTAAGACGTTCGAGCCTAGGTTTTCGCTTCCTTACCAGTTGGCTGCAAGCCCCGTATTGGATCTCCCTTGCTTTGTGTTACCACTAGGCTGACTTGCTTGAATGTAAAAAGACAACGGACAGGGATGCGGAGACATGCTTTCAGGACACGAGGATTTTGTTCTCTCACGAGTACCAAAACTCCTGACTCACTAACGTGAAGACACGTCGTCATCAGTTCTCCTTTGAATTCGATGAATCGGTGCCTGCAAGTGTATCACACTATATCCAGCCGCTAGAAATGTGCAAACTCTGTCCAGTCTCCTTGAAGCGCTATTGCTCAGACACCATGTTCCTGCTGGTAAGGCAGTGTGTAGCCAAGCGGAAGTATACTCCACCTCGCCCCGGGGAAGCAGCAAAAGCTCGTTTGCTCCCGCAGTATTATTAGCGATCGACCGATGTTGCTTCGTTCAATCAATTGGGACACTTGCAGGGTAGTTATTATGCTATTGGCGGCATCAATTCCCGATCCAGAGGTATTGTGCGGATACCGTATTCGCAGCTACCTACTGTAGGTAGCCACAATACTGGTGCATAAAATTGTTAGAATGTGGGGCCAATAGCCTGCTTAAGCTCGCAGGGGCCCAGGCTGCAAGCTGCGCGACTCCGTTCCAGGCTGGTTGGTAGATGCACGCAGACACTCTACGTTCACGGCATTCTAGTCACAGTGCTTGATGCCAAACGAAGGAGCCCGAATCCAACGGGACCACGCGGATTTGTGCCATCTGGGCTTTCCATAAGTGGGCATGAATGTGCTGCCTCGTCTCGACAAACAAGCCCGCCACGCTGCACCTACAACGGCACTGACGAAGCGATCTGTATCATAAACGAATAGCTTGAGCTTACTGCGTCGATACCCTGGAAATGGATGAGTCAGAAGTCGACCGCGATATCGTGATCCAGCGATATTCGGCTGATTTACTCGCTGATCTCGACGAGTCATTGGGGCCCTTTTTGAGAAAGCCCAACGGAGACCTACGCACGCGAGTTCGGGAGAGGGAAACATCACGCCTCATATCTCAGGTTTGTCGTATCCAGCCAAAGTAGCGAGCACACCTAAGAAATCGGGCAGGTCCTGGAGCCATTCCAAGAGCTCCCTCAACTATTGGATCCCTATCTGCCGAAATATGTCCCTCTTTTGGCTGAGGCGTATCTTGAGCACGTCCAGGTTCGGCGCAGACGAACGAAACCCCTGTCCCTAAGATCTCAGCTGTTGGTCCCGCTGTCAAATGCCATATGCAAAATCATATACTCTTTCTGCAAGATCAGAGGCGAAAAGGTTATAGTCCGCTTCCTCAATGTCGAGACCAGGTATCTCGAGCTCCTGTTACTTGCTATTGAAGAGTCCGAGCGCCAGTCAGACGCATCTGGCAACCAAGACGCCGTCGGCTTGTGGACTTGGCACGAGAGATATGTGGTGCTGCTGTGGCTCTCCCAGCTGTTCTTTGCCCCATTTGACCTTTCAACAATATCGTCCGGAGATACCGATGATGCCGAACGTCCCATCGTGCCTGGATTCCGATGGCCAGCACAAATTCCTGGCATCACACTTCGGGTTATACCTCTGGCCTTGAAGTATCTTGCGTCTCCAGGAAAGGAAAGAGATGGCGCGAAAGCTCTTCTGGTACGGCTGGCAATGCGGAAGGATATGCAAGAAGTTGGTATACTCCGTTCGTTGGTTCAGTGGGCCATATTTACGCTCAGCCCGAAGAAAGATGAAACTGCGGCATCTCCGTATTACTACATTGGAAGTCTAGCCCTGCTTGCAGGCATTCTTCGATCGTCTGCAAACACCTCCATAATGGACCCGTACCTCAGGTCCATCTTTTACGCCGTCCAGTCGATCTCATCAGAAGACAATGCTGTTTTCAAAGTCATCAATGGCTCCGCACTTGCGCGGAAAATGATGATCAAGGTAACAAGGTCCGTGATACTTCTCGTGCTCAGAGAGCCCCAGCAGTCAATGGCAGATACCGAAATGGTAGAAGCCACCGTCGGACATCTGCTCGAAAGCCTAGCAGATAACGATACGCCAGTGCGTTTCGCAGCTAGTAAAGCCCTGAGCATGATCACACTCAAGCTGGAGTCTGATATGGCTCAACAGGTTGTGGAAGCTGTGCTTGATTCCCTCAACCGAAACGTGCTATGGATCAAAGCGCCTTCACCTGGCTCTCCCACAAGGACCCGTGACCTCACGGCAGTTGATCCACCCGAATGGCACGGTTTGATGCTTACTTTATCGCATCTGCTTTATCGACGCTCGCCACCACCAGAAAGTCTTTCTGATATCGTCAATGCCTTGGTCATGGGATTGTCCTTTGAGAAGCGAGGAACTGGTGGCGCATCAATCGGAACGAATGTTAGAGATGCTGCATGTTTTGGGATTTGGGCTTTGGCTAGACGCTACTCAACAGAAGAACTGCTACGAGTTCCCACGCAATCAATAAGACGCGTGGCACAGGAAGACCCGTCAATGTCGATCCTGCAGGTTGTCGCTGTGGAGCTCGTGGTTGCTGCTTCTTTGGATCCCGCAGGCAATATACGTCGTGGATCTTCAGCAGCATTACAAGAGTTGATAGGAAGACATCCAGACACAGTCACCGAGGGTATCGCTGTCGTTCAGACTGTCGACTATCATGCTGTTGCTCTACGATCTAGGGCCATCCATGATGTTGCGCTCCAAGCCACCCGTCTCTCTCCCCAGTATGGACTTGGGCTATTGGAAGCTCAACTCGGATGGCGTGGCGTTGGTGATATGGATGCAGCAGCCCGACGAGTCGCGGCCGCCTCTTTCGGGACCCTGACTGCGGAGATTTCGCAGCGCATGTCAAACAAACCGGAGCATTTTCTGCAGTCTGTAGACCTTCTATTGGCCCGAATAGACTCGCTTCAAGTGCGTCAGGTTGAGGAGCGTCATGGGCTAGTCCTCAGCCTTGCGGCAGTTTTCGACTATCTTCCTGCTCTTGTGAAAGGAGACATGTCTGGTGATCTAACAGACAAGTTACCTGTCCGCAAGCTGATCGACGCTATCACGACTATATTGAAAAACAGCATCACGACGACCTATCGAAAGCCTGAATTGATTGCTGAAGCTGTCAGCCAGCTCGTCATCTCCGCATACCCACTATTTCTAATGGTTCTGGTGCCGGAGAAGCGAGAAGCTGCCAATACACATGCCGTCTTGCTTCAGGGCAAAGAGATTACTTGCGAAAGACATTCATCATCCTTCTCGACTGCAATCGCATCGGGCGACGTCGCAGGAATCGACCATCGCTCCATTCTAAGGGACTTGACAGATGTTCTTCTTGACGCTATCAATATTTGGTTGAACAGAAACGAAGAGGAAGTGATAGCTCCAGTCTCGCAAGTATCAGTGGTGCTGTTGTTCTTGACAGAACCCCAGAATCGGAGACAAGTCATTCATAAATGGATTTCAACCATTACGGAATCCAGAGGCTCCCGTAACAAGCACGGGTCAGCATATTTTGTGGCGCTAGCACAAACATACCATGTTGCTGCGTCACTTTCTGACGGGCCGCCTGTCGTTAACGACGTCATACAGGCCTTCAAGGTGCGTTGGGAATCAGATAAGGATACGGAGACACGAGTGGCAATCATCGAGAGCCTTGTAGGGAGAGACATCCTGCGCCGCCAAGTGCTAGCGTTCAGATCTATCATCTCGGAAGGTCTAGATGACTACACGACCAATGCCCGTGGAGATGTAGGCTCCCATGTCCGGCTTGCGGCGATCAAGGCAACCCATACCCTCTGGGAAACCAGTCTTAGCCAAGACCTTTCTACGGAGCAATTCAGCACCGACGTGTTGATATTTTTCCCCAAAGTGCTCCGCCTCGCTGCCGAAAAGCTCGACCGAGTCCGCATCGGAGCGCAAGCTGCTCTGGGCGTATTGGTGGCATCCAGGTACGTAAACATTTGGTGATGAGTAGAGGGGTCCTTACGCTAACACACCATCAGCTATGCTGATACCCTGAGGAGTGTCTCCTTCTCGTCCCAACAGTATTTTGCCCAGCTCTTCGGCATGTGCACTGCTGCTTCTCTGTCTAGTCAAGTCATGTCTGCTTGGTCATTGACTGAAGGCGAATGTACTTCTAGCCTACTGGCCGGTCTGGCGACTTCTGCAGATACAGGTAATGAGGACCTTGTCATAGCTAGTCGTGCAGCACTTGCACATATCTGCAGGTCGTCGACCAACGACCTGTCAAAGATCTGCATAGCGCTGATCCATAACCTCAAGCTACACCAGGGCCAGGATCGAATTGTCGTACCTACACTGGAGTTGATCGCATACCTGTTTCACGTTGGCATCTTCCAGCAGAGCAAGGATATCAATCTACGTCAACTCTGCCTTCTCACTCAAAAAGCTGGGTATAAGACGGGCAATGTACGGAAGCTAGAGGCCTGTATCAAGGTCTACGGTGGTATCGCAACGACGCCTGGCAGCGAAGGAGGGGCTCCTGTTGTGACGTCCGAACTAGAACTGAAGCGGCAGGAGGGCATAACAGAAGCGAAACGACGGTTAGGTGCACTGCTGAACCATCCCTGGCCCAAGATCAGGAACCTAGCTGTCGATGAACTGTGGGGGTCGCTGTCAGGAGAGTCTGATCACGTGTCGAGATTGTTGAGCACAGATTGGGGTAAGGCTGAGAAGCCGGCCATCAAGACTCTCGTGGAGCAGCTGGGGCTCAATTAATCTGGAGGCGACTCCCTGCGGCATAAGACCGCGAAGCACCACCCGGAGTGTAGATCTCGGCCAGCCTACCGTAATGGGCCGGGCCTTTCGCCTAGGAGCGAACAGCAAATGCCACGACGGCGGACCAGAGACGCCCAAACAAGGACCATGGTATGACACAATGCGGGAAGCTGGCGATCTCAAGCGAAGGCAGCAGCAATGCCACTATGAAGCGTGCCGATCTCCACCAGACGTTGCACGCACAGTAGGCAGAGGCGTGGGCACAGGCGAAGAGGCCCCATAATGTACATAACTATAGCTATATCACATATGTCGTGTACTACAGGTCTGGTGAAGATAGATAGCGGAATACTAGACCCCTGTTACGAGGTATAAACCTCGAGCCTGGGTGAGCTGCAGTTTCTCGCGCTAAGCATGTTTGAGTCTGCCCGTGAAACCAACGACAATGGTTGAATGGTAAGAACGCTATGGCCAACGTCTCTGGCGGTCGGGTTCCCTGAGGCTCAACGCTCAGAACCGGGGGTAATGGCCTTGGTGACCTCACGGGCACATCAGCCAGCATAACCGACACGATCCAGCGGCAATGAAGATTCGCTTCTGCGGCAATGGTCAGGCGTCACGTTCACTGCTGCATCGCTTTGCCTACGCGCATGCGCCTGCACCTACGTGCTTGACCTTAGATATGTGCTTCCCGAGTCTGGACCTGCCGTGGGTGGAGCACCGGGAACGGCAAACAGCTCGGTTATGTTCCTCTCGATAGCCACGGTAGTTTCAACACTCCCATGCCACATGGCAGGGAGGGAAACCAGCGCTGCGTTGGCCCGGCAGAAGCGAATCGCACGGGCGCCTTTTGGCGATGGACGGGATGGTGGCTTCATCCCGTCGTCTTGGCCCCGAGTTCCTACACACATACTGCATACACACATAGGAATTAATCGGCCTGGTGTTCACATGCTCACATGTCTACCTATCTCGACAGCAGCAGCAAGACTGGCGCCTTGGGGATGGCAACCTGACTGAACGGCTTGGTTACAGTCTGGGTCCTTTTGACCAGGGGCTTGCGCGCGGTGCTTTGCCGGAACAAGTTTAGCGGCCTACAGCACGGCTACTCCAGGGCTCGGGCAGGCGGGAACAGAGAAACAGCCATGAGGCAGCGGACGGCTCAGTTACAACTAATAGTTCCTTACATGCACGAATGCACTTCGCTGAACTTGACTGCAGTGTAGCATCTGATACCCGACTTCGGTCCCGCGTGGTCTGCGTCTGCTTCCGCTGATTGGGTCGTCGACCTTTTCTTCCTCTGTCCTGTCTCTCTCGCTCACCGTATGCCGTCAGCAAGGGAATCGGACCGCTATACCCGCACGTGTCGGAGAGTGGCAGTCCGAATGTACTTGGTCAATCATCTACATCTCCAGAAGACTGTGTGCTCATTCAAACGGGCGACGGCGTTTTGCTGCCGCAGCTGGAGCAGAACCAGCCGAGTAACTCATTCATACAGAGTAGATGTTGCGCTCCTCCTGTCCATCATCTCACCGTCACATCGTGTATGTGAGGTAAAAACCTCGCTCTCCTGTATGGATTGCCTGGGGGGATCATCATGGTGCACACTACACAACTGTGTTGCATGTGCAAGGCCTATCACAGCTAGTTACCTGCGCCTCAAACCCCCAACTTGTACTCCCCTGTCTGCGTAAGGAAGCTCTCTAGAGATAACATCAAGTGACCCCCAACGTTCGTCTTCGTCTTCGTCCTCGGCGACTGTTTTGACGGTCATAGAAGAGGGTCCATGCCCAATGACTGCTCATTACTACAGGCGACTCTCGTGTATATCGCGGGAACGGACGGATATTCTGAGTCAACCCTATAGTTAATCCGGTAACAGCACGTGCATCCGCAACCCTCCAGCACGCCCTGGGCTCTGGAGTCTGGAGCGCGACCAAGTTGAATCCAACACATAGTACGTCGTTGGCCCCAGGTCGCGTGATGGTGGCCCCGCAGCTTAGGTTGGTTGGCTTCCAGCCAGCTAGCCAAGGGTTCTCTCTCAGCGTGGCCGGCACGCATAGCGCAGCGCCACCAGAATGGACCCTGTCAATCCAACTGACAGATCAGGCTATCGAGATAACCTAGTCTGGTCCTGCCCGCCGGGTCTCGCAACTCGCAACTCGCACCAGCGTGCAGCCAGCCCGGCCGTTGGACTATCCTCTTAGCCAACCAGCCTAACGAAGGCCTAGATCGCTTGCCAGTATCAACGGCACCGACGATTCGTACTACTATGTATGAGAACGTGTAGCCACGGTAATAGGATTACGCAACCTTTTTTGTTGCATCTGCCCAGAATGCTGCCACGGCTCTCTAGAGGCCCTAGAGGATCCCCAAGGCCACGTTGAGAGACGCCCTGCAAGTGCAAATGTCAGAGCAACCCTGCTTCTCTGCAGGACTCGTCGTTCAGCCCCAACTGCGAAACCCACCCAATTTTAGCTGAACGATAAGACGGAGCCTGCCTGCGACCCAGTCTGGTTGTCTCACCACGACATTGACTCGCAGTCGAGATGCCCAAATTTGGTGGCGGACCCTGTTCGATATTGGGGCACGTCTTCCAAGCCTCATCTCCGTCCCGTATCAGTTTCGCTGCGAGCTGAGAGGATTGCTTGGACGGTTAGGGGACAACGGCCGCGGTCCGTGGCCAGTCGGGTAATATCACACCAATCTATCATCAAGCTGCCCAAACCTGAGCAGTGAGCGCAACGCACACGCAGACGGACCGTGGCGACACTGCAACTCTGTCGCCGCGCGCAAGAACCCGGTCAGTCGTACGGTGCAGTAGGGAAGCTTCCTCATGGTGTGAGTCGTCGCATGGCGGGCCAAGCAGGTGCGTGTAGCTGCCACTGGATGTATGTATGTAGAGCAGGTGTGTACTGGGTGTCCAGTAACTACTCTATCTCGTCCTTATCTCTCGCCGAGCGGTGGCTCTGGCCGCCCAGACAGATTTACTGTACTATGGCACCAACCTCCATTCTGACTCCCACGCTACCGGATCCCAACGGGACGGGCGGTACTGGATACCCATTCGCTACGCGGGCTCGCTTACGGTGTCAGCGGTAGCCTGTACCAGCAAATCGGTGCAAGCCAATTCGCCGCGAAGATGCCCCCCCCCTGGTCTCGTCCCCGTGCATGTCCTGCAGCTCAGCTAAATCCTACCAAGCTGGAAGCATCGCATCGCGCATCTCGTACCACCCCGATCACAAGTGTGACTTGTCCCAATTGACGCCGTGGCCCGCCTGCGCCGCTCCACTCGACGGCGTGGGGACTGGGGAGATGGGGGTTTTGAGGGCCCAGACGGTTGACCAGAATCAAGATCGTGCCAAGAGGTTTGACCAGAGTCAAGACAGTGCCCACCGGTCTGAGGGAGATTGGGAGACTTGCTGGAGAGTCGGGGTGCAACAGAGCAAGTGGGTGCCGCCCAAACGCCCAAACGCCCACCTGTCTGCCTGCCCACCGCCCGCGCCGCGCGCCGTCGCCTAAAGATACCGCTACTTGGTGCGTGCTAATGCTGGTCACCCTTTGGTCGCCGGTTCCCAGAGGCTCGGCCGTCCCTGAACCCTGTCGCGGGCTATCAGTGGGCACCAAGGGACGCTGGATTCAGCCATCCTCCATCCATCCATGTGAGTGCGGCCGGGGGGTCGAGGTTGGGGTGCACTGCAGCGGCGCCCACCCCCCATGCCCACGCCTCTTTCCGGGCTGGACGGTGAGTTTCTAATATTATGTCTCCCCCGTCCCACCCATCCGCTTGCTCGCTCGCTACCACCACGACTTCACACCTGGTGCTCGACCTCTGCCTGCTGGGACCTGGATGCCGCTCCAGAGGACGACGACGACACACGCCGACGACTGAAGAATTTGCAAGCCACGGAGGACCATCAGGTTATGCCAGGTACAAGACGGTCGCGCCCTGCTCACGCTTCGTCCCATCGTCACTGTCAGATCGAAACGCTTTGTTCATGCAACGGTCTTGCGCGGGAAAACGGTCACTAGCAGCTCACCACAGACCACCACCCGTCAAACGTCATAACGGCCCTTTGTCCTCGAGTCACAACCAAGCCGGACACCACCGGTTCACCAACATTGTCTTTGTTTATCCCCAGTCCAACGGCCCAAAAAACATGTTTCGGTGCGCGGTTAATGACCCGAGACCGCACCGTCGCCTGTGATTAATTGGCTTGGGCCTGGTCCCTGGAGACAACTTTTTACTCCCCGCTCGTCCCCCTCTGCGGAGGTTGACGGGCGAGGTTGGATAGAAAAGGCCAGGCAAGATGGCGCTTTACTCACCACCGCCGCGGCTGCATTCCTTCAAGGAGGACAAGCCGACGCTCCTGGTCTGTTGGTGGATAACCTTGTTCTGCGCCACCATCATACTACTGCGCATAGTTGGCCGTTTCATACGATCAGAAAAGCTGTTCAAGGAGGACAAGGTCGCAGCGTTCGCCATCATACCGCTATTCCTACGCATGGCCTTGGTCCAGGTCATCCTGGTTTACGGCACAAACAACGCCGAGTTGCCCTTGGACCTCAGCGAGGAAGAAATTCGGAGGAAATCTATAGGCAGCGGGTTGGTGCTTGTCACTCGGATACTCTATGCGACAACGTAAGTAGACCAAAATTTTCCAAAGCCTAATCATCACGGCAAACTCAATTCCAAGGCGCTTACGGCTAACGCGTGTCCAGACTCTGGATCTTGAAGACCGCCATTCTTGAATTCTTCAAGAGACTCACAAGCACCTCGTGGAAACGATCCTCCGAGATCACGTTGACCATCATTAGATGCACTCTGGGTGTTACTTTTGTTGGGGTTGTGATATCCGATCTTGCGGAATGTCAACCCTTTCATAACTACTATCAGGTATTACCTGATCCTGGCGGACAATGCCGGCAAGGATATGCCCAGCTCCTGACCATGGCTGTCTGCAACATCATTACCGACCTGCTGCTTGTTATATTCCCCGTGTCGATCATCCTGAGAAGCCACATGCCCAAGAAGAGGAAAGTTCAGCTCACGCTGTTATTTTCGCTTAGCCTGTGTGTGGTGGGGACGACGGCATATCGCGTCCCTCACATTATACGGCAGAACGGCGATCAACAAGTCCGATCGCTGTTGGCCTCAGTCGAGCTGCTCTTCGCAACCGCAGCCGCAAATGCGCTGGTCCTAGGGTCATTCGTCCGCGACCGCGGTGTGAAGAAGGTGAAATTCAGATACGGGTCAATCACCGGCGAATCTGTCGACATCTCCTCCGCAAGATCACAACGGCGGCCGACAATGCGGAACTTGGGCAGCGACGAAGACCTGATACGGGCCCTGGGCCTTTCAGCAGACCGCCAATTGCGCTACAAAAACGGCGACGACCCAGAGGGAGAGCACCGCTTTACGCCTGCTCCGATAGCCAAGTTGCCTGACGACATGAAGAACTGGCAGTTTCCTAAACGCCAGCGCAGTGGTGCCGAACGGAGCGATGACTCTTTGCTGGCGCCAGATCAAGCAGTATCTCGGACTACCACCAATAACACTCCCCGAAGAGTCTCGTTCTTCGACGTCGGTGGACTGCTTGAAGATGGCGTAGCAAGAAGCTTTCGAGACAGCTATACCTCAAGTATTGACCCCTTGTCGCCAGTTTCACCACATAGCATATTATCGCCACACAGTCTGCCTACGCCTACGGTGCCGGCCAGCAACACTGGCCTTCGACGCGGTTCTCAGGCATTCCTACAAGACATGGGAGGGCTTTTGAGCCCAACACCTTCAAGAACCACAAGATCCAGCTCCAACATCAGCCCAACGACGACAGAGCTCCAGACCATTACGCACCCTCGACGAGGGCCCGCGTTCGAGCCGCAAAGTTTCAAGAGTCACCCTGAACTGCGGGATCCCGGCGGCTTACTGCGATGACATCGCCTACTCATTACACTACCTATCTTGCCCCTTCTTCCAGGGGCACACTACTTCACCGCCATACACTAAAACCTTACTCTTTTATCACGAACCTTACGACTAATGTGGAAGTCATTCATAGAATGATGTGTATTATATTTACAAACTCGAGCTTTCTCGAAACGACTCAAAATCGGGCCGGGCCTGGGCATATTCTTCTTACCCGTTAATGGACTGGGTTATACAAGGACACTTGGTTCACAGGCTTAGACCACGACTTCTGGCGTTCTTTGGCATTCGGGGCATTGCCAGTTTCTGCCTGGCAATTGAAGCTGTTCTGATGACGATACGGCTCGGATTTGATTTTTGATTTTGATTCGCCCTTGATGACGGTATGGATGGAAATGGGAGGGGACAGTGGCGGAACGCCGACGCATGATCCGTGGGTGGACTCGCGTAACGGGGGGAGAGTATGGTATGCAGTTGGGTGGCCAATCAACACCAGCTCAGCTTCGTTGCCACCTTACTTCCTCGTTTCCCCTGGAGCAGTTGATTTTCTGTTCTCATGTTTATTATATACCCCCGGAGGAGGCGATTAGGCCCCACGATGCGAAGTGAAATTTGGTTGTTTTGTTACGCGTCGAGCTAGATATCTATACTGACTATATAAAGGGACAAGATACTTGGAATATAATGATGCTCCTAAAACCTGTCCTGAATGCAGCCTCACCCGAGCCATCTAACATCTCTTTGCCGTTTCTCTCCGTAAAGGCAACGGACCCGTCCCGCTTGTATTGAGCAATGCCGACCCGAGGGCAGGGTGCTCGAGGCCGCCGAGCCGTCGCTCAATGCATTGGCCCCTTTGACGCAATCATGCATGTATGTATAAATAACCCCCCTCAAGGTAAACACGGACCAACGGGCTGTCCCTTGCAAACTTTAACTCCTATGCGCCGGATGGCATGACAAAGAACATCCCAGGGTGATTCAGCCTCATTGCGCAGTCAAGGGGCCGACTGCCTCTTTCCCACAACTCAACACACACATATCCACACATCCACAGGCACACACGCACTCGCCGAGGCGTTTGTTTCTACCCCAAACGCGCGGGTGCGTGGATCGGTTTCGCGACAGGCCCGGGTTTCCCTTGACGCATGCAGAACCATCCCAGCCCGCCCCCCGTGCCCGCGTAACCTGGTTCTTGGGGCGCGCGTGGAGGGGATCGGCGGCGCCGTGTTTGATGTGCGGGCGCACGTGTTGGGCGGCCCGCGACTTACGCGTGCGATGTACGCAGCTTTGCATGAACGGCCGCAGCCAAGATGGTTCGTGTTCGCTCTAGGAGGCGGACAGAGCGGCTGGCCGCTGGCGGCGGGCACGACTATGTCTCGTTTCCGGGCGGGTGTAGGAGATAGTAGGTAGTCATCGGGTGGGTGGTCCCGAACCCAATGAAGAGTCAACTACAAAGTTGGTGTGCGAGTTATTGTTATGACATGCGTGAGGTTGAAACGTTGCATGTTTTTATATCTCTAAGTGTCAGAAAGGAAGAATAGGCAGGGCATTGCCGTCAAGTAGATTCTGGCGTGTGGAACAACTGCTCGTTGACAGGACGAGGCCGGTGGAGCGTAGGCCGGTTTCTATTCTGTTCTGTACCAAGTACACACTAGACGAAGTGGAAAACAAGTGATACCGGGCCACATCTTGTGTACTCGTGCTCTTGGCTCGTTTGTCACAACTTGATCTTGAGAAGGTGTGGATCTGGAGCAACTGTGTGTCCAAGTCCACGACTCCCCTCTCTCTCCCCTCTTAAAGTCACACCATAACGGTTCTACGTGTGGCTTTCAGATGACAAGCAAGTGTCTCTCGTGGGCACGGTGCTGTCGAATGCCACGAGGAAACACGGGGGTTTATCTTCTGTCCAGGAGACAAGTCGACTGTAGACTGATCGCGTTGGTCAGCAATGCTTGTTCCGGGTACTCTTTTTATTTTCAGGTATCTTGATGGAAGCTTCATGGAAAAAAGTCAGAAGTGTTTCCGGTCCTTAACGCCAGCCAAACCGTTATGCCATGCGAAACGTACGTACGCCCATCTCAAATCGATCTCGAGCGAGCTTATATACCGAACTCGGGCACCATGTCCCCAAGCTCGAGTATAGCTCTCTCTCCCTCTGTCTCTTCCTTTTCATCCCTCTCGGTTGAATCTCTTTTTTTCCCCTCGCTCTCTTCTATACACACAATCTGTAACTCGCATAACGACCAGCCGTCTCACTCTTTCGGATGATCTTGACGACCTGGCCGCGCTTCATGCCAAAGTACTTGGCTACGGGATCACGCACGAGGATGCGGGGGAGCTGGGTCTCCTTGAGGCGGTAGCGCTTGAGCAGGGCGATCTTCTCGTCGCGGGAGAGGATGACGTGGCGGGGGACGAGGTCGTGGTGGGTGATGTTGACCAGCAGGTCGTCCTCGAGGAACCACTCGATGGCGGTCCAGTCGGCGAACTTGGTGATCTCCTTCTTGGCGGCCGAGGAGACGGGGACGTTGGAGACGATGATGCCGTTGGAGAAGTGGTTGTCAGCGCAGAACTTGGCGAAGCGGCGCATCTGCTCTGTGCCGAGCGTGTTATCGTCGAGGAACTCGATGTAGATGCTGCCGGCCTCGGGCTTGGGGTCCGGGTTGTGAGGGGTGGGAGGCGGGATGGAGCGGCGGTTGAGCTCGTCGCCGGGGCGGGCGGAGAACTTGAGCAGAGAGCGGCTGAGATTGAGCGTCAGTGAGTCGATTCAAGGCCAGGCACGATAGAGCCGAAGCGGGTGGGCACTCACGCCAGGCCGCCGTCGTCGTTGACAAACTTCCGCCTGAAGGCGTCGAGAGGCATGTTGATTTCGTCCTCGCCGAGTTCGTAGCCCTAAGAGAGATGGCGCTTTAGTTTTGACTTGCTTGACCAGGGCGGGTGAGCGTTTGGGGGAGAAGGGTCGGGACTGACTCTGTCGGCGACCATCTCGTGCACCGTCCTCCAGGCTCGCCATGTTCTGGTGATGATTCGCTCCTGGGCCTCGCGCTGGCCGGTCGCGTCGTCGTTCTCCATGGCTGAGGCTTGTGGTTCCCAGGTAGTATGCCGCACAGTGGAGACGGAGGTCTTGCAGGAGACAGAGGAGGAAGAGTGCGGGTTGTCGTCGGGGGGTGGCGTGGGCGCTGGGTGAAGAGGTGTGAGATGGCCTCGTCGCAAAGCGGTCGACTGGGCGAAGGGAATGCAAGAGAGCTTCAAAAAAGTTGAAAGGCTGCCGCCGCCGGCCCGCCGCCAAAAGAAGAATGGACCCGCTCTCCAGCCAGTCAGAAAAGACAAGGCCAGACGGAGGAGGAAACAAATTCTCTGGTCTGTGCTGTCCGGCCGTCCCGCCCAAGGTACGGTGCCTGAATATCTGCATAAACTAGACAAGGTAGGCATCAATTGCAACTATGCGTCTACCGTGTATACTACTATCCTATCCGATGGTATTCTCGGAGCCTACCGACCCAGCTACATACTTTACACATGTGTAGTTAGTACTATGTACAGGCAACCTTGGCCTGCTTGGGATGCTTGGAGGCAGGGGAGGGCTGGCTAGGTACCGTTTGGCCGGCTCCCACTTGTGCCCACCACCAAAAAAAACCCACTGAACGGGATACACTACAGCGAGCCACAGTGAGCGAGTGTCGCCCTTGCGTGCCAGCCTGCTAGCAACAGGTCCCCCGAAAGTCAATGTGGCACCAAAAAACACCCCGTGGACCCCCTTCCCCCTGGCCCCTGGCCCCTGCTTCTGGTGGGCTTTTGGGCTTTTTGGGGCTTTTTGGGGGGGTTACTTTGCTTGCTTGCTGGTCAGTGGATTTTTGCGTTAGTCAATTTTTTGTGTTCACTTCCACCGGAGCGCCAAGAGGACCCTCCATCTTTTTCAGAAAAAAGATCTGGCCAGTCCTGGTCCGTCCGGTCCACGCACTTCCACCGCCGACCATTGATAGACCACGAAAGTCGCTCCTCTAGGCCGTGACTTCTTCTCCTCCTGCCCCCTTTGTATCCGCCCGAGTCGCCTTTGCCAGTGGCTCCCGAAGTGAAGCAAACTCCTCCTCCTCCTCCTCCAGAGTCCGGGTCTCGTCGGTATCATTCAATTGATCATCGTCGCATTTCCCTCTTTTCCCTCGCCCTACTATAAAACATCCCCTTCACTCCCTCCCTCCCTACTTGCTTGCCCTGTAATATCTCTCACCTCACAGTCGCCATGGCCGAGGTCGCTTCTCCCGCTCCCGCCGCCGCCCCGGCTGGCGACAAGCGGCCCCCGAAGCCCGATGAGGAGGTCTTCAAGAAGCAGCTTGCCGCTGCCGAGAAGAAGCACGCCGACAACATGGCCAAGTTCAACGCCATCAAGGCCAAGCTCGACCTCGCCCAGCCCAGCAAGAGCAAGGACCAGCAGAGCCCCGCCCAGAAGCGCCGCGCCGAGCTGCTGGCCGAGGTCCAGGAGATCCGCTCCAAGCAGGGCGCCGGCAAGAACGCCCGCAACACCAAGCTCGACCAGCTCAAGCGCCTCGACGAGCAGCTCAAGTCCCGCATCGCCGAGCAGAAGGCCGCCCGCGGCAAGGTCAACTTCAAGAGCGTCGAGGACCTCGACCGCCAGATCGAGCGCCTCGAGGCCGACGTCAACAGCGGCACCATGAAGCTCGTCGACGAGAAGAAGGCCCTGGCCGAGATCTCCAACCTCAAGAAGCAGCGCAAGAACTTTGCCGGCTTCGACCAGGCCCAGAAGGGCATCGACGACCTCAAGGCCAGCATCGCCGATCTCAAGAAGACCATGGACGACCCCGAGCAGAAGGCCCTGAGCGAGCGCTACAACCACCTCCAGGCCGAGCTCGACAAGATCAAGGCCGAGCAGGACGACGTCTACAAGAACCTCAACGCCCTGCGCGACGAGCGCACCAAGCTGCACGCCGAGCAGCAGGAGTCGTGGGCCGCCGTCCGCAAGGTCAAGGACGACCACTACAACGCCGTCCGCGCCAACAAGGCCTACGAGAACGAGGCCCGCGCCCGCGCCCGCGAGAGGCAAAAGGCCGAGCGCGAGCGCTTCGACAAGGAGAAGAAGAAGGAGCGCGCCCAGAAGCTGCTGGAGGAGGCGTCCGACCCGGCCTACCTCGAGGAGATCCGCAGGGCCAACGGCCTGCTCCACTTCTTCGACCCCTCCTCCTTCGCCGCCGCCGAGAAGGCCCCCCTTCTGGCCAGCAAGGGCCTGAACGCCGAGGCCTCGCGCAAGGTCGACGACGCCGGCTTCAAGGGCATGAAGGTCGTCAAGAAGGAGGAGGATGACTACATGCCCCCCAAGCAGAAGGGCAAGAAGGGCAAGAAGACCGCCGCCCCTGCCGAGCAGAAGGGTGGATTCAACTGCCCCCCTTCGGTCATCGAGGACTGCTCTTCCATGGGTGTCTCGCCCCCCATGAAGGCCGAGGACGTCCCGGCCGCCATCGAGGAGATCAAGAAGAAGCTGGCCCACTGGAAGGAGGACCAGCAGGCCCAGACCCAACGCGTAAGCTCCGCCTCCCCCAACTCCAAACCCGGCTTGGTGACTTCATACGAACATGTACTGATATTACTTCCTTAGAACGTCGACAAGGCCAAGAAGGAGATCGAGCGTCTCGAGGCCGAGGAGGCCGCCGAGGCCAACGGTGTCAACGGCGACAAGAAGACCGACGACAAGGTTGAGGCCGTGACCTCGGACCTCAAGGACGCCTCGTTGGACGAGAAGAAGGAGTAGAGCTCCTCTCGCTCGACTGACGACGACGACGACGACGCTGCTTACATTTTTGGGCCCGCCTCCGTCTCGGATCCTGAGCGGACCTTCCAGCTCACCTTCCCACCCCTCCCTTCCTCAGTCCCACCTCCACAGCCGGTTCCAGCCGCCGAGATTCCCTTACCCTCCTCTCCTACGAAAATCGGCCCTCTACCTATTGTCACCTAATGGCCGCACAACTGCTGCTCACAGGGATGCATGAAGTTAGGCGCCGGGCTTCTCAGGCCTAGCCATGCCCTCATGTGTCTTTGCTGCTTCTCATTTACGAACCTAATGCTCCTTTTCGTCCCCGGCCGGGATCAGGAAGGTTTCTATAAAATTATACGAAAAACAGAAAATGCTCCTCGTCGAGCGGAAGGAAAAGTCAAATGTTGTTTTTTTCCGGCATAGCCTTGCCCCTGAGGTTTGTTAGTCATAGCATGGAATACACAAAACAGGTTCAGGCGCTTTTCGAGTTGTAGCTATTGTTATGCATCGTGCCGTGCAGACTTGAGTAGTGGGCGTCTCTCTTCTCAGACGTAATCATTGTAATTGTCCTGAAAAAGGCAAAATTATGCCACATATTCCTTGCAAGGCTTCACTAGGCACCCAACTCACTTGCTGGACTGTTGAAGCACGTATATGTGGGGGAACAGTATACCTGGGCAGCAAAAGGACACGTGAGGAACTACAGGAAATCATGGGACGGGTCAAGGTCGATGTTGGGCAGCTGTATTCAAAGTCGCCTAAGCTACGAAGTAAAGTAACTCTTAACTAAGCTAGGCCATGGGCACCTTCCCCTGACTGGTGCGACCTATCCCGACTAACCACGTTCCTCTCTCCTCTCTCAGCGCGAAAAAACTAACCACATCCTGTTTTCTCAACCAGCTTGCAAATTCGTGCGCGCTTTCCAGAGGCTCTCTGTTTCGAAATTGCAAGATCCGGGTCCCTCGTTCTTCCGGTAAGACGCCAGCAACTCCAAGAGGGAGAAGAGTCCAATCGAGGTGAAAAGAAAACCGTTGCCGCACAGGAGCGGTTCGTCCTGTAGAAATTCCCAGAAAGTCTCCCCTGCCGACCTGCGCAGCGTAGATTTGGGGGCGGATAACCAGTAGCAACAAAACAAGGCTCGGGAAGGGAAAAGGAGAAAAATGCGGAGGGAAAATGCCACTGCTTGCCGTCTTGTCGCTATGCAGAAATGAGAAAAAAAGATCTTTCCCTGTTCTCCCATCCGGATTTCACGCATGCAGATTAGGTCGTCGGTATTCTTTTCGCTGCACGTGGGCTCATGAAGTGAGGGGGGGAAAAAACATTCAGAATTAGATGCTGTCGATATAGTCGTTCACTCGTTCGGGTCATAAAAAGCGTTCTGTTGTCCAATTTTACAGTTGGTCATGGATGGTATTGTGGTACCCAAGGTGTCCGTAGAAGTGCCGCTCGGGGTTTGAGATGAGTTTCTTCAATAATCATACGGTGCGATGCCCGAACCGTAACCGTGGCCCATCCTCGCAAAAGGCTCGGCAAAGGGGCTTGGGTATTGGGCGTAGTGGTCCGCATAGTAGTAATCTGGGTCGGGGTCCGGAACGCCCGGGCTGCTAGATAGCGAAGATGAAGCCACGCTGCGGGAGTCCTCATCAAATAGCTCCGATTCCGAGGCATCGGATGGTACCTCCCACAGCGGCCCAAGTCAGTACGGAGGCCCGGGGTAGTATGCAACACCGGGGGGAGGCGGCCCCCGGTAGGGCATCCTCCGCGCACCAGGCGGCGGTGGGCCCAAACCACCACCCATCGGCGGTGCCGTTGTACGGCCGTCTATGCGTCCAACCGGCGGCGTCCTTCCCCGAGGTAGGGGCGTGCCTCGATGCCGGTCGTGGTCGTGGTAGACACTCCCACCACCCATGGAGCCCATGGCGCTTCGTCGGTTCGTCTTACGAGATCCGTTGAGAGCACTCAAGGGCGGGTCCTTCACAGCGGGTTCGTCATCGGAAGGTAACGACAGCTCGACCAAGCTATAGAAATACTCCAGCACCTCCGGATACCGTTGCACGCTGGCCTGCCAATCCTCATCGACGCCACGCTTCAGTGCTGCGTTGGCATGGTCCAGTTGAGAAGGATGAGGTGGAGCGTGATAGTAGTGATAGGCTTGTTGTGTAAGATGATCCAGGTGGTTTTGGTGCTGCAATTTACGACGCTCGGTGAGCAGCCGGAAGTATTCCAGAATGTAGTCTTGAGCATGTGCTCTTACCCAGCCCCTTGACGTCCAGTAAGCAATATGTCGACAAATGAATTCTGACTGGACGCAGCTATAGTCGGTTCACTTACCGTATGTCATTGTATATCCCCCGCATCATACGGTCTTCGGCCTGCTTGACAGCGGACTCGAGCCCTTTGGCCTCGCAGTCGCATTGGACGGTGGCCGGAGCACGGCAGATGGCACAGTCCGGATCCATCCTGACTATAGACTTGCGGTGCTTGTGTTCCCTGGGATGCATCTTAGCGACGGTGGACCGGGGGCGGTAGAGGAGGTTCAGGCCCGTGAGGGGTCGGGCAGAACATGAGAGAGAGTGTGTGCAGACTAGAGTGTACACGAAACTATTGTACAATGTGGTTTCTATGTGACCCAAGAGGGCCTCATGATAATGAAACAAGAGCCAAAGGAGGGACAAAGTCTTGGTGGTCTATGTGGCATGAAGGACTGACCTGGTTTAAAGACTGTGGAGGGCGAACAAGCAACGCAGCACCACAGAAGAAGGTGACAGCAACAGCAATGGTGAGATGCAGTAGGCTGCGTGTTCCGTGGGAGGGGAATTGGATGAAAGGGCGAGCCAACAAGTGGTTAGCTCCCAGGTATTCGTGCAGCAACAGCAGCACACCAGCACCAGCACCAGCACCAGCACCAGCAGCGACAGTGGCAGTGGTGGAAGCAGTAGCGTCACCAGCAACAGCAGAGCAGACCGCCGCGTAGTCGACAGAGCAACAAATGAGGAGGCACGTCGACGCTCTATGGCCCGATACGACGGCTATTCCAAGTGGTGGTTCGCGTTCCAGCACGTCCGTATGGTATGGGGTGTGGGGATGGTTGGGGGGGAGGTCAAGAGAGAACGCTTCAGGTCCGGGCGACGGAGACGAAAGAAGAGCTGGCGGATCGGCGTCCTGGTGGACGGGGATGGAGGTTGAGAGGCTGGATGGGGCACGCCTTGCAGCTCTCTCGCAGCACCGAGGTCCCACAGATCCAATTGACAGTCCGGAGATAGATGAGCGTGAGATGCCGTCGGGTGGGAGTGCGTCTGCCCAGTGAGGCCTGATCACGTTCGCGTCTGTCGTGAGGGCGGAAAGGAGAGGAACAGACAATTATCGAGCTGCCACTCTTCCACGTTGGGCCACTGAGCCGACAGATGGGTTGTGTCGTGGCTCGAATGGGGGTGCGGCAGGCTAGTATGCACTCTGCTTGAGTAACCCAATCCAGCGAAGCCAGACCCGCCCCAAGATATTGCCCCACGAACCACGCTTGGAGCTTTGGGAGAAAGGGGAGGAGGAGGAGCAGCAGAAGCAGCAGAAGCAGCAGGAGAAGAGGCTCGCGTGATGCCAGCTCGGGCTTACTGCACAAGAACAGTGGAGAGGGCGGTCGATACCCGGCTCTTCCTGTCTGGAGGTGATCAAACAGACATGGGAGAATTGCAGAAGACGTGCAGTTGTTGGCTCTACTAGGTACAGACTACGAGCGAGACAGGTCTCCTCTCGGAGAGAAAGGGGGCATTTTCCGAATCCGCTTGGATGCAGAAGTCCAGAAGTCGAGACCTCGCAGCAGTGCATGACGAGAAAAGAGAGCAGCCGAGCAAATTGGAGCCATGGGCGGCTGGAAGTCTGGAACAAAGTCCGTCTTGGGTTCACCGCTTCTCAGACCCGACGGCCGCTTATTAGACGGCCTGCAACTCAACCCCGGCGGCAGGTGGCAATTGCTTGCGTGCGGCGCCTAGTGGCTGTCGACGAGCGGCACACAACGAAGCCAGATGTGAAAGCAGCTCTGTGTGATCATACTTGCAACTCCCTGGCCGATGTCTTGCAGAGTTCGGGTCCCTTTCTCTAGGTTGCCCTGGCATCGATCTCCGGCTTGAGGCTCTTTGAAATTGAGGGGCCGAGGAACGGCGGAAGCTCCGTGGGAAGCCGGTCGGATTTTACATGTGGAGCCACAAACGGGCGACTCAAACCCACGCAAGCTCTGGGACCGGACATGGCAGATACGACAGAGGAGTGATCGAGTAGCTTGGGGGGACCAACCCGTCCACAGCAACGCAGCTTACGGTTTCTGCGTATTATATCGGGTCAGCGTATGGAGATATTACCTAGTAGTCTCCGCCTTGCCGCGCCCGTCGTTCATCGCTTTGCACTAGTCCCACGCCACCCGTCGTCCTACCCGTATCTTATCGGGGAATTTTTGCTCCATCCTCCGCCATAGCTCAGACAGCTGCTCTACCCATCATATCCATCTGGAAGCATAGCAAACAACTCTGCAGAGCCAATGCAGAGATACTAGGGGCTTCCGGACCCAGAAATGCCTCCTAGATGCTCCTCCGGCCCGGGGATACTTCTCCCGTTCCTGTATCCCTCGCTCTTCCGCTCGACCAGCCGCATCGCCCGAGCCGGTATCACGACCCTCCACTCTTCTTCATCCCCCGGCGCCGACTCCAGTGACGACACTGGCGAGTCCCCATCATCGTTAGGCTCCAGCGCGGAACTGCCCAAATCTCGCCTTAACCCGGCCCCTGACGACTATGCCATCTCGTCCTTCGCCGATAAGGCAAAGGTCACCATCCACGCCGGCGGCGGCGGCCACGGCTGTATCTCCTTCCTGCGCGAAGCCTTCCTAGACAACGGACCCGCGAACGGCGGCGACGGCGGCCATGGCGGCAACGTGTACATCCAGGCCGTCCACGGCGAGACGTCGCTGCACAAGCTGGCCCGGCAGCGCATCATCCGCGCCGGCCGCGGCAAGACGGGCCAGGGCAGCAGTCGCGCCGGGCAGCGCGGCGACGACTACGTGATCCAGGTGCCCGTGGGCACCGTCATCCGGGAGATCAGCCGTGTCGATCCCATGGTCGAGGAGCACATGGCCTGGCGGGCGGCACGCGAGAAGGAGCGTGAGTTCAACCGCATGTTCCGCGAGGCCCAGCTGGCTGCCACAGCCGACGGTCTGGACCCCGACGAGGCGACCGCCAGCATGGAGCCCCCCGAGAACCCCAACATAGACAAGTTCGTCCTATACCCGGGAATATCACACATGGAGCGCCGGACCCTGACGCTGCCACGGCTGCCGAGGAGGGAGAGGCTCTACCACCAGCCCTCGGGTCCCATACACCTCGACCTCTCGAGCCCGACCCCGCGGCCCGTCCTCCTCGCGGCTGGCGGCATTGGCGGGCTGGGTAACCCGCACTTCGTGTCGAAAGACCGGCCGCGCCCGCTCTTCGCCACCCGCGGCGAGAAGGCCGTCTCCATGCAGCTGGAGCTCGAGCTGAAGCTCCTCGCCGACGTGGGGCTGGTCGGCCTCCCCAACGCCGGGAAGTCGACGCTCTTGCGTGCGCTGACGAACTCGCGCGCCCGCGTCGGCAACTGGGCCTTCACGACGCTGCAGCCCAACATCGGCACCGTCGTCCTCGACAACCACAAAGGCCGCCGCGTGTACGCGCCGCCCAGGGCCCAGCGCCCGGCCCCGCACGCCGTCATCAACGACGCGCGCTACGGCAATGTCGTCATCGCGCAGCCGGAGCAGATCGGGGCCGGCCCGCCGCCGCGCACGCGGTTCACCGTCGCCGACATCCCGGGCCTGATCGAGGGCGCGCACCTGGACCGCGGGCTGGGCATGGAGTTCCTGCGCCACGTGGAGCGGGCGGGCGTGCTGGCGTTCGTGGTCGACCTGGGCAAGGGCGACGCGGTGGCGGCGCTGAAGGCGCTGTGGCGTGAGGTCGGCCTGTACGCGCGCATGCGGGAGGAGGAGCGCAAGGAGCGCGAGGTCGGCGGGCGCATCGACTGGGAGGGCGACGCCGGCCTGAACCAGCCCTCGAGCAGCTTCGGGCCCGGCCAGATGATGGTTGCTGATTTTCCGGACGTGCCCGATGCGGACGAGGGCGGGCTGCACATCGCGGCCAAGCCGTGGTTCGTGGTGGCGACCAAGGGCGACCTGCCCGGGACCGAGGACAACTTTGCCCGGCTCAAGGCGTACCTGAACGCCGTGACGGACGGCCAGGAGGAGCACCCCAGTGGCGTTGAGGGCGCGTGGACGCTCGACTGCGCCGCCATTCCCGTCAGTGCGATCAACGGGCACGGCGTCGACAGAATTGTGAACTGGACGGTTGGTCTGTTGGATGAGTAGACAGCATATAAACCATGTTAACCGTGCGGTTTTGTGTACAAATAGCCATCACCGGCCCGACTAGTCTAGGCGGGTTAGAGAGTGGGTTGTAAAGTTCAGCACCTCTCACATTGTATTATAAGAAATTGGAGGCACCAGCTGCCTTGGAGAAATTGTACATAAATTTTACTTCTCCTGAATTACTGCTATATCGCGTGTCTCAACGATGGGGTCATTCGGCCTAAGATATGATATATGTTGTGCAAATGATTCAGGTTTTCTTCTATAATAGACCCTAGTTGAAGACCAAGACACAGCCAGTGATGCAATGCATACGCCATTCTTCCCATAGCAAGCTTTTTTTCACCTATCGTACAGGCCAGCTAACTCCAATGCGCTAACCGTCATATTCAATGCGTCTTCGCGTGGGGAAAGGTCATCGGGACTAGCACAGCATGCTGGCTTCACATCCGGGGTTGAAGTCGAGGTGCTGGTCGGGGGCTCCTAAGCTCCCACGGGCTCCTCTTCCTTCGTCTCAGATGCCGCCGGCTCACCATCCTCTCCCTCCTTGCCTTCCGTCACAGCGTCCTGGTCCTTTGCTTCGGCTTCGGCCTCTTTCTTGGCAGACTCCTTGAGCGACTGGTTGATGACGGGCGTCGTGTCATTGAAAACACGCAGCAACATGGCGGACCTGTCCTCCTTGGGTAGCATCAGGTTCAGCGACATGTAGCTCTTCCACAGAGGCAGGACGATTCGCTCCTTGAAGTCTGGGTCCGTGCCGTCGGGCTCGACTCTGAGTACACAACAGCCCATGCCGATGTCACGGGCTTGCTCGCCAATCTCGTTGAGCTTAACCCAGTCATTGTCTGAGAACCTGGGGAACATCTCCCTCAGAAGTTTGTGGAAGGTCTCCTTGTTCGTCAAGCGGATGACACGGTCAGAGCCGACGTAGCCTTCAATCATGTGCATGCCCTCGGACTGAATGCGCCATCGGCAGATATCGGCAGACGGGGCGTCTTGCTTCATGAACATCTTCACACCGGCATGGACAAACTTAATGCCACGTCCCTCGTTCTCCACCAAGATGTCTCTGATCAGAGCACTGGTGTAATATATCGCCTTCGCGGGTTCGCCTGCTGCGTTCCGCACCATGTAACGGTCCTTGGGGAAACGGTCCGAAACCTTGTAAAACTGGCGGATATTGCTCAAAACGTCGTGGTCCTCTGCCAGGTATTTGAAAGGCTCCTCGTATGACCCATCTGAGTTTCTTCCCGGCTTTAGAGGTTTCTTCTGCTGAGCAGGTACGGCGGTGTTCTCGCTGGGAGTTGCGACCTCCGATGTTGGCTCTGTTACGATGGCTTCTGTCTCGGCAGCAGGTGCTGCCTCTGACATCACCTCGTCGACTTTGTCAGCTACCGCCTCAGTCTTAGCCTTCTTCGTGTCTTGTTCTCCGTCAGCATCACCCTCCTCCCTGGTTCTCTTGACGCCGTTCGTCGGAATGACATCCGTAGGCTCGCCATCGGCAGCCTTCTCCTCCTCGACCTCCAACTTGGCGGCAACTTCCTCTGCGACTTCCTTGTTGGCGCCGTTGGTGGCTTTGTCTGTCTTTTGCTGCGGCTGTGCCTCAGGTTTGGCCTTGATTTCGGCCTTCTTCTCAAGAACTGTGATGAAGAAACCGCCGGTGTCCTGCTGGTGTGCGTAGACACGCATGCATCGGTCTAGTGGCAAGCCCGAGCAGTCACTGTCGTCAGGTCTGGGGAACATGGTCTGCGCAACCTTGCCAGGGATGGCACCATCATCCTGGGTTGCCATGTGCTGCTGTACTTCCTCCCAGCTGTTCCAAATACGACCACCCTTATCCATGATCTGCCATTGGTGCATGCCGGGCTTGCGCTGAAGTCCTGGGAGCCTGTCACTGCAATCAATGATATCGACCTTGTCGGGTCCTCCACACCGTTCGATTGCAGACACGATGACTGCCTCGTTCTCGACCGGGTTCATGCTGCAAGTGGAGTAGACAATCCTGCCACCGACCTTCAGCAACTGAAGAGCACGCACTAGGATGCGGATCTGTGTGATGTGAAGGCCTAGGGCGTTGCCTGGCTGCCAATCCTTCCAGAGGTTCATGTTCTTCCTCATGGTACCGTCGCCAGAGCAAGGGACGTCGGCGAGGATCCGGTCGAATTTCAGGTAATGGTTCTTCTCCGGGTCTTTGGGGTCCCTCTTGACCTTGATGGAAGGGAAAAGGGTCGCATCGTGGTTGGTGACAAGAATGTTCGGGGAGGAAAGTCGCTTGAGCTGATGTGTAAGCATGTGACAGCGCTTGTACTCGGCGTCGTTGGCGACCAAGAGGCCGGTGGCCCTTCCGTCGTCGGATGGGTCGGCTGCGAGATCTGCGGCATCGTCTCCGGAGGGCTCGGCCTTGTTCTCGCCAAAGGACTGCAGCACCTGTTGGATCCTGGACTCCTCGCCCATGTGGATCATCTCGACCAGCTGAGCGGACTTGCTCCCGGGCGCGGCGCACATGTCCAGAACCTTGTGGCCGGGCTTGACGTCCATCAGCAGGGGCGGGATCATGCTGACAATCTCCTGTCTGCTGATGTTGCCGACGCTCGTCTCGGAGACCAGGAACTTCTGGAAAGCGGCGAAGGGAGGGAACTTGCGGATGACGTGCTTCGGGGTGTTCATGGAGTAGGCGAGCTGGTCAGGGTACCAGGCGACGGCCTTGGGAGGCTCGACAGGCTCGCCGTCGAAGCGCTCGATCTTGGTGATCTCGGGGACATAGCGCTCTTCCAGGAGTCGCTTGACGGCCAGGGCGTGGCCCTTGGAACCGCAGAATCGGAACGAGTTGGGCAGCTCCTTCTTGAGCGCCTCCCAGAAGAGCTTTCTCTCGTCGTCGTCGAGGGGCAGGATGGTGTTGTAGTACCTCTCGAGCTTCTCGTGCTGCTTGGCAGCGTCTGGGTAGGAACGCCATGAGGGCGCGCGATCGTCTCCTCCACCACCGCCTCCTCCACCGCGGGGTCCTCGGTTGTTACCACCGCCTTTGCGACCGCCCTGCCGTGTGTTAGAAGAGAGTCAGAGGCCGCTGGGACCATGGGGGAACGTACGCGAAAGTTCTTGCGACCCATGTTGGAGGAATTGGTAGCTGGAATCGCAGTTGGAGGTTGACAAGAGCCGACGTTTCTGAAGCTTCGCAAAATCTCTGATCTGCGACCTGGAGCTCACCGCGCGACCTGGACTGCCCCGCAATATTTTTTTTAGTGGGACAATGGTCCCCCCCAGAAGTGGGTCGCCTATAGCGATAAGACCTCTGGGCCTCGTTCGTCCCCAGGTCGGAGACGATGCTGGTCATGTCTGACTTGGTTCTCTCTATCTACGCCCACCCATCGTCACATGGTTGCAACTGCAGATTACGGGGGTCGGAACCCCAGTTGCACAACCTGGTTGCGGAATGATACCCTTTTCACTGTCAAACATCTACTATATTGTGAGCTGCTTATGTGCTCGACGACGGACGTCAGCCACAGCGCCGATTAGCATTATGTACAGGCAGATAGATATCAATCAAGGCTTTAGCGTCTGTATAGACTGATCGTGGAGCCAGTGTCGATGAGGCAGGCGCTACAGCAGCTGGTAACGCCCAGGCCAGAATTTGTTGAGATGTAGGCGGTGATATCAGGCTTCTGGCCATGCTAGAAGACAGTTGTAGCCCACGTTCAATATGAGCCTAGGATTCACTTTAATGCTCTTCTGGGGTTAATGTGGTGTGACTACAATTCGATAAATCAAGAACAATGTATGCTTAAGCAGGAGCAAAGTACATGCGAGTGCGATATAAAACGAAGGTCAAGAGCACACTATAATCATTGCGACAGCGCGATTCCATGCAAGCACACCCACTAGCAATCTCTGAAAGCAGGATCCCAATAGTCTCTCACATCTTGTACTCCACACCAACTTCGTGCTCCATCATGTCGAACACCGGCTTTGCGCTGAACCAGCCCGCCATCTCGTGTCCGATGCTCTGGAACGTGAAAGCAGCCTCCTCGTCGCTGACCTTGACCGTCTCGCCACCACGGCCCGCGGCCGCGGCATCAGCCAGCAGCTGGCTCTCGCAGCAGACTTCCAGGGACATGAACCAGCGCACGCAGCTTTCGACGGACCCTCCGCAGGTCAGAAGCCCGTGGTTTGCAAGGATGGCCGCCTTTTTCTGCCCCAGGGCCTTGGCGATGTTGATACCCTCCTGGGGCCCGAGGACAATTCCACCGAACTGGTCGTAGTGGGCAAGGTCCTTCACATAGAAGTCGTCAGAAAACCATCTCTCTTAATGAAGCAACGCTGCATGAGATCGGAAGGGGCCGGACAGGGACCTCTCAACTTACGTTATAGAAAGTACATGCATCCTGCGAAATGATGTCCAGGTTTCGACCCAGCGTGCTAAATGCTCGGCCATATTTGCTGTGCGAGTGCGCTACTGCGTTCACGTCGGGGCGAGCATCGTGTACAGCATGGTGAATCATATACGCTGTGTACGGTTAGACGGTGGTCCTTGGGCAGATAAGATAACACAAAGGGCATACCAGCAACATTGAGGAGGCGGACGGGTCCGCCGTCGATGATCTCGCCGTGGGAGTCCACGCGGATCAAGTCCGAAGCTCTAAGGAGTGGCCAGGCAACACCGAAGGGGTTGACCCAGAAGGTGGTTGGGTCGACGGGGTCCTGTCGGGGCATACTGTCAGTACGATGGGTCACATTTCGGGTATTGTTGGTGATCTCTACTTACGCGAACAGTGATGTGTCCTGATACGCTGCTTAATGTCAGTATACATGGATTCGAGACTATGTCCGATGAGGATCGGGGGTTGTAGGTCTGACCCTTCATCGAAACCGTTCTTAGCAAAGATTCGGAAGCCCAGAGCCAGCCTCTCCTTCAGATACTGGCGCTCTTGATACGGGTCGTCGAACTTGGGCGGATGAGGGACCGAGCCCTGGTGGCGGCATTAATACACATCCCCTGTGGCAAGACGGGACCTTGGTTAGCTCACTCACCTTTGCAACGCCTGTCGTCTTCAAGTCGGTATCACGGATTTTTTCTGGCTCAGTCACCCCTGGAGACATCTTGACTATTTACCTAGGTAAGGCACTTGTAATGGAGAAAGTAACTAAAACCGTCTTCTGGAAGGGAACCTGTCTAGGAGAAAGCCAACAACCAAACGAGCCAAATCCAGTGATCGCGACAAGGTCTATATTTGAAGACTGAAGAAAGTAAGAAGTCGAGCGGTATAACAACCTAGGTCCGGCCGGAGACAACGCGGTAGTGGCAAGCACATGCGGGGAAGCTGCAGCTTGCAACTCTAGAAGGGCGCACCCCCCCGGTGCCCTTGGCCGGATGCGCAGAGCCCTTTGCAGTGCACTAGCGCACGTGAGACTCGTGTGGCCGTGGCTCAACTGGTACAGAAGGATCGCCATGAACTGCCGATGGGAGTCGACTTGATACGGACTGTCGGAAACGTAATCACCAATATGCCGATAGTGTAAGCGGCCTCCGACCCGGCCTCCGCAAACCGGGCAGTCGGCAACGTCGTTGGCGACCTGCGCCACCACTTGCTTTCCACTCCTCAGGCCCCCAGTACAAGCTGCATGAACTTGTGTTCCGGTTGGTGGATGTGCCTAGGACTATGGTCTTACTTGCTCGTTCAACATTGTGCTACCAGGTATCGACAGAGAGAAAATAACTCTATTTTATTTTTGCAAAACCGTCCATTGATTCCAGGCCATGTAAAAGTATGCAAATACTGGCTTTTCTAGTATCAACGATGCTATGAACTGACTGTGCAATGGAATGTCTCTCCAGCAAGAAACATTCAGATCTAGCAAGTCACTGGTATCTGATCAAGGCCGCCGTACCAACTCCGTTTTCATGCATTTTGGTCTGTATGTACGTAATAGAGCCCTCGAAACTATGTACTTATGGTTCGGCTTTTTCTGCTGCTGGGGTTGTTGTCCCTTTGGAATGAGACATGCTGTAAGGTGCCTAGCGATGCGGTGTCAGTGTCCGTTACGATTGATGATGTATGATTTCAAACTTACGAGGACCTGTTTGGCGTTACAGATTCTCCAGGCGAGGTTTTTGACGTTACCATCCGCCGGTACGACGGCGGGCGCAAATTCTATGCCAAACATGTGCTGAATGGCATAGACTACTCTCCTCGCGTATTTGCCATCCCGCTCTACATGGTTGCCGAAAGGCTCCTCTGGGGTGCTCGGCGCAATATCCGGGTTCCGGTCGAAGCAATTCTGCAGGATAGGTAGGAGAGATGCCTCAACAGACTTTTGATACAGCCCTTGGGAGTCTACTTCCACGTCCTCCTCATCGAACCGACCAATCTGGATTTCGAAAGGCTGTGAGATGGACATGACGTTATGGTTGCCAGCATGGTGGTACCGGAATTCGAAGACACCTCTGGTCCACCACAGTTTGTCACCTTCGAAGACGACCTCTCCATGAACAAGACCGCCTTCCGTTGGGTCGGCCTGGTCGACAGTGACATCTGACATGAGAATGCCTTTGTCGGCAACGGTGGAATCATACTGGTTGGGAGTGACGGCGACCCAACGACCAAGCGAAGGAGCCTCGGTCGCTTCACGGGAGCGGTTGTCTGCAACCATGTATAGTCCGATCCAATCCTTCTTGTGGTGCTTTGCCGGCGCAGTCCATTTGACTTTGATGGGAGCGCCGTATTCGAGGATCATGGTCTTGAGATCACCTGGGAAACGGGCATTGGTTCCTTCTTTGCCAGTAGAACGTTCGGTCAAAGTAGAATGAGCGGCGGATTCACCCTCTACTCGAAGAGAATAGTCCTTTGGATCGAAACCAGCCAGGTCCGGTGAAAGCTTGGTCAAAGTGAGGCGTGCTGGAACGTTGTTGAACAGTGCTGTGGTGTCCCGCACAATAGTGGACACGCCAGCAGCGAGTTTCGGGCGAGCATTATCCAAAAACTCCTCCACGAAATGTGACGTTTCGTCCATGACCTTGTTGACACTAGTGCTCCATCCCTTGACGGGTGGGGGGAGGGAACTCTTGATAAACTTGGTCAAGCCGGCCTCCTTGCGCAGGCCACGGCCATATATCTTTTGCATGTGCGGCTGCTCGACGAATTGCAGGAATCCAAGGGTGAGAAGATGGCTGAGGAGAGCCAAAAGGAAGATCGATCTGCTCCACGTAATCAGTGCAGCTCCCCATAGACCAGCGGTACCTATGATTCGCTCCGGGTTATTCAAGAAGCGGTATATGGAAGAGTAGGTCAGCTTGGCCCCTTGTTCGAAAAAGAAATCGCCAAAGAACCAGCCGAACTCCCCGAGGGACTCGTAGATGCTGACAGAGGTCCAGATGTGCAGGGCGATCAGTCCGGCACCCAGTGTGTGCTTCAGCAACACAAAACCATAGTCCCAGCTTGCCGGGACTGCGTAGAGTTTCCAGCAAGCGGCGATGAAGGACGCATAACACAATACCTGGGATATATGGTACATGGCCTTCCACTGACGCCAGGCTTCACCAGAACTTTCACCAAACTTGACAAAATGCCGGGTCCATATCTTGTTGTTGGATTGCCGGTTGAGGATCACACCAAGACCAACAGAGTACCACAGCCGCCAAGCGCAAGCGTGAACGACAAACAAGAACTGAAACAGAGGAGTACTCGGTGTCACAATAGCCAAGGAAGTGAGGTATCCCAGAAGAAGCAATGTCGAGTAGTCCGTAGTTCTGAACAGATCAAGGTTCTTGAAGCCCAAAAGATTGTGGATCTGCGCTGGAGATTCGTTCTGGTACGCTGCAGTGGGTGAATCAGCAGCTCCAGGTTGCACGGCGCCGGCTGTCTCCTGTGCGGAGTTGTCGGCGGAGGTCTGAGTATCTGCACGCTTTCGAGGCGCCGGCGGGTTGTATGTCTTCTCGATATGAGGGTTCTCCACAAGCACAAGGAAGGCAAACTGCGCAGCATGTGCCACGATGGAGATGAGGAGTACCGAATAGCTGGCAGCCATCATGGAAATGCCGTAATACCCGGCATATCCAATCGAATACATGGGATGAGGGGCCATCTCGAACACGCCGTCAAACGTCAACTCTTGGTCGATCAGATAGAAGAAGTCACCCCAGTACCAAGCATAGTCCTTGACGACACGGTGGGCGTCAAGCTTGACCCAGAGGTTGAAGCCGAAAAGGCCCAGGCCGAAGAACCAACGGGCCAAGCAGATCAGCGTGGACTCGTTCTCAGGCGAGTGGCCACAAGCAATGGCGAAGAGACAATACGACACGAAATCACACATGAGAATAAGATCGACTACTCGTCGAAAGACAAGCCAGGTATTGTACTCGAGCGGGGCCTCTTCGAAGGAGTAGTCCTCGGGGATCTTTGTCTCCAATTCGTTTTTCAGGAGCTTATACAGCCAGGGCCGTGGGTTCCTACCTGTGGCGGGGTTCTCGAACAGCTTCCACGTCTTTGCCCAGTTGACCATCTTGTTCTCATTAGACTGCACTCTGAGCAGAAGGCCAATGCCCAAGTTATAAGAAGCTCGCCATATGAGGAAGATGAGGGCGAAGGCGGGCCGCTTGAGAGATGAGGGCAGCAGGCACAGCAGGGCAATGTGGGCGGCAAGGATGGCCAAGACCAACGCATCAGACAGGTTCTTGGGCTGGCGGGGATCTAGCAACTGCGAGACCATGTCATGCGTGGTAGGCACGGTGAAGACTACAACACAAACCCCAAGTCAGCATCTTACTCGACCGCGACGTAACGACTGCTCGCTTCACTGACTTGTGCCGTCCGGCGTCCGGCCAAAGGTCTTCCTGGCCTTGGGTGCCGGTTCGCCCTCCTCCTCCCCCCGGCCCGACTCCGCACGCGGGGGAGCACGTTCGCTCTCGGAAGCAGGTACAGCATGCCTGTGGCGCAACTCGCCGGGTGCCAGGGAGCTGTCGGAACTCATTGCGGACGAATGTCGACGTCTTAGCGGAACAACAAAGAACGCTAGGAATCCACGATTGCGATTGGGGTTGCGAGACGATGTGAACTGGCCCGAGGGGTTTTTATCCAACGGTCCCAGCCATGAAATGCGGGATGCCCGCTTTGAAACGCACCCGACAGACGGCTGCCGATATCCGTCTACGTGTGGATGTATGTGCCGTACGTCTTCAAGGCCTTGGCCCTCGACACTGGAATGCTTGTTTTACGTCACAAGCGACTGGGGAAGGCCGTCTGGGGAAGCCCAGGGCGCAGCGCGGATGACTAAGAGACGGCGGAGATGCGAAAGGGCTGAAGGGCTGAAGGCGGGAGGGATGAGCGACGCTTGAATTCTAATTACCCAATTGTTGGTGTAGCTCAGAAAACCAAATGAACAGTCACATGTGTGGGATGAAGGCGCGACGGCCTCTGGGCCTGGCCAACCTTAGGGCATCGTGGGCGCCGTAACCCGGATGCCCAGAAGCGGCATAGCTGGCTCGCCCAGCGCCTGTTGCAGAGAACGTGGCCCCGTGGCCGGCGGCCGCATCAGTGTCCCGGGTCTAAGCGCAGGCGCCAAGACTGGAACCTCTCGCTCACTCTAGCTCAGACTTCGTTCAACCCTCGTCCTCTTGTGAGACGAGCTGCTGGCCGCCAAAGAGTTCAGACGGCTTCTTGTCCACGAGGGGCGAGGGACACGATCTACAGGAGACACGGTTCGTCCGCACGCGGTCTCATGGCATTAACAGGATCCATTATAGGGACCCTATGTTCGCATGGATCTGCTGAATTAGCTACCGGTTGCAGGCCACTTGCGCAGACGTGCTTCTCACGCGTTTAATTGGATTGTCATGCAAACGAAACCCATTTTGCATACCAAACACTGAGAGGACCCTGTGCAGACCAATCGATTCTCCGGTTTTGCATTGCCAGAACCCATTTCATCCGAGCTTCGGCAGCTTTGCATGAATTTTCAAAGCACTTAAACATGTCGTGAAATGGACGGACTGCAACGACGACCTTCTAGAAGGTAGGGATCGTAGGCAATGTCCCCGGATCTGCCGTAGTCGCGTTTATGACTAGTTTCCAGGCACGCTTGTCTATAAGTACTGCCATGTGAACCTGAGGCTATCCTGGTGTTCCTCGTTTTCTTTCTCCATGCGGATTTGCTTTCCAACCCATCAGTCCTTATAGTCTTCCTCGAAACGAACCACTATCCTTCACTCCCCAGCACTTTTCAAAGCAATAATCAATAATGGCTCTCTTCAGCAAGGACGTCCCGGAGGAAAAGCCCGAGGAGAACCCCAAGGACAAGAAGGGCAAGTCCAAGGACAAGAAGGATAAGAAAGACAAGAAGGGCAAGGGCAAGGAGGACGATGACAAGCCTGGCCTGAAGCGCCCGGGCACCTCTGGCACCGAGAACATTCTCATCACAAACCGCAAGGAGGCCATGGAACAGTTTGCCAAGGCCCAGCGCGCCGAGAAGGTGTGGAGGGCCAAGAAGCAGGCCACTGCCGCCCGCGAAAACTACACCGAGACCAAGACTCACTTCCGGGAGTGCTTCTCTCACTTCAAGTTGGCCTTCACGGGCTTGTTCGCCGTCATGTTGGCGATCCCCCACCTCATCAGAGACAAGAAGGAGCAGAGGCGCAAGAAGGCCGACGCCGCCCGTCGTGCGCGTGACCTCGAGAGGAAGAAGAAGCTCGAGGAGGCGTTGGCCCGCCAGTCAATCGACACTACCGTGACCAAGCTTGACGCATAGTCGGCCAGAGTCCTCGGATAAGGATGCGCCGACCGTCATGAGAGGAGGGGGAAGGGGGAATGAGAAAAGGGGGGTGAAGAAATCTACCAAAGATCGATACCCCCCTTTCCAGCAACCACAGTCGCTATTTCCTATGTCACCAACATCGTCGGGACTACCCACTGATGTTCACACTCACTCAATCAACACCAAATCGCAATCGCTCTGAAGAAAAATAACAACAAAAAAGATCAGGTTTCGACTCTCATTTTCGATCTTTCCGATACAGATTCTAACACAACATCTTGGCCCAACGCCACTCGACTCTGCATTCAGCGGCCATACATTCGTTCTCCGGCCGCGGACCTTTTTGCAGCAGTCCACACTCACTCGAACACACTCTTTATGAAATGACGAGACAAGGTTAATGAGACCTCATGATGACCAACACAAGACGCCTTTGTCGGATGGGAAGCATGCGTTTCATCGGGCAAGGGAGTAAGGTCAGGGTGTGGGTCCAACTATAGACATACGTCTTGTCATATTTCTCGTTTTTGCCCTTATAGCATTTCCCCTTTTCTTTGACTCTATGAGGCGTTGGTTTTTATACTCTTATATACCCAGCTACGGCCTTGATGGCCGTAGAAATTGTTTAGGATTAGTAGTCAAGGGCCGGCAGGTATAATCAGAAGCTAGTGCTGTGTGCGAGCCACACTTGCACTGGCAGGATTCAATACAGAAGATATATCTCTCCAAGTAATCTCTCCCTTGCGTAGCTGAGTTCGTGTCTCCCGAGTTGCAAGACTTCTGCCATCAGATCCCGCGGGTGAAAACTGTATACTGAGTGTTGATGACGATAGGAGCCGCCATGAATTAAAAATAAGCGCAGGTTGTGTACGTATACACAGCGGTTGACTCAATGAAGGATTATTTCATGGCCTAGAAACTCCAGAAATCCAATTATTCACGGCAGTCGATTTTCTGGGTGACTGCATCCGGGTTTTCTGGCACCGGGCTCTTTGAATGTCGTCACGAAGACTAAGAAGGGAACACAGCAAGTCTATCCCGCTGATCTGGATCTGAGACACGTTTGTCTTCTGAACAAAATCATGATCCATTACCGGTGAAATACAGTCTATCATGTGCCCATTTCATGATCTGGATCCCAGACATTCCGGCGTCATGCCCATTCTGGGCGGGAGGCTCTCCTCCCTCCCAAAATTTTGTCGTTCCTCCAGACCCACAACCAACAATTTACGCAGCCTTCTTTGCGAACTCTACGCGCAAGATAAGATGCTTGAAACCATATCCGTCCATACTGTTGCATGCCTTGACGGCGTCGGTCCTGTCTGCAAAGCTGATGAATGCAAAGCCCTTGGCCATGCCGGTCTCTCTGTCCTTGGCGAGGAACACACGGGTGACACGTCCGAAGCGCTCGAACATGTCGCGCAGCTCGCCCTCTTCCGCCATCTCGGAAACCTGTCGCGGGGAGAATTAGTGCACTGCTTGTCGGGGGTGCGCAGGGGATAGAATAGGGCCAAAGCCGCTGAAACAGGCGCCGGAGGAATAATGAGAACTTACGTTGGTGACACGCAGGGTGGCCAGGTCGTCCCGCTCGCCAAACTTGCCGCCCATACGCTCACCGGCACCACCGGTGGCGCCGGCTCGCATGGCCGGCGGTACGTAGCTACCCTTCTTGCCAGCACCGGCGGCTCCGACCGAGACCTCGTCGCCCATGCCGGCGGCGACATCGGCGGCACCCTCGGCGCCGACGGGGGCCATGGTGTCCTTGTAGGGACAGCGGGCGGTGAAATGCTCTCCGTTACAGATACGGCACTTGACGGTCTTGTCCTTGAGCTTGTCCTTGAGGGCGTCGGTGGCGCTCTCCTTGGCCTCCTCCTTGGTGTCCTTCTTCCAGTTGGTGCTGAGGCGGAAGATGATGTTCTCGCCGACCGAGGTGGTGTCGCTCTGGGGGCCGACCTTGTCGTTGGCGGACAGGCCAAACTTGGGCCAGTTCTTGCGCTCGGCGACGCGCGGGTTGACGACCTCGCGGTGCGTCACGAGGCGGATCCGCCGCGTCGTCTTGACCTTCTGGCCGTCTTCGTTGTAGCGGTATGTGATGGTGGTCTTGGTGCCGTCCTTGTTCTGGATCGTCTGCGGCGGCGGCAGCTGCTCGGTCTGGGTGGTCTCCTCCAGATCATCGTCGTCGGCCCAGTCTCTGTTGGGAGGCGAACACGAGGTTAGCAATCGGCGGGCAGTCGCTGCAGGGCCGCAGGCGGGCGACGGCGGCTTACCTTGGCTTGGTCGACATCTTTGCGGCTTCTCTGCGGATTTATGGGTTTCGTGTCGGTCGAATGCGCGTCTTGCTTGCGTTGCTTGATGCGGTTTGGCTGGTCTGGTCCCGTCTGTCGTTGTCGGCGTGGTGGATTTTGGACGTTGCAATAATTATTTGCGTGTGGGGCAACTGCTGACCCCTCCAAAATCTCCGCCCGTGTCCCCAAGTTTCGCCTCACTCGATAGCAGTGAGTGAGTCAGTCAGTCAGCCGGCTGCGCTAAAACACTATACTGACTGCCATCTCTTCCAGTCTGCCTTGATCTCCAGATCGATGTGTAACCACTTGGGCACTCGGTTCGGTTTCCTGAGCTCCTCGAATATTGTCCTGGCCACCAACCAGGATCAGCAGAACCGAAAAACTGGTCACGAACAAGAAAACTGGGTCGCAGGGAGGCTCACGGATATCTAAGCATCCTCTACAAAACCTGTTGTTGCCATACCCAACCCCCGGCACAATCAAACTCGTTACTTGATCGATGGATGATCATTTGATTTTGGTAGAGGGAAGTCTCCCTTAGCCTGCAGGTGTGAAGCCGGCGTCATCAATAACAATCACATCTATGCAGACGACTTGAAGGCGTGAAGACTCACGCAACGGACCTCTGCTTCCTCTATAAACATCCCCCCTCTTCTCTTCATCAGCTTGAACATTTCACAGGGCTGTGCTTCGATGCCCATGACAGCGTCAAATTCAAGGTGGGCCTCAGGCGTCCAGGATTCACAATTCGCAGAGATTCTAAGTCATGAGCATGAGGCTCGAATCGCTGTCGAACAAGGCATGGGCATGGAGTAAAGTGACTTAGAAAACTATTATGCCAGTTTGGCTGTCTCCTAGAGTACATCTCAGTAATCATAGCATCCGAACTCATGCAAATGGTATCTCCATCCCCTGCTCGAAAATGGCCGCAAACCTGCGCAACGCCCTTTGATACCACCAAAAATCCCGCCTTCGCGGTGGACCTTTTTTCTATATACACACAAAACGCCTTCATGACAGATCGTAAGGTACAAAGAATCTACACAGAGCCTGGTGTAGCCACGTAAACATAAGGCACCCACTTCAGTGGGCCCTGCATTTTTGTTGTTGTATAATAGACAACGCTGAACTATAGCGGAATAAGAAGAAAGGGAAAGTAAGAACGCTTCTCGTCAGAGTGTAAACAAAGGGGGAGAGACAACCTAGGATTTCTTCGGGAGGGGTGGGAGAGCGCGAGTGGGAGGAGGGGCAAGTGGTGGTCCCTCAGCAAGCTGCGGCATGCTCCTCCGGCCGAGTAGGGCCTTGGCTCGTAGGTCGACGTTTAGGAATTGATTCGAAGAGGATAGTAATGGAGACCGGGATTGACGTTTCGAGGCCTTCTCTGTCAGGAGAGCCTTGTCGACAGGGATGGGAGAGCACCGTGAAGAAGAATCTTCAGCCAGGAAGGTGGCTCGCTTATACGAAGGGGCCTTCGTATTCGCAGTGGCTGCAAGCCTTTTCTCCAGGCCGTTCGAACCCATCGAGGGCGCCCATGTTGGGTTGTCTTGCTGTCCGCTCGTGCTTGAGAGTACAAATTGTTGCGTCTTTGATTCTGGATCCGTGAAGGAATCTGCAGGAGCCCGGAGGTTGTTCAGGCTTACAAAACGACGTGGAGAAATCTTGGCTTGAGCCCCGCGATCATTCGTGACTGTGGAAGTAGCTTCCGCCACCGACGGCAACTCTCTTTGAGGTGGAGTCCGGACCTCGTCACGTTTCCACTTAGAGAAGGCTGATGAGTCTGGGACTGCTGGTGCAACTAGGCTCTGCCTTTGCATGGCGTTGATGCTCCTCATGGCTTCTTGGGGAGACAGCGGAGATCTTGGAGACGGCATGTCCACCACCGTGGACAACGGCCGTGACATAGCGAGTGACGTTGGTGGCGGCTTCCTGCATGCCTTGACAGAGGGCTCCGGTTGTTCTTGTGATTCAACTTGATCTGATACGGAATCTAGAGAAGGCGGTCTGAAGCCCGAAAACCGCTTGCTGAAGTTGGGGACGCTTTGGCGGTTGGAAGCATTGCTGTCATTGCTTTCTCCTCCAGTAGAGATGAACGAGTGCGGACGTGCACTCGACTCGAATTGGGTTTCGAGGCTGGGGATGAGAGTCTGCATGGATTGCCTGCGGCTCGATATAGCCTGTGCATTGGGCCGCAGTCTGACCTCAGTCTGAGATTCTTGTGCTTGCGAGTTCGTTTTCACTCCCTCGTTGTGGCTTGAGAAGCTGGCACGGGTGGGCGAGCAGGCGGGAGACGAGTTGGCCGATGTGACGTACGTCCTCTGTCCGGATGAGATGTAGGAGAATCGATTCGAGCTGTCCCGGAGGCTGTCGAGATGTTGCCCGTCAGACGAATAATGACTCTCGGTGGTTGAAATGTCATCGAGCGAAAATTCAGGAGTGAGCTCGGCCGAAGGGATCGCGGGGAGGCCGTGATCATGGTCTTGCTCTTTGAGGGCATTTTCGTTGGTCCATGAGAAGTCTTGTTGCACGATCGTCGAGAAACGCGCCGGGTCCCTTACCACGATAGTCCTCTGACTGGGTTGGGTTTTCAAGTTGAGTGTGTGGTCTTCCGTTTTTGGCTCTCCGGTCTCTGAAAGTCGCTTCTTGCCACCTAATTCCTCTATCTCCCGTCGCAGGACTGCAAGCCAGTTATCCATGTCCTCCGCACTCTCAAACACCATGAGAAAGTTTGAGGTAGTCCTCCGCTCTGCCGCCCGCAGGGCCAACTTCGAAAAGAGCGACCTGTTATCCCCGGTAGGCGCGCCATCCGTGTCCACGGTCGAAACAACCTGTATGACCCAATGTTTCCCTGGGATGAGATCACTGGCGAAAGCGGCGGAATCTTTGGTCAGGCGCAGGACTCTTTCTGGCAGACGATCGAAGGAACCATCGGCCGAGTATTGCAAAAGGTAACCAGATGTGTTCAGGACATAAGTTTTGGTGGTCCATTCCAAAATACTCCGTGATCCACCCGTGCGCTGGTGGAATTTCTTAATCTTGTCACCTTTCTTCTCTCCAATCTCCTCGCCAGCTGCGTCATCGCCCGCGCCGGTCGACCCGCTGTTGCGATGACCGTTGAGCCTAAGTAGCACATCGAGAGACGCTGTACAAGCCGGTAGGGTGGCATGCTTGACAGACTGCGGATAAACCTGGAAAAGTGGCAACGGTACCCATGAACTCGAGTTCGGACTAGGCGCTGCAGGCAATGGCTTGCTTTTCCCAACGCCGGATTGTCGCAAACGTGGGATAGACGGCTGACTCTGAAGACCGGATGCATTTGATCTGGACGAAGACGGAGGTTGGGGGCTTGCCAAAGAAAGGTCGGAACGCGAAGAATGCAGGCCATATGGCCAGTTGCTGATCTCTGCCAACGAGGCTCGTATGCTTCCCAGCCGAGGCGATTCCCTTCGAGCGGCAGACCCGTCCGGGTCTTGGCCGTCCTTGTCACTTCCGGTCTTCTGTCTGCCGAATAGACCACGCAGCCCGACCCGTGATTCTCGCTTGTTAATCTTCTCCTGCCGAGAGTCCACACGGAGTGGGACCCTGTCCTCTTCCGCGATGACAATATCTGGCGGCCGCGCGCGGCGAATACTGTTAGAATGAGACTGTAGTGACTCAAAAGCTCCAATCGTCGGGCTCAGAGGCCCGTGTTCTGTGTCTTCTTTACCCATCCTCAAATACGCCGCTGGTCGGCCAAAACGTTGGGAGAAAGTTGTTGTTGATCACCAGTAGGCGCAGGTGTGGGTGATCCGGGACGTGGGGAAGTTGGGGGATATGAGAAGGTCCAAGACTCGCGTGATGCGCCGCAACATATGATGATTACCAGTGCAGCGGTTGGATGTGGTGGGCCGCAGGATGTGAAAGGAATGCGAGGGTTTAAGGCATGTATCGTGGTCCAACAGCTTGGCAAGTGTTGTTCAGATGTCCAAACACAACAAGATTACAAGGAAACCATGGAGACATGGGCGAGGTCAGGGCAACCCTGTGTAAGCTCGAGTACTCCACGACGGGGCCCAAAGGTTGCGTAGCAAGGACGCTTGGATCCCGGCAAGCCCGCACCGCAGAGAGCGACACGACGCCAGCAGCCCGCCTTACTAGAGGTTTTAGAGGCCGAGCTTGACTTGACGCTTTGGTTTGGGGGATGCGGGTGGTGGTCCTGGTGCTGGGGCAGAAACGAGGGAAGAGGAAACACAGGCCAACGCCATGACGCACGAGACATTGGACTCGAAAGGATAAAATAGTAAAAGCTAAGCAGACGCACGACAATTCCGCGTCTCTCTGCGCTCGTGGTGGTTGGTCAGACTCAGATCGATCCCCCGAAGTATCTGGCTATGTAAAGAACGGCGGGCAGGGATGCAGAACAGTGACTTCCGCAACCCAGGCAGGGATGTCGCGAAAGCGCCCCCTGTCCCCCCTGCCCGGAAACATCAGCCGTGTCCAGTGCTGACCTGCAAGGTGAGGTTTGGTTTGGTGTGGCCAGAGAGAGTACCATAGTACTCCGTACCCCGTTGCAGTACACACGAGCGAGACGGACGCGAGAGAGCCGCCCTGCGCAGAGCAGCCCGGTACCTTGCCTGCACCTGTGAATGCCGTACCCTCCTCCATGGATGCAGGCCCTCAGGACGCCGCGGGTTTACGACACTGGCTTGCCAGACTGCAAGACTCTTGGTACGGGGGCCACTAGGGAACGCCTAGTGCGTCGTAGTCAGGCACTGGTCAAATGCTTACACGATGAGTATCCGCTCGTGATCTCACTGCCGGCCTAGGTTGGTCTGGCCGCTGCGAAGGAGGGCAGAAAAACTTGGTACCAAGATGGATCCGCGATGGGCATGGAATCTTCAGCCGCCAACGGGCATGGGTACCGGGGATTTGGGGGATTGATGAGTGCGCCCCGATGGGCCCCCAGGCCCCCCAGGGCCAGAAAGCCCAGCCAAGTTGCCAACAAGGCAGGGCTGTGGGTACGCACAACAGACACACTTGCCAAAAGTTGGCCGTCGGAAGCTGCTCACGATGGGGCTAATAAGTGACATGGGGGAACAAAGTAGGCGACGTTGAAACGTCACCCATCACGGTTCGGAATACTAACACTTCTTCGTGTGCCGGGGACTGGAATGCGGGCTCTCAGGCCCCGACCCAACCTGGAGCGTGACAGCGAACAAGCGCAATTGTGATAGTCATATCGGGTTCATTGCAACTTGGCTCCTGCATGCTCTCTCCGTGATTTGTACCAATTATCGTCGACTTCAATTTCCGCAAGTTTGGCAGTTGTAGCGCCGGCCCCAGGGGCTTTTCAGATTGTTTTGAGTCTTGAGCAGAAACGCGCCGCGCTCCCCTGAGAGGGGCACGTCAAGTGATTCGCTGCGCCGACATGACGAAACACTCGGAACGAATGGAGATGCGTCAGGGTCCCCTCCCCAGCTTGCTCGCTGCAGGGTTGGTTCAGTTCAGCGCGCCTTTTACAAGGCTCGGCACGGGCATGACGGGACTTGCCCAAACCCAACCACAGACGTGCAATTTTTTTTGTTTAAATCTTACCTCGAAGCATGCCAGACCCGGTTCTCATGCAATAGTAAGCGTCTCATATTGACGTGCAGACATGGGCCCCCGTCCTCCAGGCCACCTTTTGGGAAGACGATAAAAGCCGACATGCCAATTCTGTGATGAAAGCACGGTTGTCGCTATGTTCCCGGATCACCTCGTTTTCTCCAAATGTTTTGACAATCCATCCGGCATAAATCATGCAGAGTTCAATAATACATTTGACAGGTCTTGGGCGTCGCTGCCACAGAGTCAAACCACACCTCCCACTTAGTCACCCGCCTATCGAACGTTATGTGCACAGCCATTAGGCTTCTCCTTTGCATGTGCATCCGCTTCTGCACAGTTCTCTTACTCATCAAACCGGATCCTCTCTTGCCCCTCTTCCTGTGAAAGTTCGCTTGTTTTGTACAGGAGACAGGAGAGCAGGTATTCCAGATTGGATGGACCACAAGGTCTCGGGTTTGTGCGTCACGGTGTAGTTGCTGTCTTACTCCGTGAGGTATCCCAGGAGACCAGCCCATTTGCTCGTGTTCGGCTCGTCAAATGCACTACGCCTTCTAACAGAATATCGTATTTGGGCCATGGAGCATTGTCAGTGGTTTGCAAGCTTCGCTAACAGGCCCAAGTCCGACCATGGAACTCTATGCTCGATTCCGCCCGCGGGGTGCCGAACCCTAACCTTCCTTGTCCATGCTCTGTTGGCCTTCCTGATAATAAAAGCCTCGGATACTTGATCCTTCGTGACGTCGCATTGCCTGGCTCATCTGAGGAGTTTGGACTTATTACCAACTCCGTAAATGTGTGCGAAACCTGGTCACTCCCAGCTGAGTCATACGCGTGGCATTGACGAGACGTGAAGTACGGAGTGCGATATTGCCGATTAGACCAGTGTCATATATGTCAACATACGTTGGTAAAATTGACCTATCTTTTGTGTCGATCTCTTGCAGTATATCTCATTTGTTTCTCTACGCTGCGGTGATTCGCGATATCCTGCTTTCTTTTTCTACTTTGTCCTCCCACAGAAACAACCAAATTTTTTCAGCTGATACGCCCCCGTCCAGCCATCTCAGAGCCATGGTATCGACCACGGCGCAACCGATCATGTTAGCACAGGCAAAGCTGGTTCTGGCCACACGCCGCATTGTTGGCAGTGTTGCATTATACCATCGTCTGACGCCTTGGAATCGATTCAACGTCGCATGATTTGCGTAGTGCGATCCGTCGGCAATGCTTCAACGTACAGACACTACCATGGTCTGCTTGCGTGGACGACGAGCCCTGGTACCCCATAACCCCTCTCCAGATTGGCACTTCCCGCGCCGGATGCGCGGTGGCGTCCATTGGCTTGCGTTTAATCAGATGTACCTGCATTAGCTACTATGGTACAGCTCTCCAATCCTACCTAGGGCTGAGCACGCCGGACGTCACTCTGAGAGTCTGAGGTCTTTCCAAAACAGGCCAGGTAGAGACTCCGGTCGTACGAGCTCGTGCGCGCCCGGCCTGCCTGGGTCTCGGCCGTTGTGGGAAGTATAATTATTGACGGCAGCGACCCGATGCCCAATGGTCTCGGCCCATCTGGAAGGTCATGTTTGCGCGGGCGAAACCACAACCCACTACTGTCGTCCAAGAAAACTCTTCAGCTCGCCAGCCGCACTCTCAGGTACATGGTGCAGATCCCACTGGCCTCGAAGATCGTTGCTTTTCTCCCGATTGTACATTAGCTATTGCTTATCCTCCCTGTTGCTGTGCCGCTGTCAACGGCCTTGACGTGTGGAACACATGAGATGGACCCCGACCCTCCGCAACGTTGCCTGAATCGGGAGCAGCGGCGCCCTAAAGATCGTAGCAAGACAGGACATCCCTGAGAAAGACAGGCGCGAAACATCAGCGCTTGGGTCGAGATCGAGCCCATTCTAGTGAGTCAGATAATTGCTTTTTGGGCGTGATCCCTCTCATGCCGGAGTCCGGAGCCGGCAATCCTTACCTGCCTGGTAGGCCTGGCTCCTGGAAAAGCGACGGTTGACGAGCGAGGTGGTGATATCCCAGTAGCTCCTCGATGGTGAGACGACCGACTTTGTCTCCCGACTCTGTGGTTAAAGTTGATCCAACGGATCCATAGAGTGGGCAGGCTTGTACAAGCGTCCGCTGTGGAATGCAAACATGACTAGGAACTCGGATTTAGTTATCGCCTTGGGCAAAGTCCATGATTGGCTGAACCGATATACCCAGAGTACTCAAATGGCTTCTGCCCACGTTTCACTCACTGCTGCTGCACGTTGACATCTCTCTAACCAATTTCTCTTGTGTCTCATGTTGTACTTTGCACGACAAGACAGCTTTGAAAGACTAGAAGGAGACGTCCTTGGAAGGCATTCCCAATTAACAATGACTGGGTATCCAGGGTTGTGCAGCCGTGAAAATGTTCTCGCTGGGGTTGCCTGTTCGCCTATACACACGACAGGGATGCACCTGAGCCCTACAATATATCGCAAGTGGTTACCAGTTCGAGCATTTTCGTAATATACCGTTCCGCGTGCCCCGGGTCCCCGAGCAACGAAATCCAAAGTCTGCAAACCACGGATGGATCAGAAAATTTCCTACTTTGTGCAGAGGTCTCTACTGCCGTAGTCACTAGTACCACAGTAGGCAAGTGGTGGATATGGGTTATAAATGAGGCGGATTGCAGAACCCACGACAACTTCAACCGCCACGTCAGTGGTCCACTCACTAAATCTGCGCAGAAAAAGGCATAAGAAATCAATCGCCAAAAAGGATGTGAGGATGAAGCCAGACACGTGGTAAGTCGGCCGTGTCTTCAGGCTGCATCGTCCGGGGACATGCTTCAACCTCGCGTTACTGCACAGAAACGGCCAGAAGCAACCCGCTAAGAACATCTTGCCTCCGGGCGGTGCGTTTGGCAATGCCCATACCATGGTACGGGCGAGGCCCCCCGGGTGCCAGGTTTGCCAGGCTTGATGAGATGGTCGAGGCTGCATCCATGTGTCGGTCAGGGTTAGGTAAACTACTGTGTGTAAGGGCATCTGCCGTACCAACCACTGAGGACCAGCGACTGTTGACCCCGCGATCGGTAATGGCGCTGAAAAGAAGCAGGGCAGGGGTTGGTGCTGACCCCACCTTTGACGTAAGGTCACCAGCTGGGCGAGAACTCCATGATGGTGTCCCCAGGTGAGCTACTGTAGATGCGGCCACCCAGCACCCAGGAATGTGCGGCTTGACACAGGCCAGGGTAGCTGTCGGGAGCTGTTGCTACACAGTACCTAGGTAGAGGCTCGAGGTCGAGCGAATAGAATACCTGGGCCCAACTACTGACACACCAACCACTCCACGTCGGCCCATCATCACCTGAGCACCTCTCCGTACTCCGGTGACGAGGGCACAAAGTGGCGCATCATCAGCATCACCTGGCACCTGCACCATCACCGTTGACCACTGTCCCGGGCCCCAGCGCTGCTGCTTTCCTGCCCAAACAGGCCTTGTATCGTCTTCTTGCCTTGATCTCGTAGCCTCGTCACCCCGGCTGCGCCGAACGGACTGCACCCAGGCATCAAACGAGGTCAAGTCAGCTGGTGCACGCCTCCAGCGAGGCGTAGCAGAGAGAGAGAGACCTCTGGCCATCAGCTCATCGGCGGCCATCGCAGCTGACCGGTTGCCTGTATCGGCATCTCGGAGTCTGCCCACCACCTGCCAGGTCTAAATACACTCCGCTGCCCTGGCCGACCGGGAACGGTGAACTCAATGTCCCCGGACCTGAACTCGCTTCCACCTTCGTCTCCGACAATCCTCTCCCGAACCATGAACACCTCGAGCCACAACGGCGACGGTGGAGCCGCCATGGGCACCGAGTCTCCCCCGTCGGCTTCTCGCTCACAGTCCATCTCGTTACAGGCTGCCGCCACCATGAATGCCGGCCTCCAGCGACGTGAGACCTCCCTCTGATAAACCGTCATTTCTCCGTAGAAGCTTGCTCACATCTTCTCCTGACGGCTAGGCTCCAGTTCCGCATCCAGACAGCAACATTCCCCAGCTGGTCGTCGAAGGTCAACCGTCCTCTACAATCTACAGCACAACGATCCGTCAGTTCCGTCCGCAGGCGAGATGCAAGAGGGCTCTGGCGCAATCTCCGGGACGGGCGCAAGCTTCGATCACAGAACGGGCAGCCCGCATTCCATATCGCGTTCGCCATTGTTGACGGGAGGCGATCCGCACCACAACCGAACTCCCAGCCTGGGAGAGCTCCATCAGGAGCTCGAGGCCGAACAGGAAGCCCAAGTTAATCGACTGCTTCAGATGATCCGCCGGCAACAAGTAGAGCTCCAACAGCTCCAGTCGCAACAAGGCCAGAGCCAGTCCACAGTGGCAGCCGAAGATCCCACGCCTTCCTCGGAGCGGCCCAGCTCGGTCGTCATTCCGAGCGGTGGCCTACCTCATCAAACGTCTTCGGTCTCTACGCCGCGATCGCCCGTTATATCGCATGCACGCGGGTCTTTTGACGCCAATCGTGATTTCCGGCCATCTCGCACCCCTAGCAGCCATGCTTTGTCCCCCAGAATGAGATCTGGGTCTATCAGCGGGGAGCCTGGTGAACCATTCGCCCTTGGGGGCCGCGATGAGACCGCCTTCTACCAAGCAGAGACCCAGTCATTGGTGCGAGAAAACCAGATGCTGCGCCACCGAATTAGAGAACTGGGTAAGTTCGGTCTGCTCAAAGTATCCACCGCTCCCGCTGACAATATATAGAGCGCCAGCTCAGCGAGGCACACGCTTCATCCTCTGTAACGCGAGAGCCGGCCCATCCCTCACATCTTCTCCAGTCTCAGTCTGTTTCGGAGGAGGGAGGCTCTGAGAACATAGCACCTGGTATAGAAGCCCCCAAGGCCGACTGATTAGATGTGCCAGCTCGGGCCTCTCTTAGAGAGCGTGGCCACATACAAAATCTAGGGCTACCGGGTCGCAATCGTCACCTGGCGACTTTGGGTTTCAGTCTATGGGCTGTCATAGAGAGCGGTTTCTTAAGCCCTCTCCGGCGTTAGCGGTCCGGGTTACCTTGGAAGAACACAGGAAAGGACCTCACGGGGTAAGGCATAACCACACCATTCATGCACTTGACTTAATCTTTAGTCGATACCAAGCTGTCGCATTAGCTCGTAAACTGCATCTCTATCAAGGATGGCGTAACAAACTTGTTTTGATAATGAATTCCCGTTCCGTCTACAATCTACTTCGCGATTACTTCCTGACGGACTAGCCTTAGGTTCTGTCGCTACTTCAGGGTAAATATGTGACGTGGCCTTCGATGTTTCTCAAATTTGGTACCTAGTTAGGTCTTGTGGACCGGTGCCCATCAGCAGCCTCCCTCTGTTCCTGCTGACATTGGCCTCACCCATTTAACAACTGCGAGGTGTGAGGTTGTCGTATTTCGTCTTTACCCCGAGGCTGACTTTCGGTCTGGTCTTCATTGAGGAGTCACAGTAGCCAGATTATGATCTTCCCCTTGAGTTACCTCTGCTGGACCTCCGCAGTAAATAAACCTATCGAATGAAGCCCGTCGGCCCTTGATTTGCTCAAACCAGGCACTTGCGAGGAGCAAAATCTACGGTAGACAGTTATGTGATTCTAGAAAAGAGTACTATGGTAGTTCCCATTCACAGGTGCCTCATCAACACATAGTCTGCAACCTGTCACGGAGGGAACATACACTTTTCGTTACGACATGCCCACATGCCATCCGCATGACAGATGGAGCGGGACTCAGTGGGAGGTGCCGTGCTCTGCTTCATCGACCATAACCTCGTCTTCCCCGGGGCCTCCTTTCCTTTGATCATGCCGTTTGCCAGCAGCGTGTGGAGACTGACCGACGTGAGCACCACCGGGCACCAGCCAGATTCGTGCCAATGGGTCTTTAAGTACGGAGACGAAGACGGGTCTTGGTATAAGATAAGCTGATGTATGCATCTGATCTTGCGTGTGATAGTCAATAAAAAACAAATATTAAGGAAAACTTATATAGCAATGGTCTACATACAACTCGTGTACCTCGCATGCTATCATGTCGCTCGGTGCATCCCAGCGTGCCTATCGAGAATTACGTGCTGGATTGCCCCCGGAACCCCCCCCCCCCCCTCCCCTCTTTTGAGTATTTCCGTTATGGGGCAATGCTTCACATGTTTCCTCGTTCGGCCGCAGGCGTGCCGTGATAAGTCTGGATCGACTCGTGTAAGGAGTCATGCAGGGAACGGACAGGTTGTCTAATTGCTCTGCAAGGAAGCCTCTGCGAATGATCTTGATACTGTCCCTGCAGTCTTTGCATCAATGACGGGCTCCAACTTCATACATTACAAGTTGAAAGTTGATGAATCGTAATATATCGGGTTTGACTTGGGGGGGGGGGGGGGGAATTTTCAAAGTACGCCGAGATCGTGTCACACGCTACAGACGCGGGTGAAACGGCCAAGCAGTCGGAAGTGAGCCATATCACGGTCCTGAGAAGGGACAAGCTCGTGTTATCAAACGAATCTGGTTCTCGACTACAACGTAAACTAAACAACGATGAGGGGGCAGGGCAGGAACACAACGCCATACCTCCATCGGGACATGCTTACGGCGGGAAACATGACCTAATATCCCCCAGTGTCGAGGCGGTAGAGTACTTGCGAAGAGCTGATACGTATAGATACAGTAGGTGAGATGTGGGTTGTATTCCAAATAGTTCGATTTCGAACAAGGCTCAAGTAACCATAATTACGCCGGGGATATCTCTCCGAAGTCCTTTGAGCCAAAATGATGCCGTGACCCTGAATACCATGTCTAGATATGAACGCCAAAAATTATACATATATAAAGCAGGCCCGCCTACTCCTGCATCTGGTCCGACTCGGGCGTTCTCTGGCTCTCGACACCGAGAGTTCGGAGTCTCTGGGACAGAAGGCCCTCGGCTGTTCCCGGGCTGCCATTGATCAGGCTCGAGAAGGCATTGCCGCCATAGCCCGCATCACCTTTGCTTAGCTTGTCGTACCTGTCAAATTGACTGTCCTGGCCCACGAGGCTGGACAGATTGCTGGAGGCTTGGGTCGTCGGGCGGCTTAGTTGTGAGGAGCTCGGAGACCAGATATCAGCTTGAACGAGAGCCCGACCCGACCCAAACTCGGTAGACCGTTGCCTCTGTGGGAGGCGGAGAGGGATGACATCAACCGGGTTTTGAGCGCCACTGAAACTAAACGAGAATGGCTGCTGGGAAGTGGTAGTTTCAGATCCCAGCCCATCCGTAGCATCAAATGCCTGGCTGGAGGCACCGAAGTAGAAGCCTGAACTCCTCCGCCGGAACGCCTTCTCTGCCGCGAGGTTGGCCCCCGGACCGGTACCAGCGCTCATCGGCGGATGCATGACGCGGATGGGTTTGTACGAAGTAAAGCGTGGCTCTGGCAGGGTGATCTCGTTCTGGAGCTTTTCCTTACCGTCGGGAACACGGTTCGCGAACACGACACGAATGCTTTTGTACAAGTAGTATCTACCACGAGAAGGACAGCATATGTGGAGATGGACAAGGTAGCGAAGAATGGGTCGATCGGCACCGCCAGTGTCCTTCGTTACGGGCAGGTTGTCGATGATAGGCCCAGCAGAATAACTGCGTTGCCTGACGAAGGTTTTTGTGCCCGCGTCCATACCGGTGAGGTCGTAAGGAACCAAGAACAGCTTCACGGCGGTTTTGTTTGGGTTCTTGATGATAATCTGTATCTGCCCCTTCTCTGGGATCCGATAACTTCCGCCCGGGGGGGCCCTTGGTGAGCCTGATCTCCTCTTCTGCTTCTGCGATTTTCTTGCGTCTCTACTCGTACGCTCCGCATTGATGTCATTGACATCCCCCATCTGATCCACAGGCTTGCGCTCCGAGTTTCGGTTGTGTGTTTTCCGTTTCGATCGAGCTTCCTCCTCTTGGTTCGGTAGACCGTTTTCCAAGTCGATCTGCCCAACGTAGGGACTCGGCCCGTCCTCGTTCTTGGACCGTCCATGTGCGGAGCTGGCATAGCTGTAGAACACAGCAGGGAAAGGCAGGGTCACGTGAGGTGGACATCGCAGACTCGACTTGCACTTGCCCATGCCTAACACACCAATCTGAGCAACAAAGTCTAGCGGCTTCGAGGGGTTCGTTGACATCCTTCCTCGTAGAATGCTTTCTTCGTAGGATCCCACCATGGATGCATGATGCAGCGGAGACGTATCGGAACTATATGACGGTCGCCTGGACCGTAGGTAGGCTGGAGTCTGCGGCGAAGTTCCGGCCAGCGGGAAGCTTGGTGTGGACGTGAGGGAGCGGCGAGGCTGATGAGCTTGATAGGGGTATGTCCTTTCATGTCGGAGAGGGTGCCTCGAGGCCGGGCTGGGAGAGGGGAAGGCATACGAGACGGAATGGCTTGACATCAGCGTGTGGCGGCGCGAGCCCCTGGGCATACTCGAGCTGATATCGATCCCTTCCATTGGGGAGGGCAGGTCGAGGTCGTCATTGCTTTCGGACTGAACTAAGGGGCTGGTTGGCGCCTGATACACGAAACTCGACGAAAGGGACGATGATAATGACGAGATTCCCAATCTCGACTCTTCGGTTCTGCCTAGACTAGACTGCCTCCTATCGAATTGGAAAGGTGTAAAGTCGCGCGGGGGCGATGTGGCCAACCACGAGCGGCTGGTTGGTTCAGCCGGGCTCTGCGGCGGGTCGTATACACCCGTGTCTATCCTGCTCGCACCTTTGCGGGACTCATCTTGGGTAAAATCCCCCGAGTGGAGCGCGGACCGAGGCCGCTCGATGTTGAGGCCTTCCCGTAGCCGCCGCTCGTCTTCAGACTCTGCTTCTCGCTTCTCAGGGGTGATGGTTGGCGGCGGAAGCAGCGAAGGGGAGCCACCGGGGGGTTTGGGGCTCCTCGAGGGCGTGGCCGGCCGCTGGTTCCGTATCGAGTCAAACTAGTTGCCAATCAGCCACCTGGCAGTATTTTCAGAGGGGGACGGGTGCATACATGTCGATTGGGGATCCAGGTCGGGCTCTCGCCTCTCTTCAACCTCTCGATCAGCTCAGATCTGTCGGAGCACGGGGCAGACTCGTCTTCATCCGGGGTCCTGGCGCGAAGGTCCTCTGGGATGGGGCCGTCGCATAGTTCAGTGCTGACACTGTCCTCGGAGAAGCTCCTGGCCAGAGATTGTGCGTTGTAGTGAGAGGCACGGTGCTGCAGAAATGGCTCTGGCGGTGAGGCCGTTCCTGGGGGTTCGCCAGGGGGGTCCGTCGGCTCCAGATCCTCTTGGAAGAAGGGCATGTTGAGATCACATCCGACTGTGACCTCCAAATCGTGCGGCTATAAGGTGTGTTCTGTCATGTCGTGGTAGTCATGTGCGGTTTTCGTTGTCGTCGTGACAGCTCGGTTCACACACGAGAAGCTTGCTGGTGGAATGGGGGGATTCGCATGTAGCCCGCCAACCGCTGCGCCGAGCATGCAGTGACGTATTACCTAGCGTCAGGCACGTGGAAACTGTTGGTGCTGCGGAAGACGAAAAGAAGAGAAGGGGGCCCTTTTCCTCGTCTCCAAGACCAAGTCACGAGCAGGAAACCAGAGGAACGGGACGATCGGAGACAGATGTGCAAGAGAATGAGTGCAACCCGTTCGACCAGGTCCAGTCGATCACCTGACGGGGTCGATGACTCCATTGTCTGAACCAAGTTACTGCAGTTCGGGCGGGCTAGTCACCTATCATCCTGACGATTCCGGCGGGGGGCTCAGGGATCCTACGGGGCGCCGTTCCCGCTTTTCGCCCACTAGATTATGCAGGGCTGCATGTGCCATAACTGAGCAGCCATGACTGTTCTGTTGGCATGTGCTGGGGGGACCCTCTAAGGGCCCCCAGATGGCTGCATCTTCCGACTCCACTCCATGTTTGTTGGCCTGCCTCGCACTACTGCATGCGCATTGCTGCAAGTAGGCCAGTTGGGTATCCAGTTATGCAACCCGACTTATCTCTTCTGCGCGGTGTAGATTGTCTAGCTGTGTGGCTGGCGCGGGCGCGCGCGAGAGCGAGAGGAGAGAGTGTGTGCTGTCCGATTTGAGCCGTCCCCAAGTTGACGCGCCAGGCATAACCTTGGAAAAGTCCTGCTTTGAAAATGAGTTCAACTCCATCCATGGCTGTACGCAAGTATGGTTTAATTCAAGAGGGACCAGTGCAAACCTTCACCAAGATTCACACGCGAGATGCGTAGCTAACTCGTTCACGTTAGACCCTGGGTAATTCTCCCGTAAGGTAGCGCCCGGTTCCGCACTCCCAGGGACGATGGGCCATCCCGACCCCCACCTAAAAGTTCTACTGTAAGACAGCGAGCAAGGGTCGCCGATAGCGATAACGACCCCCAGATGGACAAGCCCAGACCTGGAAAAAAAGTCCCAAATTTCTTGACATTCCGCCAGGGTCCCTTTTGTCGCAACAAACCAAACGTCACACCGCCCCTTTGCAAAGGTCGCAGATACGGACCCAAGACCCGAAGGAAAACAGACAAGGCCAAAGACGAAATGGCACCCAAACGGCCGCTGGACTCGGTGGACGACACAGGGGGCGCCGAGCCCAACACCAAGAAGCCCCGCAAGGGCGGCTTCCGCGTCGGCCCCGACAACCTGCCCGACGGCACCTGGCGCCGCAAGGTCATCAAGATCAAGAAGGACCTGATCCAGAAGGCCAAGATCAAGAAGGCCTACTCCAAGATCAAGGCTGCCGAGCAGAGCAGCAAGGCCGACCATGAGAAGAGCAACACCGTAGAGCGGCCAGAGGGGGACGGCCAGGATGAGGGCGAGGGGGAGGGGGAGGGGGAGGGGACACAGCAACCGCAGGCCGAGCCACAGCTGCACCCGGAGCGCCAGGCCATGCTGGACGAGGACGAGGCGGAGCCCGAGCCCGAGCCCGAGCCGCCGCGACGGGCCCGCGACCAGAGGCCGGAGCGGCCGCGCGGCCGGAAGCAGCAGCAGCCGCCGCGCCGGCCCGGGTACTACGACAAGGCTCTGGAGCAGGCGTCGCGCAGGAAGGAGGAGCAGGAGCAGCGCGAGCGCGAGGTGCAGCGGCGGCTGGACGAGCGCAACCGCAAGACGGCCGAGCGCGAGCGCTACCGGCGGGCCATGGCCAAGGCCAAGACGCCCGGCCGCGACGGGCAGCGCAGGCTGGGCCGCGAGAGCGGGCTCCTGCTCGAGAGGGTCAAGAAGATGACGGGCAGCTGAGGGGCAAGGTGGGGAGCAGGGGGAGAGAGAGAGAAACAGAGAGAGAGCGACAGGGGAATTATACCTAGGCCTGAGGGGACCTGATTCTACGAGGCATGAGTGGACTTGAGGGAACCTTCGTCATGCAGCGGCACAGCCTGCATAGACTTGCGACTGCCTACAGGGTATTGGAATTCAGACTACAATTTAAGTCTACCATCACGATCACCGCCATGACGTGGGCCACGCAAGTGCACGATAATCAGCTAGTTGATAGTATTCACGTTGGACGTGAATGTCTTGTGTGGCCTATAAACAATGATCTTCCTCTGCTCAGGCCAACCCCTTTGGTCCCCTCGCCCTTGGCAATAAAGGAAAAAAACAACTGGCCGAGGACGGGATTTCCGCCGTCTCCGCTTAAGAAAACATGTAGCCTGAATTGCATAACCACTACGACCTGCAACTCGTACTCTAACAAGGAAACCAAAACGAGAAGACTCTGGCGAGTTCGGCCGTGAAACCCGTTCTCGAGTCCCCCCAAATTTTGACGACAATTCCAGAAACCGCAATGCTGTTGAGGATAGGATATCAACTTGAAATTTTCCTAATGCCGGGCGCCACGACAGGAGCTAGCCGCCTTCGTGGACGCCTAACAGAGAAAAAGCAAAAGAGAATCGAACAAACACAATTCAATGGCCGTCATAGGGAGAGGGTCGTTTGTTCAGTATCCGGAAAATGTGAACGGGACCAAGTCACAGATCGCGCTGCTTCCAGGAAACAAACGCCTGCTCTGGAGCTTCGTAGACAGCACACCCATGCGAACAGTGACGGCCTTGAAATTCGTGAGATGCGGGAATATATACATTGAGTGAGTGAGTGTGTGGTTGGTTGTTTGGTTGGGCGGTTTGCCCTTCAAGGCGATTGATTGACTGTCTTTTTAATCTTCAGAGAAGATCATCTGGCTGTTCTCAATGATGTACTGCACGGCTGTGTTCTTTGCGTGCATGTCTGTCATCTCTCGTTCAATGGTGCGATCCCTCATTATAGTGGGTGCAAACACAACAGCCAAATTCTTTGGCGACATCTACAATGCATTAGCAAAACTATGTCACTGCCAGGAGGTAATGCGAGCTACATACCAGGTTCTCCGGCTCGCGCTGGGCTACCCGGACGAGATGGAACATGAGGAACTCGAGGCAGTCCCGATGTTTCTGTGGTAGAAGATTGAAGGTCTTCCTCAGATGATCGCACTTCTCGTCGTCATCCGTGAGAGCTGCGGATAACGTTAGCAGGACTGCCATCTCGGTTGCGAGGTAAATAACTTACTGTTGGTCTCCAGGATACGGTCGTAGACGTCATATGACAACAGTGGTATGGGAAGTTTCCTGAAGTATTGCTTCAGAACGCTCGTCACAGCCGTGATATCCAGGTCGGGGTCCGAGATGTCAAAGTTTTCGTTCTTGTCAAAGCCCTCCTGGATGGCTTTCACTTGCGAGTTGCCTCCAGTCTTTCGGTAGATGCCCTCCACATCCATACCTCGCAGCTCGACTTCCTCAATGCAGCGAGTGACGACGCACGGGATCTGCCTCTTCTCGTAATCAGCACGCTCCGAGAGATCCGAGCCGAAGAGAACGTTAGCCGCTTCCGCAATGTTGGCATTGGACGTGTTGAAAGTGCCGAGGTTCTTGGGCATGGTCGTTGATTTCTTGAAACCAAAGAAGCCCTGCCGTTCATTGTTGGCAGCAATCTGACGAGCCTGGGCGGTCTGCGGGCCCTGAGACACCGGTGATTCCACCGGAGTGTGGGTCATGTTATAAGGCAGGCCGATGTTCTCACCGGCAAACTGAGGCTCGCGACGCTCAGGTTGCTGCAGGGCGCCAATACCTCTGTTCACTCCCTTGGCAATGTTCTTTGCCATCGCCTTGGAGCCCTTGGTCCAGTTAAATCTCTTTACTTGGCCCTTGCGGATGTTGACGACTGTGGGGCCGGATTCCAGGATGGGTTCTTCCTGATCAGGGATCATGGTGGTACCCGTCTGGATACTCGAGCTATCGAGCTGAACCGAGCTGTTTGAAGTACCCTTGTGCTGGTGGTAGATGCCTAGGCCATTCATCGGCGATCGTTGGTCCGAGTGGCTCTTGAATCTTCCTTGGATCTGGTGAGTGAGGTCGTTGTTCATCTCAGCGAGCTGGGCATTCTTGGACGACAGCGTCTCGAACTCCATGAGCGCCCGGTCACGGTCTGCGATGGCTTGGTTCTTTTCCTCCATCAAGGCATCCCGCTCAGAATGGAGCTGCTCCAGAGCGGCCGTCATCGACTGTTTGAGCTTGTCCAGCTTCTGGACAAACTCCTTGAGGGCCGATTCTTCCAGATCGCGCGGGTCGATGGGCCGCTTCGTGTCCTTGGCCTTTTCCACATAGCCGGCTAGCACCTCGAGCTGGCGAATCATGATTTCGGTTTGAGTGTCAAGAACTGATACCGTTTTCCTCTTTTCCTCCAACCTCTGACTGATAACCTTCAGGTCTTTCTCGTTGGTGAATTGTTTCTCGAGTTCGGCAACTCTTTGCTCAGACGTTCGAAGGCGACGTTTCAAAAGGGCAGGATCGTCACCTGGTGCCAATACTATGGGGCTAGTGATATCGTGCAAATGGCCATTTACGTCTTCCGCAATGGGCGTCTTGGGCCATCGGGGTGATGCGGTGGTCCTTGTTGATTCACTTACGCTTCGCGTATGTCCCACACGAGGAGGGTGACTGCTTTGCTCTGCGCTGTTGGTTCGCCCGTGACGCACCGCGTTGGATACCCGGCGCATAATGTTCGATGAAGATTCATCTGCACCCAGAATGCGAGCCATATCCTCATCCATGCTGAAATCACCACCCGCACTCCACCTAGGAAGCTTGGGCGAAGTCCTGGGCTCATTCGGGTCCGTCGAACTGGTAGATTCCTTCCCGGCCTTGTGAGACGGAGGCGCTGGTGGTGCACGAGGGGCCATGTACGAGTCGCTTAACTTCTGCTCCATCCCTGGGCGTGGTGGCAGCAGAGGGCCCTCTTCAGGCGTAGACTTAGAACCTGCAATAGTCATATTAGTCAGTTGTAAAATGAAACACAAACAACACTAGACGTACCAGGGGCCCCTCTTGACGCAGAGGAAGGCAGTTCTTTCCTAGATATGGGTTTGGACTGGTTCGAGCTGGAACCAAGAGAAGACTCATTCGACCGGGCCTCCTCCTCATCCTTAAACCGTGAGTCCTGCGAGCTTCGGGGAGTCCCAGTCTTGGTGCCTGAACCGAGCATCTGGGGCGAGTCGGTGATCGAGCCGTTGGCATAGCCTTCTTTGTCTTTGCGACCAGATCCCTGGCTTCCCCGAGAGCCAACATCCTGCAGCCCGCCGGATTGAGAAGCACTCCGGGAGTTCAACTTCTTGCTCTTGGGGGCTTCCTGTAGTTTGAAGTCCTCACTAGGGTGCGAGCGGCCGTTGGTAACCTTGTCGTTCGCTTGTGCACTTGTCCTCGCGGACCCAGACTTGTCCCTCTTGGACAGCTTCCGGGTCATCTCCTTGGCAGGGGAACTTTCGTAGTCGGAGGACGTCTGGCGGCTCTTCTCCTGGAAAGCAATGTGCGGGGTGGAGGTTTGCGATTCCTTCCTCCTGTTGTCAGACTCGGCCTTTGGGATACTGAAGTAGTCCTTCTCTTTCCTCCTATTCGGTTCGGGCAACGCCGGGCTCGGATCAAGCGCGACGGGTATGAAGAATCCCTGATCCTCGCCGCTCGTGGTGCTTGCCATATCGTTGCCCGAGAACATGGTCGAGTTGCGGTTATTGCGGTAGCTCGTCGGCGGTAGAGAGAGCCCGGCGTCCTTGTCTCTATGGTCGGAGGGTCTCTCGGGCGACCTGGCTGGTCTGGAGCTGCTTCTTGAGGACGAATCATTCCGCGCGTACGGCGGCCTCGGTCGGGGAGAGAGCTCGGTGGGTGTGTCGGAATCAGGGTCGACCCGGTCGTTGGAGAATGCGCCGTTCGGAATGGCATTGGGAGGGAGCGCGGGCAGACTCTTATCAACTACCATGGGCGAATTCTCCTTCTCGCGCGCCTTGGCCTGGGCGGCTGCTTTTGATTTCTTCCTCCGCCTGGCCATGAGGGACTCGTGGCAGCTCATGCAGAAAATGCCCTGCGAGGTCCGGGCATAGCGCAGGTTCTCGATCTTCCTCTTGCAGTTCCGACAGCGGAAGCAGGTGGCACAGAAGGCCTGGTCCCCAGTAAGGATGGCCAGGTCCTCGATCTTGTTGCCGCAGGCACTGCAGCTGTAGGTGCAGTTGTTGCAGATGAGCGAGCCGTCGCCAAGGAGGAGTAGGTTCGCATCCGAGTCGAGGAGGGTGCCGCAGGTGTTGCAGCGGAAACAGTTGAGATGCCATCGGTTGCCAGCTATACCAGAGTCAGGAGCCTCGAAGTCAAAGCGGAAGGAAGAGAGCGACATGGGCGCCATCCGGAAACACCAGACAACAGCAGGTTGAGGATCGAGGGCATGATGGGTTTGTGAGTGTGATCAGACTTACCGAGTTCGAACGCTTTGCCCTCTTCGAGGATCTGAGTTCAAGCACCGTGACGTTAGCTGACGGGGGGCTTCGTCCAAGGCAGGGCAAGGCAAGGCAAGGTTCATGGTGCCGCCTTTCTCACGACTCACCTCACCACATCCTTTGCAGGGGAAACTATCCTCGGCCTCCATCGGACTCTCCAGATAGTCGTCCATTTTTACGGTTGCAGATGGCTCGAGCCAATCGGGTTTGGACCTGACCAGATCGCGCGCAGAGGTTCGAGGGGCGTCCAGACGGTTTAGACTCGGCGGCTCATCAAGGGGGAGGGACGCAGCGCGAATACAATCGCATGGACACGCACGTCAATTGCCCTGGGCGAAGGCCACGCAGCGTCACGACCCAGCGAGACGGGGGGGACAAGTACGGGTGAAGCTGAAGCTGGGCCGGTAAAGGGGCGAAGAGCTAGTGAGGCCGAAATGCTAATTCGCAAGCCCGCAGCTGGGACGGGTGGAAGTGGGCAATGTGATGTGATGCCAAGTAGGCGAGTGCGAGGCCCGAAGCTGCGTCGTGGACGACTGCCGTCTGGTGGTCGGGTTGGACGTGTCGGTGCACGGCGTGCGTCAAAAAAGTCAAGTCGGCAGCACAAGACCGAGAACCAAGAGTCAAGGACCAGAGCCAAGAGGCAGAGAGAGTAAAGGCAAAGCGTGTGTCGTGCGTCGTGCGGCGCAACGTTTTGGGCCGAGTTAGCGGCGACGTCTGCTGTAGTGTTCGTGTCGTATCGCGTGGGGAGTCCAGTTCAGGCGGGCTGGCCACGTCCGGATGCTCCTCAGGGGGTGCAACTGCTCGGGTCGATGTGCGGTGGTGATGGGCGACGGTGAAGGTGACGAGACAAGACGAGATGCGGCAACGCCTGGACGTCTAGCGCACAGCTCTGTGAACCTCTCTTGTCTGTCTTGTCACGACAAGAGGGAAAAAAAAAACTTACCCCAAAGACCAGTCGTGTTCGTAAGGGGGTCTCGGGAGGAGGGGAACCACTTTCAAGGGGTAGAGGCACTTCAATCCCAAGCCGTAGGCCCATCTAACCCATCCTAACTTTTAACTAGCTAAGGTAAAGTAATCAAGTAGACTTGAGAGAGACTTGTCCAGGTGCAGGTGCAGGTGCAGGTCCATGGATGGGTGAGTGAGGGTGACAGTGTGGCCTCGCGACCGAAACGGTACACGTCCAGCCCAAGTGTCAAGCTACTGTGTACGGCTCCCCTAGCGCCCAAGGTGGGTAACCCCCAGGGGGCCCCTTGGAAAATCATCCAGGGCCACACCAAGCCACCACCGTCCAGTGGTAGGGGAAAGGTCGGGACTGTCAACGGGGGTCCTGCGGGCCCTGCAGCCCTTCGGTTGGGGGTCCTGGGGGAGGGCCTCGAGGCTTGGGGTCATTACTTCTTATTCCCACGCTGCCTGACCCCTGGACGAACTCATCAACGGTCAATATCGAGGTCGTCGAGGTCGCCGTCCGGCTCTCGTTGAGTTCCCTCATTGCTGCGGCAAGCTAGGTAGAGGGGGACACACGTTTCCAAGATGATATGATACAGCCCCGGTTCTGTCACGACAAAGTAGCTCCGTTCTCCGCCTCTAGCTGAGTACTTGGGTACCTCACTCCATACGTCTACAAAAGTCTTGATTGCGCTCTCATTAAAACCCTTATGGCCGTGGGTGCTGACGTGGGCTGCGCAGCAACTGTCTGTGTACGCGTACCTAGATACTGTAGATACCCCGTCGGACGGTCACAAGAGCCAGGTATAGATAGGTACCTCACTATATGTGTCCCATAGTAGAGAGCCTCTTGTGGTGGGATGAGACTTGTCCGTGGCCCTTTTGCATCCACCGATAGCAAACGTGGTTTTTAAACGTAAGTGCTGGAGGCAGAGCTTCTGTCGATTGTTCCCCGCGAGACCTGCTGTTCCATATAGTGTATAGGCAATAGTTAAGTGAATGACCTTTGCTTGAGCTCACGTGCAGCCTTACATATATGGGCACTCAAGACATCCAAGCTGTACGACAAGTCTCAGGGGTCGTTGGCCAAGATCAGTCATGCACAGTCCGATCGTTGTGGTACTGATCTAGCTCAGCTTACTATCACCTACTCCTTGCTCTTGCTGCTAACCCTGCATGCGCTTGGCTCCCATTTCATTCGGTCGGTCCAAGTCGGCCGGTGGCCAGCGTGGCTTCACTTTTCCGGCAAGCGCTGCGGAGAGACACACAGCCAGTACCTGTAATAGGCCAACATGGCTCATATCCCGCATTGACGGTATTAATAGTTCGCAAGATAGAAGGAGTCAGCAGTAACCCATGTCGTCGTTCCGACATTCGCTACCAGAGAAGAGGCGCCTGCCGTCCTGGGAACTTTGCGATATCGAAGATCCTCCTGCTGCGAGCTCTTCACTGCCAAAGAGACCATGCGACCGCCACGGGAGTACCAAGGCAGCCGAGTCCGTACAGGAGAAGTAGAGATCACCTAGTGCCGCGTGTCGAACGCCTTGGTTCGAGCCCAATTGATCGACACGCGACCCGCGCGAGGCGCTTTTAACGCTTTCTCAAACAGCAGCCCAGCTCAACGCAGACAGCCACCAATGATGACCCGCGGCTCTGATGGCCATGCTGGCGCCGCTGATGCTGGTCAACTTAGCAAGCTTAGGAAGAGAAAAGCCCAGCACTTGCTGTGTAGCAGCTTGCTAGGCTAGTCGGTGCCTCGCGGTCGCCGTACAGGCGCAGTGTTCGTTTCTTCCTCTCGTGCCTGACATGGCCCAGTCCAGTACCACCCAAAATTCTCCGAGGCAAGTCTATTTCCGCCTCTGCAAGCCCGGGTGGTACGAGAGCAGGGGCCTGCTATAGTATAATTCGCGACCTCGTTTCAGCTAAAGTGCTCCCCACAGGTGCCAGGGATGGCAGGGGTCCCGGGCTGCTTTGCCCAGCGAAACAGATTGACGGGGTCGCGCCGTCATATCAAGGCACAGTGTGTGTGATATTAGCCTTCGGGCTTACGAGTCGCTGCTAATTGACCAGCACAGTCTCACAGGTTTGCGACGCTCAACCTACTGGCCAACGCTCCCGAGGCGTTGCGCTCGAATTACAATCGGCGTCGAGAACGACCGCCAACCCACATGTTCCTCACCTCAGTGACGTAGCTTCCCCAGAATCGAGATATTGCCTTCCAGAGTATTTCATTTACTTCCCTTACCCTTATTGAACGCATTAAAGTCCGAGAATCCAACGCGCGTTCAGCAATGCGGACCTCGACGCCTTGCAAGGCACAGTTGAGTTAGAGCTAACAGTTGAACCAAAGGATCGATAACCGGCTCTTGCCCACTTTGTATCTGGGTGGGTCAATACTCCAAACCGAGCTCTATAGAAGAGGTGGACTTGTGATTCTTCACCGACAACCGTAGTCAGAGCATAGTGTACCACAACATCCGGACAGGTTTCGAATCAAACCTCCTGCAAGGATGGACGTTCGGTGTCTCGACCTCGATAGTAAGCTTTGTCTCGAGGAAAGAGCTCGCGGGATCTCTCTCAGTTGCCCGTCTATCTAAGGAAGAAGTTCCTATATCAGAGCTTCTCTCACACCATCCCCGGCACAATTCGATACAAAGTTAATTCGGCGTCTCCAGTCCAATTTCCTCTTTCAGCCGCTCAGCTTTCGGTTGTCGAGCATTGATCGCCGTTGACACGACCCAACCAGGACACACCACGCATTGTTTCAGATCCTGATTCCTGTGCGACCCTGGGCTATGCCTCCCTCTGCTTGATTAGAACTCATCTGCAGCTGGGCTTGCAGCGTGGCCTTGTTGCCCCCAGAAAGAGGATGCGTGCTCTGCCTCTTGCGAAGCGCCACCCTCGACCCTACCATCCCTGCAAGCTATTTTGCCCTGTCCCGAAGGAAGGTGGTGCAGACGCGGGCTTCTATTTCTGCTTCTGATATTTCATGACTGCCTCTATTTGAGCTCCTGGTACAGATGAAATTCGTTCGCTTTCTCCTGCCTTCCCAGGGCAACTCGTGAGAGTCCCAGATGTCCCGCCGTAGTCCACATAGAGTTGCTCTGGCCAAGGTTGCGCTGATGTTCAAAACAAAGGCGCGTCACCGGATCTCGCGGCATGGCAGCATCAACCTTTGCACATCCGACATCCCATCTTTGTCGTGATCTTGGAATATTTGCGCACAGCCCTCAGGACGTACCCAGCTCTTTGGAAGGTTTATTGAGCTGGAGGGGAACCAGACTCTAACCCCTGCCCGGCGATTTCGCGTCAGAAGATTTCCCACTCTGATCATTATTGGTATCCATAGCCGTGGTATGCTGCAAGATCCATTTGATCAGATCGCCTCCCGCACAGACGGACGGAGCCCTGCGTCGCTTTAAGCTCGCAGACTCCGAGCAAGCGAGAAATGCAACTCTATAACCAGGGACATATAGAATGTGTCTCGAGATCTGCTTCTGTCCTTGCGCCTCGCGTGCACAATCTCACCAGCGTCTCTAACCTGCAAGCTCCTTTTGGGGGGCCCATTGAAATGTTTCAGAGTATTTACAGAAAATGAGCACTGATGTTCTCTTCATCTGCCGGAACAAGCAATCTTCTCGGACGCGGCAGACGCCAGCCACGCGCCTCCTCAAATGTCCATGAAACGGCCAAGTAGTATACATAGGATGCACGTGGTATCCATTTAGCTATTCGGTAACGTTCGAGCAGGACAACAATAAAAGGTACGACCCCAAATTCGGCACAAGAAGCAACCTCGCTTGCTCGCGACGTAGCACAACATCGAGGCCATTCCATGCCATGCGGCTATCCGGGATCTTGCACCGCGCCATTTGCCTCGCAGGAGTGGCGCTGTACGTCTTTCGACGATGCAGGGCGCGTTCGCGTAGTTATATTTGCGTGGCGGCCTCTGTTTATTGTTGGTGCCTTTTATGACCAGACCGAAAAGCGCTGTGTCTGCGGTGCTTGTCTCGATCCTCTTGGCATGGCCTATACTCAATGATATTGTCAAAGTTCTTCTAGGTTCTTCCTGCCCAGAAGATGGCCACCCCGTGAAATGATCTCGCTACACATAGTATCGCTCTATCTAAGCAGTCCGTGTATAAACTGTATGTTTCCCCTGCGCCGCGCGGGGTCACATGAAAGCATATAAGTGCAACAACAAGGCCAGGGGCCCTTGCTCAAGCCTGTCGGCCAAAACGGCCACAGAAGCACAGTGTAGTTACTATCCTGGAATTGCAGAAGTAGGGACGAGTTTTGAGCCTCATCGCTTCGACGCCGGTCGATCCCCCGGGCGTGGTTTCCAATTCTGGCAAGTCGCTATAACGTCGTCTCTGGCGAGTTCTCTCGGCCGAGTATAGTGCCCGTGGTAACATGCATGAAACGCGCAGACCGTACGGAACCGACAGTTCTAGTGATTAGTGCGCCGCTTTGACGGGGCCTTGTACGCAACGGGGAATATTCAGCCGAGGACTATACCATAGTACCCGTATCTTGAACTATTGCCCACGATCGCCTCCGGCGCTGCTGCATTCAGGCTAGCCGCTGATGCAGTACCGAAAACCATTATAGTTCGGAACGCATCACGGCTGTCGCGATTACATAGTATGTTCACGGGGATGGCGCCTGGATACTAGGTACTGGCACACTAGTTTGCAAAGCCACGTACGAGGAGCACACATCCCATCCATTCTTAGGCATAGTCAGAAAAGTAGAGCCGGATGTGATTACAACAGTGCATATGCTAAAACGGGATCTACCCTTTTCCCTCTTCGCCGGTGCCCTTCCAAACCAGACAACCAATGTCAACCAGACTCCTTCAAGTGCAAAAACACCCGCTATGATATACAGGAACAACCCGGGTTTTTATAAGGCTACTGCCGTGTCCTTGCAACTCCAGGCTTTGTCACCCCTGTAAACGCCAACCGTGGAAATGACTTTGGGCTCCCTTTATATGTGACAGTCCGACCCCCTACGAAGCACTCCCACCTGTCCTCTTTCGAGGAAGTTGGTTACTTTCTCGGCTACAGACAAAGCAGCATGCGACAGGAGTCCAAGCAGTAGGGCCAGCAGCTCAAACAGCGCAAATCGAGCCCAGCCCCTCAACTAATGTAGTGCGCCGCCCTCACGCTGACGCTTGACAATATAGTACGTGATCAGGCTCTTGGGGTCGTCTTTGACGCTTTGCATCCTGTCCCAGAATTGTTGCTCGCCAACTTTGGCGTGAAGTTCCACGCAGAGGTGCACGGCATCCATACGCACACCGCTCTCCTTGCTCTCCAGGCATCTCAACGCGAGGCTCGAAAGACCGTCTAGTTCGGAGTCATTGGGTGAAAACTCTGGTCTGCTCTCGATCAGTTGCTTCAAGATGTGCAAACCCATGCTCAGACTTCGGCCACTGCGCGCGTCAGTCTTCTCAAGTAGGGGCCCCAGACGACGGGTCATGGAGACAGCGATGGTAGGTGGGTCACCGATCTTGACAAGTTCCTGGGCTAGAAGCTCTAGGCCGCTGACAATGTGTGTACGTGCATCGTAGCCCGCGCGCGAAGCTAGGAGGGCATCAAGACCAGGTGACACGTGGGGTTGAAAGCTGTCGCGAGACTTCTTGAGGAGAAGCTTGATGGTCGAAAGAACCTGCGTTTTGACATCCTGGACCTTTTCGGGAGCTATGCTCTCCAGAGGTGATTCGAGATACTCGAAAAGCCCATTGAGCAAGGCGTCGAATTTGTCATCGCTGAGCATCGCCCTTTCGTCTCTCAGTAACGACTGTAGTTTCCGGAAACCATGAACGTCCAGGCTCTGAGCCTTGACACGCTTGATACCACTATCGAGCAGGCGGTTTTGAGTGGTCTTTTCGGGTGTTGAAATGGCCGTCGGAGACGCGGCAGGCTCACCCTGCGCAAGAGAAAGCTTGGCGGCATCCTCGTTGACTGGCTTGTCTTCGAGAACAGGACGCACAGGACTGTCGTTGACAGCTGGGCGGGGTGTCGTTTGGTCTTCTGTGAAGGGATCCTCGTAGACCTTGAGGGTCTTTGAAGGGCTCTGTACAGGCGTCTGAGAAGGAGTCTGCGTAGGAGTCCGAGAGGGTGTCCGTATCCCTGCTTCGCCCACGTTCTCAACTGATTCCCTGGGCTCCTCTGGGGCATCTTCCACTATGGCAGGGACATCTGGTGCCGATTCCGAACCTTCTGTTAAACTTGCGATGCTCGGGACAACCAGTGTCAAGTCTTCGTTTTCGTTTGCGTTCGAAAGGCTGCTTGAAAGTAAACCATTGACTGCAGGCTGGGCCTTGGGCTTTGCAGGACTGCTCTTAGGAGACGCAACAGCGGCAGGCGCAGTCTTGGCAATGGGCTTCGACGGGGAGTGAACACTTGATTCGCTATGGGTAGGTTGATGTCCTGGCCGAGGTCTCGGCGCTGTCCTTCTAGGCGAGCCCGAGATGGTTTTGGGCGTGATAGTTTTAGACTTGACGTCAGGTGGGCTGGACCGAATGTCGTGATTCCGCCCAGAGTAGGGCCCGGCAGTAGCAGGCCGAGGTGCCATCTCTGGCCGTCGCCTTGCAGGCCTCATGGGCGCTGCGGAAATACCACCAGGAGCCTTGCTCGACGTCTCTGCTCTCGCTCTAGTTCCAGGAGCGGTGGCTGAAGAAGAGGCTGACATGCTCGACACATTTGAGGTCGTTCGGACGGGTGATACTGCGGCCATTGCAGATCCCGGACGCGGTGGCAGATTTTTGGCAGCCAAAGCCCTCTTCTGAGCCATCATGGTTTCCCTCAGCGAAGTCTTGGAGCTGGCGCCCATGGTGCTCTTGGAAAGGCCCATTCCAGGGCGTGGCAGGGGGTCAGTCTTGGCCGATGGCTTGTCCGGGTTGTTGGGATCCTTGAGGAGTAGCTTCTGAGCCGTCATCTCAAGGCCGTCCATGATTCTGTGTGGGATTGTTAGTAGAGCGATTTGAACCGACCTGTCCGGGTCACTTACGCTACAGCCCTGGTCGGCCACACGGCCGAGAAGGCCCAGTACGTTGCTCGCATTTGCTCCCTGACACCAGGGTTCGCGTCTCCCAGGCCTTTCTTAAGACATTTCTCCATCAATTCAAGCCCACCGCCATGCTCGAGATGGTTTTTGTGGTGCGCTTCTTTCTTGATCAAGGTCCTCAGCCAACCAGTGACATACATTCGTGGCTGCACGTTCTTGTCCTGACAGGCTCCCCACATGTGTTGCATGATCCTAGCAGTGTATGTGGTTCGGCCTATAATGGTATCAACGGTGGTGTTGGCCAGCTGTGAGGCGATCTTCTTGGTGGCAGCGGCTAGTTTGATGAACGTCTGCATGAACAGTTCGACCATGGGATCCATTCCCGGGCCGAAAGTGTTCGCAATGTCCTGGACCAGGACACACCCTTCCTTTGACAGACTTGTTCTCAGTGACGTGACGGCCTTTATAATCCCGTCCAGTAGATTCTTGCAACCCACGAGAAAGGCGTCGGGAAAGTCAGACGCGTTGCCGGCTAGAAGCCTGCGCAGTTTCGTGACACTTTCTTCGCGCTTCAGCCAGTTCTGTTCCGTCTCGCGGCCTTCGAACCAGCCGTGCATCTCTCTGAATATGTCGTCCAGCTCGCGCTGCGTGTTGACGTAACTCGGTTCGACGGAGTCGGCCTTGGCCTCGGCAGTCATCGGTGTGATCGGCCTCTCGCTGGCAAGCGATGACATGCTTGCGGCGAGGTTTGGTCGTACCAAAGGCGCAGAGTCGGGCCGTGTGTCTGCTTCTATTCTCGAGGCGGGTGTCGGTGCCAGTTCCTTCACAATGGCAGCCTCGATTGCTGGGCGGACCTTGAAGTTCTTGAGCTGTTTCTTTAGATCCGACTTGGCGGCGTTTGGTGCTCCCCTGATATTACGGGTCAGCTCTGTCTTGACAGCTATGTGAGCGCAGGTCAGAAACATACCGGAACAGTTCGATGACAGTGGCCCTGGCGGCATCGCGTACCATGCCGTCTGCGTCCTCCAAGAGCTCCATGAGGGTCGGGACGTAGCCCCTGAACTGTAATCCGTGTTCCTGGTGCATCTGTCACGTTGTATGTTAGCCCGCGGATTCCAGCGCAGTCAGCTTTGGGAAGCCCAGTCTCGGGGGCGGCGTACCTGTAATAACCACTGCATGCCCGACTCCTTGGCTCTGGGGTTCTTGCCGACCATGGCAAAGTTGCGCACGTATCGCTCGGCCTCGGCGGGTATGGCTCCGTACATGGTTGACATGGCCTGCACGGCGAGGGCCCTCAGCTTGTCCCTCTGGTCGCCCATCTTCTCGACAATCAAGGGCATGGTGCTCTTGGCCTCGCGGGAGAGGAACTTTGGCTCCTGGCGCGACAGGCGCGTGAGCAGGTGGTTGAGCGCGGTGAAGCCGGCGTTGACGAGGGCCGAGTGCTGGGAGGACGAGGCCAGGCGCAAGGCGTCGAAGAGCGGCGCGACGCAGGTGTCGGGCACATTGTGCTGCTTGATGGCCGACTTGGCGGCGGTGACGACCTGGACTTTGGAGTCGACGGCGACATCCTTGCGCAGGATCGTCAGCACGTCGGCGACCTGCTCGTCTGTGAGTCTCTCCGCCATGTCCGGCGCTCTCACGGCGTTGGTAGGGGGGTTATGGGGGAGCGCTTTGGTCTTCTGTGCGTGTGCGTGTGCGTCTGCGTGTGTATATGTGTTTTCTAGTGAGAATGCTCTTGTCAGCCGGAATGTGTCGCATCGAGCTCGCGGCGAGCTGCCGAAGAGGGCGAGGTATGTTGTCACTTGGCTTCCCCCTTTCGCGCGGCGGCGGGAGGGAGAGAGGGAAGCGATGCGACGTACCGTACTAGTCCGGCTGGCTGGCGTACTGTTATTGCCAATCGCAACTCGTGTCCGGTGAATCTACAGCCCGATGCGATGTTGGAAGCATGGAGGCAAGGCTGGCGCGCAGATTGGCGAGCAAGAGATGCAGAGTCGCGGTCCTGTGGCGGTGGCGGTTGCGGTTGTGGTTGCGGTTGCGCTGTGATAATCTGATACAGAAACAGAGAAAAGGGCTGGCCCAAAGAAAACAAATCATCACACTCCCGCGGCTTCCCGTCTTGTTGTCACCCCACCCCGCCCAGGAAGCTCTGGTCGCCCCCGGAGCAACCAGAAAACCAGCTGCAGTTCCAGAGCGGATCCCGACCTGCATACAAATGCCACCAGTCCCTATTACACACAGGGGTCTCACAGCCCGATACCTGTCTATTGAGCCGTTACCGTGTTTGATCTCATGCCCAATGTACTATGGTAGGCACGCATTTCCGGGTCCCTGGATCATCGCGAACGACTGCGCAAAGGACGCGGGACAATTAAACCCTTCCCCAATAGATCGCCCACCAAGAGGGGCTGCCTGCAATAGTCCCCTTCCCAAGACATGTTAAAACACGGAAGCACTGGACTCACTGCGTGCCATGCGACCCCGGTAGCGGCGGCGACGGCGGCGGCGGCGGCTGGTCCCTTGTTGCTGGAAGCCTGTTTGAGCAGCGGACAATATCCATCCATGGCGGCATGTATTCCGTAGTTGAAATACGTGGCGTGGGGCGTTTTCAGGGCCCGCTTACCAGTTACTGTAGGCAGGCGTAGGCATCATCAATACCTAAACCTTGGAAGTCTCCATAGTAGGGGAGTAACCACATACATAGATCTGAGCATCCTCAGAGGGAACGAACGACTCCAGCGTGCTGACTATATAATACTGATTTCGCTCTTCCCAAATGCCTTCCGCATGTGTTGCGCGAACATTTGCATAGGCTACAGAACCAACTCTCGTTTAGTTTCTTCAACAGATGACCCAAGCCACCGCCGCCATATTGGTCGATTGACTTAGTTCATGCCACCTTTCGTGCACAACCAGCATCCCACAATTCTATAGACCTTTCGTTTCTTGCAGTTGTATAACAGACGATTGTCAGCACTTCCATCCGGAGTATTCTGACACCCAGCCCAAATCATTGTATATGCCTCCTCCGCCCTTGACATCGCGCGTGCCCCGGCCCGAGGACCTCTTCATGCCCGTCAAGTCCTACCAGGTCGAGGCGCCGTCCTCGACCTCGACCTCGTCCGCGGCGCCCACGCCCTCGCCGCTGCCCATCCGCCTGGCGCCGGAGACCTCGGGGCCGCAGACGGCCGCCGCCGCCGACAGCAAGCCCGGGGTCTTCCCGGTGCCGAAGCTGCGCCTGGAGATCCGGGACCTGAACCACGCCGGCGCCGGCATCTTTCTGCACGCCATCAACGCGGCCTCGGTCTTCGCCGCCTGCGTGCAGGACGTGCTGCAGAAGCTCTACGTGTCGCCGGCCCACCCGCACCTGCGGAGCCCGCCGACGCGGTCCGTGACGCTGATCCTCCGGGACATGGGCGGCGTCGCCTACACCACGGGGACGGACCTGGACGACGACCACAAGGAGATCCACCTCAGCCTGCGGTACGTCGCTGGCCTCCCCAAGGAGCGCCACACCCACGAGATCACCGGCGTGCTCACCCACGAGCTGGTGCACTGCTACCAGTGGACCGGCCAGGGCCAGGCCCCCGGCGGGCTGATCGAGGGCATCGCCGACTGGGTGCGGCTGAGGTGCGAGCTGGCGCCGCCCCACTGGAAGCGGGAGACCGGCGGCCGCTGGGATGGGGGCTACCAGCACACGGCCTACTTCCTCGCCTATCTGGAGGGTCGGTTCGGGGAGGACACGGTGCGCAGGGTGAACGAGAGCCTCCGGACGACCAAGTACGAGGAGAAGAGGTTCTGGACGGAACTCCTGGGCCGCCCCGTGGAGCAGCTGTGGGAAGACTACCGCGAGAAGATGAAGGAGGACGGCGTGCAGGTCGACGTCAAGACGGAGGGCCAGGTCGACGAGGCTACGCAGACCTAGGCGGGTGCGAGGTGCATCGGACCTGCGAGCGAGAAAGCTGAGGGTGATTACGGGGGCGATTATTGCTATTATGCCGTCAACGAAGACAATGGACAACAGAACATCTGCATTCAAGACGCTGTCGGCGAAGACAAAACCGACGACGTGCGAGTGAATAGGCACAACGCTTTCAGCGAATACGACGGGACCGATGATGATATTCTGCATGGCCAAGAGTCGCTCAGCCGCTACTTGAAGTGCTTCGTACATCAGCTAATCCTTGTGCCCTTCCACATAAGACTGAGACTTCTGTACAACGAGGCGAACGACGCCGCTCTGTACGTCACATCTCTGCTCCTTTTCCTACAGTGGTGGCCGAGAGCGGTGCTCAAGTACTTGTTTCGAAGCCGGGAGGTGGCGTGGCCGCTAAAGGTCATTCTGTTGCTGGTGGCGCTCGCCATTGCAGAGTATATTGTGCGTATCTTGATCCTGGAAGTACTCGGGATTCCCCCGCGTGCCTACAATGTCTTCCTCTACATGGCTGCTCTGTCGGTCTGGAGTTTCAATATCTACAAGATTGCTCAGATAATCTGTACTCTGGCCGTTGACTTGGTGCTGGATAGGTGTCAAATTGGGTTCCTCGCAGGAAATCTTTTCCCTGCAGTGCTATGGAAGCAATGAATTTGGTACACTGCATGTATAACCTTTAAGTATTTGATGGCATGGGAGGCAGGTTGGGACAGCGGTTCTTTTGAATACCTTCAGGATTAACACGGTAGCGACATTTCGAGGAACTCATGAATATTTCTCGTGACGAGTGGTATTCCAGCGGAAGATCATTCATGATCAACCATACCATCGCGTTGCCGAATAAACCATTTGTACATGCCTTCTGAGCTGTGTAATTTTACTTGGCCAGGATGTTTCACTGTGTTTCATTGTAGCAATTTAAGCATATCACAATGACTGAGGGAGCAAATGAACTTGTCTAGGTGATCAATTCGTCATAACTACAAGGCAAACCAAATGGATGATAGCTACTAAACAGTTCCACGCTGTGCTTTCGTATAGCTTTTCTTTATCCACGGCCGCATCATTTCCTTGTGGCCCAAGCATCGCGTCATTCGTGGCGACTTGGGCCTATATCAATGCGAGGAATCGTCTCATGGCATTCATTAAACATGCCACAAGACAGAAGTCTATCAGCATAGCGGGTAGCTGCTTACAACTTGTCGTAGTACTGCACAGATACGTTAGCTGATTACGTCCAAGGTGTCGCGAAAGAGTAGTTGAACTTACGTTGGAGACATCGGGCACCTCAACCTTGAGACCCTTGCGCTTACGCATCTCCTGGACGATGTGGCCAACCTTCGAAGTACCATCGAGAGGCGAGCCACCGGGCAGGTGCTGCCAGTGGTCGAACACCATCTGGGGGAAGGCCTGGCCGGAGGTGGCCTGTCTGAGATCACCGTTGAAACCGAAGGACTCCATGACGGGCAGGTAAGCCTTGATGGTGAACAGAGGAGTACCGGGGCGCTGCTCCTCGTTGAAGACGTGACCTCTTCTGCGGGTGAGGACACCGTAGACACCACCCATGGCCGACTCGGGCACCTGGATCTCGACCAAGAAGACGGGCTCCATAAGGGCGGGCTCGGCAAGCAGGGTAGAGGCGTACAGGACACGGCGGGCAGTGGGGATGATCTGACCACCACCACGGTGGATAGCATCAGCGTGCAGGGTAACATCCATGATGTTGAAGCGGACGGCACGCATGGGCTCCTCAGAGACGGGACCCTCACGGGTGGCCCACTGGAAACCGGACACAACGGAATCCTTGATTTCGCTGAGGTACTGGACGGCCTTGGTCTGGTCAACCAGCAAGTTGGCACCGGTGGTGTCGGGACCGAAGCACCAAATCTTTCGGGCATCGGTGACATCCCAGCCGAAGTCGTCAGCCAGGATACGGGCACGAGCCTTGAAATCGTCACGAGGTCCGATCTTGCCATCCTCGATGGTCTTGGCAAGCTCCTCATCCATGGGCTCAGCAATCATGTAAAGACGGTTGTGCTTGTTGGGGGACTTGGACAAGGCAGTGATGCTGGACTTGCCGTTGACGGTCTCACGGTACTGGACAACGGGGTCGGAGATGATGAGGGGAACACCGGCGTGGTCGTTCTCGAGATCGCTCAAGCAGATCTCAAGGTGGAGCTCACCAGCTCCAGCAACAATGTGCTCACCAGACTCGGAGGACAGGGAGGTCAGGACGCAAGGGTCGGACTTGGAAAGACGCTTGAGACCTTCGACCAGCTTGGGCAGATCCTGAGCGTTCTTGACACGAACGGAGCGCTGGACGACGGGGGAGACGGAGAACTTCATGACCTTCAGGTTGTGGGCAGTCTCCAGGGTGGTGAGGGTACCAGACTTGAGCAAGAACTGGTCAATACCGACAAGACCAACAATGTTACCGGCAGGCATATCGTCGATGGGCTCGACCTTGCCACCCATCATCAGGACGGTACGCTGGATAGCCTTGATGAAGAGATCCTCCTTCTTGCCAGGGGTGTAGTTGGGACCCTGGATGCGGACCTTGATACCGGACTTGACGGTACCAGCGAAGACACGACCGAAAGCGTAGAAACGACCCTTGTCGGAGGTCGGCACCATCTTGGAAACGTACAGCATGAGAGGTCCCTTGGCGTCACAGTCGCGGATGGCGATGGCGGCCTCATCATCAGAGGGACCCTCGTACAGCATCTCGGCACGGTACTTCTGGGCGGTGACGGGGGAGGGAAGGTGGAGAATCATCATCTCCAGGAGAGAGTCGGCAGCGGGCAAGAAGGTGCGCATGACGGCCTTCAGGAGCTGCTTGCCCTCCTTCTCACGGTCCTCAGTGGAGAGCTTGAGGTCGAGCTTGCCCAACAGAGCCTCAACCTCGTCCTTCTTGAAGTTCATGACCGAGGAGAAGATCTTGAAGATGGGGTCCAGGATGAACTGGTTGAAAGCACGCTCGAGGGGCTTGCCCTCGTGGCTGCTCTTGGTGGTCCACTTCTTGGTGTGGGGGTTGAAGTAGTTGTCACCCTAGACGTCAGATTAGCTGCTGCTGAGCAAGACCATGTTGTTCTACTAGAGTGAGCGAACTTACCCAGAGACGCTCCATCATCTTGTTACGGTCAACACCGAACTTCTTGGCGTAGCGGACGGCGAACTGGCGGACGGTGAAAGCCCAACCGTGCAGACCGGAACCGAAGGCGACGGTACCCTTATAAGGGTAGACCTGGATGTCACCCAGGGACTTGTCAAGGTAGGTGGAGATGATGACGTTGACGGACTCAATGGTACGCGAGAAGGACTGGTACAAGTCCTCCTTGGAGACCTGGAGCTCGAGAAGAGCACGATCGACCTTGTTGATGATGACAACGGGCTTGATGCGCTCACCGAGAGCCTGTCGGAGCACAGTCTCGGTCTGGACACAGACACCCTCGACGGTGTCGACGACGACAAGGGCACCATCGGTGACACGGAGGGCGGCAGTGACCTCGGACGAGAAATCAACGTGACCGGGCGAGTCAATCAAGTTGATCAAGAAGTCCTTGCCCTCGGTCTTCTGGCCAACGACATCCTTGATATCGTCCTCGGTGGGGAGCTGACCGAAGAGGGAGATGGCAGTAGACTTGATGGTGATACCACGCTCCTGCTCGTCGGCACGAGTGTCGGTGGCACGGGCATCTCCAGCCTTTGCGGTGGAGATGATACCAGCCTTGGCCAGGAGGGAATCGGTCAAAGTCGACTTGCCGTGGTCGACGTGGGCAATAACGGACATGTTACGGACCTGTCCAAGGCAGTTAGCCACCCGTCACAAAGAGCCGCAAGGTCGGGATACGGGTTCTTACATTGCTAGGCTTGTCCATAAGCGTCCGGATCTCGTCAATGGTGAAGCTATCGGCGATGTCAGCGCAAGTGTCTCGAGGCGAGGTCAGGTTAGGTCGGGACGGGGATCGGGCATCGTCGACTCGAGTCGACACCAGGAGCACACCACAAGTGGTCTCCTGCGTGCTGGACGAGGCCCGTCCGGACCGACAGAGGCGTCGGCGGGCGACTTACTTGACCATTTTGGCGGTATTGATAGGATAACCGGCCTATGTGTTGTTTTTCTCTTTCTGTAGCAGATAAGACCCGACTCAAGTGAGGGGTACTGACGACAACCTCTCCTAGGGAAGAGGAAGACGATCAGTCGATGGGCTCTGGAGCACAAGAAGGAAGAAAAGGGAAGATGAGGTGATGACAGTCGCAAGCAACTATTCCCACCAAGCCAGCCTTTTGCTTGTGAGGGAAGAAAGTGTCTCGGGTGGTGCGTCCTGAAAACTTCTCTCGCTCGCTCGTTCCTAAGCAACGAACCCCGCAGCACTTTTGCTTTGGGCTGGGCACCAGTGGCAGTGGCAGAGAGGGGCCAGAGGGGCCAGAGGGGCAGATTGGATGGATCTCGGATTGGCCCAAGGTCCCCACAGCCCAATTTTAGCCAATGGCAGAATGTGCCTGCGGCGAGGGTTCCAGACCTAGAAGGCGAATAAATTCACGGATGACACGCACCTGATACGGAGCGGGGGGGAAGGCCGCAATCAATCTCTCGGGTTCAGCAAAACGGCGCTGTGCATGCAGCTGTGACAAAGGTCAATAGCAGGAGGCAACTGCTAAATGACCAGATTCCGGTTTATTCTTCTTTCTCATCGGGTGTTTTGGTTCTGGTCCTCGGGGTTGTCTGGGCACCTTACTGTTTAACAACCCCTCTTCCTTCGCGGGGAACTCTGGTAAGGTATTTTATTTCTGACCGTATGACTGCAGCGTGAGTGACTGGCCGCAGTTAAAAACGTGTGTCGCCCCACCACCAAGTGACATACGATTGGGTTTTCAAACTACGAGAAACAGCATTCCACAGCAGATCAAGAGCAGTTGACTCCCATGGTCGGCTGTACGAAGTGAAAACAACATGCATTTTGAATACATACTCGACAGTATGTCACTCGATGTATGATGTCACTTCACCGTAGGACTCACATTCATTCACCTTTGGCTTCCCCCCTCCCGCGCATATGGTTTCGATCGAATTTGTGAAAGTGCCCGGCAAAATACGGTGAGTTCCAGAAAAAGCTTGCATGCGGCTTTACCGGATTTAATCTTAGATGCCCCGCCTCGTCGCAACGGGCGGGTGCCAATCGATAGCAACCTTGGAACGAGAGAACGTACTCCGTACCAAGCCAGGCAAGGGTGTGCGATCCGTATACTATTCCAGTGAACTACCTAACTAGGTACTTATGTGTGTGCATACTTTTTGACAGAAGCGCAGGGCTTTATACAAGCCTGTGTTTACTCCCCTTCAGCACAATGCCAACCCGCCCACAATACTCCTCAGGCAGGAGAGTGAGAAGCACCAGGGAGCTGTGAGCTTACAGCTCAGCTCGGCTGAGCTGAGGAGGGGTAGCTGTTACATAGCTGGCGGCGCCTTGTTGGACAAAACCTCATTCCTAAGACAGCTATCTCCCTGGAGCCTGGGACTATAAAGCCAGCCAAGGATCCCTTGGTCTTCATGACTCGCCCAGAAACCGCCATCGCCAGTAGATGTCACCCGTCACGCTCACCATGTCCCAACTCAAGACCTATCTGGACCTCGTCAAAACGACCGACAACTACCCTCTAGTGGACATTACCCAACTGCCCTATGCTGAAGACCCCGAGAAAGGACTCTATCAGCTCCTGCTGCCTAATGACCTGCGCCCACATGGCTTCATGCTCCCCTCGGTAGTCCGGCAAATGCCATGGACATCCGACTTCTCTATAAGTCACGAACGCCCTAGGACCGTGCAGCTCCTCGACGGCTCGAACGGGTCCAACACGGCAGAAGTTTGTAATGCCGCCTTCAAAAAGGTCATAGACAAGGCCCAGGAGGCCCAGGTCTTCGCGAATCTGCACAAAGTGTGGCCAGAAGACTACAAAGTACTGGGAGCCAAGTACGAAGGCCGGGTCCAGCTCCTGCGCGCGGCAGCTAGTCTATTCGGCGTCTCATGCCGCGGCGCTCACATGACCGTGTATACCCGTACGGAATCGGGCGAGCTCAAGATCTGGGTCCCCCGACGAAGCAAACTCATGCAGACCTGGCCAGGCAAGCTTGACACCACCGTCGCTGGGGGCGTGAGAGCCGAGGAAAGCCCCTTCGAGTGCATTGTCCACGAGGCTGACGAAGAAGCGTCCCTGCCCGAGGCTATGGTCCGTAAGAACGCCCGGCCCGTCAGCGCCATCACCTATGTCGCCGAGAGCGCGGCTGGGTCTGGTGGCGAGTTTGGGCTATGCGTGCCGGATGTGTTGTATTGTTACGATCTAGAGGTGGGCCAAGACGTGGTGCCTCAGCCACAAGACGAGGAGGTTGAGGCATTCTATCTCATGAGCGTGGATGAAGTCAAGGACGCTCTCCTACGAGAGGAGTTCAAAACCAACTGCGCTTCGGTCATGATTGATTTCTTTGTCCGTCATGGTATTATAAATGACGATAACGAGCCGGACTACCTCGAGATCGTCACCAGACTACATCGTCCTCTCCCGGTCCCAACATCCGCCGCTTGAAAGTCACTATGGATAGTTATCTCTTTAGTAGAAGGAGTTAAATGGTGGCATCGTTTCGAATGATGTGCGTATAGAGGACTTGATGAACACTTCAGTTCACCCTTTAATCATTGACCGGCATCCCGCATGACAATAGACATGCCCATCTCCTTAGGCATCGTGTCCTTAAATCCATTCTTCTCATAGAGCCTTCTTCCAGGGAGATCCGCACCCAACGTGATGTATGCTGTTCCCGGGCAGGCGTCCGACTTGATCCGCGCCAGTAGCTTCTTCAAGATGGCATCGCCAAGCCCCCGCCTTTGATGCTCCGGCAGCGTCGCCATGTCTGCGATAAGGAAGTACCAGCCGCCGTCGCCAATGATACGACCCATGGCGACTGCCTTTGTTGGTGCTGTCTCCTCGGTGACGTAACATCCATACCAGCTGCCTCGGATGGCCACAGCTGCTTGTTGGGCTGTTTTCGGCGTCAGTCCAGATGCGGTGCGCAAGTGTACATAATCTTCCACCAAGGGATATCCATCCTGTAGGATGTAACCTGCTGCGAGGCTGCTTGTAGACATGTCGCGTAGTTTCTCAGCTGCCTACTGGAACTATACTTGGTGGCGGCTTTTTAATGTTAAAGCCACGAAGACTGGGTCCTGTAGCCCCCTTTCTAGAAACAATTGGAAAGGGAATAAATGAAGAAGTGGGTGTGTCTTTTATTCACACGACTTTGTTGTGGTCGCTTTCTGGAGTTGCAATTTGAAGAAGGATGGCGTGTTGCCTGGAGCCGTGTTTCAAGCCGATACGCAAGCCGAAGCCGACAGGTTCGTAGTGCTTTCACCGCCTCGGAGATGCTTCGGCTCGGCTCAGGACGCCAAAGAATGACTCAACGCGCGTTTTATACTGGAACGCGGACGCAAAAGGTGACACCAAGTCACCTGGCCACTCTTTGGAATGTCATGGACATCGCCTTAAGGGAAAGAAGATTCTTATTAACACTGGTAATACTAATGATGATAATAATGCCTCCGTGGAATTGCATTATGCAGACCCTATCCCATGCATTAAAAGAAACAAATGATGAAAACTCCCCCAAGGCGCCTTCGCTATGAATACCGATGACCTGATTTGCCATCGCTCTCTACTTTTTTCACACCCTCCGTATAGTTCCTTCAGCCAAAGTGACTTCAGAGTTGATAGTCTCTATGACAACACGAAAATTGTCATGAATTATTTTAGGAAGATCCTAAAATCCGCTCGTAGGCATCCTCGACCTCGCCCGCCAGCTCCAGAAGACTCACGATGACGATCTGGTGCGTCAGGTTCGGCAGTCTGTCGCGATGCAGTCCGATCCACTCCAGGGGCGGCGTGGCCTCGCCCATGTCCCTGAGTTGGGGGGTCTCGATGATGGGCGGCTCGAGTGCGACGTACTCGTACTTGGACTGCGGAACGTTGACTTCGGCTGTAATCTTCTGCTGCTCCTTCTTTTTGTGCTCATCACCGCCGGCGCCGCCTTCTTTGCTGTCGTCAGCAGGCGCGTCTGGAACACCAGTGACTTTGATGGCAGACATCTCTGGCAGCTCGCGGCCCCACACCGCCGCGAGTGATTTGGAGTGGTTGGCCACCATCCCGCGGATGTAGCTGATACGGGAGTAGTTCCAGCCAACCTCGACTTTGCCTTCGAAAGCCGACTTGAATATGTAGTCGATGCTACGGGCCTCGGGCATCTGCCATGTCTGCATGATGGCCTCTACTTTGGGGACTTTGAGGATTGTGCCACCACGAGAACCGGTAGCAGACGCCGCCACGTCCTCAACTGATATCTCAGAGACAGCCTTAGGCGCTGAGACGCGCCTGACACCAGCGAGGCCGATTCGCAATTGTCCGAGTGTCAAGCCTAAGATACTGTGGATGCGGCGCTGTTCCATAGACGCAGCAAACCGGGCTTGCGCGTTGAGGGCCTCGAGCTTGAAGACCTGATTATCTGAGAACGTACTAGGGAAGACACCTAGGTTGAGGGCCTTAAGAGTGACAACGACATCCGTGTCAAGGGAGATCGGCGACCTTGCTACCGGCACGCCGTGGTCTGGCTTACTAGGGCTGGGATGCGCCAAAGTTCCCGGGGCCGTGAGAGACCTGCGCTTCATGAATTTTTCTATGTCCCGCAGTGAAGACTCGTAGTTGGCCTTTCGTTCTTGGATGAGCCTTTGCACAGCTTGCCAAAGTGCAACAGCTGAAGCTGCCGAGGTGGTTATACCAAAGACCTGTACAGCTTCGCCGTCAAAGCTTGCCACGAGCCTATCACCGCTGCCCTCTCTGCGCCGACGTACATTGTACATGAGAAACTCCATTGACGTGATGTCGGCGACCAAGAATGCCTGGTAGTCAAACGCAGCCTTCAGTCTAAATTGACTAAACCCGATAGAAGCCTGGATCCGTGGCGTCTCGTTTAGAGCAGCTTCTCGCTCTGGCCACTCTATGGATGTGCGGAGTTTGAAATTCTGTAGCGCCACGAAACCGCTCAGGCGGCCAATGCAGTCAACGCTGATTTTCTGGAACCCGAGACAAAGGTTCTGTTCCCAGTCTGATGTTTTCTTGGACGAGATCCAGAAGTCTGAAATGGCAAAAACAGATTTGCCAAGTGACTGTCCCAGGTCGACATTAACATCCAGGGCAGCGAAGGAGATCGTAGCAGTCCATGGGAACGCGGCGGTAGCGGCAACTTGTTGATATCGCTGGACGAGATGTCCCTGCGTAGACTCTGCCGAGGGGGTGGAGACTGGTGCTGCAGAGGCTTGACGTACTTCTCGTGGTATCCAGATTTCACGGAAAAGCAAAAAGTCCTGTAGCTGCTTGGCGTTGATGTCAACCTTTACAGGACTAACTTTGAGGATGGCAGATAGACCACTTGTGCCACTGACATGCTTACTGTTCATCAGCGACAGAACAATAGAGTCGACCTCAAAGCGTCCGGTATGCTCCCTCGAGTACACGTGTTGTACAGAAGTCTGCAGGTTGGTGAAAGCACCGGAGATGGCAAAGAAGTTTCCGTGGTCAACTGAATGCACTGTGTTGACAGTAATGTATATGTCCTCGAAACAAGCAGTCGCAGCAACTCTGGCGATTGGTTGACAGCTAAGTGTGAACTCCTGTTTGCAAATGCGCAATCCAAGGTTCAACTTCGTTCGCCCCAAAACTGCGCTTGGATCAGCAGTGAGGAGATTCTCTTCCTCAGCAGGCTTGCTGTTGGAAGCGTGACTGCTTTTGCTCGCTGGTGTACTTGGCGTGGGTGGTTGCTTGTCATGATCACTGACTACTTCTTTGATGCTAGATGTGATATCCATGATTAATGGCACGACAGTCGGATATAGAATGTTGCGTGACGCGTCAATCTTGATCTCTCCATAAAAGGCGGGATCCTCCTTGCCATCATCCCGATACTCTGTCTTCCAGGCAAGGCCAGGCGACTTGAGAACGGTGCTGCTACTAGATTCGTCGGCGCTGAATTGCCCATATTTACCAGCCAAGGTAGGTCGCGTTGTCCGCGTTGCTATCAGACTCTCTGGCCCTTCCACTTGTCTCCTGCCGGATAGGTAGACCACAGCTCCAGCGAAATCGGCATCAACCAAGCAAGACTCCAGCCTTTTGCTTCCGAAGAATGAACGCTGGCGAGTTTTGATGGGCGTGTCAGCCGGCTTATCAGTGGCGACAAGAGGTGTCCAGTTTGACGACGCTTGCTGTACATTTTTGATGGAAAGTCCGATCGAATCAGAGAGGTTGGACGCAGGGATGATAAAGCCAGATGTGAGGCGTAGATCTAGCGACTTCCCAACGGCTTGGAAGGCAAGACGGCGGGTATCCAAGGTAGAGACGAAGGCAACATTGAATATGATCTCGGGAAGAAGTGCCGAGTTGTGAGACCGAAGAATCCTCTCTTGTCCTGGGGGGACCATTTGCAGCTGGAAGTTCTCGATAGTAAGCTTCGCGGCATTTTGCTTTCGACTGGCGAACTCGATTCTCTGAAAGGACAGAACGAGGTCTTCTTGCCCGGCCGCAACATATTCAGAGTCGGGGGCGACGAGCCAGCATAGTTGAATGTCGCTGATCTCGAAAGAGTACGTGATTGACGCGAAGAACGAATCAAATATATCGCTGTTGGCGTCATCTTCTTCCTCTTCCTCTTGGTCGTTAATCGCGATGCGAGGTCGGGATTGCCGCAGCCGTTTCTGCAAGTACTCAATCTCTCTCGTAGTGTCGAGGTCTTTTATCTTGTCCCCCATGTAACCCACCACATCCACAAACGTGGAGACAGTATCGGATGATAGATTTACTTCGAAACCATTGCTTTTGAAATCAAACGACCTTCGGTCAGACCCGTCGTCCATTTGTTTAGTAGTGGCGGTAACCAGAGCGCTGAAAGCCAAGTTGCCACACGTCCGCATAGACTTCTCATCGGCACCTTTCTGAATATCAAATGTGATCTGGCGAAGATTGACGTGAACTTCGGGGTTCTCGAGAACTGGTCCGTGAGGCTCCAATCGATTAGCAAGCTCGAAATGTACACTTGCCAGACAGAACGACAAGTGCGCCCTGGGTTCAATGTCGGATTTGATAGGAGCCTGCCCAAAGATCTCAATGCCTGCCAATGTGGTGTGTACGGTATACACCAACTTCTCTCCACTTGCAGCGGCATTCTTCTCCCGGGCCTGATCTGGTGGACCGAATATCTCCTCGACATGCTCCTGGATGACTTTGCCTTGTTGCTGCAGATCATTGATTGCATTTGACATTTCGGGCCGATTGAGTGCTGTGAGAAGGCTATAGACCGCCGAGGCATCTAACTGCACCAGTTCAACAGACGCAAAGACTGAGACAGCATGCTCTCCCTGCCCCATCTGGCTAGTGATCCGGCCATTTGTGGGTGGAATCTGGAGTAGAGAAATACTCCGAGGCGCGTTGTTGACTTTTATCTGAATGTCATGGGAGTTTTCCTTGATGTCGAAGTCAAATATGACCTCCTTGCCAAAGTTGGCCGCCATGGCTGCTCTTGCTACAACGCCTTTGACCGTGTATGTGAGGGATCGGAGGAGCGGCAGGCTTATAGTGTAAGTGTTCAGGAACATGGCGAGATTGACCCGAAACGAGGATAGTCGTTCCGTTATCTTCGGCTTCGGGGATTGAGGTTTTGGAGCTGCAGGGAAATGCTTCTTCAGTTGGTAAAGCTGTGCAACCTCATCACGAACAATCGTATCCAAGACTTCCGTTAGGACGATTGGATCTTGTTTTACAGCTAGCTTCAGGTCCTGACTGCTTGCTGTGGCTTTAATAGTATGGACTGAGGTTTGATTGACGAGCTGTAATTCGTGAGAGATGAAGACACTAGGTCCTCGCAGCCGCAGGGTGGATAGAGGTTGTTGGTGACTTCGAAGCTTGGTGGTAACAGTATCACATGCAAGAACCGCATTTGTATCTGTAAGGCCAGGTCTCCTTGCCATCAGCACGGAGATCGTCAAATCCTCACTTTGAGTGTCTGACTTCAGGTTGACAGTCTCAAGTACCACAGACCCTTGGTCAAGAGCGAGCACAAAATGAAATGACATGGGTCGCTCAGGTACTATGGGTTCTGCTCGATCCTCCCGAACATTCTTCGTTTTGAGGTCTGTTGTTTGGGGGCGTGCTTGATGATAGAACCGCAGAATATCTTCCGTGAGCTCCAGCAGTTCCCAATTGAGGTTGATGCCAGCCTGGGCGCAATACATGTTCACTATCATTAGAGGACCCTCGACCTTGCCAGTTGCGTTTTGCGTTTCCACCAGCTGGGTTTCCTGAGACTGCAGTCTGATGGTGATATCCATGGCGTACAGCTGATTCTGCTTGGGGCCGGGGTCGAGTACGAAGGCAGCCTCCTGTAAGCGAAGAACGGCCATGACGGGGGTGTGGTCCGACGTTGCGTTATCCAGCTCAATGGGTTTCCCGAATATGTTGCTGATCAACGCAGATTTATCGGTGTCTTCCAGATCCCAACTACGCCATTTTGAAAACGCTTGGGTTACTTTCTGTTTCACATCCTCAGGATACGCCAGATCTGTGCTCACGCAACTTAGACTGAGTTGCTCCTTGTCTTCATGAGATCGAGTATTCCAGACTTGCCGCATTCTGGAAACCAGCTTCCACGAGTCTTGTGTCCTGAGATGCTCCGTGGCCGCCCTCAGAATGGCGGATGGCCTTACTATGAAAGATGGATCCTTCGTCAAGTGACTGTCGGCCATCAAGCTGTAAGTGAAATGCTTTAGGCGTCGGTCTCCTCTAGATAAAGTGGCGGAGAATAGTTCGCCCATGTCAGAGGCGAGAACATTCGTCCTGTGTATCAGTGCAGCAAGGTACTCAATCTTGCTTGAAGACAATGTTGATCGCACAGTACGGATGTCGCCGTCGATGTATGTAACATCTCGAGAGCCCATAGATAGCATTACTTGTTCCACGTTGGCTTTGACGGCTGCATGAGTGTGGTCCATGTCTGCGAAGCGCTCGGCTGCTGTTATTTCAGCCGAATCCATCCTGAAATGGAATGACGCTCGTGTTTTGCCAGAAACTTCACCTGCTTGTGGCGTACGTTTCTCTGATCGAGCAGCCAGAGCCAAATTGGTGATAGCTATATCGTACTGGTCCTGCTCTGCATGTTGAGGTTCTGGTGAGTCGAGCTCGGAACAGTTCAGAAAACGCAAATTAGCATGCGGTATTCGAATAACAAACTCATCAATGTCCGCTTTCATTTTTCTCTGTTTTTCGGAACCAAAAATTTTTGACATCGCCCCAATTTGCAAATCGTCTAGGATGTCCTGAGGATCTGTAGGTTGTAATGCGTTCAATAGTGAGGCAATGTGCTGCAGAGAAGTCGCGTTTAGAAATGCAGTCACGCCAGAAGGCAACTCAACGAGAAAACTGGTGTACGCCGAGCCTTCACTGAAAATGTCGGGGGATACATCGTCGAGTCCAAATTGCGAGGTTTCTGGGGCTGCGTCGCCTTCCGCTTCTATGCTTCGCAAGGTTGCTTCTTTTGTCTCGGGGCGTATATTCTCAAGCGGGAAATAAGGGGCAAAGAATTGGCTGGAGAAAGTAACAGTATTGTGCAATAACTCTCTTCTATCGTTGTGGTCAGTAGGTGCACTGTAAAACGCGGAGTGGCGTCCTGTAGAAGCCGAGTACTCTCTATGGGGCAGGATAGGGCGTCCATCCCGGGCTTGTGCCATTCGTGAAGATTTGATGGAGGCAGGCCGGCGCACACTGCTCGTGCTTTCAGCCCCGAGTGACAAGAAGGAGCTTTTGCTTCGCAAAGGCTCAGACCGGTGTGACGATCCCAGCGTCGAAATAGTTCTCTTCTCAGCATCGTCTTGATCGTGCCCAAGGCTGATGGGTTGAGGCACCATAGGGACACTTTGGGCAAGCTCATCGACGGCATCGGGTGCAAGTGGATCGAGCATTTCGGGAAGCAGAAGGAACTCGGTGCGATGAGTACGTTGATCTTCTCGACGCACGAGTTCTTGCTGCATCTTTCTCGCTTCAGTAAAATCCGGCTTCCTGCCGATTAGCGCAAATTGGATGCTCGTCTTGAGAAGGGCTTCGGTTTCCACTTTGCCATGCAGTCTCGATTTGTGTCTCGCTGCGGACTCGGAGTCGACACATGCTATCTGCAAATCTGGAATACCAATGTTGGCTCGCTTTGAGTAATGGGTCCTGGCCCAGTCGTTGAACTCTACGTTGATCTTCCCGGTGGAGAAGAGAAATGCGGCTTCTTCGACATGCAACCATAACTGGATCGACTCGACGTAGACCCGGAGGAATGTAACATCGTACATGACCACGGAAGAATATGGGATGAGTGCATTCTCGTCGTCGTCAAGCGAAAAGCCGAAGGCTTTGCCCCCACTGATAAGAGTTGTCAGAAACTCAGTAGTGCATTCGCCGGTGACTGCTCCCACAGACAAGTCCCAGTTGCACAAATAGGTGGGTTCGGTAGGCGGCAGCCCAAACAGACGATGGCCGTACACTCCGAGTCCATCAATGTACATCTGAGTGCTTGACGTGGCACTCAATGGACTAATCATGCCGTCGTCATCATTGCCCAAGGACAGACTGAGAGGGTTCAGATCAAAATCCAGGTCCATGTAATAATTGGTGAAGCGAAGATCAGCAGCTAAGCCGGCTGATTCGATAGTGACATGCCGCTTCGCTGAATAGAGATTGGCAGGCAGCAGAACTTTTGGGTCGTCTGCTCTGATGCTGAGCATAACGTCCAAGTCGTTGGATTTTTTGCTGGGAGGTCGTGTCGCAGCCTCAGCCTCCGAATTGCTCTCCTTCAGGCGCAACATTTCCTGGTACTCATCCAGAGTCTTAAAGTGAATATGGTCGCCGAAATAATTGTCCTTGAGCTGCAGGAAATACCGTATAAGGAAGCCGTAAAGAGTGAAAAAAGGCGACTGTCCTGTGACGTTGAGGACTAATGTGTCAGTATTGCCTGGTGCCGTTGTCGAATTGTAGTGGTATTTGCCGTCAAGAGCAAGATTTTCCAATTGCCCGATATCCTTCGACGTTAGGAATGTAGCCTGAGTGTTCCACGTTGGAAGGTGCAGAGCCAGGTTCAGCAGGTCGGCTTGAACGTTGAACGGCACCGCATTCTTGCTTGGGCGATATGTATCCAGGGATATACAAGTCTCCGCTTTGAGCATCGGGCTGGAAAGAACCAGGTACGTGTTGTCCTCGAATTCGGTTGGATTGTTGACAATATTGACATCGTTGACGTTCAGATAAAGCTTCAAGTCGCGGAATCGGAGGTTCAACAGGTACTTGAAAGGCACAAAGAGGAGATAATCCTGCGGTGGCCCACTCCCCCAGTCATCAATGAGATCAATCAGCAAGAATATGTGGTCTCTGAGAATGAACAGCTCAAGCTCGTCACCTTCAATGTCAAATCGCCAGTTGCGGAGGCTGTTCCATTTCAGAGGGGCTGACATGTCACACGAGATGCGCTGCGTGCCTGATCTCCACAGTGTCCCATGATTCACGCTGGTAGAGACCTCAGTTGTAGGAAGCTCAATGTCCAGCGTATTGCTATATCCCGAGAGCCCTGCTTGCATATCCATGGAGTAGGACACTGTAGCATTTGGGCCGACTTTGATATCAAGCCACCCAAAAGGTCGCTGTTGGGCGGCTGTGCTAGGAGGATTTTCCTGGTTGGCCCTTTTCCCTCTCCGTCGTTCGTGCTTTTCGTGTTGTCGTAATTCAGTAACCTCCTTCTTCCATCGCCAGTTTTTCGAGTCCTCTCTGGTAGGGATTCTCAGTGTAACCTCCTTGTCAATTTCCAAGAAAAATTTGAACTTCGTCGGAACCCGATCAAGACCAGGCTGAAGCGGTTTTGCCGGGACCGCATCTTTACTCAAGGTCGGGTTGAATATTCTTTGCAGCTCAGCTCGATGTCTATCTGCCCATGGACCATAGTTAATGATGCCACCACTCACGGCTAGGTTGATCGCCCAGGCTGGCGGCGTTGTGCCATTGATGTTGTTGGGTTGGGATGGATTATCTGACTCGAAGTGGCTCCTCGCCACCTTGCCTGGCACATCCCAAAATATTGTCAAAACCGCTTCTGGGCTGTCCAGGATCGTATTGATGGCAGCGTACTCAACGGCAGACCAACGCAGCTTGTCGTCCTCGTCATCATCATTCAGGTAGCGAGAAAGCCCCTGCCAATGGTTCGAGCCAGGTATCTGGCTATCAGCTGGCATTGGTTCATTTCTCGAATGCACCGAGAAGGACTCGACAGATCGCCTCCAGTAGGGCACCATGTCACGTAACCTACCAAGCACCTTTCGGCGATGGCGCCTGAAAAAATGCCGAGGGGCAAAGGGTCCAGAACTTAGGACAGTCTGCTTATCCCTGGCCGCTCTAGCAAGCTGGTCCTCCTTGTAATCGCTATTCTCTTTCATCTCGAGGATTGGGTGCTCAAACCGGATCTTGAAGATTTGTCTGTACGGGTCAACAGTTTCACAGCCCGAAGCATCAATCTCTCCGTCTAGGGAGGTGGACTTGATAACCAGTACGGCCTTGGTGTTCTCGTTTCCCATGACCACAGCGGCTTTCTGGCACTCAAAGTGGATGGGCAGAAGTTGCAGCATCAGGGGCATCTCTTGGTTGACCGCAGAGGTATCCCCATCACCATCTGTCAGCGATGTTGGCGAGGACCTGAGTCCATACCCGTCCGCAGAGTGTTTCTCCTCATTGGACGTCTCGGAGCTTCGTTTATCGGCCGAAACCTTGGAATCCAGTTTGTTGAGCTGCTCCTCGACCTTTTGCGAGGCCTTCTGCAACCGATGCCGTGGCTGTTGGTCGTGGTCGGCCTTCTCGGTGGTTTTCTCATCTAACGTGACCGGATCGGCCATTCCGGCCAGAATGGAGTCATAGACAGGACTGCGGTTGTAAACAAACCACTCGAGACCCGAGACAGCAATGTTGATCCGACATGGCAACCTGGCGGCCTTGTCCTTCTTGTCAGACGTGTTCTCCGAATCCCCCTCCTTGCTGAGCTTGCTGGGCTTCGAGAAGCCAAGGTCGACATCCCGAACCCTCCATAGCCAGTACGACCAAGTGACGTGTCCATTCTGTATCAAGATGGTCTCGTTGTTCCCGTGATATCGAAAGCCAGTGAAGAAGATTCGGCCGGCCAGCAAGGAGACCTGGAGAGCCTGGATGTCGACATAGATCTTGTGCTTGTTCCATACGTAGAGTCGGATCAGATACGAGACGAAGGACGCAAATACTCTGTTAAAGTAATTGAGGAAGAAGATGGCGCTGCAGTATGCGTCAGCTGGCTCTGGGCGGCGGGTATCACGAAAGGGGCAGAATATGCACGACTTACAGTACACCACAGCCGATCAGAATGCCCAGGAAGCTGGGGTTGAAGTTGGTCCAGCGCGTGCTCTGGTCCTCGCTGCCCAGGTCGGCCATGGCAACTGCAGGTCGGACGACGAGGTGCGCCACCAACCTCTGTGATGGCCCAATTGCGTCCCCGTTCCCTACCACGTCCGGTCGGCAATTGCAGCTACGGGGAGCACGGAGCCTCGGTCCATAGCTGTGTCGATGTACGGCGACGTTGTCGAGCGGTGGAAGGTCGCGTCGGAAGTGTAAGTTGCAAGGAATCCAGTATGTTGGTTCGTCGAGACGGCTTCACGCGCGATGCTCTACCGCGGTCCGTCCAAAATGCATGTACCCTACCTCCTCTAAGGTAGGTACGACGACTCACTAAAGGCGGTGGTTAAATTACAGGCGATGACGCGCCTTGATTAGTGGGAGTCTGCAGCACTGAGCTGCTGTCGTGGTAGGCCGGCGCCGGGGTGGTGGGCGGCCCTGCTCCAGCTAGCTGCTAGCGCCCGTTTTGCAGCTCTGCGTGTCGCACGGGGGGAGAACCTGGGCCTGTTGGGGGCCATGGATGACTTACGTACTCGCCGTAATGCTCCCCCTGTTCCCCCCGTCCCCCGGGACGTAGTGGTTATCGCCGCCACCAGCACTGGTTATCGGGCCACATGAGCTGCATCGACCCCTGCACTTCTCCAATGTCGGGTCTCTCTGGTCGACGCGCGGAGCTTTTGAACCGCCAGGGTCCCTACGTCAACTCGCATCATTCCTCCTACGCCCACGGTCCCTCGTCCTCGTTCTCGTGTAGCTGCCTAGATAACCCCGAAGGAGCGTATGCGGTGCAGCATGTCTTCGTGTTGTTGATGTCCCTGCCTCTTCTCCTGATCTCTCAAACCGTTGAGAAGGCTAGTACCGCGACATCATGGCCGGCGGCACGGGCAGCAAGTTCACGGCCGCGGCGACTACCACCGCCGGCGTTGCGTCCATAGCCGCAACGCTGCTCTCAATCATGTAAGTTGATGACGTTGCGCAACCCGACCCATCTACGTCCTCCCAACTCATTCCACACGATGCTGACTCTCTGCCGCTGCCGTCCAGCTCAATATGGCTTCAACTGTACGTCTGACAAGCAATCCCGAACACGCACCCCGTCCCGCGTCGTGTCGCGTGATGTTGACACTCTTGCAGCAAGAACTATCGGAAACCTCTCCTCCAACGATATGTCGTGCGCATCCTACTGATGGTCCCCATCTACTCCATTTCATCATGGGTTAGCATGGTCTCTCTGACGGCCGCCTCCGTTCTCGACCCCATCCGGGATATATACGAAGCCTTCACCATCTACACCTTTTTCCAGCTGTTGATCAACTACATGCACGGCGAGCGCTCCCTCATCATCATGACACACGGCCGAGCCCCGGTCCACCACCTCTGGCCACTCAACCACGTTCTGCCCAAGGTCGACATATCCGACCCGTACTCCTTCTTGGCCATCAAGCGGGGCATCTTGCAGTACGCCTGGCTGAAGCCCATACTCGCCATCGCCGCCATAGTCATGAAAGCCACGGGTGTCTATCAGGAAGGCTACATAAGTGCGACTTCTGGATACTTCTGGAGTGGTATCATTTACAACATTAGCGTCACCGTCAGTTTATACTCCCTCGGCCTCTTCTGGGTCTGTATGCACCAGGATCTAGTGCCCTTCCGTCCTGTGCCCAAGTTCTTGTGCATCAAGCTCATCATCTTTGCCTCGTATTGGCAAGGCTTTTTCTTGTCCATCTTGGTCTGGCTGGGCGCCATCCCCGACGATGTCCAGGGCTATACGTCGGACAACCTGGCTGCTGCCATTCAAGATGCTCTCATCTGCTGCGAGATGCCCATCTTTGCCGTTGCCCACTGGTATGCCTTCTCGTGGCATGACTTTGCCGACAACAGCATTTCAGCCGCAAGGATGCCCGTCAAACATGCCGCACGCGACGCATTCGGGGTAGTTGATCTTATTGAAGATTCCAAGGAAACGTTCAGGGGCGACAAGTACAGCTACCGAGTGTTTGACTCGACGGGGAAAGTTATTGCCCATGAGGATTCCAGCTCCAGGTTCGCAAGACTGAAGCAGGGTATGCGATACAAGCGGGGAGGCGAGGCCAAATACTGGATTCCACGGCCTGAGGAAGTCAGGGGCGAGGTGAGCGCAAATACGCCGCTCTTGAACTCGAATGGTGGCCCAAGCGGTCAGACGCCCAAGTATGCCGGCGGTGCCACTGATGAGACAAACCTTGACCCTGATGACGAGAGTCTCTACGATAAAGCCCGAGAGCTGGAGTTCGGGGATTGGAATGTGAGTATCCCGATGAGGAACCTGAGATGCCTGCTAATTACGACGTAGTACCCTGTTATCACAGCCAACATACCGTCACGGGAACGCTGGGTTGCCCATGCTTCTGTTTACCAGGTCCCTTCTGGTGCATGGAACGCCGTCGGTGGGGGTATATCGGTGCATAGCAGCAGACCACAGGCTCAGTCGTCAGCCAGTACTGATACATTGAGCAACAAGTTGAAAAAGGGGAAGGGGAAGGAAAAGGAGAAAGAAAGGAAAAAGGGCTCGTTTGACGTACCTTCAGCAGGAAGCCCCACAGAAGCTCGAAAGCCCGTAGCAGAAGAATCGGCGGCATCGCAAGCACAGGGGCCTCTTGGGGCACCAGTTCTCGAGACTTCAGACCCGCAGATTCTACAGGAGGAGGCGGATGAGGAAGCGGTTGAAGACGCAGTCGAGGAAGAAGATGAGACCTTCCAGATAGGGGAGCCGACTCCAGACGAGACCGAGGACTCGAGGAGTCCCCTGTATGGATCCGGTCCCGAGGATGAGTTCCAGAATCCTTGGGGGAGTAGCCATTGACCCGGGCCCGAATGAATGATCTTGTTTTGGCATAATGTTAGATACCCAGGAACAACTTGTGTGTATTAAGCATAGCGTAGGTGTTTGAGACATCACGGACGTGCAATCTGCAATTGGAATATATCTTTCGGTTGATTCTTTGGGTGTCTTGATACTTGTGAACCAAGCAATACGTTGTCGACAAAGTGTCGCAATGCCTACTGGTATATATAAATCATATATCACTTACACTTCTTTAAACTTCTACACAATCTCCCAATACGTAGATCTGTTCCATAACAGACGCCCCCTGACATCACTATTGCGTTCCGTTGAAATTGCCACGCATTAGCAGGAGCATCCACCACAGCACAACAACCAGAGCGCCGAAGACGGACAAGGCCTCATCCTATGGGCGGCTTCTCTTGACCTTCCTGGGGCTGGAGGTGCTTCCGCTCCCACTGGCTGGACTCGGCGGTGGCGGGCCGGTGTCCCAGCGCACGGGTTCGACGCCCAGCACGAAGTCGAGCGTACCGCCATCCGCGAAGACGTCGTCCCAGCTCACCCAGGCCTTGTCCCACGCCTGGCCGTTGACCCGCAGGCTCTGCACGTAGTAAGCGTCCTCGCCGCTGCCCGTCGTGGTGATGCGCAGGTCGCGGCCCCCGCCCAGGTGCATGGTCAGGTCGCTGAACCACGGCGAGCCGATCAGGAACGTCGTCTGGCCCGTCAGCGGGTACAGGCCCAGCATGACCCACAGCACCCAGCTCTCCATGGCGCCCGCGTCCGAGTTGCCCGGCAGGCCGCCGGGCGTCGGGGCGTATCGGGTCTTGGCGACGGAGCGCGTGTGGTAGACGGTCCGGTCCTGGCGGCCGACAAAGTTGAACAGGTACGGCGTCGTGAAGCTGGGCTCGTTGCCCGGGTTGAACAGGTTGTCCGTGAACATGAGCTCGAGCCGTTGGATGAAGGCGTCCGTGCCGCCCGACAGCTCGATGAGGTGCTCCATGTCGTGGTGTGCATTGAATGAGTACTCGGTGGGAAGGGCCTCGTAGTAATAATCACCCCAATAGCATCCGCCACAGGACACAGGGTCCTGGTTGATGAACGCTCCACTGGGGTTGATGGGGCCTAGGAATCCAGTAAAGTTTCCGTGGGTCATGTTTGGATTCCATTGGTTCCTCCAGTTCTGCGAGCGCGAGAGATACTTTGCAGCATCCTCCGTCTTCTCGAGGCCGGACGCCACCTGATGTAGCGCAAAGTCGTTGCCGGCGTACTCGATAGCCCGGCTCACTGAGCGGCCATAGGTTGTGGTGATATAGCCGTGCTCAAGCCAGTCCGGGAGAGCACCTCTTCCTTCTTTTGTTGAGGAGCTCTTATCCCTCGGGTCATTGTTGTTGGCCGGCACCACCTCCGCGTCCGTGACCATAGCCGAGTAAGCGTCCTCCCAGTTGACGGCTCCTCGGACCCCCTTGACATATGCATCAGCCAGTACGTTGTCGGCGTTCGATCCACCTTGTGTTGCCCCATTCCAGAATGAAGAACGCGCATCAGGCATGAAGCCCTCGTTACGCCAGATATCTACAAGAGAGCGAATGAACTCTTCGTAGGCGGCAGGTTGGATAATGTGAAACAGGGAGGTGGTACATCGAAACTAGAACTCATCAGCAACTGTGAAAACCCGGGGAGAATCAGAATCCGGCATACCAGGTCCCAGAAAGTGAAGATATCATCGTAATATGGCTCGCTTGATGTCCATAGGGGGTTTCTCCGGTCTTATTTGTCGGGATGATGCTCATGTGATACAACGAACTATACAGAAGCTGCAACTGAGTAACGTTCGAAGTGTCTTCAGTTGTGACTTTGGACAAGACATCATTGGTCCAGGCTACCTTGGCGTCCTCCTCAAGATTGGCCAGTGTCGATTCCACTTTGATTTCGGCCTCGACGTTATTGCAGGCCTGAGCTGATGAGGTAAAGGAGACTCCAACTCTCGATGCTACTCTCGTTGAATTGAATGTGAACACAGCTCCAACACGCGAGTCCGATGTAACCGTCGTCGAAGTACTGTACTCTGCCAGTGTTGTCGCCAAGGGAGCTGTCCCTTGGAACGTCTTAAAGTTTGAGGGTTGGTCAAAGTAGCCACAAAAGTAAACCGTCCACTCTGGTGCACGATTCCACCCCTAAAGGCTGCATAAGCTATTGCATCTTATGGAAATTGCGGGCACTTACATTATCATATGAGCCGAACCCTTCGTATCTCGTTGGTATTCCGTCAGCACCGACAACGACGGTCATGTTGCCCCTCCGATAACTCTGGCCAAGACCCTGACCACGATATGAAGGAAGCACGTGGGATACATCAACAATAATGTTAGGGGATGTTGTCGTGCTTGGAAAAGTATAATTGTACAACCCCGCGCGCTTTGTTGCACCGAGCTCAACCACTGTGCCACTGCCGAGGGCAGCCTTGTAGTAGCCGATTCTCGTCACGTCTGTCGCTGCTCTCGTCTCATTGTGGTCGAGTAGAGGGTTTTCGACAGCTTTCGTCCATGGCATCTGGGAAACTACGCCATACTTCGGTGCACCTCCAGTTCCACTCTCATGGAGCATGCTGAAACCAGTGAAATTACCGGTGGCTTGATAACCCGAATAACTGTCGGAGCCAGTATACAAGTCGGGTCCCAGCTTGGTTATGCCCAGCGGCAAGGTAACACCCGGGAAGGTATTACCTCCGTTGGTATCGCCAGTCTAAATTGAAATGAGTCCTCACGACTTGGGGGTTGTGAAGAGCTAAACTTACATCGGGCAACACATAACTGGTAAGATCTTGTGCAAACGCCGCCGAAAGAGTCGTACAAGCGCACAGGATCTTTAAAGTACGCATTGCGATAGACTGTCGAAGTAATTACATGCAGGAAAGACGTGTACTGCCACCACTACCCATTAGAGTCTTTATTGTCGAGCGCAAAGTGCCTGAAGACCTAAAGCCTTCAACTTCACATGCCAAGGAAACTATAGTCGGGGTGTCGCACTCGAGCTCTGTGGAGTTCAAGTCACGACTTATACCACACGTGTTGACTCGGTCGCGTGGGTTCCTTTTCCTTCCAAGACGGCAAACGACGATCTAAATCATACCATGCGGTAAAGCACGCGTGTGATTGGTGGTGTGCCAAAGCCGTTGCAACTCCTTTTAGTCTTGTGAACTCAACGTGCTCAGGAGACGCGATCTCTTTGGCTGGCTTGTGTGGGGATTGGTCTGCAACTATGCAGTAGGCCTCACGAGCCGCAGAGAGCGTACTGGTGAAGGTGGAAGCAGCCTCGAAACAGCGATGGCCACTAAGTTAAGTATTGCAAGTAATAACAGACGTTTAAATCTCTTGAAGACTAGGTCGCAAAATTGTATACGTTCTGGGATTTTAAGCCAGAGCAGGGAATCAATTGGTCGCGTAGCCCACGGGTTTCTTGGTTAGAGAAGCCTCGTAAAGGAAGGCAGGCTTTGTATGACCAAGAATAGGGTAAATTGGTGGATCAGCTGCAGAATCATGAAATTTGAAGGGGAGCTCGAAGGGGAAAACGCAGCATGAGAGATGGCTCTCGGAATTAGAAAGTACTTAAGCAACGTCACCGGCACAGCCTGCTAAAGCTGACTGACTCCTTGGTCAATCGAGGGATGTCGTCGCTGTGCCGCGCAAGTACCTAGACGAGATTGTTACTTAAATTAAATATGGCCCTCAACGGGCCGAAGGATTGAGCCGCAGGGGATTGTCGTGAAGGGAAGGGTTACGTTACAAGCCTGCAGAGTCCGTCCTCATGACAGAGGGAAATAAGTGAGTGCCGTACTCCTGCGAGTGAGTTCCGGTGCTTTCAAGTGTAACAAGAGTTGAAAGATACTTTCAGCGCAGATGAATCTCACTGTTGTTTCGTGAGATATCACAATGACTGATCGTCCTCGCACAACCGCCTCGAATAATGCACGACTGTCTCCTTGCGCGCTAAGAATCCGGATCCGGATGACGCGATGTGAGATATTCCTTCTGGATATCTGTCTGCCAAGTTCAACTGGCTGCCCGATTATACGGCAGCCATTTACCAATGAACTTGCAATTATCGGTGCAGGCCGTCGCGTCACTCCACAAGACAAGACAAAGTGAACCACTGGCTTATACTAGCGGCAAGCTGTCAAGCGCGACAGTCCAGCTTGGCGGTTTAAGCTTATTCCACCTAGGGCAAGTACCTAGGTACCTAAGCACCTACCTAGGTAGGGAGTGGCAAGCCTCCCTCCAGCCACCGGCCCACACAGCAAGCAAGCCACCACCACACCCAGAAGTTTTCTCAGACCGCTCTCGAGCGGTGAATTCAACACCTCGAATTTGGTCGGCAGAATTTTCTCGTCCAGATCTCACGAGTTCGCCCATCCCACCCCGCGCGCGCGACAGCCAATCCGCCAGAATGGGACGCCGCCCGAATTCCACCATTGCGGCCTACTTCGAGCGCGGGCCCAAGCTGAAGGACAACAGCAATCGCTACCCTCATCGCTGCAAGGCATGTGGCGAGGATTTCCCCAAGGGCCGCATCGACTCCCTCACCAACCATCTAACAAAAAAATGCCCCGCCATCTCCGAGGCCGAGAGGGTCAACGCCTGCCTGTCCCTCGCGGGCATGGGCAGTCCAGCCCGCCGCGCCCATCATGCCAGTGCCGCCGCCGCCCATAGCGCCGACATGAGCGCCTCGGGCGTCTTGCCCACCTCCAGCAGTGCCGACAGTGCGCTGTCGCAGACCAACTGGACCGCCCTCGAGACCCTGGCCGAGGTCTCGCGACAGATCGACCTCAGCGAGAAGCACGACGATCACATTCCCAGCCCTCACAATGCGCCGCACGATGTGACACAGGCCCCCTTCGGGCACACACTCTCGGCCCTCGCCTCGAACCTCTTCGAGCCCCACGAGCAGTTCACTCTCGACAACCCGCCCATGAGCTACGACAACCGGCCCCAGCACGAGCTGTCGGAAGACTTGCACCAGAATCCCGATCCTCGCTATGAGATGTCAACCGAAGACAAGCTGCGGAGCTTGCTCGCCTCCGCCGATGACCACCCCATGGAAACCAACCTGTCCATGGCCGCCGCTGCGACAGCCCGTCTGAATCCATCCTTGATGGACCCCCAGCTCCACCTCCTCCACCAAGAGATCGAGAATCACCAGCCGAGCGAAGCTCACACGCCTGCAGAGGTTGACGCCAGCGCCATGAATGGTCCGGACACAGAAATGGGCGCGGCCCTACAAGCTGATCCTACCAGCGACACGGAACCCGCTGTTACTGACGCGGAAATGGGCAGCAATCTCTCCTTCGCACCCATTGTCTCCACCGGCGTCGATGCTGGCGCGAACGTGTCTTTTGCCCCGATCATGTCTACAGGCGAAGATGTAAACTCCGTGGAGGCGACCGCTCCCAACAACGATCTGATGATGGATTTCCGACATGATCAACGGCCGTCAACGCCAAACACCGGCGTGTCATCCGCCGCTCATGACTCCATGGCAGCCTGGGGAGAAATGACGTACATCTCAGAGAATCTGCAGCCACCTGCGACTGTCAGTGACCAAAGCCAACAGCTAGCCTACACCCTCAACAAGGGTGGGTTCAGGATGGACACCTTGAGCCCCAACGGCACCCGCCAACGGCCCACTCGGGCGCGTTTCGATCCAACCCGCAGGAAAGAAGTCCAAGAGGTCCGCCGCATCGGTGCTTGCATCAGATGCCGTATCTTGCGCAAGGTCTGTTCCAAGGGAACGCCGTGCGAGACCTGCCGAAAGGTCCTATCCCCGCGGCTTTGGCACACGGGATGCATTCGCACAAGATTGGCCGAACAAATTGAGCTCTACTCGGCTGGAGTCCAGATCGTCGTTGCGCAGAAACGCGTTAATAGGATCAAGATGGATTTCAAGCTGTCTAACACAGGTGCGACGATTGTCGCCTCCCACTTTCATGAAACGGGCCATCAGATTACCCTCCAGGTCCTCCAAGGCCTGCCCACAGAAACAGAGAATCCTGAGGCCAATGCAAACCCGTCGCCCGGTGCGACAATCATGATAGACAATGACAACGAGGATGTCCCCGCTCAGGTAGAGACGTACATGCGCCGGATGCTTCCCGAGTTCATCAACCGTGAAACATCCTCTCACGTTCGTGTCACACTGGAATGTGCCCAAAAGGTCGCGCACGACACAAATGATGAGCTACTACGTCGCTCTCTTGAGCTTTGGGGCCTCACAGAGATCATGGACCGTGAGCGCCAGTGGTCTTTTGTCGAGAAGACAGGCGATGGGGAATACCCGGAGGTCTGGCTTAAGGACCAGGTCTCTAACGGCAATCATGAGAATGAGACTTTCACCACGTTCTGCACTCAACTCACTGCCGCCGCCGAACGGAAGGCAGCGCTTATCAGCAAAAGTCTTCTGAACGGCATTCAGCGCAACTTACAGGACGCCAAGATCAAGCTTGGATTCCCCATGTTCCTCACCTGCATGATATTCCTCAACTGCGTGGAAAAGATGACCTGGTCTTTCAAAGCCTGGGAGGGAGAGGCTTTACGGCTTTCCTGGCCGCTGGAGAAGCAGCCAGCTGACTACTACAACCAGGGCTACCCGCTCTGCGACCTCTTGAAGATGCTTCTCAACATTCGGCATATCCTCCCAAAGGTCCAATTCGCCGATGGCGACCAGCCCATCCAGGCAGACGATGACGATGAGACAATCAAAAAGTATTACGACGATTTGAACGTAACACGTGAGTGCTTCTTCTTGAAAGCGGCTGGCCTTAATACTGACGATTATCTAGCCAACTTCTTGCGCAGTCGTGAAGAACAATTCTCCTTCGATCAGTCAGACTCGCGGTCACTGGAGTTCCTCTTCTGCTCAGCACTCCTCCAGTCCTAGCGTGACAGCGGGATCAATACGAGTCGAGGTTCTACCACAACAATTGGCATTGACGACGTTACGCACCATGGGCAGTTCCAAACAACAATGAGGATGCAGCCTGTGCCTTCATTAAGCCAACCGGGTCCTTCAGACAACCCCGTGGTTTCCCCAGTCAATACTGCGCTGAATGAATTTTTCTCGGCAAGTCAGCCAGGAGGCAATCATCCGAAGAGCACTCTAGAAAACTTCGACTGCCCAATGAACATAGAGGATGTCGACTGGGATGACGTTTTTCGACAGCTGGGCATTCCAATACGCGGGGACCAGCCACCACCGGAGCCCACGATATCGGCATACCCAGAGCCGCCCGTGACGGCAGACTATTTTGACGCTACATATCCAGCGTGCAACACGCACGCTATATTTCAGGCGGCGGTACTTGCAACAGAAATGTGCGAGTAAAGAAAAATATAGATCACAGGGAAAGGGAGTAGGTTATAGACGGATCCGGGGCGAACAACAGCTTCCCCTACAAAAAAGCAATGATTTTTCCCTTGCACAACGGAAGACGGAGGGTACGGAAGGCAAGGATTTTTTTTACTCCTAGGTAGATACCCTTGTGATCTAGGAGCGGCGTTTTGAGGCGTTACAGGACGCGTTTGCTATAAGCGGTCATGTATGGACCTGCGAAGGCTCCAACTGCAGAATGCTCACGGCACGTGTATGAAATAGACTTTGTGCATTTCTACGACTCTGCATCCCTGCGTTCTCCGTGACTCCTGCTGCTTGCTGTCTTATGATTTCCGATGTAGTGTAAAAGTTACCACAGAAACGTCTCGTCTTCGTGGACGTCTTTTTCTCTATCGTAAAGCCCGTAATACGTGGATATCCATCTCCCCTCTGGAATCTCTTCCCATATGCCCCAGAGTTGCAAAGTGCCAGTCCTGATAGGTCTACCAGCGATGCATGACCTCCACCCAATCGGCTGTGTCGCCCGTCTGGCGATCATCCACCCCCTTGCGGGGCCTGCCTTCCTCGTCTTCGTGTTCCTCGTCACAGAGCTCCCTCAGTTCCCCCATGATTGTGCACGTCCGCACGTCGCCCCTCCACCAGCCTCGCTTTTTCTTCTTCTGCTTCACAGCAGCATTACCAGCAGCGGGCGGTGGAGGAGCTGCCGGGGGCGCCCTCTCTCGGCGGCCGGTCCTGTCGTCGTGGCTGTTGATGCGGACCAGCCAGCCCATGTGCCGCCTCGTCGCGACCTCCTGCGACGATGCGCGATCGGGGGATCGCCGCGCTGCGAGACCGCGCCTCTAGCCCGTCTGCGTGCGCTCCAGCTGGCCCGGCAGCCCGCCGCCGCCGAGGCTGCTCTGCTGGCGGCGCGGCTTCTTGAAGCAGGCGAACTCGTTGCGGCTGAGCTCGCGCAGCTTCTTGAGCACGTCGCGCATGCCCGGCAACTCGGCCTGCAGGCGGTGGCGCGTAGCGTCATCAGTGCGAGAGTCGAGCATGGTGTAGATCTCGCTCTGGGTGGTGCCGGCGCGCTCGGTCGTGTACTGCGACAGGGTCTGGGCGACGAACTCGACGTCGAGCGTGGCCTGCATCAGGGCTGCGATGTCGTAGCGGGGCCGCTGCTTGTAGGCCTCGAGCAGCTCGCGCGACGTCGCCTCCAGGAGGAAGGACAAGACCTGGGTGGTCAAGGTCGGGGCCGTGGTGCTCACTTGAGTATGGACCAATACAAGCGAGAGCAATGCTTCATAGACGTATGGCTTGACTTCGCTGGGTTTGGCCGACGTGCCCCAGGTCGGGTCAGCGAGTCCCGCGCGTATGATGCGTCGGAGTTCCTGAACCGAAGGACGTGTATATGTTTGGAACAGCCGCGCGTCAATCTGAGATAAAGTCTCGCGGATAGTCTTGGACTCATCGGTGAGCTTCACCGAGAAGGCGTTCTCGAACTGTGAGTTCAAATTCGGGACGACCTGGTTGCGCAAGGCGGCCAGGTTGCTAAGCGTTAAGAGCATCCGGACGTTCTGAGCGACAATGATGAGACACGGTTCTCTAGATGGAATAGAAGTAAAAGCATCACTTACCCGGTCACCAGGGTCGATAGTTTTGACCTCAACATTATATGAAGCTCGGTTATCTCCCCCTTCTTGAGTTGGCAGATCCAGCTCGGGCGTCCATTCATCTTCAGTCTTCTTCACAGAACGCTCCGCATTTTCGACCATACCACTCAGTGCCTTATACAGAGTCGTAACGTACTGACTGCGTACCATTTGCAGAAGTTTCGTTGGCGGAGGTTGTACAATGTCGCCGGCACCCGGCTTCGCCATGGCTTCTGAGATGTACAGAATCTTCTGCATGCCAGTCAGAAGAGCGCCTTCAAACGCGGCAAACGTTGCCGGCATCCGTGTGACATCTCCTAGGTCCCTCGACCTGTGCCAATCCTCGACGTATTTGATGTTTTCGGCATCTTTGTTCCACGCCCCGCATATAGCGTTGACACACCTCTCCCGCGCTGCAGCAACCAGCGTCTTCAATAGCTCTAGCTGTCTCCCGTCACCTTGCCTGATGGGGTCGGCACTCGCCATCTCGGCAGCACCCGCACCTACCAGCGCGAGCATCTTGGACAGGTAGTGCACACCACTGATGGAATTGGAGTTCGGGGGCCAAAAAGCAAACTTTTCATACGTTTCGCCGCGCTTAGGTGAGGGGGGTGGGAGATTGTTTGCGTCAAAATTGAAGCGGGGATCTCTCAGGGCGGTAGGCGTCAAGGATGCCGACATTGGTGTGCCGGGTGAAGGTGGCAAGGGCGAGAAGAGTAGGGAGATGTCTTCAGGGGGAGGCCCTGCGAAGAACTCCAGTACATGCTGTCGGATCATGTCGACAAGCTCAACGATGCCCTTTTGTAGATCCACGGCACCCTGTTGGGATAGCCGATGATGCTCGCGAGATTCGGCATTATAACCCATGGGTAGGGTCTTCTGCGTCGTGCCATCAACGAAGCCTTGTACAGTCTGCCAAAACTCAACAACCTCTCCAAGTACACCTTGGTTAGAGAGCAGAACGGTCAAGAAGGCCAACATCTTTTCCCAAAGCTCTGTAACGTCTGCGGAATCGATGCCAGATGGTTTGCTCCCTACAGCTTGACGCCCAAGCATGCGCAGATGCGATGATAAGGCTTGCGGCGGCGGCTTCTCCTCATTGGCCAACCGCCTCCTGAGAACCTCGATCTCTACTTTGGCACGATCCGCCGTGGATGAGATCTTCCCCTTGAGATAATCATACCGACTAAGCAGCCACACCCAGATGGGGTTGTCTTCGACGCCTAACTCGAACAAGAGGCCAATGAGCTCCATATGCTGATCCTGGGGACGGCCCGCAACATTTTCCATCTTGGAGACGTTGTGAGACGAAATCAGCTTCTTCCATATGTCACGCTTGAAGCCTTGGATCTGGTCATCGACGTCGTGCCACATCCTCGCGGCCAGCAGAATCTGATAAGTCTGGCTCTCGCTGGGTGTCGTGGAGCCTAGGTCTTGCACCAGCTTGCGGGCTTCGTCAGCAAACTTGCGCGCCCGCGAGAATTCCTCCACCAAGTTTTCGTAGTCCTTCCGTTTTATGCTATCGGCGATGTTTGTGCTGGCCTCAATGTAGTCTTTGTATCGGTCCAACGAGGTCTGAACAGTCCTGAGGTTCTCCTCCTTCTCCCTGCCACCGAGCGCCGGCCCCCACACGTCCTCTGCCTTTGCAGAAACGTCAAGAAGCGGCGTCTTGACGCCCTGCACGCCGTAATCGCTCTCCTTGACCAGTGCGTTCTTCTTGCGGGCATCTACGCCCGGGGAGAGCGGGGAGACCATTGGGTTGGTGCCCAGCGCTGCGCCGCCGCTGCTGTTTCTGAAGCTGCTTCGGCTGGCATGCCTCGAATGCGCCCGTGCCCGCGAGGGCGACGGAGGCGGCTCAACACCCCTGTACTTCATTTCTTTGTAAACATTGTCGATGGTAGCCTTTGCACGGACGAAGCGCTCGAAGTTGGATTCGACCAAGACCTTCAGGGAGGCCGACTTCTGGTCGATGGACTGAGACAGATTATCGAGCCCAGCCTCGAGGGCACGGGTGTCGTCGAGAGCGTGGAGTTGCGACAGGAACAGCGAAGGGGAGAAGGTGGTGGACGAGAGCAGGAACTTTGTGCGCAAGCGAGTGTCGTCCTTGATTGGCACGCCAAACTGGATCAAGGATCTCACGACACTATCGTTGCCGCCCAAGGGGTCGGGCTCGTCGCGGTTGAGGAGGCTGCTCACGCCGGCAGCGGACTTCTCGGAGCCAGCGATGACGCTGGACCTGTTGCTGACGGCGCGCTCGAGGGCCTGGTACCTGGACTTTCTGCGCTGGAGCTTCTGCTTCCTCTCCTCCTCCTCGTTGTCGGAGACATCGCTGTTGTCCTTGTCGGCGGGCCACTCGGTGGGCAGGTCGGTGGAGAGCCCGTAGAACTCGAGGACGTTGCGTTTGAAGTCGGTGGTAGCCATGTCTATCTGCTACGTGGTCGGACGGGGGCGCGGGTTCGCAGCTTGATCATCTTGGGGCCGGCCCGGCAAGCCTCAATGGGGGTGTGGATGGCAAGGGGTGCCGCGCTGAGAAGGCGGCCTGTCCAGAGAGTGTGTGTGAGAGAGAGCGTGAGAGCGTGAGAGCTCCGGGCTGGCAGATGTGTGACGTTCCAAGAGGTACAGATGACCCCTGTCGACAGGAAGGAAATACACTGGGGGGGAGCTAGGTAGTTGGGGCTGTCGGGCAGGTCTCCAAGTCTCCGTATTGCGCTAAAGTGCGTTCCCGTTCAGTGCGCGGGCCCTTGGGCTCTGGGGGCGCCCGTGAGGCTCCGCCCCACTATCCAGACAGACAGCCCAGCCCTGGAGCCCTCTGCAGTGACCTGAGGTACCGCGTACCTGTAGGAGTCGACGTTGCTAGAATACGACTGTCCTCGGCCACCAGCGTGTCAACATCTGTGGTCAAGACGTTGCAGTCTAGGAATATGGTATAATTAATATATTAGTACATAAGATGGGTACTCACCGTGGCCCGTTGACGGTTCAGATTCACAGCATAGACACATTGACGATGGGTACCTGGTCCGTTGTGTCTTTGCTGGTTACAGGCCTCAACTTAGTGGGTATACCTATATCCATGGATCGATCCATTGGGCGTGTCCAGCTGGCGCAGGCTCTTCGGCTCGGAATAAGGATTCTTCGGAATAACGGCCAGCCCCGAGTGAAGAGAAGCCTGCCCCGGCCTCCCTTCCGAAAAAAGCCGCGCTCGCTATCAGGTTTGGCTTGTTGATAGGCCATGTGAAGACGAGCTGCTCCAGGTTACTTTCACGAGCTTTTTTTTTTTCTTTATCGCCGCGCACCCGTCCACCTCCCCCATAACGCCAGCACCTTCTCGCACCTACAGGAGCCTCACTTGAACCGCGCTGCTTCTGCTCATAATTTCACAATGCTGGCCATTCGAGCAGTCTCGGCCCCCGCGCGCCGGCAATGCGTCCGCGCTGCTCCTCGCGCCGCCTTCACTATCTCCCAGGCAAGTCGCCAACCACCACATGCGCCTCCTGGCTGCGCTGCACACAGCTAACCGCCCTCCAGAGATTCTACTCCCAGAGGGTCGCCAAGTTCAACGGTGTCAAAGACTCCAACGTATGTCCGTCCGCTCTCGCCTTCTGTCCCATCACGTCCACGCCCCCGCCATGAGCTCCCGCGAGACAAAAATCACTCAAGGTCCAATTGCCATGCACGCCCCCCGATAATAACCGCATCCGAGCAACGCACACGACCGCGAGCCGTTGCAATGACACAGGCTGATGTTTTGCGCAGGGAAACTACCCAGTGTCCATCATCGAGGGTGATGGTATCGGCCCGGAGATCTCACAATCCGTCAAGGATATCTTCGCAGCTGCCAAGGTTCGTCAATGGCCCCGTGTATGCTTGGCATATGCACATTCCCATGTCTTGCTGACACAACCCCCTCCAGGCACCTGTCACTTGGGAGCCCGTCGATGTCACCCCCGTCTTCAGAGACGGCAAGCAGACCATCCCCGAGGAGACCATTGAGAGCATTCAAAGAAACAAGGTCGCCCTGAAGGGTCCCCTTGCTGTAAGTCGTCCACTCTGAGCAAACAAGCAAGCAAGCAAGCAAGCAAGCAAGCAAGCGACACTTGCTCTGTTCGACTACCAAGAACCCTCTCGCTGACCCATTGATAAAAGACCCCCGTCGGTAAGGGACACGTCTCCCTCAACCTCACCCTGCGCCGCACTTTCAACCTCTTCGCCAACCTGCGACCCTGCCGGTCCATCGCCGGTTACAAGACCCCTTACGACGATGTCGACACCGTCCTGATCCGAGAGAACACCGAGGGTGAATACTCCGGCATCGAGCACGTCGTCGTCGACGGCGTTGTCCAGAGCATCAAGCTCATCACCCGGGAGGCCAGTGAGCGTGTCCTGCGATTCGCCTTCCAGCACGCCCAGGAGATTGGCCGCAACACGGTCCGTGTTGTGCACAAGGCCACCATCATGAAGATGTCCGACGGTCTCTTCCTCAAGGTCGCCCAGGATGTCGCCAAGGACTTCCCCGGCATCACGTTCGAGTCGGAGCTGCTCGACAACACCTGCTTGAAGATGGTCACCGACCCCCTCCCCTACAACGACAAGGTCCTGGTCATGCCCAACCTGTACGGAGACATTCTGTCCGACATGTGCGCCGGTCTGATCGGTGGTCTGGGCCTGACCCCCTCTGGCAACATCGGTGACGAGTGCTCCATCTTCGAGGCTGTCCACGGTTCCGCTCCCGATATCGCTGGCCAGGGCAAGGCCAACCCCACCGCTCTTCTGCTCAGCTCCCTGATGATGTTGAGACACATGGAGTTGACCCAATATGCCGACAGAATCGAGAAGGCTACTTTTGATACCCTGGCCGAAGGAAAGGCCCTCACTGGAGACCTGGGCGGCAAGGCCAGCACCAGCGACTACGCCAACGCTATTATTTCCAAGTTGTAGATACCTTGATGTTTCACTATAATGCATTCCTCTAGAAGGACAGGTAGTTACGGTGTAGACTGTACAACAAATGAGATGACTTTGCATGATTCAACAGTTGCGCCCCCCACTCAAGTGCAAAGGACCAGCGAAAGCGGGAATGCTGCTTCGTGTTTGATGTCCATTGCTCAATGTGACACGCCGGCAGGGGTCGGCGAAATACTAAACCCCCGGGTCATCTGTGCAAGTGGAAGAGTTTTTCAACCTGCAGCGAGTTGGTATTGACTCATTGGTGCTTGGTAGGAAGGAAGGAAGGCGGCACGTCTCTAGGTGGTGAAAGATGCATGGTGCATTGGCTCGGTCGAGTATCCGTGCTAGCTTCTATTTCGTCTACGCCCCAGTGCAGCCGGTCGGCGTCCAAGAAAATGTCGTGAGTAAAGCATATCACCGAGTGACGACGGCCCAGACTTGCCCAGCCGCGCTGACCACCGCAAGAATGCCCTCTGTCTCAAGGGAAATTGATACTGTTTGACACTTGCTCTTGCCAAGGGACTATAATCATGTTATACAGTTGCCAAGGTGTGTAGATCTTGTAGATCTCTGGGCCTTCCAGCAATTATACTCTACACCGGGAAAAGTAATTTGAAACCGTAGCACCAAATAAAAAGAAAACACGTACTCCGTACATAGGGCTGTCTTATGCAACAATTGCTTTTTCGTCCCCGTTGCCCTCGTGACCTATCCCTATGCATGGCCCGCCAAGGGGGGTCCTGCAGCCTGCATGCAACCCCAACTCCGACTATGCAGTGACAAACGCGCAGGACGCGTTACGTGGGGGTTGTTAGTTGCCGAATCGGCCCAAGGCATGCAATTTCGCGATTGGTCGGGCCCTTGGCTGACAACACTCCAAGACATGAGTTACACCACAACCTCGATGAACCAAGACAATAGTGAAGCCATGAAACAGAACCCAGCACGGCAGCTGCGTTTTCGGGATTTTTCGGTTATTGCCAATTTGTTAGTGCGCGTAAGTTTCAGACCCGCGTCTAGGCAATGCATAATCGGGACTGGGAGTTTCACTGAAGACATGCAACATTCATAAGAACATGAGAACGTGAAGCATCAAGGGTGTTGCATTTTTGTCAGCCAAGTGACAAGGTAGGTGGGTGCTTGCGTCACGGCAATGAAAGCCGAACGCGCTGGCTGAAATGGCTGAACTTGGTTCCCTTCATGTTGTGCAACCGTATTTACATTGCGTCTCGAGACTTTTTTTGCTTGAGATCTGCGTGGTCTTCGAGCCATCAGTCACCCCAACTTGCTGATCGATCTTGTCGACGACGTTGCCACGGTCCCCGCCCCAGCTTCGTGCACATCGTGCTTATATTGACGTGATGGTGGACCACGTTCAGCCTCGACCTTTCTCGGTGCAATTCGGTGTTACTGCCACCCGCCACCGCGGCCCTCCATTACATGCTTACCGCACCGCCGTGAAAGAAGAGTAAGCCGGCATCGGCTCCGAGAGAGCATGGGACACCCAGGCCTCGGGACGGCCCACCAAACCCACGATGCACGCCCACACCTGTCGTCATAGCGTCCTGGAGACCTGGTAGGATTCCCGAAAGGCAAAGAAGAGAAAACCCAAAAGTGGCGGCCGGGTTGGGGGTCTTGACTGTCAGCTTACTCCTGAAACATTTTAGCTGACGGAAGGTGGCTGCACAGGTCGGACTCGCTGTCGAGATGCATCCGATCGCGAACCCACGGAGCTACTGCTGCCAACCGGGGCCGGAAGTGCGGAATGTAACTCGTACTTTGTCGAAGCCATCTAGATACATGCAAGTTGAGAAGAGGCCAATACAACCAATCAGTAGTGGATCCCCCATATGTACGGCACCTAGGCAGGGAATCAAAGACTGGAAGCATCCTGGAAGCTCAAGAGACTACTCCCCAATCCCGGTACGTCGTTGCAATTTGGAAAACCAAGCAAAGGACAAGACAATTCCTACTGCACAGGCGAGTCCACAGGCGGAAAGGATGGTTGGCTTGGCAATTGCTTGATTGCGAAATTACCGAGATGGCTGCGTCCGCCGCCAGCGTGTTGACGGTCGGTCTGGAGAAAGGCCGCCATCCCGGCCTGCTTTCGACCGGCGCCCTTTTCTGCTCGCCCTGCACCGTGACAAAGGTGTCCTTCTACTCTTCTAGGGCAGAAACCAGCCAGTGGGAAACGGGTTCTGCCCACTCGGCCTGCATTATGCAAGCCGCAGTAGCCCACGCTAGTCGGGCCTGTTGGTATCGACTACTCATGTAGCTACCGTATTAGTTTTATCTCCGATCCTGGGTGGGATGAGCAGGCCTCGTCGGCGCCCTTTTTTTTTCTGGTCCCTACTCTGGTCGTTCACGAAGACGCGGGTTTGTAGCGAAACTCCACAGTACGTACCTTGCTGAGATGGCGAGACAACGTTTAAATCACGCACCCTACAGTACGCCTGTGATGAATACTGGGGATTAGGGGACCCTCAGCTTTGGGGCTCCGGACCCGTCGACCGGAATCCCAGAATTTCTATATATTCGTCTCTGGCCGGCTCCTCGAGCCCTTCTCTTGGCTCTTCAGTCTTTTCCCACGATACCACAGCCTGCCTACAGACCACTCTCCTCTCCTCACCTCTCTCTTCCCTTCCCAATAACACAGCCCTATATCCAAAAATGCCTTCCTCTGATATCAAGTCGGTGCTTGACACCAAGCCTGTCACCTTCACCCTCAAGACCGGCGGCGGCAAGTGGAAGTGCACTCTTCACGGTGACAGACACGCATAGTAAGTGCTCCAGAGCCAAGGATGCCTGTTTGGACACTTCGTCTAACAACTCGTAGTGAGAAGCACCGTGCCGCCACTCCTGGTATCAACCGCACCGACTCAGACATCTCCGTCGCCTCCAACTCGTCGACCTCCTCAGCTGCTTCCTCGACCTCTCACTAAGCCATGCCCAACAATGCACCACCGTTGCCGAGACACGGGTGACTACTGGTCTGTGGTCTCTCAAACCTCACCCCAAACGGGTAGGTAGACCCAGAGGCCAGTGTTGTGCCGATATCAGAGCCGGTGCGTAGTACTACGGTAGCTGCAGAGCGGAAAGCTTGTTCCCACGCAAAATCACGGGATGGTGTGCGTGTGCGTGCACAAGTGGAGGGATCCTCCCACGGGGATCGACCAATGGGCACCATCGAACCGACCGCCGGGTCGTCTGCATTGTTTTTAAGTGGAGTTGGAAATATCCCCGTTTTCGTTAATTGGTTTACACGAGCGGAAAGCTCGGGGCGTTCGTTATCTGTTCGGCGGAAATAACTGCGTTGGTGTTGGATCACTACTGGCGATCTAAAGAAGCCGCTAGCTTTTTGGCAGACGGTCGAGAATGACCGCAGAACCACTGTGAAGCATACTTGGAAAAGTAAACTCACAGTATATATTAGATGCATGAATGTCAAAGTCATTGCTTCTATACTCTAACTTCTTTTGATAACCGTCGAGCTTGTGTCAAAAATTCTTTTCTGTCTTGATTTTCGAGGTCCCTCGAACCAGGGCTGAGTGACTTGCAGAGTGCCACGAGTAATGCACATCGGGCACTTCCACCAGCAACGAATCGGTGCCAGCTTAGGGTATCCAGAGTTCCCCCCAGCCGCGATACTCCACAGCGGAGCCAACTGATTTGGGGCCCTCGGGGGTGCGTAATTCACATTACCAACCCACGCTCGAACTTCGGGAGTTCGCACTCCGAGTAGACTTACCGAGGCGCCCCCTTGAACGACTTGAGCAGCGGCGTACCAGGTCCTAGCCTGTTGGCAAGACAGCACCGGAGGCGTCGTATAGAGCTTCCAGAAGGCTTCCTTCGGCCCTTCTTCTGCACGCTTAAGGGGGTTCGAGATCCAGCCAGCGTCCAGCTGGGGCGCGACCGGATGCATTGCGTCCCATCCCAGGTTGCTCGAACCAAGGGCTGAAGGGCGGGCTGGCATCTACCTGAGCACGCAACGATTGTCACGAGATGTGGCATACGCAGCAGACGAGCAGGCAAAGTCTTCGGCGATGAATATCCGAGGGGGAACACTGATTTCCACTTGGAATTTCCGGTTGTCTCCTGTATTGATAACACTCAGCTGTTAGGATGTATCCGGGTAGAGCGAGCATATGACAGCCCCTTTCGCCGCTATACAGCTTTGTTTCCTACTCTGCTAAAGATGAGCATACTTTGACAGGCGTTATTGGACATCTCACAGGATATATTTGGCGAATTGCTTCGCTATAAGTTGAAACGTGTGACTTGCCAACCATGGGGCGGTCGAATTTGTCGTCAGGAGAGACCACGACTGGAGAATATGTTTCCTCCGGGAGCAAGAGCGCTTTGAGAACACAAAGGATTGGTGACCACCAAGTGGACCAGTAGGAACAGTAGAACAACTCTGAAACCTTGGGTGGAATATCGTCATCTCCCTGTTGACTCGTTTTTCGTCTTCGATCTAGGCAGACTTGGGCATTGAGGCTCTGGCGTGGAGGTTGAATCATGTCCGGCTGGAGAAATGGCGGGGCAGCGCCACAGGGCAGGCCTCAAGAAGCGATTCCACGGGCGGAACGAGGGGAAAGCAGCCACTTGAAGCGTGGAGTTCTCGTGACGCGAGCCCCTCATTGGCGTTATCGGTTATCGGCGACACAGGACCCTGCGTCTTTCCTGTGTAAGTAGTGTAGTTGGAGATTAGTAGTTTGCAGAGAAGTGAAGGCTTACACTCCACGCCCGAGTCGTGTTGTAACAGAGAGCTAGGCCAGCAATAACAAACATGTGTCTCAAGGTTCTCAGGCCGTCCGTGATGCGATGCTTAATTCAGGGCGAGGCTTCGAGGCTAAGCCCCAACCTTGATGAAAGCTATGGCGTAGGAATGAGCACCTTTGGAGTACGTCACGCGACGAGGCTTAATATGGATGAGATGCTGGTCCTTATCACCCCCAGGGCGGGATGGAGAGGGAGTTGGTGTACTCAGCCCTGACCGTCCCGCCGCAGCCATCCGTAGTCGTGCTCCATTCTATCCATCCATCCATCCATCCCTCCATTAATCCGTCCAGCCCAACATCCACCCTCTTCGTTTCTCTTGCGCGTTGTCTCTCGAGCAACGAGACGATTGAAGCCGGCGGAAAATGCCTGTGCCCGTGGCTCTCAAAGGTACGCTCCCCCATGCAGTTTCCGCCCTGTGCGCCCCCAATCCACCATCCTGTCACAAGTTTCGGGGGATCGGTACCCCGCCGCCACCCGCGGCGGGCCTTCGAACACAGCAGTGATTGTCCATTGTTGGCTGCCTGCTGTGGCGAAATCCAACTGCTTGCGTGGCTCGACCTCCCCTCGAGGCCCAGGACCTGTACGGCCTGGTTTTCGAGTGAATCCCATGTTGCAAGCTCTGGATCTACATCATATACATCCTCCCTTTCTATCTTTCATCTGCAGTGTTGAGGTTGTGCCTCACATCGTCCGCTTGCATACTTCCCACCCGGAAAGATGCCCCCCATTAACCATGCTTTGGCAGTGGGCGTCATCGCCGCCTCCGTCGTCGTCGCGGCTGGCATAGCCATCTACGAGTCGCCCGAGCTGCGACGCATGGCCGAGGACCTGCGGCGCCGCATCTCCATTGCGCTGTACTCGCTCGGCGACAGCATCAGCCCGCAGGAGCGCGAGAACCTGGTCAACCGGCCCGAGGATGCCGAAGGCTTCCTGCTGTCCCGGGGGATCGATGTCCGGGGCGAGCAGGGCGAGCCCGGCGTTGACGCAGACGAGGAGACCAAACGGCGGCAGCGCGAGGAGCTGCTGTACTGGAACGCCATTGCCGAATCGAAGAAGGAACAAGAACACAGGGATCCAGAGAAAGGCGCCGCTGCTTCAACGACACCGAAACGGCTTCATTCGAGGGGCTCGAGCTTCGATGATTTCCTGCAGCAAGACTCAAGCGGCGAGAAGGGCACCTTCGTATTCAACTCGGGGGCCGACGCCCATGGCGAAGACGCTGAAGGACTTCGACGGCGTGGCGACGGCGCCCGCGGTCTGAACTACTCGGTCTACACCAACCCGTTTGCCGATGAACATGGCATCGATGAGACCGTCGCCTTCGAAAACAGCCTGATGGACCCCGAGAAGGAAGAGCTGGAGGATATCTACAGCGTGTCTGAGCGTGGGCGGGAAGCTTTCGACCGGGAAACCACTGCCACTCTTTCGGCACCGCCCGAGCACATCCCCTCCCTGGTGGACGTGGACACTCCTGCCCAGGAGACAGGCCCCTCCACCACGTCGGACCGTGAGCTAGGCCAGGACGAGTACATGACTGCGGGCCAGGAGGACAGACACGAGGCCTACAGCTCCATCCAGGCATGGGCCCAGACGTCGAACCCCAGCTTCTACTCGCCACTTCCAGTCTCGCCGGCGGGGCCGCTTTCGGAGGCCGAGTTCATCAGCGAAGGGCAGCTCACCCCGACCGACTCCGCGTCGCTGGCGGGCTCGGGAGAGGACATCGCCGAGGAGGCACGCTCGACGGCCTCCGGGGAGCATGGACGGTACTACGACGTCATGAGCGACGATGAGGGCGTCATGACCCCCGCCAGTTGGACAGAGGTTGGCAGCGTGATCAGCGAAAGCGATGCTGGTGTTCAGCCTGCTCGTGCATCGTAAGAGGGCAGCGATTGTTTCTTCTCATCCGTTTTCTTCTGTTTCTTCCTCTTTTTTTCTCTACATTCGTATATTATACCACCTATAGGGACTCTCAAAGGCATGGCGTCGGAAGGGAAGGAAATCATTGGGCATCATCACTAGGCATCTCACACGACTGGGTACTGGAAATACTTGATTTTAAGACCAGGGTTGTTTCAGGGTCCAGGCTTGCGAATATTGACTATATAAATATATCATCCAACACAACGCCGTGTTGCTAAGATGAAAAGGGTGAAGGTCGTCTTGCCACAACACATGTTTTGTGGACGCTTGACAGGTCGTCATCCAGTCGATAGTGAAAGTAATTATCGGCAAACACCCAGCGTTTACATCCCGTTACATAGCGCTTGCCACATTTTATATCTCGTGAAACAAGCCTTGGATTATATTCGTACAAGGAGATTAGGCCGTACCTCAGCCGTGCGTGTCACGCTCACACGATTTGTATACTCGATGTTGGGCACAGGTTTACCACTACAAGCGATGAGCACCGAAATCTTGGTCCGCAGGGTCTAATCTTCAAACAGTTTACTGACTTCATCTTGAGCGGGGCCGTAGCTATCTGTCTAGAGCAAATCGCAGCCTTCTTTACCATTGAGCATGGCTTCTCTCTTCGTCGGGAGCTTTTCAGGTACCCGATGCGAAAATGATGAGATGGCCGATCGAGGCGGACGCACACGACAGCATTGCACAGAGGCCCGATCCCTTCCTTCAACCGGTCCACCCACCAATCTCGCTTGCTCTTTTCGTCTCCCCTCGCAGCAAAGTCTAAGAAAGTTTCCTCCCACCAGGCATCTTTCCTTCTCCTTCCCACATAATACACCGTCTAAACCTGTTGCAGGTAGTAAACCGGGGATGGCAGAGGGTGAGTATGATAGCCGGCATCCGATGCGGATGGCGACTAGCCCGCGAATCGGAAGCGTGACGTCTCCAGTTGACCCAGACCGTCTCGCGGCGCGACATATCTCCTGCGGTAGGTGTTCGTGAAGTCCTGGAGGATAGACCTTATCTGTCGAACATCACCGGTATCATTCGCGCCGAGCTTCTCCTTAATCTTGGTCATGAGGCGGTCAATCTCGACGAGACTCATGGTTCCTTGTGGCAAGAGTTTGATGGTCTCCTCAACCCAGACTATGGCCTCGTGTGGCATGATCTCGAAGAGGGTGAGCAGAGCTCCACTTCCATCGGCGAAACAGTCTCGTGGGAAGGTAAGCATCATGCCGGCGAGCACACGCTTGACCAGAGTGGAACCTTGGGTTGACAGCAACTGCCTGACTGTGCTACGCAGCTGCTCCACGACTGCCGGGCCAAGGTGCTCTGACGAGGAGGGCGGGTTCCTGCTACCCCATGACAGCAAGTCTCGAAGGTAGTGAAGGGTCGCAGACAGAGGCTCACGCTGCTCTAAGCCCAGAACAGACATGGCAGCCTCGAAGATGGAGGTGAAGAGCGGCGACGGAATAAGCTTCTGAGGGTAGTAGAGGAGGGTATCAATAAGAAGACGGAAGAAATCCTCGACGACATCAGGAAGCTCCTTAGGCGAGAGGTCGCTGATGAAGCGCAACATGTTTGTCGCCTGCGCTTCAAAAAAGGTGTAGATGGAGTCGGTGATGTTCTGGTCCACGTGCTCTCGGTCATCAGAGAACTCACGGAGGATAGCGCCCGTGACCCACAGGAAGCACCCTTGCCTTGACGATGCGAACCCAGCAGCGAGCTTGTTCGCCATGTCGGGCAAGATAGGAGTCATAGCGCCTCTATGACTGATGACCATGAACCGCCAGCAACGACATACGCGTTCGCAAATCGGAGCGAAATCGATGAATCCATCGAGAATCTTGGCCAAAACCGGGAAGGTTTCTTGCCAGTACTTGACTGCAGCATCCTCTTCGCCACGCCCCACAGGTGGGAGGACGACAACCTGCTGGACAAAGATGGTGATCAGCTGGAGGTGATCTGCCACGGCGAGCTTTCCATCATCGTCCGTGGCATTGTTTGCCTTGGCCATTAGCCTTTGTACTAGGGGATCGCAATATAGCTTGAGCAGCCTGTAGATTTCTTCCTTGGGCTGTACACCGACAACGCTGGCAACACCCTCCGTAATTTCTTCCTGACTAGTCTCAGGGAGTTTGTCAAGAATCTGGTCGTAGAATTGCTGGAGCTGAAGGACCTGAGCGCTAAGAAGGTGCTTGCAGTCCGTGCAGAAGTACTTGATGGCCATAGCAGCGGCACGGATAACCTCCTTCGAATCGGTCTGAAACGACGACACAATGTAGTTGAATTGGACTTCCAGGAACTCGGGGTGGGCTGCGGTCCACTCCGTATATCGACCGATGACCATGATCGTAGCAAAGCGCAGCTTTTCGTGGGCAGGTATCTGTACAAGCAGGGGCATGAGTTGGGGAAGCACGATATTCTCGTCCTTGCCAACCATACGTCCCATAGCACGCATGGAGAAGAGCGGCGCCTCGAGCTCTTGCCAGTGAGGGACCGATGTGGCCGTCGCATGACTGGCGTACTTCTGCGTCCATACTTTGATCGCGTCCAGGACCTTGGTAAGACATTCGGTGATGCCCATAACCTCGCAGGCGTCTTTGAGGGTGTCGCCCATGGCGTGTCTGAACTCGCGGAACTTTTCCTCGGCCACGAGATCGCCGTCGAAGAGGTGCCGGGCTTCCACATCACGACCATCTTCCGACTGGGGATACTGAAGGTGCTTCAGAAGGATATCCACCAGCTTCGAATAGACGTCAACCAACTCCATGCGTGCCTCGATATACCTCTCCAGTACGAGGTACTGCTTGAGCTCGTACCAAAAGTCGAAGGTGTATTCAATGACATCGCGATCCGCGTCTCTGGCGGCACACTCCAGAATAGCCTCAACGAGGGGTCGGAAGTGCGCAGTCTCCCGGGCGATGGCGACAACCCAGGCAATACCAGCGTCCGAAAGCACTCGGGTCAAGGACTTGTACGTTTCGGCATCTTCTTCCTCAACCACCTTCTCGATCTTGGGCCGCAGGGCCACGACACGCGGGAGCAATACTTGTATAGTGTCGACATTGTCGTCGACCTCCCGGGTTTCCCTGACCATGGTGGACAAGCACTCGGCGGCAGCCTGGAACGAGTCATCATTCTCCAGCGCGTTGAAGATGACGTTCAGCAGCGGCGAGTTGACGACATCGCTGACGGGTACCTCACGCAACCACGAGGTTATGCACTCTAGCAATTGTGGGTTGGTGGCGGCTGAGGCTGTATTGAAAAGGTGCGTTAGCTAGATCGTCGAAAACAAGGCGAGGGGGTGGACCTACGCGATGAATGGGCATAGTTGATGAGGAGTTGTACGACCTGTGGCGCGTTGTCCGACAGTAGTTCGATAGTCCTCTGATTCAGTTCTTCTTCCTGTCATAACCAATTAGACTGCGATCCAAGCTTCTCGGTTCCACCAACACAACCACGACGAGGCGCCGGCGACGGGTAAATAAGCAGAGGACTTGTTGGTGCTTCGCGATCCACATACACTTAGGGTGATTTTGCGTCCCTCGGTGACCTCTTCGGGGAGAACGCGCAGGAAGTCGAGGATTGCCGCATGGCTTTCGACTTGGTTGCCCAGGGAGGATACGACCAGCGGCAGAACATCCTTCCACTCCTTCATCTGTATGGCCAGTATGGCAAGACACACGCAAAGCTGGACTCGGATGGGCTTGGGACCCGGCGCATAGAGCTTCAGGAGTTCCAGCAGCTGGGTCTGGACGACGTGGTGCTCGCCGGCGGGAACTTGCGTGGCAAGATCGTACGTGATCTGTTCTGTGGTATTAGACGGCGGTAGGCGAGGTTTGGTCTTTGTCGAGGTTGGCCTACCTTGCCTCTGAGGGTTGTGGCTGCGAACAGCTTGACGTCGGGCTCTGCATCTGACTGCAATAACGAGATGGTGGTGGTCCAGGCGCTTGTCTGCAAAGGTGAACATCAGTGCCTGCACGTGCGACGGGTGACAATCAAGTATGGGAGGTGGGATGGGCGTACAGATTTCTGAAAGTGCTCCAGAAACTCATGGGCCTTCTTCTTGCGCTCGGTCTCGCTGCTGCGCATGGTCAACATGGCCTCCAGCACTTGGTCCGGCGGGAAGGCCGCCTGCGCGCCGTTGGAAGCCATGGTGAGAGGTCTGCGTCGCTCGGGAGGTGGGTGTTGTGGTCGTGGTCAAGTCGACATGTGCACACGTTGACCAACGAGGGGCAGGCTGGGGGGTAGGCTCCTCTCGTGGGCCTCGTCCAAATGCGCGCCCAAGGCAGGAAAAAAGTGTAAATATGGGGTGAGAGAAACAAACAGGCTGCCGGCGGAAAAGAGGAGGCGGCACGACAGCAGGCAGTGCGGGTCAGAGTGAGTAGGTGCGTGAGTAAAAGCCTCAGGTGCCTGGGTTGCGGCGACGGTGACAGGCTGAGGGGAGGTGTCAATATGCAAGCTGCTGGGAAATTGTCTGGGGGAGGAGGTTTATCGTCATCGGCCCAGCAATGGAAGTGGGCAGCGATCCGTCGCCGTCGCCGGGGGGCCGCCTCTGCGGTGGTGGCATAGGGGACGACGACCGCCTGGGCGAAAGGTGGGATGTGCCTGTGGCGCACCACATCCTTTTCTTTGGAGGGGTTTGGCAGAGAGGGGCCCTGTGGCGCTCTGCTCGCACCCAGGCGAGTCGGCAAGGCAGGCCGCCCGAGGCAAGCGACGCGATTGGGCGCGTGCTGGGTGGTAAGCTACCCGTCACCCACGGTTGGTGCCAGTGGGTGGGTGGTGCCAGTGGTTGGTGCCGGTGGGTGGTGCCCGCCGCAGGGGGGGCGTCAGGCGTCCAAGCTCTCCCGCGCTGGTTTCCAGCCAGCCAGTTGGCGCTGGCACCAATTTTCAATCCCAGGTCCCTACGCTACGCCTCAGCCTCGCCTGCAACCGCCTGCTGCTTTCTGTCGGTCTATCATCGCAGCCACGCGACGCCCTCACCCGACGACGAGTCCATCTTCCGAACCCTGCCCTGCGCCAGTCTGACTTCTTCCTTCCGTACACCTGCGGAAGTCTTCCGAGCAGCTCGATAGCACACCTAGATTCACCTTCTCAGCATGACTGGACGCGGCGGAGGCGGGCGCAAGGTTCTCTTGCCCCCGATCAACTTCATCTTCAAGCTCCTGCAGTCGCATGCCACCGTCAAGATCTGGCTGTACGAGCAGCTGGCCGTCCGTATCGAGGGCAAGATCAGGGTATGTTCTGCTCGCCCACACCCACACCCGTTACGCCGTCGCTGACCACCACCTCCCCCCCAGGGTTTCGATGAGTTCATGAACCTCGTCATCGACGACGCCGTCGAGGTTAAGCAGGTCACCAAGACAAACCCGGAGGAGAAGAGGCGGGCGCTAGGTACGAACCTCTCTATAAACGACCGCACATACCTACCGCGCACCAGCTAACTAGAGACAGGCCAAATCCTGCTGAAGGGCGACAACGTCTCGCTCATCCAGGAGGCAGTATGAAGATCGTGCAGGACAATTGGCGTACAGGACTTTTGGCGATCAGCGTTTCACAGAGATTCACGGTCAATGCGATACCAAGGCGAGAGGCAGAAAAAAAGAAGCAAGAGAGAAAAAGTCACCACTGCTTGTTGTGCAGGGCTGGGGTTATGGGGCAATGTACAGTGGCCTTGATCTATCCATCTATCTAGGCTGCGTGTGTTGACGAGTGCTTGAACTCGCCATCCCCGAGGAAGAGGCCGTCTATGGGCTGGTCATGGGGTCCAACTGGGACCGATTCTTCTGACGAGGCTGGGAGGAACTGTTCCCGCAGAGCTAGAGCATAGAGCAATACAGCCGGATGGCCGTCGGAAGCTTTCTGGCCCTCGGTCGCCCTCAGTGCGTATCGGTGAAGAAAGTAGTCATAGAAGCCCTTGCCGTGACCCAGCCTCCGGATCGCCCCTGATTCGGGATCCGTATCGAAGGCGACCCCAGGCATGAGGATCAGGTCCAGTGGAGCGTCCTCAGTTGGCTTCCCCTCCAGTTCTCCCACGCTTCGCACTCTCTGGTCGACTGTCCCCGGATCAACGCTGGGGATGCCCCATTTGTCCCGCTGGAGGGATTCGTAGTCGGCTATGCTCTTCAAACTCACCATGTCCATGAGCCGGGCCGGGCCATCGCCGGGAGGCAGGCCGGACTTGTGGAGGTAGGGAACGAAGACCTGCTTCCCGGACGAGAGGGCATGTCTGACTATGGGATCCGTCTGGATCTCGCCATTGGGCATGGATAGGTAGACGGCAATGCGCTTGGCATTGACGTAGGGCTCAAATCTTGATAGAGACCGAAATACCTGGGCACCTAGCTCGGTGTTAGCCCTGCACGTCAGCCTCGCCCGGCAAGGGGGTGGTGCGGCTACCGACTTTGCGACGTGACGGAGTCGTGTGGGATACTCGTGAGCCTCTGCTTGATCACTGCGCGGAGCCGGTTCTTGGCGGCGCTGAGGGTCGAGGAGTTCATGTCGGCAGAAGCGTTCGTCCCCTCTTGCATCCTCGCAAGTCCCCAACGGTCTCGGAGCGGCCTATAGGCAGTTGTTTACTCACCCCCACCACGCTTGGAGGGGTCGCAATGCAATCTCTGCTGCCCGGGTTAGCTGTTACTAACTTGTTTGTCAGTTAAGGTAGAGACTCTGCGTGTACATCGTACAGGCGTGCTAGAATCCCTAGAATCTGGCGGTGGGCAGGTGACCGGACCCCACTACGGCCCAAGCAACCTTGGAAGATAGGCCGAAGAACCTTGGAAATGGGAACAAAATTGACGGGACCCGCCGGGCATCTCCGTATCAATGCAGCGCCAGCCGAGTCTCACCGACCCGCCCGTTGGTCATATGCTCTAGTAAGAGTGGGTTGGAGTTTTCGGGCCTGCGGTGTGCTGGTTGCGGTACGACTACGGCTAGGGATGGCTATAGGGTCGCTTAGTGACTGTGGGCTGCAGTCTGCATGCAACGACAGGACCGTGACAGGAGTCAAAAGGGACCACGGACGGGAGAAAGACACTGCATCAAACTCTGATGCTGCTGCTGATGCATGGGTGGGTGGTTGGATGCAACCAACAAGCTTTGTCTGTACGTTTTATCTAATCCATCAATCTAATCGATCGCCGTGGATGTGTTCCCAGGACCCGGGCTGGATTTAAAGTAACTCGACCCGTCCGATGTCCATGCTGGGCATCCCGCCAGGCCTGCATACCCTGGACGAAAAGCTAGGACGCTATAACTTAGCGCTCTCCTTTGCCCGCGACGCTGCAGCCGCCGGGTCCCAGTTGGTTCTTTTCTGCAATCACAATCACACACCACACAGACACCCGACTCGCATGCGCGTTATCCCGCTTATTCTTGGCTGAGGCATCACCAGAACGGTCCGCAGTCTTGCCATTGTCTCGTAGGCCACGTGTGAGATCTGCTCGGGTCCTGGCATCTCTTTCGGGCTGCCTGATCCTGATGACACAATAGCGCACCTTTTCCCTCCCGCCGTCTAGCGGTTTTCCCACATCCCACTCCTGGCCAAAGGTACCCGTGGACCCAGGGCGCCGCACCACCACCCACGCCGCTTGACTGCTCGGGCTGACAGGACAGGGCGAGGCGAGGTTCTCACTGGATCGGATCGCATACCCATCCGCCTGCAGCCTTGATGCCGAAATCCTCTGCCTCCCCCAAAAGCAATGACACCCAGGGTGGACAGACCTTCCCGTTGCGACCCATAGTTCCCAGGGAAAGATCCACCTCAGCTGCCTGCCCCTCGCCGCGTCCCCTGTCGCATGATGCTACGACGTCCAATATAATACGTCGTGACCCATCACCTCCTCCGCCGCCCTCGCCCGGCCCTGCTCTGGACCAAGGTGCGACGACTCCAAGCTCTCATGGCCAAGCCCCGAGCCATGATACTGAACAGCAAGACAGCACCGCCACCACCACCACCACTACCAACCCCGAAGAGATAACCGACGAGCGCGGTCCAATGTCCAAGGCACCGCTGCTGCTTCGTTCGTCCCCGGGCTTTGGGACCGGGTCGTACGGCGCTGCGCCAATTAATCCCATCGCCGATGACATCCTGGACAATAACCTGGATGACATTGACGAGCGATATGAAGGCCATCTGCCCGAGGTGGAAGAGTTGCGGAATCGACGGCGCAAATCACAGAGCACAAGCAGGTCAGGTACTCTGGGACGAGCAAGCACGTCCTCGCTGCGGATCAGAAGGCCGTCTGAAGAGATAGGTAGTTCGACGGTGGTTGGCGGCATTGAAGGTCGGTTTGGCGTCACCGAAACAGCCCTCCTCAACGAGGAGACGCTGTCCGATGCAAAGTCGAGCACCTCGGGAGCCGACTTCGAGGGAGAGTCAGACGACGACTTCGTCACCGACATCAACGAGGACGACCCTCCCGACAACTCTCCATATGCCCAGGTCCGCGCTTCGGTCGCGCCCACCGACAACTACACATTGTCCATAAGTACTCCTCGCATGTGGATTTTATCCACCCTGTTCGCCGTACTTGGATCCTCTACGAATTTGTTTTTCTCGTTAAGATACCCCAGCGTTGCAATTACGCCAGTGATAGCTTTGTTACTGGTCCATCCTCTTGGTCTCCTGTGGGACCTCCTTTTGAAGCGAGATGATGACCCGGTGGAAGAATTTGTCGACGGAGTACGAGTGTCGGACACGACAGCCCGCTCGCCAAGCGACTCGAGCTTGCCGCCCCTGAAGCGAAGGAGTCGTGCTCAACGCTTCCGGCTGTGGCTTGCACAAGGAACCTGGAATGAGAAGGAGCACAGTTGTGTCTACGTGAGCAGCAACGTGTCGTTCGGTTTTGCGTTCGCGACCGATGTGATCGTGGAACAGACCCAGTTCTATAAACAGGATGCTAGCATAGTCTACCAGCTTCTGCTTACCCTTTCAACCCAGATCCTTGGGTATGCATTTGCTGGGCTGACCCGACGCTTTCTCGTCCGTCCCAGCGGCATGATCTGGCCTGGGACTCTGATGTCGGCAGCCATGTTTGGCACGCTGCATAAAGAAGAGAACAAGCCCGCAAACGGCTGGAGAATCAGTCGGTGGAAGTTTTTCTACGTGATCTTCTTCGCCGCTTTCTTCTTCTACTTCATACCCGGTCTGCTCATGCCGGCCCTCAGCTATTTCAACGTCATTACCTGGTTTGCTCCAGACAATGTCGTTGTCGCAAACCTGTTTGGGGTAGTGTCCGGCCTGGGTCTCTTCCCGCTGACTTTTGACTGGGCTCAGATAGCCTACATTGGGTCTCCGCTGCTGACGCCTTTCTGGGCTGCTATGAACGTCGTGGGAGGCTTGGTCATCGTCATGTGGATTATTGCCCCTATCGCGTACTACGCGAATCTGTTCTACTCGTCGTACATGCCCATCCTGTCGGCGTCGGTATTTGACAACACCGGCAAGGTCTACGATGTCAGCAGGATTTTGACGCCTGACTTTGTCTTCGACAAGGCAGCATACGCCAGTTACAGCAGAGTTTTCCTGCCAATTACCTATGTCCTCAGTTACGGGCTGCAATTCGCCGGCCTCGCCTCTTTACTCACGCATACGGCTTGTTGGCATGGGAGAGACATCTGGACCCAGTGGACTCGGTCGCTGAAGGAGGCTGAGGAGGAAGGGAAGCCAGCATATCAGCCACTGTCGAATGAGAGCAATGGTCTCTCTCCGATCTCCAGAAACGGAGAGAATATTGCAAGAATCGCTCTGAGGAGATCGACTTCGAACTTTGACGATCTCCTTAGTCGGGAGGATGTGCATAATCGACTGATGAAGCGATACAAGGATGCGCCCCTTACCTGGTACTTGTTGACGGCGGTAACGATGACGGCCATTGGCATGTTTGTCGTCGAATAGTAAGATAGCCCTTTCATGTGGCTCACAAACAGTTTTGGCTGACACATTCTAGCTACCCGATTCATTTGCCTTGGTATGGGCTGCTCCTGGCGTTGGGCATATGTTCCGTACTGTTCATCCCAATTGGAATCGTGATGGCCGTGACAAACCAGCATAGCAGCATATACCTTATCTGCCAGCTCATTGCCGGAGCTGTATTTCCTGGCCGCCCGGTAGCTAACATGGTTTTCGTCACCTACGGGTATATTTCGTCGGCCCAAGGCATCAAGTTTGCAGCGGACCTCAAGCTCGGGCACTATATGAAGATACCGCCCAGGATCCTCTTCAAGGTTCAGATGGCAGCCACGATAATATCTTCGCTGACGCAGATCAGTGTGCTGAACTGGATGTTTGCCAACGTTCCAGGCCTTTGCACCTCCGAAGCGATCAACGGCTTCACCTGCCCCATTGCTCGAGTCCATTTCAACGGCTCGATCCTCTGGGGAGTCGTCGGCCCGACAGAGTTTTTCGGTCCAGGTGCTACATACCGCCCTCTGGTATGGTGTTTTCTGATAGGGGCCGTTGCGCCGATTCCTCTGTGGCTCTATGCACGGAAGAAGAAGAACACCATCGTTCGGAAAATCAACTTGCCTGTCCTCTTTGGATCGCTGAGCTGGATTCCCCCAGCGACCGGCCTCAACTTTTCGGTGTGGGCGCTGGTATGCTACATATTCAACTACGTAATCAAGAACCGTGCAGGCGCTTGGTGGGCCAAGTACACAATGACGCTGAGCGCGGCCCTGGATTCCGGGCTTGCGGTCGGTATTGTGATCGTGTTTTTCGGTTTCATCTTCCCAGGATGGATGGATGGATTTAGCTGGTGGGGGACAGAGGTTTACAAGCAAGGCTGCGACTGGCAGGCTTGTGCCTTCAAGACCGTTGCCAATGGTAGCCATTTCGGGCCTGACAATTGGTAGACGCATGCGAGACGGATACGGATACAATGACTCACGGATATGGATGCATACATGGATGATTGAATGGGACACTTAACGATAGAGCTGGGACAGGACTATGAATCTGCATTGAAAAGGGAGTTTGGATCATTGGTCGATTTACACATACGCAGGTTGCAGGTGCCTCTGTCTGAGCGTCACCTTGGGAATAGATGATATTCCACTATATACTATGACTCATCAGCACAAACTGCAAGTTTATGACTCTTTTTCACAGCAGGTAAGCCCGTAATCAGGGGTTCGTGCTGCAGCGCCCCAGCTAGCGAATCCTTCTATGCGCGCTCAAAGACTCACTGTGGGGTATTACGAGTTACAAGATTGCTCGACCTTCCGAAAGCAGTTGCACCGGCGCATTTCCCAGCAAGGCGATCCACCAAGCTTCGGGATCCATGTCTAATGGGCTTTAGTTCGTCAGTTTGTATCAACGACTGAATGATATTGCTGAGGATGTCAAGAGACGACGAGACCTTCAAAGTCCCGTCTCAGCTTCCTCAGTTATATAAAGTCGATTGGCTCTCTCCAAGAAGACTCTCGCTGACAGTATCAATCACTTGAGTCGACAATCAATCTCGAAACCTCTGCCCTTTATAACAACACCGCGAAGCTGCATGTCTCTATAGCCCTACAGCCACATCATCTTGTCAAAGGGGACACACATCATCTAGTATAATACCAGAGCCAAGTGTCTTGGCGAGACCCCTGTCCAATATGGCGACTTCAACAGCATCACCACAGACGCAGTCTTACAACCATCTCCCCACCACACTCGCGTCCTCAACCCACCCCATCCTCCTGCGGACGCTCGAGCCCGAGGACAACGTCGCCTTCGCGGCCATCCTGTCAGACCCGCGCAACACGGAGCACGAGGCCGGCAGCCCGCCGGACCACATGGAGCTATCGGTGGCCACGGGCGCCATCGCCCGCATGCGGGACAGCGCGGCCGCGCCGACCGTGGTTTCGGCGCCGGAGGAGAGCGGGCCCGGCAAGGTGCTCAGCGGGCCCGGCCGCGTGAACCTCGCCATCGTCTACCTGGGCGGCGACGCCGCCGGCTCCGTCATCGGGCTGGGCGGGTTCGGCAGCATCAAGGACCTGTCGCGGGCGACGGGCGAGCCGGTGGCGGACGTGGCCGCCGAGCCCTTTGAGCGCGTCGGCGACGTCGGCGCCATGGTCAACGCCGAGTACCGGGGCCGCGGGTTCGCCGCCGAGGCCGTGCGGCTGGCCATGGAGTGGGGGTTCGCGCCGGCGGGCCGGGGCGGCCTGCAGCTCGACCGCATCACGGCGACCACGCGCGCGGCCAACGCGCCCATGGTCCGCGTGCTGGCCAAGTTCGGCTGGGAGGGCCGCGCGGTGCCGGCTCAGGGGCCCGAGGGCAAGGACGAGCTGACGTACTCGATGCAGGCGGAAGAGTGGGAGGCGAGGAGCCGGAAATAGGGGGCGGGCTCTCAATAGGCAGGACGATCCAAGGGAGAATTATATTTGCGACAAGTGTCTATGAAGCGCACGAATGAGGCTCGTCCAGGTTGGTCATGCCACTGTTTCCATATATTAATTACTAGACACTATATATCACGAGTGTTTGTAAACCTGCCCGTTTAGGCCTCCCAAATGAGCACAATTATCGAGTCAACATCGGACGGACCTTCCTGGGTATGAACCGTATCTTCAGGCAACCTGTCATCCTCGTCTCCATACGAGACGGGCGACCCCCTCCTCTTGATATACGCCTGCCACACCTCGCCCTTGTCCGTGGTTCTCGCATCCAGCAGGCGCCAGGTCTGCTTGACCCCGGTCCACGAGACGACCTTCCTCTCGTCGCGGCCCTGGACCGCATCGACCACCAGCCGCTTGGCGGTCTGCACTATCCTCTCGTTGTCGCGGTTCTGCTGTGTCACCAGCAGCGAACTCTTCTTCAGCGGCAGCACCTCGACGCCGTCCGGGTAGTGCGAGATCGTGTGCCCGTTCACCAGGATCCAGGAATCCTTGAACCAGAACCTCTGCAGGAAGCAGTCCTCGCCGCACAGCGACGTGATCATGTGCGCCTTCCACGCCTCGAAACTGTGTCGGTGCTTGTAGTGGTGCAATGTCAGGGGTTGAACCCCGCCCTCATAGCCTGTACGAAGGCCGTGGTAATCGTCCTCGGGGACGTAGAAGGACGGGAGCACATACAGACTGTCATCCGTATGTTCCGAAACGCAGCTGTAGAGCAGTTCGTCCCAGTAAACATTCTCGTTCTCGCGCGAGGCGCCGCCACCTTCGGGTTCCTTGTCCTTCTTCAAACACGGCAGCTGGACAAGTTTGTTTGCCATTGGCACTGTGAAGGAGACAGCCCCGCCACCGTACGTCATGGTGATGTTGTTCTCAACAGTCCAGTCGGCGCGCTCGCTGGGCATGCCAAGGTAAATGTTCTGCTTGACGCTGAATTTGCTGAGCTTCTCTAGTAGTTTCGCCAGGGAAGGAAAGAAGACATCGTCATCCACAAGGGAGAGGAACTTCTTTCCCTTGCCTTCCTTGGACAATTCGTCGCTGCGGCGAGATAGCATATGTAGCAGCTCGGCGTAACGTGCCGTGATGTCAAGATTATCGCTCGCTGGCAGTACCACGGCGTCGATTCCCAACTGCCTCAACTCTGTGCTCACATAGCTCAGCTCTGCATTGCTAGCTTGCTGCAGAGTAAGAACCAGGCTTGCGCCGTTTGATCGTCCTTTACCATCCGTAAGCCACCGGGCCCAGTCGTGCATCAGTGAGTCGTTAGAGTAGATGAGACGACTGTAGGACGTAGAGATACCGAATATCAACGAAGAGACATCCACCTGATCTGGCGTCGCTGATCGTCTAAGGGGTAGCTGTATGGCCTTCTCCGCCTGTAAACCTAGCTTCTCGTCTTCTATTCGGACCCGCTGGAAGTCGCGCGACAAGAGCTTGACGGAGGTCTGTGTCATACTGCTTCGAGCTTTTGACTTGTAAGTCGGCCTTATTCTCCTGGAGAACCATGGAATGTCCTTGGTCAATCCATATTGGCTGGCCAAGGCCCTGAGGTACACAGTCTCCTCCGTCTGAACATCTTGTGAGGTATCGTTGAGCCACGTTCCCTCTGTCTTTCCATCTGTGTAGTCGTAGATGCTCGGAGGCCGGGACTGCTGTTGTCGGTAGAAACGGACGGTGGAGAGTAGGATGCAGAATATTACGAAAGAAGCGAGAACATGGAGCGACCGGATCCTCCCAGAAAGATATACCGGGCGGAACATTGCAACGCCCCCTTGTTGTGTAAAACAGGACGAACGAGCGGGAGCCGTTTGGTGAACAGTCTATGGCGATGCAGCGTAGACAGGCGCGAACTCAATTCGCATCAGAGTAAAAGAAGCGAGCGACAGCGCCTGGAAAATAGGCATCGAGAAGTACGACTATGACCTCATGCGTAGGAGGTTTGCGACAACCAAAGATAATCGCTCCAATGTGTGCAAGGACGTGGCTCAATTGGACGGATGTATTGGAGGCATGTCCTTGTCACTGACGTCTCGGGCAAGTATGAACACACGGCTCGAGGTCAATGGCGTTTGACGGGCGTGCTACTGGCGCACTCCGACCTGCGTTATCTGGAGTCTCATCACAAGTCCCAAAGAATAAATAGAAGGGATGAATTGGACGGATGCGATCGAAATTGGGGTGAGACACACCAAGCTCATGCCCTAGGAAACGTCTCGAGTCTTCGCATCCCCTCCATCACACCTACCCATAACAGCAAGAGACACCGGCCCGGAGCTTGCGTCCAGCGATAATCCAATTTGCCTGAACTTGGATTTTGGGCGTTGCGATTGCATGCAGGAGCGCGGCAAGGTAATAAGCGGGCTCAATCCGGCCATAGCCTCTATGGTGTAGTTATTGCGCACCCCTGACGATATCCCTTGTCTTCCAAATAGTCTTGCTTGGCTTCCTTGATCTTCTCCGCACTATGACCAGTTTCGATCAGTTAAGGGGCAGGGATACTCCGCAATATTCTTCTTCGACAGGCTTTCAATGATAGGAAATTGGAAGATGTCTGTTGGTCAAATTGGGGCACAAGTTCCAGATACCTTGCGTGTGTCTGTCTTGTCATTGATAGTTGGACTGATATCACTATTCCACCCTTGCATCTCTTCCTGTACGCTTGATATAGTCGGCACTAAACTTGTGCATCGTCCTGTATCAAGTATACTTGGACTTCCATCCGATGATACATGCATGGTTCAGAAAGCTATTTCCATGACCTCCTCTCAAATCGTCCAAGAAATCTCTTCGAGAATGGGAAAAATTCGGCCAAAACGTGCCAAGAAAGATAAATTTTTGATCCTTCCGTGTCTTCTCCCCCTGTTCCTCTACGAGTCATGCCTGTTCGCATTTCCTTGACCACTTTGCTGCGTAATTGTCTCAACCTACTTTTTCTCAGTCACGCCCTTTTGCATTGCCTTGAGGGTCGCGGGTGTGATGGCAGATGGCGCGTACGAGGCAGGTATGTTGTTCTGCACAGTCTGCCTGGCATCAGAAAACTTGTCGAAGCACGACGCCAAAACCTCAACGATTGTATCATCGGCGGGTACCAGTCTAGTGTCAATGATTTCTTTGAGGTATTGCTCGACCTTGGAAAACTCGTTTCGATCGGAACGGTATCTGTCCGGCAGACCTGAATTATGAATGAGGGCAAGGAGGCCCGCAAAAAGTGTGTTGATGCCAGCAATGACTGTGATCACGGTTCCGTTCTTCAACGACAGCGAGCCCAAGGCCGTAAGCACTGCATTCAGAGACAGTTGTAGGATCATAAGTGTCCAGCTTAGTACGGAGCAAATATTAGAGCCTGCTCGAGACCAGAACCCGATGGGTGTGCTCACCGAACGGCACTCAGCAAATGAAAAAACCAAGTGAACTTGGATTTCTCCCACAGAACATCTTGGTAGAGTCCATCGGGGAATCCTTTGGCCGGCCAGTACCAGCACGCAGGGCGGATGACGTTGGTGCTCTCCAGATCTTTGAACACTCCAACGCCTCGACAGAACTGAATCCATTCGGCCTGAGACAGAACGCGGTGTTGCACCTCAGGCTTCTCGACACTGGCCTGGGCAGAACCGGCTGGTTTTGTCGAATCTCTGGTCATAGCTGGCTGGGGTGGTTGGTTCGCTTTGTCCTCGATTTTCAAGTCCGGAAGGGAAGGGGGATGGTTGCGTCTCGGGAAGATGGTGGTAGTCATGATCCAGATGTGAGTATCTCACACGTCGAGCAGTATTGTCTTGGAAGTTCCAAAGCGTGGTAGAAAATTAGCAACCGCCAGCAAACGGCAAGAAATCTAACACAAAGTGAAGCTGAGTTCGTGGCGTCCGTTCTTTAATCCCGGGATGCAGGCAAATCAGGTCGAGGGCGAAAAGAAGATGGACACGGGCAAGCCAGACAGCTCCAGGGCGATGAGCATCGAGGTGCTGCACGTGGCAGGATGGCACTGGTAACTGCTAGTACTGAAGGCTCTTGCCTTGAAGCTCGAAAAAGTTGGTGCATGGCCACCAGCTGTGGAAAGACAGGAAGGGACAAGTTGCATCCAGACGCCAGCGAGGAAAGGTACGATTCCTTGAGATGTGGTTACCACATATGATGTACCCGGAAGAAGGTCACATTAACCCCGACCTGGTCTTGGCAATCCCTGCGAAGACTTCACTGCACACCAAGCCAGGTGGAGGCCAAGTGCTCGTGAAGATGCCCGTCGATATTTGTTGTGGTAGGTCGCCCTTCCGCATAATGGTCCCGCGGTGGTTGAAGCCATGACATAGACCATTCGCAGTAGAGGGCGATGCGGACGTTGGAAAGCCTCCCGAGGTCCAGAGAGAAGGTGCCTAGAAGACTTGTCACAGCCACCACTCTCTGTCAATGATAGATGTAGTCAGAGGCACAAACTCATCGTTACAATATTTCTACTCAGATTGCCTACGTGGAGGAGGCAGGTGTGATCCTATTGAAGCATGCCAGATAATGATTAGACCCACTCATAGTCTAGGTCGGGAGATGGACAACCAATCTGCATTCGATATATTCTTACACCTGGAACATTCCTAGTGTGGCCAACCAAACTCTAGCGATTGGCTAGCACTCAAGGACCCCTATCCTGGAGGGGTAGTGGAGGGGTAGTGGAGGGGTTCGCAGGAATAGCTACTGCGTACAGGGGTCGGCCACAAGCTTTGACCGCCCGGCAGAACCATAATTTTTTTCCCCGTAGAGCTCCAAAGGCAGCCCTGGAGCTGTCGCTCAGTGACTCGAAGCCGTGCAACAGGCGATCTGCGAAGACACCGACGCGATTCCCGCTATCCTGTCGACATAGTGCTGGAGGACTCGTGCAAACGCAGAGAGCCGTTCGGGAGCTCTGTGGATGCATCACATCACCTCCTGGGCTGTGCGCAACGTCATTCCGAGCCTTGCGACCCGCTCGTGCTCGTTCGGCAGGCAACGACTATTCCAAACCATCCGCACAATGGGTTCCAAATCCAAGTCCAAGGCGACGGACTCGACTTCTGTCGAGACGCACAAGATCACGCTCAATGGCGAAGACTTCACCGAGGTCAAGGAAGGCCTCGGCCGCATTTTGACCCCATTCTCAGCACCCAAAGCCGACGCGAAGGATTCCAAGAACGATGAAGAATACCAGAAGGTCTTCTACAACCCCATCCAGCAGTTCAATCGCGACTTGACGGTTCTAGCTATCAAAGCCTATGGCGAGGAGGTTGTCGCGAGACGGCGCGCAGCCTCTGAGAGGAGGATCAATAACAACAAAAAGAAGCGCAAGAGGGATGACGCTGAAGATGGGAGACCGCTAAAGCACGAGCGCAGCGAACCCGCCGTGGCAGGCGCAAGCACAGAAACGGACCAAGCCAATGGTAGTCCTATGGACATATCTGAGCCCGTGAAGGAGCAAGAGGCATCGGGTAGCTTGAAGTCGGCGGATCAGCCAGGGCAGAGTGCGGATCAGTCAGGGCAGAGTGCGGATGGGAGTGGGAGCACGGAACCTGGCGCCCAGTCTACTGAGACCAAGGAAGGAGGTGAACAACGAGAGAGAAAACTGCAGCCCCCCAAATTCACCATCCTTGATGCCCTATCTGCGACCGGCCTCCGCGCGCTGCGATATGTCCAGGAGCTTCCATTCGTCACGTCCGTTACCGCCAACGATTTGACGCCTGCAGCCGTGGAAGCCATCAAGCGCAATGTTGAACACAACGGCGTTGAGTCCAAAGTCAGGGTCACCCAAGGAGATGCGCGGGCCCACATGTATTCCTTGATCGCGGAGCAGCTGACGCTAGAGCACGAAAAGAACCCGCGAGGGTACCGAAAAGGACCCAACACGCCGTCGGGAAAATACGACGTGATTGATCTGGATCCATATGGTACCGCGGCAACCTTTTTCGACGCAGCCGTCCATGCTGTACGCGATGACGGTGGTATGCTGTGCGTGACCTGCACGGATTCTGGGGTCTGGGCTTCACACGGCTATCCTGAGAAGGCATTCGCGCTCTACGGCGGCGTTCCTGTCAAGGGGTTCCACTCACACGAGGTTGGTCTGCGCCTGGTGCTGAACGGTCTGGCCACCACTGCGGCCAAGCACGGTCTCACCATTGAACCTCTGCTCAGCTTGTCGATTGACTACTACCTAAGGGTCTTTGTTCGGCTTACAAAGTCCCCGGCCAGTGTCAAGTATTTGGCAGGCAAGACCATGGTCGTATACAGCTGTGACCAGGGTTGTGGTGCTTGGGAAACGCAGTTGCTGGTGCGCAACAAGAAGGTGCAGAACAGCAAGGGCAGCGGCGTGTTCTACAAGCATGGCCTGTCACAAGCCCCCTCAGCAGATCAGCATTGTAAACATTGCGGTACCAAAACTCACCTCGCAGGGCCCATGTATGCTGGTCCTCTGCACTCGACCGAATTCATCCAGCGTATCTTGGCAGACTTACCGAATGCATCGAAGGACGTCTACGGTACAACGACCAGAATTGAGGGAATGCTGCAAACAGCACTTGAAGAGTCAGCGCTTCCTCCGCCACAAGATAACCTAGCAGCCTGCAAGGAAGATGAACTCGCTGCCCTTGAGCCATATCCCTTTTATCTTCACCCAACAATGCTGGCAGGTGCGATTCACTGCAGCTGCCCGGATGAAGAGAGCTTGCGTGGCGCTTTGCGTGGACTAGGCTACGAGGTCACCCGAAGTCACTGCAAACCCGGGAGCATAAAGACCAATGCGCCTTGGGAAGTTATTTGGCATGTTATGAGAGAATGGATCCGCCAGAAAGCGCCGGTCAAAAAGGAGAACATCAAAGAAGGAAGCGCTGCTTACAGGCTTCTCAGACTTGATCAGGAAAGCGCGGGCGAGAAGGACAGCACCGACAACGAGGTTGACAAGCTCGAGGTTGTCTTCAACCAGGCATTGGGTAAAGATAAGTCGAAGAAGGGCTTGGTCAGATATCAGGTGAATCCCAAGGAGAACTGGGGACCTCTGAGTAGAGCCAAGGGACACTAGCTGCTACACAGCCGGGAAATGCGAGTGCCATAGGGTTGGTATCGTATGTAACTTTTCTCCGCTGAGATCGCATCATTTTAACCGCTGATAAGGCAAGGCTTTTCCCGCCGAATTTGCAGCATAGGCACTTTTGCAATGCTGCATCATTCGTCTGTCCACCAAAGCTCTTGACAAGATGAGTTTCGGGTCAAGGTTCGATGCAAAGGAAGAAGCACTACCTACAAGAAGCGGTGACGGAAATAAATAATACAAACCAAAAATGACTCGGAAACCAAATTGGGCAACCTCACTTTGCATTCATAACCTTGCACCGCCGTATTCCGGCTTTCATGTGGCTCACCAGTGGGTCCGTACTAGGCTCCCCAGTCGACTAATACCCTAAATATCTACCTTAGTCAGCCGGCTTGGCTGCATCTACGCACCCTGCCGAACGGCGAAGAGCCACCTTGCTAACGCGGCTGGACGAAACTGCACGTCAGCTTGATTCTCATACTACAATATCGGTAGCTCGCCTTAAGGTCGAACTTAGCAGTATGACTGGCACGAGCGACTCGATGCCTCCGCAGCTGGGGAGTGAAGACTTGCAGGTCGAAAAGGTTGTCTGTGTCATCAAGAGCCCTTTGGATACCACACTCTACGAGATTCTGAGTCTCGAGGAAAGGGAACACGACGGCGTTAAGTCTTTTGAAGTCACTACACAGCCCAGTGCCCAACCTCCTCAGTCTCTTCTCGATGAGCTTCTGGTAGAGAACGTGCCGGATTACCTCTGCGAAAGTGATACGAGGAAGGTGCACGTTGTGGTATCGACTGGATCGGGGACCGCGCTGGCTCAGAGCTTCTATCAGTCTGCTCTGCGTCCAGTTCTCGAGAAATTCGGGCTTGCGGCCGCGAATACGTCCTCTGACGGACCAAGCGTCTCCCACGCCGCTTCAGATACCGGGACGTATGCTCTTACCATTACGCAAGATGCTCAGAGTATCCGTAGGTTTGCAAGAGACCTTAGCATGTCCACCAAAGGTCTCCATGGCTCAGGTATGCAACATACAGTGGTCCTTCTCAGTGGTGATGGGGGCATCGTCGAACTGCTGAACGGCAAGGCGCCCATCGACGAGGTGGGCATGTCTGATACGTCACGCCCTCTGATTATTATGTTGCCTCTTGGAACAGGAAATGCCCTTTTCCATAGCTTACACAAGCCCCTCTATGCTACAGCTGGCTCTGCCGAACCTTCCCCTCTTGTCCTTGGCTTGCGCACGTTGCTGAAGGGGCAAACGGCCCCGTTGCCCTCCTTCCGTGTCGATTTCTCAGCAGGCTCTCGGACGATTACCTACGTCGACCCTGCAAAAGATCACTCGAGTGGTTCAGAGCAAGGTATCCAAGAACAATCCAACGCTGCTACCCATCTATACGGGGCTATTGTCGCATCCTATGGGTTCCATTCTCAGCTAGTCTGGGAGAGTGACACTCCAGAATACCGGAAGCACGGAGCACAGCGGTTCCAGATGGTGGCAGCGGAGCTTCTCAAAGAGAGCCACGCTTATAACGCGACTGTTGAACTGAGTTCTACTGGTGAATCCACGTCGAAGAAGCTCGATAGGGGCCAACATGCGTACATCCTTGCAACGATGGTATCAAACCTCGAAAAGACCTTCACCATCTCCCCCGCCAGCATTCCTCTGGACGGCAAGCTCAGGCTTATCCACTTCGGTGCAGTAGGTGGCCAGAAGACCATGGACATCATGATGCAGGCCTACAACAACGGAAACCATGTCGGTATGGAGTGGACAGCGGACGACGGCAGACCGGAACGGGTAGGATATGATGAGGTCAAGCAGGTCAAGGTCACAACCGATGAAGCCGATGCACGGTGGAGGAAGGTCTGCATCGATGGAACTATTGTTGAGATACCAAAGGGAGGCTCTATGACAATTGCGACGGAGGAGCATCCGCACTTGCAGGTACTAGTTCATCAGTCCCTGAAGGCTGCATAAAGAGATTTTACCTAGGAAGGTATGCTTGAAAAGAGCGGATTCAGTAGACAGATTTAGACAAGGTCTCCCATTTCTCGTTATCTGTGTTCTTGAATGCGATTGACAAAGTGTTTCGCGGTGCACTCCTTACACACTTACGACGAGGACTCACCCGCATCAAGCATGGTTCCATAGAGCTCCTACGACCTGGCCGTTTGCCCAGATGCATTGATCTCAATGACTCCTCGCCTGCAAATTTTGTATAATAGGGCAAGTCACCATGAGTCATAGCCAAATGAAATGTGCCTATGTGCCTGCCAAATATGGCGTCTTGAAGGGCTCATGCAAGGCCTGCATGTTGGTTAGCCTATTAGATCTAGTCTGTTAGTCTGCTATGCTACAGGTGGGCTATAATCATTAGCTGTCTATGCTGTATTGACGAACGACCATTTGTATCACTTTTAGATACAAATGGTCGAAGAAAAGTAGGCAGCCGCCATCAGAGTTTACTGCGAGTGCTGTCAATGTATTTCGATGGGCTAATTTAGGATCTCGGTCGACGTATCCTGCCGAAACTCATGACTACCTCCCTAGGTACCCAGGTAATCGGGTAAGTGTAGATGGCTTGGGAAGTCACGTCCCAGGTCCACGGGTACCTGTGGGGGGAAGGTACATACACGAACTTAATCGTGGGGAGCTGTAACCGGCCTAAAAATGAATCATCTTGATTCATCTCCAAAGTCGGTTCTAAGATAACGAGACCTTTAACAGCATACACATGTCAGCTATTTCACCATCAGACACACCCCCCAATCATTGAAGTTTCATCACGTTTTTGACTGAGCTCAGTCAACGGAGTGTGCAGTCAAATTCAAAGCAGAGTGAGGAATATCTCAACGGCGCTTGAGACACAGCGTCTGCGCAACACCGCACGCTAAGGGACACACTGCGAGAGCCAATTGTCTAAGTTAGCTCCAAATTTCGAGTTCGCAATCATGACCTCCATGGCATCGGAGTCAGTGGCCACGATTGTGTGCACGTGCAAGCAGACCCGTTTTGACATAGCGACACCTGATTATCGAGAAGTAAAACAGACCTTTACGCGTTCAAATCCGCGGAAAGTTACTAACTATCATGCTTAGCTAGATGTGGAGGGTCTCAATATCACGGTTTCGTCTGGCGCCAAAGCAGCTGCTAAAGGAAAGAGCAAGTCTAAGGGCGAAGGCATCGAGATCCTGAACAACGCGAAGCTCCGGTTAAAGGCTGGCCAGAGGTATGCCCTGGTCGGGCGTAATGGAACTGGAAAATCCAGTGAGTGGTGTTGTATATCCTTCGAGATAGACGGCTCTTGGATTTGCTAATATCGCACAGCATTGTTGAAGGCTATTGCCGAGAAACTGATCCCAGGGATACCGGAAGAGACGCGTGTGGTCCTTCTGCAACAGACTAATATCACCGACGAGAACCTGAGTGATGCGAAAGACTACTCACGCTCAAGCAATACAGGAAGCAGCGGCCTAAGCGTCCTTGAAGAAGTCATCGAGCGTGCGACTGCCCGTCAAGAAGTCCAGAGAGAAATCGACGGTTAGCAGCGTCCAGAAGAGTCAGTTGAACCAGACTAACCGTGACATAGTACTTTCTAAGGGTATCGAGAGCGCTGATGCATACGGGGCGCTTCGAGGCTTACGTAAATTTCGGTACGATCAACTTCAGAAGGATCTTTTTCTCAAGGACAAAGATGCACGACTGCGAAGCGGTGCCCGGGGTATGCAGGCCCGGAAAGCACTGATTGCTGCCGAGAAGGAAGTTGCAGCATTTGAGACCATGTAGGTGGCAGTTTCTCACCAATCCGTATAGACGCTTATCGGATGTCAGATACTCGCAGAAGAACGAGGAGATTACATCGGAGGTGCTGGCGAAGGAGACAAGTGACGCAGCTGACATGCTTGCCGAGCTAGAGCTCCAAGTTGAGCCTTCTAAACTCGCTGAAGTTGAGTCTCGGGCAAAGAAGATCCTCACAGGACTCGGCTTCTCCGACTTGTACATGGAGAAGGAGGTCTCCAGCTTATCTGGAGGATGGAAGATGCGCACTTCTCTAGCAGCGGCGTTGCTTCAGGATTGCGATATTCTGATTCTTGACGAGCCTACGAATTTTCTGGATCTATTTGGCATCATGTGGCTCCAGCAACACCTCACCACCTTAGCCGATACCCCAGAACCGCCCACGTTGGTTCTGGTCTCCCATGACCGCGACTTCATCTCCCTTTGCACTGATCTACTGATCGTCAAGGATAAAGACCTCACTTATTTCCACGGCGATCTGCCCACATATGAATCATCACGCGCCGAGAAAAAGGTCTATCTGACGAAGATGAAAGAGGCAAAGGAAAAACAGAAAGAGCACATCCAACAAACGATTCAGAAGAACATGAAAGAGGGCAAAGCCAAGGACGACCAAAACAAGATACGACAGGCTAAGTCGCGGCAGAAGAAGCTTGACGATCGCTGGGGTCTTGAAGTCAGTGCCAAGGGTGGCAAGTTCAAGTTGAACCGAGATCTCGTTGGCTACCATTTGACTAGCCGGGCGGACATCGATATCCCACAAGATGAGCGGCCTGTCAGTTTTGTACTTCCCGAACCTCCTGATTTGCGATTTCCGGGAGCCTTGTTATCCCTGGAGAAGCTGGCTTTCCGATATCCTTCCAATAAGCCGGGCAAAACAGTGCAACCACTTGTCTTGAAGGATATAACACTTTCCGTGAATATGGGGGACAGGATTGGTATCTTAGGATTGAACGGCGGCGGAAAATCAACCTTGATTAAGCTGCTAGTGGAGGAAACAAAGCCAACATCGGGGACCTTATCGATTCACCCACGCTTAAAACTGGGATACTATTCTCAACATGCTGTTGAGACTCTGCAACAGATGGGAATTGGCGAGCAGGACTTGACGGGGTTAGGTTTGATGGTCGAAGAAGTATCTGGAGAGCTCGATGAAGGGCAGTTACGCCGCCTTCTGGGTTCTCTGGGCTTGCCTGGTCGACTGGCGTCAGATACGCCAATTCGTAAGCTATCTGGCGGTCAACTGGTACGTTTGGAGTTGGCGCGCATTCTGTGGAAGGCTCCGCACTGCCTGGTCCTCGATGAAGCTACCACTCATCTCGACTATGAGACTGTAACAGCCTTGCGAGAAGCTCTGAAGAGCTGGGAAGGCGCGGTCGTTGTTGTCAGCCACGATAGATGGTTCTTGCGTGGTGTGGTGGAGGGCCTCAACGATGATCAGGACAGTGATCTCTCGGATATTGAGGAGAACGAGATCCCACGGCGACGCGTGGTATATCGTTTGAAGGCTGGCGAGTTGGTTGTACTTGAAGGAGGCGTGCAGCAGTTTGAAAACATCATGGAGAACCGGGTACGCAAGGTGATGAACTCATGATGTACTGCTGAGGTCTCCGAATAGCAAGGAGAGGAATCCTTGTAGTGAACTGAATAATGTCAAGTGCGTTGGTGTTGCAGACTCAATGTGAAATCCTGTCTAGGAACAATCGCTCTTGCAATACAGCGTGTGACCTTTCATCAGCATACCCATGGAGCGTCAAAGCCTTTGTCGACCACTTCGAGGCTGCTAGGCTGTCTTTCAATCGGAGTGAGATTTCGGCAGCTACGTAATATGCGTTCGGCAGATAATCCATCATATGCTCAAGTTCGAGCATTTCAACCAGGGCCAAGGCCTTTGGCAAGAGCTTCTTGTTGGCAAACTCTGAGGTGTTGCGCGTCAGTCTATCCTCCAGCTCTGATAGGTACTTGCCCATCTTCACCCTCTCTGAGTCCGTACGCTCGTGATCCACGCAAGCCGCACACGTGCATTGGAAGCCGTACTGGGACAGACGGCTCTGGCGCCCGGCATGCGACTTGAGCAGTGGCGCGTAGGTGACAGTCACCTCTTCTCCTGCCTGGATATCTCGCGCGGCCCAGATGATTCTGAGGCCGGATGCCTCGCTCCAGACGTTGGCCGCGTTCGGCCGGCACGAGTGGTTGATCTTGGCAATCTTGGGGAACATGGCCACCGTCCCGTCCGTCAGCGTATAGGCGTTGCTCCGGAATATGAACATGTTGCGGTGCTCGTCCGACTCCTGCTCACTCGGGAGCCGGTACTCGTGGCAAGAGTGGAAGTCGCTGCGCTGCTCCGCCGTCAGACCTGCAACTGCCACGTCTACGTCGTCTATCATGGCCTGTATCTCATAGCCCTTGCCTGGAACGAACTCGGGAGGGTTGATGGAGAATAACGGCTCCTCGACCATGATACGCGTCCCGGTCTTGATCAAAGCTGTGGCAAAGACGCCCAATCCCTTGCCAATGGAAGGTCTGACCTCCCATGTGGTATTGGAAGGAGCTCTTACGATAGCTTCATTCACGTTAGCTATTGCGCTTACTTATAATCAAGCTAGGAAGCTAAGCTTACGAGCCGTCAGACAATGTTCCTCTTCCAATTGCAAGTTGGTTATGAGGCCATCGCGGTTGCTCTAGTCTACAAATCAGTGGAACTGCGCATCGCGTGGTATTCAGCCAGCGTACACTTACGCGTCCGCAGTACAAAGGTTGAAACAAGGTACTCGCGCAGAGGAGGGAGCTGTCGAGAAATGTTGGCGCTGTAGTGAAACTTGAGTAGGCGCATATAGTAGATGGCGCAATCGCCAAGGAAAGAAACCGGATTCTCATCATGTAAGTTGCTCTACCTTTGGAGAAGCTACGCCAGATGATACAAAATCACTCCCACGAAGGTGACTTCACGGAATTGCAGAAAGCCGCGAGACTTCTTTGCGAAAGGATTACGAGGTCGGCATGATGTTGAAACACGGGGGACTCAAAAGTATTGTTTGAAGGCATCGTCGGAGCATGGTGGATACTCGCGTGTATACCCCGTACGACACTGAAACCGTTGGACATGCATGCTGCGACTAGTCTACGAAGGACCCTGAAACAAGACGCCTACGCACACCTTCATCACATGAGTGCCAGACCGTGCAGCCATCGTTCGACGAGGTCGAGAATAGCCACAAGTATGTCGACTTTGCTTTAGGCCAAACTTTCACTTGTTCGGCAGACTTCCGCCCGATGATGGGTATTGCTAATGTTGCCTTCCGAGGACAGGCAGGCCTGACCTGGAAAGCCGCTCAGCACGAGTTCAAAAGTCTTCTCCTAGGCGCATCAAAGCGACAACTGTGAACTAGCTGATGTGCGAATAGCACTCATAAGTTGACGCCGCCTGGGAGCGAATGCAGGGACCAGCCGTTCGTCAGCAACAGTGGGGTGGTGTGCTTGCTTGCTATATGCCCTTGGTGCCTTCCCGGCAATGTAACCTGTTGGAATGATCTACGTGATACATGCGCACTAACTACACATGCCTCATGCCAATAGCCTGGGTAAAGATTTCCGGTAAAGGTGTTTAATCCTAGATAAGGATGGATCGGCGACCTCTACACTTGCTACAATATGCGACGCAACAGGCAGAGAGGTTGAGGCAGCTCGTCTGCAAAGTTATACACGCATTACAGAAAGCCGGATGATATAACGGCACAGATTGAATAAGCAACAGCTTGGACTCGATTCGCTGCTCTACATATCGGGTGAAGGCGAGCCGCTGTGTCTATATTACTGGGCCGTTTCGCCTGATCGTCCCTTCCCGAATCGAGAGACTTCCGGCACGGGCTGGTAAAATGGGCAGGTGCTGTATGGTGACAGCTCGACTCACCATGCTTTCATGCATTACGACTTGGTAGCCTTCTGAAACATGTGAAGGAGACCAGCAATCAAGAGAGTAGAAGGATTGCCGGCTCAGAGAGAGCCTTGCTGCAAATCTGGACAGATTCCTGACAGATTTGTCTGCCAGTAACGGCCAACTCCGAATCGACTTAGTCATTACCATTGTCCTTTGTTGTCCAGGCACTGGCAAACTGGCCCATAAAGCAAGCGGGCTGCAGCGGCCGCGCAGTGCGTTGTCAAATGAGACATAGCTACTAAGTTAGTTGGCATCCCAAATTAGAACGAAAAGGACGGTGATCACCTGAGACACCAAAAAAGAAGTGTGCTCCTGGTTCTGTAGTCTAATGGGCAAACAATACTCCTGCCTCAAGTCAAATGTCTACGTGACTCCACAACCGTGCACTCGGTTCCGTGGCCTCGGTACTCTTTGCCACGCGATGGCAATGGCAGCATGGTAGGGTAGGGCGCGTGATACCGTGCGTTCGAGGGTCGGTTGGTCGGGTTGCCAACGGGAGCCAGCGAACCCTCACGGTCCCAGAACCATGTCTATGGGATCTGCGTCTGGTGGTGGCCCCAAGCATGGCTAGCGTCTGGTCTGGGTCTGGTGTTCCACGAATCAATCGAACGACATCAGCCTGTCTGCTCGTCCGAAACACGAAGTTTGAGCTTCTTGGTTGTGTGCGGCCAAGCCTCGCCCGCACACATGCAAATAGGGGCCCTGGTTGCTGGGAGACTACTTGACGTTCGGGGGGAGCGGTCAGCATGTCATTTAGTTGGTGGAGCACCCGACAGGCTGGACGTTCACGGCGGATGAGGACCACACTGCACGAAGCCGCTCGCAACGCGTTCTTGCGAGAGGAAGGGAGCAGTCAACTCCACGGTGGGTTCTCCAGATGCAGGCGCGTGGGCGTCCGCAATTTTCATTGACTCGTTTCCGGCTGGAAGCGCCGCGCCTAGACATTCGTAATCGGCCCGTCTCTTAAGCTGGAGAAGGGCATCGTCTGGGGATTTTAGTGGTCCCCGGGGCCCCGACCCCCTAGCGTCCCACATGGTAAGGAAGCGGACCAAGGCAGGTCTGCGCTGTCCTTGGATGACCACCGTCTTATGCCAAAACACACCATGGCCGGTATGGCCCGATGACTCTACGATACTGGAATTACTCAAGCCACCAAGCAGAGTTTTGAAGCAGGTGACTCGGAAGGATTCCAGAAAAGGGCCGGCTCACCTGCGACTTCATGTGTGCCTCAGGTAACCGCGGCCGGGTTCGCGCTGGAAAACCTGTCCAGTGATGTCTGTAGATCAACCGCATTGCGACCATGTTGCCTATTTCAGCTGTTCAATGGCGTGGTCTCGGGGAGGACTCCAATTCTCGCCATCGCAGCTTGAGCTGGGTTTCCCAATAGTGAAAACGGACGTCCCGTCACATGACGACCTCTGTTGCGAAGCAGCTGACTTGGGAGGAAAATTTTTTTCTTTCTGGATATATCCAGAGTATCCGCAGTTTTGCTAGCGTGCCAATCTGTCAGATCGAGACCTGTCTTTCCGGAGGGCTTGTGGGTATCACGTTGTAAGATGGGGCACTTCAGCGAGATGTCACTCTGAAACTTTTCGGAGTATTTTCCGCTTCCGATACATTCAGCTCCGCTAGCGTAGAGAATATCTCCATGTTCAGAGAGGAAGCAGAAAGTGCAGATACTGTTCTGTAGACGAAGCGCCGTTAGTTTCTAGCCCTCAGAGACTTCGTGCCGCTTGAAGTCCGTTGTGTAGCGCGATAGACAATTCATCGATCAATGGTGATGTTGTTGTCCGTTTAGTCTTGGTTACCAAGGGACTATCCGCGGCTAGCACAAGCCACACTAGAGCATCCTGTCTGGTATGGACGGCTCAATCGTCCAATCTGGGACAGTCCCCGCGTTTCTGGCGTTCGAACTCGGCCTTAATGTGGAGAGAAACGTAGGCGTTAGACTTGGCACCCACCTTAACGAAGCCAAAGTAACGTCGCGTGTCAATGGCACGAGCATCTGAACAGACTTCTTGGTCGCAACCCGACACTTGGGACTGACCGGATTTGACCCCGATCGGCTGACAACGATACCGAACAAGCGAATGGCCTCAGCATCAAGCGGATGCAGGAAAGACAATGGAGCGCCCGCTCTCCAACGCAGCTCTGTATGGAAAGCAACTCTGTGCTCGGGAATAAGCTTTATGGCTGGGCAGTGATCTGTGTGTCTCGTGCCAAAGGTGGCGTCGGCCACTGCGTCTGCGGCGCTAAGAAGACTGCATTGGCTGCATCTCGGCAGGCGAAGACGTTCGGCTTCTATTGTCCTAGCGGCTGGTGAATTAGGATGGCGGCCGTAAGTTAGGTCGCAAGTTGATTTCGGTCAACATGGTGCCGGCAAAGGAGCTGGATTTTGTGCCTAGCACCAGATTCGACTTTGCCTACGGATAATTACGCCAATTTACGGGATAGATGACTTGCATGGAACCGATCTACGATAACCAGCAGAGATCTGGTTCACCATCGTTGCCCATGTTTTCGACGAGAGCTGTCGCTGGTCTCCTTGTGAAACATGCGGGAGTATACTTGCTGAGAGTCTAAATTCAGCTTGTCAGCTTGCTTCCCAAATGCACTGTCCAACCTTCGGATTTCCAAGGTCGTGGTGGCAGGCGCGGACCCAAGCGTCTTGCTTGCTGGGGGTGGTTGAGCGACGCTGGTCCCCCAAAAGCTAATTTGACCATTGTCTCCATGTTCCCCATCTCGCGACTCCAAATCTCCAGGTTTCATGGGTCCGGGGTAGGGGAGTCCTTCGCAGGATTTAGTGGGCCGTCGGCCAATGCGACTCGGTGAAATGAGGCAGGAGTACCAGTGATTCCCATCCAAGTGGTGTAGACGGGCCTATTAATCCCTGTGGAGGCGTGCAGGCGTGCAGGTACCCAATCATGCGGCGTGCGTCCACCACATATGATCGTCCTAGCGAATCTCGAATAGTCGCTTCGGGTCTAGATGCGAAAGTCACCCTCGGCCGGCCGGTACCAGGACCCTGACGACGAGACCTGGGGCAGCTGGGGACGATGTACCTGTTGCTGGCACCGCGTGTAACGGCGGAGTCACAGATCGCGCCTCGACTCTCACTCCTGTCCCGTTGCTCCCGACCGGTTCGATCTGGCCATGCCTGCAGTGGATTGGCATCCTCCTGCAGCTTAATTTAAATTCACAGCTCTCCCCGGCCCTGACGAGACCTCGTTTCTTTCCCTCCCCTCTTGTGGTCAACCTTTCTGGCACGTTCCTTCCCCGTGTCTGCCCAAGCCCAGAGACTGGTCCAAGGATATATCTCCTCTTTTCTCTTTCCCAAAGTCAGCGTCGAGAAAGATTACCGCAACAATGGCCGGTGGTGTCGTCGTTGAGGGCACGACTAATGTCGATCGCACGGAGGCCCCCGTCACCTGGAAGGCGTACCTCGTCTGCGCTTTCGCCGCCTTCGGCGGTATCTTCTTCGGATATGACACCGGTATGCCTAGTCATAGACGAGTAGCCACATCGTGACTAACGAAAGTGTATAGGCTGGATGAGTGGTGTCTTGGCCATGCCATACTTTATCACCCTCTACACCGGCATGGAATACGACTACACTCACGACAACGGAGATGGCACCTTCGGTGCGCCTATCGGAGTTGCCGTGAAGGACTTCCACCTGCCTTCCTCCCAGCAGTCCCTTTTCACCTCGATGCTGTCCTGCGGTACTTTCTTCGGTGCTCTCATTGGCGGTGATGTCGCAGACTTCATCGGTCGTCGCCCTACCATCATCGCCGGTTGCTTGATCTTCTGTGTTGGTTGCATTATGCAGATTGCTTCCACCAACCAAGAAGCGCTTTTCGTGCTTGGCCGACTCGTCGCTGGTGGTGGTGTTGGTTTCATCTCCGCTGTCGTCATTCTATACATGTCCGAGATCGCCCCCAAGAAGGTCCGTGGAGCCATGGTCTCTGGGTACCAATTCTGCATCACCATTGGTATTCTCTTGGCCAACTGTGTCGTCTACGCCACTCAGGCTCGACCTGACACCGGATCCTACCGCATCCCTGTTGGAATCCAGTTCCTGTGGTCGATCATCCTCGGCACCGGCCTATTCTTCCTGCCCGAATCCCCACGTTACTTCGTCAAGAAGGGCAAGATTGCCGAGGCTGCCAAGGCCCTTGCATTCGTTCGTGGCCAGCCCGAAGACTCTGACTACATCAAGGACGAGTTGGCCGAGATTGTCGCCAACAACGAGTACGAGCTTCAAGTCGTTCCCCAGACCAGCTACGTCGGCTCCTGGCTGGCCTGCTTCAAGGGCTCCCTCTCCAAGGGCAACAGCCCCATTCGCCGTACCCTCCTCGGTACTGGCATGCAAATGATGCAACAATTAACTGGTATCAACTTCATCTTCTACTTCGGGCCTGTCTTCTTCAAGCAGCTGGGTACGATCAAGAACGTCTTCCTCATTTCCATGGTCACCACCCTCGTCAACGTCCTGTCGACACCTGCCTCGTTCTGGCTCATCGAGAAGTTGGGTCGTCGTGCCTTGCTTTTGGGTGGTGGCTCGGGTATGATTGTCGCTCAGTTCATCGTTGGCGCCCTTGGTGTCACCGCCGGTAAGGCCGAGGCGAACAACCCCGCGGCTGTCCAGGCCATGATTGCATTCATCTGCATCAACATATCCTTCTTCGCCGTCACCTGGGGTCCCACCGCCTGGGTCATCGTCGGTGAGGTGTTCCCTCTCCCGATCCGCTCCCGTGGTGTCGGTATCTCCACCGCGTCCAACTGGTTCTGGAACACCATCATCGGTGGTAAGTGCCCACAAATGCGTGACTTGAGCCTGAATGATGCTAACAAAACTCGCAGTCATCACCCCCTATCTCGTCGGTGACGACCAGGCCGCCCTGGGACCCAAGGTTTTCTTCCTCTGGGGTTCTCTGTGCTGCCTCAGCGTCACCTTCGCCTACTTCCTCGTGCCGGAGCTTAAGGGGCTCTCACTCGAGCAGGCAGATTTCTGCATGGCGGAAGTTACGCCCCGCAAGTCTGCTGCTTGGAAGCCATCGCACACTTTCGCTGCCGAGATGAACCTTGTCCACGACGAGAAGCCCATCGCCAACGCCACCGAGGCCCCTATTGGCGAGGACAGAGTCTAAGGAGCGTTTGGCACCAATGATACCCCCGAGCTTCCTTGATGGAACTCATAATACAACGTACTTCAGATGGTTGCAATTATCCACGAAGTAAATATCGCGTAATGCAAGGCGGTGGAGGTTAAGGCGGTAGAGCGTCGGTCTTATGCAAATCCATGATACCAGGACTCTTTTCAGATACTCGAGATGTAGATCCCATAATAAATAAGACCTTTTCGTAATCTCTGAGTCATGTCCGTTGATGTTTGCTTGTATAGTGCTGCTCAGGGGATAACTAACAGTAGTCAGCCTCTCTTGCGCTCCCGGTTCGCTGTAAGTAAAGTCATGGACTAATCGCCCACAAACGTATGAACACACGGTTGATGGCAGCAGGCTCAACCTGGCGTGATAATTGAACGCCACTGCGTATCCGGATGAGGTCCAGTAGGATCTGGCCCCATGCCGTAGAGATGCGAGTCTCTTGCTGTGGTAATGACCAAGGAAGGAGCGCGTGATATCGGGTCCGCGCAGCCCCTATTCGGTCGTGTCGTCAATGGCATTCGAGGCAGCTGGTTTGGACGAGCTGGATGGCGGCGAGGATAAAAGCCCAATAACAGTGGCGCTTGTAGCTTCCAGATGAGCGGGCGTGACGAAGAGAATTCTTGTCGCGCTTCGCCCAAAAAGATGGAAGTGCGACGGAGAGGGGCACCGCAGCCTACCAAAGTGGGAAGTCGTCGGACGGGGAGAACTCATCTGCCTCAGTTGCGAGCTCGCCATCCTCAACAATTTCATGTTGATTGTGGCCGCAATGATAGTTTTCCAGTAGTGCTATGGTTGATTTGCTGCCATTATAATGTTCCTTTTCTCTGGGTATCGAGGTTGTGACGATCAACATCGTGGCACCATGTCGTCCTGACACGTTCTTAGCATATCTCTGGAAAAGTACTCCATTTGTTCGACGGTGACATATTTAGGTCACCCCGTTGACCTGTGGTGGTTGAGTCCAGTGCGTTGATGGACAGTCGTACCAGGAGTCTTCCCAGGGCCCCGTGGGTAAGCTGCAAATACACGTCCACCTTGGCGTTTTCTGGACATGAGCAAAGGAAAACTGGCAAAGATAACGCAGAGAGGGCCTTGGCCGCTCATTTGAGAGAGATCGAGTTGGGGCCGCGCTGGTCCCGGCTGGGCCGGGCATTCGGCCCTTTAGCGGTGGATCTGGGGAACAAAGGCGGACCTGGTGGAGCAAGAAGCGGGTGCCGCAAGGAAAGCACGTCCATGGCGAGACCTTCGTATCACTGAATTCACGACGACGTGGTATGTTGGGCTTTCCTTGGCCCTTGGCGTGCTGTCCCGTTAAGTGGCGTACGTGATGCTGGCATAGACGGTCACACAATTCATGTAGCCCGGTCGACTTGGTTGGGGAACCTGTGAAACCCGGTTTGTGCAGATGCTTCGGGTTATCGCTACTTGGGGAAGGAGAAAGCGAGTTCAAGGGAAAGAGCAACCCTTGAATTAACACACCAAATAGTCAAATCACGTAGCTGCGTCCTGAAAAGCCTGAACGCATGAAGTGAAAATTGTAGTCGATATGGAAACGAGTATTGTCAAACTCCGGGGCAAATGCAACGCTCTCTAAAACCAGATGCTAAGTAACCTCTATATGCAGTTCGAGACGGGGTATCATGATGCTCTAGGCATTCCTGAACTTGTCGCCAAAAGTAAGTCTAGCACACAGGCCTTGCCTCCTCTTACTTCCTCTTGGAAATGCCACACTTCTGCAAGCACTGCTCAACACCAAGGGCAACATTCTTGGAAATGGAGTTCTTTAGCTTGTCAATATCAGCGCCATCGATCATGTTGCCAAAGACGGCAGCAGTAGCGTCGGCGTTTGAAGCAGCAAAGAGTTCCTGGGCGATCTGACCAGTGCCTGCATCCTCGGAGTTGAAGGCAGCAAAGAAGGTGGCAGGCTCGCAGTTGGGGTTCTAAAGAAAGATACATGTTAGCTTCTTGTTCTTTGAAATATCTTCTCTTAACAGTTCACCCATGTATTCCATGGGATTGAGAGAAGATAGATAACCAAGGTTCTCGCTGGCACTTACAAATTGGCTGTGAACGGATCCAGCGTAGAAGACTGTGGACTCAAACTTAGACAGTTTGTTCAGAATCTCCCGCGGCTTGTCATCCTTGTCCACAACATTGTTTTCGGGGATCATAGAGGAGACAATCGTGCCCTCGACGACCATAGCGAACTCAGTCGCACGTGGGTGCACGTGGGGTGTATTGAAACCGCAAGGTCCGAGGAAGGCCACAGCTCCGCCAATGCCGGTGTTGGTCAGGGCAGGGAAAGTCTTGCGGTTGGCTGGGACAACCTTGCCACCCTTGCTGGGACCGCCGTTCTTCTGTTTCTCCTCCTCGAAGTTGAACTTGAAGTCCTCATTGCTGGTAAGCACATTGTTAAGGGCGTCAACGCGGCTGTGGGCGAGGCAAGTTAGTGAGCCATTTAGTCTGGGAAACCAATATATTGAGTTGACACTTACGTGTCGCTGAGGAAGATCCGCTGCGTCTTTGAAAGACCGGCAAGGCCACTAGGCGCGGTAGTGGCCTTGGTGGTCGTTGAGCTTGTAGTACTGCTGGGCTGTGTGGCCGTTCCGGTGCCAGTTGCGGTGACTGTGGAATTACCGGCATCGTAGGGCGCAGCCAGGGCAGTTGAAGCAACGGCCAGGATAGTAGCAGCCAAGGCAGGAGTGAAATGCATTTTACCGGTTTATAGATGTACTTGCTGTTTAGAAGAGTATAAATGCAGCCCGAAGAGACGTGAAAAGAATCGAAGCAAAGAAAAAGACTATAGGAAAAGAATAAATGGAAAAAAGGAAATCGAGAATAAGGAAATCGTTTACTGTAGATTCTGTTCTGTTTGATAATAATCAAGGGAGATCTTCTCCATGGTGGAACTCACTTGAGTCTTATACTTTGTGCTGACTTCATCACGGCCTAAGCTGACGTTCCGGAGGGTCAAGAGCGGAAACATTTTAGGAAACGAAACATATCAGCGTGGCATGCAAAGTTGTGGCGTGGAGGCTGTGAGAGAGCCGGCAGTCTGGTTTCCGGTTAAGTAGCGTGCCAGTCAGAAAATAGCGTGGTCGTTCCACACGTTGCTGGCCGCTTTTGGTATGAATGATGATGGGGAAGCTTGCTGAGCAAAGGTGGCGGAGTCTGCGACAAAAATAACGACCGTTAGCACCCTATACCTTGTAACACCCTTTAGCCGCCCAACTCACCAATCAGAACCCAAATTGCGCTTATTTCGTGGGATCACTCGTCAAGTCCAACTGAGCTTATTCTCGTCCAGTAATTTACCTACATGCGTGAGCTGTAGACATCCTGGTGAATCAGGACACTTCTCATCCGGAAGCTGTGCCTTCCCGAGTCGACGGATCTGCTTATGAGATGAGGCCGCCAGGATGGTTTCCGCATATGGCCTGTCTGATACTCGGAGAGGACCAAAAGGTCAAGCTGGTCTCGCTCGATCTCGCAATCTATGACTGGTAACTTGCTTAGAAGAACAAAGCTCTTGAGTGATTTGCAGTCGGAGATTTGGCTAGACACTTCGCTCTGCATTCGGCTACAGTAGCATGCGGGTATGCACCCCAGAGCCGACAAGAAGATTGCTCACCGGCGCAAACTACGTTGCCATAATACCTTTCACTTAAGCTTACTGATCGGTCGAGACCCGGCCGCTTCAAACATCATCACCAACCAATGTCTTCGATGCTGGCGTAATCATACACTTTGTACCCTAGGAAAAAGTCCGGAGGCCGGCAGCTCATGTCTGTGAACATCGAACAGTCATGTGGGAAGGCTCGTATTGGGGAGGTGCAAAAGCATTTGAGACAGAACGCTGCTCCCAACATACAGGACGCCAGATTCTAATCTTGGGATATGTTTACCGCTTGATCTAGTTGGCTTTTAAACTATCCCTAATCAAGATTTGAAGAGCATTAAAGCATCCTGGAGCATACCAATATCTTGTGGATACGAGCGAAGTGTGGCGAGCGCCGAGCTTTTCATCGTTTGATATTCTTACTTGAGAGTCATTCCGCAAAGATCTGGAGAAGATAGAAAGACAGCCTCACAGAATCTATGAGATTCAATTACCGCCTAACTCACCTGTAAGCATGACATTCAGCTTGACTTTCCGTATTGTCAGGTCCCGAATCCTCCTGAGGGATCGGTGGGCACATTCCAGCACGAAGTAACCCTACCTATTTACAGCCTTGCTGGTTTCTTAAATATGGGCGTCTCGGTCATTAACAGTGGCAAGGCTTATCAAAATCTGCTGACACCGTCTTCGTATGCTCTCTTGACAACTACCGCTTCAAGTGATCATAAGTGGCAGACTAGTTGAATAGGGACACGATCTCTCGCACCACCAATTCAAAACCACCAAGGCTACATCCCTTAACACTCTAATGGTTTCCGCATGTACTGCAGAGGAAGCTGAAGTCATTGCCTCTGTACTGAAGTGCTAAATTCGAATCCTAGAACCGAGTAGGATTCCCCCAAGGGACATCCTGGATCCGACAATAGAGCCCTTGCTTCGCCTCAATTGAACAACTCATGGCGACACGTCAGTCGGGACCTTTATGGCCGTGGCTAAGTGCCATAAAGAGGAAGACATGGTCGATTACGAAATATCCTTTCATGATAAAGTCGGGCTCGGTGGGTCAACAGCCTTCTCCTGGCGTTATTCCCAAGATCACCTGCATTCAGTAGAATGGTGAGGCATTTCCGATCTACAAGCTCGACCAGCTTCACATCGGGCATCTCAGTTTGGTCATAGCGTGAACTTCTCCCACTCAGTCGATATAAGGTTTATTCTACATCGTTTTCCCCTTAGGGATAGGATACATGATTGGAGATGTTGAGGAGAACTATTTCGCATCAGTATCGGGGGGTTTGCATGGGACTCCAATCGGACGTAGTCGCCCGGCTTCGATCATTCCCACAAGGGATATATATACTCCAGCGTCGTAATCGCAGTACGAAGAAATTAAATTAACGAAAAGGGAGTTTCTAGACTTTTCAACAGGGCACCGATAATCGGAATGTATACGGATGAGTAGTAGTCCCACTCCGCTTGTGTACTGCTCGGGGTTTTTTGTAGATACGCACTCGAGTTTCACTCCTATGCAATGGCAGAGATGAAATTATAAATGACGCAGAGAGCATAGGGAAATATAGAGAGCCAGAGAGGCAGACAGGCTGAAAAGCAGACGGGTACCATCGAAAGCGCAAAGTTCAGAAACATAATTCGCGTTGAGGAGTCGAAATCCCCGACTTTCGAAGATGTAGACTGTGGCCTTTGGAAGGCAGAATGCCTTGCAAATGCAGAAGGCGAGTGATAATCAGTCACCATTATGGTCACACTTCCCGGAGAGCCAAAGCAACGGCCGTCAACACACATCGCATGTGCCAGTGGTGGGTTAAGTGAGCAAGAGCACCTAAAGACAAAGTTGTTTTCATTTCTACACAATTTGGGAGCAACCACGGAAGGATGCGTATACCAACCGTGCATATTTCGACGAAGATTTCCACTCTCAACCAAGACAATTCGCGCTACGTATAGGACAGGAATCGCATGGCTAAGCTCTGTGAAGGTCAAGGCACGTCCTTGCATTTGCGTCGAATAGCAGACGAATCACCAGCATAATTCAGACATGCTCAATACGTACACAACTCGTGTCGTCGATACTCACTTCCTATACATTTGGCAAGTCAAATTGTCATTATTGCGTGGATGGGTCATATACAGCACAAGCGGGTCCGATCTACTAACACGCCGGGGGAACGAACACAATTAGTGAGTGTAAGGAAGGAATGAATAGTGCTCCCAGATTCGTAGTGCAGTGTAACCTTGGAATTGTTGCCCACCACAATTGGCGCGTCTGACGGGTACGCGATCCTGGTGAGCACTGGATCAGCAAGACTAATTTCACAATGCATTCTTGGCGTCAGAGTGCGAGGAACCACAGGCTTGACAGGCGGCAGAAGCAGACGTTGAAGTCGACGACGCGACAATTTCGGGATGTGAGGAAGCTGCACAAGGAACAAGCATGCGTTGCAACGCGCCGTTGCGACGTGAAACGGTGGTGGAGGTGGTTGAAGTGAAAAAAGAACCTTAGGAACCCTGTTGCTGGTAGAAGCTCGAGCCGCGGCGTGGAGCTCTTCTTTCTTTTGGCTGCTGTGGAAAGTCAAGAAATAGGTAACAAACAACCTTAAATCGCCGGCCGTCACACGGTTGTCAGACGCAATCCACATGGTGTCTCACAGAGTTGCAACAAGTAGACGAAGCCATTTAGGTACTGATCACCCTAATTCAGTGATGAATATGCACAGTAAGGAAATTTGTTGATTTTGGCAGTTCTGGCACCAGGACGGCACATGCCGGTACGTAGCACCTACCGGTACAGTAGGCAATGATTCGGCGATGTTTCTTCATAGTCGCGATCCCCACAGCACGATGATCGACAGGTGATCCAATGGCGTGAACCCACTGGCAGACGGGCACGACAGGGCAGGCCTGGCACAGGCTGGGGGAAATAGCCATGTCGCCATGGGGGGTCCAGGCCTGCCAGCCAGTGGGCGGCGCCACAATCTGGCATTGGCGCCGGGGCGCTATCGGAAAACCCACGTTCCCCCGATTTTAGAGTCGGTCCGTGCAGCGCCCAAGACTTTTCTTCAGTGAATTTAATCTCGTTTGAGCATTTAGTCATTTGGCCGCGCCGCCTGATTGGCCCGCGGGCCAGGAACAGGTCAGGGAAGGCGACTTACCCAAATCTGCCCACGCCAATCACCGAGATGCTCCACCCTCAATTTGGGCCTCTGGGTCTTTTGCTGCTCGTGCCTTTGTCCAGCCTGTGCCTGTGCCTTGCCTTGCCTGGCTCCTGGCCCCTGGCCCGGCCCACGACAACATGCTTGCCCCAGCCGATCGTCTCTCCTGTCTCTTCATGGCTTCGTCAACCTTCTCCAGGTCTTGGTAGGAAACAGGCCTCTCTCGTTCTCTTTTTCCCGCTCTTTGAGCTGCCACTCGTTATCGTCTGCGACATTGCTGTTGCGCTCCGTTCGCTAGGGCACGGTAAACGCATACACCACACTCTCTTGCTACTTGCTATTTGCTATTTGCTCCCAGTCACTCTTTAGGCCCAACGCCATCCTCCTACGAACCCGTCCTGGAACGAGTCCCGACGCATGCTGGAGATTTGCACGATCGTCGCGTTGATCCCACGACCGCACCTTGCAGAGGAGACAGACTAGATCCCCATATCCAGTAAACACATCAGCCCTACGGTTATCCCATCCGTGACCTCCAGTCCGGCATCATGAAGTTTTTGGCGCAGACCGCCGTGGGCTCGGCAGCTCTCCTCTTGGCTGCCCAGCCCTGCTTGGCAAGCTTCCCGCATCGACACAACCACCTGGGCAGGAGACACAGCCATGAACACAACAACAGCATCAGAGGTGTTGCACACAAGGACCGTTCCCTCGGCACCTGTTCCTTCCCCGATGGCGAGGGTTTGGTCGCAATCACCCCGCACAAGGACAATGCCGGCTGGGCTCTCAGCCCGGATCAGTTCTGTACTTGCGGAAGCTATTGCCCATACGCTTGTCCTCCCGGCCAGGTCATGGCCCAGTGGAAGGATGGCTCGACTTACGGCACGACCGACAGAATGGTAAGTCTCATCTCGTCCGTGGTGGGAACGCACCGTGTTGACATGTAAATCCTAGGCCGGTGGTCTCTTCTGTGGTCTGGATGGCAAGGCAGTGAAGCCGTTCTCGAACAAGCCGCTTTGCGTTGATGGAACCGGCACCGTCTCGGCCGTGAACAAGGTTGGAAAGGTTGTATCCTTCTGCCAGACCGTGCTTCCCGGCAATGAGGATATCATCATTCCCACGGATGTACATGACACCCAGGTTCTCGCCGTTCCCGACCCAAGCTACTGGCAGTCCACTGCCTCCCAGTATGTATCCCGCCCTGCATATGTCAAAGTATTCATCTGACGAGCCTAGCTTCTACATCAACCCTCCTGGTGTCGACTCTGACAAGGGCTGTCACTGGGGTGATGAGTCGCAGCCAATCGGTGAGTCGGCCGATTCAATTTTCGATGCGGGATAGCAACCTAACATGTAGCAGGCAACTGGGCACCATATGTTGCTGGCGCAAACACTGACTCGTCTGGATCGACCTTTGTGAAGCTTGGTTTGAACCCAATCTGGCAGGGCAGCAGCTTGTTTGGAACGAAGCCCTCGTTCGGCATGAAGATCGAGTGCCCAAGCGGAAACTGTGTTGGTCTCCCCTGCTCGATCGACGGCAATGGCGTAACGAGCAACCTGAAGGCGACCGGCGCTGGTGACTCCGACTTCTGCGTTGTCACTGTGCCCAAAGGAAAGTCTGCCAACATTGTGGTCTACAACTTGGATGGCTCCTCAGGCAGCACGACCTCGGCCGCGCCTCCCACCACTTCGTCCAAGCCTCAACCCACGACGACCTCTACTACCCCTACTACTTCTGCAACCCCAACTACCTCGAGCACTCCTACATCGACCTCTGTGCCCTCGACTTCCTCCAAGGCTTCGTCGACATCTCATGAGAGCTCAAGCAGCAGCTACCCCCCGAGCTCCTCAAGTGCTTCGGCTTATTCCATTGGAGGTATCTTCCAGGAGAATGGAACGTCAACCTCCGCTTTCTCCTGGGTCAGTGCTTCGTCTACTCCCACCTCGGTCTCGGGTAGTGGAAGCGACAGCTCGAGTGCTGGAGCCGCATCAGCCACAGAGTCTTCAAAGAACGAGAGCTCGGCAGCTCAGGGCAACGGTGCCATCGCCGGTTTGATCGTTGCCTTCATTGCCGCCGCTTGCTTGTTGTAAGCAGCATGTTGGTGGGTTGAGGCCGGCGGCACTATTCTCTTCTTTGCACACGATTCTTTTGCATATGACTTGGTGGGCATTTTGAGCCTCGCTTCTTTTTCCGACGGGCGGGGTAAACGCATCCAGCCCCCTATTCGACTTAGATAACCTTTCTCCCCCCCTGCCGCCGGCCTTTGCAATCACTTCGGACAGGCGTCCCGAGCTTGGGAGCTCATTTGAGCTTTCGATGTTGGTCGCACCCGACTACTTAGCACATTATTGTTTATTGTCTACTCCTAAAACTTAGTGCAACTCATGAGAGCATTGCATTTCTTTGGATATTCTTCGTGGGCAGGACAAGGTCCTGTTCCATATAGGTTTTTGTTTCGACACTATACCCAACTTTTTCTCATAGCAAGGCGCGCGGTGGCTTGGAGACTTTTTCTGGCCTTTGCTTCTTGGCCACTTTTTTCCCCGCGGGGATTTACTACTTTTTTCTTGGGAGGAATGGAAGCGGAACACGGGACATATCTTTTCACTATACCAATATACGACACGATCAAGACTCAAGACGAGACGATACTTTTGGCGCAGGACCAGGGGTCCTACGGACCGGGAAAAGAAAAACCATCTGGGGCTTGGGTGTTACTACAGGTAGACTCTGTACGGGCGTTGCATCACAGCGCATACCATTCTTAGAAGAACTTTCCTGTCTTCGTTCCGTGCCAGCCGAAATGCCATCGGCTGGCATGCTTATTTGAATATCAAGTATCACAAGGACATGATTATCGGTCAACTTATATGCTTCTGTGAAATCTCTCCTGGATGCTCTGACGGCAGACCGTGCATATCTTGGGTATCATTTGACTTATCATGGATGTGTTCAATATAAACGCTTCCTAGTAGTCCCTTGGGCGCGCGCGGGATGAGGTCAGCCCTTCACCCAACCAGGCCAGGGACCTCGTCATCTCCACCCCCAATCACTTCTGAAACGTTCGGCCACCCGGCCGCCACGGGGCTTCCCTTCTTCGCGGCGCCCATGATGGCGAAGCGGCCCAGCGAGTGCGCGACGTACCCGTGCAGCAGCCCCTGCGCCACCAGCGACGCCACCACGCCCTCCACGTGCTCCGCGGTGATGGGCATGTTGCCCCATACCAGCCCGTCGTTGGGCCGAAGCTTCTTGGCGCCACCGGGCGGCGCCACCAGCGTGCTGTCAGCGGTTCCCGGCCCTCCGTTGCTGGCCACGGCCTTCATGAAGATGGCGTTGACGTGGGGCGGCCGCGACCGCGGGCCCGCATCCGCCGGCACGTAGCCCTCCAGCCGCTTCTGGATGTACGTTGCCGCCACGACCAGGTGGGCGAGGTCCAGCGTCGCGGCTTTCTGGTTCGGCTTGTCCGAGTCCATCGGCGGCGCGACGTAGGTGAGCAGGAAGATGCGCCTGCTGAGCGACCGCCACAGCAGCGGCCGTAGCCGGAAGGTGAGGGTCAGCAGGAGGCCTTTCCGGAGAAGCCACTTCTCGTGCGTCTCGAGTGTGGACTGGAAGAGAAGGTAGTTGCCGGTGCGGATGGCGAGGGCGAACTGCGAGAAGATCGGCGATAGACCCTCGGCCTCTGGCCTTTGAAGGAGGGCCGTCGAGGGCAGGTAGCCCAGCAGCATCTTGCAGGGAATGAGGTACGTCAGGATGAGTTTGCGATGGGTCTGGAAGGCTGGTGGCGTCTGGAGGTAGGCCTGCTCCAAGCACTGAGCCGCGCGGCTGAAGTGGCTGTTGATGAAATGGAAGCGGCCAAGATAGTATAGATATGTCACTCGTTGAGACGCTGGGTAGTATGACAGCGACGGTGATTTGGCGGATATGTTTGTGAAGATTGTCTTTGCGAGATGAGTTTTGCGGCACTATACCCCCCAAGTCAGTTCAAGCACTTCCTAGGCGCGCCCGCGCGCAGACTTACAGCAAAGAGCAGTTTGAGCGTGACGTTGGCGAACGTGTACACGCCGACCTTTTTGCCCTCCGGCGGTTGACTCCTATCGCTCGTTCGATCTGTAAGGCATGCGGTGAAGACCCTCTGCATTACCTCGGCCGTCTTGTCGATAATCGACTTCTGTTCTTCGTCGCCTCCGGACGTGTCAATCGTTTGGATCTTTCTGGTAAGATCAGGACGCTTGTTAAGCGTCATCGAGAGCTTTGATAGAGACCCGCAGAGTGCCACACTCGTCTGGAGCATCATTGTGCCGTACAACGGGTGGTTCAACGCCGTTGTACACGAACTGGACTCATGGTCAGCAATTAACCACAGCACTCCAGATTGGTTGCTACTAACTTGGTCAACCCCATAAGCAACTCATGAGCGACCAACAGGTCGTCAAAATCTACGTCCCTCCAGTACTTCAGATAGTCTTCCATGAAGGCGACAAGGCCCCTCCATGCGGTGCCCTGATCTGCCGGCACATCATCGTCTTCGGGGAGGTGCTTCTCAACGAGCTTGTCGATTGCAGCGACGCCGCGAAGCTCCTTGGCCAGATTGTGATAGATGTCTGGCACGGGAGGTTCCACCAGGAGCCATTCGCGCAGTTTCTGCGCATTCCGCTCCTTGACGAAACCCCGTATGCTGGAGAGGAACTGCGTCGTCAACGCCATGGCGACATGAGAAGGGGCGGCGGTGCCCGATTGGAGCTCTCCAAGGAGAATGTTGTATACTCGATTGCCAAACACGTGCCGCTACGGTGCAAGGTAGGACCCACAACGTTGCTGCTTTGGACCTCGCTCGCTATAAAATGTGCCCGGCTTGTTCCCCGTTGGTTGTGTTCGCCAGAGCCAGCATTGTCGTCCACTGGCCGCAAGGCTGATCGACTGTAGTGGGGCGCGGCTGATAGTTAGTGGAACACCTCACCCCAGCAAGCACTTAGGTACACTTCGATTTATCGATCTGCTACCACGGACGTTCAAGGCGAGGGGGGTTTTGTTGCTTCTTCTCGTTGGCACAATAGGTCCTCTGTGTCCTAAGGATTCAAGTCCAATTATCGCTCCACGGGATTGCACGGTTTCCACGCATGGGAAGATGCCCGCAAGAAGACGAGGTGTCACGCAGTATGTGGGACACGGACCATTGGTTTGGTGGCCCGAGGGACATCGTCTTTTAGTTCATGTCGCCCGGGGGCCAGACAATCAACACACGAGCAACATCAGCATCAATACACATATACTGTGATCAACACTTTGGAGGATTTGGGCGTCTTCTTCAATTATGGAACGATCACGCCACATCCATTATCGCACCCCAGACTCACAGGACTGGCAATCCACATCAGCCTGGGCCCGGTGGTATTTCGGACCTGAACATGGCCAATCTCTAGCAAGGCACAAACATTTTCCACCGAAATGATGTTTCATAGCGACGTCGGACCCTTTGAAGAGCCTCAAAGGGGTCTTACCCGCCGTGCCAAGACCTGATAAACCACTTGCAAGCGTCATGTTCATCGTCTCGCCATTGCGAGCTGTTATCGGGCGTCGAAGCTGACCCACTCCAGCTAAAGTCCTTCAGGAGGGCTCGAGATCTCGCGACGCGAGCCATGGACGCGAGGAAGGCAGAGCAGTATCATTCACCCTCTGTCTTCGCTTCCATGAATACTCTATCCTATCAGAGCAAAAGTCACAACCAGACTTCAATCATGCCATGCCAGTACCCTCTCCATCTAACCCGAGTCTTGTTGCTGCGGGAGACAGATCTTATTTATCTTCTAGCAAGTGGACTTTGGGCCTACTTCGAGGCCGAAGGTGGATCCCTGAAGTGTCCCCAGTTTTCCGGGCCTCAAGCCTCAACTCGGCCCTGAATCTTGGATACCGAACACCGAGTCCAATCCTCCTTGCCACGGCCGACTCAAGCGTAGGGCGGAACACTCCCGTAACTGTGGCTAGAGCTGCTGCTAGCGTTCCGTTTCACGTTTCTAGTCTCCACTTCCCGCTATATCGCGTCTTCACCACATGGCCGGAGCTCTAAGCCCACATCACTTTGTCGTGAGTGACAGGTGGGTCTTCGCTGGTAGCGAGCTGGACGTATCGCGGGAATATACGTACCATTTGTTTTCAAAGGTCTGTTTGCAACGGTAAGTCATTTCATATAAATACAGGAGGCTCCTGTGCGTCAAGTTGGTCACGGTGGATACTGTCTGGTGTTGTTGTCTCTTATCATCCTTGGGCAAGTCTCCAAGCTCTTTTCTTCGTTGCTATATCCTTCTCTCTACTTGAGGCCTACTACCTTTTCCCTTTCGATGGCGGACACACAGGCGAGTGGTTCTCAAACCACTCTGCACGAAACACACGATGATGTCGGGAATCAAGACATGGGCAAGCAGCAGCATAGGGACCCGGACCTCGACGTCAACCTCCCGTACCTGACGCTGAGCGCGAGAGCGAACATGAACGAGTACACAACGGAAACCCAGGGCGGAGAAATACCAGCGACTGCTCTTGGAAACGAGAAGGTGCAATACAAGCTGGTGACTTTCGTGAAAGACGACCCGGAGAACCCAAAGAACTGGAGCAAGGGTTACAAGTGGTACTGCACAATGGTCGTTGCAATAACTTGCTTCGTTGTTGCCTTTGCCTCCGCCGTTATTACTGCAGATGTTGCCGCACCTGCCAAGGAACTTGGTGTCAGCGAAGAGGTTTCCCTGCTCGCCATCAGCTTGTTTGTCATTGGATTTGGCGTGGGACCTATGGTCTTTGCGCCTCTTTCCGAGGTCTATGGACGACGTATCATCTACGGATCGACTTTGCTCATTGCCGTCATATTCATCATTCCATGTGCGGTCGCACCCAACATTGCTACCCTCCTGGTCTGCCGTGCCATCGACGGCATTGCCTTTTCGGCACCTATGACGTTAGTAGGTGGCACGCTTGCGGATCTATGGAAGAACGAGGAGAGAGGTGTCCCAATGGCAGCCTTTTCTGCGGCGCCCTTCATTGGCCCTGCCATCGGGCCCCTTGTGGGAGGCTGGCTGTCTATGGCCAAGGGATGGAGATGGCTGTATTGGATTCAGCTCATCTTAGCCGGAGCTGTCTGGATTCTGATTACTTTCACTGTGCCCGAGACCTATGCTCCAACTATCCTTAAGCGTCGTGCTGAGAAGATGAGAAAGCAATCCGGCGAGCCTGGTCACGTCACTGAGCAAGAACTCGACAAACGCCCTCTCAGCCAACGGATGCGCTTGTTCCTGCTCCGCCCCTTCCAGCTTCTCTTCCAAGAGCTCATCGTGTTCTTGATCAGCATCTATATGTCAGTCCTGTACGGACTGCTATACATGTTTTTCATCGCCTACCCGATCATTTTCCAGGAAGGCAAAGGCTACTCCGCAGGAATCACGGGGTTGATGTTCATTCCTGTTGCTGTTGGAGTTGTCCTCTCGGCATGCTGTTCTCCGTTCGTGAACAAGCATTACCTGACTTTGGTTCGCAAGCACAACGGCAAACCGCCCGCCGAGTGCCGCCTCATTCCCATGATGATCAGCTGCTGGTTTATTCCCATTGGACTTTTCATCTTCGCCTGGTCCTCCTACAAGGAACTCAGCTGGGTTGGACCGGCTCTGGGAGGCTTTCCCGTCGGCTTCGGTTTCATCTTCCTCTACAACAGCGCCAACAACTACCTCGTCGACTCGTACCAACACCTTGCCGCCTCCGCTCTCGCGGCCAAGACCTGCATCCGCAGCTTCTGGGGCGCTGCCGTCGTGCTCTTTACCATCCAGATGTATCACCGCCTGGGCGACCAATGGGCGAGCACCCTGCTTGCCTTCATCAGTCTGGCCTGCTGCGCCATTCCCTTCTGCTTCTGGAAGTGGGGCGCCCGCATTCGTGCACACAGCAAGTACGCATACGCCGGTGATGATGAGGAGAACACTGTGCCGGCTGCCAACCCAGCAGATGTGGAAAAGGGACAGGCGCCGGCTCCTCAGGCCGGTGCGCACTAAACGCCGAGTCGACCAGAAAACCCACCAGTGCCGCCATTACACGAAGTGCGGAACTGCATTACTCGAAGTCACAGGGTTTGTCTGAGTCAGAACCAAACCAAGTTACTGGTTCAACTCAACCAGATGCTCATGCAATCACCCATACAATGCGGGACCGAACACCTTGCGGTGACAAAGCGCGATCCAAATTAAGACTCAAGTTGAGATAAACTCGACTAGAAGAGGATATAGAGCACTGTACGTGCACATAAAGACGATAGATTTACAAGACATTAGAACGAGATACCCTGGAGTACCATAGAGAGAGGATGCTTGATTATAGATACACCACAAATAGATTTTATATAATGATCAGAAAGAAGATGAAAACAAGTCCACGAGTGTATGAAGGCCAAGGCCTCTTGCGGTGAGAGCATCATCGACGTTGTTAATTTCATGGGAATTCTGGGAGGGCGAATACCCTTGAAGTATTTGGAACCACTGAGACCTTGGCGGATAATATGGACGCTAGAGATGCAATCGGAACAATGATCACAATGCAGATGAGAACATTCGGGTTACTACTGACGAAAGTGGGCGCAGACTTTTGCATTGAACAGCCTATCATTTCTCGGGTATCAGATAGACTCACACCATCATACAGACTCGACACGCTGTACCACCAGCGCCGTCGCAGCACCACCTCCGTTGCAAATGGCAGCAACACCGTACTCGCCGGGCTTGAGTTGGTGAAGCAGCGTGGTCAAGATACGCGAGCCAGAGCTACCCAAGGCGTGGCCTAGCGAAATGGCACCTCCCAAGGGGTTGACCCGAGCATTTTCCAGGCCGAGGATCTGTATAGTTATTAGTCAAACCTCTTCAGGGCTCATGGGCTATAGTAGTAGCTGCATACCTTCTCGTTGGCCTTGATGACGGCGGCGAACGCCTCGTTGAACTCCCATACTGCAACCTGGTCCTTGGTAATGCCTGCGCGCTCCAAAGCGATGGGCACGGCCTTGGCCGGAGCGACCGGGAAGTCAACAGGGTTGATAGCCGCATCGGCAGAACCGCAGATTCTCGCCAGAACCCTCGACCCGGCGCCGTACTGCTGCGCAATGGCCTTGCTGCCCAGAACCAGAGCACTGGCGCCGTCGTTCAGAGTCGAGGAGTTGGCAGCCGTTACGGTGCCGGTACCGTCGCGGATGAACGCGGGTTTTAGTGTGGGCACCTTTTCCAGCTTGACGTCGAGGTAGCCCTCGTCGGTATCAATGATGGTGTCGCCCTTCCTGCCCTTGACGGTCACAGGTACAATTTCATCCGCAAACGCCTTATCCTTCCAGGCGGCTTGTGCCCGCTGGTACGACTGGATCGCATATTCGTCCTGCATCTCACGAGTGATCTCGTGCTTCTTGGCCGTCGTCTCGGCGCAGATACCCATGTGGAACTGGTCGTAGACGTCGGTCAAGCCGTCCTTGAGGAGTCCATCCTCCATCTTGATGTGGCCAAAGGGTGGCAGGCTGCTCGCTCGCGGGACATAGTAGGGTACTTGTGACATGTTTTCCATTCCACCTGCAATCTGGGCCTCGCTCAGGCCGAGCTGGATGTTCTGTGCGGCGAGGATGACGGATTTGAGACCCGATGCGCATACTTTGTTAATGGTGATGGCCTCTACGGTGGACGGAAGGCCGGCAAAGATTACCGCTTGCCTGGCCGGGGCCTGCCCGACGTTCCCTTGTAACACATTCCCCATGTACACATCCGTAATCTTCTCGACTGGGACTTTGGACTTTTCGAGGGCGGACTTGATCGCCACGGCACCAAGCTTGGGCGCCGATACCGACAGGAAAGAGCCATTGAACTGTGCATTGGTTACATATGAGATCCTGTGCCTACAGGGAGATAGGTCTGACGTACCTTTGCCGTCGGTGTCCTCGAAGCACTCAGAATATACGCATCTCGGATTTCCTGCCTCAGAGCTGCCTGTGCTGAGAAGTGGCGTGCCGAGCAATGCCGAGGCCCATTGCGCAGGGCCGCCCGGGCAGCTGGTCTTGCGAGTTGTAGAACCATTGTCGTGTCTCCTGTGGGGCAAAAGCAATGGCAACACGTTTGACAGATAGCTGCAACAAACAACACGAGATGAGCAGGGTGAAAGAAAAGAGGCGACAGAAGAGAAGAGGAAGAATGATGCGGTTGATTCCGGTTCCGTAGAGCTTCCATGTTCCCCGGCAACTCGCAGCGTTCCCGCCTCCACCGGCTAGACGCGGGGGGGTAGCGGCCCCGCGGTTCGACGGTGCTCGTGGACCTAACTGAACTCGGGCAGGTCTTTCGTCACTGGCACATGCATGGCGGGCCATAGGGGCAGTTCTCAGCAGGCCCCAGGCCGCCCTGAGTGGCAGAGCGTCGCAGAGGAGCGGGAGGAGCCCAGCCTGGCCTGCCTGCCACCCTGGCGCACGTGGGATTCGCGTCTCGGCGTCGCACAACCCCACGGAGAAGCGCGGAACAGCGCTAAGAGCTTACCGAGCAAGCGAACGTGCCGGGGTTAAAGTGCGCTGGAGGACTTCACCAACGCCCTATCGTGGTACACCTTGGTTGGTGGCCGTCGGGCGGGAGGAAGAGGCTCGTTGCGAATGAAGGTTGTCACTTGCGCTACCATGATTATACTTTGGTATCGTTGAGGCTACCCGAGACATACATAACTGCGTGGGCCGTGCTGGGTATCCAAGGACCTACTGAGTGGTTGTGCATGTGTCCGTCTGGAGTTGTAATCTCGCCTTCTTGATGCCATTCCCTCACGGTGTGATCGCTGGTGATAAAGATGATGCTGCCAAGCCCACATGGCGGGCGTCTGCTAATTTCAGCAGGCCGGTCAACCCAGTAGGGCTTCAGCGCTTCAGGGCTCATCTGCGGCCCTGGTCGCCTTGTCCACCCACCCGACGCCAGCTTGGATGCTGTGACGAGTCTCTCTTGCTTTTCTCATGTTGTGCAGCACCAAGGCTGCCGGGCATGGTTTGGGGTGATTAGCGCAGGGTTTATTGGATGCAGGGCTTTTTCTCAATCTGCAGTTCGGGGTTCTGAAATTAGGATGCCACATGGACGACGAGGAAGCTGGTGGAGGTGTCCGACCAGCCCGGCCTGACGATGCCCACTTGGGAATCAGATGGATCCTCGGAGGCTCGGCCTGCCAGCTTGTGGCCCTGTGCAGCGTGGTGCGCCGTGAAGATCTTGCTTTTGATGGATCTCCAGCAGATATTGGCTAGATGGCTTGAGGGCTGGCTGGCTGGCCTGGCTGGGGCCTGCCAATGTCAGATCACCTTTGCGGTTTCGAGGGCATAAAACAATGCACTAGTCAATGTGACCCTAGAAGGGCGGCACAGGGCGACAACAGCACTATTGGCCCAGACTGTGGTAGCCTGACTTTCCGATATAATAACCAAGCGAATGCGCTTCGTCGCCAAACTCTGCCTGCCCGGATAGCCTCTGCATCGCCCGAGACTCGAGGGGCGAACCCCTACTCTCCTTTTTTTGTCGTTTCCTTCGCGGCGTCATGGTGAATGGCGATAGCGTCCAAGCCCGAATGGACCAGCAAACTCTGGATGCGGGACCAGGAGGCGCGGAGCTTCACCTGGACCCTCGCCGAGACAGCGGCATCTCGGCCATCTCATATCGGTCCAACTCGTAAGAATCCCGCAGCGACACTCACCTCTCGCGAAAGCCCAGTCAGATGTTGACCAACCAGTAGGACTCTGACCGAGTCGGTGCAAAGTGACAACCCTGTTTTTCGCTTTGTCGAGGAGAACGGGAGGACCTACCACTCGTACAAAGAAGGACGTACGTTGCAGCCCTACGGCCATGTTGTATCACGTTACTAAAGATTGCCGCATGCACAGGCTATCCCCTACCCAACGATGCCGTGAGTCATGTGCTGCAGCAGATGTCTGATACTACAGTATACTGATGTCCAACACTCAGCGGGAGCAAGGAAGGTCGAGTAAGTCGCTGGCCGCAATCTGGTGAGACTGCTTCAACGGCGCTTACATATCCGCAGCGGTTGAGCATCACTTATGGCGCCTGACGTTGAGAGACAAGCTGTATCTGGCACCGATAAACCGACTCAACCATGTACTAGACATCGGGACCGGCACAGGTGAGCCGCACTCCGAGTCACACTTGCGACAGCAGACAGCTTACGATTTCATCTTCTGTCAGGTTTATGGGCTTTTGAACTCGGTATGGCTGTGACTCGCAACCCCCACGCCCGCCGGTAAATCGGGTTTGCTGACCTGCGTAGCCGTTAGATTCCCCAACGCCCGGGTGATTGGGACTGATCTCAGTCCAATTCAACCGCAGTAGTAAGTCGACCATGTTTGGGCTGGCACAGCTTGAGAAATAGAGTTGAGCAAGATGGATATAGGGGCTGCGCTGATTGAACGACATGATGCAGCATTCCAACCAATTGTCAGTTCGAGATCGATGATGCCGAAGATGAATGGCTCTATCGGCAGAAGTTTGATCTGATTCACAGCCGAGCAAATGTTTTCTCTTTCCAATCCCCAGAGACGGTCATCACGAGCGCCTACTCCGCACTTGCCTCCAACGGCTGGCTGGAGTTCAAAGATTTTGTGTTCCCATTCCGCTGCGACGACAACAGCTGGAATGGAACGGCCTTGCAAACGTGGAACCGGCTACTCGAGGACTGTATCGTTCGCAGCGGAAGACGACTGTATGTGGAGGAATACGCTCAGATGTTCCACAACGTCGGGTTAGTCAACGTCACGGAAAGACTGTTTATATGGCCTATCAGCCCCTGGCCTCAGGGGCCTCGGAACGAACATCTCAGAGAACTCGGCCGCTGGACCCGAAAAAACCTGCTGGAAGGGCTGGAGTCTCTGAGCCTCATGCTGTTGACCAAGTTTGGTGGAATGAGCAAGGAGGAAGTGCTGCAGCTGGTGCAGAATGCCAAAGCGGACTTCTGGGACACCAAGAACCATGTGTACGTTCAGATGTAAGTCAAACGCCCCTGGAAGCCCCTGGCTCCGTTCTCCTATAGTCTTGAGACGGGAACTGATGGCCAACAACCTATAGAGTTGTGAGCATGGGGCAGAAACCGTGATGATGGGTTTGTATGAATATGTCGTAGGTGCGCTAGGTCATAGTTGGCTTGATGGATTACCGGATACCCTGGCGATGCGATTCACGTCCTTTTCAACTTGGGACACTGGCAGTTGCGGCGTTCTCGGTCACTGGGAATCTCTAGGTTGCATTGTTATGGATTTCTTGCTTTTGTCAGTTTTATATATTAAGCAAACTCGGCTAGCTTCGCCGAGCACCGTAATAAGAGCAAGGGTATATTTCGAGGATGAAGTGCTCCAGTCTGCAACCGCTCCATGGAGTGCATTGTGCGCAGGTGCTGCTGCAATGTGCTTTTTAAGTCGACGGCACTTGATGGCCCAGGTGCATTTGGGGGAATGCATCACGGATGGGGCCCCTTGAATCGCTGTCGGCGGGGGCTTCAGCTTATCAAATCGCCCGAAGCCCGCTTTCGCCCCCCTCCAAAGCTGGGCCTCGCTCACCTCCTACCCTTTGATTAAACCAGCACAGCCATTGCATTCCTCATCATTCACCTGAGTGGCACCAGCACTCTCAAAAGTCATTCTCGAGCTTCTGACGGGTTAGAGGAGCATCCACACCCGCTAGGACCCCACGGAAACGATCTTGCCGGCACTGTATCGCCCACAGCGACAGCGCCATCACCATGTCTACCGCCGCTCGCCGCCGCTTGATGCGTGACTTCAAGGTACGAAGTTCGCCATGGGCTCTGCCGACCGATAATCAAGGCTTCGCATACTGACCCGGAAACCCCAGCGCATGCAAACCGATCCTCCCGCCGGCGTATCAGCTTCCCCTGTTCCCGATAATGTCATGACCTGGTATGCTTTGGCGTCGAGTTCCCGCAGACCGCCGCGAAGCAGCTCCGAGTACTGATACGCGGACCGCGCACAGGAACGCCGTGATAATAGGCCCTGCCGACACGCCCTTTGAGGACGGAACCTTCAGGCTTGTCATGCATTTCGAGGAGCAGTACCCTAATAAGCCGCCTGCCGTCAAGTTCATCAGCCAGATGTTCCACCCAAACGTCTACGCCACCGGCGAGCTCTGTCTCGATATCCTCCAGAACCGATGGAGTCCCACATACGACGTTGCCGCCGTGCTGACGAGCATCCAGAGGTACATCACACGTCTCTGAATTCTACATGTACATTCCTAGTTACGAGGAGCACGTACTGACATGAACTCGGTCTAGTTTGCTTAACGATCCCAACACTGGCTCGCCCGCGAACGTGGAAGCATCCAACCTGTACAAGGATAACCGAAAGGAATACACGAAGCGAGTGCGGGAGACGGTGGAAAAAAGCTGGGAGGATTAGGAGCGACGAGCCTTCTCTTGCGGTGCTTGGTCCGGGTTCGTCTCGCCCAAGTCCGCTTGAACAGAGAGCGCTGCCTCGAACGTATAGAATGGGTGAATACCACGACCCTGTCACGAGGCACGCTGATGGATGGATGGGCGTTTAGTCTTGGTGCGACTACAGTACAACTTCTACGACCATGGGATGCGGGGATAGGCGTTAGGGCGAGATTTCGGTCATGGATCGTGTTCTTTTCTCTCGTGGCATGGACGTAGTCATGGATCATTTATACCTGGCCATGATACGGTTGAGAGACACATGATCAATAGTTGTGCTTTTATTTTCCGGTTCAAAGGGGCTTCGCATAGCTGATGGCGTTTAATTCATCGATTCCCAACTGCATAGCGAGAGTTGACTTGAATGAAAGTGGGTTCTCGTCGAGGCGAGGCATAGTCAAGGTGTTTTATGACCTGCGGAGCCGGCAAGTGATTGGCCACCGCTGAGCAATGCAAACAAAGGACGTTGGCCGTTGGGGCGCAACTCTGATGATTGATGCGCATGGCAGAACTCGAGGGACAGTGAGGAGGAATCCGTGGCAGTGGAGCCAGCCGTTGCCATGTGCAGACTGGCAGGCGGGCAGGCTGGCAGACTGGCCTGGGCGCCGGCAGGTTTAACTTGCTATGGTACTAGGTCTGGTACCATAGCACCGCGCTGCGGGCCTGTTCCCTGCGCACTCAAGCCGCTGGATGGTTCACGTTCCTGATTGCTGACAGGCTCCCGTCATGCCGAGTCACCGCATGCATGTCCTCCGTGTCAGTCCAGCAGCGGCATTGATGCACCAAATTGCCAGTCGCATGCGCCATCTCGTGGAAGCTTGTCCCAATCTAAACGGGGTGGCCCCCTCGGCCCTCTGATTCGCTCCCCTGCGTGCTGCCACCCACTCGGTCTGTCGTTGGCCCCCCTTATCGATTCCCAGCAGGTCCCCTACTGCACCACACCAGCCCGCCTCAGGCACACTGCGCGCCGAAGACACCCCACCCCAGCCCAGTGACTCCCCCCTAACTTAGCACCAGCTGTAGCCCGTAGGCGCCCCCCCTAGCAAGCCTAGATGTCAAACACAGGGCAGCCCGCTCAACCCTGTCCAGTTTCTCCGACCGCCTGCGAGTCCCTCAAAGGCCAACACCCCCAAACCCAAACCCACTTTGAGACGCGACTTTTGACAGAAAAGTCAACAACCTGCAGCCGCACACCACGGACGCCCAGCTGTATGCCGTATGACCTCCTCGCCGGTGTGTCGGCTGAGTCGGGTCTAGAAATCCTGCTCTCTTTGACCTCCCCTGCTGCTGCCGCATGCAGCCCTGATATGAGATCGTCGTCCTCGTCCCGCCGCCCTGCATCATAACCTTAAGCCCGCCCGCCCGCCCGCCCGCGTTGCTTGCTGCTCCTGCTCCTGTACCCCCAAACCCCCCCGGTGCCCTACACAGGTCGGTCGACACGTCCGCCAACATGTCGGGCGCAAACACCATCAAGGTCGTCGCCCGGTTTAGGCCCCAGAACAAGGTCGAGCTCGGCTCCGGCGGCCAGCCGATCGTGTCCTTCGATGGCGACGACACCTGTAGCCTCAACGTACGTACTCCGCCTGCCCGCTCGGCGGCTCCCTGCCGTCATGCACGCCTTACTGACGCTTCGCTCTCCAGTCCGCCGAGGCATCGGGCTCCTTCACCTTCGACCGCGTGTTTGGCATGGACACCAAACAAGCAGACATCTTTGACTACTCCATCAGGTCGACCGTGGACGACATCCTCAACGGTTACAATGGAACCGTCTTCGCATACGGCCAGACCGGTGCCGGAAAGTCGTATACCATGATGGGAACGAGCATAGAAGACGATATGGGCAAGGGTGTCACGCCGCGTATTGTGGAGCAGATCTTCAGCAGCATCATGTCGAGTCCCGCCAATATTGAGTACACCGTACGAGTCAGTTATATGGAAATCTACATGGAGCGCATTCGCGATCTGCTCCAGCCGCAGAACGACAACCTGCCCGTGCACGAGGAGAAGAATAGGGGTGTCTACGTCAAGGGCCTCCTCGAGCTCTACGTCTCCAGTGTGCAGGAGGTCTTCGAGGTCATGACCAGGGGAGGGAATGCCCGTGCTGTGGCCGCCACCAACATGAACCAGGAGTCGTCGCGCTCACACTCCATCTTCGTCATCACCATCACACAGAAGAACGTCGAGACCGGCTCGGCCAAGAGCGGCCAGCTCTTCCTGGTCGATTTGGCTGGTAGCGAGAAGGTGGGCAAGACCGGCGCCAGTGGCCAGACTTTGGAGGAGGCCAAGAAGATCAACAAGAGTTTGAGTGCCCTGGGCATGGTCATCAACGCCCTGACCGATGGGAAATCCTCTCACATTCCCTACCGAGATTCCAAATTGACCCGTATCTTACAAGAGTCGCTCGGAGGTAACAGCAGGACCACGCTCATCATCAACTGCTCGCCCAGTAGTTACAACGATGCTGAAACCCTGAGTACCCTCCGCTTTGGTATGCGTGCCAAGTCGATCAAGAACAAGGCCAAGGTCAACGCCGAACTCAGCCCGGCCGAGCTCAAGGCTATGCTCAAGAAATCGCAACTTTCCATCGCGAACTACGAGAACTGGGTTGCCACTGCCGATGGCGAGCTTCAGCTGTGGCGTGCTGGTGAGAGCGTGCCTAAGGAAAGGTGGACGCCGGCGCCCTCTGTCGACGGCTTGGCCTCTGCCAAGCCTGACACGAAGGCACCAGCACGACCTTCCACGCCATCCAGACTCATTCCCGAAAGCCGCGCTGAAACTCCCGCACTCACCGAACGTGCTGGCACTCCTAGTATACCTCTGGATAAGGACGAGAGGGAGGAGTTCCTCCGGAGGGAGAACGAGCTTCAGGATCAGCTGGCCGAGAAGGAGTCCGCCGTCGCAGCCGCCGAGAAGAACTGGGCCGAGTCCAAGGAGGAGCTTGCGTTCATCAAGGAGCACGACAGCAAAGTCGGAAAGGAGAATGAAAAGCTCACAACCGAGGTCAATGAGGCCAAGATGCAGCTGGAGCGCCTGACGTTCGAGAGCAAGGAGGCTCAAATTACCATGGATGCTCTCAAGGAGGCAAACTCCGAACTCACGACGGAACTGGACGAGGTGAAACAGCAATTGCTAGACGTCAAGATGAGCGCCAAGGAGACGAGCGCTGTTCTGGATGAGAAGGAGAAGCGCAAGGCGGAGAAGATGGCCAAGATGATGGCTGGTTTCGATCTGGGCGGGGATGTCTTTAGCGAGAACGAGCAGGCCATCGCCCACGCTATCCAGCAGGTCGAGGCGTTCCATGAGCAAAGCTCGTCGGGCGACGTCATCCTGCCGGACGACCTACAAGATCTCAAGGCTAGGCTTCTGGAAACCCAAGGCATCGTCCGCCAGGCCGAGCTTTCGCTGTACAGTGGTGTGTCAAGCGACTCGGAGGCCCGCCGCAGGGTAGAGCTTGAGCACCGTCTGGAAGCGCTGCAGCAGGAGTACGAGGATCTGCTCACCCAGAATCTCGCGGAGACCGATGTCGAAGAAATCAAGGGTCGTCTACGGGATGCCTATGCCAGCAAGCAGACTACACAGCTCCAGCTTGTAGATGAGCTCAAGGCCGATGTTGCCCAGAAGGCTGCAGAGAATGCCCGGATGAAAACGTTGATTGAGGATCTACAGAACCGCGTCAAGTCTGGTGCAGCAACCAACCCTGGTCTCGCCAACGGCAAGACGATCCAGCAACAGATCGCCGAGTTCGACGTTATGAAGAAGAGCTTGATGCGCGACTTGCAAAACAGGTGTGAGCGTGTGGTCGAACTCGAGATCAGCCTCGACGAGACCCGCGAGCAGTACAACAATGTCCTGCGATCGTCCAACAACCGTGCTCAGCAGAAGAAGATGGCCTTCCTCGAGCGCAACCTCGAGCAGTTGACGCAGGTCCAGCGCCAGCTGGTTGAGCAGAATGGATCCCTCAAGAAGGAGGTCGCCATTGCAGAGCGGAAGCTGATTGCAAGAAACGAGCGCATCCAAAGCTTGGAGAGCTTGTTGCAAGACAGCCAAGAGAAGCTCACAGCCGCAAACCACAGGTATGTACCCCTGAACCCTACTGGTAGCGAATATGTCACTAAACAAAGCTCTAGATTCGAGTCACAATTGACTGCCGTCAAGGAGCGTCTCGAAGCCGCCAAGGCGGGATCTACCCGCGGTCTGAACTCATCGGCTGGAAACGGTGGCTTCAGCTTCGGTAGCCGTATCGCAAAGCCTCTGCGTGGCGGCGGTGACGCTGCCCCCGCCCAGGTCCCCACCATTGCGAACCTACAGAACGAAGGCAGCGCAGGTAAGAGAAGCAGCTGGTTCTTCAACAAGTCGTAGGTAGACGAGCCTAGTCATGTCAAGGAAGAACCGGTCTGGCACGAGGAGGACGCGCAGGCCGTGCAGAGCCGGTGGGCGCGATAAGGGATCGCCATATGCTACTGCCTGCATTGCGGTGCCTTGGGCGGACTAGACTAAGCGTGTTACGTCCGCACATCTCTGGCGACGGATGGGGAATGCTTATCCCCAATGTCACTGACGGTTTACCCCCCTATCTGGTTTATGAGAACTACAACAGGCAATGGTTCGGGCAACGTTCACTGCGACTTCTTTCGCAAGATCATAGACGGCGAGATGACGGTTTGGAATATGCCGGGAGTTTTACGCAGCAAGATAGAAATACCCCCTGGTAGACCCTGAGGTTTTTATTTTCCGTACGGGTCTGAAGACTATGAGACATGCGATATGCCTTACTCTTACTCTATTTCTTGTCTCCCTTTCCTCCTGGTTATAGGCACTTGAAACTGTCTACATGCATGGTATGGGAGTCGGTGGCACGTATCCGTCATGATTTGTCGCGTTTTATGTGTTCTATTTTTATATCCGTTGCTAGATATGTTGATAGATGACAATAGCAAGAAACTCACCCAGTCCAAAACATTAGTCGTGATGAACTCCGCCAGGGTATGTCGAAGACTGACCTATAGCATGCGGATCTAGTGACTTGACGTGATCATATGTCAGTTGAAGCGATGTGCCAATGAAGCGGAGATAGCATATGGCTCATGCACTTCCAGCAACAGTAAAGATTTGGTTGTTTTTGGCAGCTTGATGTATTCTATCTAGGTCACCCAAGATACAAATCCAACGGGTGTCCAGTGAGGCCTCACTGCCGGTGCTTCTGCTTATACTGGATGAATCTGGATAGGTTCAGGCCCGCCTCATCGGCACGGGTCCTTAGCTCGGGGAACCTTCTCTTGTCGACCTTCTTGATCATCGCCTTCACCTTGGGGGTGGCCTCCTCAAAGTACCTCAAAAACCCGTCCTTCCAGAAGACCTCCTTGTCGCATGCCTGGTTCTCGTCCCCGTAGATGTCGAACAGCTGGTTGAGCGCCTCGATGGCGTCGGCGGCCGGGGTTTCCGGCAACTTGGCCACGACCATGACCAAGAACACGCCAATCTCGCGGTTGAGCTGCACCGGCGCCGGGTCCAGGGCAAGCTGGCCCAGCACACCGATGCACTTGACGCCGAGCCCCTGGAAAGGGTCCTCCTGCTCGGCAGGCAGGCCGGTCGACGCATGGTAGAGAGAGATGAACTTGTTGGGCTCGTCGGCGCCAAGTGGCGTCCTCTCGTGCAACGTTGTGGCGATGGCCCACGCTAGACTTGTGACGATAGTCGCCAGGGCAACATCCGAGGTGTCGCTGGAGAGGATGTGCGCGACCCCGTTCTTCCAAATCATCTGCGCCGCGGGCGTCCATGCGGCTAGAATGGGGGCGTTTTGCTCCTCCAAGAAGTCGATGCACGCCACGGTCCACGCGATGTTGTTGAGAGTCGTGAAGGCATGGCCTCTGATGAGTTGGGAGGCTTCGTCGGCCTTGTCGTTGGACTTGGCTACTTTGACAATTTGAGGGATGGCTTTCTGGATGAGAAGCCCGAGGGTCGGTAGATCGTCCAGGCCAGCTGCACCCTCAGGGTAATCGTCTGCTCCAGTCACCATGTCCATATCAGCCTCCATCTCATCCTCGTCCATTTCGTCGTCTTCGTCTTGTTCCTTGTCTGACGCATCCGCGCCGTCTTCGGCGTCCATGGCGGTGTCTTCGTCGTCGAAACCCTTGAACTCGTTGCTAGTCTTCTTGGGCTTCTTATCCTTCTTGCTCATCTTGTTCCCTCTTTCCAAAGTCTCTTGCACTGCAGTGCCGATAGACGCTAGAATCTCAAGCGCCAGTTGCAGAATCTCAACTGGGCTATTCGATCCACTGTCGCCATTTGCGGCTTTGTTGCTTGTTGGCGCTATGGCGAGGGCATCGGTAAGAGTAGGTATCAACAAGGCGTCGCTGGACTGGTCTCTTCCGGGGTTTGCGTCGTCCCACTCCATCACGTTAAAGATGTTGTGAAGCACACCGCACGCAAACACCGCACGTGATCCTGATGCCGTCTTGAACGACATCAGCTGCTTGAAGACATTGTGCTCCCCGTCGCCAAGAATTCTCTCAACAAATTGTCGGTTGTCCTCAGTAAGCGTTATCATGCAAGACAAGGCACTGCTGATCACATCGTCCGACGCCAGGTCACTCGAGACCAGCTTGAACAAGAAGGCAATGATCTGTTCGTTGCGAACGATGGCCTCCAAAATATCATCCTGGGCCTCTGCAAGAGCAGCAGTAATCGTAGCAAGCGCTTCAGAAATTGCCCAGGCAAGACTCTGCTCCGCCTTTGAGGCCTTGCTGATCGCTGGGCTCTGGCCGCTCAGAGACTCAGTGACCTGTACTTCAGTGAGTCGAAATGCGTCACAGCTTCCATATAAGACACAACTCACCTTCTGAGCTGCGTGTTCAATGGCGGTAAGGACATCAACTCTGAATAGATGCACGCAGAAGTCGGATTCCTCTTCCTGTGTCAGAAGTTTCAAAATCTCCCAGCCCGCAGCCCGACTTTCAAGACCGGTATCTGTGAGTGTCTCGGTGAGGATGATGTGAACGACCTGCTCCCTCAAGAGCAGTTTGCGGCATCGCGCATCTTGAATGATGTTAGCGACGGCCTTTGCGGCCGAAGTGCGCGATTTGGGATCAGCACTCTGAAGATCCTTGAGAACGGGCAGGATACTCTTCTCCCGTAGGGCAGCGAGCTCGGGGTCCGTCGGCGGCTTGACGGGTTTGGCGAGAGGGTCGGAGCGTTGGCTCGCCTTGCCTCTGTTACGCCGGGTTTTGCCCATATTGACGGCGTGAGTGCGAACAGGAGAGGAGAATGCCTAGCAAATACGCAATTCTGGGTAGACGATAAATTGAATCACCACCTTCAAGTCTATTGCTTCAGGCGTTTGATGTGCTTCAAGAAATTTTCTTAAAATCCAGCCTTGCAAAAAAGTAACCCGATCCACCGGTCGGCGACGAGTGGGTCGGGCGGGAAGCCCAAGGGTCCCTGAGTGGGGCTCAAGTCGGGGATCAAGCTCCATGCTGCCCGGCCCCAGCTGGAGCCCTGGAGGTGAGTTTGTACTGCACGCTGCCGATCCTGGATAACGGGTTTGGAGTCTTGGACGGGCCCCCGGGAGGTACCCGTGGACCTTACTGTGTAGTGATTGCAGCATGAGCCGACCTAGACGACATGGGAGGAGGAGTCCTGGAGCGTCGCACAAGAGCACTGCCTCCAGCTGGCCCCCGTAGTAATGCAGCTTGGCTCTTGCTCTCCTACTTAGGCTTTCCCAACTCGTACATCCAGCCGGGCCCCCGGGGCGGGGAGGGCTGTATAACCTTCAATGCTTGGCTGTTCGAGGGAGTGTCTCGCACTCTCGACCCGACGTGACACGTTTCTCTAGCGCAAGTCTGCCCGCTGCAGCTCATGTCATTTGTCCTGCCACCGGGGTCGGTCCCCTGCTGCAAAATAGCCATCAAATAAGATCGTCACCCATTCGAAGTGGGACCTCGCACCCTTTAGTGCTTCAACGCCACTGCAAGGCGTCGCAGCTAAGTTGCTCGGCAAGCTAAGGGGGACCAGGTCACACCTACACTAGATGGTGCTAGGTACTTACCTGCTGAACGGGGGGATTCGTGAGAATAAGCGCAACCTCCCGGCTCGACTTTATCCTCACTCCAGGTCTCCTCCCGCCCGCTACAGATGTGCGCACTCCGGTTGCGAGCTTGCCTCATGTGAAATGCCGCCCCTCCACATGCTCCCCGCGCCTTCGACCTCGAGATAACACGTGCCTCCTTCCCACCCCCCAGCAGGAGGCTCCCGGCGAGCGCGAGCGCGAGCGATCAATGTCTTTCTGGGGAAGGTCGCGGCGCTTCTTCATGAGCGATGAAGAGATGGGCAAGAAGGACGACGACCACGTGCCGTCGGCCGTCAACGTCGGTTTGCGCAAGCCCAACTGGCATCCCGCGCGCGCGCCGCAGCGGAGGGGCGTCAAGCGCATTGCTCTTGCGCTGCTGGCCCTCGGCCTCGTCTACCTCTTTATCCACAACATTCCCACCGACCTGGGCCCGCGAAATGCCGGCCGCCCAATGTACACCGACCGGCGACCTCACTCCGCGACAACAAAAGGCGATGCGCAGTCCGGCATCTATGGCGACGATGCGAGCGCGGTAGCGCACACGTACACGGGCCCGCCCAGGTTCCTCGAGCTCGCGGCGTCCCTCCATGCGATTTCTACTACAAGAGGCGGCATGCTGTTGAATAAGAACATCCTCTTTGCGACGTCAAGTCTGAAGAGCGCCGCCGCGCTGCTACCTGTCGCTTGCCAGATGGGCAGAGAGTCGAGAAATTATGTGCATTTTGCGCTCATGAGCCGCAGTCAGATCAGCATCGAAGAACTGAAGAGTATAAACGGCATGGACGAGAGTTGCCAGATCATATTTCATGGTACGGATCTTCGACTTTTCAGATAAATGCTTTAGCCTTCCTGTGTACAGAGACGTCTCGAGGGCTTCGCTTGCTGACACGATTCAGATGCCCGAACAGACAAAGCCGCCATCATGACGGACGAGCGCATGGAATACAGCACATTCCGTGCCTTACGTGAGTACCACTTAAACAGTACTTCGTCTGGTGGACTGACTCATACCGTGCAGACCATATCCATATGTACATGCACCCGCAAGCTATTATTGTGGATGGATCTGGGTCAGAGAACTGGTTCTTCACCAAAGGGGCCGCTGCACATGTTAAAGCCACCGGGAACACGCTGATTGAGCTGCCGCATTCCGCTCAGAAACTTCTCTGGATTACCAAGTTAGATAGCCGGTCACTGCGTGGTAAGTCCGATTGCAGTCACTGTAGTAACTTGCCAGTCGACATGCTAACATTCTTCCAGCATGGAACGACAACCATGTCGATATTCTGATCCAAGCTACACCAGGGGCTTCGGGGAGCCTCATTAGGCTGCTAAGGTCCCTGAGCTCAGCCGATTTCTCGTCATGTTCTATTCCCCACCTCACAATTGAGTTGCCACACGACATTGATCCTCCTACGAAGCAGTATCTGGAGACTTTTCAGTGGCCGCCAGCTCATATACCTAATCCGACAAGTGCGAAATATGTGACTTTGAGACATCGCATACCCCGTCGGGGTCTGACCGAGGAGGAGAGCTCAGTACGATTTCTGGAATCTTTTTGGCCAGCAGATCCGAGAATGTCACATATTTTGGTTCTTTCCCCTCAGGTGGAGGTCGCGCCGAACTTCTTTCACTGTAAGTTTCCACTTCTTAGCCCAAACCGGCGTGGATTCGCCACTGACGAGACCAAATTACCAGACATCAAATACACGCTCTTGGAGTACAGGTACTCTGAAGCATCACATATTCAGCACTGGGATGCTCGACTGTTTGGTATCAGTCTCGAACAACCTTTGCAGCACCTAAGCGGCAAGGCCAGATTTAGCCCTCCATTATCGCTTCATGAGGCTACCGAAACCGAAGTTGCCTCGTCGTTCTTGTGGCAGGCGCCGACCAGCAATGCAATGCTCTTCATGGGTGAGAAGTGGGCGGAAATGCATGACCTGGTGTCTCGCTCGCTTGAGATACAGCAAGGCTCCAGTGACGTACCGGCGCTTCTGGCGAAGAAGGAAATCAGTAGGGAGCACCCGTCTTGGCTGGAACATGCCTTACGGTTGTCGAGGCTGCGAGGATATTGGACGTTGTATCCCGGGGAAGACACAGCTAAGAGCCTTGCAACAGTTCACACTGATCTGCGCCATAGCCCAGAGGAATATTCCAAATCGGCAGATGAGGTGACGTTGACCGATGAATCGAGCGATAAAGACTTTGAGGATGCGCTCAAGCGATTGAAGGCTGGACCGGAATCCAATTTGGAACTCCACTCCTCGTTGCAAAGCTTGGTGGAAGCCGGTTCTCTCCGTCCCTTTGGCAACCTGCCCCTCCTGACATGGGATGGTCGTAAGACGGATCTTGAGCAACTGGACTCGCTTGCTGCCGATTATGCCATTGAGTTCATAACGCAAGTCGGCAAGTGTGAAGATGAGACCAGGAGCAAGAGAGTCGAGCTGTCCGTACAAGATCTCTTCTGCACGACAAGCGTGTAAAATCGCATACCGTATCCATCAATGCTCGGTTGGACGTGTTCGCAAGGAATCATTGGCTTCCTGACTGTGGACTGGGCTATGATTGAAGGCTTTCAAGGGATATAGAGGCCATTCTGGTCAGGGCGGTGGCACAGATCTTTGATAAACCCAAATAAATACCATGAAACCCTGAGGGGTGATTATTCATCTATCTGTATTTTGGCGACAGCAAGGAGTATCGCACATGTTCCGATAATTGCGAGGCCGATGAGAGACATGATCTATACATTACGATTGTCAGCTTTGGAGGGAAGTGAGTTATAGAGGTCAAACCTACCGACTGCGTCCGCCACCCTGTCTGAACGATGGCCATCTTTCTGCTGTACTTGTTGACGGTTTCTTCTCAGATGTCAGTCAATGCAATCAGACGTAAAGCAGAACCAGCGACTAACGTATGTAATTGCAGAAACCGGCCATCAGGCATGCAAATGACAAGAGCCAAAAGATGAGTCCCAACGGTCGCGCCATCCTTAGCTCGAGAGCGGTAGGTTTGGACTTGAGATGGAAAGACAGGACTATAGCAACGGCAACGATAGCCATGTAGACTGAAAGGCGCAAGTACGACAGGAACGCTGCCGTTCTGTCAGTGAACCTGCGCTCGCAATGGCTGATGGTACTGGACTTACTACGCTCATTGGCACAGTGGTCCCGCGCGTCGCTGGTGTCGTTCTCGAACAGCAACGGGCCAAAAAAGGGCCAGGTCCAGAAGGCATTGTTCTGTGGCCAACCGGAGCTAGGGTCGGTGTCAGCATTGCATAGTCTAGACTATTGCACTTGGAGCGCGCTCTCGCGCTTGAGAGCAACCGACTTACACGCAGTCTTCCCCAACCTCGACGGGTTTCCTCAACGCCGCATAGGACAGCGGGCCCAAGCATGACGTAGTGCCCTCCTCCTCATCCGGCTGCTCTGCGCGCTGCATGTTGGGCGGTCGAAGTTATTCCATGCTCAGCGTAAAGAAAACCTCGTGGTCGGTTAGTGCCGATGTTGCGATTGATAATCAAAGCCCGCGTTGGAGGGAGTCAATTGGGTATTTAAGAGGCTGCTGGCGATCAATTGACCTGGAGATGGATTTTTGCATTTTAGCCTTCTGGTGTAAGTTCGACCTGATGAGCTAATAAGCTCCAACCTCGGAAGATACAACCGCCCAGCGTGTTTGGTCTGGGCTCGGCTCGCCAAGCATGCCTGTCCCCGGCAGCGATCCCGCAACTGACTTGCATACCTCAAAAGGCAATCAAGAGGCCAATGCCCCCCCGGCCGGCTCGCGGTATAGCACCACGATTATTACTTATCAGGGCGAGTAGAACCGCTGCATACACTACACAAAAGCACCCCGCCACGCCGGGCTCCGCTCAGAGGCGCCGCGTTCGGTGACTCAGTCTCGCCATTCTTCTTATGTACAAGCAGCATGCTTGGACCGCAGTGGAGGTTAGCCTATCTCTTGTGCTGGGTCTCTTTCCCGATAGCACTTACCTAACGATTGCGGGGGGCCCACTGCCACCTCTTAGTCTAGCGGGAACAGACCAGACGACGGCCGCGGCCGATGAACTACAAAAGGAGTAACTATCGGTGAGACGCTAGGTTGTGATTCACGCCACGAAAGCGTGTCTTACGGAACGTGTGTCTGTTCAAAGATCGCCGTGCTTTCCCGTTGTGTTCCAGCGAACATCTTCCGTTTTTTTCCTCCTTCTTTTCCTTTTCATTGGCCTCCCGAAGCTCCAGTTCTCGCTCCGCGGTTGTAAGAGGGGAAAATGGCAAGCTCAAGGGATATTCCGTCCTCGGGGCGCGGCATCGGAGACATTGCGTCCTCGTTTGCTTCCTCGTTCAGGGCTGCCTCGCCCTTGGCACAAGAAATCGTGGCCAGGGATATTGCAGAGTGCTCCGAGGACGAGGACGTTGACGATACATCCAATTTCTTGGAATCGGACGCTGAGTCCGTAGACGGCGGCCATGGTCCCACGTTATACCGCCAACCCGCGGGCATCGAGGTCGCGTTTGGCTACCGGAGACCCAGTCTGCTGCTGGAGCCGGCAGAGGAGCCGACCCGACCGGTCGTCACCAGGGCGGAAAAGAAGCAGTCTCGAGATGCCGAGCGCAGCCTTCTGAGGGATAATCACATCCTACCCCCTAAGCACGGCGTGGAGGAGCAACCCGGGCTGCTCACCAAGGTGTACAAGCGTCTGTTCAGCACCAAGGTCCGGAAGACGCCCGATGACGAGGAAGTGCCCAGGATAGCGATCAACCCGTCTGAGACGGCTCCGCTGCTCCCTGGCCGGTCGGCAGACGGGTCGGGTCAGGAGGAAGAGAACCTCAACGAGCAGTGGGAGGCGGCCGTAGCCTCTGGCAAGATCCAGACGACGTGGCAGAGGGAGGCGCAGACGATCGGCAAGTACTCGCGGTCGCTGATTGTCACTTTTCTGTTGCAGTATAGCATCAACATTGCCAGCGTGTTCGCCGTTGGCCATATCGGCAAGATTGAGCTGGGAGCCGTAAGCTGTAAGATATCCCCCTACCCCTGAGGCCTCACGGCTCTCTTTTTGCTCATCCAAATACTGACCCACCCAACAGTGGCTGCCATGACGGCGAATATAACATGTTACGCACCTTTCCAGGGCCTAGCAACCAGTCTTGATACGTTGTGTTCGCAGGCTTATGGGTCCGGCCACAAGCACCTGGTTGGCGTCTACGTGCAACGAATGATATATTTCCTAGGTAGCCTGATGATACCAGTCGCGCTCCTATGGGTCTTTGCTGCCGATATCTTAGCTCGTCTCGTACCAGAGCCCGAGTCGGCTGAGTTGGCCGGTCTCTACCTGAAAATCATTATCATCGGGATCCCCGGGTTTGTCGCCCTCGAGTGCGGAAAGCGATTTGTCAACTCTCAGGGTCTGTTCCACGCCACGACATACGTCTTGCTTATCGCTGCTCCTTTCAATGCGTTTATTAGCTGGCTATTTGTTTGGCACTTCGGGTGGGGCTTTGTAGGTGCCCCTGTGGCTGTAGCCGTCACGCAGAACCTGATGCCAGTGTTGCTGTTTCTGTATGTTGTGTTTGTAGATGGGTCTCAGTGCTGGAATGGCTTCAGCAAGAAGGCCTTCACGAACTGGGGTGAGTGATGCAGAACCGCCTCGGAGCCTTTGCTCATAGCTGACCGTACACTAGGCCCAATGGTTAAGCTGGCACTTCCGGGGATGATCATGGTCGTAGCTGAATGGCTGGCGTTCGAGGTTCTGACTCTGGCCAGCAGTCAATTCGGCACATCTTACCTGGCAGCCCAGAGTATCCTGATGACCCTGACCTCGACAACCTTCCAGCTTCCCTTCCCGATCTCCATTGCCGCTTCCACTCGAATTGCCAACCTCATTGGCGCGAAGCTGAGCAGTGCGGCAAAGACTTCGGCCAAAGTTGCGGTGTGCAGCGCCGCCCTCGTCGCTGTGTTTAATGTCATCATTCTCTCCAGTCTGCGGTACGAGTTGCCGAAGCTCTTGACCACGGACGAGGAGGTCATCGAGTTTGTGGCCCAGATCATGCCGCTGGTCGCTGTGATGCAGATCTTTGACAGCATGGCCTGCATGGCGCATGGTCTGCTCAGGGGTATTGGAAAGCAGCATTTCGGCGGATACGCAAACTTGTTGACGTACTACCTTGTGGCATTGCCGATATCGTTCGGTGTTGGTTTCGGCCTCGACTGGAAATTGGAAGGCCTGTGGTCTGGGGTCACATTAGGTCTGTTCTTGTGAGTTATAATTGAATTTCTCCCACCTAAAACCTTGTGGTTTACTTACTGTTTCCAGGGTTGCGGCCGTGGAATACTGGTATATATACAAGAGTGACTGGGAAGAGTCTGTTAGGGAGGCTGAGCACCGCAACGCTTCTGGATAGATTATGGGATTGCTTTTGAGTCTTGAGCTTCTCGTCAACGGTGACCGTCGTTGTCTTTCTTTTTCGTTTATGCTGCCACTGCAGATTTGGAGCTAATTTCACGCGTTGGGCCTGTCTTTGGTATCATAGCAGCGGCGTTTAGGGATGAAGAACGGCTAAATAGAACGATCGCAGAGACTAGTAGACCAAGTATGGTAATTTGACTGGGAGGTGCAATGTTACGTCGTTTGAGTGCCAACGCGTTACTTTTGTGTATTTCTCTTAAAACTATCAAGATGTTCTTGCATTTCCATTCGTTCATATAATCGTGTCTAACCTTTCGTATACCATGCCCAAAGATTCACAGTTCAATAAAAGAGCATTATTACCTGTTCTTCCAAGACGTCCAAAATTACAAAAAACGTTAGACTAACAGCCTCCACTACTACCTGCCGGCCCAGTCCAAGCATCGTTGGTCTCAGCTCGGATAGCTTCGACATCAGTCTCATCGCAGGCAGGTACGACCAGAGTCCTGTTAACGGTCTCGAAGATCCAGGGCTGGTCGCAGTCTTCCTGCCGAGCATAGCCGTAGTCGATAGTCTCTCCGGCAGTCAAGGCGATAGCGGCGTACCACAGAGGGCGCTCCGATGTATAGTTCGATGCTAGCAATGGCTGTGCGTTGTTGACATCCCATGACCCAAGGTCTGTAGTGTTGCCCACGAGGTAGATGTTCTCGCCGAAATAGGTGGACGCATTGACCGCAAATTGGACGTACGAGGTGCACGATGCCGTCACATTAGGAGCTCCTGCTGCAAATGCTGGGACGTAGGAGCCTTTGGCCGAAGAAGCAGCGCACTGAGCGGGAAGAGTGACGGCAGTAGACGGCTCCCAGCTCGGCGGGTATTGGCCCGCTCGTCTTTCTGCCATGGTCACAAATGCGGCATAAGACCAGGTCAAATCATAGGCCGACAGTGGGTTCCCAGGAGCGGTCTTATTGAACTGCTCGGACAGCGAGCCGTTGGCAGGAGTGTACTGCTCAACCACGGCTACGAATGAGTCGGCGTAATTATGGACAGCATCAATTATGTGCGAGAACTCTGCGCACGTATCATTGGAGCTATAGGTCTTTGTCCTAGCAGCCGGATATATGTCTTGGAAGAAGGCTAGGGATGTGTCGTCAATGGTGAGTGCTTCCTGCGTCTTCCACTGCGCAATTGCATCGTAAAGATATTCTGCAGCTCCTGCGGTGATCAGATACCTGGAATTTGTTAGTGGTCCGCCTGGGTGAAACGAATTGAGTAGCAAGGACATGGATCTTACCAAGGGTTGCCTTCGTAGTAGACATCCTCAGTGTACCGGCCCAGGGCAATTCCAGAATCTATAGGGATATCCGCGTTGATGGGATACAGTGAAGCGTTGCGAAACGAGTCCACGAATGCCTTGAAGCTGGACAGGCCACGACTGTTGCATGGCTGGATACTTGGGCTATCGCAACTGGCATTCACGTCAAAAATCGAGATTGACCCCAACATGGTGTTGGCATCCTTTCCAGTTCTGATAGTGTTCGTGTTGATGTTTGCCACAAAATATCCGCCGTTCCAGTAGCTCTGCAGGAAACAGACTACTTGAGGTGCTTGGTCACACCCTGTACACTCCACACCCAGTTCTGCTGCTAGAGTGTTACCTTCTACGAGAGCGCGGTACTGAGCTTGTGTTGTGAAGAAGCTGGAACCAGAGACTTCTTCCCACAAGTCGAAACCGGTTGAGTTCCTGGAAGTTGTTAGTCTCAGTATCAAAGCGCATTTATGCAAATCAGTGGGATTCATTACCAGTACTGTCCAACATAAGACAGGTCGTTCGAGATGATAGGCCAGATTACAGTCTTTGCCTTGCTCGTCTGGCCATTGGCAATTAACCAGTTACTGTAGGTAATGAGCGCAATCGCACGAAGAGCAGGCCCATCTCGTTGTGGCCTGCCCCAATTCCCATTGAACCGTGTGCCGTCCACATTGTACTTAGGTTCCCCGAGGCCTTTGCCGGAAGGAAGGAAAGTGCCGGATGGGTTAGAGACTGTTTGAAGGACAGCCTGGGCATGCACGTAATCCTCAATATATTGCTGAAGACTTGTCTCTCCTAAGATGAACTCATCGACTAGCGCCTTCAGAGTTAGAGCGGAGTCTCTCGACCAAGTATAGAAGTCTGCAAAGGGTCAGCCAAGTCTAGATCATGGCAGCTGGATACATTACAATTCGGGTTGACCTTGGAAGGACTTGCGACGACATAGCCTGCGGAGGCTCCTTCGACCAAGGAACCGTTGGGCCCAATGTTATTCAGAGTGCCTTGGAGAGCAATCGGCCTTTGAGCGGCTATGAACGCGTCGACATCAACAGCACGGGGCAATCGAGCTGGGCTGGCAATACTGAGACTGCTCAGCGCAGCAACAGCTACCGCATATTTGGTGATAAGCCGTAACATCTTGGCTGTAGGTCTACGGTAAAGAGCTCAGGCCATGCCCGATGAATCGAACGAGATCAAAGATGTCTTTTGTATTTCGTGGAGCCACGAACTCAGGCCATTCTTACCTAGTCTCGGTCGTTCTTTCATATACTAGCCCTGCTTTGCGCCACAGTTTCGGAGATCACGTTGAGAAAATCCATCTTGGCCTGCAGCCTTAGACTTGACGTAGGGACGTATGATGGTTCGTCAGAGCAATGAGATCCCCCCTTGCTCCTCCACATTCAATGTCGCGTTGGTCTGCGGGCCGATTCTGGGGAATCGTGGGGATTCGCATGCGCCTGAGCCGCGCGGGGTAAACTGGGATTCTCCTCATACCCATCGTGGCGGGTGCTGAACAAAAAAATGGACGTATCCTTTCAGATTGAGCACGTTCTATTTAGAAATCGAAAGAAAACGCGTCAATTTGTCTAGAAGAAAAACCATAGTAAATTCGCCTGGACGAGCCCGTGATTTGTATCAGGCTTCAGATAGCAACGAGACCTGCACTGCGCCTTCGGGGTGCCTGTTCTTTCTAAATACAGTCTCAAAGTCAAAGGCATGTTGTTATGGTCTCGTGAGCTCCAAGAGAGGTCTACCTCCAATCGGCAAGGCGGCCGGGAATTCTGGGATCGTACAGTCGCACCGACATCTCGCCGAGGATAGCTCTTAGGAGGGCGGAGTTGAGGCCGAAGGAGGAAATTTCCGCAACCACAACGACGGCTCTAGCTGATCGTCAATAGTTTGGACACAGGCAAACCTGCGCGTTGAGAATCACATGTCATCGTTCTATCTGTCGACCAAACTCGATCCAGTTCCGGAGTGTTGTCAGACTACGCGTCATACGCGCCACGAAAATTGGCGAATGAGGACTGCAGGCAGGACCAAATTTGCACGAATTCAGGTATATGCATGTTCTTCGGGCAAATGGCTGGCTATGCGCTTCATCATGAAATTTTTGTGCAGATCAAGTGCTTATCATGTTCCCCAAAGCCCTGTAATCATGTCAAATGGCCAACTGCGTTCTTGGAGTACTTGGCTTAGTACCTTCAACGCACGCTACGTGCGGATATTGCAGTAACCGGCACGAACCTCGCATATGACACATGGACACGGCCTTCACATTATCATCGCTGAGCACAATAGAGGTTGTTGCAATAGTGCACAAATTAGAAGCCAAGTATTGTCGGAAGCCACTATTATCTGTCCCGACGTCATGGAGCCCATCTTATCAGATCCGAGTTCGGGGTTAGCTCAGCCTTGTGAGCTAACGACGCGCTATTAAATAAGCCTGACAGAGCAACACCACACAACTCTCAGCCTTCCGTCAGACGTTACAGCTTGTGATATCTGAGTCGACAGGAAGCAAAGCCCAAAAAATGATGTTGAAAGTGGACTTGAGACTGTGCCTTGGGCTTCTGTTGCTCCTTGGGGTTGCCTGCGCCAAGGTGGATGTCAGCAGCCAATCTGAAAAATCGCCCCTTTCCACCCTGACCCTGGATGAGATCGAAGAGAGACTTCAGGTAATGCATACAATCCTGCCCGTCTGTGAAACATTGACGACTCATCACATATCAAGCTATGTCCTGTTGTCGTTGATCTCAACACTGAGAAGCTCGCTGGCGCTCCTGAGACCTCAACCCTGAGCTCACGGGTATTCGGAATCCTCTTTCCTGGAAGTCCCGCTGTGAATGCCATTCTGGCGACCCTCTACATTTCTGGGCCACCAAACTTTCTTCTGGCACTATGCCCACCCAATATTGATCCCTCCTCCTTGTCAGTCATGGTTGCATTCGCTGTAGGAGGCTTATTGGGCGATACGCTCTTCCACCTGCTGCCCGAAATTTTCCTGGGCGAAGATAGCAGCGAACACGTCAGGTTCGTCCTTGTGGAGCCTAATCGCAACCTCCTACTGGGAGCTGCCATTATGGTTGGCTTCATGACCTTTGTCGCGATGGACAAAGGACTACGCATTGCAACCGGTGGCGAAGGGCATGATCATAGTCACGGCAGTGCTCCAGTAGATCCATCTCAAAGTCAAGCATCCTCTACCTCGATCGACGCCATAAATGGCGAGGCAAGATCCCGGAAGAAGCCTCAGAAGTCATCCGAAGTATCTGCTGTGTCAGACAAGGCGGATGCAAAGGAGATCAACCCCAGCGCTAAGTTGGGAGGTTACCTCAATCTCATGTAAGTTTGAGACTACGTCCTGAAGCAAGATACAAACTTTGCGTGTTCAGATGCTGACGATGACCTTGCCGATAGTGCTGACTTCACGCACAACATCACTGATGGTTTGGCTATGTCGGCTTCATTCTACGCATCTCCTACCATAGGGGCTACCACGACTGTGGCCGTATTCTTCCACGAAATCCCGCACGAAGTCGGTGATTTCGCTCTGTTGATCCAGTCGGGCTTTTCGAAGCGAGCTGCGATGGGTGCCCAGTTTGTGACTGCGCTAGGAGCTCTGCTGGGCACCCTCATCGGCATAGCAGTCCAAGAGTTCGGCGGAAACTCGGCCACGTCTGCGGTAGGGATGCACGGAGGCCTACTGGGGACCTCTTTGACTTGGGGCGACATGTTGCTGCCGTTCACTGCCGGGACTTTCCTGTACGTGGGAACTGTTGCTGTCATCCCGGAGCTTCTCGAGACAGGGCCACACAAAAGCGCCGAGTTGCGCAAGATGCTCACTCAATTCGCTGCCATTGCCGTTGGCGCCGGCATCATGCTGTACATCTCATGGGATTGAAAGCAACGCTGGGCACATGACTGTGAGGATTTTGCGGAATCGGAGTAAGTGACTCTTGCCATGCATGATCTACTCTGGTCATATCTGCCACTTGATGGCTGGTACCCAGGGATGGCATAGCCAGGTAGAGTTAGCAACTTGGAGAGGCTGACTCGATGCCAAGCGGGATAATGGGAGCGACTCTCGTATTCGTTGCTCAAAGAATAGGGAATGTTTCCATAGGAGTCGAAAGGTGTATAGGTAGCGAGAATTCCTGCACCGACGCTCGACCATTGCTTATTGCAGTTAATCCAAAGCCAGACCCTTGTAAAGGGTCCAATAGATCGGCTGACAAATTCAAAATATGAAGAGCGCAGCTAATGGCATTACGTGATTTCTTAGTTCATATCCTTATATGGTCCAACGCCGTGAAGACCACATAGGTGCTCATTAGCCCACGATAGAAATCGCGATTCTAGCGCAAATTGAAATTTACTTGTCGTTCCAAAGGCGTGCTCCACAGCTACAATGAACGTGTGGTATCGATATTCAGCCTTCAGGTAAGACGTAGGTTGCCGGTGGGAGTCATGCCAAGTCGGATGCGATCAGGGTCCGTCTCTCGCTAAGTTGGTCCCTGCGTCGGCAACCCGTCCAAAGTCAACCACCCGCTGCTGTCTGACGTTTGCGATCATTGGTGGGTGTCATCTTGGCAATATGTTTTGATGCAGACCTCTATAAAATGTTTTTATCAGACCAGGCACTTTAGTAAGACTGTTCCTGTCAAGCAAGCCGTTGGAACTCTTCAATCGCCCTGGTGCAGTGGATGAACTGCTAGGTGATACAGAGACACGTTAGGATGAGCTCATCAGTAAGAAAGGAAGAGGCAATATACTTTGTCTAACTATTTAACAGCTTAGATGAGCACTTGCCTCTCTTGGGATCTTAGCAGATAGGATTTAGCAGTCTGGGGATCTTCCTTCGACCTTCAGCCATACTACAGTCATTCAGCATTAGTTCAACCGCTGTTAGGTGACGCAAGCACCGGCTACTAGTATCATTGACTCTGAATATCGTAGCTGCCCCGGATTTTCGGGATGCGCATACTTTATTTCCACGGAGCTGCAATCCGCCCGATGTCGGACATGGCAACCACTGCGGCCCGGCCACTCAGCGACAGAAGAGTTGCCGAAATTGTTTCCTACATAACTGTCTGCCCAATGCCTGCGGCCCATGGCTGAATTTGTAGTTGAAGTATCATTTTAATTGTCGCCTTTGCTCGTAAACCGTTGCCCAATCGCATTACCCAGTCCATACACCCCCTAACCAGTCTCACCATTGCGATCCTACCTAGGTATTGTTATGATATGACCGACACGTACGAAATTAGCTTGCTTAGCCTACGCGTTTCAAAAGGGGGCCACTGGAATGACTAAGTTGTTTTTGACCTCCAGGCAACCTCTATTGTAGAACCTAACCAGGTTAGACGTCCGCATCACATGTATTGTACATTGTGGTCCGTATGCTGCGGAATCTCGCACCACTGCCCACATATAGACGATTGCACGGCTCCCACAAGGCAGACAATTTTCTTGACCGCTACTGTGTACGTGAACATGACAATACTGGCTGCACACATCGGCCTTGAGTCATCCTGTTGCTTCAACCCCCAGGTCAAGAATGTTTGCTTATAGGGACTAGCCTCTGGTACGTACTATGGTAGTTGCCGGGTCCCATCCCTACCATTTAACTAGCGCATGTCAATGGAGGGCGCGACGCTCGGAGCGCTACAGGGGTCACATAGTTGGTGGGGTCTCCATGTGTTCCACTAAAACTTCCAACTAAGAAGGTAATCAAGGGTTCTACAGTACCAACTATGCAGTGAGCAGGTGGGTCTTGTCTCTTAGGTAGGGGTGGCTGTCTCCAAGGTTCTCAAGCGCCAGAGCTCCAATCTCGTTGCTATCCGATTCCGTCTTACTCGGGGGACAGTTCGACACTTGACAGCCCCTCCTCGGGGTAGCGTAGCCTCTTCTAGGCCTACGCCATCCTGTTAGATCCGCGCAGCTGACCGGTTCCGTTCACCAGAAGGGCGCATCTCCGCCTGCGTCATTCCTCCATCAATGGCACCATTTGATTGGGTTAGATGAGATATACGTTATGCTCCATGTTGGCCGTCCACCCGTGGCTGGGCTGGCCGCTGGCCATCCATGCCCGAAGCAGTCATTGCGACAGCGCAGGACAAACGTTGCTGGTCTACCCCATCGTATCTCATTGTGACTCTTATCATTAATAAGCTACGGCATGTCACCGGCCTCCACTGACTTACTTTCAACCAAGATGCGGTAGAGAGGTAGCCTTGCTACCTTGCTTATAACATTGGTAGTCCATCTATCTGAATGCGCCGTCCCCTGTATCAGCTAGCATCCATCTCAAACATTGCTGACCTGGGCCCAGCCGCCATTCCGCGGACGATTGCAGCAGCCACTACACACCACCACCAGCTTGGAGGTCACACGGGTGCTTGGCTGACCGCGGCGGGCTCTTGAGAGTCGTTCTATCCAGCACTAGAGCAAACCATCATCATTGGTGTCAATCGCCTGCGATAGCACACCATGTTGTTCGCGGCTTCCACTTCCTCTGCTTCCAGCAGCGATGTCAGCACCTTAGGCTCTCTCAACCACCGGCTGCTTGGACATAAGTCAACAATGAAGATACAGCTGGACAACTACTACACCAACAGGGTGTATACATCTTCCTCGCGATTGTCGGGACACGTCGCCATCGAGGTTGGAAAAGATACTCATTTCGACAAGGTGCAGATCCTGTTATTAGGCACGAGCAGGACCCGCGTGGATAATGTTCACCACCCTCAGCTCACATCGCACACTTTTCTAAAGCTTGAAATGCCCATCCCGGAAGCATCATATCCTATCCCAAGGCTCTATGAGGCAGGCCGTATCTACAATATTCCATTCAACTTCACCATCCCGAGCCAGCTCACGATCAATGCTTGCAATCACAATATCGATACCAACGCTGTTCACGAGAACCATGTCTGTTTGCCGCCCTCAATGGGATCATGGGGAGGAAAGGATGACTTCTCTCCTGAGATGGCCCACGTTGACTACAGCATTGTTGCACGGCTGCTCGGAGAAGAGGGTGAGAGTGGGAAGAGGTTTAGGATCATGGAGGCGAGCCAGTCAGTAAGGGTCCTTCCCGCATATTCGGAGCAACCGCCCCTGGATATCACAGCGCACGATAAACTATACAAGATGTCGAAGACCAAAAATTTGCGCAAGTCAATCTTATCTGCCAAAGCCGGAACAATCACTGTGTCGGCAAAGCAGCCTGGTGCTGTCTTTCTCAGTCCGGATGGGGCTTCTGCTTCGAGCTCCAAGGCGCAACTTGAACTCGTCTTTGAACCCGCCTCAAGCCAGACCTTACCACCAACGCCGACGGGTGTGACTACTAAAGTAACTGCTCTTACATACTTCAGCTCGGGAGCAATCAACGGCTTTCCCAATATGGGGGATTGGGTCAGGTCATTCGGAGCAGATTCTCGCGGCTCATATCCTTGCACAACGTCGCTCAAGTCGACAGCGGCTCAACCAGTCAAGTGGCAACAGCACATCAAACATCAGGCACGTAGAGACTCTGGATATGCCAGTGACTCCAACTCCGATTCAGAGCACAGCAGCGATCAGAACCGCCGAAGGGGCAGCAAGAGCTCACACAAGGGAGCCTCGCCTATCTACCACACGACTACTTTACAGGTGCCGCTCGATCTCCCTGTCCATAAGAAGATGTTCATTCCAAGCTTTCACTCCTGCATCCTGTCGCGGGTGTACATTTTGTGGATCACGGTATCACTTTCAACCGGCGGTTCGAGCTCGAGCATCAACCTTGCGCTTCCCTTGCAAGTTGGCGTTCACAGAGAGGATGCATCCACCAATCCGACGGGGCTCCCCTCATTCGAGGTTGCTATTGAAGACGCTGAAGCAGATGATCACCTAAGGCCGCGGACACTACGTGTTCCTGATGTTGAGTTTGAGCGCCACGCACTACCCGGCTATGCGGATGTGATTGCCGGACGGACTGCAATTGCGAATTGAATCCTGCGACTCATTTTATCTCCTAAGCAGAGGTTACGGTGCGGGAGCGGCTGATGAGTGATAACTGTGGTTTTTTGAGCGAGAATTCGGCAAGATAAATCAACGTTAAAAGCTAGGATTTCCATGGTATGTCACCTGGCGTTTGGTCTTCTTCAACATGATATCCATTGAATTTGAGCGCGGAAAAGATTGTCAAGAAGGATTCGAGGAAGTTGGTCGGAAACCAGGCTTTTCATACACAGTGTACATAGAGCCATCAATTAATTGACTAAATATTTATTCTCCAAAACTTTTGGTGCACGCTGATGGGCACGAAGCGTCTTCTTGTGGTGTTAACGGTCCACGGTCAGATGTAGTTGGTGAGTGGAACTGAACACTGAACCGTCACACCTCACGTTTGCTTCCATTTCCGGTCTGCACAGACTTCGACCACTGCCAAGTGTTTCCAAATAAATACTTATATTAACTCAAAATTATGTCATCAAACCACATGCAGCCGGTAACACTCTCGCGCGAAAGCGATATCGGTCGACGTCAACCAGCTCGCTGGAAAGAACAATCACGTCGCGTTATCTAGACTTGGTATGTTTTGTCGGAGTTGAAAGAGTGTCGAACATTACACTGAACGATGCCCAGGCTGGTTTGTTTTCTGCAGTTCAAGTGAGCAGCAACTCAGAGCCATTGCGCCAGTTTTGCCATGCCTGAATGCGTGGAACGTGATCAAAGCCAATGACAGGATTCGTACTCATTACGGTGACTGCAAAAAGACGTTCGAGCTTACCAATGCAATGGGTTACAATTGGCGACTGAAGCGCCACCTGATTTCCCTTATTAGGAACCCACTCATGTTGCCATCGAGGTTCGATACTAATTGCCATCGCGGCTGTTCTCTGAACACCGATGGTTATGCAATATAGTACTAGATACTGTTAGATTCATAAGTTCTAAGTTGCCGAAGATGTAACACTGCTATTCCAGCCTTGCACCTCAGCGCTGGTTTCTTGGGGTGGTCCGTTGACCCCATGAGATGCAGCAAGGCAGGCTTCCCCACTCCTGTTGGTTGACCCACGTTGCTTGGTAGCAGGGAAAGACAAGGAAAAGGGAAACCGAGGGAGTTGAAAACCGGTGTAACAGAGGGTGATTTACAGGATCCGTCTATATTTGGAGTATTGTCAGCAGACAGCGTAACCCCCACTCTATAGGTACTCCTCTCCGCTATAATAGAAACATGTCCCTTACTTTCTAGTAGTGGAGATACCTTGTGGCTCTGCCTCTCTGATTTCCGCTGTTAACGATTGAGCTCATAACAACATAATGTTACACCAGGTAGAACTCCGCCCCGGCAGGGAGAGCCTTCAAACCCATGTATACCTTTCTTGGGTCGATACGTGGCTTTTGAGCCTGAAGGATGGTCAACCCAAACGAAAGAGGGCAGATATGACCTTGGAGGAGATCACTGATCTATTTCGGGAGTCAAACATGTTCCGTCTATTGGACGCTGATACTATACGACGAGCTGTCAACTCGTTTCAGCGACTTGATAGGGAGGGCCATATTACCTACGGCGGTAGCCGTCCTCCCTCTTGCGCCACTACAGACGTCATGTCTCAGAGCTATAATCCGCGAACTTCTGTAGGTGTTTTTTTCTATAGAACCCACAGTCGCTGAGCTTTATTCGTGGGGCTGGGCAAATCTACTCAGAGCATGGATCTGGATGAGCGTGGCTATGTCGAAATCATCACTGCTCCAAACTGAAGAAACTTCCACTGATGATTCCACAGTGTACTTGTAATGGTGATTTTCCTATACCGAAAGAACTTGCTACCGAGAAGTTCTTGAGCAATAGTCATTGCCTTACCGTTCAAAGTACCCTTAAATATCTGCAGGACGTTGTTGATCGGCCAGACGAATGCGCCCCAGACCTCTATACGCCAGAGAAACTACGAAGGGCCGTTCATGAATTACTTCTAGCTAATTCGGAGGAAACCAACATTGTGGATACTTGCCTCGGAGTTGGAACCGCCAACAAGATCCCAAAAATCCAAGCCCCTGACAGACGGCCACATCCCCAACACGACCTAGCTCTTCTTACTCATGGAGAGCTATATCCCTCCATCGAAGGTATCAAGATCTGTGCGGATGCCAGGCATTATTTTGTCCTTGGATGCGCTGTTAACCGCTGCGATTATGGTATCGCCCGTGCGATTGCAGATGCAGGAAATGATATCCTCATTGGAGACTATTTCGAGGCACTGGACGAAGCAACACTAAGACTCCTCCAACGCAGCGGTGCCGCCGCTCTGGCTTATCTTAAACTTTGCAGTCTTGCTGGTGGGGTCACTGAATGGCAATATCAGAACTTAGTAGCATCGAACATCCACGCTCGCGTGCTGATGGTATATCGAGACCATGCCAGAGTTCGTCTACCCAAAGGCATCTGGGGCTCGCGAATGACCGGTCTACCAGTACAGCGCCATATCGACCTCGGCTTATTCAATGCGATCATGCCAGCTGCAATAGCTACTGGAGAGGAACTGACTGAGATGGAGTTCATGGATCTTGTTTCGGCTTGCACGCTAGTCAATGACTTGTCAGACTTTCGCAGCGATCTCTTCCGCAACTCGCGAGAGAATCCGCTCCTGCGGGGTGTCAAAGGCAATATCTGCCTGTATATAGACGGATTGATTGTAAGCTGCCTAGAAGCTGCCACCAAGGCATTGCAGTCCAGTACACTCAGTGGCATTGTCGTCATGGCATGTTGCAACTGGTCTGTAATGGGGACGCACCACAAAATTTACGAGCTGATATCAGGGGTCAAACCGGTTCAGAATTATCCGCCATGTGGATATGCTTCGGAAGTCGAATCCAAGTACTACGATAATCTTCTTCTGGCATTGAAACCTTATGGATCACTGGGCACATCAGGTCCGTCTCTATGGAAAACGCGGGCCGATATGGATAAGACCTACGCCATCGCGCGGCTTTCTGAGGACACACATAAAGCGTGGTTAGCAGATATCACTCGTGCTTTTCTGGAGCCGAAATCTCTGAGGAAGATAGTAGATGTCGTTCACTTTGAATGGGTCGGGGCTACGGGAGATGCGGCTTATTGCCCCTAGTCCAAGGACACTGATGTTTATTTTGTGTCCATGGTACTAATGAGTAGCGAGAGCAACGATTATATGATCATAGGCAAGATGTGTTCCGTAAATACATGCTTGCTTTGAAGAGAAAGCGGGATCAATACCCCTCCACTTCATACGCCACATACCTGAATTTCAGCTTCTCATAGTCAATCAAACATTTTTTTTTTTTTTTGCTTTGACGTTTTGCCAGCATGTCAGACTGCCAAGGGCCTTCTTGGATACTTGAAGCGGGGCGGTGTGCCATGCTTACAGAACCTAGACATGATCTCCATCTCTATCGTCAGCTTTGTGGGGATCATCTGCCGCTCCGCTTACGTCGAAGCCAGGACCAATTGCTTCATATGTGTGGTCGAATATTCAATGATGGAGTCGACATCAGCTCTGCGCTAATTTGCAACGATTTTGAATTCAGAGTTTATGAACCACTTGAAATCAGCAACCGTTCACAAACGTCGACATCCAGCGGATAAACTTTCGCAGAAGAGTCGGTCGGATAGTAGCCTCCTATATCCGTTTGACAGCATCGGGGGTACTGAGATTCTTATATCAAAGAAACCATCCGAGAATGCTTCCCCTCAGCCCCGAAGAAGTGACTGTGGAATGGATGTCCAATACACTGGGCCAGAGGGTCAAGACGGTTGAGTATACTGGGGCCATTCATACGACTGCGAGTAAACTTTTCGTCACGGTGAAGTACGAGGACGAGAAAGAAGACGATGGCTCCAGACCAGCCAAGCTGTGTATCAAAGGGGGCTTCACAGATATGGCAGAACGGTTCCCCTGGATCATCTTGATCTATCAAAGAGAGGTGGAATTTTTCAACAGAATTGCCCCGACGCTCAAAGGGCTAGAGCTCCCAAAATGTTGGTGGGCAAGCTCCGATGCGAAGCAAGGCATCGTCGTAATGGACGACTTGAATGCCCGGGGCTTCACATTTGGCGACCCGCAATTCGAATGGAGCATCGAGAAAGTTCTGGCCAGCGTCGAACAGCTAGCCGTTCTGCATGCTGGAACCTGGGGCGTCAGGGCAGAAGATTACCCCTGGCTGACAGCAGACTATGAACACGCAATTCTGTCACTGGCGGATACCTACGAACAGACAATAAACAGCCCTGGTCGCCCACAACTCATCGAGTCCTTGACGGACCAGAGCCGTGTAATCGGTGCCCTGAAGAAACACTTCCGGTGTCGAGACCCCAGGTTCCGCTGCCTGCTACACGGTGATACACATACGGGGAACACGTTCATCAATCCCAGCGGATCCCCTGGATTTCTCGACTGGCAGATGATACACATTGGCTCGGCGTTCCACGACGTTGCGTACTTTGTGACGGGTGCGTTGAGCGTCGACAACAGAAGAAAACACGAGGGTCGCATTATTGACCATTATTTGACTTGTCTGGGTAACCTCAGGGCACCCAATTTCTCCCGTGATGAGGTGATGGTCGAGTATAGAAAATCACTATTGGCTGGCATAGGATGGATCATGGCTCCAGACTCGATGCAGTCAATGGAAAGAACGCTCCCCATGATTGGACGATACGTCGCAGCCATGGACGATCACAAGACTATCGAGCTCATTGAGTCAGTGCCGGATACGAAGAGCGGCAGCTAGTTGAGCAGGAAGTGTCAACACAAAAGACAAGGAGTCGTTTCGGTTGGTGTACAGGAAAGAATAGACCAGCCCTGGCTTACCACTATCGACAAGAGACAGACATTCCACATCGCGCCTCAATAACAAGATCAGAATTCTAGCATGTATTGCTGCCAATGGGCGATTTCAATTCGGACTGATACGGGGTAAACAGGGTCCCTTGTCTCCACGCAATTCACTACCGGGGTGAGTCATCTCAGATAAGCTTGACAAGCACTGCATCGCCTTGTGACACATCTCCCCAGATTTAAAGTACCATACTTCCAATTGTCGAATAGCGTGCAGGATGACAAGCCACCGGCTCTGAATTAGCATTGAGCGCAAGTCGCCAAAAGCTCTCCCCTCCTTCGGCTACAGCACCCCATTCCCAGACTAACAGACCAGCGAACGCGCATACCCTGTACCAACTCCGAACTCCGATTACCCTGCGTGCCTAGCAACGTTCAGTACTTTCGCTATGGTGTAGTATTCCGATTTCTCCCTCACTTGGCCGAAACCAGCCTCAATCCGCCAAATTCGAATTCCGTGCCGCATAGGCACACGACGATGGCCCTGGAACTTTTGTTTTCATACGGCAATTAAGATTCAAGTGCGTGAACCCGGCCCACACTGGCGTGCATGGTCTGGCAGATTGAACACAATGTTGATCACAGCCACGTCAGGAGTCATCATTGCTGCAGGGAACCTCTGATGCTATTTGCCGACCAGGCAGGGCGGCTGCCGCATGGCAGGATGATAAGCGATGTCTGAGTCCCGACTACGTATTTCTTCCCCCAAGGTTGGCTGCCTTGCTTAGTGGACTTGGCAGCTCCAAGACCGAAGTATGCCTGCTGGCATGTAAGGAATCAACTTTTGTTGGTCAATTGCCTTTTAAGCCCCCATCACAGTCACTCCATAACACTCCATAGCCTCGTACTAGGCGGTAAGGAATGATGATGAAGCGCATTACGTTTGCTCCGTTCCTGCCTCAAGGTGGTGGCTTGGGTGAAATTGAGTCACCTAACCAGGGACATAAATTTTCATTCCGATTTGGAGCAGCGTACGCAAGCTGGTTGACTTGTGAAGTAGGATGTGTTACATCACAGCTCGGTTGTGTGAAATTGTGTATATATATCAGGTCATGTTGTCGATGTCTGCCTAGAAGAATTTGCCTACATTATCATCATCATCAGGCAACAACTACAAGACTTACACACACAATAGCCAAACATATATATACTCTGTTTGTTTCCATTATACAAGGCATCACAACCGATCAGCCTGACATCTAAAGTCAAGAACAACAAGACCAACCGCCATTTCAATATCACTTTTCACAATAACGACATTCTAACAACCTCACTTATAACAATGTCGGCCCGTCCCACACACACGCAAGACGCCAAACACTCGTCCGCTATGTTGGACATGTTCGCAGACGTAGATCGCCTGTCGCCATACACCACGACAAGCAAGAAGTCGTCGTCATCCTCAGCAAAGTATGGCGACAACGCCTCGCTGTTCAGCACTAGCTCGTACTCCAGCACACGCAGCCTGCTTAAGAGCAAGCCGTCATCCAGCCGCAGTGGCAGCAAGACAACGGATCCCAAAGAACTGTACGCCACCGCCGTGCGCAACTCTCTTCGTCTCAACGTCTGAAAGCCCATAACTTCCTGTGTTGGGAGATTCAATGTTCTTCTCTTATGTCTAGCTATCGATGCTTCTATGTCAACTCCGATCTTGTCATTGGGAAATGGAAGAGAAAGTCCTGAGTTCTAACAAGTTTCGTTGTCGAATTGTAGCTAGGGGAAGATTATGCACTCGTAACATACAACAACACTACAACAACTCTATATATGCACCACAGCGTGGGGCGTTGACAGAGTCGGAGCAGGAGCCGGCAGGGAGTGCCGATCACCGACAACGCACCCGCCTGGACGTTTCTCCCGCCAAGACAGGGGGAAACGGACCAGAGTCCGGGCGCACCAACACCGCCACGATGGCTTCGCAAAGCTGAGACTTCGAGCCGGGTCCGTAGGGATTGTCCCTCTCTGGGGCATTTCCGGGCCCTGCTCGGGGTTATTCAAGACCTGCTGTGATGGAATACAGCAGGCGCATAGAGGACGGAGGACCGTCAGGTTATAGAACTATTTCAGGTTTCCATACAAAATTATGGGACTTCGGCTTGGGTTTGCTGGGAAGTTTGCACCGTTGCAGTGAGAAAAGAGGAAATGCTTAGTTTCGCACGGGGTATCTTTATCCACCTTGTCTATCTACCTAGAAATTTGAGCTTTTTGCCCTCATTGACTATGTCCATCTCCTTGTGACTTATATTGTTTGAGCGCCTGCGCGTCATGCCTCCCCTTAGAAGGTATCGTCTAGTATGTCTTGATTCATCTTGACCATAGTTGGGCTGTATTCTGCGTCGTCTCCCAGGTATTCAGGGGCGGCTCCGGCAGTCAGTAGAATGTCATCCACTATGCGTTTGCTTGCTTCCCGAGCTAAATATGCTTGTTAGTGCCTGACTAGAGTACAAAGCCAAGAGGCTGCGAGATACTGACCAGGCGTTTGCATGAGTTTGCTGGGCGGCAATGCGAATTGAATAGTCTTGGGAGGACTCATGCCTCCAAACACGCCTCCCGTCTCTTCTTCGTCGCTGTCCCAATATATCTCTGCGTCACTCTTCCCTTTTCCTTTCGCGCCACCGGCCTGGCCTGCGAAGACGTCCTTCGTCTTCCTCGCCGTACCGGGGGTATGCACGCTGACGCCGGGTGTCCGCGGTCCACTTCCGGCAATGCCTCTTCCCAGACCCTTTGGTGCCTTCAGCGGCGATACGCCACTGTATAAGTTAGTCCTGAGCATGGGCGCCGCCATCTCCGGGGAGCTCATGGGGCTGTCCTGCCACAGCTTGCGGCGGGTGTTATCATTTTCATCGACCCTGGCCCCGCCCAGCTTCACTGGCGATAGCGTCTTGTGCGGTGTGGCCTGGATGCGGTAGTTCTTGTCCAGGATGCGATGCAGCAACGGGTCCGTGTTTTTGCCCTTGACTTTACCGCTAGCTCCGAGGCCAAGGTGCTGCGTTGGGTCGGGTGCCTCGAGCATGGACGACGACCGCGGTGTCATGGACATATCTGGCAGGCGGGTCTGTGTTGCCGCCATGCCGGGCAGTTGCATGGTCTCATCGTCATCCCCTTCTTCTGCTTCGGGAGGGAAGTCGTCGCCCTTCCTCGCAGCGGAAGCCTCGTCCTTCATCTCGCGGCGCAACGTCTCGAAGGGCGAGTTGAGGTCTGCGAACTGCATCTGCCGGAGAGATTTGGTGGCGGGCGGACGTGGTGTGCTCCCCGTCAGCGACCCGTCGTCCAGGAGGCTGTCCTCGACGTCGCGATGGCGCTGGGACTGCTCCTGGTAAGCGGCCTGGTCACCAGTCGCATCCTCTACATCCTGTGGTGTGTAGTCTTCGGAGGCAGTTGTTGTGTCGGCGATCTGGGTCGTCTCTTCGCCGCCCGCGGTGGTATCTTCTTGTTCGTCGTTGGCAAGCTCCTCGTAGCCCGAGAGCGACACATTGGCCGAGGCCTCGAAGAATTGCTTCCAGAACTGTATGCGAAACAGTCAAGTCAGATGTGCCGTAACTCCTTTGATGCAGAAATGCGAGTAACAGGGGTGTCAAACATACCTTGGAAGCTTCCCAGACGTTCTTGGAGTGCTCCCCGTATTGCTCTACCAGGGGGAGGATACTGGTGGTCACGATGCGGTGAGCTTTGCTGAAGTTATGATCTATCTCTTGCAGAGTAAGAGTGATGGACTGCTCGAGCTTCTCAAGCTCTTCCGTCAGGGTCAGGTTCCTCGACGGGCCTGGGCGCGACATGTTTGCTGGCGTTTGGGGCGTATTGTTTGGAGGGCAATGTTGTTGATGTCAGCGCGGCCAGACAGTTTATGGCAGCTCGAAGTGTGGTGGGGTTGTGTTTAGGCGCGTCGAGCGCGATGCGGGGCCACTATAACGCCCAAAGGAATCTGGTACCCACCCGCGGTCAAGGCAATCCTGCCCATAACATGACAATAGCTGGCGTCTTGGACGCTGCCTTCATTGAACAAACGAAGCCGTTTTAGCTTTCAATTATTCTCTTCTGAGCTCGACTTACCTGTTTGTTCGAATCATGATGCTACTTCAATCTCTTCGTAGCGGTAGCAGCTCTTCAACAACAGCAAATGAACCCAACATACGGGCTAAAATATCTCGAGGCTAATCCATGAGCCTTGCAAGAAGGTTGAATGAAATGCGTTGGTATTTCGCCGGGGGTATCATCTACGTATCCTATCCATTTCTTCTAGGCCCACCATAGTGACCTGACATCTCTAATTGTAGCAGTAATCGATCAATCGTGTTCTCCTCTTTGGCGGCTGTTCGTCCTTCGTCGCTCATCAAATCATGCCTTTGTGCTTTGCTGCTTTGCCCCCCCTTTTCGCTTAGGCCGCGACAAACGGTAATGAAGACGTCAACTCCCTTCTTGAACGCACTGTAGAGTGCAAATACATCTTCCGGGCCTTCCTGATGCCCGCCCAGAGCCTGGGTTCTAGCCAGCTTGGAAAATCGCAGAATCAGGGTGAAGATTTCCTCCAAGACCTTGAGCACAGGCTGCTGCCGTTTCCTTAATAGCAGCGTATGCATTATGGAATCCAGCACTTGCTCCTGGCGCTCGCGGAGCCCGTCAGGACTTACGATCGGAGCCGTGTTTGGCGTCATATCGTCATTCTCGAGCCCGGACTGCACCTCATCCAGCCAGTTCTCGAATTTCATCCACGGAAGCCCGATACCAGAATCGAAGAAGTATGCAGCGATGCTAGAGGTGAAGTGCTGGGCCTCAATCCGAAAACGCAGGCACACGTCATCCACTTGGCTCCAGCGTGACGTCCTGGCAAGAGTGTCTCGGAAAAGCTCACCAGTGACATGTAGCATACGGAGCAGGCGAAGGAGCATCTTGAAGATCTTGTCAAACTTGACCAGAACCACCGGTGTCATAATTGGTGCTAGTGGCGCAGGTGGCTTGTACGACAGTCGCAGGAAGTCTAGAGCCTCCAAAGACCCTGGGTTTATGCACTTTTCGATCTCCTCATCGGAGAGGTCTCGGACCGCAAAGCTCAAATCTCCAGGAAGCTCGTCCGTCTCTCTGTTGCGTGTCTTGAGGTCAACCGCTGGGAAATAGGCCTCGGTCAATACCCCCATGAGGGCAAGGCGTAGCTCGGAGCTTGCTGGAGGCCAAGTATCCCGCGTGCCCAGTCGAAGACCCATGGCACCTCCTTTCCTAGCAACGCCTGCTTGTCGCTCTGCCGTTTCGAGATCAGCATCAAACAGGGCATGAGACAGACGACTACAGAACAAGCCGTTCCCGAGCAGCTGAAAGCTTTTCTGCAAGGCGATGTGATCGCGCAATCTATGCGAGTTGAACAGCAGCTTCATGTACTCCCGATTTACCAATCTTGCCTGTGCCTCGACTAGCGGTCCAAACGACAACAGGGGAAGAAGTGACCAATGCGGTATGAGTGCCAATCCACCCTGGAGCTTGTGATCTTCTTTTTCCGCGAATAGACGGTCATGAATGAGTTGAGACAGCTTGTCTGTCGAGCTTGGCGCCTCGAGAGGTTTATTCATCTCCTTGATGGACGCCATGAGCCTGTCCGCCAATTGACTTTCTTGCTGTCCGAAGAGTTCAAGACTGTATGTCATGATTGGCGTGCTTGTTTCATCCTGTGTCTTCTCAACCTGCCCAATTCGGTAGTCGTGAATCGCTTGCATCAAAGATGTTTCGTAATCGTTGACTTGTCTCTGCAGGAGTTCAATGGCTCTCCAGTCGTAATGCCATTGAAGCTTGGGAGGGCCTTTTGATTGAACCAGCTCTGTACGGCAGAGTACATGTTCAGGGTGGTGAGTACGCAACAATCTCAAAGTTTTCCCGGTCTCAAACATTGTGCGGGCAACATCATCCGGCACGAAGTTTGGCACGCGACGTGCATCAAGTATGTAATCCGGCTCTTCAGTCTCCATGCCAAAGTCGTCCATGTAGACGACGTTCTCAACTCGGACAAAGCTTTTCCCTGGGCCATCTTTCGTCATGGGATTGCCTTCCTCCGCCTTGACTCCTATCCACTTTTGGGTAAAGTCGGCCCAGGGTTCTGAGACCCTGGCAAGTACCTCACGCATGATGTCGCCCAGCAGACTATTGCCATCTTCCAGAGCCTGGGTCTCTTCGAACAAGATGGACAGCATTTGCTCGTCCGTTCTTCCTTTGTTGAGTTTGGTGACCAGCGACTCGAAATGGGCCAAGATGGTGTGGACCGGTTGCACTGCAGCTTGGAGCTGCAGCAAGGAGCCAATTTTTCGGGCTCGATATCCCAGCTTCGTCTGGATGACCAGAAGAAGACTGTCAACGGCTTTTGCCAAGGCTATCCTGGCTGCCGATGGATGAGTCCTGTACATGATCTGAACGAAGACGTAGAGAAAACGCGAGATATTCCCGGACTGAAGACATTTGCTTTGTAGGGCTTGCAGTACTTTTGACGAGAAGCCTGATATCCGCAGCTTGTCCAGCTCGGGTACAAATACCTTAGCCTTCTCATCGTAAGTAAAGAATATCGACGTGCGGCCAAGAGCCAGTGCCAAAAGGGCAGTGATATATGGGCTCGTTTCCACGAGGTGGTGGTCGCTCTCCTGTATGCCGAGTGGATCATCCGGCGAGAGCAGTGCCACATCATACGAGCGTGCACCGGCTTCAGTTATGAATAGAGGCTCGACAGGCGGGATGTCAGGCAATGCAAATCCATCCCAGCTTTTATATCCCGGGACCGGAGGGGTCTCCGGTCGTCCTATACAAGCATCATTGAATAGGTCAATATCCTGCTGGGTGGCCTGCCGAGGGGCTCCAGGAGAAGGTGATAACTCATCGTCGGACTCATCCCGCCTCCGCTTCAGCACCACAGGCTCCCAGATGGTGGGTAGGCCGAAGAACTCGTTAGACTGTCCGTCTGTGATCTCATCGTCACTTGCTTGCACCAAGTGTGACGAGTTGAGCCGCTTCAGGTCGAGGTCGAAGAACTCATGCTGGCGCAGGGGTGATGCTTCTACCCATCGGGACGTTTTCCAGAGATCCGGAGCTGCGAAGACGTCGGCAATATCCTCGCCTGCCATCTGTAAAGCTGATTATGACCTGTGAGCTTCATTTGGCGCAGAAGATCCAGGCCCGACTTGTCCATGCGCTCACCAACAACAAAGCATGGAAGAAGGCAGGCCTACCGAGATCAACCCATTGCCCAAAACGCGGTTTAATGGATTTCCCGCCCCAAGTCGCGTCTCCCCGCGCCCTGTCCCAGGCCTTAGCGGACCCCACTGGAGATCGGCAGGGACTGGGGCGGCAGCTCAGCTAAAGCTACAGCTCCAGAACGCTGCATTTTTCTCCATCACCCGTCTTCCGCCAACCGTATTCTCCATCTTCACGAATGCTGCGCGCTTCCCTGAGCCTCGCCGAGCAGATATCGCATCACACCTAGCGCCCTACGGACCTCCCGACCCTGATCTGCTGCAATTGGAACTGCAATGCCTCCCAAGCGCAAAGCCGCGCGCGCAAGCTTGGGTGTCAGTACCCCAAAGACACCCACGCCCATGCACGAGGATTCCATGGACATAGACACCCCTCAAGCGTCAGATACCCCAAGAGCAGCCGATACACCCACTGTGGGCAAGCCCAATCAACCTTCAGCGGAGGAGTTGCTCGGAAACATATGGACGGACGACCAGGAATCCTCCTTATACAAGGGCATCATCAGGTGGAAACCCGCGGGTGTGTGAAGCCGTCCTCCCATCGCCCGTCTGTTGTCTGCCTACTCACGCGACTCCATTACTCTAGGAATGCACAAGCACTTCCGCATGCTGGCCATCTCGGAACACTTGCGCAATCACGGCATCAACCCCGACGTTGAAACACACACTCGCATTCCCGGTATCTGGGCCAAGCTGCGCACGCTTTACAGTCTAGACCTCATCGATGAGCGGGAGAACTACGACGACGACGTTGATAAGTACAAGGAGTTCGGCCTCCCGAACACGGAGTATTGGGACATGATGTTTGCTCGCCGCCTGCCTGAGAACCCCAGCGAGGCCCCGAGCTCCCCTCCCGAAATGGACCTCGACGATCATTCCACGCGCGGTGCCGCAGGGCCCCCCAGTGTGTCGGGGGGCGAAAGGGGGACCAAACGGAAGAGGGGCGGGGCCAATGCTGCCGACGTCGCTAGTGTTGCCGGTAGCACCGCGAGGACTCGTGGTAGCACTGTCGAAGATACCGAGGAAGACACGCCCCTGGCGTCCAGTCCAGTGGCGAAGAGCGCCCGCGGTGCCAGGAGCCGGAAGAGAGCAGCTGCCAAGGCAAAGGCTGAGAGTACGGAACCAGAGCCCACCGAAGAAAATGACGAGGAAGACGGCAACCAGGGGGGGGGAGAAGAAGGAGCAGAAGAAGAAGCAGAGGACGAGGACGAGGACGAGGAACGGGAGGAGGAGGAGGAGAGTGACGCGGAGGCCGAAGCCGAGGCTGAGGCTGAGGACACAGCAGCCAAGTCTACGAGAGGCAGCACGAAGGCCACAGGACGGACAACCAGAGCGCGCGCCAATACGCGGAAAGGCAGGAAATGAAGGACTGTGGAGAAGCACGATGAGTTGGATTAAGGACAGGTTTCGTCCCTGCCCCGTGTACTTTGAAAAGCTGGCAGGACAGGCGGCTTTTGTTCATGATACCCATAAACTTGGAATTGTACGTTGTGTACCGAGGTAAGTATAGCTGCACGGAACCTACTCCCATATTCAAAATCAGTGCTGATAGTTGCAGAATGAAGGGCTCCTCTACGTAGTGAATTACCCGCGGATAAGTCTACCAAGGGAATTTTGAATCAAATCTTGCGCCGGCTCAAAGGCTTCAGAAATATCCATTATGCAACTAGAATGGTAAAAAAGATCGTAAGTATCCCGACCATGGCGGATGCAGCCCGCCTGCCCTATATACACATAAGAGATCCGGCCCGTCTCCATCCCATGAGCCTATCTTATAAATTGGCTCTTTATCTCAGCCAGTCCATTTGGTCAAGCAGATTATCGCACCCAGTCCATGGTATCTCAAGAAAACAGGACGTTGCTTGTATCCATCCCCCCGCGTACTCGCAATACACTTCACAAATTATCGTATTACCGACATCACCGCTTCCCACTGCCATCCTCGAGGTCGGTTTTACTCTCCCGGAAGACGCTCGGCCGTGCCAGCGGACTCGACGGCGCGTTTCCCCCCACGGCCCGGTCCATGGGCTGGAAGTAGTCCGTCTGCTGCTCCCTGCCCTCAGCTGTGGGCGGGCTGACGGGCGGCGGCGGCGACCCCGGCACTGCGCTGCCGATCACAGGGGTGGGCGGCGCCGTGCCCGCCGCCGAGCTTACGGTAACATCGCTGATGTTGCGCAAGTGCGCCTGCTCCCGCTGGCTCACGCTGCTGAGATCCGAGACCACGCGGCCGGCCTCGGGCTCCGGGGTGCTCGTCGCCGCCGGGCCTGTGACGGTGCCCAGCGCCGGCGAGTCCGGCCGCGCGGGGTCCAGGCTCGGCGTACCCGCCAAGCCGCGGGCCTGCGAGTTCGTCGACACGGAGGCGTGGTCGCCCGAGACGGCGTAGCTGCTGGAGCCGAACGACGAGGGGTTCCGGGCCGAATGGGGCGTGCGGGGGGCGAAGTGGGTGTGCTTGTTGATGATGTCGATAGGGGTGAGCCCGGTGTCGCCTAGTTCTACCCGTGGAGAAGTGTCTAATGCGTCTCGTTAGTCATACCGCTGCTTTGAGCCTCATCAGAAAGGCACTTACCCATAAGCTCGACGAGTGGCGTATCGGGCATTTCTTGCACGTGGTGTTGGACTGTTGTCGACCTTGCCTGAGCCATCTCTTGGTGGTGTAGGTTAGGTGTCTGGCCGCCGGCCTGAGATTCCATGTCGTCAATATTGTTGGGTGTCTCTTCGGTCGTGACGGTGCCGGCCTTGTGATTGCCATCCTGTCCGCGGATCCAGGACAGGACACGGTTGCCGTTTTCATCGACAGTACCGCCTTCACTTACTCCGCCGCGCCGCAGAAGCTTGCGCCGTCGGTAGAGCAAGATGCCAACCACAATGGCCGAGATGAACACGAGGCCGAGAACCACACCCAGAACCGGTGCGACCCATGTGGGAAGCCCAGCAGAGTTACCCATGTTAGTTCTGTCCCCGTTCGAGTTGTCTCGAGCGTAAGGATAATAGGTGGTGATCTTTGAAGTCGCATAAGTCGTCTGGAACACTTTGGACAATTCAGGCGTTGCCCATCCAGTCGGTGTTGGCACTGTCATTGTAGCGCCCCCAGCGTAGTCACCACCAATCATGAGATGGATCATTTCTGGGACGCCATACTCGCCGTATACCTCCGGGTCGTATGACTCCTGCCATTTCCCCTCTGTCAAGTTGAACACCTGGACGACGCCGTCCTCTAAACAATTGAGACTGCCGCTGCCTTCGTTCGACGGATAACCGCCGACAACTACCATCTGGTCCGGATACGGTGTGAAGCACTGGTGGCCAGCTCGCGCATGGTCGGGTTTTCCAGATGAGACCTTCATCCACATGAATGATGGGAGAGAGAGAATCCACACATCATCGTTGAACGGCTGGTCCATATGCAGTCCATCGTAGCCACCATAATAGTAGATGCTGTAACTTGACAAATCTTTGGCGACCGATACCACAGCACAACCAAGCGCCAGCTGGCCGGGCCCTCCAATGGTGTCCTGCTTATACCATTTTTTGCTGGCTATATCGAAGATGTCTATAGTTGACATGAAGGCAGGGCTATCGTTTTTCTGTGTGCATGTCAGTATTCGTCTGTAGCATTCTACGCGTAGCTTACGCTTTGTCCCTCATTCTCAGACGTGAGGTTTCCGTTTGTAAAGTCTGGCTTCGTCACACCACCCAACGCAACGAGAATGCCTTGTTCACCGACCGGTACCCATACAAGAGAAGAGCCACCACGACCTTTAATATCGGGTGGCAGAGTATCATTATGCCAAGTTTCCTCTTGCTGTGTAGTCATATCCAATGTGATCAAGGTATCAGAGGTTTCGAGAGCGTTCAGCGAATCGTTGATTGTGGGAACATATATGGGACCCCAGCTGCGCGAGCGCATCCCGCCAAAGTAATAGGCCTTGTTCTCGGATGGAGCGTTGGCAGCCCCTCCAAATGCTAGATACCGCGTCAAGTCGCCCTCAGGTAACTCCTTGAAAAGGAAACCCTGGTTGAACTTCTCCTTCGGCGCTCCATATTGGTATTGCTGATAACCAATTACGTTCTCCGCGTCTGGCGCAGCAAATGTATCGGTATAAGTCAATAGACCGCCGTAGAGAAAAAATTCATTATCATTAGCAAGCATGGCACCGTCGAAATAGTTCGGTGCCAAATTGTTAAGACTGTTCCCAATCGAACCTTTTGGTACGGTGGTAAGGATCTCGCTGATATTTGCGGAAGTGTTGAAAGGCCTGCTGAAGTTCAGTTGATAGATTGAGCCTAAGGGGTTAACTGGAAGCTTCGTCAGTGATACTGTTTCTATCTGGTGATGGTACTCTACAAACGGTCAAGTTCCGCCGGGGCGAGTGATCCATCGGCTAATCCTGGCGTCCACCATAGGTATCCTCCATCTATCCATACAGTATCTCGAATATGTGCAGCTGCTACGGTGTCAGTGGTTTCCCTATGGGAGAGGTCGTTCATCAGAGCAAAGGGTAACTGTAAGCTGACCTCGAGGATTCTGCCACGAGCACATGGTGGCATTGACTTGGTTGTCAATCCATCCCGAAGATTGACTGTCCACAACTGAGGCGATGCCAGCAGCAATCGCTAACCTGGCTATTCTTGACCAAGACATCGTGTCCAAGGCTGATCATGCAACTGGGATCATCTAGTGGGCATAGATCGGGAGACGAAAAAAAATATCAAGCGACCGTGGTAGACAAACGAGGCTCACGAAGCTGCATGGGTCGACCTAGGGACTTAGACTGTAACAGAGCCACAGGGGGGCAATTCGACGACAACAAAGATATCCGGGTCAACGACTGGAATGTGGTGTCAAGATCGAACTTGACTCTGATTTGTCACGTACCCGAGCCCGAGTTGACCGCGACCTCAAATTTTTTTGAGATGAAAGCAGAGAGCACAACGGATTTGGAGGCTTCGTCGCATTCGCCTTTGTCTGGAATCGAGGGAAGAGACAACGCCTTGCACGGCGGCCCCGCATCTGACAACGGCCTAAGGCGTGGCAAAGTCTCAAAGAGACAAGACGATTCTTCTGGGTCAGTTTGGATTGGCTGAGCGCGTGCTGATGCGACCCCAGGAGAGAATAGATGGCGAACAATATGTGCAGCGCCTCCCGTGCTGATCGCTGCAAGTCAGACTATGGAAGATTCGAACAGAGGTTTTTGGCCGCCTTTTCGCAGGGCTGGACAACCACGAAAATCTAGAAGTAGGGTGAGACTTTACCCACACTTACATGTCTCCCTCGCATCCAGGAGAACGCGAGGGTGTGGTCGCTCTCAAGCCTCAAGCAGCAGCTACACTAGCGCCAGAACCAGAGACTCGGCATCGCAATGCGGATCGTTACCATGCCAGACTCAGCCTCGCCCGCAAACAGCATAAGCCGAGCAGGCTTCAGGGCAATACTCGGGAGACAAGTCGTTCGATAATTCCGTATCGCTTTCATCGCTCAACATCAAGCAAAAGCGCCAAGCCTACAACTACAACCTCAGATTCTCCAGTGGCTGCGATGGATCGACTGGGTTGCCAAGGTGTCTATACGGATCGTGTCATTCCCCGAGTCAGGTATGGTACTGTAGGGTCAAGACCAAGTACGGCGTACCCCGAACAACCCGACTGAAGGGACACAGAGTAGTAGAGGGCTGTGCCTAACATTCCGATGGTACAGTAGCACGGACAGCGGGAACGGTCCAATGTCTAGTTTTGACGGAATGCATCAGCACAAAAGCACTGCATGAGAGACAGGGATCTGATTGGTGGACGTTGCCCACCCGACCTGCACGTGGATAGAGAAGGCTGGGGCTGCTGATGTGATTGTGTATCCCCATGCTGTCCGTCTCGTTGACACATCAGGGAGTCCGCCGACGAGCTTCAAAGGCGCGTACATTGCAAAAACGCTGGCTCTGGTGGCGGCGGTGGAGTATCTGGTCAACGTCGCGGCAGATTGCGAAGTTGTGAAGTCCAGGTAAGGTTGGAGAGAGGCAAAAAGACGTTGCACTAGGCACGTCCCTCTACTCTACAAGCAGTTCCACTACGTTAGCCCTACCCGTTCCCAGACTATGCCAAGTGGAGCCCCGGCTATACTCCAGAGTGCTAGCCAGCCATCGCTCTGAGCGCCTTGACTGCGGCCCGGCCAATCAACAGTCGACAGCAATGCGGCCCGCTCGCCTAGCACAGTCTTCGGGCGGGAGTAACACCCAAGAGAGACAAGGCAAAACCCCTCATTACCATCAGCTATTTTTACTTTTGACGGTCCATCCAGCTTTTCCAGGGTTCTTACGTGCTAAGTAATATGGTCATCAGCTCAGTCTCACGTTGTGGATACTGTTTTCCATACTACTTTCCATACTCTGTGCACGGTAAGCAAGTAGCTCGTAGACTAATAAGACATGATAAATATCGGTCGACTCTGCTTCGCCATCCTGGCCTGGTGGGCAGAAATAGGTGGATGAGTTATCCGACTATCACACCCGAGGGGGCTTCTCCGGTGGATCGCCTGCCTGTGAGCTGATAGCTACCCCGCTTGCTCCAATGGGCAGGGCTGTCCACCTCAACTGCAGACGGGCAAGGTTGTCTTAGAAGGCGGCCACTCGTCTCTGGCCTCATCTCTGGCTCTGTGTTCTCGACCACCCTCACGCTACCGGTTTGCTCGTGCTGAAGACGGCTGTTAGGCCAGGACTGAGTGTCCAGGCACCCGAGTCATGATGTAACCAAACTTGCCCACGACAAAACCTACTCACGAGGGGCGAAAGTGCCAACCGCATCGGTCAGTCTCGCTGACTCTAGACCGCTGTCTCTGCACAGGCGGGCATGTCCATATTGCGAAGTTATGGACGTCGATTATTACCCTGTATGGTAAGCAATATTGGATGACTGTTGGTCCCAACCAGGCCTAGAGTGTTCTGAGCGGCATCCACCTTCCGTATCCTGAGCAAACTGTGTTACCGTTTTGTGTACCCGGGTTCAGCCCCTGCCACTTTGTGGTCAGTCATGCCCAATTCGTCAACAAGGACGACAGGGTCTCGCCTTCATTGGTCCAGACTCCGGGCCTCTATTGGTACAAAGTCCATGGTTGCTATTGCTCACAGCCTTCTCTACATCGTACTTCTGTTTGTGCCGCACAGCTGCAGAATGATCCAGGAAATGGCGGCTCACCAAAACAACCATGTTGCCATCGGCCAACACGTCGGCTGGAAGGCGCCCACACATGTTTTACCGCCATGGACAGCCCTGCCATCGGTCTCACTCGATCTAGGCAAAGCTGGGCCTAGCTGGCTAAAAGGACCGGCCGCCGTCACCAACAACGTTAACCAAGCATGTCGTATCCTGAAGATTGACCATTCGGACGTGCAGAAATGAATGCCGAGCTAGACCATCCGAAGGAGCTAGCATGTCCTGTACTCCACTCGGAATTGTACCACAGGAGCTTTCTACTACAGTATAGATACTTACCCAGGCATTCGGGCTGATGAGGCTGGTAGCCACGGATGACTGGCCTGTTGCTTGGCTGCATCCCCCTCGCCGTACGAGTATGACCGAAAAAGCCGAAAGTACTTTTCAAGATTGTCTCGCTCGTTGCTAACTCAATAACGACAAAAGAAAGAGTAACCGGCAGATCTCGATCTGTGTTCCGGTGAAGATATCTCTAATATGAAGCCTGTACACCACAGACGGTTTAGCCGCCTGGTACCTTGGGATGGCAAGCGGGCCGGACTCCTCGTGCATGCTATCACCCTCCATCATGCAATGCAGTCTAGGGTGGCCATAGGCAAATAAGTTGCTCCTCACGGATGCCTGGTTACATTGTGGGTTCATGGGTACCGGTGCTATGCAACCAGACGAACCCTGTCAGGCCAAGCTATGTACCTCCAGCTGCGAGTGCCTATGATCGTGCCCTGCCTCTACTGGTCAGCCTTATTCATCTACCTAGCTTCGCTCGCAATTCTCGAGAGGAGCTACGACAAGCTTCACTCTTTTTCCTCCGCAAGGAAGTCCTAAGTGGCGTTTTCGTATCCTCTGCGCAATAAAAAGTCACATTCGTTGACCTGGGGCCGTATAAGTCGCCAAAAGCTGACGATACCGTCAGCAGTTCTAGACCCTGCCGGAGCTCTGCTATTGGCTGATCTAGAGATCCTACAGTCGGAGCTTTGATATTATCGCCGCAACCCACGCGACATATACAAGACAGCCCAGGGACGCCTCTTGGGGTCCATCGTAACCCACTACTTCTATTGTGTTAGAGGACACACTCTTTTCTCATCGTTCGCTATACACAGAGTCGCTCGTTGTGCTTAGGCTTACACAAGCCTCCAATTGGATCCTCGTGGGAGCTGGTACAAGATGCAGCACATGAAGAAGCTGTGCGCATCGGCGGCTCTGCTGTTCGCCGCGGCGAGTGCGGCGAGCGTCCACGCCAGGCAGAATGTGACTGAAGAGAGAGTGACTGCCAATAATCTATGCTACCCAGCAACAACTACTCTCTGGAGCACGACGACCTCAATAAGCACTTGCTATCTGACGGAGACAGAGACTGAAACTATAACTTCTACGACAACTTGCTATGAGACCGAGACCGAAACGGAAACTACAACTCAGACTACTACGACAACTGAGCAGTAAGCTTGTCTTCAGGAGCGATTTTGCCTTTGACTAACTCATTTAGTGATACTACCACTGTTTATGTGACCAAGGATGTCATCACGACCGTCACTACAACTACTACTGACGAGGAGACTTTGATGTGAGTTTCCCACGAAGTTGCTTAACTTGGGCTTACTAATGTCTCGATTCTATTTAGTTCTACTGAATATAAGACACAAACTGCCACCACAATCTTGACTACGGTGAGTAGCTCTGTGTTTGCGGGATAAACCCAAAGCTTATTGATATAGTCGTATCCCTATTATGTCACGGTATGCGCAGGGCAAGTCACATCGTATCTTCTAGCCCGCCAATATGAGCCAAGTACGACAACAGTCGACACCACAATTACTATCACTTCCTGTCCGCCAATTGTCACCGACTGTCCGGCGAACAGCGCATCGACATCTGCAATCCCAACCTCGGGCTTCACATGTGTGGTTTCAACTGTTTGGAGTACAGTGACTGAAACTTCGACAACCACCTTTACTCAGCCTGTAACAACGACGGCGACAACAACGGCGACGACGACAGATACAACGACAGATACGGTTACAACCACGACCATTTACACTACATTGGTGCCAACCACCACCACCGAGACCGTGACTTCAACGACTGTTTCGCCAACAACGTTGATTGTTGATCGCACAACCACAGAGGTATCGTACGTGACCTCGACGTACGTCACCGTGTCGACTTACATCACGAGCGTACCCACCACAATAACTGATACCATTACGACCACAACAACTGCTATCTCTATCTCCGCGACGACAGAAATATCAGTCTCACCGACCACGGAGATCTCAATTTCGGCAACTACAACGACGGAGGAGGAGACTTCTTACATAACTCTTGTATCGACTACTACATATGTCACTGTTTCGATCACGTCCATCACCGACTCCGTATTTAGCACCAGTACTTTCACCACGACAGAGCTGGTCACGACTACGCAACCAGCTGTGACGGTCACGACGCAGCTTCCGGGTACTACAATTGTGACCACCGCTGTTATCACGAGCGTTTCGGTTTGCCCAGTGCCTACCAACACGGCTCCCGTCGCTCCCTACGTAGTCGGCTCGGATTTGACCTGGGGATGTCGGCCTGGCACCGTATGCAGCCCTGTTAAGCGGAACGGCTGCAATGTCTGGGCAGATCTACCAGACAAGGAGTATGTCTGCGAGCCAGGACGTTGCATACCATCACCTGCATACGAGGCCATTACGTGGCCCGAGAACGCTACTGGATACTACTACCCGCCTGTAGAAGGCTACTTCTATCTAGATCCAGAGGCCTTTGGCTTGAGCTACGATATCTTCGAGGAAGACGTAATCGCCACAACCACGTGCGATGAGTATGGTCGGACTATAACTACAACAATCACTACTGGCAACTGGGAATCTCAAAAATCGTTGACTGAGTACCCACGGACGACGTCCTCAAGTGCACCGGCGTACCCGACGTACCCAGCGCAACAGAAGCGCTCACCTGTTGCGCTACTCCACAAGTGGTCCAAGAGAGACGACACGATCCCTTCGATGTGCTACCCCTCTTGTAACAATGTAGTGGTCGAAGCCCAAAATCGAGGTAAAAGTACCACCCTGTGTGCTACTGGTTCGGCTTTCAGACTTTACGTGGAAACCTGTGATCGGTGCATCACAAACAATAGTGGTAACCAGAAACAACTTGGCTCTGAGGCTTATCTTAATTCCAAGTATTCCCAGTATCTCAACTACTGCGATTCACAAACCGCCGGAGGCGGTTCGTCCTCTACATCAGCTCAAGGAGTTGGCTCTGGCTCAGCTGCCGTCTCGACAGCTCCTCAATCATCAGCCAACACAGAGACTTCTCTCATCCCGATCGCGACAAACACTACGTCAAGCTCCTCGACATCTGCCATATCTACGAGCTCAGCAGAGAGTATAATTTCATCGAGCGAATCCATTCCAACGTCGACAGTTTCAAGCACGACCAGCAGCATTGTCAGCACGACTACCAGTAGCACCCGCAGCACCAGTAGCGCAGCCGCGAGTAGCACGGAAGCTGGAAGCAGCAGCAGCTCTGTAACAGTCCCATCGACGACCCGATCTGGAAGCGCCGGCGGAAGTACTACTGCTCCAGTGACCTCTTCTGCTAATGCAACGACCTCGACGAGAGGCACAACGACCACCAGTGCTCCGGCAACCGTTATCACAGCTGGAGCATCGCATGTGTCGTTGTATGCCAGCTCGAGCTCACTCATCTTCACTCTCCTGGCACTTATCTTTGCCATCTAATTCTCAGCGCAATAATGTTTAAACTTGTTTCCCTCCTTCTCGCATAATTCGCGTCACTCCTTTTACGACATTACGACCTTAAGAGTTTCAAGACAATCCTTCACGGCATATAGCATTACATGGATGGCGCATGGACACGGTATACGGACTCACACACTCATTTGGCAGGAACTTTGAAGGTTGAGATTTGGTTGTGTCAGGTTTTACATTATTTTTCTACATGATACCCATAGTGACACGATCCTTACGATAGAGTCCACATCGACCGCAATGGGGAGAGGTACTGGCCAAGGGGTGACAGTTTCTGATGAGACAGGAATAATGACTGGTCTATGGATGGAACGGATTGAGAGTGAATATACTTCTCTGTTGATCTTCGGCGGCGTGGCGATGGGAGGGAGGGAGCCAAGCCGACACATTATACAAATATTCGATGATACGTTAGTTTACGTGAGGAGGGATTCTGGGAAGAGGTCATATTGGTGACGGATTTTAATGGTCAGTAGGACTTTAAAACGTCCCGTGGTGGGGGAGATGAGATGTAGTTTTCTCGGGGGGCAAAATCATGGGCCTTAGGCCGAGACCCTTTTTGACAGAAAAGCCAGTGAAATCAAGATTCAATCCACACTATTGCAGTTGTTGTTTCCGCCGAATGTCAACTGTCTTCTGGCAGTCATAAGATCATTATCAGGTATCAGTGAGATCATGGCCTGTACCGTGACGGCGTGACTAACCAAGGGGTGGCAGAATACAACGGCCCATAAGTTTTCAGTGCTGGCTAGAAATGCCTGTTCCAGCTTGCCGGGCCGTTTTGGATCTTCTAGGCAACGGCCAGTTCAGTATAGGGGCTGAGACCCGAGCTAGGAAGATCAAGTGACAGAATCAGCACAAGGCATACTCCATACAGGTGGTCTTTCATGCTATAACGCTTAAGAGCCGTTCGAGAGACAGCGGCGATCCACGATTGTAGTGTAGTGATTAACAGGTTGTCGCGGAAGAGTGCCGCAGTCCGCGTTAACGCTATACTTGCCCCACCAGACCTGGCCATGGAAACAAGGACGCATGAAACCAGCGGGTGCTTGGAGGTGCTTTCTAGAAAGGCGTTTGGAGGCCTGAGGCGGAATAGGCAGGCCTGGCCAAGGGTCAATTACTTCTTCAGGGTCCGTCCGCGTTCATAAGCAGAATCTTCGCATTATTCATCAGAAGGTCTGGTTCCAAACTGCCGCGCCAGGTCTTTCTCGTCAGCACAGCCACCTAGGCACCGCCAGTTAGCGAGTGTCGCCCCGAAGCTGTTAGTGGATCGCACGACGAACAGCGGATACGTCACATAGGTGCTCTAGTGCCGTCGCCCCGGCGGTCGGTCGGTCTTGGTGGGGTCAACATTGCCTCAACTCGACTCGACGCCAAACCAACACCACCTCTACCAGAACCAGCAGTCAGGCACTGGTTGCAAGATACGACATCTTCTCCACCACCCTCCTCCCCAAATCACGCACTCGTTCTCAAGCGCCAGGAGCTTGAGATCGGAACACAAGCCAAGCTGGGGAAGCGTAAGCTCTCGAACGGAGAAGCGCCTGCCTCCCAAAAGAGAACCATGACGGTACGTTGAAGGTCCAGCTGCTTCTTCCCCCACTCTCACATCTTCCCTCGCCGCCGCGAGCTGTTTGCTCTCCGACTCGACCTCGCTCTGGCTGGCTTTGCGACGCCGTCTGTCACGTCACGTTGCACAGCTATAACAGTTAAAAAGTTTACTGACCCTGACCCCCGCCATGCAGGATACGACCATGACGACCCCGCCGCAGACCGAGCTGGTCACTCGACTGCAGGTCGACGACTCGGTGATCGGCACCCACGAGATCGACGAGTCCCTCTACAGCCGACAGCTCTATGTACTAGGCCATGAGGCTATGAAGCGCATGGGTGCTTCCAACGTGCTCATTGTAGGCATGAAGGGGCTCGGTGTCGAGATCGCTAAGAATATTGCTCTTGCTGGCGTCAAGAGCCTCACTCTCTACGACCCTGCACCCGTCGCCATCGCCGACCTCTCTGCCCAGTTCTTCCTTCACCCCGAGGATGTCGGCAAACCTCGAGATGCTGTCACAGCGCCCCGCGTCGCCGAACTCAACGCCTACACCCCCGTGACCGTTCACAAGTCGTCGAGCCTAGATGGCGACCTCTCGCAGTTCGACAAGTACCAGGTCGTCGTGCTTACAAATACCCCCCTTCACCAACAGCTGGCTATCGGCGACTACTGCCACTCCAAGGGCATCTTCGTGGTTTGCGCTGACACTTTCGGTCTTTTTGGCTCCATCTTCTGCGACTTTGGTGATAAGTTCACTTGCCTTGACCCAACCGGCGAGAACCCGCTGAACGGCATCGTCGCCGACATCGATGAGGAAGGTCTTGTTTCGGCCCTGGACGAGACCCGCCACGGCCTCGAGGATGGCGACTACGTTACTTTCACCGAGGTCGAAGGCATGGAGAAGCTGAACAGCTCCGAGCCGCGAAAGATTACTGTCAAGGGGCCTTACACCTTCTCGATCGGCGACGTCTCGGGTCTTGGCCAATATAAGCGTGGCGGTCTCTACCAGCAGGTCAAGATGCCCAAGTTCATCGATTTCAAGACTATCTCTGCTGCGGTCAAGGAACCCGAATTCCTCATGTCCGACTTTGCCAAGTTTGACAGACCGGAGCAATTACACGTTGGATTCCAGGCCCTCCATGCGTTCTCGCAATCTCACGGGCGCCTGCCCCGTCCCATGAACGACGAGGATGCTACTGTTCTCGTTGTGTCTGCCAAGAAGTTTGTCGAGGCGGAGAAGCTTGAGATTGAGATCAACGAAAAGCTCATCAAGGAGCTCAGTTATCAGGCAGCTGGTGACCTTAACCCCATGGCCGCCCTCTTTGGTGGCCTCACCGCTCAGGAGGTCTTGAAGGCCGTCTCGGGCAAGTTCAACCCCATCAAGCAGTGGTTTTACTTCGACTCGCTAGAATCGCTGCCTACTAGCACCAAGCGCTCTGAAGAACTGTGCAAGCCTATTGGTTCCCGATACGATGGACAAATTGCCGTTTTTGGAAAGGAGTACCAAGAGAAGTTGAGCAACATTCAGCAGTTCCTTGTCGGTGCTGGTGCCATTGGTTGTGAGATGCTGAAGAATTGGGCCATGATTGGTCTTGGCGTCGGACCCAAGGGCAAGATCACCGTCACTGACATGGACTCGATCGAGAAGAGCAACCTGAACCGTCAGTTCCTCTTCCGACCCAAGAACGTTGGACAGATGAAGAGTGACTGCGCTGCCCAGGCTGTGCAAGAGATGAACCCCGACCTGGCTGGCCACATCGTCACATTGAAGGATCGTGTCAGCCCAGAGACCGAGGAGATCTTCAACGAGGACTTCTGGAACAGCCTGGACGGTGTCACCAACGCTTTGGACAACGTAGAGGCCAGAACTTATGTCGACCGACGATGCGTCTTCTTCCAGAAGCCCCTCTTGGAGAGCGGCACCCTTGGCACCAAGGGTAACACTCAAGTCGTTCTCCCCAAGCTGACCGAGTCATATTCCTCATCCCAGGACCCCCCCGAGCAGTCATTCCCGATGTGCACTCTGCGAAGCTTCCCGAACAAGATTGAGCACACCATTGCCTGGGCTCGTGAGCTGTTTGAGACATCGTTTGTCAAGTCGCCCGAAACCGCCAATCTGTACCTGACTCAGCCCAACTACCTCGAGTCAACTTTGAAGCAGGGCGGCAACGAGAAGGCAACTCTAGAAACCATCCGCGATTACCTTGTCACGGACAAGCCCCTTAGTTTCGAAGACTGCATCATCTGGGCGCGTACATTGTTCGAGAAGCAGTACAACAACGCCATCCAGCAGTTGCTGTACAACTTCCCCAAGGACTCGACGTCTTCATCAGGCCAGCCGTTCTGGTCGGGCCCGAAGCGAGCCCCTGACCCGTTGAAGTTTGACCCCAAGAACCCTACGCACTTCGGCTTCGTTGTGGCCGCTGCCAACCTACACGCCTTCAACTACAACATCAACACCAAGGGCATTGACAAGACGACATATGTCAAGGTTCTTGACAACATGATTGTCCCTGACTTCTCCCCTGACAGCAATGTCAAGATTCAGGAGAAGGATACCGATCCTGTAAGTGTCATCGAACGTATCTTATTGTAGTCGATGCTAATCAAATTCTAGGATCCCAATGCAAGCAGCTCCTTTGACGACGGTGCTGAACTCCAGAAGTTGGCAGACAGTTTGCCGGCCCCTAGTAAGATGGCTGGTTTCAACCTTGTTCCCGTTGAGTTCGAGAAGGACGATGACACCAACCACCACATCGACTTCATCACTGCCGCCAGCAACCTCCGTGCAGAGAACTACAAGATCGAGCAAGCCGATAGGCACAGAACCAAATTCATTGCTGGCAAGATCATCCCCGCTATTGCTACGACTACCGCTTTGGTCACGGGCTTGGTGGTTCTGGAGCTCTACAAGATCATCGATGGCAAGACAGACATCGAGCAGTACAAGAATGGTTTTATCAACTTGGCGCTGCCGTTCTTCGGCTTCAGCGAGCCGATTGCAAGCCCCAAGGTCGAATACCAGGGCCCCAATGGCAAGGTAACGCTTGACAAGATTTGGGATCGTTTCGAGGTCAACGACATCACGCTGAAGGAGCTTATTGCCGACTTTGAGAAGCGGGGCTTGAGCATCACGATGCTGAGCTCTGGTGTGAGCCTGCTGTATGCGTCCTTCTTCCCCCCCGCCAAGCTCAAGGAGCGCATGGAACTGCCCCTCAGCAAGCTTGTCGAGCTCGTCTCAAAGAAGCCGGTGCCCGAGCACCAGAAGGATGTCATTTTCGAGATGGTGGCGGAGGACGCGAACGAGGAAGACGTGGAGGTCCCGTACATCAAGTGCAAGGTGCGGTAAATAGATGGTATGCTCATGACAGGTGAGAGTTTATTGTCTTGAGAAGAGGGAAAATAACTACTCTAGAAGGCATAGATGCTGGATTAAGACGTGCCCGGCTTTCGTACTCTTTCACATGACGAACAAAACATTCTACTCCCATTATTGCCTATTCACTGTGAACTTGCCTGCCTATTTTGGGGCATGTATCTGACAATCGGCATTTGGACACGAACACACAGTTGTGCCTTTTCTTGAAGTGTCTCCGGTAGCTTAGAGAATATTGTGAGTGTTAGCGCTGCTTACAAGGGTCTTAGTAATGACTTGCAGAGGAGAAATGTTTAGCCCGTACATGGCCTTGCCCCGTCCACCACTGCGGGCTCTAATCTTACGTCACGATTGGCGATATCCAGCACTGCTTATGCCGTGGATAGCAATGACAAAGCACTTGGTGCTGAATCCGAGCCGCGAGCCGCGCTACTTATGCACGGAGTGGGCAAGGCGTAGATAGAGAGAACATCATGACCTCTTGTGTTGAACAGGTATATATTGTTGAGCCAATTCCTCAAGCACACAGTTACCCCTCATTTTAGAGTGTCAAGTCCATGAACCTCCGAACCGTATCGTCCAGTACCTGGAGAGTCAATTGCCGCACTTCAAATCGTCTTTGCATTGCACGGCAGCCTATACTTGCAGCGACTCAGACTCAATCTCTTGCGTCTTTCGTAGCATACAGATCTTTGTCGTCAGCGTCGCGAACCTGCGCAGAATCCAGACCCGTGAATTCATCTCACAGCCACGTGCGCACACAGATCAGAATGGTGAGTCTCTCCGCAGGTCCAGCTTTCTGCGCCGTATGCACCTAGATGCAATCAGGTCTGAAGTCGAGCCCTGTGGAATAACACCCTGGCACACCTTGTTAACATCATGTACCAGTCCTCATCCGCCAGCAACATCACCCAGTGGGTGAAGCCCGGCGATAAGAGTGGCGAGTTCAAACGCCAGACCAGCGCGTTCCGTGACTGGATCTCGACAGAGCCGGGCGCCAAGTTCCCGCCTGAGAAGGGCCGCTACCACCTCTACATCAGCTATGCCTGTCCCTGGGCCTGCAGGGCGCTGCTTGCACGCAAGCTAAAGGGTCTGGAGGATTTTGTCAGCTTCTCTGTAGTGCACTGGCATATGGGCGAGAAGGGTACGTAGGCCTCACTTACTCTCGGTACTTCAAATGAATACCTGAGAGGACCGGCAGAGAAAGGAGAAACATCTGACAGGCCATGACAGGTTGGCGCTTTGCCACGGCTTCTGACACAGATGCCGAGGGCGAGAACGTGATCCCGGATCCCTTGCCAGGCCATGAGAACTACACCCACCTGCGGGACATCTACTTTGGAGTTGACCCGAACTACTCGGCGCGCTTCACAGTGCCGGTGCTCTTTGACAAGGTGCAGAAGACGATCGTGAACAACGAGAGCTCAGAGATCCTGCGCATGTTCGGCTCCGTGTTCAACGACCAGCTGCCAGCCGACAAGGCCGCCATCGACCTGTACCCGGAGGCGCTGCGCAAGGACATCGACGAGGTGGGCGAGTGGACCTACGACCAGATCAACAACGGCGTCTACAAGAGCGGCTTCGCCACTACCCAGGAGGCCTATGAGAAGAACGTCGTCGCGCTGTTTGAGGCTCTCGACCGCGTCGAGGAGCACCTGAAGAAGGGCAAGGGCCCCTACTACTTTGGTGAGACCCTGACCGAGACGGATATCAGAATGTAAGTTTTCCATCCCTGTTTCCTGCAGTGTAGTGGTACTGATATGTTTTGAAAGATTCATGACCATCATCCGGTTCGACCCCGTCTACGTCCAGCACTTCAAGTGCAACATCCGCGACATCCGCTCCGGGTACCCGGCAATTCACAAGTGGATGCGTAATCTGTACTGGAACAACGCGGCCTTCAAGGACACGACCAACTTCTTGCACATCAAGAACCACTACACCAAGAGTCATACCCAGATTAACCCGTTCTCGATCGCGCCGGTCGGGCCCCTGCCGGATATCTTGCCTTTGGATGATGAGGTGCCAGCCGTCAAGGCTCTCAAGGCGTAAGACCTTGGGGAGGGCGTTTGGATAGCAGTAGTCTCGGGGGTGTTAAATCAAGGGAATAAAGCCAAATTTTCACGCCGATGGATACTTATTGTATGTAGTCTATCAGATGCAGCCTACTATATGTAGCTAATTATAAAGCTTCACTTAACACAACCTTTGAAGGAATTCTGTACATTACCATTATGACAACAAACTAGGATTAGATTTGATGTGACGAAAGTGAACATAACTTCAGAGGAAGCTCACCCACATTTACTATAGTGGGTGCCGTACAGCCAGGCCAGTCCAATCATTAGCATTGGCAGTTCCCTATCGAGGCAATTGCCAGAAAGATATTGGTATGAGTTGCAATTCAGTCCCAATGATTATCGTTTGTATTAGCGAGGAAATTCCGTGATCAATGGTCGTCCTACCAGACGCATTCCTTTGCGAGTGCGTAAAACTGCCGTCGACATGTCACAATGCATTGATGGGTATGTAACTATGAAGTAGACTTGCCAAGCATATACATCGTGACTAGAAGAGGCAAATAACGGCAATTCGGTTCGTACCAAATGTACGGTACCTTTTCATCTGTACAACAGGACCATATCCTTGCATATGCAGACGTAACTCGCTGCTGTCGCCGCGTTACACAGTGTGACGCATGACAGCTGTAGATATTGATTCTCTGCATCTCGGCCCATCCCCACGATCGCAGGGAATGGAGCATATGCAATGCACTCACACGACTCACCCGGCAGGCGAGCGAGCCGCTCTTGGCACTTTTCGAATACTGCTACATCACTGCAACACAACCCAGCGCAAAACCCTTGTCCGGTTCATGTACGTCGCCCCATCCGACAAGGAAACTAGGTGGCAAGACGAGGCCGCCGACCTGGGCTGTGGGCATGCGGCACAATTAACTGACTGACTCGCATCTAACTCACCGAAGTACTATCGGCAATTGCCCCGGAGTGTTCGCGTGCTCAACCTGTGCCTTGCGCTCGCAGACATAACGACCACTAACCCCACACGTTCATTGGGCACCGGATAGGGTTACTTGCAGCGATGGAAAGGCGGCTTTGTCACACGTTGCTGCTACCGTGGAAGAAAGGACAGTACTTATTCGTTATTAACCACCGTGAGTAGACTGGGAGCTGACTAGAAACTTCATCTCCAGGGATAGAGAAGCCGGACCGGAACCCGCGGTTTGCCTCACGGCTGGGGGTATGCGCCAGTAGATGTAGGATATCAGCTCGGGCTTGAAAGTCAGATATATTACAAGCATAGAGTTGCTTGTATTCTGTATTGACGTGTGGTGGACCGAGTCACGGGTCTTGACCATGAATGATTAAGTACATCAGTTCAACTGCCTTGCCAGAGCGATGTCACAGAATACGCGAGGCAGAAACGGAAGACGGAACCGTAAAGTGTAGATGGAGTCACCGTTTCTGTGTCTCGTCAAGAGGGCCAGGAGTATACTGACCGGAGCGAGGACTCGGACCTGGAGTGTATATGTGTTCTATGACGCGCAAATTACGGGAACAATAAAGGGTAACTGTAGGCACATATAGCAATGTCGGGTCCATTGCCCACCCAAGTAATTGAAAGCACTTCTCTTTTACTATTGAAATTAGGCGCCTAATATTCCAAAATCATTCACGCTGGACTGCGATGACTCTCAATCATTTGCTTCAAGTTACCGAGTACATATGCCGTGTTTCTCATAGACTTCATTGACACTACGAGCAGGATAAAGAGGTACTTTATGTTGCATCGACGTTCTGAAAAATGATCGAAATTTAGTCGCATTACTTATTGAGCGAGAGAGCAACGGTTATCAGAGCAAAGTGACATGATATATCGAGCAGGAAAACCATTCTTGCCAGGGGGAGGAAGATGCCATAAGTGCGACTTTGTAAGTGGTCTCTCTCTGATCACACAAGTAGTCTGCATCGTCAGTGATTAAGGAATTCAGACTAGTTAGCCTCTACGGTACGAGTGTTCTATAAGTATTCCGGATTTCGTACGTCCTCTTGAAAGCAACACAGGATCTGGCCATGGTATCGTTTGTTTTAGTCAGTACACCATTAACTGCGGCTAGAGACACTCGACTAGAGGCTAGGCAACATGTAGGTAGGGAAAGCGCAGGTCAGTCCGCCGACACACCGAGAGATTTCCACATCTATCCCATAAGGTTACATTAATACACTGTCCTACGCTAATATTGGTATTGTATCGTCGCTGGAGAACAAGAACCATGTCACTAGGGTAACAGTCGAGTGGTACGAAGGCCATGTGAACTCATCAGCGATATTGTGGACGTGAACGCGGCTCGTGATATGCTACCTGGTTTGAGCTATCTGAACTATTGGTAGTCAGATATTTCCAAAAAATTATTTTGATGCACCATGAGTTCGTAGCGAAATTGCACCTGGTTGGTGACGAAGTCGGGTGGACAAGTCCCCACTCTTTCTCTGGTACGTAGGGATTTCCATCCAATGAACTGAATCAAAATATTATAGTAAACATAGATACTACTAAACACCCCATTTTCATACAAGACAGGGGATGTGGTCTAGTGGTATGACGTTTCCTTAGCATGCGCAAGCATGGAAAAGGTTCTGGGTTCGATTCCCAGCTTCTCCACATTTTTGCATCCATTGCAAATGGTGTTGGTCACGACAATCATGGTTTCGTTCCTTTTGTCCTTCTTTTACCTAGGGGAGTTTTTCTTTTAAAACTCTCCTGGAGTATCTTCCCCACATCTTCGGCTCTAACATCCTTCATCGCAAGCATGAATTATAAAGTGGTTGTAAGAGCCGCCGTGCCACTCAAGCCACTCTATCCCGGCTGTAGGGCTGAGCCCAGCAGTGAAATATGGGTTACGCAGATGAAACTCTGTGCGACAGGGATTCCTGCATCTCAGCCGCATGCTTTGCATCTCTGCTATCCATGGTCAATTTGCGTTGTTGACTTCTCACGATACAAAGGTGATGATTGACGTTCCGACTCAGACTGCAGAGCAGATTCAAGTCTTCATCTTGATATCAGAGTGTGCCTTCTTGACTACCAGTAGACCGCATGAAAATGACCGGATGGCTGCCTAGGTAATTTGGATCTCGCAGCCTTGTAGGCTCGGAGACCTGGAAGGCTTCATACAGAATGAGAATCAAGACATCGAACGAGCGCTGAAGTGTACTCTGCTGCCACTTCAAAGGTTAAATTTTTTCCCGCTTTATACACTTCTGCAAGTTGAAGAAGTAATCGAGTGGCGTTGAAAGTCTCATTTGTTCCTGGAGTCTTCACGTTTTGTGGCAGTGCGAGAGCGTAAGCAAGGTACTTTCACTTCATTGGTGCTCTAGTACTAGGGGTAGCTGCACCAGCATGATAAGCTGAAAAGAACAGGGGAAATCACATTGTCTTCCGGCAGCTACAGGCCAATGATTTCGAGGATGACTGCAAATAGTTGCTAAAATTGCTGTGCCTCCCCCGACTTGCCCCTGCACTTGTGTACTTTGATGCTTACGGTGGGTCTCTCTACTCGTGTTGAAGGTTGTCATGCATAATCAGGTCGAAGCGAGCTTGAGGTGGTTTAATCCCGTGGGGGCTGGATTCCAAGTCGCGAATTGTTCCAAGATTTTGATTCTTGCATCCTCACCTCTTAAGTGCTTCTATCAATCACCGATCTTGAGCGAGCATAGGGACCAAATCGAGCCAGGCAACATCGATATGAGAACTCACCGATGCACGGCGACGCAGCAAGCCAATGTGGCGATGGCCCTCGGGAATACCAGCATAACTTTCCTCGGCAGTATGATGCGGTTCCAATGAGCAATGTTCATCGACGTGATGCTTCCGCGGATGGAACAGTACCGTTGATTAAGTCAGCAGACGGTACTGGTAGCCTCTCTGTGGAAAAGCGCATATGGGAGCATGCTGGTCCGTCCGAGACTGAGTTTTACGATTGCCAGAAACAAGACTTCCAGGGGATAGATGACCGCAAGGAGCCAGACTACAAGCCATCAGCGCTCAGGTGGCCGTTCTTGAGCCTTTTGTTGCTTGCTTTGGTTGCTCTATTGAGCCTTCTAGCATACGGTCTTCATGTACTTCCTGTCAAGGACATTGGTATTATTGCGATGGTGGAAGGACAAGATGACTTGATAAGGCGACAAACTGGCCCGTTCCCAGGTAGTGCAATACCAGCGGTCGTGACAAGTCCCTCGAGAACATCTACAGCACATCACAATTCCGCTCGGACTACGCAGAATCTCACAACCACTATGCAAATCACCACAACGGGTGCTTATGGCGATGTTGACAAATCCATCACTCCGACTTCAGCCGCATCGCCAGCGTCTGATGCCTTTGGAGACGTCGACATAACCGTCACAGAACCTATTACAACCTCGACCACTACTAGCGCATTTGAGAATGTCGATACGACAGTAAAGGGTGCTTTTGGAAACGTTGATAAAACCATCACGGAGCCTATCGCATCCTCGACTGCGGCTGATGCATTTGGAAATGCTGATGAAACCATAAGTATAACAAGTCTCTTGACTAATACAGACGCTCATGGAAACGTTGGCCAGACCATGACAGTCTCGGACGGCACACCGACGTTGGCTTATATACCGGCTGCTGTCACAACGTTAACTAACTCGGCTGGACTCCCAACATTAACGTCCACAAGCACTCCTACCGCTATCACGATTCCGACAATTACAACACTAACCAACTCGGCTGGAGTTGCCACCGCTACTATGGTCACGAGCGTCCTTGCAACTCCTATTGTTAGCACGCTGACGGATAGTGCTGGCGTTGCAACCACAACTGTGACAAAATATCCCGTCATGCCATCGTCCACCTCAGTCGCTCCTCGTGTATACTATATCAGCTCTGCTGAGTACTTTGTCGGTTTCTGCCTACCAACCCTGCTGACGACCCTCGTGGCCATCCCCATCCGGATTCTTGATTTGAACGCCAAGTTATTTCAGCCTTGGCACGAACTTACACATACATCCGGGGCCACGGGTCGAGAGTCGCTGTACCTGCCTACCGGCGGGTTGGAAGCCGATTTCAATGGCTTGCGATCACTATTTGGTGGACAAGCACTCGTGTTTCTCACTACAGTCCTTTTGCTATGCTCTTCGCTGTTAACACCCCTCTCAGCTGAGGCCGTCGTCCTCCACCTCCGAGGGAATTGTCCTCCAGGGTCCGCAAAAGGCTGTACTTACGAGCTTGGCATCTTTTCACAGCCCGCGAAGGCGACTATTGTTTTGCTTGGCATCATGTGTTTCACAGTCATATTGCTCATCATCTTTCTAATGAGGTGGAGGACTGGCGTCAAGACGAACCCATGGAACATCAGCGGCATTGCAGGACTGACGCAGAACGGACATGTGAGAGCATTGTTCACGCATCATCTTCAGAGTAGCGTCAGCTCTGGAAAGTGCACAGAGAAGTCACTGAAGCTTATTATTGCCGACAGACGATTCAAGCTGGGATGGTTCCAAAACGATAGTGGGCAGATGGAGTACGGCGTAATGCTGTACGACCAAGACTCGGAAGGTAGTCCGCTTCACACTGACGACGCAGGTCTGCCAGAGGCTGAAGGATTTGAGAATTCGACAAGATCTCGAAACAACTTACCGTTCATGCTGGGCTACGTTGGGAGATTGATCTTCCTATCTCTTCTATCAGGGTTACTGGGGCTGATTTTGTACTACAACAATACTGGTGATGACACAGGGTTCGAGAGATTCATGGACAGCCAGTCGTTTGGCACAAAATTCCTATTCACCAGTGTTGGAGTTGTCATCACCCTCTTCTGGTCATCATTTGTCGGCAGTAAGTGACAAGACTAATGTAATTTTTGTTGCGGATGAGGAGGCATTAACACGCGCTCAGGTATCGCCATCATATCCCCCTACCAACTCCTCGCAAAGCAGCCGCAGCTAGCGGAACGATCCATCCTGCTTTCGCTCCCTACGAACTCCTTCAGCAGTGTCACATCTGGCTTTCGCCGCCGACATCTTCTCCTCGCGGTTGTTGGGTTAACAGCGATCCTCTCGGAGTTCCTCACGATCTTTCTGTCGAACATCCCTTATAGTGTCACACAAACATGGCTTGCATCACGGGTGTGTGCCTGGGGATCTATCAGTATCCTTGCTACCATGGTACTTGTCGTGGCAGGCAGCTTCTTGGTCAGGTGGCCTCATATGCCTGTGAATCCGAGCACCATCGCCGGTGCAATGTACTACGTGTGCGACAGCTGGATGCTGAACAACTTAGAGCATATCAGCATGCTGAACAGGAACGAGCGTGACTGGAGGGTCAAAACCATGGACCTGAAGTACCGACTGGGAAAACATATTGGACAGACTGGTGCTGTGAGAGTCGGAGTAGATAGGGTTGATGGAGAAGTCCTCATCTGACGTACTTCTAGCACTGTTGAACCAGTAAACAAATAACATATGCCTGGTCTCAACAGCACGAAGTTTGCCTATGTCTACCCGGCAAGCCTGCCTGAAAACACCTATCGAAGTAATTTTTGTGATATAAACGTTCAAGATCATGTTTATTGCTAGCTAATCGACCACATACATGCAAAGCCCACTTGAATACCCGTAATAGTATCCTTCATGGCTCAAAAGCTAGTTAATTATTAATCATATGCCGATATTTCAATTTGCAAGACCTCGCCAGTTTCAAATCCTTCTTCTGCTAGTTTGCTCCTCTGAACTTGAATTACAATTCTTGTGTGCTCGTGCACGTAAGTTTTGAAACCAAGCCCTTGTGCGTTGCAGCAAGGATGATCACGATTCTCAGCATCCTTCCTCATAGAATGCAGAACCTCTGCTCCGATATGACTCAGGAACATTTCAGGATCTGAAATAGTCTGCTGCTGTGCAGATGAAATGAATAGCCAGTCATCCGCTTTATTAGTCCACAGGTGATACGTAGCAAATACCCTTTCGCAAGCGTTTTCAGGTAATACGGTGGCCATATAGGGATAATGGACACGAAAACCCAAGAGACATTGGATTTCTTGACCATAAGCTGATATGAGTCGGAAACGGACATAGCCTACCAAGGTACGACCGCGTGAGGGCATCAAGAACAGTCCCTTCGTGGAGTCCCAATAATCCTGAGGTTCCACCCGGAGAAGTGTGATCCGTGCTAGATTCCATATGATAGGGATTGCTCTAATATACTGATTTGCGATTGTGGTAGCTAGGCTGGGACTAATGCATTTAGCAACGAAGAAAGTCTCCATGCGCCTGTTGAGAACCAGTGTTTTGGCGATACCTCGAAATGCGTTGGAACGAGAGAGAGTGCCGGGCCATATCCTTACAAAGCCACACCCGGCTATCCTCAGAAGGGGGATCCAGACGAATCCCACGGGCTTTTCCTTATCAATAACTTCGATACATTCCAAGTCGAGCCCATGCTGATCACGACCTTCCGGAAAAATAGTAATGTAGTCAGTGAATCGCATACCCTTGTTTGTTAAGGTAAACTCCACATCCTTTTTGCTGTGATTCGCCACGGCCCGAATATTCCCGCTATGTATGAATTCCGCTGGCGAACTCGCAAATATGCCACGGACAACTTCGTTATCAGAGAGTGATATCCAAGCAAAGATTGATCGATCATTTGTATCCTTGATGATATGTTCTTGAAGTCTAATGAATGCCTGCTCTCCTTCGCCGTAGATCAAGGGCATATGGACACCAAACAAGCCGAGCAAGCAATACGCTGTGTCCTCGACACGCGTCGTGCGTCGTCGAGAAGCCCACGACATCTTTCTGGCGACACCACAGTCTTGGGCTTCATCGCAGTCCAGAAGAGACTCCCAGGGCACCGTTGTAATCCTTTTAATCCTTTCGAGTTGTGATTTCAACTCTGATTTGGTGCCCCGAAGGCCCCATCGCTGGTCGTAGAAGAGAACATTTGGCGGAGCTATCAGCTCTTGGAGCGTCCATCCACGCTCGAACCAACGGCATTTGGAGAGCTCAGCTTCAAATAGCTCTGGTGAAGACATGCCATCGCGTGCCGGGAGGTCAGACAGAAAGACAAAGCATGCTCTGGATTGTTTATACCATTGCCACATGGAGTTGATGGCCTCCGTCAGCTCTGCACTCGACGATTTGTCTATGCAGCAGGTATCAACCCAGCAGTACTGCAGGGGCGGGTCATGCTTGAGAGCATGCTCGCAAGTCTGGACAATCTTGCCATATCCTTTTCTTGCTGCAGCGGTTGAGGTGTCCTGGAAATCCTGGAAAGAGACTTCCTCGTCCCCCCAGGTATGGGAAAGAATAGCGTAGGGAGCGTCTGTCGCGTTGTGGAAGAACTCGAGCTTCAGCGTCGTTGCGTTGATAAGCCACATGGTTTGAGGTATTGAAGATTTCAGACGCTCGCTTTACTTTCTGGTGTGAACAAAAGGCAGAAACAAGGCAAGAATATAACTGGAGAATGAAGAAGTCTCATTGAGATGTCAGAGAAGTATATTCAGTGTGCAGCCCAGCTGATTTTGTCGAGGCTGACAGCACGCGCCTCTGCCACCTATGCACACTTTCACACTCATGTGCATTGCGCGGCCAATGGGAATGTGAGAGCTGTGGTTGACGTACCAACTGCATAAAGACATGGAAATCAGGAAAACATGCTGTTAACAGAAACCGAGTAATCCTCTGTTTTTTCCTATTTCCCTCTTTTCCTTTTCTCCTCTATCTCAGTTGGCTGTTACCAGAGCATGAGACGCCTAGGGCATGGTATACTGTAGTGTAGTACCTAGTAGACTGCCCTATGTTAGCAGTGCAGTAAGTCAGACAACCACGAGACCGACTTAAGGTACTTAACCTAAGTAACCAGACATCGCTGGGGGGGGCTGGTTACAGGGGAGAGGCCTAGATAAGCCCCACGTTCAGCGATAAGCTCAACCCCGCTAAAATTTGATCTGCAGCACCGAAGGTGGTGGGTGGCTCTCAGACTGGCGATACCCTCGATTGAGTCATCCCAGTCCCGAGAACTGCCCGTCCTTCCCACCCACCTTTCTCACCGCATACGAGAACGTGCCAGATCACAGGCCGTATACCGCACACACTCACCATGGACCTCGACACGCCGCCGCCCTCCGCCGTGCCCAATGGCGCTGCCGCCGCCGCAGAGGACGACGCCGACCCCATCATCGCGTCGTACAACGTCTTCACAAACCCGGCGCCCGCGTCGACCCGCAAGATCCTGATCCTGCAGCACCCCAACAAGCAGGGCGACATGCGGGGCGACAACCCGCCGCTGTCCGAGGTGCGCGTCAAGCCCTCATCGGGCATGCTCGAGGTCGACGTCCCGCTTAGTTATCACGACGGCTCCTACGACCGCGACAAGGGCATGCGCTGGGGCCAGGCCCTGCAGCGCAGCATGAACCAGAAGAACGGCGGTAGCCACGGCCTCGCCGGCGGCTTCGGCGTCGGCGTCCCCGCCCCCCGTGCCGGCCGCCGCAAGGAGGAAGACCGCGAGACCTACGACTGGACCGAGGCTGTGCGCCGCGACCAGGTCTTGCGCACCCAGACCCTCGGCGGCCAGTACGCCGGCCGCAACGCCGAGGATGAGGAGTGCAAGTGGATGGTGGGTGTCTTCAAGGGAGGTAGGTCAATTCGTTCCAGATCCCAACTAAGAAGAGAGCGAGCCCTGGCCGTGACTGACTCCGGTCTGCGTACCAGGAAACCTCCACCTCACCCCAGCCCAGTCTGAGATCCAACTACGGCCACAGCTGCACCACCTCGATGCGGTGGCCGAACAGGACCGCCTCACGCGGCCACGCGAGGGCCAGGGCCCGGGTCTAGGCGGGGCCGGCCCCGGCAAGGACGGACCCGGCGCGGGCGCGCAGCCGGCGCCCAAGGCCATCACCATGACGATCAAGACGACGGCGTCGGGCGACCAGCTGGTGACCGAGACCATGGCGGACCGGCTGCGGATGGTGCAGATGGAGAACTGGCAGAAGCTGCGGTTCGTCGACGAGGACGCCGACGACGCCTGGGAGCTGTACAACAAGACGCTGCTGTACCGGTCGCCCGCCGCGCTGGCCGAGGCCGGCGCCCAGGACCCCAAGGGCAAGGGCAAGGAGGCCGCCGTCAAGCTCGACGAGGACGAGAAGGAGGACCTCGAGCACCGGGCCACGCGCCTGCGCACCCGCTGGGGCGAGGAGGACCTGCTGCATGCCATCGCCGGCAAGGACCGCCAGGGCGTGCTGGAGGGGTACGGAAACACGTCCATGCCGGGGATCAAGCCCGAGGACGTCGTCGAGGACGGCGCGGTCAAGAAGGAGGGCGCCGACGGCTCGGCTGCGGGCGCCAGGAAGCCGTCTGCTGCTGCCGCGGCCAAGGGGAAGGCAAAGGCCACTGCCACCGCTGCCACCGCCGGTCCCTCCACTGCAGCGAGACGAGCACCAGCCAAGGGCAAGGCGCCTGCGTAGGGTCTGATCATGGAGATCGACTGAGAAGGTCTGCCATATACACTGGGGAGATAAGGGCTCTACGGGGCAAAAAGAATCATGCATTGCTAGGCGTTCTTGTATGGCATCAATCACATTGACTGGCGTTTTCGCCGAGGGAAGGCGAAGGGTAGGCAAAAATTAGTACATATCAACATGACGGGTTCTGTCGCCCGTGTTTTTCCCTTTCATTCACCGCATTTTCTGTCTAAACTAATCTCACATGGCGGCTGATGACTCCTCGTCTGGGTAGATAGAGAAAAGAGGCTGCCCAGATCCAGGTGGCCAACGCAGCCTTGTGGGTTTTGTGGTGCAAAATCGCCACCCATAATAATTAACGGCATTTGATACCGAGCGTATTCGGTGTGCCGTCAAAATCCAGAGGTAAACTGACAAGATCGTGATTCTCGTGGAATCAAATGGCGAGGATCGAGGATGCTCATTGCCGGCGTCAAACAGGACAAGCCGCCCCCCAGCACGCCCCCACAGGCGCCGGAGCCAGCGTCTCGAATGCCGTCGGTATTCCACGGGCTTTCCATCCACTAGTCCTCTAGTCATTATTGCAGATCCCGATGTTGTCCTCTATCCGACTTCTAGAGTTGGATTTACTGCAACAAGCTTCTCTGACTCATGGCAACATAGATCGTACTTGCTTTGGGGCTCGTCAACTACTGCAGAAGCTCAACGTCAAGACCGATAGAGCGCATGAACAGATTGACGTTGTCGAGACGCTGCTTGCCCATATCAGCAGGCAGAGTCTTGGCCATGGCCACGGTGTCCATGACCCGGTCCTTGACGGCAAGGACCAGACGCTGCTGTTCATCCGGGCTAGCACCGATACCGATGGCCGCCAAGAACTGCCAGACGTAGATATCCTCTCCTGAGGTTACGGTACCAGGGAAGATATAAGAAAGAGTAGGCTCCAAGTGGTTGAAGAAGGTGTTGAATGTGGCAGCCCTGTAAGTCAAAATGTTAGCTTCAGGGAGGAATATGATTATTGCAGCGTAGCTTACCACTGTTGCCAGAGTTGTTCATTGGCGACGCCAGCTTGCTTGATGATCTCGGCACGGCTGAGGATCATGGTCAACATGGATATACCGATCCTAGTGCGGGCAATGGTGTCGATGTTGAGTCTTTGAATGATTATGCCGAGGACGGCGGTTACGATTTGAAGTTCCGCGTCAGCCAGGAGGTTGAATAGCTGTGGCATGACAGCCATGGAGAACAACTCGATGCTCTCGCGTGTGCCAGCGGAGAGGTTGATAGGTTCTCCAGACTGAACCTGTGCGCCTTGCACCACATCCAACTGATCCAGATGAACAATGATCAACGTGAGGATTGTAGTTCTCTGCTCGTGGCTCAGGACGCGGAAAACTCGGGGAACGGCCTTCTTGCCTTTGGGGTGCGAGAGAAAGGTGATGAAAGGATGGACCTGGTTAGGTCCAACTTGCTCATGGATCTTGAGCGCATCCCATAGCTGATTGTTGAGCTTGTCGGCCACGGCGTGCCATTCGGCTACCTGCTGCTGTACCTCCGGGGTAGGGTTGGCGCCAGGCGGTGGCATGGTGCGCTCGTGGTCTTCCATCTTCATCAAGATCATGTAGACATCCTCGATGGCGCGAAGGGCTACCTTGCGGTCGTTGATGCTCACGGGGCGCTGAGAACTGGGCGGTCGGTTGGCATCGCTACCACTCTCGGTGCGCTTGATGTTCAACAAAGGCTTGGGGGTCTTTGCATTGCTGAAGGAAATCTTGCCCAAGCTGCCTTCAATGACAAGTTGCTTGTTCTTGGGCTTGTTCTTGGCGGCCTCGACAGCACGTTGAACCTGCTGCTCCATTCTCTGGACATGGTTCTCAGGTCCACGGCCGTGCCGTCTCATGCCACCATGTCGGTTACCAGTCTGGAACAAATACGTCTGGGCAAAGTTGTTGAGGGGCGCGTTGGGGTTTGGTCGTTGAGCGGCCTTAAGGGAGCTATGAACCTGGTAGTAAAAGTCTTCGTTGAGAGCAGCGTCCGTTCCGTATTCCGAGGGGTCACCAGTTGCCGATACGAGCTGCTGGAGCTGGATTCTGGTGATAAAGCTCTTGTCATGCGGTGTCATCAGGCCATTGTCTCGCGACAGCATATGGATCTTGTGGTTTCGCTTAGCACGACGAACCTCGGCCTCCAGGAACGCCGCCTTGTCCTGCTCAGAGAGGTTTCCAACTTGGCCAGGCTGCATAGCTTGGACTTGCTGGTTGAGAGACTTCTGGTGCCTGTGGGCGGGTTGCTGGGGCACGCGGCCAGAGTCACCAGACGCTCGGTTGGGGTTCTGCAGGATCTGCGTAGGTGCCACGGAGGGCGATTGCGACTGCGGCTGAGGCTGGTGCTGTTGCGACAGAGGGCTGGGCGCATTAGGCGCGGCATGCTTGGATGACGGGCGCTGCAGAATGGTGATGGGGTGGCCATGAGGACCACCGGTCTGGGCTTGTGCGGGCTGACGGGCTTGCGGCGGCTGGATCTCGGGCTCCTGGCGAAAGTGCTGCTGCTGCTGGAACTGCTGTTGAGCGTGCACCTGAGCTTGAGGAGGCTGGGTGACCATGGGCCTCGTAGCTTGAGCGCGCAGACTTGCCTCCACCTCCTCCAGGCTCATGAACTTGCGAGCAGAAGGCGCAGAGGGTGCGGGTTGGGCAGTCGGCGTGGCTGTCTGCTTGGGCGCAGTGCCCCAGATGGAGGCATCGACCTTAAGCTCGGGTTCGGGCTCCTGGTACTTCTCATAGCCGCTGCGAGCCGGGCGGATCTGGGGGGGATAAGCATGGCTGGCATAGCCGTAGCCGGCGGGGGCAGCGCTGGGAGCGTGCTGAACAGGGGCCTTGAAGGTGGGCTGCTGGCGAGTGAAGCGAGCATGCTCCTCTTCCATCGCATTGGTGACCTTGGAGGTGGCGCCAAAGAAGTCAAAATCTTTGCCAACAGGAGCAGAGGCAAAGGCCTCGTCACCACCAAAGGTGTCGTCATTGAGAGCATCGTCGGTCTCGTCGAGCTGGTCACCTAGCCCATCGTATCCGTCCTCAAACTCCAATGCGTCCATGTCGTCATCGTATTTCGAGAGATCGGCGAAGGGATCGTGGTGCTGGCCGAAGCCAGGCGCGGCCATGTTATGACCAGACATTGCGGCAGCAGACGGGTTGCTCCAGCAATTAGTGGTGGGAGCGTAGTAATGTAGTAGTCTGAATTCTGCGATCAATCAGTACCCTGCATTAAGTGACAGGCAAGATGATGGGGAGTGGTGGGAGTAGGAAGATGCCGCGGATGCAGAAACCCGCAAGAATGGCGAAGATGGAGGAGAGGGGCGGTAGTCGCTGAGGGGAGAACAAGATGGGGTATTGGCGATAGAAAGCAGTCCGCAGAACACATGCCGCCGCATCGACGACAAGCTGTGAAAGCTGAGGTCTCGTGGGTCATGGATATTCACGGTCACGATCCATGTCGTCGACGTGGGGTAGACATCAGGGCTCCGGTGTGAGCTCAAGCACTTGCTTTGCCCTGGCCGGCCGGAGGTGCACTGCGCACAGCAGACAAGGTGGTAGCTTCCCTAGGTGACTCACAGCTAAGAGAACTCGGGACTCGGTCGAACTAAGGCGTCTTTGAGGTCCTGGATCATGATGCGACAAAAACGGGCTTGGGTCGAGAGGAAGTGCGAGGAGGGTTCAGCCGGCGTCGCAAAGGCGCAGCAGAGCCGTGGAATCGCGGCTGGACAATAAAAGACGGATAATGTGCAACACCAAACAAGGCGACCGTTTGAGCGCCGGGGTAAGTGTTCAAGGTAGGTATGTACGGGTGCGAGAAGAACAAGCAGGTTAATCGGAAGGGCGAGGTGAACCAAAGCAGCTCTTGGGGGGTCAAGACCAGCCGCGGCGCACGGTTCGTGATGATGATTTAACGATGGTTAGGTCAAGCATTGGGGCCAAGCGCCCACCAGGCCGCCGGGCGCCAGGTTTATCCTTTGCCGTTCCTTAGCGTCTTTTCCGCCTTAGGCGGGCTAGGTCAACGTCCAGCAGGTGCAGGTGAGGGCCTCTCCAGGCGCGCCTAGGCTCTGGCTGGCCAAAGCGTCTCGCCGGATGGCTCATCCTCAGTCTCCAACTTACATGCCATTATTATCCATCCTACTGTGCTGTACAGCTGTAGTTAAGGCACGTGTGGTATGTATCAACGACAAGGCTGATATAATGTACAAAGCAACTTGATATGTATCTCTGCGATACATGCAACGTGCTGGGTCACTGGACATGATTATGCCCCTACCTGTGGACACTTGAGCTGGAACCTGTTGGTCTTGAGTACTCAGGCCATTATTCCGTAAGGGAGTACGGAACTTCCCTATGCCCAATCTACTTTGGATTACCGCAAGATGCACCATCTGAACCTGGGCTGCAGTATACAGGGAAAAAGCACTGTTGCAAAACGGACAAGGCAAGCTTGCAAGGCAAGTCTACAGTACATGCGTCCTTTCGCCATAGTTGGGCTGTGGCACCGGATCACAGTACCTTCAAGACCTGTAGGGTTCGGGCGATATAGCACTGGCTGTGCAACTTCAGACTCCCCATAGATCATCCATCGCCCCGAGTCTCTATCGGATCCTCACGGTGGCAACATGGACCAATGTTTTGAAACTTGCCGAGCGCACCGATTTTTGGACAAATGCTATCCATGACGGCGTCTGTTCAAGCCATTAAAATTTTGAGTTGAAACACGCATATGTCATGCAAAGTGGTTGCATTGGCGGTCTTTGGTAGTCAAATTGGTGGCTTCACTGTCAAGAATACATAGATATGGGCCCAGTATTGGCGCAGAGACTCTGCGATACGCGTGTACTACGGAGCACCCAACGGCCAATTGACAAACGGGAAGACTCGAGGTCACTGCGGGAATGGGAGTAGCGCAGACGTGGAAGCCGGCACACGGCATACGCATTCGGCTCCAAAGTTTGTGCTATAGGCCGGTACACAGTAATGGACAACATAGACGAAACAATCGCTGACAGATGAGGACGAGACCTCTGGCTCCCCGAATGGGCTCCCTACTGTAGTCGAGGGACGACGGCTTGATAAGAGTGCGACACGAAGTTCTGGAACACTGCACGCCAAGACCACGGGGGATCTACCATTCGGGAGTCGCTGGACTCGGCAGCTAGTCCCGAGCGGGCATCGCCAACCTTGTCTCCATGCTGTCCTTTTGGGGCAAGTTAGGGGGGGTGGCCACGGTTCACGACCCCTGGATCGGTCCCCCGTTGATTGCATTGAGCGCAGCTGAAAACCCTGGGGTCCAGCGGAAGGAATACGCCCAGCGAAAGCAGCAGGCGGGAGGGAGGAAAAAGGAAAAAAAGGTTCCATGTTCAAATGATCCCCTACCTTAGCCTTGCCCCGTATCTCGACGCGTGGTCGTGTCGAGTCCTCCTCTCGTCCCTCCTCTAGAAACTGCGTCTCTGCGTGGGTTTGTCCAGCCTGGACTTAAGGTTCGGGCGGTTTGATAGACCAGTTAACACTCTCTTCTGTACACCTGTCTGCTTCTTCCTGCTTTGACGAACCACACCCCCTTTAAGTAACCGTTGCCCATTGAACGTTTACCTTTTTGTCGAGGCCCCTCCCCCGACGCAGGCTCTCATTCGTAGACGGGGCCCCCCCTAGTCTCCTCGTAGCTAATCTCCCTTTTTCTCACCTCGTGTTACGAGGGCCATGAAATAAAAAGGGCTCCTTGTTCTCGGATCTACGCAACCAAAGTGGCCCCACCCCTTTTCTACGCGGACAGGCCCCAGGACAGGACAGGAAAGCTGGACCGCAAATACGACGCCCGCCAATCGACCTTCGTGAAACGCGAGGCGACCTTGGACCTGGATGAGCCAGTGACATCTGTCAAAGTCTCGCCTCCCCCGTTTGCCTGCCCCAAACCGCACTCATCCATCTTCTCTACACGCCTTGCTTACCACCATCGCGGGCAAGCAAAAATGGCGGCCGGCAGCGCGCGCATTGTGCGATACATCCTCCTGGCATTCTTTGTAAGTGGCCTGGCTCCCAGCCTGACCTCGCAGGGTCATCTCGACCTCTTCTAACACGCAAACGCCCCTCAGTTCTTCGCCGTCGTCTACTTCGTCTCCCATTCCTCCTACGATGGCGTGCCGTTGACCACCGACTCCCTGAGGGCCGGCAAGGGCTCGACGACCAGCTCCGAGAAGGACACATCCTCCGGATCCAAGGGAGCTGCCAGCAAGGATGCCGGCAAGTCGAGCAGCTCGAGCGGCACCAGCTTCGGCAGCAGCCCCGGCACCCCCTCGACCTCGCACCAAGACCTCGCTGAGGCCCCGATGGCCCTGACTCCTGCCGACGCCGGCTGGGACAACCTGCTGGGCACGGCTCCTGGCCCCCGTATGAACGCCACCTTTGTCACGCTTGCGCGGAACAGCGACGTGTGGGAGATTGCACGCTCCATCCGCCAGGTCGAGGACCGCTTCAACCGCCGCTACAACTACGACTGGGTCTTCCTGAACGACAAGCCCTTCGATGCCACCTTCAAGAAGGTCACGTCCTCGCTCGTGTCCGGCAAGACGCACTACGGCGAGATCCCCAAGGAGCACTGGTCCTTCCCCGAGTGGATCGACCAGGACAAGGCCAAGAAGGTCCGCGAGGACATGGCCCAGCGCAAGATCATCTACGGCGACTCGGTCAGCTACCGTCACATGTGCCGCTACGAGTCCGGTTTCTTCTTCCGCCACCCGATCATGAACAACTACGAGTGGTACTGGCGTGTCGAGCCCAGCGTCGAGCTCTTCTGCGACGTCCACTACGACCCCTTCCGCTTCATGGCCGAGAACAAGAAGAAGTACAGCTTCGTGCTGAGTCTGTACGAATACGTCGAGACCATCCCCACCCTCTGGGACAGCACCAAGAAGTTCATGAAGAACCACCCCGAGCACATTGCCGAAGGCAACTCGATGGGATTCCTCAGCGACGACGGCGGCGACAGCTACAACCACTGCCATTTCGTATGTGTACCGGCTCCTCACTTTTCGCAACATGCTAACTTTTTTCTCTAGTGGTCCAACTTCGAGGTCGGCAACCTGAACTGGCTGCGATCCCAGCCCTACATTGACTACTTTGAGGCCCTCGACAAGGACGGCGGTTTCTTCTACGAGCGATGGGGCGATGCCCCTGTGCACTCCATTGCCGCCAGCTTGTTGCTGAAGAAGGAGGAGATCCACTTCTTCAACGACATTGCCTACTACCACGTTCCCTTCACCCACTGCCCCACCGGCGAAAAGGTGCGAACAGACCTTCGTTGCCACTGTAACCCCAAGGACAACTTTGACTGGAAGGGCTACTCTTGTAAGTTCCTGGTCTTCCCTCCTGAAACAATGTCTCGGCATAGGGTTACTAATGTGAGACTAGGCACGTCGAGATACTTTGAAATTAATGGCCTGGAGAAGCCGGAAGGCTATGAGAACCAGCAAGACTAGGCCCAACGGTTCAGTCACTTTGTAATCCTAGAAGGGGGGGGTGTTTCGAAAAATGGTCTAAACAGTAACCTAACGAGTTCACATCTGCATCTCAAAAACGGTTTTCTACGGGGAATGGCCAAATCTGGGGGATGGGTTCAGGCGTCACAGGGTTTTTTCACACGACATCAATTTGGAGACACAGTTCCGGAATTCTTATGTAGATATACATTGCAAGCTATGGCATCCAAAACCAGATCCGTGTCTGGCCTGATTTTCTACCCGTCACATAATTGTCACATTAGTGTACACAATATGCGCGATACGCCTGTAGTACCGCACCCGTCTCCCATGAAATTTTGGCCACGCATTGCTTGACCCCTGTCGCTCTATAGTCCCCTATCACCCTTCTATCCAGGTCTATCATGATCCGACGGAGGCCTTCTTGGGCTTCTTTGTTCCGTACTTGCTTCGACTCGACATTCGGTTGGCAACACCGCCCTAGATTATGCTCGTTAGCCACGGTGTTCTTTCATCAGGCACAAGAAGCAAGCAAGACCCCTTTTCCCTCTCTCGTTGGCAAGCGGCCACGTAACTCGGAACCCAGAGTCTCATGCCAGCCGGTTCATACCAAAGGGGTCTGAAGAACGAGGAAAAAAAGACCGGACAAGGACTCACCAGATCCAGGGCGCCGCGCACCAGATGGTAGCGCACACCGGGGCAATCCTGACTGCGGCCGCCGCGGACGAGGACGACGCTGTGCTGCTGGATGTTGTGGCCCTCGCCGGGGATGTAGGCCGTGATCTGGCGGCCGGAGCTGAGGCGCACACGGGCCGTCTTGCGCTCGCCCGAGTTGGGCTTCTTGGGCCGCGTGATGCCCACCTTGAGGCACACGCCCTTCTGCTGCGGCGACCGCGTCTCGGCCAGCGCCGGCGACACGGCGTGGCGCGCCCGCTTGCCCGTGCGGACTTTCTGCAAAGACGTGTGTGTGGTTAGCGATGTGATGTCCTGTTCTGGGGGCAGGCTTTCTCAGGTCGGGTGGGTGCGCGTAGGAAGCCGCTGCAGCGGGTGCCGCCGGCGGAGGGAACTCGGGGTGTGTCTGCGTACTCTTAAGGCTTGGTTCAGTGTCGTCTGGGGTGAGGGCGTGGTCGAGAAGGAGCGCGGGACGGCAGGGAGCGAGGCGGCCATCTTGCTGGCGATGGACGGCACGGCTGGCCTCCGTGCCAGTGTGGGCATCAGGTATCTGAGGATGGGCGCCGCCATGGTGGACGGTGGGCCGGGGCTCGCGAGGTGTGGTCGGTCGTGGAGTGGGCGAGGATCGAGCTGCCGGGTCCTGGGCTGAGCTGAGCTTCCTTCACGATACTCTCTCCCTATCTGCGCGTAGTTGCTGCATGTAACTTTCCCAAGACCCGTTCCTTCCAATTTTCGTGCACGGGCCACCACTCCTTCCCCGGTCGGCCTGCCACTGGCCAGCTCTGTGAGTGGCCAGTGATTGGTTAGTGAGTGGTCCACGATCCAGCCAATCAGCGCTGGATTGGGTGGATGAGCTGGACCCGACGAGAATCGGTATCGGCGGCTCACTTTGTCCGGGTGCCAGGCTCCTGGGCCCCTGGGCCCCTGGGATCGGGCCCTTCCGATTCACATGCCAACGCCCAGCCAATCCACGATGAGCGGGCTGCCCATGATGCAAGCTGCCGCCAGCTGCCCCCATCTGGGCAGCTCCCTTTACCCCGGAGACCTGGCACTTGACGCCTGGGGACGTCATGGCAGCCCCACGAGTCAGTCTGCCATGGGCCGTGGCGCCCCATGGCTACCCTCGGCTTCTGGGGGGTCAGTCCGGCTGCGGTTGGACGAATGGAGACTCTGGGGAAACTGCCCGTGGAGGATATGAACGAGCTGCACCTGGACCTCTCCGTGCCATTGACCGTCGGGACGAGCGTATTGGCATTCCGCGAACTCTAGACTTCCCTTGGTGGACTATATACCCCGTGCTTGGATCCTCATCACCGAAGACCAAGACCTTGTACCATCTTACCCCCTCCTGTAGCTGCTTGACTCCATTGCCAACCGGGCCTCGGCTGCGCCAGCAAGTACCACCATCACCATGTCTTCCATTGCAAGAGCGTTGCGCCCTGCGCTGCGCCGGAGCCAGACTGTCATGACCAGAGCCTCTGCCCCGTCGCCACGTTGCCAGAGGATATGCAGACCGTTCAACGCGCCTCAGCAGTATGTCGTGCCATTGCACTATGCCAGAACCACCGTGGGCTTACACTGACGGTTTCCCAGAGCACGATGCCTCTCGGCAACCCCCCGCCGCTTCAGCGACATGACCGAGATCCCGCCAACCCCCATATCACACCTCTCTGAGACCGAGGCTGCCATGCAGGAGGCCGTCTCCAAGTTCGCCAACGACGTCATCCTGCCCAAGGTCCGCGACATGGACGAGGCCGAGAGCATGGACCCGGCCCTGGTCGAGCAGCTTTTCGAGCAGGGCCTGATGGGTGTCGAGATCCCCGAGGAGTACGGCGGCGCCGGCATGAACTTCACCGCCGCCATTGTCGGCATCGAGGAGCTGGCCCGCGTCGACCCCTCCGTCTCCGTCATGGTCGACGTCCACAACACCCTCGTCAACACGGCCATCCTCAAGTGGGGCAGCACCGACCTCAAGAAGCGCTTCCTGCCCGCCCTGGCCACCAACACCGTCGGCTCCTTCTGCCTGTCTGAGCCCGTCTCCGGCTCCGACGCCTTTGCCCTGGCCACCAAGGCCACCAAGACCGCCGACGGCTACAAGATCAGCGGCAGCAAGATGTGGATCACCAACAGCATGGAGGCCAACTTCTTTATCGTCTTTGCCAACCTCGATCCCAGCAAGGGTTACAAGGGCATCACCGCCTTCATTGTTGAGAAGGACGCCAAGGGTTTCAGCATCGCCAAGAAGGAGAAGAAGCTCGGCATCAAGGCCAGCAGCACCTGCGTCCTCAACTTTGACGATGTCGAGATCCCCAAGGACAACCTCCTCGGCAAGGAGGGCGAGGGTTACAAGTACGCCATCGGTCTCCTGAACGAGGGCCGCATCGGTATTGCTGCCCAGATGACGGGTCTTGCCCTGGGCGCCTGGGAGAACGCGGTCAAGTACGTCTGGAACGACCGTAAGCAGTTTGGCCAGCTGGTTGGTGAGTTCCAGGGCATGCAGCACCAGATCGCCCAGAGCTACGTCGAGATCTCAGCCGCGAGGGCCCTGCTCTACAACGCAGCTCGCAAGAAGGAGGCCGGCCAGGACTTTGTCCGCGACGCCGCCATGGCCAAGCTGTACTCGTCCCAGGTTGCCCAACGCGTGTCCGGCCTGGCCATCGAGTGGATGGGTGGCATGGGTTTCGTCCGCGAGGGCCTGGCTGAGAAGTACTGGAGAGATAGCAAGATCGGTGCCATTTATGAAGGAACCAGCAACATTCAGTAAGTGTGAATTTTCCGGACGAGTCACGGAATGACCGTTGCACGTAAAGAATAATTAACTAACGAAACCATAGGCTGAACACGATCGCAAAGTTGTTGCAAAAGGAGTACACTGTCTAGAGTTTTGATGTAAAGGCCACTGCTAGTTGGGTGGAGTTCAATATTGAAGCCCGTGTTTCTTTGAAAGGGCCAAAGCGGCGTTCAGCACCATGTCACGATGCATCACTTATATGGAGTTATGTAGATCGTCTCAATCTTCACAAGATACCTCTTACGACCAGATTATAACGCCTAACCTGTATTGAAATATGACGGTCCATCACATCATTGATTATTTTAGGCCAAACCATTCCAAACTTGGTATAGTAGATTGGGTATATATGCTCACGCTGGGCATATCTGAATGCCTCCAACCCCCAGCCTCGAAAGGCACTATCATGAAGTCCGCACCGCGGGAGAGCTGGCCATTCCCAGGTCGTGCGTCTGCCCGTAGGCATTATGGTAAGTCATATCTGACCCGTACGGAGAATGTATATGTGCGTAGCTAGCGTTGCCCCACCGCTGGGGATTGTACTCCTGAGTATCGTACACGACGCCGTGCGAGCCGACCTCCTGCACCTGCACACTGCTATACGCGGGCTTGCCATCGCCGTCGTCGGTCCTCCGCGACCTGGCTCGACCGCCGCCGCCCCGGGCCCGGGCGGCAAAGAACAGTGGTGGCGGGTGCGGGAGGTGGGTCAGCAGCAGCACGACGAAGAAGACGATGCAGATGGTGGGCAGCAGCCACGGCGTCAGCAGATACGTCAGCCCGTGGGTCGACGATCTGGCCAGCAGCGACACTAGCGACAGGCCCAAGCCCATGAGGAAGAACAGCGCCGTGCGGAACATCACGAACGTGCTCCAGCCACCGGATGAGCGCCGCCGCCGTGTCAGCGCGAACATGATCGTCATCAGCATCAGCACCAGCCCGGCTGTGATCTGTAAGATGGGAGACATGTCAGCTTCTTTTTCTGTGGTTTCAACCCAACTTCTGTATCACGGTCGATGTCTGCTAGAGAGACGCTCGAAGTCTAGACGGGATGCCACTCGGCTTCACTGAGAACCTTATGTTCTTCACTAGACCACGCGCAACACGGGAGTTAAGGGGCACTTACATAGCCATATTGAAAGACTGTGTCGTAGCGGGTGGCGATCTGTATAATGCCTGCGTCCTGCCGCAGCGCCGGGTCCGTCTCCTCCATGTCCTCGAACGGATCGATCTTGAACCCCACGAACAGCGAGTTGATGATGGCGTACAGCAGCTCGTTGACGTCGTATTCGAAGCGCTCGAGGAGGTCCGGATAGGTGCCCGGCGCGCTGTCCCACAGGCTCTGTGGTAGGCCCTGGACGTCATGGAGCAGGGTGGTGACCCGTTCGTCCGTCTCGGTGTATGTCGACGGGTACAAGTTGAAGATGATCTGGACGGTGCTGTTGAGCTCCGCCGCCAGGTAGTCGCTGGTGATGTAAACGTCGGTGGCGGCGATCTTATCGATCAGGGCATTGAACTCCCCATTGACCCATTCCGTCAGCTCGTGTACCTTCCACCACACCATGAATTGCGTTGCGCCCTCCATGAACAGCAGCAGGAACACGTGGAACGGGAAGTGCAGCATCGACCACGCCAGCTGCCGTGCCCCCTTCAGATGGTGATGGTTCATCCAATCGAAGTAGAGCATGAAAAAGCAGTACATCAGCGCGATGGCAGACGTTAGGACGCCGATGGTTGCGCTGGCTGGGGAGAGGACACGGTTAGTCGTTGGGTTTGGAAGCGAAGAGAGACGAGTGAGACGGGGAGGATTAGGGGGAAAAGGCAACTTACTCCACCCTGCGGCGTTCTTGACGATAAGCACAACGTTCTTAGCAATGCTGGTGACGCCACCGCCGAGGATGATGACCGTGAGCACCGTCATACGCTCTGTCAAGTGCGTTCCCGTGAACGTGAGGACCTTGTAGAACTTGGCCAGGCCAAGCTGGATGATAGCCTCACACACGGCGACGATATACCATACGATGTAGACCCTGCTGTTCCGGTTCTCTTCGAACCGGAAGGTGACGCCAAGGAAGATCATGGCCGCGACGAAGTGCACTGCCGCGGCGATGGCGATGGGGTATTTGCCCTGCTTGTACCTGCGGATGTGCCACATGATCGTACCGTATTGGACGACGAGGACAAGTCGTGAGACCATCAAAATGATTGCTAAACCCCTTATATCAGCTAATCTGTCGGGCGAATATCATTGCTGGTTGACTTTTGCCTACACAGTGTCTGGAAGGAAGATTTCTCCTGCTGGTCTGGGTTGAAATATGTGACCACGACGCTGAATCCGACCATCACGCCAAGGTGTGCAGTTCGGATCACGCGCTCAAAGATGCTGTCCGTGACGAAGCGGACGTCGAACATGCCGACGAGGAACCAGGTGAACCACAAGATACTAGTGATTATCAGTGTAAGTGTTGTCGAAGGAATTGGAATTCTTGGGAGGCATACGTCAGGTATCCGATGTAAGAGTATAAGTCTTCTTCCTTGGAGACGCCTTTCGACTACGCGAAATGGGTTATCAGTGGCCGCCGTCATGTCATGTAGCATTTGGAACTTACAGATGAGAACACCTCCAGATTGGCCACGAACCATAAGTCGTAGAAAAGCTAAGAGCTATATCAGAATATTTGGTGCCTATCACGTTACTCGCTGCGTCGTACCTCATAATTAGTTGAACTAGAATGCTGTTGACATGTTAATCAAATCTCGCTGACATTTGAAGTGGATCACATGGAAACTTACCTTCACGAATTCAGGGCAGTCATGGTCGTCTCTGTACCGAAAGCCAAGGTCTTCAACGTCAGGCTCCCCGTCGATGCTCAAGCCTATGGAAGCGACCCTTTCGGCCTTCTTGTCATCATCGGGGATCAACGGGCTAGCAATCAGCTTCAGGTTGCTGTCCCTGCGGAGAACCTCCTGCGCTGGAGCCTCGTAGCTGATATTCTCGCGGCCGGTCATGGTGATGATGGCGCCAGCAGTATTAGGCTTGTGTGCTTGTGCCTGTCCTTTTCGACTTTCCCATTCGACTATTTCCAGAGCCGGAGCTACTCTTGTCTTAATGACTGGATAGAAATACAGGTGGACGACGGACAAGATGACATGGCCATGGGGGCGACGGTACCATATAGCAAAGTCGAAGGAATCAACCCATGGCACATCATCAAGCTCTAGGTATGCAGTGGAGCCACACTGCCATCCTAAAGCTTGTAAGTCAGGCTGTCAAAGGGGCCATTGCTAGACCGATTCCTTCGCAACATCGTCTCCTATTGGCTGCCGCTGCTTACATTTGCTGAGGCTGAACATTCGTGGGTCACCAGTGAGCATTTCGGCTCTTGGCTTCTGGCTCTACGCTCGCCGCCAATGCCAGTTGGGGGCTAAGATCGTCTCGCTTCGCACCGTCGTACTGACATTGCATACTGACCAACCAAAAGGTTCGAGGGTAGTAATTAGGGGGGAGCTCTAATGCGGTCACTTTACCTATTCACCACAAGCTTATAATCCCTACGCCAGCGACTACCCCATCAAAATTAGTAGGGCTAGAGGGGGAAGAGATATGCAGATCAAGCCGCGCCTATAGCGTCGTCAAGCAATTAGACTTTTGACTCCTGGTTACTCATCACAGCTTCGGCCTCACGGTCGCCGTATCTTGACCATACCTAGATCCGAGCCAGATGATTCACACGATGCCCTTTCCTTGCATCAAGGAACTGCTGCATCAGAAAAGCTGACTCCCATGGATCCGATTATCGTAACCTATTTTTCACAACCCAAAACCACACACTCAGGCGCCTGGAAGGTATTGCTAAAAATAGCGAGCTCTGGTAATGTCGCAGCGCAATCAGACGCTAGAGCAACACCAACGGGGTGGGTCACCAGCCATCGACAACCCCCCTGCAAGCAAATACCTGACCGCTACACTAGTTGTCCCAATCACTAGAGCCCTGGTGCTCGAATAGGTAAATGCGAGGCTGTGCTGCCACGTGAGTCAACCTTGAAATAGAAGTTCGAATCTGCAGATCTTGCATCTCAACTCCACTGGCCCCGTCCCGCTCTTCACACGTACTCCGCAGGCGGGATTGGTACTCCACCGTATATAGCACCAGAGGCTTGCAAGTGCTCTAGTCCATGGTCTTGGGTCTTGGTAAAAGCTTATCGAGCAAAGTCTTTGGCCGCTCCATGACAAGCTAGCAGAAATCGTTGGGAAGGCTGTGCTGGCGAATTGTTGGATTGACATAATTCATTCTTGGCTCGCCTTCACGTTGGAGAGGGATATTCTGCAACAATATGTATACTTGATAATGGCTTGTATGCAAAACGATGAAATAACACACAGCGTCACACCACATCATGCCCTAATTGTAGCACTGCTAGTGGTTGCGTTTCATCATTCTACTAGAGAAGCATTCGTGACCGGTCGATCTAGTACACATCTGCTAGAGGCTGGATTATATATCTCATAATCTAGTATACCAGCAAAGCCCGCACCTCGACGCTTTCCCTGCACCCCTCGTCTCCTCCATATGCCGGGTCCTCAAAGGCGCAGTGAGGTGCCCGCCTTGCAATATCCTTTGCTGAATCGAAGCATTTGATCAGTACGACCTCGTCGGGTGTCTGCTCATACTTAAAGTACCAACGGTGAGCTGCGTTGGGCCGCACCGTCCACGTCTCGGCCTTCTTCTCTCCTGAGTCGTCAAGCACAGAAGTGGCGACAAGGTCTGCCTCTGGCACGGACTTGGAGTCTGCCACGGCTAATGGGTCTTGATGGATAGTCTTGATTGGGCGCCAAAGCTGTCTATCCGTCAGTCATGGAGTTCGGTTAAGGAAACTGTGAGACCATTTGAGTATGAGAGAAAAGGGCACACATTGATTATTTGCCATCTTCTCTCCATCAGGGCATCATTTTCCTCCGGCCAGTACTTCCTCAGCACTAATTCAGCTCCGTGGTATGACTGGTCTATGTGGACCCGCCTCAGTGGCCCTCGAGATGCTACATTGTTTTGCCCAAGCTGATGCCAGTACGATGGGCCGCGGCGCACTTTATAATCGAAGACGTGTACTCGAGATGCTCCCGTTCTATAATGCAATAAGCCACACATGCCAGCTAGGTGCAACACGTAAACTCACATGTGGCGGAGCAACTTCTCCGCCTCTGGGAAATACTCCCCTTTGATCCTTTGCTCGTCATTGAACAGCTTCTCATTGCTCTCGTGACGGCAAAACTGAAACCCGTGGGAGTCCAGAGTGAAGTGGCCTTCCTGGCCAGTTACATCCTCCACTGTAACTTGGAAAGCGATAGTGGGTCGTTCGTTGGTCACTTTGGTGTCTCCAACTATAATGGGCAAAGGTGCAGAGCCGTCACCAGGGTCTTTCCAGTAGTTCAGAGTCGTGACGACATCATGGCGGCTTGGTGATACACTGCCAAGTTGAGACGCGTGTATTTTCGAAGCTGGTGGGATCAAAGGTAGCCTGTGAGAAACCAATGTAGCCATCGTGGAACTACCAATAGGATCAATACTAGTCAGCCGCGATCAAGCACTGACCTTTAACTTCCGCGACGGTTCTGCGAACTCAGATACTGGATCCTCAGGGATCCCCGAAAACCCAGTCTGTAGTGACGAGAATTGTCTGATTCAACATAAAGACCGTCATGTTCATACGCGGACATCTCAAGTCGGGTCGCATGCGGGGTCACAGAACTCCAATCATGATATAGCCGGTTGTTAATGATTGGCAAGGTCATACGAGACTCACCGAGTCTGCATTCTGTTTACCCCATATACCACGAGGTTCTATGCGCATAACGAAGTAATATAAAGTTAGGTCGATAACCGATGCCTCGAAAAGGCTCTTCCGCTAACATATATCCATTGTGTCAACTCAACTCCATTAACTGGAAATGGAGTACATCGTTAGTTATACTACATGTTCTTGAGTTCCGTGTGAATTGATCGGGATCGATACTAGCTAATACATAAACCTGCAAGTATTCATCTGATATTAATGTATTTCGAGGTGTCGAAAAACCCTCTCGGTGTTTACTTCACCCGTAATTGTTGCTAGGCAGTGGAAAGCAAGGGGATCATTAGTCATCTGCATAAGCCGCCAGTACAAATATTAAACAACAGTTTTGTATTTCTTTTACGTAAATTCATGGATGGTATGGCGTCCAAGTCAATATTTGATTGCTTTGATGTCTACAGCCAACAGAGGTGGGTGCCGTATGTATCGCGCACACTTTCTGCATGTTCTGAATGTATCTTGCTCACCACCAAACGAAGCAGTAACGTATCAGATGCTGGTTTGTGGCCCTCAAATACAGATCTGGAATCTGTTGATCCTTGAATCATGAGAACGAAGTAGGATGGCCAGCATGACTGCAACTATAAGCACGGATGGTTCGCTCACGACGCCAAAGAGGAGTTGCGGCGAGCGTGTAAGATTCGGTCTTGATTTCACACCAATAATATCGTGTCAATATGTGACCAAATGCATCTCTCACCGGAGATTCGGGCTTATTCCTTCGGTAGGATCACAAAAAGAGTGATCTCAGGTGACACGTGTGATACATATATAAGCGAACCGGTGTGCAAGCTACATGTGGTAGCACAGACAAGATCAGTTTCCCCTCTTCAAACTACCAGAATCCTCATCTTCCGCAACCGTGCAAATCGTCTCTGAATAGTTCAAGTCGTCATGTCGGCTTCTCCGCCCGTTGGTAGGGATCCGGAGGTGATCCAGATCAAGAGCAGAGAAGGGGTGATGTATGGCCGCATGGATTTTGACACCTTCGAAAAATGCCCATGGTCTAGTTCAGCGCCGCCGCCTGAATTGCTATCAGGAGCGACCGTGTTGCTACTGATTCGTTATCCTGAAAAGGGCAGCAAACACCCAACCTTCGAAAATGCACTTCGGGACAGTTGCCTCAACTTTCCACCAGAAGCATTCACCACCAGAACCTCAGCAGATCACCTGATTGACCGAGGCGCTTCTGCTTTGCACGACCAGTTGTTCATCGCCTCGTGGCCGATATTGCATTCCATAAAAGAAGAGTCACTCCGAATTCTGAAAAACGTGTATAAGAAGTCCAGTGAGTCTAGTCAGAAAGACAAACGGCGGTTCGAATGGGATTATCTTAACAGCATACTGGACGCCGATAAATCCCGTGACACATATCATTTCATAACTGTTACCAGCTGTACATTCTACTATCATACGTCACGCACAGGAGTAAACATTGGTATGGCTTTGGCCCGCATCACTTTCATTTGTGACTGTTCTTATAACCACCTCTACAAAGAGCTGATTCGCGAAAGATAGGTGTCTTCCTATTCAACGACGAGTTTCGGGCCCCATACACTAAGCTCTATGGCAGTCAAAGTTCAAATCGTGGATTAGTTCAAGAGATTTGGCAAACTCGCTCGCGAATTCTGGACTTGGTAGATCGCGACAACAAGGTGTTGGCCATGACGGGTCTCATCCAGTTCCTGGGGCAAGTCGCTATGTCAGACGTGTATACCGTGATTTGCCAACTGAATGTCGCGCTTGAAAGGCTCGTACGACATGTTTTGAGTAAAAGCCCCAGTGAGGGCGCTGGTCAGACCGCTGATCTCTCCATCGAGGGTGACAATCAAGTGTCTGATATTAGCAATCAGTTGACTGAGTTGAGCACCAACTGTTTTCACCTCGAACACTTTCTGTCTTACACGCAATCCAAACTTAGGTTATCGGATGATGCAAGCATGAAAGAAAATTTGCATTACGTACGAGAGACGGTAGCAGCGACTAAGCAGCGCATTGATGGGTTTACTCAGACGCTCATGTCTACAATGAGCATCATTGAGAGCCAAAAGGCCATACAGGAAGCTGAGAATATCGGGAAGCTCACTCAACTTGCTTTCTTCTTCATCCCCGTGACGTTTGTCGCCAGCATATTCGGAATGAACATTGTCGTATGTGGCATCAAGACTGAACGGTACACTGCTGACGAGTTGCAGGAATTCGAGGACAGACTAACATCGTGGATATGGATTGCTGCATCTTTCTCCTGCCTGTGCATCACCTACGGCCTGTTGTATCGCGCAAGAATCCCTTGGGATGCCTCGCCAGTTTCCGCTCGCTTGAAGAACTTTTGGGACCACTTCTGGGAGCCTAGGAAAGTACGTAACAGCGCAGGCTGAACAGGAACACCGACATCATGAGGCATACCGACTGGCGAGCCAAGTTGCTACACGGGTGAGAGGAGTATTTCAGTCGAAAGGCTGCCTCAAATCACGCAGGCAAAGCAAATACTGGCCAGAATCCAAATTGCACCAATGCGGCATTGATCAGGGAGAGAAGTGGCCACCAACCGAATCAAGGATATTTTCATAGCTGAAACTGGCCGACAAGACACTCAGTAGTCTGGCGGATGAGTTCCAGGCCGTGTAGCGGTCGTGAATATAGAAATTCGCAGGGTGAGAGGCTCAGAGGAGAAGCAGCTATATTGCTGCACATACCGGTGGTCTTTATGTACTTATGAATTTAACGAACTGAACGACACGGATTGATTTCTTCTTTCTTGTCATGAGTAACAAAAGTTACACAGAATAATCTGCTTCAGGCCACATAATATCTCGCTCACTGTGCAATTATCTTTGTGGTTTCATCAAAGACTTGCTTGATAACCATCGACCTTGGCGGTTATGTAGTATTTGATAACCTGGTTACTGCGTAACAAGCGAGTAACGTCGGTAACTCACCTTCCAGTTCATAGAATGAACCGATGTTTGGCCGGTCGTATTCGTGTTAGGCCGCAAATGTCGTGCAGAAGCGGTGAGTGGGACAAAAAGGGGTGGGAGGCTCTCGATTGGCCAATTCAAGGATTTTTGTTGAAGAACCCTGCCAAAACCGTTGTTCGTCCACGGGAGCACAAAGTGGCACTTTCTAGAGGGTAGAAGCAGACCGGGCTGGCTTCGAGACGACTCCGATCTCACGTTTGTTGGACCTGCTCTGTACTGTAAAACTTACGATGGGCTCCTCTGAGCTCCTAAAAGCAAATGAGATCTTGAAGACTCTGATTTGAAAGCGGGCGGATCCTGGGACGACATGGCGTGTTCCCCTAGTCCTCGGAAGCACGCCAGACCGGAGGCTTAAGCGGCTGCTCCCAGGGCGAATCAGACGGCCAGCATTTCCGCAGGTTTATCGATCGGGTGGGGTAGGTCAGAGCTCTTTTTAACGCCGTGAATCGATGCCGCAGTTTGAAGGCCGCCCCTCCACGCCGAGAGCGTCGAAGACGACGAGCCGGGAACTCGGAGTAAAGTTTTGTTTCCCATTGATGGCATGGCCGGTGGTATAAGTGAGATGTGCCATTGCGGAGATACATAACTACTATGTAGACACGGGGCGACAGACAAGATTCTAGCGCTGGTCGTCGGACTGTCGCGCTGTACTAGCAGCCCGCTCGAGCCGGGTGTAACCTGTTGTGGGTAAGGGTGCGATCAACGAAATACAACCCCCCTTGGGCGCCTCAAGGTGGTAACTAGGGAATTTGCGGCAGTCAACCAGTAGTTCGGCCTGCCGTGCTGTAGATGATTATTTGCGCCGCTGGGGCGGGCGTGTGGTAGGCCTGGTCGGGGTCCCCTCCCCTCCTGTCGCTCGCTCACTCGCCTCGCGCTGCCTCGCCTAGGGCGATAGGAGATAATAGTAATTTCTTGTCCCCGGGGGAGCGACACCTTCCCACCTTCTCTCTTGGTGCTTCATCTTTTCTTTCCCGAGACTCGCCAGTTGAAGGATCTGTCTCTCCTTGACTGCTGGTGAAGAGGTGCTCCAACACGCGAGACGTTCTCCCGTCACCCTCTTCCCCCCTCAACCTTATCTGGGCAGATCTGGTTCCTGAACTCTCTCTTTTTTAGTCTGTCGCAAAGAGCCCTGATAGGTCACGATTTGTTTTCGCGTGCGAGCGACACCACCACCCGACAGACATTCCCCAGGAGCACCTGTCACTGCTTTCGCCCACTACCCAGGACTCCGTCATCCACCATGGCTACGAACGCGACGAGCTTCACGTCGCCTCTGGCCGACAAGTTCCCCGCCGTCAACCTGCCTCCCCAGTTCGACTATGTCGTCGACAAGGTCGCCAACGCCGGCATCCTCACCTGGGTCGTCACCCTGCTGGCTCTTGCTGTCGCATACGATCAGAGTGTGTACCCCCCCTCCTCCGCTGCTCGCTCCGGCCAGCAACAAGTCCAGGAGACTTCGTGACTAACCGAACCTCGCAATGCAGTCAGCTACTGGACGCAAAAAGGGTCGATTGTCGGCCCTGCTTTCAAGGAGCCCTTCATTGGACCCTTCCTCCAGTCCGTGAACCCCAAATTCGAGGAGTACTACGCCAAATGGAAGAGCGGCCCTCTTAGCTGCGTCTCTGTCTTCCACAAGTAAGTTTTCTCTACCGTTCCCGTTTCCCTGTTTTTATCTGAGCCGCCGCTGACTGTCTACCCCTCCAGATTCGTTGTCATTGCATCCACTCGCGACCTGTCCCGCAAGGTCTTCAACTCGCCCGCCTTCGTGAAGCCATGCGTTGTTGATGTCGCCACTAAGATCCTCGGAGAGAAGAGCTGGGTCTTCCTGGACGGGAAGGAGCACGTCGACTTCCGCAAGGGCCTCAACGGACTCTTCACCCGCAGGGCTCTGGAATGCTACCTGCCCCGTCAGGAAGAGGTCTACAACACCGAGTTCAAGAAGTATGTTCAGGTCACCAAGGAAGCCGGAGGCAAGCCAGTCCCCTTCATGACTCACTTCCGTGACCTCATGACCGACGTCTCGTGCCGTACCTTCGTCGGCTACTACATCTCCCAGGAGGCCATCAAGAAGATCTCGGACGACTACTTCCTCGTTACGGCTGCTCTCGAGCTCGTCAATTTCCCCCTGATCATCCCCTACACCAAGACCTGGTACGGCAAGAAGGCTGCTGCTATGGTCATGGACGAGTTCGCCAAGTGCGCCGCCAAGGCCAAGGTTCGCATGGCCGCTGGTGGTGAGGTTTCCTGTATCATGGACGCCTGGGTCAAGGATATGATTGCCTCCAAGAAGTGGCGTGAGGCGACCGAGAAGGGACTGTCGACCGAGGGACTTGAGAAGCCTCAGCCCCTGATCCGCGAGTTCACCGACTTCGAGATCTCCCAGACCATCTTTACCTTCCTGTTCGCTTCCCAGGACGCCACCAGCAGCGCTGTCACCAACATGTTCCAGATCATGGCTCAGCGCCCCGAGATCCTGGACCGCGTCCGTGAGGAGAACCTGAAGACCCGCAAGGGCGACATCCACGCGGCCGTCACTCTGGACGAGCTCGAGTCCATGACCTACACCCGCGCCGTCGTTCGTGAGCTCCTGAGATACCGCCCTCCCGTCCTGATGGTGCCCTACAAGGTCAAGAAGGCCTTCCCCATCACCGAGGACTACACCGTGCCCAAGGGTGCCATGGTCATCCCTACCACCTACATGGCTCTCCGCGACCCTGATGTGTACGAGAACCCCGACGAGTTCGACCCTGAGCGCTACTACAGCGGCGATGCTGAGGAGAAGGGCGCCAAGAACTACTTGGTCTTCGGCACTGGCCCTCACTACTGTCTCGGCCAGCACTACGCCCAGCTCAACTTGGCCCTCTGCCTCGGCAAGGCCTCGTTGCTGCTTGACTGGAAGCACCACGCCACGCCCCTTTCCGAGAACATCAAGGTGTTTGCTACCATCTTCCCTGAGGTGAGTCCAGTCACTTTGACTATAAGCGAAAGACAAGTATGCTAACTTGTTCCCCAGGACGACTGCCCGTTGACCATGGAGGAGCGAAAGTGGTAAGCGACTGGAACACCTTGATAATTCCACACCACTGCCTTTGAAGGAGCGCAACATCGTTTTAGGCTCTATCAAACATCATGACAGACTACCAACCCTTAGAATAATTGTAATCCGTATACTGTATATACTTGAGAAAAGTTTGGGGAAGAGAGAGAGAGAGAGACAATGGGATTGGGTGGGAGGTACTTCGACGTTGGCAGCAGCTGACGAAACGAGATGAATAAAGTAAAATGAACTTATGGCGCGGTTCCACCATCGTAGTGGTTTGGATACCACGTAGTGATACCATATCGACTTCGATGAGGACTCGGATTACCATCCTGTCATGGTACCTCGTGGACTTCTTAAAGACGGATCAGCATGCAGTGAATCACACCCTAGAGCCTCTGACTACAGAAGTACTTCAGCGCCCTTCATGATAGAGATGCCCAGGGCGACAAGTTCTTCTGCCCTGGTAACGCAACAGCCAAGATGACTGCCACAGATGTCACCCAGCCTCGATGCGAGGTATCGGCTTTGACAACAATACTTGTCATCAGTGGATTCACCATCGCGGGGTCAACCTTGGGGCCGATCTGCAGCGATGCTTGGGCGTGCTTCGCCAGGTATGTCAGAAATGAGCGAAGCAGCCTCAGCCGCCAGAAAGAGGGAGTCCTTCGAGACAGAGCCAGATGCCGAGAAGAGAAGCGACTGATTGACGTATGTGCCCAACGCAGACAGGGAGTCGGACGGCCGTGGCGGACGCCGCAATGTCTCCTTTCAACAAGTCCACACGGTGATTAACAAAGGGGTGCATCGGACCGGCAGATGTAACTGCTCTGGGGGGTCCAACTCGTAGAACAACACGTACCGCGGGCCATGAGATCGCGAATCTCGGACGCCGCTGGTGGTGGTATTCCTGGTAGCATAGCTGGGAACTTTGCTGTCCTACACGTGGGTGGCTACATAAATAAGAAGCAACGGATCGGGCTTGTGAAGGTATAGGCGGCGCAAGCTATACCACGCAATATCCACGTCATTTGGGGGCCGAGGCGCGCTCGCAATCGCTACTGAGCAGCTAAGTTACCGCATCATCCGTATCAATTGGCACATTAGTAGGCGAACGAATGCACTCAATCAGAACCACCTTCCCATCGTTAGCTTTGAAACTCCTTGCTGAAAGACCAATGGTAGGTAGCTGCGTCCTATGATATGTGCTTTAAGTGGAGATGCCGAGAATGCGCATATCAATGGGATTATATGGGTAGTTAACTAGTTGGTACCTGGGCCATCCGTAGCGTCAGAAGCTCAACGCTTCGTGAACGAGCAAATCAGACCCATACTCTGATCAGCACAACCTCATAACTACATCCCACGAACCCGGCACCATGGCGGCGAAACGCATCTCCCTCGGCGCCGCCCTGCGCACGAGCTCCCAATTGACGCCCCGCGCCGCAGCACCAACAGCTCTACGCAGCTTTGCGACCTCGGCATCCCAAGCTTCACGGCCTCTGGTCCTCAGCACCCGGCCGTCCGCACGGGCGACAGCGGCAGTCACAGCATCGTCATCCTCCTCCCAGCGCGGCGTGCGGTGGTCCTCCGAGTCGGCGACGGGGAGCAAGATCTACAGTTTCGAAGAGGTATGCGCTCTTTCGTTTTCCTCTCCAGCCACTCCCCCTGGCATACCACAAGAAACGGTAGCGACCAACACACGTACACCGACGTCATAAAGCCCGGCCTCTACAGTGCACCGGGACACAGACCCTAGACCTAGACACGATGTGACTGACAACCTGTGAACCACGCAAACAGATCCGCGCCCTCTCCAAGGACGCCTCGCGGCCGCTGACCATCGTCGACGTGCGCGAGCCGGGCGAGCTGGCGTCGACGGGGCGGATCCCGGGGGCCGTCAACGTGCCGATCACGACGGCGCCCGACAGCTTCCACATCGCCGACGACGAGTTCGCCGACCGCTTCGGCTTCGAGCGCCCCGGCAAGGTCGACGAGGTCGTCTTCTACTGCAAGGCCGGCGTGCGCAGCCGCGCGGCCGCGGGCATCGCGCGCGACGCCGGCTGGACCCGCGTCGGCGAGTACCCCGGCAGCTGGATCGATTGGGCCGGCAAGGGTGGGGAGATCGAGCGGTCTTGAAGGGGGGGAGGTGGAGGCGCGAGGAGAGGGGACTCTGGGGACTCTGGTCAGCGAGTCGTGGATTGGCATTTAGAAGACAGTCACAACCACAGCCACTGCCCAAGAGGCTCGTCCGATGAAGACGTTGCGGATCATGTCACTGCACGATGTTATCAGGAGCTTGCCCTGTCTGCCGAGATCAGAAGTGACATCACTGTGGGCAGGGCCTAAGAAGAGCAATGGGGCAGTTTATACTGAGGCTTGGTATCCATATAAAGACCATATCTAATGTTACAAGTCTGTAAATCAAAAACAAAATTCCATAAGACGCCCCTAAGCATGCTGAGCTACACCCTACATATCGCTGCTCCCGTGACCCGGTCCGGCCCGCGCCGTGTCAAGACACTCTATAGGCGTAACATGAGTCGCAACATTGCCCCGGGACCCTCTGCGGGCTCCTTGGGCTCACTCTGGATCGGCGCCGGGCTCCCGGCCTTGAAGAACAGAACCTTGATGGCGATGGCCAGCGCCAGGTGCAAGGCGACGACCAGGATCAGCAGCACCTTGCTCGTCTGGCGGTCGGTGGCGCTCAGCACGGGCCAGAAGTTCCTCAGCAGGAAGGCGACCGAGAGGCCAAAGCCGATGCCGACGAAGAGGTAGTTGAGGAGCTGGATGGTCGACCAGCTGATCAGGGCCACGGGGATCCAGATCAAGTTGGCGTAGCCGTAGAGCGCCCAGCACTCGAGCAGGTTCGCCGATTCGGAGCCGAAATAACGAAGGGCGCCGAAGAGGAGGATCGGGATCACGAGGGTGTAGCCGTAGATGAGACCGGCGGCGCCTGCATTATTTCCATAGTCGTTAGCTTGTGCCCCATAACGTTCCCCTTAACTCTCCCCTATACCCAGAATGAAGGCTCCAACACGGAGGGAAACGAAGTAGAAAGAGAGAAAACCTACCACTTAGCAGCGTAAAGTCGTAGACGAAGGGCCCGTTGCCCGTGGAGGCCAGGTACTGGCTGATGGTGCCGCCCATGAAGAGGATGAAGACGACGGTGGTGGCGATCCAGAAGGGCCCGTACAGGTCCGGGTTGCCCTCGAGCACGTCGAGGAAGTTGGCGCGCGGGTACAGGGCGGCCCAGCAGCGCGCCAGCACCGACGACGTGTCGACGTCGAAGAACTGCGCGTAGAAGGACAGCGACCACAGGAACCGCTTCGACGAGCCCGACCCGGACCCCGAGCCCGCCGTCGCCGGGGGTGGCAGGCCGGAGCCGCCGCCGCCGCTGCCGCCCTTGCGCGTGCTGTTGGACGGCGCCGTGAAGGTCGAGTTGTGGAATTCGAGGTCCTCCTGGAGGTCGGTGTGTCCGAGGTCGCCCTGGGAGTTGCGCGTTGCGTCAGCACGTCAGTCCGTCGTCATGCCTTTGCTATCGATGCCTTCATGGTTCATGGTTGGACGGCCATGGAGGCAGCGCCAGATGCAAGAGCTCCGGGTGGGATGCCTACCTCGTCATCTACGTCTACGACGGCATCGTAGCCGGCTCCAGACATGTTGAGGACACTGGCTGTTCGGAGGCGACTGGCAGCAGGTTTCGGCGAGCCTTCAATGCGCTCTTGCGTGGTGGTGTTTGCCTGGTCTGGGGTACGTGGTGGTTGCGATGGGTTGAGCTGGAGCTGTCTACCTGGAGCTTAGAGGCCACGGAAGCAGCCCGGGCTTTACCCGTGTCATTCGTAGCGTAGTAAGTTACAGTGACTGGCGGGCGCTTCTAATTGGTCCCAACACCGACCCCTGCGACTTACCTTCAAGACCTAGGTACAGTAAGTTACCATTATGAGCCTTTACGACGCGTGCTGCATTTTTCAAGTCCTTCCTCTTTCTGATCCATCGTGGCCAAATCAGAGAGACAGAACGGGAGGATCTGGGAATGTGCAGAAGGTTATACTTGGTCGAGCCATTCACGCAGTTGCTCAAGAAGACTTGACACGGTGAATGATCTGAAATGGACTTTGGGTGTAACATCTACCTGTCGCTGGTCGGTTGTATAAGAAGTCTCCGCCAGATACAACGAATACAGGTGGCTGATCCAAAAACTGCGCATTTTCTTTAGCACTTCAGCATTGCCAATTGGGTAATGCTTAAACGTCGCCATCACGGTTTCTTTGTGAATACTTGTGCGTACTGGGGTACCTTTGGCCTTCCACCGAGACATGTGCGCTCACACACCGTCAACGGCCGGGACGGATAACAGACGGATGCTAACACCTCTAGGCTACCATGAGCTGTGGTTAAACGAGCACGCGGGCCCTTGTGTCTCGTGTGAAGGACCTGTTGACGGTTTACTGTTATGAACCTTGACATAGACGATGCGGCCAATTCTGAGACCTAGATGAATCAGGCGCCCATAAACACGCTCTCAACCCTGCAATGGACCTCATCCTTTCTGGTATTTGTGATCATGGGCAACGTCTGCCGTGGTGGTGGAGGAAGAGGAGCTGCTGCTGCTGCTGCTGCTGCTTCTTATTGAGATGCGAAAGTTGGACAAGCTTGACCGTCATGATCGAGGAAAGTCAACAGCAGTTCGCGAGGAGTTTCTTTTTGGTGCTCCCGACGAGGAGAAGTACGGTAGAGAATTGCGCACCATGTATTCGAATACGTGCTTGCAACACCCATCGCTGGACAAACACTCAATCGCTTTTAGAGAGACGAAACCCAACTGAGCCAAACTCCCATCGTGATGCGTGGCCGGCATTCAAAAAGAAACAAGTCTTTCAGATCGTATCATAGCTTGATTGTCTCCTATCTAGACGATGCTATTTCCGCACACATGCCCAAGCCATGAAATGAACCAGTCGAGTTGCTCTCGGTACCGAGGACCTCCACCCTTCCGATCTGTGTCATGATGCCAAAACCAAGTACGCCGGGGAGATGAAATAAAGCGAATCGTTTACTTGAGCTTCTTCTTGGGTCGGAGCTGGTTGGTGTGACCGCACTTGCGCTTACGGCAGTTGGTGGCTCGCGGGGGAAGACGGGCCTGTAGGTCATTCGCGTTAGCTGCGACAGAACGCCCAAGCCCGAAAGGCAGAGGCAACTTACGTAGCACTTGCGGCAGATCATCTTCTCGCAGTTGAACTTGGAGGCCAGGGCCTTGAGCGAGGGCTCGATGATACCACCACGGAGGCGGAGGACCAGGTGGAGGGTGGACTCCTGTAACGAAATAGTCAGTATCGGCCGATGCAATGATGGTGTCCCCCGTCCTTTAGAATCTCTACGCAACCCAGTCGAAACCCTTGTAGAGCATAGTATCTCGGTCCTGCGAGTGCCTGAGAAGTCCACGTACCTTCTGGATGTTGTAGTCGGAGAGAGTGCGGCCATCCTCGAGCTGCTTGCCAGCGAAGATCAATCGCTGCTGGTCCGGGGGAATGCCCTCCTTGTCCTGGATCTTGGACTTGACATTGTCGATGGTGTCGGAAGACTCCACCTCAAGGGTGATGGTCTTGCCCGTCAGGGTCTTCACGAAGCTGCGAGTCGGGCCATGTCAGTACCTCTGTGCCACTGTGTCTAATCCCACATCTCCTGTCCTTTCCTGTGTCGGGCGGCTCGCGGGTTTGGCCAGTTCGGAGTGCTGGATTGGGTGGATTGGTCGGGAGGGGGATCTAGAAAACTCACATCTGCACTGCAGGCACGGATATGTTAGCATACTGTCACTTTCCAAGCGATGGCGGACGTTTGCGACTTACTTTTGCCGGTCTTCGATGAATTGCTGTTGGTGATGGGAAGTCTGAGTGATGTCGCCTCTCGCAAAAAAGTTCCGGTGGGGTGAAATTGAGAGGAAAATGGTTGCCCTAGGTGGATCAGGTGACTTGGTGGGTGTGGGGCCTGGCAGTTTCGCGGGCAAGAGGAGTGAATTTATCTTAGGTGCCAATCAAATCCGAGCTTCGGCCTTGTCCTCCCTGGCTCGGTGCTCGAAGCCACTGTAGGACCACTAACGTAATACCGTACTGAGCGAGGTAAACGATGGACCCCGGGGCGACCCGCAGACCTCAATCACCGTCCAGTGCGGTTCATGGATGGCTGCCGCTATCACAGCTTGAGCCGATATGCTTGCGCAGTCTGCATTGACATGTGTAATGTTGTACAAGAGAAAAGTAATCTGGGTATCTAGATGTCCATCGAAACAGAATCGCGCCACGCCGCCCTTCCATGCCTATCTTATAGAAGGACTGCCCTCCCCTTGCCCTTGATATCTGCATACTCGGCGTGTTCTTGTGACTGCCCGATCTTGTCCTTCTTCAACTTCCTAGCAGACCATATCTCCAGGCGTCTCTCGACTTGTAGAGCAGCCATCAACAAGGCCTGGACCGATATTGCGGCCAACTCTGCTGCTACTCCGTAGAAAGCCTTTGCATGTTCGGGCAGCTCGTCTTCTGTCCGCCACACCGGACAGTAGTCACGGGCAGCTCTCTTGCCACCTGCTGTGTCTGGCTGTGGCTCAACTGTCCGCATAGTTGCATGTAAAGCCTTGTAGCGTTCTTTGATATTGGCATTATCGTTTGGCTGTTCAGCCATATCCAGTTCACCTGCTGTCCTGCTGTCCTCTTGAAATGGCTGGCGGATAAAGGCAGGTGCTGTAGAAATGTTAGGGTCCAAGTAATTCTCTCTGCTTCTTTCAACGTGAAGGCATTGCTCACTTTTGGGTTCATCATCACCTTGCGTGATCCACATCCTCTCGAACCAGTCCATGAAATCATCCATCTTCTGCTTGTCCATCGTCAGCGCTTCATTCGCGGTTATCTCGTGCTCCGTTCCTCTTTCCAGCTTGTCTTCCGATTTTTGCGGTGGCTGCTCTCTGGTCTTTCGCCACTCTTCCCAGTTGATTTGCGTCGTTCTTGGGTCACCCTCGCTAATGGGCGGACGCTGGACGCCGTCAAGAGGATGCAGTAGTTTCGTCGACACGACGACCAAGGTAATGAGTAATACTTCTGGGTTATCCATGGCGCGCACCCGCTTAGAATTTGCGTCAGGAAACCCGAAATCCGCCTCGAGAAGTTGAGAGAGGCATTTGACCATGAAGTAGATCTCGACCGGCAAGGTGAGTTGCTGAATGTAATCCACCAGAATCGGCACGTAGTTCAGTGGCGGGAGTTTGAGTTCGGCGTGAACGTTGAGTGTGATCGCAAGCTCTTGTGCGGTAGCAAGCAGTTTGCCCCGCTTGATGTGATCTCGAACTTGCAGTGCTCTGTGATACTTGGCCGGCAGACGGTCCTTGACGTGCTGCGGAATGCCGTTGAAGGCAGCCAAAAACTCGATATCGCCCTTCATCGCCCACTCGTGGAAGTCTCCCATCCTGACGGGAAGTCGCAGGACAATGCAACCTAGATAACATAGCGCCAGGGTATGTACAAGGCCCGGCGACCTCCTCGACCCTTCAATAGCCCATCGCGAGCTCGTCGACGCATCGCTGTCCTCGGGCTCGCTCGCGCTCGTCGCCTCGTCAGTCTCCGGACCCTCAGTGCCATCCGCCATCATCGGCAGTCCCAGCAGATACGTCCACAGACCCCGGACGACCGACTCCAGCTCGTTCGGGAATCCTTTCTCTTCCCGCACCAGCCATAAGAGCTGCTTCCGGATGATGAGCTGCAATATCTCGAGGTACAGTTTCCTGCCTTCGGGACCCTCCAGCTTCACCGCTGCTCTCTGCCGCTTCTCCTTTCTAGCCTTGGTCACCTTCCCCGTTGTTCCGTATTCATCCTCGCCGGCATCGTGGGATGCAAAACCCTCGAGCTGATGGCCGTTCTTGCAGTAGCGAAGTCCTTCCTGCTCATACCAGAGCTTAGTAGAGCACTCCTCGCACCTTTCAGGAGGTCGCATGCGATGGTAGGAAGAAGGCGCCATAATGTATGGTATAGGATGTGACAGTGGACCTTGACACGACGAGATTGTACCGGGCGACTAAACTAAGGCCAAAAGCGTCCGTGCCTAGTGCTCAGGATGAAGTGTTGCTGGAATACTCATTGGAAGGATTCTTGCGCAAATTAGGCTAGTTAATGTAGTCGCTGACTTGGGCAACGTTCGGAAATACAGCTACTTTGTTTCGATAAATAGGTGAACACGCAACTTAAGCCAGTTTTCTGCGCCATCGTCGCGCATACCGCACTCTGGGTCGACTGCGATCATATTCATATAGATTGCAGTCATGACCAGACAGAAAGTAGGTCACGGCACCCTTGATTGATCACAGCTTTACACACATCACATGGTACAATCAAGCAGAGGCACAGTAATTTTGCTCGTGGGTAACTTGTGGATTCTATAGGACAAGTTTACCGGTCAAACGGACCCCTTTTGGTTCATCCTCTGATATGCTCGTCGCTTCGTGACAGAAAAGATGGTAGGGGGAAGACGGTACGTCAAGGAAAAAAGGGGGAAACTGTGGGCGTTCAACGTCATATCATATACCCAGCAGAAATAAGTGTCAGTGTCCAGATAGAACCCATCTACGCAACGACCACAGGGGGGGTTTAGGCCCCATAGTGTCCATGGCACCAGCAATGTCCCGGAAAGTTGTCGTCTTCACACCTGGCACCTGTTATATTGACAGAGGTGTAGTCGCCGATGCTATTAATGCAAGGTCGCCGGCGTAGATCATGCGCTGCCGAGGCAGGCAATCTAAGAGCCACGAGGAGCCTCCTTGGCCTCGACGGCAGCCTGCTCACCCATGGCAGTCAAGATGACGACGTCTGCGGTACGTTAGCAAACACTGCATCGCGCAAACGACCAGAGCTGGATCCTTACTGGTGTCCTTCTCCTCCTCGACGAAGAGACGGTTGATCTTGTCGCCGATCTCACCGTCAGGAACGCGAACATCATCCTTGGTCTCACCATCCTCGCTCATGAGGGACAGGAAACCATCGTCAGAGACGTCGAGCTGCGAGGGACGGTTAGATACAAGTTTGGGGGGGTTCAGTTAGCGGCACGCAGGACGACTTACGAGCTGGAACTCGCGACGGGTGACGTTGGGGACATCCATGTTGTGGGTGGAGGGGCAAAGTTCCTCAAGCTTCTTGCCAGTGAAGATGTCGATGGCGACCAAGTGGACCTTGGCGTGACCGTGCTTGCCAGTCTTGGAGGTGGACATGTCGACGATCTTGCAGGGGCGGTTCTTGATGACGACGAAACCGTTCTTTCTCAAGGCCGAGCACTGCATGGGGAAAGTGGTCGACGCACCGGCGTCAACCGACTCGAAGGTGTGCTCATGCTGCAGAGGATGCCGTGTTAGTAATTTGAGCTCTCCGATGGCTGACGACGATGGAGATTTAATGGGGACGTGTGGCCGATGGAGCGTCGCGCTGTGGTGGCCGGCCGGGCGAGCAGCGTCGCACGCAGCGCAGCGCAACGCAGTCGAGGGCAAGGGCAGGGCAGAAAAAGCATCGCGGGGTTGGTCGTCGGACTCATGAATGCGGGGTGGGTTTTTTCCCCTCCTCCTCCACGAATTGCGGTGGGAAGGGAGACGGGGTGCGAGATGAGGGCTGACTTACATCGGCGTCGGCCATCTTGACTAGCTGAAGCGAAGAACGAGGTTTGGGATGGGAAGGTCGAAGGCGAGGGAGTGAGTGAAACGGATGCGACAATGTCCAATTCCCAAAGAAGAGAAGTTTGTGGTCGGGTGGGAGGAGAGGAGAGGTAGAAGTAGGCGTGTGTGCTGCTTTGGTGGGCGGAGTGAATAAAAATTTAGAGACGGGAGAGGCAGCGGCCAGCCAATGGACGCGCCTAGATTTGCAGCTAAGGGTGGGGCGGACAGGACGACATTCTCGCGGAGACCGGTGCCCAGCAGGCCCAAGCAGGCCCAGCAGGCCCCAGGAGCCCTGGGAAGCGCGGCCTTGGGCGGCCCTGGGTGCCCTTCAGCAGGTGCCCGGGTGGCCCAGCACGGAAATCTCAAAAATCAAGTGGGTTTGGCTCTGCAGACAGAGCGGTCGGGACCTGCCCCCCAGGCAGGGCGTCTCAGACGAACACACTCGGTTAGATGCGACCGGCCTTTTTACCTACGTGAGGAAGGGTTGTTTTCCATGCCTTGGAGCCTTGTGGCCTTGGGAATTATCTGTACCCGTTGGCAACTAGCCACTTACTGTATGCACAAACAATAGCATACATAACTGCAAATGCCGGGTTTGCGTTGGAGGCTGGCACATCAATTGCCATTGCACCCGCACGGCACACGGGAAGCTTCGCCCAGCATCGACTGATCCAGCTTACAGCCTTCACTAACACACACCTAGGTAACTTTCGCCCTCAAGTATATATGCATGTAACCTTACCTCCTGATCAGTATCGACACGACTGCTCTGAGGGATGGTTCTAGTCTGCCATTACCTCTCGGGCCAGGCCACGGCAGACACCGTCAAGGCCTGGATTATTCTGTTGTTTAGTTATGTTGTCTTCTATCCACAAAGACGCTACAGATCGATGACAAGTCGCAGACAGCTCAGCTCGGGGATGTGCCTTGGGAGCCTGACTGACAGCTTCATGATTTCGGCCTGGCATGACACGAGACCCGGTGCACGCGTGTGTGTGTGTGTGTATGTGTGTGTGTGTGTGTATGTGTGTGTGTGTGTGTGTATGTGCAGTCTAGTGAGATCCCCAAGCGCTTGTGTCCCGCAGGCGGATAACTCCCAGTCGCTTGATAGAAAACGGCAAAGCGCAGTTCTATTCATTGGTAGCTACCTAGCGCCAGTCTAGAGCTGCTCCAGCTGCCACCTTGCCTTTACTGTGTACCTGTGCCCCTAGCATTCCCCAGGGTGCTGCCCTTTCAGGGGCTTAATAGCCAACCATTCGGCATGCAACCCCCGCGACAGCCAATCAAGGAGGCCCAGCTCCACGCTGCTAAGGGGAGGCTGATGTGCCGCCTTGCGACATCGTCAGTGGACAGCTTGACGGTGTTATAGCATACTAAACCCATCTGCGGTTGCGACAACGTGTTACTGCCGTCAACTGCTCATGATCCACGCGCCCTGAGCGGGCTTTGGATATTTGACGCCGTTCCAGATCCCGCCCTCACCCGATAGTCATGCGACGAACTGGCCCGTGACCGCCAACAACCCAACATGTGGCTCGATCGTCTAGCTGGCCAGACGTCCGTATCGCCATCCTCGTCGCAGCCAGGAAGCCGCGCATACTCCCCGGTGCCGGCGCGGAGGACACCCAGCGGTCTCGGGCCCTACATCACATCCCAACAGCGCCCCGGCCTCACCCCAAGGTCCTCGTCACTGTCGCTGGCCTCGAACGATTCCTCGACCTCCTCCCTGTTGGCTTCCTCACGGAGGGCTGCAAACGGTTCGGCCTTGAAGCAATCGACGACGGCCTACGGCGGCCCAGATCCTGTCAAAGTATTGAATCAGTTGCTGGGAGGCGAAGCGACGCCCAGTACCGACGATGCCGGCACGGTTATTACACATGAAGACTTGGGTTTGGACTTTGATTTTGGAGGCCTGACCCTGAGTGCCTTCGCCCTGTCCAAAGCGTCAGACGAAGGGAGTACCGAAGTACATAGGCCGCAATCTGTCGAGCAATGTACGTGATTCTGCTCCCCGTTGCATCTGAAAGTATTCGCGCGTATAGTAGCTTACCCCGGGGACCTTAGATGAACGAGATAAAACCAAGTTCGAGGATTTGCACAGATCCATCCGGGCGTGTGACGAAGTGTTAAGCTCGGTCGAGACGAACCTGACGAGCTTCAGGAATGATCTAGCAGCCGTATCTGCCGATATCGAGACACTCCAAGCGCGGTCTACAGCTCTCAATGTCCGGTTAGAAAACCGAAAAGCAGTCGAAAAGGGGCTCGGCCCCATAGTGGAGGAGATAAGCGTGTCGCCTGTCGTGGTCTCCAAGATAGTCGATGGCCATATCGACGATGCATGGATCAAGGCCTTGGCCGAAATAGACAGGCGAGCTGCTGCGCATAAGAAAGCCGCGGCGTCCGCTTCTGGAAAGGGGTTGCAAGATCTCGGGCCGCTCTTAGAGAAACTCGTCCAAAAGGCCACAGAGAGGATACGGGACTTTCTGGTGGCCCAGATCAAGGCACTACGATCGCCACAGATCAACGCCCAAATCATCCAACAGAACAACTTCCTCCGATTCAAGGAGCTCTACTCCTTCCTACACAAGCACCATGCCGGCCTTGCCGATGAGATATGCCTGGCTTATCAGAACACCATGCGCTGGTATTACCACAACCAGTTTTCGCGGTACGAAACCGCCCTGAAGAAGATCAAGCTGCATGCACTAGACAAGACCGACGTGCTGGGTAATGAAGACACGTCGCGGAAAGGTACTGTGCTTGGCTCTTCCAAGATCGCGGGCCCCCCACATGATGCCTTCAACCTGGGACGGCGCGTTGAGCTGCTGAGAACAAAGGACCACACAGCCCTGGCCTCCTACTTGGCTGAGGAGGATGCCAGCTTCCACTACCTCGAAGTTCCCTTTCGGAATTTCAACCTCGCGCTCGTCGATAACGCAACCGCCGAGTACACCTTTCTGGCCTCCTTCTTCTCCCCGGCTCTCTCTTATGCTACAATCTCGCGAAATTTCACCTACATCTTCGAGCCTACTTTCGCCCTGGGTCAGTCTCTGACCAAATTCTTGGTTTCAGAGACATACGATGCCCTCGGGCTCCTCCTCTCCGTGCGCCTGAATCAGCACAACCAATTCTCGCTGCAGCGGCGTAAAGTCCCCGCGGCCGACAACTACATCAACGGCACCGCCATGCTGCTCTGGCCGCGCCTGCAGGTCGTCATGGACGCGCACTGCGAGTCGGTGCGCGCGCTGACCACGGCACTGCCGACGCGCCCGCCCGCCCGCGCCGAGCTGGCCAAACTCAGCGCCGCACCGCACGTCACCACGCAGCGCTTCGGCCAGCTGGTCCACGGCGTCCTAGCCCTCAGCGCTGAGGCCGGCGACGACGAGCCCGTCGTCAGCAGCCTGCGCCGCCTGCGCGCCGAGATAGAGGCCTTCCTCACAAAGTACAGCGGCCAGTGGGGCGCCGATCGCCGCAAAAGGGAGCGCTTCCTCTACAACAACTACAGTTTGATCCTAACCATCATCAGCGATACGGCCGGCAAGCTGGCCGTCGAGGAGCAAGAGCATTTCGAGGGCTTGAAGACGGCGTTCCAGGAGGCCAACTAGAGCCCGCTCGCAAAGCTTGGGACCGTAGAGGGAAGGAGTTGTAGGTCTCCAATGCCTCATTCTCGAAGTACTACAGCAGCTGTGCAAGGCCGCAGGGAGTTTACCATAGGCGCTCAGAGGAAATAGCATATTTTATGAGATATCAGATTTGAATTTGCCTGCGTTCCGTCTCTGCCATCTTTTGAGTTCCAGGGTCTGCTTGGGTATACTACAAGCGTTTGCCCTCGTTTCTAATCTAGTAGCTGTACTCTGTACAGTCGGTCTTGCGCCAGCACGGTCAAAGGAGTCTATATATCCTCCGCCAAACTCCAATGTCTGGCCGCCGACTATCCCTTTGGTATATTGTAATTTTTAAGCCCGCCCCGTCCCAAGTCTATCTGAATACAAAAATAGAAGAAGCAAAAGTTGGTTCAACTGAACCTAGACCAGAATGCGGCAAGATAACCTAACACACTCGGGGATTTCCGCAGATATATAGCAGCGACGCCGATGAGGACGGCGAGCGCGACGCCCTTAGCCGGCGATCGGTATGCCCACATGGTCTTGAGCATCTTCTCCTTTGTCTCGGCCCACTGCAGCTCCTTGACTTGTCTGTCGAAGAAGCGGCGGCCGTCATCCAGGGTCTGGGCGGCGCAGACCTCGACGTCGCGGGCCGTCTTCAGCACGCTGGCGCCTGATATGCGGCCCCAGGCGCGGAGGCTCTCGGGCGGGTGGCGGGCGAAGAGGGTGGCCGTGTCGGCGATGAGCTGCTCGAGGTCGAGGGGCTGCGGCAGCTTGGACAGGATCGAGTGCAGCATCTCGGGCTCCGAGGCGGGCGTGTCGAAGAGCTCGCCGCGCCGGTTCAGCACGATCTGCGCGAACATGTAGACGCTGAAGACCTGCCCCCGCGCCAGAAGGGCGTCGAACAGCCGCGCGATCGAGCTGTACGACTGGATGTCGTGGGCGTACATGGTCAGGGTGCCTGACAGGGCGAAAAAGGGCTCCGTCTGCGACAGATGCCGGCAGAGCGCCGGGTCCACCGCGTAGAGGATGTCGGGGATCAGGCGGAGTTGGGAGATGGCGGGGGCCAGGTTCGGGAGCATAAAGTCCCGGATGCGTAGGGCGGACAGACGAGCTACGGCGCTTGGGCGCAAGGCCGGCGGCAGCACCAGCAAGAAGACCTGGCAAATGTCATGGTAGCCCTGGAAATAGCACAAGTGTGGATGCCGTCGGAGGGTTTCCGTGATGAGATCTGAGAGCTCACTTTTCTTCAAGTCGAGCTGGGCTTGGGACTGGTCTACACGATCAAGATGGTCAGCATGTCGTGAGAGCGGCGCGGGCGCACAAAGAGGTTCCCTGGACGGTGGAGGGCAAGGGTTCGATGCCGGTAGATATATAATGCCTTGTCATAGGAGGGCGGTCCAAGGGTAGACATACCATGTGGGTAATATATGAAGCTCCGGTCGACATCGAGGCGGACCTGATCCTCGTCCCGGTGCCGCGGCAGCTCTGACCACGGCCCATCGTGTGCCTCGGTCGCTCCAGATGCAACGTTCTGTTGGTGTGCTTCTGCGGCCTTGTCCAAGGGTGGCTTCCCCTCATCCGAACTAGCCGCAGCTGCAGGGTATGCAGATCCAAGTAGGATGGGCCCTGCATGAGTATCACCGTGAGCCTCACTTGATCAAGACAGAAATGTGTAGCGGGGCGAGGGAACTCACAAGCCTGGCGGCGAATAGCATCAGAGAGGAAGCCTCCTTTGGTGGCAGCAAGATCCTTGAGGTCAGCTATATCGCGTCGGTTACAGGCGTCGAGGATGACCAGGGCCTTTGCTTGATTCTCTGCAGTGTCATGCCCATGCATCTCTGTGTCTGTATTCGAGGGAGCTTTTGGCTGGACAGTGTTGCCCGGAAGCCCGTCGCTCTTTGAGCTGTCCTCCCGCCTCTGCCCGCGGTGTGCTGCCTCCTTATTCATTCTCGACAAATTTCAGACGATCCGACCATGAATGCAGTGGGTTGGGATGCCACACGACGCCACAAGTGTTGGCCTTCTATCCTGGGGTCCCGGCGTACCTGGACAAATAGGAGGTAGCGGATGACCGAACGTCTCCGAGTCACATCAACCACTCGACGTTGTTGCGGGGTGTAGGATCTATTGGCAGCCGAGAATCGATAATCACAAGCAATTATTTCTGCGGCGCGGGCCGGGTGTCCTACGTACGTAGCTACTGGAACAAGACCCTGGCATTAGCTGCTTCCTGGCCTATAGATTGGTTGTCGCCTGCTCAAAGCGCTATTCTTTTGGGTGTCCTAGCCACATGGCTCTGTCGAAAATGATAGAGCTTCTAGAGGCACACTGAGTTGGTGCAAGTGTCGCGACTGAGCTAACCTGTTACTTGGGATTTGACGCGACGAGGCTGAGAAATGCCAGGGGGGTTCTGTCGCGGTCGATGTACCTTGGTAGGCCCTGTCATCCCCGGGATGATGCAAGCAGGTTCGTCGTAGCTACGTCGGCTTTGGCCATAGAGCGGCGTGCTGGTGCAGTCTACCCTGTGGTCATCGGCGTGACGGTCATCATCGTATGTCAATGGGCAGCCGGCGTGGTTTGTTATCGCCCCAGATATCGAGAGGGACACGGTGTTTGGGACATGGATCGTGGTCGTGATGCTGGTGATACGTCGGGTGACACAATGGGGCCCGACGCGAGACGTGGGCAGGGATGACGGTGGGAAACGGAGCCGAGCCACGGGGGCGCACGCCGGCGAATCAGCTCAAGCGCTATCCACTGTGTCGGGCTCTCGAAGCGCCTGCCCGCATAGTCGTGTCTGTCTGTCTTGCTTGCAGCTTGAGACTTCACAAAACCCCTCCCTTCAACAACAGACAACGGACGGAGCACGCCAGAGACTGGCTTGGGCCTTAGTAGGGCTAAATCACAAGGTTTACGCGTGCAGATACGGATACGGATATTCCGGCCAGGCAAGACTGCCACATACAATCCACCATGCAAAGTGCATACTGGATACTAAGAACAAATGACCGGCTAACACGCAGCTAGGAAGGGTCGCTATGCAGAAGTGTGGATCCGTGCCAGGTCGTTAGGTCGTCCTCCACCAGTACTATCAACTGGCCTGTTCATTAGATACTGCTATGTACAGTAAGTTACATCCATAGGTAGGTAGGTATGAACCCCTGCTCGATATGCTGTATTGTAGACTACTACGGTACAGTTCAAGATCTCGTGGGCATTGCCGGATTTGGATATCCAACGCAGCTCGGCTTGCGAGTGGCAGCCAATTGTGTGCGTCCATTCGATGAGCTGGGCAATGAATAACTGTATAAACCATCGTCCTTCGATTTAGAAGGCGCTTCCATGGAGCATACCGAAGTGGAGCTGTACTTCGTAACTTGAGTCCGTCACTGAATATTCCGGCGTATTTCATTATATCCGAGAGCTCACTGATTTATATTGCCACAGAGACTGTGGTTCTCATGAGATCAAGCACCCCTTGCTGTTGTCCAACTCCTTCGTGAGCCTCTCCTGTTCTGTCAGCACATTACCACTATCAATCCGCACTAAACCTGTATCCACATTCCTGCTGTCGGTTCTTCGTGGATCACACCGGGTTCAGCGCCAGAACATGCATCTGTGACTCACTACCTTCCCTTCCACGTCCGTGAACCGCTGCGCCCGGGGAGTAGTATGCTCATGGTCCGATAGCGTTTCCTCCACCGGTGGACCAAGATCCTGAGAGTGATACTTACTGTGTATCTCGGCATCCTTGATGGCCCGCTCCGCCCTTACTCTGGTATCCGCCGGTTAGCCAGGGCTGTAGGAGGGCCACCCCTCCCTGAAGACTATGGCATTCTACCCTGTCGACACTCTAGACAAGGATGTGAGCGACCGACATGGGAGCCATCCAAGGATCTGGATACTTGACGGTCAAAACGGCGAATGGGAATCCCACGGAGAATTCCCGATCGTGGCTGCCATGGACTCAGGCATGGCCATCGATCTGACCCCAAGATGTCGTGCAATGAATCCGAGTCACCCGATTGTCAGATCAAACAGCCGTGAGAGCTACATGCTTACTGCAGGGGCGTCAGTCGCGGCCAGCCGTGATGCATCGTGAAGGTCTGCAATGCGTGTCCACTGTAGACGCAGTCGGGGATGAATGATACCTGTTTACATATACGATCTGGAGATACCTTGCGGCGAGACGGGGAGAAAGGCACAGCGAAGATAGCGTGAGTAGAAGTATACGAGCACGCTTGCTAGACGTTGAAGCAATCATGTGTGGTTCCTGGCTTGTGTATGGCATGGATTCTGAAGTCGCAATCACGCCTGGCATCGTGTAATTGCGTGGCTGCCATGCCATTGTGTGCGCATGCGAAATTGACATGCATCGCAAAAGAAAACCATGCACTGCAGACGCAAGCCATGGCCAATGTGTCAGACTTGGTCTTGCTGCCGAAGGCTAGTTTACAGGGCCACTACCTTTGTCATGGGCCTGCGTTAGAGATCCTAGTCGCAGCCCTGCAATGGGAAGAGCCCAGCGCAGTCTCATTCGACGATGCCGCCGATGGTGAAAATAGAGTTTGCTACGTTGATCTGATCTCTGGCGGCTACTACGCTGCCGCATGAGATCTAAGATCTCACCAACAGATCCTCCCATGTCTTTTCTTTGATGAGCTGCTAAACCACAAAGGCTGATGAAGAGTTGGCTGTTGTTTCCGAGAAGCCAACCGTCAACCCGAAATCTGGTGTTCGTCGTGTGGGTAACCGTTAGTCCGGTGATCACCAGAGACCACTGAAGAACCTAGGGACATTGGGAACTATGTAAACCAGCCGGGTCTGGCAAACATGGGTCTGTTCTCGAGTCCCTAGTAACCACCAGGGAGATCGTCCCCCCTATTGTGCACCAAAACGCCGAAAGTGAAAACAAGGTAGACCGATATTCTGGGGTTATGTAGTGCGGTAGTCTCCATCGTGGGTTGGCCTCCTGGGCAGTGGAAAAATGACCCCTCCACACATGCAGTATGTACCTCCTACCTACCTAGCGGCCAAACTTGTCAAGGTCCACTTGCAACCTGATATTCCCCGCTGCCTATCTTCTCTATTCACCATTATTCCACGCCCAGGGGGTCAAATCGCCCCTTGTCGTTCGCCTTCCCCCAGGGCTACACGCAACGATTCAGATACAACCACATCTAGGGCCTGCAGGCTTGTGCACACCTTCTCGGACGACGTCTCAGGGGTCCGTCGAGCAAGGCCCACCAAACCTACGTCGAGGCAGTCACTCAAACGTGCGCAGGACCGGGTTGAGCAGAAGTTGGCCAACACCCACACCCATCAAACGACGAGCTGCATTTTGACTTGAACCCTGTTCTTTGGATCAGCGACTCTCTTGCCTCCGGGACCATGAGATTGCGAGCTGCCATCGTATGAGCTCACCACTGGTCATCACCCATACGCCCGGAACCCGTATCCTGGCTACTATCACGGCATCCAGTCACCGACAGTTGGCCCCCGGCGAAGCTACGTTCCTGCGGAGTGTCTGAGATGTAAAGCTGGTATGTGCCCGTTGGTTGAATGTCAGTCTTTTATATCGCTGATGTTTTGATTTAGCTTTTGGAACAAGCGATTTCTATGCTTAGCTGATGCGTTTGGGGTAGCCCAACCCGCAAGCCATTGGGCACTTGTACCACCGTCAACACGCGACAGTGATTTTGACGAGGCTGCATACATCCTCTGACTCATCTCAGCAGCCATTCCTATTTTCCGCTATGAGAGGTCGCGATGGCTCTACAAAGCAATGTTCTAGAGAACGGTGAATGGGTCACTCGTACTCTCAATCCACGAGAACTCTTTCGCCAGACGAGCTCCTCGCATCAAACCAAAACCAAACAGCAGGCCCCGACGCCGCCGAGCTATGGGATACTGACCAAAACAGTCTTCGACAGCCCTGTCTTTCACTGGGTCTTGCCAGTCCAGCTCAGATCCTCCCGAAACAACGATGTGGCTTTTATAGGGGTGAGTACGCTGGCCTTTTCTTTGCCGTGAAACCAGGGGAGAACACGCCAGCAGCAGATTGTCACTCCTTGGGATGTGGAAATCAACATTATGGTATCGACTCTTCCGGATAAGCTGGCTGTGGTTTCGCAGATGCCGGTACTCTGTTTTGCTTCCACAGCCTCGTCCAACACATTGAGCTACTTGACTGACTCGTAGACAGGACAACTTCGTACAGATACGTGAACTGAGACCCGATGTTCAACTACAAGATGTCGCGAGGAAGCAAGATTTTGGATCGCGCATACGAAATGCGTGCGTCATTGGCTCCCCTTCGAATTATGTCGACGATCAGAGAGATGCGCAAATAAAAGTTGAAGATGGTGATATCGAGATGGACAACGCAGAAACGCCAAACATAAGACAGCTGCCCCCTCAACTTTTAGCCCTCGTTCTCGAAGGGGGGGACTTGGTGTTTCTCTATATCAAAGAGACCGCCCATGGGCTGGATTTCGTGTCGTTTAGTCGAGACATACCAACCGAGCGACTTGTGTGCCCAGGTTTCCACATGGCCGTGGATCCAAGCTCGCGCTATCTCGTTCTTGCATGTGCTGAAGTCCATTTTCAAATCTTCGAGCTTGAGTCGATGGAAACATTGCGTGCCAGATGCAACGAGGACATGCCGCTCGATCCTGTCCGAAGTGTTCATTCGCGCGCCGTCAGGGGAGTCATCCACAAGATTGAATTCCTGTCTCCGGGGCCTGATAATGAGGAAGTCATCACCCTGATGCTGATCCTCGTCCATAAACGCAAGTCCAGGATCGCGACTTACGACTGGGAACTAGGAGATGATATCGAATCAGTCTTCCAGATGGAAAAGTCTGGCTGGCGGGTAAGAGAGGATTGTCAGATGCCCCTTCTCGTCATTCCGTCTACTGTTCGTTTTAGCTTCCTTGCCATCAACGAAGACGGTCAAGCGTTCTGGGCAACACTGGCGAGCGGAGAGCCGAACATAGAACTGGTTGATATCGGGTATCATGACGAATCTGATCTTCACATGGGGAGTCAGGGTCCGTTATGGACCGCCTGGAGCAGGCCTTCGCGTCTACCAGAGTACCATTTCAACCATGATACGATATATTTGGCTAGAGAAGATGGAATCCTCAACTATCTAGAGATCACGGCTGGAGATGGGGTACAGACGAATGTGATTATGAGCGAGGTCAAGTGCAATATCGACAAAGCTTTTGCTTGCCTTTATGATCAATTCGGAGATGTCCTAATCACAGGAGGAGATTCTGGTCCAGGTGCCCTTTGGCGAGTGAGTTACCGACGGCGAGATCAGTCCTTGGAACTATGCTGATTGTCTCTTCTGCAGGCCTTGCCGCGACAGATACCAAGGAAGATTGCCACCATTCCCAACTGGTCCCCAACTGTTGATATTACTTCGAAACGAAACGACACAAGGGTTTCCAGATCCACGTCAGCAGACCTCCAACTGTCACCAGACCGCATTTTTGCCTGTTCAGGGCGCGGAAAAGCAGGATCCGTTGCAGAGTATCGGTTCGGGCTCGAAGCTACTATAGGTCCAGAGATAGACTTTGAGGATCCTGTGAAACAATGCTGGGCAATGAGAGGCGCGGACGACAACTTCGACCTGCTAGTCTCATTTCCTAATAGGTCTGCGGTATTACACGTCAAGGCAGACTTCACCGAAGCTGTCTTCCAGGATCAAGCACAGGTTCCTTATGATCTAGCCTCATGCACCTTAGCGGTCGAAGAATTTGAGGGCACAACCGTGCAAGTCACCTCTAGCTGCATTACTATCATCACAACATCTGACAGGTGAATATTCTGGTCTGTTCCTTTGAGCTCCTCTAACCAGGGACGATAGTACCCGGCATTTTCCCCACGAATTCGACGATGGCTGTGCAGTCATTATGGACGCTACGATTCGAGATGGCACTGTTGCTTTGGTGCTACATGGCAGCTCAGGATTCCGTGTGAAGACATTCTCTGTCGATGGAATCAACATTATAGAAAGTCAAAGATTTGATATAACTGGGGAGGTTACATGTGTAGCCTTGGGAAGGCTAGGAACCGATGCGTTTCTGTTAGTGGGGATATGGGAATCGGCACATCCTGTATTGGCCATCTACCCAACAAAAGCTGCACCTCCAGATGAACAGCCACAGCCTGCCCTACTGGAAATATCGAGAAGTAAGCCACCCATTTGCATTTGTGAGTGGGATCGGATACTAACACTTATAATACAGTCTGCCCCAATAGTGATGTTGAGGCACTGACTAGTATTGTTGTGTTTGATGAGAAACCTTGCACAACTTCTCTCTGCTTTGGAACGAGAAGTGGTGAAGTACTTACATTGTCGATAGACCCTTCTAAGCCACTGGACTTCGAAGGCACTTATGATAAGTTTGGGCACTCCGCAGCAAGCGTGTCGCCCTTGAGTATGGGGACAGATGGAGCTTCAGTCCTTGTTTGCTGCCACTCGTGGGTGACAGTGATGAGAAAAGGACCCTTGAGCAAATCCGTTGGGTTTGAAACGAGAACGCGTGTCTGGGTCACTAATACCGAGTCATCAGTAGCCCCTTCACCAGCTCTTAACTCAGTATCGCAGTTGCGCCTGAAGTCGTCTGAGGTGGGCGAAAACCCATCTTTGGCCATGCTGTCAGGATCGATGCTGTACATTACGGAGCTGCAAAACATCCCCAAACCCGTCCTGCGCCATCTTCCGGTGGCGGGTACACCTGTCAAAGTCATGTACTCACAAATTCTCAACGTTCTCGTCGTCGCCATTCTCGAAGAAGAGCGACCGTCACTGAATTTCATCGACCCTGAGACAGGCTTGGACGTTTCGCGCCCAACCGACGGTTCAGACCGTATGTTGGAATACATTAACGGCCTCGGGAAGGAAGGAGGCCGCATATACTCTCTTACTGAGTGGAAATACGCAAAGGGAGGTCGAACCTGGGCTTACATCATCGTGTCTGTTGGCGAACCGAAACGCCAGGGCGGCTCAATACTACTGGTTTCGGCGGAGCGACACGACTCTAGGGTCTCAGAAGATGGCCCATATCGAATACGTTTCTTCACCAAGTTTAAGAGAGTCGGTTATACGCACCCTGTATACTCTGTTGCGAGTGACGAACAGGGCTTACTGTTGTGCTCTGGGCAAACCGTTTATTACGAGATACTTGACACTGAACAGAAGAAGCTCAGGAAGGTCAAAGAACACCAACTCCCTTCACCAGCCAGTCATATGGAGGTAGTCAATGGAAATCTCCACGTTGTGACTCTTAGTCATTCACTAGAAATTCTCGACTTCAAAAGCACCCCGGAGGACGACACCATGATAAGGCTACATTCTGATGATCGAGCTAAATCAACGGTGCACAGTATTCAAGCTGTTGGCGGCTCAGGGAGAAGCAACAACCAGCCTGTCACCCTGTTGTCGGATGCCGTATGCGGATTATGGGGTATATGGGCTCCTTTACAGACCGACAGGCCCTTGAAAACCATATTTCATGCAGAGCTTCAAGCATCGGTCCGGAAATTCATCAAAGTCCGCACACGACCACCATGGGACTTTTTCAGTCGACATATAAAATATGGACATACAAAGAGTGGAGACGACAACTCTGACATTCTGGGCCTAGGAGTTGACGGCTCCCTCCAGCACTTTACCATCTTGAGCACCAATGCCTGGCGGCTACTTCGATTCATCCAGAACCTTGCACTCAGGTCTCCAGCGATCTGCCCTTCTACGGCCCACCATTGTGGCCGACACGAGGACGAGATGGACGTGGGATGGGATCCCGAACCACAGACCCTACCGGCTCTGAATATGCAAGTTGATGGAGACATACTGCAGAGGTGCTTGGACAAACAAGCGCTTGAGAATCTACTGTCGGATGCAAATCATCGTTCTCGTTTCATGGAGCTCCTTCAAGCTTTTGATGAGGGCAGGCGAGGAACTGCCAGCCCCGAGGCTCTCCCCGAGGCTGCGTTCGATGTAGCTTACGATATGCTGAGGTACTACCTGGCACCAGCTCTGTAACCTGGCTCCGACGCAGATCGGAACACGGGAATCGGAAATTGGAGATCATTGGTATATATCCGGCCAGAAGCACCTCTGCTCTGCTGGGATGATGAAGAAGAATGAAAAGTAGTTGAGATAGATACATCGAAGGGCCAAGGAAAGCCATTGTTCATTGAGGATTCAGAGCATGCCGTTCACTCACCTTCACGCATCCAGATGAAACTCTTTGGTGTTCATTATCTGAGTGTCCACTATGGCAATCAATGGTCATAAGTACTTCAGTAGTTTTGAGTATAACTACACGGGTATTACATGGAGTGGCTATCCATTCAAGTTGCTGTGCAACGCATATGTTTCCGATTGATTCGTCCCCGCAGTGGATCCGACAACGGCGTCCCAGTTATCTCTGGCAGTCGACAAGCTGACTGACTGTGTGCACGTGGACTGTGGACGATGTGAATGTCGAGCAGCGCAATGCAAGCCGTGGCCATCCACTGCTAGATGCAGAGGCAGTTTTATAGTGAGTCCGTAAGACGAAAATCCATCCCTAAGTGGTTTCGGCATTAGCTGGGGCCAATAAACTTACGGGCGACCCAATCAGTGGGCAGAGATTGGGGCGGCATCTGCCCCGCCATGGCCCGTGTGGCGTGTGCCCGCTTTCACTGTTCACGGGCTGTGCCGGGCTTGAAATAATAGGTCGGAATAGCTGCGCCAACGACTGGTGAATAGTTGGATACTGACAGTTGCCTAACTGAGAGGGAGACAGATAGAGGCAGAGAGAGGGCCGGTGCGCCAGAGCAACCAGGCCTGCCTCAGTGGATAGATGGACAAATGAATGTCTGCCAAGACGCACACATGAATTCACACACACACGCACACGCACACGCACACACACACGAGCGCCAGTGCAGATCGGACGCCTGTTGCTGTTGAATTTCCCAACTCACCGGGCGCGCGGCGTGTTGTCGGAGTTAAAGAAAGCAGCTGTTGGCCACCAAAAATTGACACCCCACATTTTGAGTCTGATCTCACATCTCGACGCACTTGGTCGATTGCCCCTCAGCCCTAAACATTTGCAGCTCCTGCAAATTCACGTCGGCCTCTCCATCTCTTCGACGCCTGTCCCGACAGCGCATTTCCCTAGCGAGCCGGCCCCCGTATTCTTCAGAGGTCCATTTAGTCTCTGCCTTGTGTGAGACCCCGCCCGCCACAATGCCGCCCAAAGGAAAGAAGGGCAAGAAGGACGACGACTGGGAGTCCGAGCTGGGCGAGTCCATCGCTCCCCCGGCCAACGGCGATGCCGCCCCCGCCCAGGATGGCGATGCCAACGGCGACGAGGACGAGGCCCCGGCCGGTGGCCTCATGGCCATGATGAAGAAGAACCGCGAGAAGCGCAAGAAGAAGGGTCTCGGGGAGGACTTTGAGGACCCCAATGCCAAGAAGGACGACGAGGAGGCCGCTGCAAAGGCTCCCGTCGAGGCTACCATGGAGGATGAGTTCACCCTACCCGAGAAGAAGGGCAAGGGTGGCAAGGGCGGCAAGCAGGCCCCCGCCGCAAAGGGTGCCGATGCCGACGAGGAGCTCGGTGAGGGCGGACGCATCCTCACCAAGGCCGAGAAGGAGAAGCTGAAGAAGGAGAGAGAAAAGCAGAGGAAGAAGGAGCAGGTCAGTTCAATCTCGGGACGATTTTACACCCCGGTCGCGTGCTAATATATCTCTATACAGGCCGCCGCAAAGAAGAAGGCCACCCCTGCACCCAAAGCAGAGCCCGCCAAGGCCGCTGAGGTCAAGAAGGAGGCCGCTGCTGAGGCTCCCGCCGCAGAAGCCGCCGGAGGAAAGAAGGGCAAGAAACTCCCACCCCATCTCGCCGCCCTTCAGAAGCAACAGGAGGAGCTGCGGCTACAGCGTGAAGCCGCCGAGAAGGCGGCTGCCGAGGAGAAGAGACGCCTCGAGGAGCTCGAACGCCTAGATGCCGAGGAGATCAAGCGGAGAGAGGAAGAGAAGGCCCGCAAGAAGCAAAAGGAAAAGGAGAAGATCGAGCAGCTCAAGAAGGAGGGCAAGTTCATGACCAAGGCACAGAAGGAAGAGAAGGCCCGTAATGAGCGCAAGCTCCAGCAGATGCTGGCTGCCGGTATCAAGATCGGACCCCAGGACGCCGAGGGCGAGGAGAAGAAGAAGAAGGTCGTCTATGACAACCGGAAGCGTGGCAAGGGCAACCAGAACAAGGTATGTCGGACATCGGAGACCCCACCGAAATTTCTCATTTTTCAAATTTCTGACGCATATTGCAGATTGATGAGGAGAAGGCCCTGGCCGAGGCTGCCGAGCGCGCAAGACAGCAAGCCGAACAGGCTCTAAAGGAGGCAGAGGAGAAGGCAGCCAAGCAAGCTGCGGAAGCCGAAGCTGCCGCAAAGGCCGCTGCCGAGAAGGAAGAGAGCGACATTGAAGACGACTGGGAGGCTGCAGCTGCTTCTGAGGAAGACGTCAAGGACAGCTGGGACGCCGACTCGGACCAGGAGGGCGCAGAGACTAAGAAGATCCCGTCGAGACCCAAGGTCGACGAGAACTCTGAGGACGAGAGTGAATCCGAATCCGAATCCGAGGAGTCCGAGTCTGAAGACGAAGAGCAGACGGCGCGGCAAGCCGCCGAGGCACAGCGCAAGAAGGAGGCTGCTGAGCGTCGCGAGAAGGCACATCAAGCTGCCCTGGCTGCACGGTCAAAGGACAACCTGCGTTCTCCTATCTGCTGTATTCTCGGTCACGTCGATACTGGTAAGACGAAGCTTCTGGACAAAATTCGACAGACAAACGTCCAAGAGGGTGAAGCTGGTGGTATTACACAGCAGATCGGTGCCACTTACTTCCCTGTCGATGCCATCAAGCAGAAGACTGCCGTCGTCAACCGTGATGGCGCTTTCGAGTTCAAGGTTCCTGGTCTGTTGATCATCGATACCCCTGGTCACGAGTCTTTCTCTAACCTCCGTTCGCGTGGTTCTTCCCTCTGCAACATTGCCATCCTGGTTGTCGATATTATGCACGGTCTCGAGCCGCAAACCCTCGAGTCCATGAAGCTGCTGCGTGATCGCAAGACTCCTTTCGTCGTGGCTTTGAACAAGATTGATCGTCTCTACGGCTGGAAGAAGGTTGACAACAACGGATTCCAAGAGAGTTTGGCACTGCAGAACAAGGGTGTCCAGAACGAGTTCAGGAACCGCCTGGAGCAGACCAAGGTTGCTTTCGCCGAGCAGGGTTTCAACTCCGAGCTCTTCTACGAGAACAAGTCCATGGCAAAGAACGTGTCTTTGATTCCCACATCGGCGCACACCGGCGAGGGTATTCCTGACATGTTGAAGCTGATCGTCGGTCTGACCCAGGAGAGGATGGTTGGTTCTCTCATGTACCTCTCTGAGGTCCAAGCCACCGTCCTTGAAGTCAAGGCTATCGAAGGTTTCGGTATGACTATCGATGTCATTCTATCCAACGGTATCATCCGCGAAGGTGATCGCATAGTCGTGTGTGGCACGGAGGGGGCCATAGTGACGAATATTCGTGCACTTCTTACTCCAGCTCCTCTCAAGGAACTGCGTGTCAAGTCAGCCTACGTACACAACAAGGAGATCAAGGCCGCTATGGGTGTGAAGATTAGCGCTCCAGGTCTTGAGGGCGCCATTGCCGGATCTCGACTCCTGGTCGTCGGCCCTGACGATGACGAGGATGATTTGATCGACGAGCTTGAGGCCGATCTCAATGTTCTGTTCAGTCGTGTCGAGAAATCTGGTCGTGGTGTCTCCGTGCAGGCATCTACTCTCGGTTCGCTAGAAGCTCTGCTCGATTTCTTGAAGTCCTGCAAGATTCCAGTGGCCAATGTTGGAATTGGTCCTGTCTTCAAGCGTGATGTGATGCAATGTGGAACCATGTTGGAGAAGTCGCCCGACTTGGCTGTCATGCTCTGTTTCGATGTCAAGGTCGACAAGGAAGCCCAGCAATACGCTGAAGACAACGGCATCAAGATCTTCACGGCTGACATCATCTACCATCTTTTCGACAACTTCACCAAGCACATGGAGGAGGCGCTCGAGAAGAAGAAGGAAGAGTCAAAGATGCTGGCTGTTTTCCCTTGCATTCTCAACACAGTTGCTGTCTTCAACAAGACGAACCCGATCGTTGTCGGCGTTGACGTCGTGGACGGTAACCTCAAGCTCAACACCCCACTTGCCGTCGTCAGAAACGGCCCTACCGGAAAGGAGGTCATTCCGATAGGCAGAGTGTAAGTTAAACTATTACGCTGTGTTCTGTAATGTTTCCTTTTTCACTGACACAATATTCGCAGGACATCCATCGAGCGAGAGCACAAGGCCATTCAGGTCTGCAAGAAGGGTCAACCGTCTGTGGCTGTCAAGATCGAGATGGGTAGCTCCCAGCCATCTTACGGACGACAGCTCGAGGAGAGTGATGTCATCTACAGTCTGATCTCCCGTGCCAGTATCAACACTCTTAAGGAGTTCTACCGAAAGGACGTCTCCAACGACGAATGGCACCTGATCGTCAAGCTGAAGCCGCTGTTCGACATCAACTAATCTGGCAACCGCCAACCATGCTGGGAACGTGTGACGCAGAGTCGAGAGCTGTGAGAAGTGAGCCACAAGGCTCAGTGGCGGTCGATGCATGTGTAGGATGACGGAGAAGGGAACCAAACAGGTTTACATTCTTCATATTGCGGACAGAAAAAAAAGGATTGTCATTTGCTTTAGGCGCACAGGTTCAGGTTTCGCAATCTACACTTTTCTATGACTGGCCTCTTTTTGAGCGATATTGGTCTGTGATGTGGGCTTTTCTCGTAGACTCGTGACATGGGTGACCTCGCGCCGTTATTGATGCCTTGCTGATTCGCCCTATGTCAGAATTGAGTGGGATCGAGATGTTTGGCGAGGATTGTACTATTGTGTTTTTGAAGCTGGCAATGCTGGGCTTGGTTTGTTTCCGAGATCAATGGGCACTCTTCCGTAGACTTCTACTTCAGCTCACAATTCTTCAGGTTAATGACCCTCGTCCTTCCAACACCAAACCGGTCCGCTTTTGAGGTGATCGGTCAACGAGAAAAGACGAGTACAATGGAAAGGTAGGTGGAGTGCGAAATAAAATATAACGTACAGAATTATATTAGCTCAGGTGTATCGAATCAAGAACATATATGGCCATGGCCACCGAGGTGCCTTTCGATAGATGTACATATCCGTTTACCATCTAACATTTTGGTCAAAAAACCTAAGGTTCTCTTCTGGGATAAGAGTGTCCTCTTCATCAACAGCGATATACTGCAGAAGCCTCCTCTTCGCCACTGAGCGCCGTTCATGCCGGAGCTCCTGCTGACGGCGACTAGGACAATCTTTTCTAAGATTGCCGTACGTCGTGGAGCCCACCCAAACGCCTAGCCCGCGCAGCTTCTGTAGCCATGCCTCAAACATATCGGATTCGGGCCGGCTTGCGTTAGGATCATGGAGCCATCTCTTGAACAACCCCTGGATTCTTTCAGAAAATAGCTCCCCCTCGTTGCTGTCCTGTCGCCCTTCTCTGATCTTGAATATCCAGTCTACGCCACTGTTCTCCACAAGCGCGCACAGCTCGACGCGCGCCCAAATGCCATCGGCCGGCGGTTGCATGTAGTTCTCGTCGCTGTGCAAGACCGAGGCGCCGACCATCGCCTTGCGGGCGTACGCCTCAGACATCATCTCGAAGAAGTCTTGTCTGTCACGATCGCGGTTGTGGATACAGCGCATTGGGTTGGAGAGGCTCATCGAGTTGTTGTAGAGGTCTGGCGGCCAGACGTCCCATATGGTAACCCGGCCGGTGCGGTTGGCCAGTGTGTGGGCCGGCTCTGACATGCCCTCTGAGTAGAATAAGGCGTTGCTTGGGAACTTGCCATCGTACTTCGGCTTCGTGTTGTCCAAGAACCATGAAACACTGTAGTCTTCGATTCTCTTTGCGTTTTCGCAATGCAGATCTTCCACCTTCACGTGGCTATTCGCAGATTCGATACTGCTGTTGACGATCGCAACCGCCTTCTCTCTCTGTTTCGCACCAATGGGAAGCTGCTGAGCACAGCTCAGGGCTACTAATAGCAGTAGCCGCATGATGATGAATGGATTTTTGTTGTCATCTTTCAATCAGAGCCCCAGTTCGTCGACTGGCTCAAGAAGTATATGCTTATCTTGTATATAGTAATATCGACGGTGCTGCCGGAGGCACTGATGCTTGGGGCATGCAAGAGGCCAAGAACCGTTGAAGAAGGCCTTCTCAATTATACACTGGGCTGAGGGGACTACTATATTTAGGCACTCTCCCCTGAGATCAAACGAGCGGTAGGCAGCGAGCCCCCAAAGAACAGCCGTTGAAACCTCGATTATGGCGAGCAAGGTAGCTGACTGGTTGATTGCGGGGGAGAGATAAACTTGAAAGGCACAGACTGATCGACATCCTTACTCCTGTGACACCTCAAAACTTTGCCAACTGGATGAAAAACTGCCCCCAGCAAGCAGGCTGTTAAAGACTGAGACAGGAAATCCCAAGAGACCACAAGTCGAGACCTATCTGAAAACAAAAGAGTGCCCCGACGATGCTGAAGCACGCAAGGGCGATGATGATGATACACGCAGATGTATCTGCTTGGCCGTGGTACGCAGCACAGCCTCCGATGGCGGGCAAGAGAGCTATGTACAGGCGTGATACGAATCCTGCAAACTTGGTTGGATCCATCTCACACGCATTGTTAAGGGATGTTGATCATTGACACAGCCTGAAATCAATGTGATCGGTTGGAACCCCCCTGGTCATTGGTAAGGCCGCGGGGCAGACATCACCAGCGATTGTTACAACGCAGCTGTGCCGCATCCTTTGTGTCAGTTGTGGCCCGGTGTCTCCAAATGAACAGGCGTTGCTTGCATAAATCGGTATTGGGTCTAGCGGTCAAGTCAAGTGAGCGCATTGTCTGATCAAGCTGGATGGACCATACGCCTATTGCTAGGACCAAGGGGTGAGATCAGGCTTGTGCGCGGGTCTCACAACGCCCTAGATCATATTGTAGGATGATTTTGAGACCTCTAAGGCCTGTCATACTCCTGGCGAATAAAGTTATCGCTTCGAGCAGAATACTACTCTTACCGTCTATTTAAAGGTTCTCTCTTCGCCTTCAGTAGCCAGCGGACCGTATGCCCAGTGTTGAAATTGCTCAACTATAGACATGGACTGAAATATGTTGGAGCTGAGGTGGTTCACTACACGTCCCACTCAGGTTTATGGACACCAAGTTCACAGTCAATCCTAGCATACGGATATATTACAGTACTGTGATAACTTTAGATTCTTCATGATATTCAAATGATGTTATAGGCTGTATAGTAGCGACTTTATCCAACAAAGCAAACAACAAACTCCGAAGTGTCTCAAAGATGATCCGCGCTGTAGTCCACACCCACCCGTTAACCGACGAACAATGAAGGCACGCCCATAATTAATTTGCTCGAGGTCGATTCTAGACCTCATCGTATTTTTATTTCGCGACCATCCCCCGTGCCAGAATGCCATTTGGCGGCTATGCATTATATTATATAGAATGTCCAAGGAGTTTTCGGTTCCATATCCGGCGTGCCAGTTTAGATGCGAAGAGGAAAATCGTGGTAGTCAAATTTACAACTGGCCAGATAGCAACGCTTCAGTAGCTAAGAAAAGAATTAGTACGAGAGAAATCCAGAAGAGACAGATCTAGAGACTTACCACTGTTGATATATGCCCTTCTCGCATCGAGCGGGACGTTGAACCGCCTCTCCAACTCCTGCTTAATGCCCTTCTTTGTGACAGTCATCAAGTCTGCTGTCCGCAGAATCTCGCGAATCTCGGCAAGGAGGGCGTCGTCACTTGGCAGGCCTGCCAGGTTGGCCATCTCCATTTCTTGGTTGCCGAAGAACTGCGAACCACCGAATTGACTCAAACGGTGGTGATCCATCTGTGATGGAGCGAGAGAGACCCGAGACATGTGCGCACCGGGGTTGAGGTTCTTAAGGTCGTATGGCGGGATGACACCGTGCGTCGAGCCGTGGTGGCTGCCTGCATAGTACTCCGTGACAGCAGCACCCTGCTTGGTGGCGTAGCTGTAGCCCGAGATCTCGGACCGAGTATCATCACGAGCCGTCTGAGCATCCCAAAGCTCGGCTTGGTACTCCTCCCACTTCTTGCGGGGGATGGAAGCAGGGTCAAATTTACCTTCGTCTGAGATGACAACCTTCGTACCCTTCTCACCGGCGACGACACGGGTGTTACCCCAGTTGAAGTCGTCCATGTGCCAGAAAGAGTAGAGGGGCAGACCCAGGGAGAAGACTGGGATCGCCAAGACGTAAAGGATCATCCAACCAATCATCTCCCACTTGCGGCGCAAGATGAAGATAATGGCTTGCAGACCGTAGATGGCACCCAACATGACGAATGCCGTGACAGGGATAATGGTAGCCTTGGTAGCGACCATAACAATAAGGTACGCAATGTAGGCAACGGTAACCGGCTGCACGATCGTGGAAAGCAAGTCAACGAAGACGATGAAACGCATACTGAAGCAGCAGAAACCGCAAAGCTGAGCCATCGGGATAAGTTCCATCAAGTTGTGGACAGTGGAGTTGATCCATCGTCGACGCTGCGAGAGGAAGACTTGCCAGGAGTCGGGTGCAATGGTCCAAGCGTGAGCTCTCATGATGTACTTGGTCTTGTACTTGCTGTGGAACTTGAGAAGAAGTGTGGTCAGGAAACGATCCTCACCAAGATGCAGCAAATTCTTCATGTGCAAAGTATCGACACGAATGGTAGAGTAGGCGTCCACAATCTCTCGGCTGACGAAGAGCGGCTTTCCGGTGTCGGCAGCGCGAATGCGGTACATGGAGAAACAACCGGGCAAACAAGTGACACTGCCAAACAAACTCTCAAAAGCCTTGGCAAGGTTGTGAGAAATGTAGTACTCGTACACTTGAATCATGGTGATGTACGAAGACTTGGCATTCGTCAGTGCTGTTTCACCACAGCATGCAATGAGCCTTGTGTCGTCCAGGAATGCGGAGACGAAACGGGTAGCAGAGTCAGCTGCAACCACTGTATCAGCGTCGATCTGCAGCATGAACTCGTAAAACGTCGGGTTGACTCCAATGATATTGCGGATCTGGTGATAGATCTCCAGCTCAAGTGGACTCATGGCGAGATTGTAGTGGACACGGTTGAGGAAGCGCATGATGATCATCTGGGAGTCTCGCTTTCCACGGTTACCGGGGCGGGAAACCTCTGAGGGTTTGCCAACCTTAACGACGACCAGGAAAGGAACGATATGGCCTTGGACTTCGTATAGACCAGAGTAGACTTTACCCATGTTGTGCTGTTTGAGACCCTCGCCGAGTGATTCGAAGCTGAGCGGCTCTGGGTCCACGGTCTCTGAAACACCGAGAATGTCGAGAACGATACGAGGTGTCGGCCTGTCATTGCCTTGTCCGATAATCATACCGTCACAGACAACGACAAGCAGCTTGCGTTTGTCATCGTACTGCATACGGGCAGCTGAGTCGATAGCACGGCGAAGGGAGTCTTCGTCTTCTGTGTAGGCAGGAATCTGACACATGACGAACTTGTCCAGGTTTTCGGGCATGTTCTTGCCTCCAAATTGAAGAGCCGCAAAGAATTTGAAACCGATGATGGAGCAAAGCAGGATAGAAATTGCCAAGACCAAATACTCGGCGAACTTGCATTTGGGTGAGTTTCTAGTGTCGACATCACCGACATAGAACAGGTTGTCCAGGCACAGTTGCTGGCGCTTGCGTAGGTCCTTGTCAAGGGCCAAGATGTCCCAAAGCTTGGTCACATCGGTTCCAGACTTCTTCCGAAATAGATCAACCACGGAATCATCCATAAAATTGGTGAGACTTATGTCTGATGGTGGGTCAACGCCCTCCGGTGCTTCTAAGCGACGGCCGCCCATTTCATACTTGGTCATGTCGTAGACACGACCGTTAAGAATGGCGACATAATTGCTCTTGCCAGCAAGCGTTCCGACATATTCGGCCGAGTAACCAATATTTCCTTTCTTGTAGCTTGCTTTCAACTCAACCATCTTCTCGTAGAACCAATCTGGCTGGTACAGAGTGGATGAGTAACGGAAGTCGTGGTACTGTGCGTTGTAGTCTTGGCTGCTGATAACGCTGGCAGAACCGCTGACGTTGGAAGACTTGTAGTCAAGCGTGACAGCGGGATCCACCGAGCCCGTGGTACCTTGGCAAAGTGCCGATACCTGTACAGGGAAAAGAGAGGTGATATCCAATCCAGCATACTGAGTGAGGGATTTGTCAGATATATAGGGCGGATAGTGAGCAGGCAGGAAAGCGTCCAAGTCAAAGACCTGACCTCGGATCGCAACGTAAGAGCCAGACGAACCCGACTTGCCGTTGTACGAGGAAAGCTCTTCCGTACTGAACACGTACTGCTTGGGGCAAATGAGCATGGGGAAGAAGATGATGAAGAAGACTGCCACAGCACAACTGAACCAAATGATGAAGTTGATCGCCAGCTTCTCTCTCCATGCCATGCGGACATCTTTTCGGGGCATGCCACACCATCGGATGAGAAAGTCTGGGATGAACCAGGTCAACAGATACGTCACAAACACCCATCTCTTGCGACTGGGACTATCCTTGAATTCCTCAACCTCGACAAGGGACTTTTCGTTGCCCCTCTCAGCCATCTGCTCCCTGGTGTCGAGGTTCTTGAACATATCGCCACCGCCAAATGCGGAAACACCTGCCTCGGAGCGGGCGTCATCACCAAAGTAGCCACTACGCTCCTTGTCTCTGTATTGAGGTGTGTTTCCGTTGGAGTTCATCAGCCGCTCCTTTGGAGTATCGAAGGGGTTCAGCGGAGAGCCATTGTAACCATCTCCTGACTCCGACGGGTGGCGGCCTGAAGCTGAAATGCCATCACCAAAGTGAGCAACCTCCATCCAACATCTCTCACTGAGGAAGATACCAGTGGATCCAATTTGAGCCTCATTACTAGGCCATTGCCTGTCTTGTACCACCATCTCGACCTTCTCCCGCTCGCTCCCAACAAGGATTGTTTCGGCATCGGCAAGCCCAAGGAATTCACCGAACGGTAGGAATAGACTGAAGTCAGCAGTACGCAAACGCTGGCTGATCTCAGCAATACCCAGAGTCTGGACTTGGGTCCGGACACACTTGCTGTCAAACTGATTTGCGATGCGGCGGTCATTGGGTTTCAAGCAGAACACAAAGTATGCATTCGAGTTTGGCGCTGTGATGGATTGCTTGACATTGTCCAAGGAGGCAAGGAATTGGCCGGATGCACCCTGCTCGGACGGGCGGTTGGACTTCTTGCTTTCGCCGCCTCTGTTCTCTGCATTGCCCTCACCATCACTGGCGAATTCATCAATGGACTCTTGACGGCGCATGCGGTTGGTCCTTGCGGTTCTGGTGGTCTTCCGGGACATGACACTAGGTTGTCTCATGGGCTTTGAGCTGACAGAGGCCTGCATGACGGTTGTTCTCTCGTGCGGGTGCATGACAGTTTGGAGAGCCTCTTGGCCGAACAGACGCGTGACAAATTCGCTCTTGCTGGAGTTGATCAGGTTCATCAGATCACCCGAGATGACCTCGCCGTTCTCTTCCACGAGACCCTTGATAGGGTACTCGACTTCACCAGCGAAGTGTCTGACAGTGAATGTAGCAGCAGTGTTCTCGGTGTAGAAGTTGCTTCCGGGAAGCTTCGCCTGCGCGGAGCCTACAGAGATTGCCGGGTTCTTCCCTTCAAATCGCTTACGACAGCTGTCAAGGAATTGCATATCAGTGCGGTGACGGCGGGTTTGGTCATCCAAAATACTCAGTAAACCATTTCCAGGCTTAAGCAAGCACTTGACGGCATCGGTGTTGTCGAAATAGCTGGTGGCTGCGACAGAAACCTCCTCTTGGTCAAGCTGCTCCGCCTTGCGGTCGAAGAAATTTTGCAGAGTGAAGTTGTAGAGAGATTCGACTGCCGCATTGTTGAGCAGCTGATCGAGCGCAGAGCCAGTGGAGGTCTGCTGGGAGAAGCCCGGAAAGTCGACGATCGAAATTGTGTTGGAGATTGCCTCCTCAGGAGCACAGATCTTCTGGTTGATGTTCTCAATCACGTATGCAACCAAAAGAGAATATAGTGTGCGTGCAAGCTCATCAGCATTGGCACGGGCTCCATGGGGATCCAACATGACCGTGACTCTTTCCCGATGAAGCACCTTGGTCTTGTAGCCCATGGTTGTCTGCAGATCTTGCGAGCTCACGCCCAAGAAAGCAGCGATTATTCCAAGCACGTCCTTGTTTCGAACGGCGGTCACCGTCTGTCCACCTTCGTGGGAGAAGCCACCACTGTCATCTGCCGTGGGGGTAGTATCCGCAGTAGTTTCGAACTCGAGCTGTCCAATGTGCAAGATACAGGCCAAGATCTGACAAATTTCGGCGATCTCACTCCTCGGGAATTCCAGCTTGCGCAGGGCATTCTTGAAGAGTTGAAACCCCTCGGCATCGTTGATTCCGACCTTGAGCTGAGTGGGATGGCCCAGGTATTTCCACCGCCTCTGGCCAGCGGAATCCCGTGGCGTGTCAATGCCAAGGTGGGACTTTTCCGCGTCACTCGTACCAGCAAGCAAGTAGTAAAGAACATGGAAGTTACGCTCGCCGGTAGGCACCTCAGCAATCCTGCTCCTTTCTAATCTGTGGTCCAGCAATTTTCCTCCGAGGAGCAAAGGGCTGGTTGTGGATGCTGTATCATACTGCAGCTCGTAGAAGAGACCGGCTTTGGATGCTGTCGGTGTCGTTGCAGTCTTGGTGGTGGTGAGGGTGTCGAAAACATAAGCAGCGAGGGAGACCTTGGCTGAGAGAGGAGTCGAGGACTTGTTGAGCAGGGCAGTCAGGAGATGGGATCGGATCGTGGTCTTTCCAGAGCCCGATTCACCCCTGTGTGGCTCGTTAGTCGAATTCGCTGACGTTCATTAGATGATATTGGGCTCTTACAGAAAAATGATGCTCTGATTCTCGGATCGGTGACCGAGTCGAACAAATGATCGGTCTGCAATGTCTTCAGCGCCAGCCATGGCGCTACCCTCTTTGCCGCCATCCAGACCCTTGGTCGACGATGTGTACGTGTTCAAGGATACAAGTGCGTGTGATGACAGACGGGCCGTAGGTATAGACACATGGAAGCGACTGGCAAGATGTGCTGTTATATGCGTGTCAGATTGCAGATGTGCGGGCAAAGAGGGCAATGAGGGTTGAGTATGAGCTCCCCCATTGCCGCCCATTGGCAGGTTGTGAGCCATATTGGCTGACGAGCCAGTGACGCCGTCTCGATTCCCAGGGTCTGCGGATGGGATGTGTGCAGCGTCGTTCGTGGTGACTGGAAGTGAAGGGGGAATTTAGAGCGACAGGTTGGTAACCAGCGTCGAAGCGTATAAGGACCCCCCTGAACACGCCGACCGAATGTCTCGAATGTTATTAACTCTCAAGCGAGCGTGCGAAGTATTAAGGCTGATACAAGAACGAACGTGTGTTGAATAGCAAAAGAGAAGGAAAACAATGGAGCAGAGAGGCTATCTGATGCTCTCCCGAACGAATGCTTCCAACGTCGACGGGTTCCGCAGCTCTCTACTAAGTCGTGTAACTGGGAACAGGTCTCTTTTCTCGGGTGGTTTTGCTTCGAGTTTATTTTCGTACGGCTGGCTGCAAGGGCCCAAAGTGCACTTTTGTCACATACGAAGTACCCCGAGTGGCACCTGGGCTAAGCCGTAGGAAGCTGAGGGGAACCGATCGCGTCGGGTCGGTGGTGTGACTTGAAGGGCCAGATGATTCAGAGGCCTGGACAAGCTTCTCTTCAACTTCAGATAGACTTGTCACAGAACACACTCTCTTGATATGAAGAATGACCTTTGATCCTGGAGTAAACACACCCTTTTCAGCTGAAGCGCCAAGTGCACTGTATCATCCAGGCGGCGATTCACTAGTTACAGTAGATCCCTACGATATACGCACCTGTGACGGCAGCAGGCGGTACGCCCAGCAGACAGGTAATGGTACCTGTGCTTTTTTTTCTTCACAGCAACCTGGAAACCTTCTGCACTAGTTGCCCAGGCACTTACTTCGGCACAGGCTCCAGCAAACCCACTCCCGGCTGCCCCTTTAGCCAACCCTGGTCCATACATGTGTAATGACAACAGCTTTCAGCTTTTCTTCTTCAGGGGTTGCATTGATGGCCCGTAGAGTTATTACCTTCATGCCCTCCTGCCAAGTTCTCCCCGACGTGACGAAACCTGATCTTGAGATATTGTCCCTCTGGTCCACCACAAAATCAATGTGTTGCTTGTTTACGCTGAATCAAGGTGAAGGTTTCAACTATTGAGTGATGGCGACCCGTCGCAACGACGCAATCTGAATCGTGGGCCGGTAGTGGAAAGCAAATTGCGAGTTTAGACGCTGCTCAGGCGCGCGCTCTGTTTCTCCTTGGCTCAAGACTTCGGGGCTGAGCGAGCTTATTGAACGGGCGTCCAAACGGTTCTCCAGAAACTCCGTGCTGATTTATTACATGAGGGACCGGCTTGTCACCTATAATCTTGGCAATCTCTGGGGGATTAGCAAATGCCTTCAGTCCCCAGTGCTGGCCCGGCCACTTGTGATTGTAATTGCACAGAGCATTCTGCAATATCAAGACACTGACGGCGTAACGTAACGGCAACTGACATCACAGCGCCCGGGGGGGCCTACCGCTGTTACAGCGAGAGATCGGTCTTCGGGCAGTTGTGGTCCTAGGTACTGTACCATGGCCCACGGTAGTCCCGCGGTAGTCTGGCCCAGCGCGCAGCCGCCTCGGCCCTAGAGGCTAGCACATCCCTACATAGCAGCTAAAAATAAAAAAAGGTGCTCACAACAAACATCGTCAACAAATGGAGACGACTGCAAGCATTGGATGCAGGGCAACGCGGCATTAGCGGACCTCCATGTTTTTCTGCGATGCGGCCTCAGGAGAGAGCCTTTCCATCGGGACCATTGCAGTCCGGCTCGGGTAGTCTTTGACGGTACGTGCTTGCCATCATCATCCTGTGACGATTACGGGTGGTATGTCACGCATTTGTCTAGTTATTGCTCATTCTCGCCTGCCAAACTGATGGAAACCTGGGTATCCTTCAATTTTTGTCAAGGGAAAACGCGCTTGGGTTTCACTCGTATTGTCGAGGCTCGAGGCTCCACGGCGCCGTTGTAACTTGTGGTCCTGCTGCTGTCACACTGTGGCAATGAAGGTTTGGCGTTCACGAGCTTCAAACCGGCTCCAGAGCCAGCGGCCAGAACGGGCAGCCCGCCCTGCCGGCCATGTAGTGATCCGTTCTTTCTTGGCCTTGCCCGTCGACGGTGGGTTTCTCGACCTCGTAAGTGCAGGCCCTGCAGGCCCTTGGGAACGCGCCCCACGCCCATCAAATCGGAAGTCAGATCATCTGGATTTTCTGGGTGGGCAGGCCCCATTTCGCCGCTTCGTATTCCCTGGACACGGGTTTGGCCCATGCATAAGGGGGCACAACCGCAGTCAACAATGGGTTCCCGGGTGGGCTCCTGGGGGCTGTGGTTGGACGGGGGTCGACGGGGTCTCAGGGATCTGTCCAAGGCGCGCTCACAGGCAATGGCGCCGCGCCTCTCCCCGGAGGAGGCAGACGAGATCGACACGATGCAAAAGATGGCCCAACACCTTAATATCTTATGCAAAATAGCCTTTTAGGATTGGCGCGACTGCGCTCTTGGTCCCAACCGACCGCCGTAACCCAGCTCTCTACGTGTAGGCAAGGAACGCTGGTGATCTTTTTTCGACTGGCATCAAAGGGGAGCATTCGATCGATTTCATAGTTTCTCCTCCCTATCGTCTTTGGACGGAGTGTTGCTGATACCTTCCATTTCTTCTTGCTGCACTGCTGTTGGACCGCTCACTCGCTTTGGCGGTTTAATATACAATCGTTCTTATTAATCTTTTTTCTTATTTTCTGGCGGGGGAATAGGGGATAACGCGAGCAGAAGACTGCCTGTTTGTTGCCCGGCGAACACCATCCCATCCAGCCTGCACCTCCCGGAATCCTCGTGCGATATAGTCGACACCCCTTCTCGAACCGATCCGACCCAACACTTCGTCATCACCACACAGGCCCTCGAATCGGCATCTGAGAGGACTCCGTAACACTCAAAATTGACTGTCGCTGTTCACCCACACTCGCTGTGCTAATTAGCAACCGAAAAGTCGTGCTTGTCCGAAAGGACAACGCGAGTCGTCCGATCTCAAGATGGCAAACCATCAAGCCCGCATGTCGATGTACTCAGTTGCATCCGACTCAGTTGGCGGTCACCGCGGGCCCGGCCAGCAAGCGTCCCAAGTGTCGACGACCACCTTGCTCAATGGCATTCACAACATCTACCTGTCTTCTCAGCCATACCATCTCGATGCCGGGACTAGCATGGTGATGAACACATGGCTCACTGCTACTCAGACTGGCCCTGACGGAAGGGTGGGTGGTACCATTGATCCTGCTCTTGCAGCTCGTGCATGGGAACATGCTCGTCGCCGTGCTGAAGACGGGTGTATTGTTCTTGGGTATGTGGACTCCTCACTCCATTACCTGGTTATGGCAACTGACTTGGCATAGATCCCTCCACACATCAACGCCTTCCGTTCTGACACCCTTTCTCTCTTCCCTTCCGTTCACTGTGCCCTCGACTATTTTCACTGCTTTAGAAGCAATCAAACCTTTCGTGCGCAGCGTCACCCCATATAATCCAGCAGCTCCCCGCCAAGCTGCCCTTGCTGTCAATCTGACGCTGAACCTGACTGGCAACTTGACTGCAGCCACTCTGGCTCTCTCTCAAGGAGGCATAGACACAACAAAGGGTCTTTTGGACATACCGGCCGAGGCTGGATACCGAGCATTCGATGTCTTCTACTACCTGCTCACATCCGCATCCACCCCGGCGGAACGTGAGTTCTTGGGACTTAAGCCAGCATCCAGCTACTCGCTGTTGGCCAAGTCGGGCTCGTACGACCCACCGTCTTATCTCCCCACTGCAGATGATGCCGCTGCCGCCGATGACTTTCGGGCGGCGCTGAAGGAGATTGGCATCAAGGGCTCTGCTCATCGAAACTTGATCTCGACACTTGCCGGGCTTCTGAAGCTCGGTAACACTCTTGACTACAGTGCTGACGAGGACCAACTTGATGATATCTGCGAAGACGTCGGCGGCCTGCTTGGACTTGATCCTGAAGTCCTGGCGAGGCAATGCAGCACGGAAGATAGGCGCACGCTCATTGGCGGTCTGTACGAGGCCCTGGTAGACTGGGTGATCTCACGGGCAAACAATGCCATTGCTAACCATGTGGCCCGAATCCGCGACGGAGCTGAGTCCTTCGATGGCCGCGGTAACCCAGCTCCGAGCTCGAATGGCGACGCTGGTGACACCGTGGGCATAACCATTGTCGAGATTCCTGATCCGTCCCTCGGCAAAGCCATAGCATTGCGTGGCATCTTTGATGACACAACCGGCATCAATGCTGAGATGAAAGAAGACGGCGTCGAGGTTCCACCCGCTGGGAGCTCCGTCTTGCGCGAGATGCAAAACGCCGTGGCCGAGGTTGCACCAGATCTTGGTGACATGAACGGACCAGCCGGGCGAGATAGATACTTTGAACTGGAGAAACGCGAGATCATCCTCGAAAAGGTTGCTCTTGGCAGCGATGACGATGGTTTCCTGAAGAAATTACTCTTCCCAATCCCTGGATCGGGGATCAACCTTGGCCGTGCCGGACGTATCGACCTCTCTGCAGTTCTGAGCAGCAGCCGCGCTTGGTACCACCTATCGCTGCACCCCACAGATGAATCGCCCGCGAGCCTGGCGGCTCTCCCTTCGGTCACATCTGCATGGTCTGCTGGTACTGTTTCCCGCCAACTACGCGCCTGGAGATTACCAGAATGGGCAAACCGCCGAAACAAGAACTTAGATTTCACCGCCGACTTTGACCTGGACGAGTTTGCAACCCGGTTTGCGCCGTTGGGCTGCCGGGATGGTCGCGATGGCATTGAAACTTGGGTTCTTGAACGAGGCTGGAGCAATGGCGAGGTGGTTGTTGGCAAAGAACGCGTGTGGATGCGTGAGACAGCCTGGTGGGAGGCCGAGACTATGCTTGATATGAAGCCTGCAGATCTCATGCTCGGCTCAAATGGCCTTGAGACTGGATATTCGAACACAGGCAGTGGCTATTTTGGCGCTCCGCTTGACAACGGTAGCCACGATCACCTGGTTCATTCTCGAAACCAAAGTCAACTTACCCTGGGCCAGCATGCGATGCCTGCCCCTTCTATTGCACCAACAGCCATGCGAAATGTCAGCGCTGGTGACTACGGCTTAGGTCATAAGGGAGACAATCATCGTGATGACATCTACTACACCAACAACGGAGAGTTCGGCAATGCCTTGGATCCTGATCTGGCTCGGGGCAAGCATGTCGAGACTCAAGACATCACTTTTGGCCGAAGGGCCTGGGTTGTGTTTGTGTGGGCTCTGACCTTCTGGATCCCTTCGCCCTTGCTCAAGTGGGTTGGCCGTATGAAGAGACCTGATGTGCGAATGGCGTGGAGAGAGAAGCTGGTGCTTGTGTTTCTTATCTTTTTGGCCAACGCCATTGTTGTCTTTTGGATCGTCGAATTCGGCCTACTCCTTTGCCCTAATTTTGATAAGGCTTGGACTCAAGATGAGGTTGCGACGCACCAGGGTTCTGCCGACTTCTGGGTCAGCATCCACGGTAAGGTCTACGACCTGACCAGCTTCTACAAATTAGACCACAGTGACACCGACATTTCGACTGACGCAGCTACCATGACGCCTTTTGCTGGCCTGAACCTGGACGAATACTTTGTGGCACCCCTGCCTCTGAGCTGTCCTGGACTTGGTATCGATAAAACCACCGCACTCTCGCCAAACACCACTGTCGAACTTGCCCAAGGTCTCCATACTTCTGGGTATTTCCAGGCTGATCCCACCACCAAGCTAAGGTCCGAAACCTGGTACCGGGATTATTTCGAACCAAGAATAAAGCAGTACTACCACGGTGATCTGGTATGGGACAAGCAATTTGTAGCCGAGGACGGTTCAGACAATAACCACCAATGGGTTATCTACGACGGCTCCATCTACGATCTCACCGATTACTTCCATACCATCGACTTTTATCAGAACCTTGCACAGTACAATTTCTTAGACGGTACTTTGGTGCAGATCGCTAAGGACAACCCCGGTGAAGATGTCACAAACCAATGGAACAGCCACATCAATGCTGTTAAGAGCAACCAGACAGCCTACGCTACTGCCATGAACAGCATGAACTGTATCAAGAACACGTTCTATGTCGGTATCCCGGATTTCCGATACTCCGCCAGGTGCCAGGTCAACAACTACATCCTGCTGGCTTTTACGATCATTATGTGTTCCGTCATCGCCATCAAGTTTCTTTCGGCTCTCCAGTTCGGTTCTAAGCGTCGGCCTGCACCTCAAGACAAGTTCGTTATCTGCCAGGTCCCGGCCTACACCGAAGACGAGGACTCGCTGCGGAAAGCTCTGGATTCCCTAACTGCTCTACAATATGACAACAAGAGGAAGCTAATCTGTGTCATTTGCGATGGTGTCATCATCGGACAAGGAAACGATCGTCCCACGCCCAAGATTGTCCTTGATATTCTTGGGGTTGATCCCAAGGTCGACCCTCCTGCCTTGCCGTTCAAATCAGTCGGAGCTGGCAATGAGCAACTGAACTACGGAAAGGTCTACTCTGGCCTCTACGAATTCGAAGGCAACGTCGTTCCCTACATCGTTATCGTCAAAGTCGGCAAGGAGTCGGAGCAGACTAAGGCTAAGCCTGGAAACCGTGGCAAGCGCGACTCGCAGATTGTCCTCATGAGCTTCCTAAACCGTGTCCATCACCGTGCCCCCATGAACCCTCTTGAATTGGAGGTATTCCACCAAATCAACAACATTATTGGAGTTGATCCCGAACTCTACGAGTACATACTCATGGTCGATGCCGATACCTCCGTACGCGAGGATTCGCTCAACCGTCTCGTGGCTGCGTGCGCCAATAACTCCAAGATAGCTGGTATCTGTGGTGAGACGGCTCTCCAGAACGAGGAAAGATCATGGTGGAGTATGATCCAGGTTTACGAATATTTCATCTCTCACCACCTGGCAAAGGCTTTTGAGTCCCTCTTCGGCAGTGTTACTTGTCTTCCTGGATGGTATGTATTTCCAAATCCAGCACCTGGCTGTTTCTATGAGCTAATGATGAATCAGTTTCACCATGTACCGTCTACGTACCGCGGACAAGGGCAAGCCTCTAATCATTTCCGACGCTGTCATCCGTGAGTACAGTGTCTGTAATGTCGACACGCTTCACAAGAAGAATCTGCTATCGCTAGGAGAAGATCGTTTCCTCACCACATTGATGACGAAGCACTTCCCTTATATGTCCTATAAGTTCATCCCCGATGCCTACTGTCAAACAGCCGCGCCAGAAGAATGGAGCGTTTTGCTTTCTCAAAGACGACGATGGATTAACTCCACCATCCACAACCTGGTTGAGCTGATGATGCTCAAAGATATGTGCGGTTTCTGCTGCTTTTCCATGCGATTTGTTGTGTTTATCGATCTGGCCGGAACCATCATCCTTCCTGCGACTACTGTGTATCTCGGCTACCTGATTTACCGTGTAGCTTCGGGCACCGGCCAGTTCCCCTTGATCTCCATTATCATGTTGGCAGCAGTGTACGGCCTGCAGGCAATCATCTTCATTCTGAAGAGACAGTGGCAGCACATTGGTTGGATGATCATCTACATTATCGCGTTCCCCATCTATTCCTTTATCCTGCCCATCTATTCCTTCTGGAAGCAAGATGATTTCTCGTGGGGTAACACAAGAATTGTCATTGGTGAGAAGGGTAGCAAGTAAGTTTATTTCCTAGTCGAGATTCTGCGTATTCTCGCTAACTGTTACTTTAGACAAGTGGTTGCTGTCGATGGAGAAACATTTGACCCTCGTTCGGTTCCTCTCCAACGCTGGGATGATTATGCTGCTCTTAACAACCTGCCAGGACGCCGTGGAAATTACTCTGAGAAGGCAGAGGCCCCTCCGTTTGATGACACGTATGAGATGGACGACATGAAGTCTGTTTACAGCTCAGTGCGTCAGCAGTCAGTTCTCCACGGCCTCCAAGGCCACCGCCCAGGCTCTACTTTCATGCCCCCTACGTCACACTCTCCTGCACCATATGGCTCAATGACGCGGAACTCGAATTTCGCGCCATACTCCGACGGCCCACAGGCCATGCATCGCCAGTCGACTGCATCCTTTGGCGATATCCAGCGCATGCAGAGCCCTTACCAAGACAGACCCAGCACATCCAATCTTCGCGGAGTGGCGAACATCTCGCCGTCTCGTGACATGCACAGACAGTCGCAAATCTCGCTTGGCTACACCGGTGGGAGCCGACAACCACTCGGTCACGGCGCTGGAAACCAGAGCATGGCTTCGTTCGACTTCCAACGGGGCCACCAAGGCCCTGACGACAGTATGATCGTCGAGGCAATCCAGGCCGTCCTCAATGAGGTTGATTTGGATACCGTCACAAAGAAGCAGGTGCGCGCTTTGGTGGAGCAACGGCTGCAGAGCGAGCTGTCTGGTGAGAGGAGGACTTTCATGGATCGCCAGATCGACAATGAGCTGGCAAACATGTAGATGATGCAGGTTCGGCCTCGTATATAGGAGGGAAAATTTTCAGTCTTTTTAACGAGGAAAAGGCTGGCTTGGGATAGCACCTGAAAAAATCACTCATGGATTTGGCGTTTACGCAGACGAGTTACTTGCGAATCTTGTTTACATATTGTGCCAAGTGGTGGAGGCAAGGCTCTAATGCATTTGTTTGGGAACTGGCTGTGATTACTGCGGGAATAGCTTTTTGTTTACACGTCACATCTACTACATTATAGTAATACGGCTTGCTAGCCACGAAGAAGATTTCCAGTTTATAGTCCGATTTCGTGTGGTGACTTTGCTCCGTGGTGTTCCTCGAGGGATCGTGGCCTATGGCTCTGCCCGCAGTATTCAACACCACCGCAGCGCTGTTATATACATCTCGTGCCAACAATCATTTTGTGTTAGCCATCTTGCGTAGCTCGTAGCCTCGTCTGCAACCACTTACATAAAGAACCCCGCCGACGGGCCCAACGACCCGCTGCCATCGGATCCGCTTCCGAAACACTGACAGCACTCAATCAAGACTTGTCCAAGACTTTATGATTCTTCGCCTTCATGCATTTCGATAGGTAAACCGAGCACTCCCAAGACAATATGAAACAACCCATCCGAGTCGGCATCCTGGGCCTCAGCGCCGGCGGAAGCTGGGCAGTCGCCGCTCATCTTCCGTATCTCAACAGCTCTGCCAAGTATTCCATCACCGCCGTGTGCAACTCCTCTGTTGAGAGCTCAAAAGCAGCCATTGAGAAGTACGGCCTTCCAAGCTCGGCCAAGGCGTACGGTCGTCCTGAAGACCTTGCCGGAGATGCAGACGTCGACCTAGTGCTGTGCTCGATCAATGTCGCGCTTCACCACCCTGCCTTGCTTCCCGTGCTTAAGGCCGGAAAGGACGTCTATTGCGAGTGGCCGTTGGGCAGCAACCTCAAACAAGCGGAGGAGCTGAATCGTCTGGCGAAGGAGAATGGGTGTAAGACCATCATCGGCTTGCAAGGCGGGCAATGCCAGGTCGTCAACACGCTGAAAGAGATTTTGGCCCAGGGGAGGATTGGCAACATCTTGAGCAGTACCTTTGCTGGTGCGGCGCAATATGTTGGGCCCGAGGAGCAGGAGGACAAGGCGTACTTCTTCCAGGCCGGCGTCGGCGGCAACCTGGCGACCATCTTCTTCGGACACACCATCCACATTATCTCGTCCGCGCTGGGAGAACTCAGTTCACATACCTCGATTTTGGATACCAAGATCCCCACGGTGGACCTGACGGACAAGCCGTCGACGGACCCATCGCGTAAGGTCGTCCGGACGGTCAAGCGGGAGACACATGACCAGGTGCTGCTCCAGGGCCGCTTCGAGTCCGGTGCCCTGCTGTCGTACCACCTGTACGGCGGCAAGGCGTTCGCGCCGGGCGAGGGCCTGCATTGGAGAATCCTGGGCGACCGGGGAGAGCTCAGCATCACGGCCAGCGGCACCAACCTGCAGATGGGCTTTCCGGATTGCAAGATACGGCTATTTGACAACCGAAAGGACACCGTTGAGGAAATCCCACTCGTGGAGGACGAGTGGACCAAGTTGCCTATCCCGGCACAGAACACGGCCAGGATATATGAGGCGTTTGCGAACGGCAGGACCGGTGATTACCCTGACTGGGACTTGTCGATCCGAAGGCACAAGCTCATTGATGAGATGTATAAAGGTGTCAAAGGTGGCTGGTGAATGGATACATAGCGGCAGATAACCGGAATGGAATAGTTGTAGGAAAGGACCCATTGTTTCTACAAGACACAGACACCTGATGATTCTTATGCGGTACTTCCACGCGACATGCCAAAAAGAAGAATACTTTTACATCACGCTATCACATCAGGCCTATAAGTTTCAGGAAATTATTCTTGAGAACCTGTTCCGTTTATCATCTGTACAAGCTAAAGTCATGCTCAAAGACCAGCCATATAGTCCCCCTGTCCCCGAGCCTGTCTGCTCGCATCGACCAGAGCCATGCTCTCCGCCCGCCCACACGGCATGAAGGGCCGACAGTCTGGCTCACACACCGTGTCCTCGGGCGGCAGCTCGCCCGACTCAAAGTACCTCTTGATCCAGCCCTCGCGGCACGCGCCCGGCGAGAACAGCGAGCCGTGGCCCGCGTTCTCTTGGACCAGGACGCGGGAGCCCGAATGCGCCCGGGCTGCCGCGTTGGCGTTGGCGTTGGCCAGCGGCGTGACAGGGTCGAGCCGGCTGGAGACGAACAGTAGCGGCGCCGCCGGCCGGCCAGGCACAGTGCGCTCGGTGTCCGGCTCCGGCGTCGTCCACGGGCCCGTAAACCGGTAGCGCGGCCGGACCCGCCAACCCCGGATGTCGAGGCGCATCCGGCCCTCGGCCGCGCCGAGGTCCGGCGAGTCGCGCTTCAGCGCCTCCAGGTATTCGACGTAGTCCGGAATCGTCAGGTTGGCTTGTGACTTGGCGTCGCCGCCGATGACGGCGATGTGCGCGTCCTGGCTCCAAGTGAACGGCCGTGAGCCGTTGGACGGTGGGAGGTAGCTCTGGGGCCGGGCAAGAACCAAGAAAAGGCGGGTGAAGTTACCGGCCATGGCTTCATCGAGCGTGGAGGCCATGGCCGGGAAGTCGCGCTGCGGCTGGTACAGTGCTCGGAAGAAGCGCTCGAGGATGTCCTCTTTCGTAATGGACACGGCGTGGGTACCGGACACGAAGGGCGCTGGAAAGTCCGACAGGCTGTCCAGGAAAGCCTCTACGCGGGCCCGGATGTCCAGCGGCGACTGGTCGCCGGTGCGGTGCAGCACGCAGCGAGACTTCGCTTCATGGCACGTCTCGTAGAAGTGGCTCAAGACCTTTTGTGTGTCTTTGACGTTAAGGGTCAATGTCTATAGATTTCGATGTGAGCTTGATATATAGTGACGGGGCCGCAAGGGTTTCCTTACGCCTCTATAATGATCTTCAACGTCTTCAACGCCCTCGAGAACCATCCGACCAATGCGGCCGGGAAACATGGACGCAAAGTAGTTACCTAGAATTGTACCATAGGAGAAGCCCCAAAACTGGATCCTCGGGGTGTCGTCTTTCAGTGTCTTAGCTGTTCGTAATTCTAGAGGCCGCTGCCGACGAGGGTCCTCCGAGCTTGTCCGAATCTGCTCTCCATTCCTCAGTCCTTCGATCCGGTCCACAATCTCAACCATATCACGCGCCACGCTACTCGTGGACATAAACGCCAGGATGCCTGGACCCGACTCGCTACAGAGCCGACCAAAGGCCTCGGCCCGGGCAGCCCGCCACTTGATGGCGTCCACAGCCTGCTCATCCGGCCAGCCGATGATGCGGTCCTCGGCCACACTCAGGCTTCGGGCAAACTCGTCCCCACGGTAGCAGTCGGCATGCGGCTCCGAGATGCCAACGCCGCGCGGATCAAAGGATAGGATCTCGTACGCCCTCGTGTCGCTGTCCACGGTGCGCTGGGCTAGCTCGCCGGCGCGGAGCACAAAGTCCACGCCGGACGCGCCAGGCCCGCCGGGGTTCACAATAATGGTGCCGCCGAACCTGGGGTCCGACTCTGCAACGCGGGCGGACCGGCCGATGATAGCTATGGAGACATCCACGTTGCTTGTGTTGTGAGGATCGAGCCAGTCCAGGGGGAGGAGCAACTTGGCGCACCTGTGCTGCGCGTCGTAACATGCCGTGTAGTTGAGGGATGGCGATGCGGATATGGTGGACCAGTCGAAGTCCGAGACCGAGGGCGGCCTGGCTTGCGATGCAGTTCGGGCCGGCGACGGCGCAAAGGCAAGGAAGCCTCGTGTGATGAGGCTGGGCTTCATTGCCAGTTCGAAGGCAGCGGCTGCGTCCGCATCAGAGAATGGCACGGGGTTTGTACCTGATGCTACTGTTGCTGGAGGTCTTTGCGGTCTTGGACTATCAATTTAGCGTTGTACCTTAAGACAAAGCGCATCCCTATAGGAAAAGCAAACAATTCAGGTAGGAAAAGCATATAGAATTGGCTGTCAGACGGTTGAGTGAGCGGGGCGCCACATTGTCAGAACTGACGAGGCTACGGCGTGAACAGGCTGCAACGCATGATGTCCATGCCACACAACCTGTACCAACAAACGCTTCACCACAACCTGACATTGACGCAGAACAGGAATGAACAGCCCCGCCGAATCGGGATGGATTATGTAGTTCGATTGGCTTTGAGTAACCAGCCCTAAGTCCTCCTATGGCGCCAAACTCCTATACGCCGCGGATGGTATCATCGTAACAGTGCAATACAATACAATACAACAAAGGCCCGTCATGCTCGTCAAGGGTTTGCAGCTGCCGACTGCTCATCGTAGAACTTGAGCGTGAGTGCTGCCAGGAATCCCGGTATACAACCCTTGTCTCTCACCCAGAACTGAATCTCATCATTGATATGCCGAGCAAACGGGCTCTGTGGCCCTCCGCTAACCTTCATGGTTCCACGTTCTCCGTCAAAGACAATGCTATTCTCGTTTTCCTCGCTTTCGCTTTTGCAAAAAACGCTCTCCACGCGCATCTTGCCGTTCGGGATGAATGTCACAGTCCACCCGAGGGTGCTGAAGATGGCCTCCTTGAACTCCTGTGACTTGGCCTGCCATACTTGTTTGAGCCGCAATGCTTTCTTCTCGGCCGAGGCCTTCTCCCTCAGGGCCTCTTCAACCTCACGCTTGGTAGCTGCAAGCTGTGACGCAGGGATGACGGGGAAAGATGGGTTGCGATGAGCCTTCTGTAGCTGGGAGAGGAGCTGCTGGTTTTCTTTCTTGAGTGCCTCCAGCGTAGTGACTTTGATGGCTTCCCAGTCCGATGTTGGGTTCGATCGAAGAGATAGGACCCTTGTCTTGGTCTGAGCCTCTGCGGCCTGCAGACGGGATTGCAGGACAGACTTGTCCTTCTGGAGCACTTGTAATTCTGCTTGCGCCTTTGACAAGTCATCAGCGAGCTGCCGACGCTTCCTGTTCAGCTCCCCTATCTGTTCAGACTCGGGATCCTCTGTGCTCTTGCGCTTGCTGCCGACAGCAGGTGCCGGGGAACTATTGGAAACCGCTTTCTCCGCTGCCGAAAGCTCTGCGTGCAGATCTTTGACTTCAGCCTTGTATTTCTCAACCAGCTCCTCAAGTCGAGAGATGCGTTGCGCTCGCTCCTGATCAACCTTTTCGGGCTCAAACGTCTCATCCTCAGCATCGAATGTCTTGAGCTGGGCTCGGAGGTATTCGACCTCGTTGACTGCAAGCTGTCGCTGCCGCTCGATGCGAGCACGTGCTTTGTCTGCAGACAGAGGCGCAGTTGCCGTTTTCTGCTTCTCGATATGAGCGTTGAGCTTGCCGATTTCGTTCTCAAGAGACTTGATGATCTCGTCACGCTCGGCAACTTGGGGCTGCACATCGCCCAACTTTTCCATCAGTGATGCAGAGTTGTAACGCTCCTCTACGAGAGCGCGAGCCACGGACTCGGGCGAGTCAAACTCCATCATGCCCTCAGATTCACTGGCGCTCTGGAGATAAGATGACCAGGCCAGACGTTCATCTTCCAGTCGCTTGCGTTGGATACGCGCTTCAGTGAGCTCAGTCTCCAAAGATTGTGCAGCTTCAAGCTTGCGCTGTAGTGTCCGCTTTTCCTCTTCCACCACCTCAACGGCCTTGTAGATCTGGCGCAAATGGGTGAGCTCGGCATGCTGCTTCGCAGTCTTGGCCTCCAAGGAGCGGATATGTGCTACTTGGTCGGAAAGTTCGCGCCTGATGATGGCAATGGTGTCGGCATCGCCCGTCTGGGCCTTGAGGCGTAGTACATCGGCCTCGAGGTCGCCGAGTGTCTTGTCCTTTGCCGTCAGCTGCTCCTGGGTCTGCTGCAGCAGGGTTTCCCGGGCCTGGGCGTCCTTCTCCACCTCTTCGATTGTCTGCCTTTGATTCGAGACTTGTGCCTCCAGGTCGGCAATCCTCTTCTGGCTGATGCGCTCCGTCTCATCTCTGGCGGCGGACATCTCCTCCAGCTGCTCCCTCAGCAGTCGCGACTCCTCCTCGGCGTCTCGTGCCTTCTTCTCCAGCGCAAGCCCCTCTTGGGCCCAGGAGTCCTGGGCCTCGGTTTGTTTGCCGCGTAGGGCCTCGAGGTCGCGTTTCACTTTGTGAGCCTCGGCCTCGGCGGCCTGGCGCTGCTTGAAGTCCTCCTCGGCTTTGCGCTGGGCGTCGCGGACGTCGTTCTGGCACTGCAGCATCTTCATTTCGGTCTCCTGCACGGAGCTGTTGCTCTTGAAGCGTTCGGTGGCGAGCTCGGCCTTCAGCTCCTCGATCTGCTTGCGCTGGGTCTCGTAGTGCTCGGCATCAGGCGGCGCCATGTTCTCCTTGAAGCTCTCGAGCGAGGAAGCGCGCTGGCTCTGTCCCGACGGCGTGCGCGCATGCTGAGCGTTGGGAGCTTCTTGGCCACCAAGCAAGTCATGCTGCGGCTGCGATGCTGAGCGGAAGGTTGCGATCTGGAGACGGGCGGCGGTCAGTGACTGGTGGATGGGTGTCTGGTCTCCGATTGTTTACAGCCACGTTGAGCTACTTACCCTCGACGTTCGCAGAGAGGACTGGGGCCGGGGGAGGGCACCGCTCCCTAGAGAGCTGCGAAGGGTGCCGCCCAGGGATCGGCGCTTCTTGGCGGAGCCGCCTCCGCGTGGTGTGGTTGCCGTCATGGTGTGTGAGGAGGTTGAGATGCGATACAAGCGTCTCGCAGCTGGTTGTTTTGTTGTTTTCGGCTGGCCTGGTCGCCTGGGGATGCTGCAGGGATGCGTCTTGGGCGGCTGGTCAAGTGCCAGCAGCTGCCACAAAGCACAGGGTAGAGGGCGAGGTATTCTGCTGTCAAGACTATAGTTAAATAATGCCCATGATCGAAGGGCGCTGCACGAGTTACATACCTACTTAAGGTATTCAATACTCTTTGGGACTGAGTGTTCATGGTCATCACCGCGTGATTGTTTTCCTAGAGCAGCATCATGAATTGAACAATTGGTCAAGTGTACTATGTACGGTAGGACCAGGTCAGGTCAAGCCCACTCTTCGGGCTGCTGGCCAACGCCCCGAATGGGCCTTTCTCAGACAAAGAGGGTGCCATATCTAACTCGCCTCAACCCACGCAGGGGAGCACTGTCAACTGGGACGACTCCGTCTGGCCGTTTGCAACTTGGTAGAAATGCTCGTGCCCATCACTGATCAAAGGCCAGTGTCCGGCGTCTAGCGCTCTGACACACACCACGCCATTCCTCCTGTGGTATGGGCTGATCTCGGTCACGGAAGCTCTGAACTGCTTCGATAGCCAAGCAACATACATACAGTTTGTCGGCACCGTTAACAAATACCAACCAGCACAGACAGTGAGGAATACTCAGGCCACCACCTGTCAACTTGGGAGGCAGTGATTCTGCCTAACGTCGCTGAAAGCTCGCTTTGGTGACCTGGACCATCCCTATCCGTACCTAGGTACCGTAGTATGTGCCAAGTTAAAGCATCCAGACAAGCTTCAATGGTCTTTGGCAGTTTGCCTCTGAAGGAATGCCGCGTCTCTGTGCGCAGCAGTGCAGCAAGATCCCTGTAATACCCCGGAGGTTCTACGTCAGTGCCTGACATGCCATGTGGGCTTCTGTGGACTAGGGCTGATTCTCGGGTCGGCTAGTTCCAGGATCCTGTGCTGTGCTTGACTGGCTGGCTGGGCCTGGGGGTTTCGCTGGCCGGGCCCTTCTGGAAGCTCTCTCGGTATTTTCGGGGAGCTTTGCCCTCTGGCGATGCTCGACGACAAAGCTTGCTTCTGACTGCTTCCGACTACTACAGACCTCAATTGTCGGCCCATAACCCTCCCTGCCTGCTCCCTTGCCATCAGCTCACGAGAACCGCATCTGCGTCCTCAGGCACGGGACGCAGCCGCTTTATGGCTGCTCTGACGACCTCGTAATCCTCGCAGCATCTGCTGCACTACCTGCCCAGCTTCCAATTCCCGCTACGCCCACCACCGTCATCGCGCCCACCTTTCGCCCACCCTCGTTCACCTCCGACCTGCCTCTACACCATGGTGCTGGCTGCTATGCGTCCAGCATCAGCCGCCCGGGTCCGCGGCACTCGGCATGCTGTGATCCAGACTCTGGGCGCATCCCATGCCGTGTCCGCCCGCGCTCCGATGCCGTATGAGCTCGCTGTGGCTGTCCGCACCCGAGCTACCCTCAACCGACCCGTCTTCCATTCCACCTGCAGAACGTTCGGGACATCGAGTGCCCAGCTGTACGCCGACAGGAAGCACGTTTCCGACGGCGATAGGGATGCTCAAAAGACCGAGTCCGAATCCGATGCTGCCACCGAGGCCACCAGGTCCTCCAAAGATGCGCAATCGCAATCACAATCGCAGTCGAAGCACGAGGCAAGCTCCTCCGATCCGCCCCCGGCCTACAGCGAACCAGCTGGGCCACCGGCATACGACTGGGAGGAGAAGGCCAATTTCAACATCAAGGAGTTCGACGATCTACCCTACACAAACTTCGGCGTGAATCAGCACATCGTCATCGAGCGCGAGTTCAAAGAGTGTCTGCGTCACATACCATGGCAATTCCGCGCCCCCATCATGTACGCCTTTGCCTACGGGTCTGGTGTTTTCCCTCAGTCCAAGGGTGGAGGTACGGCCACCGAGGCCGAGATCCGCGCAGTCCATCCCAGAGCTCCTGAGGCTGTCCAGAAGGCCCAGAATGAAGAGCCCAAGATGATTGACTTCATCTTTGGCGTCACACACACGCAGCATTGGCACTCCTTGAACATCATGCAGCATAGGGACCACTACTCGGGCCTCGCATCCTTGGGCTCGGGGGCCGTGTCCGCGGTCCAGGATCGCTGGGGCGCCGGCGTGTATTTCAACACGTACGTCACCGTGGAGGGCATTCTGGTCAAGTACGGAGTCGTCAACCTTGAGACTCTCAAGCGCGACCTTCGAGAGTGGGATACACTCTATCTGGCCGGCCGCCTCCACAAACCTGTCAAGATCTTGCGCGACAATCCTCAGGTTCGCATGGCAAACCAGATCAACCTCCTTTCGGCTCTTCGAACCGCGCTTCTTCTTCTGCCCCCCACCTTCACCGAGCGAGAGCTGTACTCCACTATTGCCGGCATCAGCTACCTTGGTGACCCGCGTATGGCATTCCCTACCGAGAATCCTCGCAAGGTGTCCAACATTGTCAGCAACAACATGCAGAACTTCCGTGCTCTGTATGCACCTCTTATCGAGTCCCTGCCCAATGTCGAGTTCGACGATCCTTCCTGCAAAAAGGAGAATTGGATCTGGGACAACCAGTCGGTGCTGAAACTTCGGCAAGACATGGATCCAGTAAAGCGAGGCAACATGGTTCGCCGTCTACCCAAGGCCTTCCGCTCCAAGCTTTACTTCGAGTATCAGAAGAAGTTCCAGATCCCGCAACTTGAATTCGATGAGATGATGGAGACGAGTAAGAATGAGGACACGGCATCCTTCACGAGGCAGCAGGGTGGCGGCTTTGAGCAGCGCATCGCCCAGGACGAGCCCGAAGAGCTACGCAAGAATGTTCGTCATGTCATCAAGAAGACCATCAACTGGCCCAGCACAACCCAAACCCTGAAGGGGCCGCTCATGGCTGGCTGGAGCAAGACACTCCGGTATATAGGGGAGAAGATGGCCAAATACCGCGAAGGTAAAAAACCAGAGGCTACTACGACAGACAAGGAGGACAAGAAAGAGTAGGGCCCTCTTGCCAGAGAGCTGCTCTATTTCCTAGGCGTATCGGTCTCGTGTCCGGTTACCAACCTTGTGGTGATATGCTTCAGTTTGATCTAAGATGCCTTGCATTGGATGGATTAGAGTCATTAAAGGCGTTTTGATGTAAATAGGAACCAGAGGCAGGGGCGAGCGTTTTGTCCTCCTTGTGTGAATAAGGCGATGAATATAATTGATACCAAAATCTCTGCCTAGTCCCTCTGTCCCCAACACGATCCAAGCCTACACCGTCCGGCTCAGTCCCTGACCCAACATCCAGCGAACCCCATCTGCGTCAGCGTCGAGTCGGTCCAGTTGGCCTCCCCGACGTCCATCAGGAACTGGGAGCAGTGCTCCGTGTGGCCGGGGCTGGCGATGACGGTGTCGAGGGCGGGCCTCTCCTCGAACAGCGCCCAGAACTGCTTGCGCCACATGACGGCGCAGTGGTTGATGTGGTCGCGCACCGACGTGTAGTACGAGTCGCGCACCGCCATCTCGGCCGCCGTCAGCGGCTGCGTCAGCGCCGCGTCCGCGAACCCGGCCCAGCTGCCGTCCTCCTCGTACTCGGCTACCATCTCGCCGTCCCAGCACGGCCCCGGCACCCAGTTGTTCAGCAGCACGTCGTACCGGCACCCGGCCGCCCGCGCCTCCGCCACCGAGTTGCCGCACGTCAGCAGCCGCGCCCCCGTCGTGATGTTATGGTGGGAGTCGCCTGCCGTCGTGCTGCTGCGTTGAGGGTATGGCGCGGGGATGAAGAAGTAGATGATGAAAGTCCACAGCAGCGATGTGAGAATGAAGACGGACACGTGTGAGTAGATGCCGCTGCGTCTTTGCGCTTGCTGTTGCAACTGCCTGCTAGGCTCCTTCTCCGTCGGATCATCTGAATACTTGAGAAAGGGTTGCTGCTCCATTGCTGGTGTTTGGCTAGGGATGCCCTGTGTGAAGTTAGAGCAGAGTAATTACGAGAAGAGGTATGCAAAACAGATGGCAGCATCGTATCCGATTGCTGAGTCAATTGGTCTTGTTTTGTTTGGATGTGTTTCGTCTCGCTTTGACTTGAAGCCTCCCTGGTGCACTGACATGTGCCGATAGTACGGGGCTGTGAAGTGATACTATGAAACACCAAGTCAGCACGGCGCCAATGGGCGATTTTTGGTCACGATATTCATCTGATATTTCGCGTAACAGGTAATGGTCGGTATCGCAGCAGACCGGTTTCACGCAACAGCTTGTCAAAGCACTGTATCTGTCTTGCACAGACAAAGGGGGCTATGGTACAGGATCACCGTACTGGCCAACACGCCATCTGTGGAATGACCTTAAACTTGTAACATCTTGGCTTCGTTTTCATGGCAGCTAGATAGGATGAAAGAGATATGGATATGTTTTGGACCAAAGGCGACGGACTATACAGAAGCATTGCGTGGTGAGGTTGTTTCAATAGTTCAGTCAGGTACGTTGTGCACCATAGTGGGACGATACTCGCGTCATCCTACACAACCATCATTTACCCTCTACTGCTCCACGGTCTTTGAATTAGACGAAATGGCCTATTTTCAAGAAACCGAGATCATGCTCAAGTCCTTAGCCTGACATGCACAGGCATGGAATCTTTTGGATGTACGGGGCCATTGCCGACCCGGTACAGTCGCTCCCCGTCAATTGTGGGCTGATGGCCAATATTTCCCCTTGAGCAATACTATTAGCATCGTCTAGTAGATGCTAGATTGAACCTGACTTACTGCTTCATATCCCACTCAGCCCAAGCTTCCTGCACGTCAAACTTTCTGGCCGTCAGCACGGCAACGAGCCGCAGCTCAGCCATAGCAAGCTCCTGACCGATACAGTTCCTCAGTCCCATTGCGAAAGGCTCCAAGTGTCTTTGAGAGGACGCATCGGGTCGCCCTCGGGCACAAGCCATCTCTCGGGAACGAACTCCTTGCCGCGTGGCCAGAGGTCGGGCCGTCTTTGGATGATAGAGACGCCGTCCCACATTGAGAAACCATCAGTAGGGTACCGAAACGAGGAGCCAGGCGCAGTCAAAAAGAACTCTGGACTGCCATCGCGAAGTGCCGCCACTAGAGGGTACAGTCGCAGAGTCTCCTTGATGACGGCTTGTGTGTATGGCAACGCGTACAAAAGATGAGGCGCAGCCAGGATGACCTCATGCGCCTTCTCTGTGTCGGGGCCCAGTACGGAAGCATGCTCTTCCCTCATCTTCGCAAGGCAATCCGGGTGATCTTGGAGGCATTTGAACATCCAGCAGATTGTCGTCGCAGTCGTATCATGGCCCGCAAAGACGAATGCCTTCAGGTTACTTAACAGCTTATCCAGGAACTCTGCGTCTGGCGGGAGAGTACCCTGCCCATCTTCCTCGTCGAAGTGCTTCAGGGCTAGATCGACAATAGTGCGCTTACGGCTACTTTGTGACCCGGAAGCCAATCTGTCCTGGACCTTTGGCATGAAGAAATCGTACATCGCTTTATTGTTCATCCCAATGGAAGACGAAGCCCAAGGTGTGAAAGCGTGAATGATACCGCGACTTGCGTTGGCGGCTTTGCCCATCTGCTCAGCTTGGTCGAGCAGAGCTGTTTTCAGGGGGCTTCCCGTCTTGCGAGTCTGCTCGTGAAGACGTGTATCGCTATCAGCAGTCAACATTGCGTCTCAAACGAGATAACTGTGCCGAAATGATTTATTACATACATTGTAGCTCGCGCAATGACGTCGAAAGTTAGATTTGTAGTTTTTTCCTCGAGCTGGAAGACCGGTCCCCACGCCCCGTTGTTTCCAGAAAGCTTCCTCAGTTCATCGACGAAGACTAGAACCTCTTCGACCAGCTCTGGAAGTAGTGCGGCTACATTCCGAGAACTAAATCCAGGGTTCAGACGGGTTCTCCATGTTTTCCATTCATCTCCTTCAGTAGAGACAATGTCTCTGTTATTCGTCAGAGGCTTCAAGAAGTCGCGGCCTATCTTTGCCTTCGGCAAGCTCTGAATTTGCGTAAATTGTGCCGATACAGCTGGATGTGTGGATACGATCAAGGCTGAGCTTGTTATAGGCCATACGTCGAGATAGATAACTGGCGGGACTGTCTTCTCCCCTGGGAAGAGCGTTTCAAAATTGTCCAAAATCCATGTGTACATGGTGAATGTGTTGGCGTCTTTCGGATGTGTGCGACGATAGTCCCCAATGAAAGTGAGATGTCCAAGGAGCCATGAGTGCGGTAGAATCGCGATGCCCTGAGCTGCCACGTCTTTGACTTGCTTGCGTATTTTGTATCCGCGGTATAGCCATTGTGTTATCGATCTAGCAACAAAAAGACCAACAAGGGTCACAGCAGCCTTGACGGCCAGCCAACTTACCGGTTCTGTAATTTCCATGATTGCTATGCTCATCTAACCTACCATTGGGTACCAAAGTTTGGAATGCCAGAAAATTTTGACGAAGCTGAAAACAACACCTTGATTTTTACATCCCTTACTTCCAGGGCAGCCAAAGAAGGCTGGTGAGCCACCAACGATTTGAGAGGCAGTGATTGGTTAGATTTCGGCACGACGATGGCGCTAGACCCAGAGGGTATCAGCATCGGGATAATTTTCTATAGTCAAGACTGGCAGGTCTTGAATGAGACCCCATATGGACTATCAGATAACGAGATTCTTACAAAGTTCCCATGGCACACACCGTGGTCATCAAAAGTGCATTGTATTAGTAGACTATCCATCCTTTAATTTTAAGTCCAGTTCCACGGGGTCGAGTCCTCAAACCGCATCCATAATACCCCCTTCCCGAAGCAGCCTTCGCCGCTCGTCTTCGTAATCATAGGCGCCGGCAGGATACTCAGCGTGTGTATGGGCAAGGGAAATGGCACCACACACAATTTCCACTGTAATCAACAGCAGCAAGACAGTAAAAAGTGCTATTTCCCACATGCTTCCTAGTATTCTTATTCCTTTTGGAAATATGCTTCTCTATTTTCCCATAACCTAGGACCAGGCGCCATGGATAGTATTTGTAGATTTTGATTTTCGTGTGTCCACAAGAACAAGAACAAAGTCACTCTAGAACAGACCACAGTGAGAGAGTAACAACCTGGATGATGATTCACGCGTAGTAGATTCGGATAATGGACGTATAAATTGCTGATGGCGACAACTGTGAATTGGAAGGTCACTATCACTCAGTTGCCTCCATATCAGCTCCCATCAAGGAGTTCAAGGAGTTCGAAAATCAGTAGAGTCATACTGCCTGTGAGTGTATTTGACCCCCGTAGTAACGCATTGTCTTTCACCGGAATCATTTTGCAAGATGATTTCGAGTAGACGCTTCACTACTCTGCCCAGGCAATTGAGAATCACGGGACACAAAAGCCGCGATAAGTACAATGATGCGACAGCTGTTTCTCGAAGCATACTTCAGAAATTAAACATCTGATAATCCACCCAATTGTAGTTCGAAGGACGAGATGGAACGCCTCGCCAACAAACATTGCTCGATACTCCATACCAAGACCGAAAGAAACGCTCAGCTCTAGGACCGAAACAGACAAGCCGAGATCAACCTACGTAGTCACTATTGGAAGGGTTGCCCCACCCCCCTCCTCTTCCCTCTTGATCAACACTGAACAGGTTGATAATTACCAAATCAAGTCTGTCATTACTGAGTATACGAACCGTGCTGAACCAAGTTGTGAGAGATGTATGGACTATTTGTGTACCAGAGTCCTCATTTATAACGTAATCAAGCAGGCTTTCACCCTAGCAATTATTCATGAATGTGGCAATGGGCGAATTCATCTCGAATTATAATTTATCCTCCTATGGATTGCGTTACAATGTATCCGCCCAAGCAACCTAATCGTCTCTATTTTGGAGGATTCTCTCTCCGTCAATGATTTATCCTGGTTGTACCTTATAGTGATTTGTTGTTACACTGGCTTCCCAACATCTTGGATCAGGTACGTAGCGCGGATGCATGGCGTTGTAGTTACTTTGGAGGAGTTCAAGCTGCACTGCTACGTCAGATCACATTGACCGTTGTCCATCATTGGAGCGACCTTGCAACCCCGGAATTCCTCAACTTGAACTCCAAATCATCACATTACCGGATTAGGTAGGTCCCATCGTCGCATTACAGTGAGTTTACGCCGGCGGTCCTTGATACTTGGCATTACTTGGCGTCTTGAACATCACAATTCAAACCAAGCAGTTCATTCACAGAGCCAGCAGGCCGACTGGCATTCACTTGCCAGCTGCTAGATCAACGAAGACAGCTAGCTCAGCGACGATCAGCTCCGTATGCAGCCGCGCGAATTACTTGGGGCTCAATACCAAGGCACCAAAAATTCCTGGATCTATAATTTCTGTGGGGTAGCTTCCCTGCTCTGTATAGTTGCCAAGCTCCATGCAGGGATGCCGGTAGATGGGGATGCCTCATCTTGGTAAATGCTAAGACTCAACTCTCCACTGTCCATCCAATCACGATCCACAATGCTGTAAACCCCCCCCCTATGTGCTGCGATAAGCTCGAGAAACTGGGCACACGCACCCCATAAATGTTTACGTGATGCTACTAACTCAGGACTCAAGACAACTGCACTTGGACAGCCGGCGGGATCCGGGCAGTGGACATGTATTTTACAGTGCCGCATTGGGAAGGTTGGCACCCCTTCCATAGAAATTCAGAGCTAGAAGTCTTGGACTTCTTGTCAAGCAACCTTCCTTTTGGGTGCGCACGGCTTCAGGTATGAGCTTGCTCGTTGTATAAAGAGTCTTGGTGATCGTCATGGCCCTCAAGGTGATTGTAGAGTCAACTCGGCTACTATAGGCAGTAACTTGGCGTCACTCTCTTTTTAAATACATACTTCTCGTCCAATCACGCCATGCAGTTCAAAGCATTTACTATTGCGGCCCTCGTGGCCTCGGCTGCAGCCAAGCAGCGATGCGCTGCCCCTGCACCGACCGAGCAGCAAATCGAAGCCTCCAGACAGATGAAGATTCAGGAAGACAACTACGCTGCTGTAGCGGGTGAATCCATGCACATCCAAGCCACTATCAACACCAACGTCTATTGGCACGTCATTGCTAGCGCCAGGACTGTGGCTGCTGGCTGGTTGAGCGTATGTATCCTTAGCCTTCTGTTTCAACAGGACAAAAGCTGACCACTTCGGCAGAATGCAACCCTTGACGCTCAGCTCGATGTTCTGAATGAAGCATATGCCCCTCACGGTATCTCCTTCAACGACGCTGGACGTGATTGGACCATCAACTCCAACTGGGCCCAGGATGGCGCTGAGCTCGCTATGAAGAAGGCACTGCGCAAGGGTACCTACAAGGACGTTAACGTCTACTTCGTCCCCACCCTGGATGCTTTCGGCTACGCATACCTCCCTGATTCCGTGAGCACGGGTTCCAATGCTTTCTACCGGGACGGATGCACCATCCTGTCCTCTACCGTTCCAGGAGGTTCCGAGACCAACTTCAACCTCGGCTACACTGTTGTGCACGAGGTCGGACATTGGCTCGGTCTTCTGCACACCTTCGAGGGTGGCTGCAGCGGCAGCGGTGATATGGTTTCCGACACCCCTGCTGAGAGATCTCAAGCATCTGGATGCCCTGTTGGCCGCGACACTTGCTCTGGAGGCGGCGTTGACCCCATCCACAACTACATGGACTACAGTGACGAGTAAGTTCATGAGCTTCGATATTTTGGTGGAATAGAAACTAACACCGCTAATAGCCCCTGCTACGAGGAGTTCACTGCTGGGCAGCAGACCCGTATGTACAGCCAGTGGAACACTTACCGCGCCTAAGCCCTATAAGCCTGAGATCCAGGTACCAGGCTTGCTTAATACTTGGCATCAGCAAACACCGGTCTCCAAAGAACCACAAAATTTCTTCCTCGGCCGACTTGGGCCAATTATATTACCGCAGTCATGCTAGAGCTTTACGCTGGCTATGTACATACTTTATGATATGAATACAGTGTTGATATGACGTTGAAATGAGTGTGTCAGTTGTGATCTGTGAAAGTGACATTACTATTCAGTACCAACATAGCAGGCAAGTTCTATTACTCTCGGTACTTTGCTACGTTTCCTCTCTTCCTTTCTTTGGTGCAAAATCGTCGTCAATGGTGCCAAATCCGTTATTGTTCCGAGGGGCATCGAGGCTGGCATGGGAACGCAAGGGATAACGCGGCTCAACATATCGCTTTTTCGCCGAAACTCCGCCGGGGCTTACATCCGGCGCAAGATGAGGACCCTTCTCTTCCATAATATCGCCATCCCACCAGGCCGGAGTGACTAATAAGTTGCGGGCCTTCACGGCGTGTGGAACAGCGCCAGTCGTTCTGTGACCTATTTCCGATATTGGGGTTTCCAATCGCATTTCATCTTGACTTTTGAGTACAGACATTCCTATAGTCGACCCTGTCGTGTACAGAGCCGGCTTGTCCGCCCCATCCGTCGAGAGTTTGCTTTCATTGAATGAGAATGAGATGGGCAGTTCCCCACGAGAGGCAATTGGTCTTCTTGAAATGATTGATTCGTGGTCAGAATCTTCTGGAGTCGCCACAGCAGTGGGCAGAGTATCAATAAGGCCTGTGGTGACGTTGATTTCATCGAGAGATACGCCCTGGTCACTATTGCACTGCTCATAGTCTAAACTCCGTGAACGTTGGCCTTTCATAATTACTGAGACGTGCCAGCGGAGGTAGAGAATCATCGTCACAGCCATGACTCCGAATATCGAGGCAAAGGAAAATAGAACATAGATAGACACTGTTCCATATGTTCCGACCAAGGGCGTGGCGAGCGCAAGCATGGCGTAGTTGGCAACAAACCCTGCACGATTAATCCAAAGCTCGGCACGCCGCAAGATTTCGGTGGCTCGAAATAGCGTGCAACCTGGTGCTTGGATCTCGGCGACCCACATGTTTAAACGTTTCTCTTTGAATTCGTCCAAGTTTAAGGGAAATTCTCTGCTTGATCATGATGAGCTCGAAGGCCTCAGAGCTACACTCTTTATATCTGTGAGGCCCTTGTTAGGCTCCAGCTGAATAGTGCATACCTTCAGCACGTTTGACCGTTTCAATTTGAACCTGAATACCTCATGGATTGATAGCTTCGGCACCACGTATTGAGACTGTTTCAAGTTGCGTGGATGTAGTGACATATCAACTCCTTCAGGAAAGACATGTCCATCTAAGCAGAGCAGACTCTGCCTTTCTGGTAAGAATCATGAGAAGGGAGAGTGTGTATGTGAATGGTGTTGTATTGTTCTGACTTGCATATACCTTTCCAGGTTACGTCGTTAGGCCGGGAAGAATGAGACTGGACTGACCCGTCTAGATAAGTCAATGCACTGGAACCTCACTAGAGCAATGGATAGCATTGGTGCAAATTGTAGGTTCAAGCGCATTCTGGGTGGAATTGATTCAACTCATGTAGCAGCTCACTTGGCCTAATAGCTATCAACCTGCAATCACACGGCTATCAGAGCGATTGGTCAGGTTTGACGGTACTCGAGTAGATATGATCTAATGAAGTCTAAGCTGGTCTGGATTTATGGCCGAGGACTAGTCGTTTACGCTAACTGGCAAGTTGCGGCTGGTGACTGAGAATGGTTAAACAAGGATACTCTTCACGTATAATAGCACTCTGGAGGCATCGCACAAATGGACAAGTAGGTAACCCAGTAATAACGCCTAAAAGATCTAAACATAGACCAACTCAACTGAGGAGGCAATTTGGGCCACATGCAGTTGGTGATTTTGCTGTGGTTGAGGCTGACAGTAGCTGCACATGGGGATCAGTGGGTGTGGGCTCTCCAGGCCGCTATTCGCGGAAAAAAACACAACACGAACACCGCCGGCCGGAGAGATCCGAGCGAGAGCCAAGGGCCCACAGTGAAAGCCGCAGGTAGAGTAGGAAGCCTCTCCAGATAGGGCCACCGACATGGGTTGTCAGTAAAATCGCCTGTAGGGACAAGGCAAGGGCCACAAAACAAAATGAACATACCCAGCATCCAGGACCATGCTGCATTTCGTTTGGATTAACATCTGGCGAGGTAGCTCTTGGCGTGCCTGTAATTTTGTGTTCAAGTCAACGTAAGCTTTCCAAGCTTTTCGTTCTTATAAAGCCAAGTGACTTGGCGAATTCTTGTTCCTCCAGCTCTGGATTCCGTGGTTCATCGCCAAGCAGCTCGTCTGAGTAGTTAGTGTCCAGACCCAACTAGTGCCACTCGTTACCAGTCAACTATTACAATGCGATCTTCTACCGCGACTTTGGCACTGCCGCTTGCGGCGCATGCCACCTGCACAAATGCGACCACTCCTTCGGCTTGCACTGTCACCAGCTACTCGGGCATCGCCTCCGCCGTCGCCAAGTGCACAAACATTGTTCTGCAGGACATTTTCGCCCCAGCCAACTCAACCATTGACCTCACTCACCTGCAGAATGGCACCACCGTGACCTTTGCTGGCAACACGGTAAGCTGCCTCGCGCGACCCCTGAAGCGTGCAATTGAGTACTGACACCCGCAAAAAGACTTTCGGCGACACTCCCGACCATGATTTCATCCCAATCAAGGTCTCGGGCTCCAAGTTGACCATCACCGGAGCTCCTGGCCACGTGATTGAGGGCAATGGCGCTGCGTACTGGGATGGCCTTGGTTCCAACGGTGGAAGCTCGAAGCCCAACTGGTTTCTGAAGTTATCAAACGTGTTTGATTCCTCCGTCACGAACCTGCACATTATCAACTGGCCTGTTCACAACATCCAGATCACGGGGAGCAGCGGCGTGACTATCGATGGGCTCAACCTGGACAACAGTGCAGGATTTGCGCCTAACGACCGCTCGGGTGGGAAGGATGCTGCCCATAATAGCGATGGGTTCGGTGTCTCCAGCAGTGACAGCATCTCTATCCTGAACACCAGAGTTATTAACCAGGATGACTGCGTGGCCGTCACTAGTGGGACCAACGTGGTCATAGACAACGTGTACTGCGAAGGTGGGCACGGTCTGTCGATCGGCTCCATTGGCGGAAAGAGCAACAACGTGGTCAATGGAGTTGTGTTCAAGAACAGTGAGCTTGTGGACTCGAGCAATGGCTGCCGTATCAAGTCGAACTCGAATACTACTGGAGAGGTCTCTAATATTACTTATCAGAATATTACTATGAGCGGTATGG